GCCCCCCCCGCCCCGCGGGCGCGCGGGGGGGGCGCGCCCGGGCCGCCCCCCCCCCCCCCCCCCCCCCCCCCCCCCCCCGCTTGACCATATAGGACACCTAGGAAAGTAGTCTGTAGGTCTAGTGTCCCAAGTTGACTGAAGCTGGCGGCTTATATTCTCCGCCGAACAGGACAAGGGGCCAACCATTGGGGAAGAACAAGGTTCTTCCCCAGGCGCGCTAGAAGGCGGAAATATTGAACGAGGGAATTACCATGTTCACATCCAACAGGGGTCCGTGAGATGTGATGGTGGCGGGACCAAAAAAAAGGCGGTAATGTCGGTAATGTCCTGTCCTGTCATGGGAACTGCAGGTCAGGTCATGCAGATCATTGATTGCCGTTCCATGGATCGTGTGGGGTTGACCGTGTGGGGGAAGCGAATGGGAGGCGTGCCCGTGGTGTATTCACGTAAGGTTAATAAAGCTCTGATATTCCCTCTGCCGTCTCTCACTCTAGACCCAATTTAGACCCCTGACTGGCAGCTGAAGATAAAGACAACCCCCATGACGAACCAGGGAGCCGGGTATGGCCTGCTATTTATCAAGAGACAACTGCCGAGACATGAGCGGTAGCGAGTTTTTATCTTCCCGCGCCACAAACTACCTACATGAACTTTGGTGGGGGGTAAGGAAAGGCAGAATGGGAAACGAGTTCATCCTCGTGCTCGCTCGTGCCATCCATCCCTGAGAAATCCTCGGGCGGCTGCTGCGGCTACCCGCACTCAGCCGTAGATACGGGTACGATCTAGACTTACATTGCGTGGTGATGAGTCCGCACCAGGAGAGCGAGGCCAAGCTTGTGAAAAAATATATATATATATATATATATATATACACCGCGTACAGGTCAGGGGCGATGAGAATACAATATTGGGTCGATGTTATGCTTGCAGTATCGAGCATTGAACTCTGCCGTGGATTGTATTCCCGATATTGCTCTAGCAACTCACAGGTTCAGAATGCAAAAGTATCCAGAACGCTTGATCTTGACAGCCGATGGAGCATTTGCGGGGAAGCAGCAAGGCCAATGCAAAACAACTAGACTCCCTTCCTCCTCAAGATATGAGCCAACCCTTCCCCATAGCAACGAAGGTTTACCTAGTCTACAAGTTTGCATTATTGCTCGCAATTGTATCCAAGGGAACGTAGGAATAAGCAGAGTTCCGAGAAAGAGAAATTGATATGGAATCCAAAGGACGGACCAAAACCCCAAGTTTGAGACATGTTAGTGATTAGGAGGGAATAGCATTGGTGTGACGTTTCTCAGGTATGTTGAACAGTATATATACCTTAATTACTATGATTTTGCCATAATTAAGTGGGTGTCCAAGAATTGATTGGCCTGCCTTTCGAGGTTTCAATGGGCAGGTCTGCTGTCCATGACGGACTAATTAGGTACAAAGCAAACTACCTAAGCATATGCACATCAACCCTGACGTCAGGGGCGTTGGCGAGAGCTACTACGAGATCGTTGTTATGTGCGGTAGGTAGTATGGAATATTTGGCATTTCCCATCGCCACAAATGTGAACCACTATCTCTACCAAAAGAAAGAAACTCTCACTGTGACAGGGCCACTACCCCTTGACTGCGCCGGATTTCAAGCTAACTCCATGGCTAGGGACCATCCAACATGTCTCAAGCAAAGGGAAACTTCTCCGTCGACAGCAGCGGGAGCGTAGGCATGACGGAGCCATCCGGGAGAAGCATCATGACCAACGTCGCCGTGTGGTGCCCGGCGGACCGAAGGGCGTTCACCAACGCCCGGGACGCCAACTTGTTCACCCGCATCGGGACGCGGCACTCGCCCGAGCAGGTCAAGGCGGCGCTGGACGCGACACCGCAGGTCGAGCAGACCTTCCACCTGACGGTCAACAACGCGATCCTCGTCTTCGACGCCGCAGGCCAGAAGGCTCGGCACGAGGGGCACGTCATTGCGGTGTTGGATATGCTGAGAGCCAACTCCATGTTGGCCGACGTCAACGACTGCGCCTTCGACGTGGACACGTGCGCCGCCGCGGGGATTCGGGTGCAGGAGGTTGGGGCGGGGAAGGCGTACATGGTCGTCAACCAGGGCGTCCAACAGAGGAAGTGATTTGTGGTGGATGCGTTTAAGCCGGTCTAATCAGCGGCACCACCATCTCTCACTCTTGCCATTGCACACGGGACTTGAATGAACCCTTGATTAATTGCAGCGTATGAATCTGTCGGAACAGGGAGAGTGATGTTATTAACCCCCCAGCGAGGGCGATTGCAAGCCGATATTGTCAGACCCCTGAGTCTAGACCACTGACGTTGTCGAGGCGGTGGTATGAAGTCACAAAAGCGTCGTCCCATGCAGTACAATATGGAGGACCCTGTGAGGCACTCTGCAGCCGTGGATAAAATTAGAAAGTGGTAGCGAACAAGCTGTGCCAAGCCTTTCTGTCTAATATATATATATGCACCGTTGCAAACCGCCACCCGGGCTCATTATAATTAATGACCTAGCAGCCCGAGGATGCATCGTCAGCTGACCGTTCGCCTGCTCGACCTTTGTGCCACCAGACTCGACTGGCCACTCAGATGGCTGCAGTGTAGAATTAGGAAGGTGAGATTCTAGGTCACGAAACTTTAGAGACATCTTAACTGACGCGCACAGGAGTTCGTGGAGTCGAGCTAAATTGAGACCTTCCCCATTGGAGCCATGAGCGCGAATGCTGGGCTGGTGAGGTTGCAGTGCACACATTGCAGAGTACTTATACAGTATTTACAAATGTAGCTTGGGGGATGGCTGCGACATACAGCTCGTAAATGCCGGTGAGTTGGCATTGTGTGAAAATAGATGTGGGTGAGAAGCCAAGAAAGCCCTCTCTCCTGTGGAAAACTTTAACCGTCCATTTTTTACCTTCCTCTTTATGCCTTCCCTGTTCGTGTCGGCCCGGTCTAGAATAGCTGTGCTACTATAACTACCTTGGCTGCGTACGAAGACACACCGCAGGGTCGTTGAACAGGGCGGCAACTTGGAGAAAAACTCACCCTCCCCCCTTTTTGTCATCCAGATTCGAGTTTATACAGAAGAGTTAGTGGCCACTAAGCGATAAACAGCACTCCAAGCACTATCAATGGCTGTCTCTACAAATTAAACAGATGCTCCCTCAATCTAACCACCAATGAGGCCCTGAGTTTGAGAGGGATCGAGATGATTCTTCTTCCACGCAACCCGTAACCTTCCACCCCTCCAATCTCAGATACGGATTTGAATGCACTCGCAACAGCCGACTGAATAAACTACTCTTAATTATCACTCCTATTCGACGAAGCCTGCAAGTAGGTAGTAGAAGGTAACCTTGCCACTACGACCTACGATCCGAGAAGGAGATCTTATATTGCCGCCAATCTAGCAAGCGATGTCTAGAAAAATACCCCCGAGCCCTCCATTTTCCCACCCCGGTGTTCATTGGGCTACTTTAGCTTGCATGAAGAAGAAATTGTGGCAAACTGACTGTGCGGGTGTAGCGTGATGGTCTTGCTGGTCCCTGGGTATATATATATAGAGCTTGATCGTCAGGGACAAACGACTTACAAGATCGGTTCAGCCTCAGCTGTCTAACTGCGTCTACCCTTGAGACCCCCCTTGACACTAAGTGATTCTTAACTATGCGCCTCCTTGCCACCCTCTTTGTCGGCCTCGCCACCGCCCTCCCTGCGGAGCACCTCGTGGCCCCGGCCCCGGCCCCCGGCGACGTCAAGATCATCGACATCACCGCCATCGGCTCGGGCTGCCCCGCCGGACACGCGTTTGTCAATCTCGATGCGACCGGGACCGTCTTCGACGTCGCCTTCGACCAGTACATCGTCAGCGTCGGCCCGGGCACCAGCCCCTCGGACAGCCGGAAGAACTGCCGGATCAGCATCAACCTCCAGTTCCCCTCGGGCTACCAGTAAGTTGCACAGGGCTGCAGCTCACCACCATGTCTAGAGGTTTGCCCCAGACAAAAGCTAACGGCGCTCTCCTTCCTCCCTCTCAAGGTTCTCGATCATCGAAACCCGCTTCCAAGGCTATGCCAGTCTAGCATCGGGCCAGACCGGCACCTGCAGAGCCAGTTACACCTTCTCGGGCGACAACAGCCAGGCAAGCCAATCCACCCCCCCCCCCCCCCAAAAAAAAAACCTCCCCGTAGCCAGGCCCCCCTCTTACAAGCAGCCAACGACAACAGGAGGTGATATTCGAGAAGAACGTCGTCAGCCCCTTCGACGACAACTACAACCTGCTCGCGGGCGTGGGCGTCGAGTCCTTCTCTCCCTGCGGCAAGTCCACCGCCATCCTCAACGTCAACTCCGAGGTCCGAATCACGCCCATCAGCAGCCCCCAGGGGGGTATCATGACGGTGGGTTCTTCCTCCTTGTTCTACTTGACTTTTACTCCCCACCCAACCTATATTGTATGTAGCCTTGCTGATGCTGGTAAATAGGTTGATTCATTTGATGGAAGCGTGCATATCGTTTTCAGCACCTCGTGGCGTAGGTGTTAGGGGAGGGATGTGGGTGTTGCTCTGTTGTGGTGATTGTCAGTGGGCAGCACATGTCATTAGGGGGTGAGGAGAGGGGATTCATTTGGTGGGCAGAAGGGGAGGTTGATATGCAGCGTGTAGTGAGACGACAGATTGATATTTCAAAGTCTAGTTACCTAGTTAAAGGAGACCACTTGCATCACTCAGACATGCACATTGTGGTTAATCTAGTTGCTATATCTAGGCTGAACTCCTTCGCGAGAGGGTTTTAAAGAGGCAGTCTCTGAGCCTTGACGCTGGAGGGGATCGAGTCCTGTTGGATTCTCTGAACATGGCCCGACCAGTGGTTAATGTAGCAGGCAACACGGGGAAATCTGGGATAATTAACTACATGTGCATGTAGGCATTCATTGGTGGTCCTGTGGCTGTTGGGATTTCCAAGGACCATCGCTGCAGAAGTGAGGAGTGACGATGCTTATGGCACCAACCAACCTGCAATCAGACGAAAGCATGTCTGCCTGAAAGCCGCGTGCTAGCGCCTCTGCACACCACGTATTGAATGGACGTTGGGCTCGAACCGGATAGTAACAGGTCATTGACCCCCTTGAACAGCTCCATGGGGAAGAGCCCCCCCCCCAACAGATCCGTCAACAGCGTACGTCGTCGGCGTCCAGGCATCCATGCGGCTATCAGACGGGTACATGCGCCAGAACCTATCCGACTGCTGCAGTTGTGCAGGCCTGACTTCGGCCGACGGAAGAGACCGAAGGAGAACAAAGTAGGAGATGAACACCAGCCATACAATGGACCTACAATGACCAATAATTATATGAAGTTTATGGAGATGAATAGATGTCAGTCGACCACCGGAATTCGAACCGGGGCAGTAGTGGGACCAAGCTGGGCTACCTGGACATGAAATGCGAAATACGGCAAAATATACGTAGTTTATATTGCGCAACAGCTATGATTGGTGAAGACTGTGCCAGCCAGCAGAAACGCGACCCGGTTTGTAATGGGACATGATTGATGGACTCGAGTGAACAGAGGGAGGAGGAATCAAGCTCCGAATATGAAACCCCAGGGGCTCCCATGGTTCTGTGTTCCCTCTTAATCGGCACGACTTATGCGATTCTAGATCAGGACGACAAACATCGCAGTTCTGAGCCGCACCGTGGTTCAGGTCGTCACTGCTTACGCCCCTGGACGGTTGTCCATTCATGCTTTCCTGCAAACAAAACATCATCAGGAAACAGCGTGGTCCAGTTGCTTTACAATTGCACCAATCTGCCCAATGTTTGGTCATGCTTAATTCTTGTGTCGAAGCGGCACGTTCTAGATGATTTGCATCGAGCCTGATCATGAATTCATCTGGAAGGCCAAACGTAGCGGTCTCTCGGGTTACCAGCTAATACGCAACAACATCTGAGCTCATTACATCGTCAAGAGCTTGGATTGTGTACTTAACAATTCTGATTGCACCATAACCGAGCCCTGGATAGAAGGAGGCAATAGGTCAATGGCTGAGAAGGCCTCTCTGAACAGCTCGTTGAGTGCCTATAAATAGTAGGCAGGTAGGTAAAGGTAGGTGAAGTTGGTAGAAAGTGGGTGAGTGGGCTAAAGAATGAAATGACTTTCAACAATCAAATTATAAGGCCTGGCGTATGGGGTAACCATATCAAACTAAGGTCGACACATTCCGTGTGAACCTCATTACGGGAAGCCAGAGTCGGCGACAGGGAGGTTGTCCTCGTTCAGCGAATCCACCTCAACATCCTAGCGGGCCACGAGTTAGCAATGCCCGCCGCCAAACGGACACCGGGACTACCCACCCGCCCACCCAACCCAAACGAACACCTCAGCCCAGAGTGGTCACTCCACGGCAACCCCTCCCCGGCCCCATGCGGCAGCCACACAAACGAACCCCCGGCCACCCCCCGCACCGAGCCGGGATGCATGACGCGCACCTCGCGCGCCCGCAACCCGCCCAGTGTGGCGATCTTGTCCATCCGGCACGGCGGGAACGCCGCCTTCCCGTCGACGCCCCAGGTGAAGCCCGGGTCTTCTTCTTCTTTCCCAGCCGCCGCCGCCGCCACCAGCCACGCGTCCTCGAGCCCGACGTCCGCCACCAGGGTCTCGTCCTCCGGCAGCACGGGGTTGAAGTCTCCCGCGACGATGCCGCGGCCGGCCGAACGCAGGAACGCCGCCGCCGCGGAGAGCTGGCCCGGTCGCAGAGAGGGCTGGTAGGCAAGGGAGTCGAGGTGGACGTTGATGAGGCGGACGCGGGACGGCTCCGGGACGGCGGTGGTGGTGGATGACGCAGTATCAGAAGGTGGAGGTGGAGTTGCCGCCGAGGCGGAAGCCGCCGACGCGGGCACGAAGACGTCGCAGCACAGCGCGTCCCGGCGGAACCGGCTGGGGTACTTGACGCGCCAGACCGCGCCCAGCGTGGCCCTCCTGCTCCGCGACCGGTCGTCCCCGCCGTAGCCGAACCGCGACCGCGACAGCAGGGTCGTCGTCGCAAAGGGCAGGCCGCCCCGCCAGTTGGTCAGGTCGGCCTCGCTCGAGAACCAGGACTCGCGGATGCGGGGCTCGTTCAGGAGGAAGGAGAGTCCCGCGGCCGGGACTTCCTGCAGGAAGATGATGTCTGGAGTCGGGGTGAGCGATAGCACGTGCGAGATGATGCCTGAGAGGCGTTGTGCTGGTATGGCTGAGAAGGCGTCGACGTTCCACGTCACGAGGTTGAAGTCATCCGAGTCGCTCTGATGCGTGGCTTCGGGGGTGTGGCTTGCAGATGGGGAGTCCAGGTCTACGCGAGACCATTGTTGGGTTGATGAGTCGAACTCATGCCACGACTGAAAGGTCACTTCAGTATCGGGCATGACATCTGGAAGCGGGGTGCTTTGCGACTGTGAGAACAACTGATTATGAGTGGACGAAGGAGGAGCCATGGCTACCGGCTATGCACTGTTGTTGTGTTGTTATCCCTTCTCGTAATTCTCTCAGCAGTTATCGTTCTGTTGTGAGATGAAGAATGAAATGTGGAAGCCTAGAACGGGAGGCAACTGCCTAAGGTAGGTACTTTGCGATTCAATATCACGTGTGAGGCACAGCAGTCAAGTCCTTGTGTCACTAACTCCGGGCATGGAAACTCTCTCTTTAAAGGGAATTACTTGGAAACTCAAAATACCTACTTTTAGGAGAGTAGAGATCGCTCGGTGCTGTCTGGGCCCCTACCCAACCACTTTACTCGCCGGAATTATTTCCCCTTGCAACTCGTCAAACAATCAAGAAACGCTGCCGGACACTATTGCAAATAACTTTGCAGGTGTACATGACAATGTTTCCGGAGACTGGGAAGTCTTGTTAACTCATCGCTCATTCCGGCGCCGAGCTTCCACGGAGCCACCGAGAGCAGTCTCCAGAGAGTGGAGATCTAGCCGGAGACCAGAGGCAGCGCTTGTGCAGGCTCGGAAGAGTCTTCGATCTGTGGTCTGAATCGCTTCACTCTTTCTCCCCCGTCTTGATGCTGAAATGGCTCGACCCGAGCTAGACCCGACCTCGGTGCCGCCGCCATTCGTCGTGGATCCAACCTCAGCACACACGCACAGCCTTATCCTCCTCCACGGCGTCGGATCCAACGGGGAGAAGTTCGGCAGGGAACTCCTCGACACCGGCGCAACCTCGGACGGCTTGACGCTCACGCAGTTCCTACCAAACGCGAGATTTATCTTCCCCACCTCTCGCCGCCACCGCTCGACCGCCTTCGGCCGGTCGGTGCTGACGCAATGGTTTGACATCGCACGCCTGTCGGACTCTTCCCACCGCAAGGAGCTGCAGTTACAGGGCCTTGCCGAGTCCGCTCGGGATATTCTGGAGCTCCTTCGGCCGGAGCAGGAGATGAGCAAGATCCCCCGAGCAAACATTGTTCTCGGCGGGCTGAGCCAAGGGTGCGCCACGTCTCTGTCGGTCCTGCTATGTTTGGATTACTGCATTGGCGGCTTCGTCGGCATCAGCGGCTTCCTTCCTTTCCGCGACGATATCGACGAGGCGGTCGAGGAGGCTGTCGTCGACGAGGATGATCCTTTCTCAGGGGGCGACGACGGGGAGCACCAGGATCCGGCTGTCAACGCCGCCGCTTTTTGAGAGGGACCTTCTGTGCCTCCCGCCAATGGAGAAACCCGACCGCGAGAGCACAGCTCAGTCGACGCCAATCTTCCTCGGCCACGGCAGTGCCGACGAAAAGGTGCCGTGCTCGCTGGGCGAGGCCATGGCTGCGACTCTGGAGAAAGCGGACTACAAAGTCGAGTTGAAGGTGTGTCATGGCCTGGGGCATTGGTACAAAATGCCGGACGAAATTGATGACATTGTGGAATTCCTCCGCTCCGTGGTTGGTTGGAAAGTATTATCTGGGGACCGCGAAATCGACAGCGATTACAAGGGTCCGTCATCTACCATTTGACAAGGGGTTTTCGGCACTTGGTCGATTTGCAAGACAGTCCCCCTCTACCATATAATCTCGTGGCGTCCCAGATAACCGCCATCTCCTTTCTGTAAGGCTTGATGATTTTCTCCAGAGCCCTGTCCTTTATCCATCCGCTCTCCCAGTTGGGTCGCCTCATGGTCTGCTGTTTGGAAGTGTCATAGTCGAGGTTAGTAGTCTACCCCGCCGGATGATGCTCTCTCTGTTCATTCAAAGGCGAGGAGGGTTCCAAGGTTGGTCTATGCTGAGTCGTGTTTATATGTAATCTGTTATGTCTAGGTATGCACCTCCATCAAAAATGCCCTCGTCCCAAAACGCCGGTCAACTACCTACCCTACTATCTTAGCTTACACATTCGGTGACAGGAGATCGTATTTCACACAACGCTCAACCTGTAATTAGATGGCGTTAGTAACACAGCCAAGAGATGAAAGGTTGTTCCGGGGGTTACTCACATCCTCAATGCTCGCCTGCATGAACCTCCTCGTCTCCAGGCCAACCCAAAGCTTCAACATGGAGAAGTCGCCCATCCTGACCATATCCTTCCCGCTCTGGGCACCCAGCTGTCTGAGGATGGGCAGGGAGCTGCTCAGCAGGTCGAGGTTCGGGTCCAGGCTCCGGCCGATGCCCTCCAGCAGCAGGATGCTGATGACGACGTTGACGAAGTCGCCCTCGAGCCGCACGTGGTGCTGCCTCACCATGCCCAGTACCTCCTTGAGCACGTCGCCGATCTTGACGTTCCCGAGCGCCAGCGTCCGGCTCTTGACCCCGAGCACGAGGTGCTGCATCTTGAGCGCGAACACCTCCTTGTCCAGCACCGCGTCCGGCTGCCTGCACCGCTCGCACATCAGGTGGCCTGCCTTGTGCCCGTCGAACTCGGCCACCGCCCGGAACAGGTCGAGGAAGTTGCGCCGGTTCGTCGCGTTCAGCTCCGTCACGAGCCCCGTGTCGATGAAGATCAGCTGCGGCCGGAAGCCCTCGGCGTCGATCTTGGCGAGCTCTGCCTCCCAGGCCGCCATATTGGCCTTGTGCCGGAACGGTCGCAGCCGGGAAAGGACCTCCTCGGTCACGTCGGGCGGCCGATGGTCGCCGCCCCCGTGCTGCCAAGTGGAGCTCCCAGAAAGGGGTAGTGCGGGCTGGTCGGACTCGTAGAACCGGACCATGATGTTGCCGGGGTGGAGGTCGGCGTGGATGAAGTTGTCCAGGAGCAGCATGCGCAGGAAGGCGTCGAGCCCCTCCGAGGCAATCGCCTGCCGGAACACGCCGGCTCCGTTCTCCATGAAGTCAGCGAGCGGGATGCCCTGCGCAAACTCCTCGACGAGCACATTGCGCGTGGTGAACTCGGTGTACGGGAAGGGGAACCAGGCCGTGGTGCGCTCCTTGAAGTTGTTGCGGAAGATAACTAGGTTGGCGGCCTCGATGCGGAGGTCCAGCTGCAGCTTCATCATCTCGCCAAACTGATGCACCTCGTCCGGCAGTGACAACCACTCTATGGTCGGTATCGCGTTGAGGATCGACGCAAAGAAGCCCATGATCCAGAGGTCTCGGCGGACTGTCCGCTCGACGCCTGGATGGAGGACCTTGACTGCGACGTACGAGGAGGGCACCCGCTTTGGCGTGCTTTTCAGGACCGTCTGCACATTCCTTCGCACATTGCGCCGGAAGTCCCGGGGCGTCTGGACGTCGACATCTCCCGGCGCCGCGAGGTCAGGCTTCAACTTGGCTTTGTATACCTGAGCGATGGCACCCACACCCAGTGGTGTCTCGTCGAACTCGTCAAAGATCTCGTCGAAGTCGCGGCCGTCGAAGGCGGCTCGGACGATCCGCTTCGTCGCGTGGAGAGAGTGGGCCGGCGCATTCGAATGCAGCTTGGACATTATCTCGCACAACTCGTTGGGGAAGATGTCGGTCCGGGATGCAGCCCATTGTCCCAGCTGTTTGCCAATCCGTCAGTTTTACCTCCAACTTCCCGGGCCACGAATTCAGCGTACCTTGATGAACGCCGGACCGGCCCGTTCCATGGCCTTGACGAGGAACGCATACCACCAGATGGTCCCTGTCCGCTCATTGTTGCGATTGGGCCGACGGCCACCCACCCAAATCGCTGGGACCGTCAGGATCACCGGCACGAAGATGGCGACCAGCTGCAGAAATCGGAAGCCAGTGCAGATTGGCTCCCAGATATACAGGTCCAGATAGAGGGCAACCTGGTGTCGCAGGCGTCGGAAGCCAGTATCGTCGTCGTCAACCTTCTTCTTAATCTCGTCCCTCGACACCTGGAGCATGCGCTTCTCGGCGGTATCTTTGCTGTCGCCGTTTTCATCTCCCGAGAGCTCAACAAAGGCGGCGGCACCGAGGGCCATATTTCCCGCCGCCATCAGCACCCTGGACGTGGATCGCACTTTGTGCCATGATCGGCCCCTCGAATTGGACCAGAAGATGCGCAGGGAAAGTCGAGAGCGACAACCACTGAACGACGGGGGCGCGGTTACGATGCGGGCAGTAGACTGCTGCGCACGAAAGGAGAGCCGGCCCAAGCCCAAGACCAGCCTCATCGCGTCGCAAACGGGTGACTGTGTAGCGGGATTAAGCGAGTGGGCATCGTCGAAGCATCGTACCGTCGAGGTTCTGTAACTCTGGGCGGGCTCAACCGACGAGGTGGAAAGGTGTGACGTCGATGATGACCCACAACTAAGTCTGCGGGATTGGCGGATACAAGGATGTGCGGATCATGGTCTGAGCTTTTGCAGGTGACAAAAAACGCGCCATTGCCGTTGACGTCTCGCAGGCCATTGACTTTGGGTTGAGAAATAAGATGGGTCTGGAAACAAGCTTCTGATTGGAGGAGACGGCGGATCACGTGGGGGCAACTAGAGGAAGCAGAAAATGGGATCTTCGACTCTGACATGCAGAATTTAGGAAAACTTTAAGGACTTGCTCTCTACCTTGACCTGCCTTGGGCAATTTCTCTGAACGTCGCATCCAAAGTGCAAGAGATTCACAATGGGCTGGTTCTGGGCAGATACGCCATCACCGGCTCCGGCCTCACAGGGTCCTTCTCAGGCACAATTGCCCGCCTCACATCCTCCATTTGGAGATGCATCACCACCCGTAAGCCCAAGCACATCATCCTCGCCGATTCCCGTTTCCAACTAACCCTGACACTCGCAGCCCGCCTGCCCGATGCACAAGCGCACCGTTGAGGCGCTGAGTCCCTCGGCGTTTCAACAACCCTCCTCCCCACCTTCCTATGACGCCGCGGCAGCTTCTACGGGAGGCTGCCCCGTCAACCACGGCAACCAACCCGAGTCCCAGCCGGCGCTGAAACAGCAATCGACTCTCTCAAAGCTCAACCCGCTCAACTACATGTTCCCCGACCTCTCGCAGGCACGCGCCCCTCACCAGACCGTGGCCCTCCCGACGTCGCGTGACGAGTCGTCGATTCCCAAGGGCTCGGGCGACGGCAACTGGGAGTACCCGTCGCCGCAGCAGATGTACAACGCGCTGCTGCGCAAGGGCTACACCGACACGGACGCGACGGCCGTCGAGAGCATGGTGGCAGTACACAACTTCCTCAACGAAGGCGCGTGGGCCGAGATCGTCGAGTGGGAGCGCCGCTTCGGTGGCGGCCTGGCCCGCGGCTGGGAGGTCAGCCGCCGCGGCGAGGCCAACGCCCCCGTCCAGCTGCGCCGCCTCGAGGCCCGCGAGGCCGCTGAGGCGGAGCAGGCCGCCCCCACGCTCGTCCGCTTCCAGGGCCGGCCCAAGGATATGACCCCCAGGGCCGCCATGTTGCAGGTCCTGGGTTGGATGTATCCGTCGAGGTTTGCGTGAGTGCTCCCGTTGCTCTTGAAGCAAAAAGAAATACAAAAGCGATTGAAACGCCGCAGCTAACATGGATGACTAGCACCGATCCGCCCTTCGACCGTCACGACTGGTACGTCTCGCGGAACGCCAACGGCCAGGAGAAGCAGGTACGCTACGTGATCGACTACTATGCCGGCCCTCCCGAACCCACGGGCGAGCCCGTCTTCTACCTCGACGTCCGGCCGGCCGTGACGCCCACCGGCGCTGCCGAGCGGCTAATGCGATGGGGCGGCGATGTGTGGTGGAGAGCGTCGGGCGGCGAGGTCCGCGAGGCGAACAAGAGTAATTGATGGTATTTTTAATAACGGGGCGCACACATGCATTGGGAAAGCTAAAAGCTACTCGTCGGATCTTGGGCGGCGCACTCCGGGATAGATATATGGGTGGGACTGGTGCGTGGCTTGGGCTTATATCGTCGCCCTCTTGCTTTTTTTGTACTCCCCTCTGGCGCGTGGAATATGCCATCATCATTGTAGTAGTATGTAATAGGTCTGTCTGTAATATGTACGAGCTTCTCAGACATTTTCCCGTCATAGCCAGTGAGGAAGCCTTCCATTCCATCCCTGACTCTGGGAATCAGCTTTTAATTGGCAGCTGGCAAGACATTCCACCAGGTGATTTACCTTTCCGTCGCTCCCAAAGGGGTACGTACCCGAAAAAGGCGCGAACAAGAGTGGAGCTCCTATTTTTCACCCAGCAAGCGGGTAAAAGTTCAATCACCACCACCTTTGCTCCGTTCTGGCAGCAGACGGATTGCCTGCTCGCAATTCCCCCACTGAAAGGAGAGGGACGAACATGACAGCAGAAGCAAATCAGGAGGCGGCAGATCCCAATCCCGATCCCTACACACGGCTTCATATCACGCCCCTAGACGCCGATCTGCTCGGCGTCGTGCTCTCCTCCTCGATCCGCCCCCGGGCGCGCAACGTGTCCTACCACACCCTCGAGGCCTTCCCGGAGCGGCGGTACGGCTTCGTCGAGCTGCCGGCCTCGGACGCCGACAAGATCAAGCAGAAACTCAACGGCGCCGTGCTGAAGGGCGTCAAGATCCGCATCGAGCAGGCCCGGCCCGAGATCAGACCGGTCCCGCTCGGAGACGCCGCCATGGCCGGGGAGAAGGCCCCGAAGAGGGAGAGGAAGCCCAGGGACAGCGACAAGTTGCGGAAGCGGAAGCGCGAGGGCGAGGAGATCCCCGGCGTCGAGCTGGAGCCCGGCCGCAAGGTCAAGCGCGGGTGGACCGTGCCGGCCGATGAGTCCCGGACCCGGAAGGTCAAGGAGAAGCGGGAGAAGCGGGACAAGTCGGATAAGTCGGGAAAGGACAAGGACAAGGCCAGGAAGGAGAGGCGGGAGGTCAAGTCCAAGTACACTGAGCACGCCGAGTGCTTGGTCAAGTCAAGCGTGCCAAACACCACCGCCGCCCCCGCCGCCAACGACGGTGACGACGGCGAGGCCGAGGGCAAGAAGAAGCGGAAGAAGTCCAAGACCAAGGAGGTAGTGATCCACGAGTTCGAGAAGACGACCAAGTTCCCCACCTTCCTTAAGACCGCGGGTTCGTCTTCCTCGGCGCGGAAGCCCAACCTAGAATTCGTCGACGGCAAGGGATGGGTTGACGAGGAGGGCACCGTCGTGGAGGCCGTCAAGACGAGGTCTACCATCACCATTGCGAGCGGGACCCCTGCGGCAATCAGCAGCGATAGCAAACCGTCGTCGGACGAGTCCGAAGACGAGGCCCCCAAGGAGAAAGACACCGCCGAGAATAGCGTCCAGCCAACGGAAACCTCCACGCCCTCGGTCCGGGAAAAGAGCAAGCCCACCGAGCCCATCCCCGCCCCGCCGTCTTTCCCGACCCCGGACCACCCACGCCCCGAGTCATCCAGCTCCGCCAAAAGCCTAACCATCAAGATCCCCCCCACAACACCCACGGTGCACCCCCTCGAGGCCCTCTACAAGCGACCCAAGCAGCAGCAGCAGCAGCAGGACGCGAACGGGTCACCGGCACCAGCACAACAGGCCGAGGCCGAGCCGTTCAGCTTCTTCGGGCACGCCGATGGTTCCGACGAGGAGATGGGGGAGAGGGAGGAGGAGGACGGGGAGGGCGCCACGCTGCAGATGCCGATGACGCCCTTCACGCGCCAGGACTTCGAGTCCCGCGGCGTCAGGAGCGCCGCGCCCACCCCCGACACGGCGCACATGAACCGCAGGTTTAGGCTGTGGCCGCGCGGGGAGGCGGGGGAGGGGATTGAGGAGGGAGACGAGGACGAAAAAGAGGAAGACGATGATGAGGCCGATGAGGACGACGACAGTCGTAGCGTGGATGGTCCATCTGGCGCCACCGCCGCAGCCGGGTCGAAGGGCCAGGAGGCAACGGCGACCGGCGACTTCCAGGAGTGGTTCTGGAACAACCGGGGCGATTTGAACCGGTCGTGGAAGAGGCGGAGGAAGCTGGTGGGCAAGGATAAGAGGTATCAGGAGAACAGGGCCAGGGCAGAGCGGGCGATCTGAGTCGTTTCATGAAGGCTCTCCTGATGAATCGGTCATTTGCTAAACTTGCCATTGTTGGGGTGGGAAGCGCGTTAGGTTCAATGCCATGCAGCGGCCGTAGGTATTATTCCGTTTTATACCTGAAATCCATCCATACGATACAAATTCCATTCCATCCTGTTCATCTCATCGTTTCCATTCATTGCTGTGGGACATATCCCAAAAGCAACACAGCCCTTTGCATTCCTCAAAGCAAGAGCAGGCCCAATGCATTCCAAAAGCAACCAATCTATCCATCCACACCCCACCCTCTCCTTGCATGCATTTTCCGTGAATTCTTTCCCCCCTGGGAGCCTTCAGGGGCCATTCACAGCCTGTCAACCTCGCCGCGGATGATTTCCAGCGAGGGCACGTTCCGCAGCGTGACCACGACACTACCAGCCCGGGCCTGGTACACCCTCTGATCAGCATCAGCAGCATCAGGGTCGACGGTATCCCAAGTCGTGACCAGCGGCGAGGACAGCGTCGACGTCGATATCGACGTCGTCATCGATGGGCCAGCCGCCGCAGTGCTAGCAGAGTCAGCACGAATCCCCTCGCTCCTGCTGCTGCTGCTGCTGCTGCTACTGCTATTGCCGGGCCGCACAGTCCCCCCAACGGTGCTACGGCTACTAGCAGCAATGGTCCGGCTCCCACGCACCACACTCGACTCCACCCGCGGCCCTCGGCTCCCCATCTCAACCCACTCCCCCTCCTCCCCCTCCCCGTCCTCCTCCTCGTCCAGGCGTCTCCCACTCCTCCTCCTGCCACCCCGCACAAACAAGAAAAGCAAGATCCCCTGCGCCACAGCGACGCCAGTCACCCCAACAGCGCTGACAACCACCCACACGAAGACGGCGACGCTGCTGCCGCCGTCCCCGCTGCTACGATGATGCCCCTCCTCCAGGCTCCGGAGCACCGCGATCCCGGCGACGAGCGAGCATACGCCCACGCCGCAGGCGACGGCCAGGGCCGTGAGGGCCTTGCGCTGGGCGTGTCTGGTGGCGGAGACGCGGCTGGGGTTGAGCTGGCGGAATCGGGGGTGGGGACCGGCGGGGGTGAGCGGGGATGGGAAGGGGTTGGTGTCGTTGTTGTTGCTGGTGGTGGTGGTGCGGGGTGAGATGGGGGGTGTTTCTGGCTCTGTTGTTGTTGCGGGGAGGGTCCGAGTCGCTGGTTGGAGGAGTATCCTTTGCGGGGATCGTAGCCTCGGGATTACCTCGTGGCCTGAGAAGACTCGACGTGTCTCGAGGATGTCGGGGTGGTTTCTTCGGTCGTCGTCGTCGTTGGTGGTGTTGTTGTTGTGAGAGCTGCGAGGCCCGAGGATGGGCCATCGGTGCCAGGGAGTATCTTTCCGGCTGGGGGTTTTTGTGTGGCCAGCCATGCCAGCCATGGCTGCCATGGTGCTGGCAAGAGTGCTCGATGGATGCGGTCAGGTTGGAGTAAAGAAGGTCTTGCTACGAGAGCAGTAGCAGATGCGAGAGAAAGAAAGGAAGGAGAAGAGTAGCTAGGGGCATGTCAACACTGGTTTGTGATGTGAGAGAATTATGATGGGACGGTGAGAAAATCCACTCAGTGGTCTTGGTGAATGGGATGCCATGGCAAGCGAGAAGAGTATAGGGGCAAACTATATTGAAGTTAACATTAGGGCTAGCACCGAAAACCCGATATTAAGGTGAGGAAGGAAGTGTAACGAAACGAATAAGCCCGCGTTTATTGCTAGGCCGGTGGTGCCTTTAGAACTATGTCCCCAATCATTGGAAAAGGGGCGGTTGCAAACCTCATAACACACCAGGCCGACGAAAAGTCTGCAAGGCCGACAAGCTTATTTTCGGGACGAACTCTACCGGCTATCACCCATCTCCAAGACAGGGACGTCAGCGAAGAGTAAGTTATTATTATCCTTGTCATTCTAAAACCTTGTACATCTATTATGCCTTGAACCAAAACTCCACGCTTTCTAGAGGACAACCATGCCTGATAAACGCCGCCCGTTTCCTGCTCCTAGTCACACATACAACGTCAAAACAAAACAATATCTACTTCTCCGGCGGGCATAGTTCGTGTCTGGCCCCTTTGAGGCTCCCGTGGCAGCCGAATTTGTACATAACTGGTCATTCTCGTCCTGGTACTGGTCCGATGGCAACCTAGCGTCAGCACCCACAGCTCCGAGGTAGTCAAGATGTAACGGTATAACCCACCTTGGACATGTTTCTCAGACAACCTTACCTCCCCTCGCATCCCTCGCGTCAGTCCCTTTCCACCCCATCCCACGTCCCGCGATTCAGATTCCCGAATCTCCCTTCAGGAACCGGTTCGTCGGCGCATATTCCCTCCACGCCTCGCAGTTGTCGGTGAGCTCGCCCAAATCCATCTCGTCGGATATTTTGCTGGGGTGCTCGAGGAACTGGACGCTGAACCCCTGCGAGACGTGCCACGCGATGTGGCAGTGGAAGACCCACGAGCCCGGGTTCGACGGCTCAAACGCCACGACCAGCCAGCCCCAGCCGGGGAGAACCGTCGTGTCGCGCCGCGTCGGGTTCCTCCACGACAGGCCCTCCGCGTCTGACGATGCATCGAAGTATCTCGGCTCGTTGCCGTCGTCCAGGGGGTTGGCCAGCGAGGGAGACCGGCCCAGCAGCACGAAGTCGTGGCCCTGGTGAGGTGGAGTTGCGTCAGTGACTGCCATGGCAAGGGGTGAATGGTGGGGCGTTGGGTACTCACGTGAAGATGCATGGGATGTGGAATGGGGGATAGGTTCTGAATGACCCAGTAGCTCCACTAAATCACACACACAGACATGCCATGTCAGCTCTGCGATGAACTAACATATGCCATCATGGATGAATATTAAAGATGGGCTGGGGGGGTGGGGGACTGCTCACCTCCTCCGACTTGGCCAGAGAGATCACGTTCTGATGTGTCAGGTATGAGTTGTTATCCTGGCGGACATACTCCAGCGTCGGCTTCTCCCACGACAGGTTGATGGACGACCCATTCAGGGCCCACAGAACCTGGTTCGACGTCGTGTTGACAACCATGCTCGCCGGCAGCGTATTGCTGGGCACTGCGGAGAAGAGCTTCCGCGGTGCGCGCCGCCTGATAATGGGGACGAACTCGTTGCTGTCGGAGCAGTGCGAGTCGACCGGCGGCTTGCCCGGATCGCCCGGCAGATCGTCTGATGCACCCTTGTAGTGCACAATGGCTGCCGGGTGCGCGTTGTTCGAGGTCCCGCATGCCTGGGTGCTGGAGAAGGTCACGTTCAGCCAGTAGTTGTCGATATCGTTGTTGGCATTGATGATGATATCGTGCCTCTGGCCGACCGTCATGTAGATCTGCTCTGTCGTAAAGGGGTGGATAGGGACAAAGTCGGTTTGGATGACCGTCATCTTGTGCCCGACGATGGAAACGGTGTAGGTGTTGTCTACCGATGCGTTGATGAGCCTGAGCCGGTGGCGCTTGCCCCTAGTCAGGGTTATCTTGCTATACTCCCCGCCGCTCCCTGTGGGGTTGATATTGGTCCCGTTGAAGAGGACGTTATCGCTCGGCGGGGGCGATCCCGGCTTACCCGGCACAATGGGGTTCTCAGCATCGTAGACACGGGCAAGCAGCTTATCTACACTCGTGTAATACCAGTCCGTGATGGGGTAGACTCCGAGGTCGATGTCGTATGGCTGTGATGACGGCCCGTTGATCTGGATGGTGCCCACAATGCCGTTACCATACTGACTCGAGTAATGGGAGTGATACCTGTGATTCGCCAACGTCAACTCCCGGCTCTGTTTCAAGAGTCGTGGTTAATCTCGCCTGGGGAATCACCTACCACGAGGTGCCGTATTGTGATGCAACGAATGAGTATGTCTTGCTACTCCCGGGCGGAATAGGGCATTCCGTCACGCCGGGGACGCCGTCGTTGATGTTGTTGTGCTGCATTCTTATCCCATGCCAGTGGATCGACGTCCTGTGTGGTTTCTCAGCAACCAATCCCAACAGCAAAAGTGCATGTAGGGGCTTCCTCACCCGTTATCCCGGAGGTTGTTCACCACGTTGACTTCTATCCTATCGCCCCAATCTGCATTGCTGGTGTGAGTGTTGACAGTCCCATGTCTCATTCTCCACGTATATAAACTCACCTGCAGTGATAATCGGTCCTGCAACGAGTCGTCTGTCAGTATCAACGGGCAATGTAATTTCAAGGCGATACATGAACCGCGGGCTTACCAGGAAAACCCCCTATATGCTTGTTAGCTCGTCATTGTCATCCTCGGTCACTGCATTTTGTATCTCACCGTTAATCAGCATGGCGTTCTCCTTCACCTGCCCATCGGGACCAACAAACTTGTCGATTTCCGTGAGAAAGAACTCGTACTAACCCAATTAGCCATATGGGTCGTGAGCAAAGAGCAGATACCAATGCTGATCCGTACCCGCCTTGTTGCTCCCGTGATGGGATGCCTATCGTCCCAGTCGGTGTTGACGTCGAAGCCATTCACCCAACATGACCTGTCGTTCGGCTCGTTGCATGAAGGAGCGTGGAAGCCATTATTCTTCCGGAACATGGACAGAGAGGGAAAAGCAGAGGCGAGTGTGGTAGCGAGCGCCAAAAGGGCGAACTCCACAAGCAGAGATCGGGACAACATTGCGCAAGTCGGTCAAGGATAACAAACAGGCTATGATACTGTCGGTTTGTTTCCTCGGATCGTGATGTTGGGGAACCAGTTGGGGGGCAGGGGCGAGTCCAGTACTTATGGACGGAGCCAGCAGCGCTTTTGGCCGGTTTGAAGAACACGGGCAACGCTCCGCAGACATGTTCAACTGTGGATTAGATGGCAATCTTCGGATTGTGTCGCTTGCCCTGTCCCTTGCCCGCATGTGGTTGAGGAGATGCTGGGAGAAGTTTATGCCCGTCCGGTCACGAAGAACCGCATCAGTGCTATTTCCGGTACGATATGGCATAGCATAGCCGCGTGGTCTGCATGACGAGACGCCTTGATGCATGTTGCTCCTGGAAACTTACTCGCTGGTTTGCTTGGTCCGCACCTGAGGTGGTTTGGACCGGGGACGTCGAAGGAGATGTTGGAGTCGAATTAGGACGTTCTCGTCTGTGGAAAAAACCTGGCAGGATGTGCCGAGTTGGTTTGAGTGCTGCAGATCCGCCCACCTAGATAGGAAGGTTAACCTGTCGTCTCGGGGCGGAATAATTTTTTAATAGGAGGCAGTATCTTTACGCTGTCACGATTGCCGTCGCTATCTACTGCTATTGCCGTGACTGTCTATTGCTGTTACCATTTTTGTTGCTATCGCCATGGCCGTGGCCATCGCCCTCACCACTACATTGCTGTCATCTGTATTGAAACCCGCCTGCCAGACCCCCCTCGGCCACGTGCCCCAAGCCGCAAGTAGGAAACTGCCCAGGCCCGCAGGAAAGCCCGTGAGCAATGGCCACAGGACACACCGATTGTGTTCTCAACTTCCAGATGCAGCCATCAACCCAAGTTGCTAGGCGGGTGCGATGAACCGCGGGAAGCGAAGACTGAAATTGGCAGAGACCGGAGGGAGGTGAATAGAGGATCCCTGATTCAGCCCCCCCACTAGTCGCATTCTGGCAGGATGAAACTCACGCAGATCGAGGTTGGCCAAGACTGCCCTGTCCGTGAACTAAGAGACTGCCGTGATAGTTGAAGCATGTGAACAGGAAACATTCAGGCAGTAAGGCTTTCTGACAACCTCGGTAGGTACTCGAGCGCGAACAGTGGGAGTCGACGGGGTGCCTACAAGGGTGCCTACATGCGTGTATGCAAAAGATGGGGGACCCCAACGGTTTGAGAACCGAAGTCACTGCCAGGCAACCGAAGTCTAATTCATGCTTTCAATGATAGGCCGAAGTCCAAAATCTTCTCTACGCGGACTATCTAGTTTTTCTCCCCATCCATGTCCGGTTAGAGCTAGGGTATTTCACTCCACTCCTCTCTTTAACTCTTCCCTTCGCCTCCTTTTTTTTCTCTTTTGGAACCCTCCCTTCCATTCTTCCCCATCTAGTGGTCCCTGCAAAACACGACCTGCACCCTCTCCTAGCCCAGTGGCTGTGTTATTATATCTTGGCTTGAGATTCCGAGAGGGGCCGTACTCGAGTTCGGGAGAGGGTCCCCCAATAGCAACAGCGAGGCGAGCTGCAGAGAGCAAACCAAAAGTTCGAGAAGCCCCAAGCAGGCTTGAGAGCTGTGCTAAAAATAGGGGAGCATACCGTTTCAGTCCTGTGAGTGGAAAGAGTCAATTTCTAGATACCGCCTCGAGTGCCTATGTTATGGTATCCCGGTCAAATTCCATAACAAGGTTCTGTGTATGCCTTCCTCCGAAAGCTGCCGTGCTGGCAGTGGTGAGCGGATACGAGATAGGCGAATCTCGTATATCATTCTTCTGTCCCTCCCTGGGTAGGATCAATCTAGCCTACCATTCAAAACAATCCACATTGTCGGCCAGGTTAAGGCAGTCAACCTGGTCTTGAAGACGAGGTCCGGTCTCCCCAGACAGCCCATTCACCGTATTTTCTCCGGGCCAGCATTTCCTGCCAATCCCCTGACCTATGATGCCTAAGGCAGCGGTTCCATGCCAGCGGGGTTCCAGGCTTTGCATTTTGCACGATAAGTGGTTCTATATAGATACGAGCAATTTCGAAGAACTTTCTCCGGAGATCTTGATGTTCGGACCAAGAGTCAGTCGCCGACCTCAGGTTGGGGAAACTGCTGATATTTCATGCTCAACGGAATATTGAACCGGGGCTCTGTTCTGTACCACCCTTGAATCTGATCAGCCGAGGCGATCGATCGACGAGGGAGTTGAGGACAAAACCACGGTGCTATTCTCCATCTTGAGTAAACAAACAGCAATCTACATAGAGTCACGTGACTATACCGGAGAGCCCCTTTACCCCTTTCCAATATCTCGAGCAAAACAGATGACCGTAGAACAACAGCTAAGAAGGCGGCAAAAAAAGCAAGCCAAGTGTGCGGCGCCTCAGGCCTTCTTCATCTCTAGCTGGAAGTTCAGCACCCAGTCCGTGAACCCGTCATTCTCGCCAGTCCACGACCTGCGCAGCAGCTCAGCCGCGGAAAAGGCATTGGAGAAGCACTCGTCCATCTCGGCGTCGATGTCTCCGGGTTCGAGCTCGTAGAAGGCCACGGCCAGGCTCTCAAATCGCTCCGGTATCGCCCCCAGGAAGGTGATGGCCTCGTCGAGCTTGGATGGGACGTCGGATGCCGAGGGAGGGGGGAGCGGTGGTAGAGTCTGGAGGCGTCGTTTGATGATGGCCTGGTAGAAGAGGGTTATCAGCCGCAACCTCCTCAGGCCGATATCCAGTTTCTCCCTGATCCTGTCGGGATCGTCGCGGGGGATCGGTCGTTGAGAGCCCATGAATTCATCGAGCATTGCCTGCGTGTCCGATATATGGGTGGCCTCTAAGCTGTCCGTGACTTGTTCGATATCGCCGGGTTCATCCCCGTGCGTGTCCGTCTCACCCTCCTCCTCATCCTCATCCTCTTCCTCCCCCCACTCTTTCAGTTCCTCCATGGTATCCTTCACCATATCTCTGAACTGCTTGACCTTCTGAATGAAGTATCCGGCGACTCCAAGCTTAGACAACGCAATGACTTCATCACACGCAGCCCATAGCAGCCCGGTGACTGGAATGCTTCCCTTTTCTGCGGCAACCCCACGGGATCCGTTCTTCTTTGCATCAGAGAGAATCTTGCCATCGCTCGGAATCCTCTGTACCAGTTCCTTGTACTCCTTCAGAACCCTCCCACACCTCCACGACAGATCGCGGCGCACAGCCTGGGTATACCGGTTGGCATCGCATGCTTCGGCAGCGGAGGCCAACGCGGGAAGCGGCCCCGCAATCAGTTCGCGGAGAACCTTGGTGATGGCGGTGGGCGTGAAGGGTTCGTTGATAATGAGGAGCGAGATCTTGGTGGCGTGAGCTTTGATCAGAGAGGCCGAGTCATGGGCCAGGGAGAGAGCGTCGAGGGTCGTTTCGCCGGCGGGCTTCTCGGCCTGGCCTCTGGCCGTGATTGTGCCGATGACAGTTTCGAGCTCAGTGACAAGGGCGATTGTGCTGTGGACAACGCTTCCCAGCTCCACGAGGGAACTGTTCGTGGAGGAGGATCCAGCCATACTTAGTACCTGGTCTTAGAATAATTCGTGGTAAATTTTGGAGAGCTTGTCATCTAGCCCCTTTTCGACTGGGAGCTGGAGGGCAGTGAGGATCTGGTCTGCCACGCTCTCTACTCTACAGTTAGCATTCTCGACATTTTACGGCCCTGTACGAAGCACTCATACCCCTGAGTTCACAAAAATCCTGATAGTTTCGAGGACAACCTGGTATGACAGCTCCAGTTCGAAGATCGTGGAGTGGGAGAAGCTCAGCACCCAGAGGGAAGTCCAACTGGTTTTGGTAGTTCAAGGCGAAGTCTAATTGGCTTTGGTTTGCAGCCTTGACCGTTTCGTTCTTTGCACTAAGATATTATATCAGAAGGTAGATACTTCTATAATAGGGCGGAAAACCAACCGAGCCTCTGTAGCAATCTCCCTGGCATTTATAGCCTGTATATTGTGGATTATCTCTTGGATCTGCTGGTCTTGTTGCTGGATCTGGTACGCCTGGTGCTCGATAATGGCGAGAAGTTGTTGGCTTTGTTGTATGCCTCCTTGATTTGAGGATCGTGGGGCAGGGTTGTTGAAATTGGGTAGCTGCTGGTTATTCTGCGCCATCGGTGTGTACCATGAGTTTTGTGACCATTGTCGGTGACAGAGACCGAGGGGATGACGGCGAAGGTTATGGACATGGAGGGGCAAGATTTGGAGGTTTAAGGTTTTGAGAGTCCATGGTGGGGCTATCTCTGGGTACCTAGGTACCTAAGTACCTATGGCACGTGACTCTATCTGTGAGACAAGGACAGGCGGCCCATTTCAGAGCAAGCTGTCCCTTTGTCGAAGCTTAGAACTGACTGTAGCTCCCGCTCTCGCCTTTCTAACACAACTCGATGCCACCTGAGATCCACAACAGCTATGCGGCAGATCGATGCACTGGTGCTTCTGAGCACTGTTGTTGCTCATACTAGCTGTGTAACTGCTGGCAGTTTGCCTCGAGGAGTCGGCCCAGAATGTAAGTCAACACAATGGAGGCCAATCGGCGATACAAAATTGAGCATTGGCTGCTTTCCACTGATACTTTCCATTGATACTTTCCATTGATGCTCTCACGCGGCATATGCTGACTTGGATGGCGGGCAGTTGCCAAATTCTACGAAGGAAAATCAACCTTTACCTGCATTGGCCACCCTTCGATTGTTCTCAAGAGCTCGCAGATCAACGACAATGCGTGCGATTGTCCCGATGGCTCTGACGAACCCGGCACGGCAGCTTGCTCCTATCTCGATCCCCTCTCCCCCGAGCAGCCGCTCCCCTCCTCGCTGACCGGGACCACCAACACGACCAACGTGCTGCCGGGCTTCTGGTGTGCCAATGAGGGCCACATTGGCACCTACGTGCCGTTCGTCTACGTCAACGACGGTGTTTGCGACTACGACCTCTGCTGCGATGGGAGCGAGGAGTTCGCCCACGTCGGCGGCGTCAAGTGCAAGAACCGATGCGGGCCGATTGGGAAGGAATGGCGGCGCGTCGACCAGGAGCGCAAGCAGGCCAGAGAGCGTGCCACGAAGGTTCGACAGGCCCTGGTGACCGAGTCGCGGGAACTGCGGGGGAAGGTGGTGGGCCGAATCAGTTACCTCACCCAAGAGATCAAGACCCTTACGGTTAAACGGGACGAGCTGAAGGCCAAGCTGGATGAGATCGAGCAGGAGGAACGCGGCAAGGTCGTCCAGGGCGAGGGCCCGGGAGGCAAGCTAGGCGTCCTCCTTGGCCTTAGCAAGAAACGTGTGCAGGAGCTTCGCGATACCCTCGACGAAGTCTTGGACCAGCGTGATGATCTGCAGGACAAGGTTGAGGACCTGGAGAACATCCTCAGGAAGTTTAAGGAGGAATACAACCCCAACTTCAACGACGAGGGTGTCAAGGCTGCTGTCAAGTCCTGGGAAGACTATGCCGCCAAGGCTGCCAACGAGAAGAAGCCGTCGCTTTTGGAGAGCGATATTCTCGAGGTGCTGAAGGAGGATGGCGAGAATAACGGCATCAACTGGAATGAATTTATGGAAGAAGCGGGCAGTGATGCCGATATCCGTAAGTACCCTTTCTTTGCTGTGATAACCGCCACTATGAAGAGCAGCTTGCTGATGGAACTTCAAGTCTACAACTTCGAAGCCTACCTCCCCAGTTTCCTCCGCGACTACCTCCACGTCAAGCTAAATTCCCTGCGCGTCTGGCTCATCGAGAACGGGATGCTGGCCGACAACCCCAAGAGCGGCAGCGAATCGAAGCGACTCGGGGCTGCCCGCGGGAATTTCGAAGCAGCTGACAACGAAGTTGCGGGCAAGCAGTCCAAGTTGATCGACGAGCAGCGTGACCTCGAGAAGGACTATGGACCGGACGAAATCTTCCGCGCCCTCCAGGGCAAGTGCGTCAGCATCGACAGCGGAGAGTACGAGTATGAGCTCTGCTGGCTGGACAAGACGCGCCAGAAGAGCAAGAAGGGCCACGGGGACACCATCATGGGCAACTTCATCGCCATCGACACGGAGATGGCCGACGAGGAGGACCGCGTCGACGGGAAGGGGTTGGGCCAGGGCCCCAGGATGGTTCTCCGGTACGACAACGGCCAGGGCTGCTGGAACGGCCCCAACAGGCGGACCGACGTGTGGCTGGCGTGTGCCGAGAAGGAGGAGATCTGGCGCGTCAGCGAGTCGGAGAAATGCGTGTACAAGATGGAGGTTGGCACTCCAGCCGCCTGTGAGGACGTACAGGAGCCGGCTGCAAGGGCGAAGGATGAGTTGTGAGGGCAGAGGGTTTGGAGTAGCTACTCGCTGACAGCGGTGGAGTTTCCTCGAGTGAGCCGAACGAGAGTGTACATATAGAAAATAAAACCTGTCAAAACTGGCCTGGGTATATTCTTTTGCTGCACATATGGTAAAACGGGGTATCTCTTTTGGAAAATAAGTCTAACCTCTCTATCGTACATAATGGAATCCATGGTAACCTGCCTATCTGACCCGCAAGGTTCAGCCAGCATATCACCGGCCCCCAAAAGCAATTACCTATCGGCAGCAAGTTTCCGCCGCTTGTTTGCCGCGTCCTGCTCAGCAAGGACCTTTGCTGTCAGGGACGCCGTCATCGGGTTGTTAATCCCGCTCACTCGGCTATCGATAGCGCCCTTCGAGGGCTTAGCCAGCCCCTCGCCGTTCTTGCGCTTCTCGGATTTTCTGCCCTCCTGCTTTGCGTCGTCTGCCTTGCGCTTCTTCTTTCCCTGGCTCTTGTCTTTTCTCAGACTATGAGTCAGGCCGCTCGCAACGAGCCCGTCCATACGCTTACTTAATCTCTCCATGTCGGACTGCTCGGTTGGCAAGATGTCGATGACATTGTCCGACTCGAACGACTCGCTGCACTCGGGGCATAGCTCTTCCTGTATTGTCTTGATGCTGACTTCGGCGAATACGTGTCCGCAAGGCACCAGGTACACAGCCTTGGTGGCGGGGCCCAGCTCCTTTAGAGACAGCGGGCATGCCCAGATCTCCCTGCCCTTCTCGCCGGGCGGCGAGTAGCGCTTGAACTTCAGCTTGACGACATCGCGGAGAGACTTGATTCCCGTCGAGGCGAAGTTAAGCTCCTTCGATTCACCATTGGCCGTGGCCGGCGTGGTGTTGTCATCGTCGTTGTTGTTGCTGTCGTCGCTGGGCATCAGCTTCTCGAGCACGGTCTCGTAGTTGTAGAGCCGCCCCCGCCAGTCTGACACCACGCTCTCCAGGGTGAGAGGCTCTGACGTGAGGGCATCGTGGGTCCACGCATGGGTGAGTGACTCGAGTGCCGTTGCTTTCAGCTGGCTCACTGTCGGGTTGCGGGGCGGAGACTTGACGAGTTCGCGACGCTTGGGGATGGAGCCGCCGTCGTTGCCCATTGCTTCGGGCGGGAGGGAGGAGATTCGAGGGGGAAAAGGTAGAGGGAGGTTGGGGGAGATAGTGATTGAAGGACTTGGCAGTGGCGTAGGATAGAAGAGGACTGTGTAGGATTGTTCCTGGCGACAGCGTAAATGGGCAAACAAAAGATTCAGATGAGGTCTTGGTGGATGAGCGAGGCAGTGTCAGTGAGTGGCGGTCGATCTGCGATAAAGTTGGCGATAAGATAACCGGCTAAAGTTCGGACTATGTAATCGCCAAGAAGTTGAAATGGGAAGTGGGGAGCAAGGGTGGGAGCCCGAGCTTCACTAACCAGTAGACTTCACAACTAGTCGCAGCTTAGCGACCACCTCGGTCGTCTTTCTACCTACCTGAGCTGCAAACTATCGCGGGCGACACTTACTTTACCTCGAATACAACATCATAGAAACTGGGTGGAAATATTTTGATAATTTCACGGGGTTTTTCCAGTCCACAGTGATTACACTCCACAATCCTATACTCATCATCCTCGCGTTGCGAACGTTGCGACACGCCGCGACCCCACGAAGCACCACCCCTTCCCTCTTTGCCAGCGCCACTGGGTTGCCAGTTATGGGCTGGCGGCACTCGGTGCTGAGCTGGCGAGGTTGTTAATATCAGCGAAGGTGTAACTGGTTTAACTACCAATCAACAAGATGTCGGTTCCAGAGAATCTCACGCTCCAGGCGCTGGAGTCGTGCGTCAAGGAGTCGAGGAATAGGTTAGCCGCTTCCCACATTGTCCTTTGGGGGTCTTCTCTATGGCGATTGTTCCCTATAGGCACATCCGTTGCATCCATGTTGCCAGTTTAGAACTAACCGTCGTCTGGCTGGCAAACAGGGCCATTCCAGAAGAGCAACGGAAGCGCGCCGCGAGGCAACTGAGGGATCTGGTGGCTGCGGCCAAGCAAGGTGAGCTCCCTCGCGGGCCTCGACTCGATCTCTTCTGCCATTCCCCTCGGATGCTTACGGACCCGACCCTCGCGTAGATATGAGCCCCGAGCAGTTCCTCGCTTTCTCCAATAGCGTCAATACCAAAATCATCTACCTGATCGTCCATGGCAGCGATTCATTCGATCGGATGGGGGCGGTATACATACTGGATGCCCTTGTCGACTTTGACGGCATCGACATGGCCATGAAATCCACCCGCTTCGCGTCGAACCTCAAGATGATACTCCGAGGCAAAGACCTCATCCCCATGCAGCCTGCCGCCATGGTACTCGGCAAGCTATGCAAGCCGGGCGGCTCACTAATCTCCGAGTTGGTCGAGTCCGAGGTCAAGACCGCCCTGGAATGGCTCCAGTCAGAACGCGTCGAGGAGCGACGATATAGCGCCGTACTCATCCTCCGGGAACTGGCTCGAAACGCGCCCACCCTCATGTATGCCTACGTTAACCTCATATTCGACCAGATCTGGGTCGGCCTTCGGGACACGCGCCACCTCATCAGGGCCACCTCCGGAGAGACAGTTAGTGCCTGTTTCAAGATCATCCGAGAGCGAGACCAGGACCTTAAGCAGGAATGGATGGACAAGATGTACCAGGAGGCGGTGAAGGGGTTCAAGTCCAACACCAATGAGTCTATCCATGCGTCCCTCCTCGTCCTCAAGGAGCTCCTAGAGCATGGCGGCATGTACATGCAGGACCATTACCAGGAAGCATCCGACATTGTCTACCGATACAAGGATCACCGCGAGCAGGCAATCCGCAAGACGGTGATTCTCCTCATACCCAACCTCGCTAACTACGCCCCGACGGATTTCGCATCCACCCACATGCACAGGTTCATGATCTACCTCTTGGGCATGTTGAAGAAGGAGAAGGAGCGCAACGACGCCTTCTTCGCCATCGGCAACATTGCCAACTCGGTCAAGAGCGCCATCGCCCCGTACCTCGATGGCGTCCTCATCCACGTCCGCGAAGGACTGAGTCTGCAGTCCAGAAGGAGAGGCTCGGTCGACCCCGTGTTCGACTGCATCAGCCGCCTCGCAGTCGCCGTCGGGCAGACGCTCAGCAAGTACATGGAGGCGCTGCTCGACCCCATCTTCGCGTGCGAGCTCACACCGAAACTCACCCAAGCCCTGGTCGACATGGCCTTCTACATCCCGCCGGTCAAGGCTACCATCCAAGAGCGGCTGCTGGACATGCTCAGCAAAGTCCTCTGCGGAGAGCCGTTCAGGCCCCTCGGCGCCCCCCAGGCCAACACCCTCTCGTCCGTCCCCATAATCCCCAAGGATCCCAAGGACCCCCAGGCCCACGAGAATCGTAAAGCCGAGGTCAAGCTCGCCCTAAACACGCTCGGGAGCTTCGACTTCTCAGGTAATTGGATTTCAGAACCGTACCACATCCACCCCCCGAGCAGGATCTGGCTGTCTCATCACAGAGATGGTGAAGACGCAGAACTCCTCAAGCAGCAGCGACTGGCAGCCGCCACAAGGGTACACTTGCAAGATATCATACTAACTGAGTTCGGAGGCCACGTCCTGAACGAATTCGTCCGCGACGTTGCCCTCAAGTATGTTGAGGACGACGACCCCGAAATACGCGAGGCCGCCGCCCTCACCTGCTGCCAGCTCTACGTGCGAGACCCGGTCGTGAACCAGACCAGTTACCACGCGCTGCAGGTCGTCGCCGACGTCATCGAGAAGCTGCTCACCGTCGGCGTGTCGGACCCCGAAGCCAAGATCCGGCGGACCGTCCTCGCGGCCCTCGACGAGCGCTTCGACCAGCACCTGGCCAAGTCGGAGAACATCCGCACCTTGTTCTTCGCCCTCAACGACGAGCAGTTCGGCATCAGAGAAGTAGCAGTGTCTATCATTGGCCGCCTTGCTCGTTTCAACCCCGCATATGTCATCCCTTCACTGCGAAAGACCCTCATCCAGATGCTGACGGAGCTTGAGTTCTCGGATGTCGTGAGGAGCAAGGAGGAGAGCGCAAAGCTGCTCAGCCTTCTCGTCCAGAACGCGCAGGGCCTTATCAGACCTTACGTCGAGCCCATGATCTCGGTCCTCCTGCCCAAGGCCAGCGACCCCACCCCGTCTGTCGCCGCAACAGTCCTCCAAGCCATTGGCGAGCTGTGCACCGTGGGGGGGGAGGATATGCTCCCCTACAAGGATCAGCTGATGCCCATCATCATTGACGCTCTGCAGGATCAAAGCTCGTCCATCAAGCGCGAGGCGGCTCTGCATACCCTCGGCCAGCTCGCGAGCAACGCCGGATACGTCATCAAACCCTACCTTGACTACCCCGAGCTCCTGGAGCTACTCCAAGCCATCATCCGGGGCGAGCCTCAGCACGGGGCCCTCCGGCAGGAGACGATCAAGTTGATGGGCATCCTCGGGGCATTGGATCCATACAAGTATCAGGTACAGCGGAACCGTCTCCTTCACCCCAGCCACTTGTTTGTTGAGCAGCCCCTTGTTCGCGTCGAGTTTGGAGATTCGGATGGAGATACGGATTCAGACGAGGAGGACTAGGATTCCCCCGTCACCAGTCTTCTAATCAGTGCTAAACGGCGCGCACAGCAGGTTGAAGAACGCACCCCCGACGTTCAACGGCGCACCGAAACGACCCAGATGACCGACATCTCCCTCATGATGACCGGCCTGACCCCGTCCAACAAGGAGTACTACCCGACCGTCGTCATCAATGCCCTGCTCAACATCCTCAAGGACCCATCCCTGGTCCAGTGGCATGGCGGCGTGATCGATGCCATCATGGTCATCTTCCGAACCCTCGGCCTCGAATGCGTCCCCTTCCTCGACCGCATCATCCCTGCCTTCCTCGCCGTGATTCGTTCCTCGACATCGACCCGCCTCGAGTCGTATTTCAGCCAGCTGGCCGGACTGGTGAGTATCGTACGCCAGCACGTACGCAACTACCTGCCCGAGATTATCGAGGTGATGCAAGAGTATTGGAATGCCTCGCCTACCCTGCAGTCTACCATCATGTCCCTCATCGAGGCGGTTGCCCGATCGCTCGAGGGGGAGTTCAAGATCTACCTGGCCGGGCTGCTACCGCTGATGCTAGGGGTCCTCGAGAAAGATGTGTCGACGAAGCGAATCCCGTCGGAACGGGTCCTCCACGCCTTCCTCGTCTTCGGCGCGAGCAGCGAGGAGTACATGCACCTCATCGTCCCGGTAGTTGTGCGCACCTTTGAGAGACAGGGCCAGCCCATCTTCCTGCGAAAGTCGGCCATCGAGACGATTGGGAAGATGTCGCGAATGGTCAACCTGAACGACTACGCCTCCAAGATCATCCACCCCCTCACCCGGGTCGTCGCGAGCGGCGAGCCGAGCCTCCGAGTGGCCGCACTGGACACGCTGTGTGCGCTGATCGGGCAGCTAGGCAAGGATTATCTCCACTTCATGCACACGGTGAACAAAGTCCTCGCCCACCACCAGATCCAGCATCCCAACTACGAGCTGCTGGTGGCCAAGCTGCAGAAAGGCGAGGTTCTGCCGCAGGATCTCTCCGAGTCTACGAGGTTTGTCGACCAAGTGGACGACGTGGCCTTTGCCGACATCACGTCCAAGAAGCTCGAGATGAACCCGATGCATCTCAAGCAGGCCTGGGAGACGAAGGGCAAGTCGACCAAGGATGACTGGCACGAATGGTTCCGCAAGTTCAGCACGACGCTTCTCACCGAATCCCCCAACCACGCGCTTCGAGCGTGCGCCATCCTGGCCAGCAACTACCCGCCGCTCGCGCGCGAGCTGTTCAACTCGGCCTTTGTGTCGTGCTGGAGCGAGCTGTACGAGCAGTTCCAGGAAGAGCTGATTACCAACATCGAGAACACGATCAAGTCGGAGAACGTCACACCAGACCTGCTCGGGCAGCTCTTGAATCTCGCCGAGTTTATGGAGCACGACGACAAGGCGCTGCCGATCGACATTCGGGTTCTCGGGCGCGAGGCGGCGAGGTGCCATGCGTACGCAAAGGCGCTCCACTACAAGGAGCTCGAGTTCCTCCAGGACCAGAGCAGCGGTGCCGTCGAGGCGCTCATCGTGATCAACAACCAGCTCCAGCAGTCGGACGCCGCCATTGGCATCCTGCGTAAGGCGCAGCTTTACAAGGACGGCATCCAGCTGCGGGAGACGTGGTTCGAGAAGCTGGAGCGATGGGAGGAGGCCCTGGCATTCTACCAGAAGCGGGAGCGCGAGATTCCCGAGGACCAGGCCGTGCCGATCGAGATCGTCATGGGCAAGATGCGCTGCCTGCACGCGCTGGGCGAGTGGGACTCGCTCGCGCAGCTGGCCGGCGACACGTGGTCCAACTCGGCGCCCGAGATCCAGCGGCTGATCGCGCCGCTGGCCACCACGGCGGCGTGGGGGCTCGGCAAGTGGGATTCGATGGACAACTATCTGCAGTCTATGAAACGCTTTTCTCCCGATCGATCCTTCTTCGGCGCCATCCTCGCCCTGCACCGCAACCAGTTCAGGGAGGCGCTGGCGTGCATCGAGCAGGCGCGCGAGGGCCTCGACACGGAGCTGAGCGCCCTCGTCAGCGAGTCCTACACGAGGGCGTACACGGTCATCGTCCGCGTGCAGATGCTCGCCGAGCTGGAGGAGCTCATCATCTACAAGCAATGCGACGAGCGCAAGCAGGCGACGATGCGCAAGACGTGGGAGACCAGGCTCAAGGGCTGCCAGCGCAACGTCGAGGTGTGGCAGCGCATGCTCCGCCTGCGGTCGCTCGTCATCGCGCCCTCGGAGAACATGCACATGTGGACCAAGTTCGCCAACCTCTGCCGCAAGTCCGGCCGCATGGGCCTGGCCGAGAAGTCTCTGCAGCAGCTCATCGGCAGCGACGCGCCGCTGGAGAACATCATCCCGCACTGGACCGACAAGCAGACGCGCCCGGACCGCATCGCCCCGCAGGTCCTGTACGCCGTCCTGAAGTTCCAGTGGGAGGTCGGGCAGCAGCCGGCGACGCGGACCTCGGGGGCGCGGCTCGCCGAGAAGACGCTCTACTGCCTGCGCAAGTTCACGAGCGAGACGGCCAACCGGCTGGAGTCGGCCAGGATGCAGCTCAGCGCGACGCACGCGCCGAACGGCGGCGTCGAGGTGCCCGACGGCGGCTACGGCTTCCCCAGCATGGACCACGGCGCGATGAACCCGCAGGCGCAGAAGTCGCTGAAGGAGCAGACCAAGCTGCTCGCCAAGTGCTACCTCCGGCAGGGCGAGTGGATGATCGCGGTGCACAAGGAGGACTGGCAGTACAGATTCGTGCACGACATCCTCAGCTGCTACTCCAAGGCGACGCAGTACAACCCCAAGTGGTACAAGGCCTGGCACGCCTGGGCCCTGGCCAACTTCGAGGTCGTCCAGGCGCTGACGTCGCGGGGCGAGCACGACGTCCGCGCCAACCACGCCGTCATCGTCGACCATGTCGTGCCGGCCGTGCGCGGCTTCTTCGAGTCCATTGCCCTGTCGGCCGGCAGCTCCCTGCAAGACACGCTCCGCCTGCTGACGCTCTGGCTGTCTCACGGCGGGAGCTCCGAGGTCAACACGGCCGTCACCGAGGGCTTCTCGCGCGTCAGCATCGACACGTGGCTCGAGGTGATCCCGCAGCTCATCGCCCGGATAAACCAGCCCAACAAGCGGGTCCAGCAGTCGGTGCACAACCTGCTCTCCGACGTCGGCCGCGCGCACCCGCAGGCCCTGGTCTACCCGCTCACCGTGGCCATGAAGTCGTGGCATGGCACGCGCCGGTCGAGGTCGGCGGGCCAGATCATGGACAGCATGCGCCAGCACAGCGCGAAGCTCGTCGAGCAGGCCGACATCGTCAGCCACGAGCTCATCCGCGTCGCCGTGCTGTGGCACGAGCTCTGGCACGAGGGCCTCGAGGAGGCGTCGAGGCTGTACTTTGGCGACCACAGCATAGAGGGCATGTTCGCCACGCTGGAGCCGCTGCACGAGCAGCTCGAGCGGGGGCCCGAGACGCTCCGCGAGGTCTCGTTTGCCCAGACCTTTGGCCGCGACCTTACCGAGGCGCGGGAATGGTGCAGGCAGTACGAGGTCAGCCAGGACGTCAACGACCTGAACCAGGCCTGGGACCTCTACTACCAGGTCTTCCGGCGCATCAGCCGGCAGCTGCCGCAGATGACGAGCCTCGAACTGACGTACTGCTCGCCCAAGCTGCTGGCGGCCAAGGACCTCGACATCGCCGTCCCGGGCACGTACCGGAGCGGGCAGGAGATTGTGCGCATCATGTCCTTCGAGACCACGTTCAGCGTCATCAGCTCGAAGCAGCGGCCTCGCAAGCTCAACGTCGGCGGGAGCGACGGCATCTCGTACACCTTCCTGCTCAAGGGACACGAGGATATCCGGCAGGACGAGCGCGTGATGCAGCTGTTCGGGCTCTGCAACACCCTCCTGGCCAACGACTCGGAATGCTATAAGAGGCACCTCAACATCCAGCGGTACCCGGCGATCCCGCTGTCGCAGAACTCGGGCCTGCTCGGGTGGGTGCCCAACAGCGACACCATCCATTTCCTGATCCGGGAATACCGCGAGAGCCGCAAGATCCTGCTGAACATTGAGCACCGCATCATGCTGCAGATGGCGCCGGACTACGATAACCTGACGCTCATGCAGAAGGTCGAGGTGTTCGGATACGCGCTGGACAACACGACCGGGCAGGACCTGTACCGCGTCTTGTGGCTCAAGAGCAAGAGTTCCGAGGCGTGGCTGGACCGGCGGACAAACTACACACGCTCCCTCGGCGTCATGTCCATGGTCGGCTACATCCTCGGCCTCGGCGACAGGCATCCGTCGAACCTGATGCTCGACCGCATCACGGGCAAGATCATCCACATCGACTTTGGCGACTGCTTCGAGGTTGCCATGAAGCGGGAAAAGTACCCGGAGCGGGTGCCCTTCAGGCTCACCCGCATGCTCACGTATGCCATGGAAGTGAGCAACATAGAGGGCAGCTTCCGCATCACCTGTGAGCAAGTCATGAGGGTGCTGAGGGACAACAAGGAGAGTGTAATGGCTGTTCTTGAGGCGGTAAGTTTTTGCTCTCTCTTTCTCCCCTTCGCCTTTTTCAGTTCTTCCCTTTACTAACCAGTTGTCCAGTTCATCCACGATCCCTTACTCACTTGGCGCCTTACGAACGCGGCAAGTCCCACGGGACCAAACTTCAACTCGGAGCGCGAGCAGGCCATTGCCGGGCCGCAAGGAGCTCGTGCCCGACGGGCGTCGATCCTTGACTCGGACGTGGCACCCACCGAGTTCCTCGCCGCGCAGGTGGCCGGCCAGAACGGGGCGGACGCGATGGCGGTGGCGGCGGGAGCGCCGCCGGGGACGCGGGCGCGGGCGAGGACCAACTCGTCGGTGGCACCGGCGGCGGCGGCGGCGGCGGCGGCGGCCAACGGGGCGGGAGGAGGAAGCGTGGCGGCGGCCAACGGCGGCGGTGGCAGCGCCAACGGGCAACAGCAGGACCCGGCCGAGATACAGAACGCGAGGGCGCTCGAGGTGCTGGGGCGGGTGGCGCAGAAGCTCACGGGCCGCGACTTCAAGCCCGAGGAGGAGCTCGACATCATCAGCCAGGTCAACAAGCTCATCATGGAGGCGACCAAGCTGGAGAACCTGTGCCAGCACTATATCGGGTGGTGCAGCTTCTGGTGATTTTTGTTTTGTGTTTCTACGCACCTTTGTACGAGTTTTGCGCGTCGCTTTTACGGACGCCTGCTATCTCGGCTCGTCTTCTTTGCTCGTTTGCTTACGCCTTGGCTGCTGGCTACGTGCTGGGTCGATCTCTGCTCTGGCAGTTGGTCTGCGCCCCCTTTTTTCCAACTCTCATGTTTATTTTTGCTTTCTTTTTATCCGTCTAGGGAGTTCGAGGGCTATAGCCGCTGATTGTGCTATCTGGGAAGAAAACATTCGATCTGGAATTTAACCATGCCTCGGATGAATGAATGGGTTCGACCACGGGCTATCATGGCTTGTATTAGAGTACAGTATACAGGACACCGATTATGAGGATTTGGGGGCCGGCAGCAACACCACCTGCGGCCTGGAAATAGCTTAATAGAATTGTAAACCTAGCTTTTGAGTTGTGGCGAGTGAGTGAATGCAGATGATGACGGTGGACTACTTGCCCTATAGGGTCTGGACGATCCTTTCTATGTGAGCTCGTCCGGAGGATCAGCTTCTCGGGGGTTGGTAGAAGGGATCATCTGACGGGGATGAGACAGGCCACGGCAAGATTACGACCGACTACGAGGACACGGCTTGAGTGGTGAGAGAGCAAATCGGCAGGCATGTTGATATATTGATTCCAGACTGTAAACTAAACAAAGAGGAATCCCCTTCATTCCGTTTCATCGTCAACTTGCGAACAGCAAGGCGGTCCACGACAGTGTTTACCATTAAGTACACGCGGTGCAGGTCACGCACTCCATAAACTGCGCAGAGTGTCCGTAGTCGGTCCCGCCGTGGTTGTACAGGTCCGCGTACCCCGGGTGCTGCAGGAACAGGTCGCCGTGGGGGGTGCAGCCTGTGCTCGAGGATCTGGGCACACACATACACATGGTCAGCGCCAAACGTGGAAACATAATAACAGAAAAGGGGGTGGGAGTGGAGGGAAACTCACGTCGTCAGCCTGCACAGGGCGCCGGCGTCGGGCCCGATGGACCCGACGCTCTTGAAGAAGGGCTCGGGAAGCGTCTTGCAGGTGCCGTCAAGCGAGAAGGTTACGACGCCGCAGGTGTTGGTCCAGTTGGAGCCGGTGCACATGTAGACCTGGTTGTGGTCAGCGGGCTAGTTTTTGTGTGGGTTGGTTAAGGGTGGAAAGAGGCTGGGCAAAACATACGTTACCGGGAGTCCGCTTGAGGAGTCCCTCGGCTGGGTCCGATGGGGAGGTGTTGACGCGGCGGAGGACCTCGTCGCGGGTCATGGGCGTCCAGCCTGCTGGGAGGGGCGCCGGGTCTGGAGTTGGGGCTGCGAGGGTGGAAGGGAGGAGGAGGGTGAGGGTGAGGGCGAGGATGGACTTCATTTTGTTGGTTGGTGGTTGGTTGCTTTGGGTTGCTGTGATGCTGGTCTGTTCTCAGTCGAGGTTGATGATGATGGCTGGGTCAGAAGTCGGTGAAAGGAGGGACTGGTCTCGCGTTTTATACTTGTGAAGGCTTACGCCTCTCGATTGCGGTCGTGCTATATTCCTTTCTTTTGGATGACCCAATGTTGCTTGATGCATTCGTACGAGTTCAACACACCCCTTTGCTGAGTGGCTTGGTCTCTTACTCCTAGAGTTGCAGTATGCATCTCAGAATTAGTATTCGACCTGTGGTATATCCGTAAGAAACCCGACCGGATGTCGGCCATACGATCGGTCCCGTAGGCCACATAAGTCAATAGTTGGTTATGCAGTACAACACAGCCTCAGCTGTGGGTTGTCTTCCCCTTTGCGCTGCCCCGTCTTCAATTCTGTCACCGGATGCGGGCAGCATGTCAGCACCTCGCATAGAGTAGGAGCACTAGAAGACCAGAGGCTGACTTGTCGTTTTCCATCCCGCGAGATGCCGACGGCTATTGGCTGGTCGTACTCGGTAACTACGCGGTCTCAGGTAAGCAGATAGATCTTCGTGGTCAATATTACAGACATCTCCAGGTTGCTGAACTCAGCGCCCCGGGAAATGGCCACGATAGGGTCGGCCCGTTCCACAAACAGCTCGGCCATGCGTCTGCCTTGCCGCGTACCTTTAACTACCTACTTGGGGCTACTTCAGCCATGTCGCTCACTGAGTCTGGAGACAGCACTATTTCTAGGCAAACAGCATGGTAGAACGAAGACATTTCCACTCTTTGATTGCCCCCGTATCAACATGCCACGTCTAACGCACACAATGTCTCGGTCTCTTTATATGGGAATTTCTCTGCGGGCATGTACCATTTTCTCTGCAGGCAGAATAGCAATAGGCAGTGACGGCAAGAGCGATAGACAGCGACGGCAATAGCGATAGATAGCAATGGCAGGCGCATGCCCCTGGAGAAATTCCCCTTTATATATGTACCTAGGTACTTTATAAAGTTTCAAAAATGGCTTAAGCGGCAACCCAACACAGACCATATCAAGGTGTATACCGGCCCACATCGCCGCCAGAATCCGGCCACGACCCGGTGAAGCCATCGTCAGTCACGATGTTCGTGCCATCCGCGAGATGTAGCGTCGCCCAGGTATCCTTAGAGCACAGACCGAACGCCTGCAGGTTTGTCGGCGTCTGCGCGATCCAGTGCATGTAGTCTGAGTTACCAGAGAAAATGTCAGCCAATATCAGAACTCGAGTTGGACGGGGAGAAGGGAAAACAGCACGCACTCTGACACTGATACTGGCCGGCGCACGACTGGTATCCCGGCCCGCTGAAGAAGGCCCACGACGCGGACGCGTACGTGTATATGTCGGACCCTCCCTGTATATAGTTTGCGAACCCCATCCTGCATCGCTTGTCCCCGCCGCCGCACCACGAGAAGTCCGGGTCCCCCCAGCCGGCGACATCGGCCACCCACGGCGCGGGAGGCACCTGCAGCGCGTTGTCGCCCTGGTCGTAGTTGGTCTCGCTCTGCAGCATCGACACGAGCACGTTGCGCGCCCCGCGCAGGTTGAGCTGGTACAGCCACCAGTGCTCGCTGCCGAGCCCGTGCAGCCACGTGCCCCGCGTCGACTCGACCAGCGCGCCGCCCTTGCCCGCGATGTTGGAGCCCCCCGAGAAGTCCTCGGTCGTGTGGTCCGCCACCCAGTTCCACACGTTCTCGACATACGCCGACGATGTTGGCGCGAAGTGCAGGCCCAGGAAGGCGCCGCGGCACTGCGCCCGGGCGTCGCCGCACGCCCCCGTCAGGCCCTGGGCGCCCCGCGTCCCGCCGACGGTGACGAGCGAGTTCCACAGCGCGACGTCGCCCGGGGCAGAGCCGGCCATGTTGAACTGCAGCACGATGGCGCCAGGGAGGACGTCCGAGACGGTGAAGCGCATGTCCTGGATGTGGGCGGTGCCGACGTCGCCGCCGCTGCCGACGGCGACGACGGGTTTCGGGTTCGACGCGTCCGCGAAGAAGGCCCCGCTGCCCGTGATGGTGGCCCAGCCCTCGCCGACGATGCGCGACCCGGGCGGCACGACGAGCGTCGAGTCGACGCGGTACTTGCCGAAGGGGAAGTAGGCGATCTTTCCGGTGCCGGCGGCGTGCGCGAGCACCTGGTTGAGGACGCCCGCCTCGTCGACCGTGTGGTCGCCCAGCACGGTGTGGCCGCCGTTCTGCGACGGGTCCTTGACGTTGATGAAGTCCGTCGCCGGGTTGCCGGCGTAGTTGGGCGCCGGCAGGACGGGGAAGTTGCCGTTCGGCGCTAGGGCGGCCGGGCGCGTGTTGGTCGAGGTCGTCGCCCCGTAGACGGGGTTGCGGCCGACCGTGTTCCCATACGTGAAGGTGTTGACGTGGCTCTGCGGGCCGAGGACGGTGCCGCTGGGTACTTGGGCGATGTCCGAGTTAGTGTCCTTGCTGAGGTTCTCGATTAGGAAGGACGGATAGACGGTCGTGATGAAGGTCACGCCTGAGTTGATGGACTTGGCGTCGATGAGTGCAATCCAGGGGGATCCGCCCGTGTTCCGGACTCCGGTTCCGCAGGTGTCGAACGTGGGAGCTATGATGCTGATCGTGTTGCCCCCCGTTATAAGCATGCCGATGGTGTTCTGGTAGAAGTATATGCTCTTATAGAGCGCTTGCTGGTGCCCATCATGCCAGATGCCGTTCTGATGCCGGCGCGTCAGCAACCACAAAAACTACCCTTGTAAAGGCAAGGGCTCAAAGCCTTACCTGACCGCGTTCAATTCGCACGTCGGCGAGACCAAGAGTCGAACCCCTCCCGAGACGAATGCCGGTGTGTCCATTACCGTTGACAGAGGACGCCATGCTGATCTTGACGTTCTGCAGCTGGGCCCCTTGGGCGACGCCCCACCACAGCGCCGTGAAGGCATTACCTTTGTTCAAAGTGTCAGCGCGGCGATGGGGGATCCATCGGGACCATGGCATCCAGACTCACCTCCGGAAATGCCTGTCGTGTCAAGAACCAGGTTCTTGAGGCCGACAGTGAAGGAAAGCTCTCCGGATTCCTCCGTCGTTGGATCTTGCCCTATTGGGGGTGGTTAGAAGAGTAGGGTATGTGGTTATCCACAATCTAGACCATTCACCTACCAGAGATCAGAGTCTGGTCACCGGAGAAGCCAGCGGCAGCTTTGATTATGGGTGGCTGGAGGGATGATATGAGTTATCTGACAAGGCGATGTGGGCAAGGAGGCCCCTACATTTGTGGCGTCGCCCATGAGAATGGTATCCGTATTCATGTGGATCGTCTGGCTGATCTCGTAGGTCCCAGGGGGTATGTAGACGACCCTCGGCTGAGAGGCTAGCCACTTGCCATGGCGGCTGGCGCCGTTGGTGCCAGCATTGATAGCATCCTGGATGGCCGCCCCGTTGCCGGGATCTACAGACTTGAACACCGGGTACGTAAAGTCGTTGTCGAGGTCGGGGGCGTAGCCGCGATACTGCCCCGTGTGGTCCATATTGGCATACCAGAAGCTTGTGGCCCGCTTTGGGAGGCTATTGGCGGTGTCATTGTTGTCAGGGGTTGGCACGGCGGATGCTGCTCCTAGCAGAAGGACGATGGTTGCCGCGACCTTCATCGTAGCGCCGTCTGTTGCGCAACCAATGGAGATGAGATGCTGCGAGAACTCCTAGCCAGGGCATAGTGGAAGTTGAGGCCGAGCGGAAACATTTTATATATGGTTCCATTCGAGGTCTTGGTCGCGCATCCCTCAATTTCGGTGCCCGGTATGAGGCCATGCGCTTGGAGTCTGGGCCGAGGCAGCTACGCCGTATTTGGCAGGACAGCTGCATCCTTGGCTATTACGGTCGGCCCGACTTTGATTCACCAGTTTTGAGTCAGGTAAGATTGCCTTGAAGCTCCATGTATGCGGATTACTGAGCTACTGCTGAGTCTGACCGGTGAGTTTCGCTTAACTGCCCCATGCATATGCACTCAATTACTTGAAGGCTCAAGGGGGTTGGCAATCACTGTAAGTCGATTCAGGTGCTTGCTGATGTGCTCATTGGGGGGCCACTTTGAGACTCCAATGCAACGGTAACATGCCCGAGACGTCCAGGGATAATAACCACTACGTAGTAGCACCCATTTATTTCTTTACCTCGTGCATCTTTGAAAGCTCCCCAGGGTATGAACGGGTCGGCGTAATGCACATGAACAAATGGCTCGGACTAGACGCTAGCAACTCGGTAATTAGACGACAAACAACAACCAAATGCAATATCGCGAGCTCATTCCCTGCTAGAGTTGATGGTTAGCAGGATCAAGACCCGAGGAAACATGCTCTGAGTACAAAACTAGAAAACCAACCCTTATTCCTTCAACTCCCCTTTCCAAGCCTAGCGCCAGCAGTTTGCCCTGTACTTCTAGGCAATCCTTGGATCTCCCTGTTTCTTGCTAGCATTCCGCCACTAGCTGAATGTTGGTGCAGACTAACCATGCATTCATTACAGCGTTACAAAAACATCACCAGGGTCACCCGGTATTTTTCGAATGGGATTGAGAACGCGGCGGCAAAAGGGGCCGAGAGCGCGGTTGCGATCGTGGTCGTGGTTACGAGGCCTGGCAACGGGTCCATGGTTGGGAACTGGTCCCTGCCCATTCTCCTATAACTTCCAGTGTCTCCCATTTGATGTCGACTTTACTGAAGAGTCTGCTTCGACAAAGGTGAAGATTATAGGTCATATACTAACAACCTTCACCCAATATTTCACAGGCGGCTCTGCCAGACAATTGAGACGCTTGTTTCTCTATCCATTCAGCCGTGGAACCAAGTCCTTGTCTTCAGGCAACGCAGCCGTATACCACCGCGTGTCTTGACGTACGGTGTTCTCTGACCACCTCCTGACCGCAATTGGATGCAGGAGATGACAAGTGTCGAGCGGAACGGGGGAGGCCTCGCGTATTTGGGGACAAGAAAGGAGATAGGGGGAGAGGAATGATTTGCTCCAAGAGCAGAGGCGAGCGACAGATGCTATACAGGCAAATGTAGACCAATATCACTTTATTTCCTGATAATATATGGGCACACTAGGGCAGAATTTCATTCCTGACACTGGTGACTGATTTGCCAATCACCAGTGCACCTCGCCGAATAACGCCTTTGACAACGCCCGTAGTGACTCTCCAATAAGAGGAATCGATAGCAAAACGGCCATAACTTGTCCAAACCCCCACTCAGAGTCCTGGTAAGCCTCTCCAACCGCGACTTGAAGTTGTTGACGGATGCGTTGTAATATATAACTAGGTGCCATATACCAAACCCAGACGTAACCACAGGAACAACAGTGAAGCCAATGATGCCGAACCCTTTAAGATGTCTCCCAGTAGAAAACTCACTGAAAGGAAGGTAAACCTTGTCCGTAATGCGCCGGTAAACTGGTAGAATCTGCCGTTGAAACTGAGCGAAAACGCGAACGAAAAGATAAATAAGAATAATTAGAGCTAATCCGACGAAAATTGTGATTATAACGTCGGTTATACATCGAGATGCCCCTAAGTAGATACACCGGATTCGATCGAGGATGGAAGTAAAGGGGAATCTCACCCAAAAGCACAAAACTTTGATATTTGTTGCAAGACCACCGACTTCGAGAACTGAAAACTCTTGTACGGAATAATAACCGACCCTAGCACAAATATAAATACTCGATAAAAGGTAAAAGTGACACCACCACTTGTATTGCCATAATCCTCAAATAAAACCATTTCGGTCGCAGAACAACAAAGGATATTAAGGAGCTGACACACAGTGAGTGAGTCTATAAAGGATATCTCGGATAAAGGTGCTCCTTGAGAAGACAAATTACTGAGGCAAGAATTACAGAAACTCCAATTATATGATTAGCTGGATGGTGATATCGTGCAAGAGAAATAACTGCATGTAACCACGCAGGAAGGGAAGATCTCAGCTCGACAGAGTCGACATTGGTTCGCCAGTTAGAGACAAGAATAAAAAGTGTAAGAATAGGTCCAAGGATAAGGTTGACAATTCCTTGTATGTAGTATGAAGTCATTGCCTTTCGTTTATTTTATGTATAATTACCTCCAAGGAATAGCTTACCCCGATTCCAGATACGTCAGGATTGCCAGAGCCATAAACAGTAGCACAGACAGAGGTACATGTTGTAACCAGGAGAGAAATGTTCCGCCTCCACCTTCTGGATTCGCCCACGGGCTCCTCCACCCCTCAGTCCGTCAAGGCACTCCACTTCTCAATGATCTTCCCCAGCTCGACCCCAAGCGCCTCAGAGTCATCACCCTCCCCATCCTCCTCCCCCAGCTGATCCGCAACCTCCGCAAGGTCGGGAATGATATATCCAATGGGCACGTCCCCCGCGTCCTCCCCGTCCTCCTCCTCCCCGCGCGGCACTCCCGCCCTCGCGAAATACCCCTCGCACCCCCGCGGCAGCGCGACGCCGAGCTCCAGCGCCGCGGCCTGCAGGCCCCTGAGCAGGGCGGCGGCGACGGGGAAGCTGGTCGCGGCGGCGTGGAAGTGGCGGCACGCCTGGACGAAGGGCGCGCCGGCGGCGGCAGGCTCGGCGTCCAGGAAGGCGACGAGGCTGATGCTGGCCACGTAGGAGAAGTACATGGTCGCCACGCTGCCGAGCACCCACTCGAGCGGGAAGCGCTCCTCGAAGGCGGCGAGGTGCGCCATGATGTCGGCGCAGTGCCGGATCGTCAGGCTGCGCGGCGTGCCGAGGCCGGAGGGGAGGGTGATGGGGCGGGAGTCGAGGGGCCGGAAGAGGCCGACTGCTGCTACGGAGGAGTAGGCCCTGTGGGGGGGAGGATTGGGCTGGTTAGTTGGTGTGGGGTAAAATGGAGGCAGGGTATTGCGCGCACCCCAGGAAGATGGCCTGGCCGAACCCCAGCTGGCCCCGGCTCGGGCCGCCGAACGGGGGCGGTTCCCATCTCGCGCGCTTCTCGTACAGGGCCAGCCTCTGTTTGATGTCGTCCTCGTCGCCGAGATGGTTGCGGGCACTGCGGTTGTAGCACATGATCTCGTAGAACAGGATCGACATGTCGCACTCGGCGTCGAGGTACTGGTCGTGGGGGGCGCGCTTGTCCAGGTCCCCCCTGTTGGCGTTGAACACCCTCGGCAGCTTCGGGATCGGTATCAGCGACGGCTGGATGTAGACGAAGGCGCAGATGCTAGAACGGTTCGCCAGACAGACAACGTCAGAATCCTCTTTCGCAGAACCAGGCAGCGCAGGAGCTGAGGTTGGATCGAAGCCAGAAGGTAGGAAAATCACCTCTCGGCGCAGAAAAGCCCCCAGGCGGCCCGCGACAAGGCCCGCCGGTACCTTCCGCCGTAGTGGCGGCGGTGTCCCCGGGGGACCTCGCGGCCCAGCCCCAGGCGCTTGAACATCTCGCACGAGTGGAGGCGGTACAGCGCCCCCGCGCGGTCCATGCCCGCCGCGGACGAGTAGCGGAACATCATGTGCAGCGCCATGACCGTCGGCAGCGACGGCCTGCCGGCCTCCCGGTCGAGCTTCCTCTTGGCCTCGGCGAAGAACCGCTCTCGCGTGTTCCCGCCCTGTATCTTGTCCACGGACTTGGCGCTGTTTGACGTGAACTAGAGGGTGGGGAAGCGTTGTGTGTGTGTCAGGGGCGCGATGCAAGAAGAAAGGGGGGACTGGAGAACTAACGGCACTGTACGCACAGATGGCGTCGACCAGCAGCGGGGAGCAAAAGTCGAGGTCCCTCCCCGGCTTGGCGGCCCTCATCTCCTCGACGAAGCACCTCCTGTCGACGTACGTGGCGATGAACGGCTGCTCGATGGCAAAGAAGATGGACACCAGCTCCGACACGATCCCGTCGCCGGCGACGTCGGTCCACGGCCGGGCCGGCACCTTGACGGGGCTCTGGTGCAGCGCGGCGGCCTCGACGCGCTCGACGGCCCGCTCCCTGGCCTCGTCGGCGCTCCTGCGCGCCGTGGTCGACGCCTCAAGTAGTAGGTCGCCGTCGCGTAGTAGCCGGAGCACGGCGTGCGGGTCCGACCCCCGCCGGATCCGCAGCACGATCTCGGCGGCCTCCGCGACGGGCCGCGTCTGTATCAGCTGGAAGAGGTCCCGCAGGCTGCCGTAGCCGTCCAGAATCTCCTCGTACTTGCGCTTTCGCGCTAGCGCGCGCGTCTCGTCCGGCCCCGCGTCGTAGTGGCACTCGACCTCGAGCCGCTCACATCGACTGCATTCCGGTCGGGCCCCGTCGCACTGGCACGGAGTTTGGGGTTAGTTGGTGTTCCGGCGTGGTGCGATGGATGGTCGGGGCGGGGGGACAGTGTCTTACTTTAGTTCTCTTTGCCCGGCAACGTTCACAGGCAACACTTGTGGCCTGCCTGCGCGGAATAGTGAGATTGGGCGAGATTATTTCCGGGGACCGACCTGGTGGGTCCGGTGTCTCAGATGGCTTTGGGAGAAGGGCCTGTAGCTTTGTGCCATTTTGGTACTCCGGACTGCTCTGGCTCTGGAGTCGGGAGTCCATCCATGGGGCGATAGATCGGGAAAGGCGGGCTGATCTCCCTGCGCTGCTGGACTCCATTCGTGCTGGTTACAGGTCGGGTAGCTTGTATCTTGATTGTCTTGCAATAATCGCGCCGCCCCCAGATGATCGCTGCAGTAGTACCAAAGATGACATTGGGAAACCCTGGGAGTATCCGGACTGCGGGTGGCAATTGGCTTGACGTACGAACTACGTAGTCTTGCTCGCTTCCAATAAGGACGGGAGCGTCCTACCATTTAAACCGACGTGATGACGCGGTAGTTCCCGTGGTTTTTGTTGCAGAACAAGGCAGTACGCAAAATTACATGACGAGAATCTGATGAGCACTCTGGCACTCTCCTGGACCGGACCTTGTATTAAACAGTACAATCACACAAACATATCTCTCCTTCTACCCGGGTAATCACAATTTAACCTCTTACGGCCTCCGTGCTGTCCGTTTCCTTGCTCGCAGATGGACAGGTTACAACGATGACGTCGGCAAGCGGACTTTCACGCCAACGACAAATACAAGCGTTTTAACCCAACTCCTCAGCTGAAAACTTCTGATAAACGGCCGTGACTTCACAAGAGCCCAAAACTTCAGAATCGTAATAACGACCTGATGAGACCAGAGCAGGCGCATCGGCAGGGACCGCGTCGATTCCGGGGTACCACAGAGCAGGGCGCCCAAAGGGCCGGGCCGTTGGAGGGAAGCCTGGTAACCCCGGGCGGCACAAGCAATCAGCAAAACAGCGGGTTTCGCGCTAGGCCCCAATGGGGGACGTACCGGATCCCTTGGTGGCGGCGATCGAGGACGGTGATTTTGCGGATGAAGAGCCGGCCGGTTGGTAGAGCGAGCCAAGGGTGGTTTAGCTGGCGGCAGCGGGCGAAGTGCCGAGGTCGCCGAAAGCGTGTTGCTTGGCGGGAGTGGACGAAGTGTTGAATAAGGAGCTCGAGGACAATGGTTTCGGGGGGGCGAAGGGGGCTCCTGGGAGGTCGAAGAGGCCCGGCCCTGCGGTCGGAGTTATCGTCTGGGCCGGGACCCCACCCAACATGGAGGTGGTGCGGCTGCCGGACGCCGGAGACGAGGCGAAGGGGGGCGTGGAATTGATATATCCAAACGGATTCGGAGACGGTGTCGGGAATAAAGAGCCTGGCGTGGGAGCATTTGAGCTTGGCTTGGGCGATGGGTTCGGGATGGTCGCTACCGTGTTTTGAGCGGTAGCTGCCGTGGTTTTGCTGGGCTTTACGTCGGCCGACCGGGGTTGCGATGACCCAGTGGGTTTTGGCTGGCTTGCAAGCGGTTCGGGCTTTGGCGATGGGGAGGGAGTTACTAAACGAAACCAAGACGGTCAGTATGTTGGTTGGGGGCGGCCTGAGCAGAGGTCGGCGGTGCTCACCTGATCGGGGCCTGTGAGCAGGTTTGCCTGAAGATGAAGAGGGACGAGGCCCGGAAAGGCCCGGAGGGAGGACTTGGGCAGACGGTTAGTAATTCATCTTTCCCAATATTGCACATTCCTTTGAGGGGGGGGAACACACGGGTAGCCTCTCGGGGCTTGTATTGTTGACACTTCTGCAATCCGGCCCGCAGGTCTCCCACCTGGCGCTCCAGCTCCCGGCGTAGCGTCTGGACGTCTTCCGATTCGGCAGCCAGTTGCTTGAGCCGAGCCTCGTCCATCCGGTCCACCGCCCGAGGGGTCAAGATCTCGTCGATATCGCTGACCAGGCAGTTCTCGACCGCGAGGGAGATGACATTTTCGGTAAACGTCCTAAGAGACATCTACCCAGTCACACAGGTTAGCAAGTCTGTATCTTTTTGGCAATATCGCCCATGGCGAAGAGGCGGTGTGATGAGAGTAACGCACCTCATAGTATACGTTCACAATGTCGACCATTTTCTCCGTCCCGAACTCGCCTGCCTTGCTATCTGGCACGGCAACGATGGCTTCCTTGATTGCCTGATCGGTCACCCTTATCAAGGCAGGCTCGGCGAACGATCCAGGGTACTCAAGCCGCAGGTGTTCCTTGACCTGGCTCGCCAGTCTGTTTACCGTTGTGCTCGACAGCCTCGATCGGAACTCGCTCTCCAGCGGAAGGGCATACTTGGAGTTGTATGGACGAAGTAGTTCGTCGAGTTTCTCCTTCAAGATGGCCCGCTTGGTGTCGAAAAAGGGATCCACACAACTGACCAGGACTGCATTGCGAGTATTGGTATCATCACCCACGACGTGTTCCATGGCTGTTTCGACAAATTTCTTGGTAACAGCCAAGACCAGGTCGATGTGGCTCTGCGCAATCCCTCTCCACGGCTCGGCCTGCCGCCGGAAGAACATCCGGGCAAGGTCCCCGTTTGGCGAGCCCGGGAACTCGACGCCCTGATTCTCCGAGGCAATGCTCTCGAGCTCGAGAAGAAGACGATCGATAGCTATGGGGGGCGGGGATTTGACGTCGTAGAGCTCAATGAACGGCTGGAGAGAATCGGGAATTTTGTCGGCTGAGGTCTCGGAAACCTCCTGGCCGCGCCATTGAATCGCGTGGCTCGCCCCTTTGGTTGACAGGACGGCATCAAAGGCGCGATTCAGGTTCCTGAGAGTCGCCCGAAGTTTCCGGATGTCCCCCGAGGCAGCATGTCCATTGTCTTGGGAAAGGCCGCCGAAGAATTTGTTATTGTAGTCTCCACGGACGGCGTCCTGGACCAAACCCTGGAAGGCGGAAGCGATGTCGTGCATGTAAGTTCGGAGATCCGAGGGGTTGCATCGCGGCTTGCCGAGACGCGCCAGGGCTTCCCGCTTCTGGGCTAGGTGCTTCTCAATGTCCGAGATCAGGCTGGGGAGGCTCCGCTTGATGTGGCTGACCAGCACCTTGCTCAGCTTCTTTCGGAGCTCGTCGATGCCCTTGTCCTTTGAATACACTCTGGACCAGGCCCCGGACTGGAGAAACTCGGCTTCCTTCTTGTCTCTCGCATCATGCGAACTACCTTCATCCCGTTCGTCTCGGTTCCGGAGCACGTGCCATCCCAGCTTGAGGACGTTTGCAGTCTCCTCGTTCTTGGCCACCTGAACAAAATGGCGCTCGCCGGTCGTGCCCGGGATTAACAAGTCCGGCTTGGTGACTATGCCGAGCGTTCTCTCCTTGTGAGGATCGTGACGCTTGGCCTCTCCAAGTACTATCTGGTTGGCAAGGTCATACCCAGCGGACACCACGGCGAGGATGATGCTCTTGGACTGCCGCATATATCTCTCGGCGAGCTTGTTAACAATGGCCTTTCCCTCTTCCGTCTGCTCTTTCGTCTCGGTGTGGAAAAATCCTGGGAGGTCAACGAGTGTCAGAGGTAGGAGTTCCGGCCCAGATATCTCGACGCGAAGAATGTCCTTGGAGTAGGCGGTGCCCGACCCTTCCCGGATGCCCATGTGGGCCTTGGCGCGCTCGATGATCTTGGGGAGCGCATCCCTGCTGAAGCTGGTCTCTTCGAAAGGGAGCCGGTTCTGATCGGGGTTTGACGCGGAATCTTCCGAAGACTTGACCACGCTCACGCCAATCTTGACCTGGGGCGCCGACCGGAGGACCAGCTCTGTAGCAAATCGGGTGCAGAGGGTGCCGCTGGCGGGGAAACGGACGCGGGAAATCGCTTCGAGAACAGAGCTTTTGCCCGACGACTGATTACCCACAACGATGACCTGAGGAAGATCCACATATTCATCCACTCCCAGATCCCTCAGGCTGTCAACTGTGTCCAGCAGCGCCTTCTGCTCCGAGTTCAGCTGCTCGAAAGCCTTCGAGTCAAGCTCGAGCAGATCCGCTGCCCCAACCTCTTTGGGCGGATCATTGGAACCGTCCAGCCGAGCAGACAGCTGTTCCAAAGCCTTCCGGTCTAGGAGAGATTCAGCCATCCTGGGTATGAGGGATCAAATGATGACTGGTGCTGATGCTAGTGCTGGACAATGTTAGTCGAAGAATGTGGCGGTGATGTGATATAGGTAGGGTCTGAGTAGGATGAATAGGATGAGAAGCAGAAAATTTCATACTGGCAGACAGTCACATTCACTTCACTCTCACCACGTTAACCGCCTGAGATGTGATCACAATGGATCCTATGTTTCAGGTAGTGCCAACAGACAAAAAGCAGCGCTCTGATTGGTTGGGCAGATAGAATCAGCTGCAGCCACTTCTTGCTTGCACACAACGAATCTGGGCAAAAAATAAAATAAAAAATAAAGACAGCGTACTACATACAGGAAGGAGAGGCAGGCACGCAGGCATTAACACAATAAAATTAAGGATTGCAGCGCGAATTGCAGCGCGACGAAGACGCCACCCCCTTTGAACCCCTGGAAGAATAAAGTGAGGACGACCCACCGCCCCACACTCCGGAGCGCGCTTGGGCCCGAATCTTACCTATATGTAAAGGATTTACCCAACATACTTCCATCAATTGGGGCAGTAGCGTAGTTGGGAGCGCGTCAGACTGAAGTCAAACTTCAATCTCAAATCTGAAGGTCACCGGTTCGATCCCGGTCTACCCCATTATTTTTGCACCTCTTTTTCCATCTTTAAAGATGACCTGGAGGTGGGTGACCTTGGCCAATCATTGGCCAATTTTTTTTTATTTTCCCCCCACCTCACCTGGGAGTGAAATCGATCAATCTTTGTTGTTTCTCATAGAGTTGTCCGTCCATCTCATCCGATAAGCTCGTCAATGAACCAACCGTCTTTTTATCTGTCTCAGACGATTTTTCTCCGTATGATCCTCTGTTCGTCATATTACAACGAACCTTCACTCTGCGCCTCTCACCAGAAATGGAGACTGTGGGTGTTGCAAATCCTGAAAGGTGTTAGTTGACCTGGGAATCCAATCTCTGGACACTGAAACGGCTGGAAAGACCACTGAGTCTTTCATTTGGGTAGATACGGCCAGACCTATAGCGAGGAATTTGGCTGTGTTGTCTTCCTAGACCAGGTTAAATCTGACCTATCTATATGGCTTGAAGCTATGGAGCTAGCATCATAGTTCATCACAACTCGACGCGCTGTCTGGTATTATGGTCAGGGCACCATTTGGCTCGGCACATGCTGAAATCTGGATGCATCTCGATAGCAGCTATGCATGTGGCGCTCTGTTGGCTGTCCTTTAATGCCGAGGCTCCTTCCCATGACGGATTCGGCTACGGTTGTTGGCTGCGCACCAAAGGAACAATATGAACCAAAACTGGACAATACTAAACATTTCGGAGCTGAACCAAGTTCTTGACCCTGGCCATATCCGTTGCATTGTCCCCTCTTCGCCCTTAAATCGGCTTCTCCCACCATGTTTGCCTTCCCATTTTAGCGAGTGATCTCAGGACCGAGAACTGGACCATGACTCGCATTGTTGACAAGAACATGTCTGCCCTTGACAACCCCGAAACGACGGCATTCGCCCAGTATGCTCTCTGTATTATGGCCGTGGCTCTTATGGCTTTTCTTCCGTACCTATCGAACCCACGACTAGATCCAAGCGAGCCCCCGCTAGTAAAACCCCGGGTTCCTCTTGTTGGACACCTCCTTGGTCTCATGACGAGCCGGGTCTCTTATTTCAGCCAGCTCTAGTAAGTCAAAATCTTCGAGGCCCTTGGCATCCCGATCATCGCTATGTCGGAACATTCATTAACAGGGACCAGCGAGAGGACGAACCTCCCCATAGCCACGCTGCCGATCATGAATAAGAAGCTATATGTGATCTTCTCGGCACCACTGCAGCAGTCTGCAATGCGGTCCAAGAATATGGAGCCTGAAGCGTTTACCGCCAATTTCATCCCACGCATCTTCGGAATAAAGCAGGGCACCCTCGACGCCATGCTTGGTCGGGACGGTATCCATGAGTCCATGTCTGGCCCAATGCAGCGCGTCTTCCAGACCACCCTGTCGGGCGATGCCTTGCATGACCTGACGCTGTCCACCATGGACTGTGTTGCCGACACCCTGAACATCATTGGCGGCCGCGGGCTCGAGGTCCCAAACTTGTACATGTGGTTGAGAGAAGTAATGAGTTACGCCACATCGGTGGGGCTCTTCGGCCGGGAGAACAACCCATACGGCAAGGACCCGACCGTTATAGATGCACAATGGTAATTACTTGCTAGCCTGTGGCACGCCACACCGTCTTGTTGAGCCTCGACCCGGCTAACAGCTGCTGACCCAGGGACTTCGCGGACTACATGGCGCCTCTCATGCTCGGCATCCTCCCCTCCATCGTGGCTCGCTCGGCACACCTCGCCCGCACGAAGGTGTCAAACGCGCTGGAGCCATACTACAGACAGCAGCTTGACCAAGACAGCCAGACGAGCGCGTTCGTACGCACCCGCACCAATCTCATCCGACAATACGGCCTCCCCATCGACGAGATCTCCAAGAACGAGGTCTCCGTCATGCTCGCCGCCACAAGCAACACGATCCCCATCCTGTTCTGGTACATCTCCAACATCTTCCTACGCCCAGACCTCATCCGCGACCTCCGCTCCGAGCTGACCCAGGCGCTGGAACTCCAGCGCCCCTCCGGCACCGAGGCCATCATCACTATCAAGCTCGCCCACCTCGAGACAAAGTGCCCCCTCCTGACCAGTTGCTACCGCGAATCTGTCCGCCTGGCCAGCCAGATCATCACGTTCCGGCAGGCGCGCGAGGACACGGTCGTCACCGACGGCGGCAGCGGCGGCGGGCGGTCGTACCTGCTCCGCGCGGGCTCGACGGTCATGATGCCGGCGCGCGCCGTGCACCGACACCGGCCCATCTGGGGCGCCGACGCGGACGAGTTCGATGCCCGCCGCTTCGTCGTCGGCGACGACGACGACGAAGGGGACGCGGAGGGGAGGAGGCGCCTGCGCAAGGTGGCGTGGGTGCCGTTTGGCGGTGGGAGGCATCTGTGTCCCGGGAGGAGGTTCGCGCTCGCCGAGAACCTCGGCTTTGCGGCGGTGCTGGTGCTTGGGTTTGAGGTGGTCGGTCTGCTGGCGGAGAGGATTCGTATGGTTGAGTCGAGGATGGGCGAGGCGGCGAAGCCGGCGGGGGGGTGGGAGGGGGGACCGGTCGTGGTTGGCAGGAGGGAGGGGTGGGAGGGAGTCACTTGGAAGTTTGCTCTTTAGGATTGTTGTTTTCGTGGTTGGGTTTGTATTTTCTTGCGGGTAGGTGACTCTTATGTCTACTGATCTAGGAGTTGGATGGTGTTATCACCTGGCTCTCTGTACCGAGAATGTTAAGAATTCCTGTTTTGCTCGACAACTTCTATCTCATCTATAAGTCCCCTGAATTTAGCCTCTTCAAACTCCCCAGACTCTTGAGTTCCCTTCCCCAAACCAGCTGCTTCTGCGTCTGACGGCAAGAGCGACTGCTAAACCTAATAATAGCAGAGTTTAAAAGGCGTCAGGGGCATTAACAAACTTATCTTACATGCTACGACCCTTAGTAAGGTAAGTTGGCACTTGCTGATTTAACTTTTAATGCCATCCATGAATGAGTACTAAAATTCTGAAAACGAGCCCGGCTTTCACATTTTCACATTCCCACCACAATTTCCGACATTTCAAATTCTCTTAGTCCACCTTATCATTTGCCATGATGGCAAAGTGGCACGATCTGCCGCCTGAAATCCGGGTTATGGTCCTAGAGGTGGTGTCACTGCCTGGAAACAATCACGGTGATAGGAGCGCTTACGCCGCTGTCTCCAGAAAATGGCAGACTTTCTTTGAGAAAGAAAACTTCTAGAGACTAGTTTTGTATCAGTCGTGCCTCCCTGATTTCGATCGAATCGTTCGGCGTCACCGGAGGAGAATCGTTAGGCATGTATGGCTACGCGTCACACTCCCACAATATGACTGCCGCTCTTGTCAGTTGTACGAAAGCAAGTCCCAGGCAACCAACAACAACAACCAAATTTTTACAAACATCATATGGGAATTACTGAAAGTCCTCGGCTCCTGGAAAAAGAAAGGACCGTTTGGGTTAGCCGATGGGGGACCAGTCTTGGAGCTCAGCGCACACTCCCCGAGCGACTCGGAACATTATTTTCGTGACTATCGCCTCGACAAAGACATTTATCCACACCAGCACGACGAAAATTGCACATATGAGGAATTTGATACTAATATGTCTTGCACACGGCGACGCCATCGATGTTGCGATGCTCTCCACGGCTGGGCAGATGGCGCTAGCGGGGCTGGTCAATCCTGGCGGTTCGGCGAACCTACGAGTCTTCGGAAGCGCGCTCAACCTCGACTTCAGCAGTCTTGGTGCCAGAACGATAATGAACTCCCACGCGCTCCTGTGGTTAAGGGTTTACTTGTCCGTCGACAACATTTTCGTTTTGTCCATCCCGCGGCGCTGTTTGGGATCCTCAGGAGCTTGCCTGGACTCGAAAGTGTAACTGTTGAACCCTGGTGCCGGATTCATCACAGTTTCGATACCGGTATGTCTCATGCTACAGCAGTTTTGATTAGTTGCTTGGGGTAGCTGTATGCAGATGCTTATAATGTCACAGGTTACCAACCCAGACTCGACGAGTACTTACAAGGAGCACATACTCTTAAAAGCCTTTCCATCTTTGAGGACCATAACCTATTCTTCCACGGGCATAGCAAGAGAGACTTACACCCTTTTTTGGGCACGACCCTGGCAGATGAGAGCCGCTCCTTTGAGCACCTGTCTGTGGCGTTTCTTGCCGATTCCTAGGAATTTCTCAAAGATTTCTGGCCAGGCTCTTCACCTATGTCTCTAGACCCATCACGTGGCGGCGCGCAAAGAGCCCTCATGTCGCGTTTGTCGCCAGTCGAGAGCCGCCATGTTACAGAGATGGGGCGCCTTGGCAAGTGGGTGTATTGCAAATCAGTCTTGGAAACAGCCACAGATGCGAGCGGAAACATCCCCTGGCCCATCTACAAACCTGAATGGCCGAACCTTGAGTCGCTGGCCCTCACGTCGCAGCTCCTGCACCCTACCGCAGAGAGACGCAGCGTCAACGACCTGGTCCAGGCCGCGGCGGGTGCCGCCATGGAGAGGCCAAAGCTGCAGACGATGGAGATTTGGAACGGCGAAAGCGGCTTCGCCTGCATCTTCCGCTACCGCCGCGCTGGGACAGATGGGTGTCCCACAATCACTCTGAGCAGCACCTGGGGTCACAGGCTGGAATCGCGGGTACCCAGGGCCTGGGATGACGTGGCGAACAAGCGTGCCAGCCGGGACATTTTGGTCGAGGTGCGAGCTCTGGCAGGGGAAGATTTCAAGTCCCATGGCTCGGTAGTCGGCCTCCTAGAGCTTCGCCGACGAGTCCAACACCCGGTGTCGTTGCGTCAGGTCAGGTGGGAGGGAGAACACTGCTAGGGATAGGAAGAAAGAATCATTCGCAAATATACACTCGTTCGATAACTCGTATCTCGTTCACAAGTCCGTGAAGTCGGCCACTTCAAACTCCTGAAGGACAGACTGTTGAGTGCCCCTGTCCCTGAATCCGCTGCCTCTGAGCGGCTCGATGGCTTCCTTGATGACGACAGGCTCTGACCTAGACAGCACCACACCATGGTGGTCGATGGCTTCAGCGAAAACCCTCGCGCCCTTGCCGACACGGTCAATCTCGCTTGGAGATACCCTCAAAACAGTCTCGAAGGAAGTGCGAGGCACCCTCCCCAGACTGGACGTTTTACTCCCCTTAGACCCGGCTGCGGCACCACGGACATAGAACCGCCACGACTTGGTGACGGTATCACCATTCCACGAAACATAAATAGCCGCCTCCCCGGTCTTCGGGTCCCGCACCGCAACCACAGCCGGCGTCTCGCCCGAGCGCCCCTCCCACTCGAACCGGAACCCACGATAGCTCTGGGCCGTCCGCCCGCCGGGCCCGGAGTCGAGATACGCGTGGAAGAGGACCTCGCCGCCGGGCGCGAACTCGGTCACGGCGCCGGCGGACCCCCAATTGACAAACACGTTCCCGTTCCCGGCACCGCCGCCGGGTAGGGGCAGCACCTGCGCGTTGCCCTGCGACGCGGCCCAGAGGCCGTCGGGCGCCGGGTAGGCGCGCACCTCGGCGGCGGCGCGCGCGGCGTGGTCGAGGCGGTAGACGCGGGCGGCGCTCGGCGAGCCGCCGACGCCGTCACCGTTGTCGAAGAGCGAGATGGTCTCGATATTGCCGTCGGGCGAGCGAGACAGGAAGCGCGCGTCGTGCTGCAGCCCGAACGGGCGCTTCGTCGTCGTCGTCGGCGGGTCAAAGGTGAAGCTGGAGCGCGCGCCGCCGAGCTGCCAGATCACGGAGCCGGTGCGGCCGTCGAGCTTGTAGATGGCGCTCGTGTGCCGGCCCGATATTAGGTAGTTGCCCTCGTCATCTTTGTCGACGCTGTTGATGTGGAAGTAGTCCCACGCATCGGTCGAGTTGAAGCCAGTCAGGGGATGTAGGCTGTCTGTGAGTGGACGTTAGTATGGGTGTTATGTGGACCAGGCTGATGCTATTCCTCCCAACTTACCGGCCGGTTCCACGATGTCAAGCGTGTGGCGCTCAAAGATCAGCTCTCCGGTCTCGATGTCGATCTCTGGCGAATCACCGTCAGGGTCAAGATCACTACTATAGTACCCGTTACCGAGCACTGCTCACCTTGGATGATACCATCCACGATCCACTGCTGCCCATCGGCGCCGCCATAAGGGCGCAAGTCGTAGGGAATGGGCTGGTAGATCTCAACCAGCGCCGTCTTCCCGTCGACGATGCGGAACTCGTGCAGGTCGAGCAGCTTATTCGTCGGGCTCCGCACAACCTCAATCTGGCGGTAGTGCTGGTCCAGCAGGACGGCCGAGCCAAAGCCATGGCCGTGGGAGACATCCACCGAGCCCTGGAACGCCTGGAGGACGGGCCGTCCCTGGTATTCGGCGACCTGGATGTTGGCGGCCCAGCCGGCGAGGTAGCCCAGACCCGACCAGACAAGGTCGCCGTCGTTGCGGAAGATGTAAGCCGCGGGCTGTTCCGGCCCGCCGCCGACACCCGGATACGGGCCGACGAAGATGTAGCCAGGGGCGATGCCGTCGCCGGCGGGAACGGTGATATTGAGTCTCGGCGGAGAGAGGTCCGGCCGTGAGCGGTATTGCCAGTCAGCACGGGCCCCTCTTGCTGCTGTCGATAGCCAGAGAGCGACGGTGTACAGAAGGGACTTCATCTCTGGGTGGTCCTCTAGTCGGGACTCGCACAACACCGGCAAGGATCCCTATGCGACTTTAAGCAGTCTGTGAAGCCAGAGAGGCTTGGCTTTTGGCGACGAGATACAGCGTATTTAATGCCCGGATAGCCCGCACCTTGAGAATGCGTCTCTGACCTTCGACTTCTCTCGCCATTCGCACGCAATGGCTTTGTGGTTTCTCCGCATCGAAACCACCAGCCGAAAGCGCTAACTATTGGCTATCGAGAGGGCGATTTCCTCTTAAGGCTAAGCCGTTCTGCCCCTGAGATCCTTTGCCAGGGCGAACCATTTGCGGACCCCGCCTTGAGGAGCTGAGCTCGTGGCGCCATCGGTTCTGACAATTGCGACTTCAGCAGCCAGCTCACTGTTGGCATTAGCTCAAGCTAGATAAATGCATGACCTAGACAGCAATATCTTCTGCTCGGAGCCATCGTATCGCCGTTCCTGAAGTTCCAGTATCTACCGCAAGGATGGGGTTGGAATCATCGTCGGCTCCCCACTCACGTGACTGGCTGGATTACAACATGAGATAGGTACGCATGCACTACCTTTCCCGTCTTGGTTAGAATTTCGACATCACAACAGAAGTTGCAGCTCAACAGCTCGGCATCCGGCGGCCCGGCGGCCTGACGAATAAACGTGGCGTCGAACTGTACGCTCTCGAGACTTCGGCCCATCAACGTCATATTGTATTCGTTTCGGGCCGCTGTTCTGGCGCATCGACGCAACTGAAAGCGACAGGTCACCTAAGAAGGACCCGGAGCCCGCGCTCAGACATCAATCAAGACTCGACATTGGAGAAACGAACCCCACAGTGACTGATCAGAAAATGAGTTTGCGCTGACTTGACTTCGGCTGCTTGGATTGGCCCAAGTCTCGCTTTTGTATGCAAGGCTGCTACGATAAATGCTCAGAATGTAACTATACCTGACGTTGTTGGCTGCAGGTTTGAGAGGTGGTCTCATCCTGCTTTCCCCTGTTGTCGCACAAATCAGGTGTTCATTCTTTCTCCGCGTGTCCGCCAGTTCTGTGCAACATTTGTGACATCTGTGACCATCCTCTTGCCTTGCCATCCTGTCAAGATGCCGGGTAACCAAGCCGCAAATAAAGCTGCTGCTGAAGTTGATGATGGAGTGTCCAACTTACCGACCTCAGAGGATTCCGTTCAGACGGCGATCGAGCAGCCTGCTGCTGCCGAGGCGCCCCCGCCGAATACAACAACCGAGACTGATATCCTCGGACCCCAACAGTGGATGCAGTTGGCAGAAGTCAGCAACTCCAGAGACAGGTAACCGCAAAACCAGCCGCTAATTCACGAACTATAGGGCACCGATCCGCAAGATTATAGTGACTCAACTCTGGGTGACAATGCCAGCTCCAGCGCATCCATAGCTTCTACTATCTTCCAATACAGGACGATACATGGTAGAACATACCATAGCGACCATGGCAATGCCCAATACTGGTTGGTATAGCCTCCATTGGGCTTAGCAGTCACCGGTAGCTGACTGGAGAGATTAGGGGCACAAACGACGACAAACAAAACGAGGCGATGGATATCAAGTAAGACCAGAATGAGAACCGATCTTCTAGCTACCCATGCATGAGCTATATTACTCACCAGTTTTCCGCAGCCATCACGTCCTCACGCTCCTTATCGGTGACAAGCTCTACCTAGCGCCACTACCGAAGGACATACAGGTGTGCCTCCAGTCCATCAGATATCATTGGCTACCTAATTAGCTAACAGCGCCGTCTAGAAAGTCGTCGACATTGGAACTGGCACAGGTACGAGAAAAGGACTTTGTATAGTCGAGCATCTATCAATTAACGGCGGCGAAAAATAGGCATCTGGGCCATGTATGCTCCTCATCCAATCCTTCCCAGGGGAGAAAAATGGATTTCGAGGCTAACCAACTGGTGCAAAGTGATTTTGCCGATGAATTTCCCAACACCAGGGTCATTGGCACTGACATCTCGCCCATTCAACCCAGCTGGGTGCCGCCAAACCTCGAGTTGTGAGAACCACTTATCTATCTATTACCAATCCAGTCCAACCACCTATACGCCCGCTGACAATAACTACCGTGCTAATCTATAGCCAAATCGACGACTGCACGCAGAAGGAATGGGCCTTCCCGCGCGATTCCCTTGACTACGTCCACATGCGCTGGCTGGTCGGGAGCATCGTTGACTGGACGGCCCTCTTCAAGCACGCCTACAACAGCCTCAAGCCTGGCGGATTCATCGAGAGCCACGAGGCATCGCCGTATATCGTGAGCGACGATGGCTCCATCCACGAGACGAGCGCCATGAACCAATGGGGAAAATTCTTCGTCGAAGGGGGTCGCAAGATGGGGCGATCGTTCACGGTTGTGAAGGACGGCACGCAGAGGAAGGCGATGGAGGAAGCGGGGTTTGTTGATATTGAAGAGGCGAATCTCAAGGTATGTCTGCGGCTCGACTCCTTCAAGCAAACAATAATTATATCCCAGGGGGAGATTGTTAACCGCAATGAAAACAGAACCCTCTCGGCGGCTGGCCTCGAGATCCCAAGCTCAGCGAGATCGGCAAGTATACGCAGCTCGCGCTTGAGCAGGACATTGAGGGCACTGTGCTCTTCATGGCCAACTCAGTCGGCTGGACCAAGATGGAGATTGGCGTGTACATCGCCCACCTCCGGCGGGAGCTTCGGTCGAGGAAATTCCATCCCTACTTCTGGCAGAAGGTCGTCTGGGGCCGGAAGCCCACCGCATAGTTTGGTGGCAGCAAGGTTTTCGTCATCTCACAAATGATGCTGGCTAATATATATATGAGGGGCTCGCGGTGCTACCAGCGCTCCGGCAGCTGTGGATAGAAGCGCGGCCTTTCACGGGTAGAGCTCCTATACGGAATAGAGGCATTTTCGAGGTGCCGAGATACACCATCTGTATGCGGATCCTGTGTCAGGAAACGAGATACGAGAGACGTGTAATTTCGATATGAGAAGAAAAGACGTCAACTTCGCTCCTTCATTGAGGTTAAGTCCTCTGATCGAAAAAGTCCCGACGACTATCATGGGCCAAAAACTGTTAGAATCAATGCACATACGCTATATATTTTCTATAGGAATCTAAACAAGATAAGATGCTCACAGTCCCACCTCCCAGCCTTGGTCTATCCACCAGCCTCTACATTCTACCATCTAAAACTCTCCTCGAAATACTCTATATTCGACCCCCTCCCCAACATATCCACGACAGCTCGCCGCGCATCATCTGCCATCCTCGCCGGCCCACACGCCACCACCGCGAGGCTTCCAGCCCCGACAGTCCTAGCCGCACACTCCACCTCGGCGCAAACGTCAGGCCTACCATGCAACACCGTCACCGCCTCCGGCCAGGCGGGCGGCCTACCATGTCCGTGCCCGTATCCGGACCCCCCCGTGATATACACATCGAGGGCCAACCACCCGCCATCCAGCACGCCGGCGCCGCCAAAGTCCTCGCGCAGGACCTCGGCGGCGAACTGCTCCTCCCGCGCCGCCCAGACGACGCGCACGGACCGCGACGACGACGACAGGCTCGCGAGGTGCGACAGCGGCACGACGATGCCGCTGCCGCCGACGACAAACAGGATGACGTCGAAGCGGTCGAAGCGCTGCGTGTGGCCGTAGGGCCCGTCGACGAGGACGCGCAGCGACGCCGCGGGGGGTGGTCGGGACGGGGAGGAGGAGTGATGCCCCGCGGCGGCGGCGGCGGTGTCGCGCAGGCGCCGGGTGAAGCCGTCGTAGGGCCGCAGGAGGAAGGTCATGGTGGCGGGCGGGGGCGGGTTCTGCGGACGGTGTGGTCCGAGTGCCGCGGTGGATGATGCGGGGCCGGGTTCGCCTTGGAGGAGCAGCGAGACCTCGTCTGCGGGGATGGAGTCGCGGCGGCTAGTCTGGTCGGCATTGGGGGAATGCCGGGCCGTCGTTGAGGCCACCGTGAAGGGATGGCTCTCCCAGAAACGGGCATCGTTCAACACGTGGATATAGTAGTAAGTGCCTGGTTTTGGCTGGTATGCGCTTGTCGAATAGGGGACTGTCAGCCGGATGATGTTGGAATTTGGATCGTATGTCGCTTTAGCGCGCGTGCTCCAGAACCTGGGGTTAAACGAAAGGACGCGAGAAAGCCGAAGGAGGCGGTCGAATCCCCAGACTAGCGCGGAGGACCAAATGAAGCCATCAAAGCGTCCTTTAAATATGGACACATGACTGTGGGGTTTTAGCAAGTCTCGCTCCGTTGCGGTATATCGAAGCAACTTACCCCAACATCATCACCAAGATGAGAATCGAGAGAACGATGTGTAAGATCAAAAAGGTTTCGTACGAGTTTCGGCGCATCCAGAAAACAGACAGCCCCAACAGCAGGCACATAAATATGGTCGCCTGACCACCAAATGTTAACACGACTCGGGGAATCACGGCCCCAGGGGATCGAGGTCGAAGCTCACCAATTCTCCTGTCCACCAAAACAACTGGCTCCAATACCCGACAAAGTAAGGCCAGCCACCGTCTGTATTTGGTCAGAACCGGGATAGAAGCGGGACTAGAGAGCTGCATCATGTACCATTGAAAACGAGAACAGTATAGCCAACCGAGTGGACGACGGCTTGTACGGTGGCGACGCGAGCGATCCAGCGGTGGAAGTTGTTAAAGGTTCCGAAATCCCAACCCGTAAGCCACATCAGCAAGTTGTTCCGCATGCCAAACAGCCAGATGATGGGAAAGTTGGCAAAGGAGATAATTCCCGTGCGATCTGACAAGTAGCGCCATACTTGGGGCGAAACCTCTGGCCAACTGCGCGGATCATGGTTAGTTAGTTGATGGCTCATAGCTGAGGCGTCTGGGTGTTGAGGAGACGCACTACATGTTTCCGGGGAACACTCGATAGCCATGAACGCAGAAGAAGATATTGATGATGACGAAGACGAGGATTGTCAGGCTTTGGATCCTTGGTGGGATGGTGCACCATCCGACATTTTGCGCGCATCTATATCCGAAGGCTGCTGGGACGGTCAAGTGTCGCTTCAGCCACAGCCAGCGACGACCGGCATCAGAGACGCCCTTGTAGGCGGAGATCTCGTCGCTTTCAAGCTGGTCTCCGCCCAAGAGCGGTCGATATTCGCCTCGCGGAATATCGCGAATAGCTGACATGATACGGCTGCACATGCCTATGACGACAACAAGGGTCCAGAAGACAAACATCGCCGCTCTGGATGAATTAGTATGAAATGGTCCAGGATTCGGGCGAGGGTAGCGGTCCGTCTCTGCTACGTACCCATAGAGAAAGTGATATTTCTCAACGTATATAATGGTGTCCTAGGATCTGTTAGAAGCCGCATTGGGTATGACGGTGCAACAAGGTTAAGGCTGTGGTACAAGAGTGTCGTAGGACAGTTTAAACAGCTTCTTGGTGGGAACGACCACTTCCCCCAGTACTGTCTCGTAGACAGCTTCCTCCCGCCGAAGGTGCCGCAGTTCGGAGATGACATCGTCAGTGTAGTTGGCGATGACATCGAAGGGTGGAAGGGGGGACTGGAGGTATTGGGTGCATGAGCGATTAAGATGAGCCAGACCCCCTGTCTGGTGGTCTCCCTCACAATGCACCTCGAGGCACAAGTACAGAGATAAGATTCCAAAGCGACTGAGGCACGCCTGGCCCAGTTTGGAGTTATCCGACCCCGTGTCATTGAAGTGAGGGGGCCGGAGGGACATCTGACAGCCGCTGAAGCACAGCTCGCGGGCCGGATCGCCCGCTGCTAGGGCTATTTGGTTCCATACTGCAAGGAGCGGTAAAAATAGGACAGGAGATGATACAGTACGACGCATGGCCGCGACGCTGGACGGTGCAAATGGCGCACTGCAATCGAAGTTTGCATCGTCGGGAGGCTCCTGGCTCCCGATAAACAGTTTTTATCTTATCAGATGATCAGTCTGCAGGGCCCGACTTCGGCTAGCCAATGTGGATCCCAGATCCACTCAGGTGAGGGGGCATGGGGGCACGGGGGCAAGCTCACATGCTACACGTACACTAGGTATTCTTCCCCATAGATGAGGGGTGAAGGTCACCTGACTAAACCCTACCAAAACACGTGAGTCGCTTGAACAACCAACAACCATGTTCTCGGACTCTTTTGTTAGGTTTCTTTTGGTTGCCCCAACTTCTCTTGAGCTCTGCTACCATTGCTGCTGCTGGCAGTTGCTCTTGCACTCAGACATAGGGTACTAGTAAACTGCCCATGCACGCATGTCAATTCTCTTGTTGTCCAAGGTTAAGTGTACCGAATCTTTCACAGATGCTTTGGCTATCGAGCTGGGGGCATTTTTTAAGGTTGACGGAAGAAGGATGGTGTATCCCTGCACCGAATTTCTTTCCTTGGACACGCATCATGTCCAAGGATCGGATAGCTGTTCCCAATCAAGGTCTTATCTGCTTTGCTTGAAAGGAAAATGAAGCTGGCTACCGACTGGCATTGGTACTTCACCCAAGCAACTGCTGACAAGATGAGATTATTTGCAAGGGCAACCTCAGAACCTCAGTTGACCAGGTCTCTCATTCCAAAGCCACTAGCCCCTACAAAATCCAACAGCATGGCCTCGTAGCTGTCCCGTCATACTCCCTGCTCTGCCATCAACCGGTCCCAGTCTGCAAGGATTATGAGAGGGATGTAGAGGGAGAGCAGCCCGCCAATGGCAAGCAATATTACCGAAGATAGCTGGGTTGAGCGAGAATAAATGAGTAGAGAAGCGTGAATGCTGGATGTGAGAATCGCTGCGGCTGATAAAAGATCTACCGCATTTAGTAAGGTGATGGCTGTGCTGGGTAGGTAATGGATCTATATAGGCGTGTCAAGGTGCTATGAGGGCGAAAAACAGAGAGGATGAGCAGGGAAGAGATGATGTTTGAAGTCGTCCCAAGTGCTAGACAAGTGTCAATTACCCTGCAATGAGACCATATCGAACAGAAGACGGGTGTACTTGATGCGAGTTTTCCCGCTGGCTGTGACCTGGAGGAATCCACCTCTGCTGCCCTGGTCTGGGTCTGGGTCTGACCAGGAGCGATTTCGAGGGCCGCGAGGGATTCTTCATTGTGAAAGGTTGGTTTTGGAAGGAAGACGGGGAAGATGCTCAATTTGCACTTTGTTCTTTGTTTCCTAGGATTTATGCACTGAGGAAATGTAGAATCCTGACCGGCCGTAAAGGCTGGCGGTCTCGGCCTGGCCATATATGCGTAGTCTGATTAGCCGATTGGCTTAGATAGGTATGATAGAAGCCCCTTAAATCGGCTAAAGCTTTACACCACGCCACAACCGTGCATTCCTAACTCATATATGCAGGACGTTTATTGGCTCTCAAAAGGACGGTCGATGGTGGGTGGCTGTTGGCTGGACTCATGTGGCCTACCCTAACTAGCTGCTGGGATAAAGAAGACTGATCCTGACCTTCCATTGAGGTGACTGTGATAATGTTGTGTATATGCATTACGCCGCAAGAAATGGCTGGGATAGTTGGTCGAGTGTGTTCTAGTTGACTGTCGTCCGGTATCACGGCTAATAGGAATGTTATATACCTATGTACTGTACGATAGTGCAGTACGTTAAGGTACCTAATCTTAATCACATAACCCACCTAGCTTTGGCTGTCGAGTTTGGAGGGCATTTTAAGGTTGGCCGAGGAACCTTTGTTGGAATTCTTGCAGTCGGTTCTAGGTTGTTAGCTGCCAAACTTTGTTTTGGCTCGTGAGTATATATATAGACGCTCTTGATCAGGGCACCTTTAAAAAATTCCTCCTTCCTTTCTTCTCCATCTTACTCTTCAGTCAGTCCTCCGCAATGGACTATCAGGCTATGGAGTCCACGCCTACAGCTACAGAGCCACTGCCCTCATTCCTCGACTTCTCTGCCGAGATTCGACTTATCATTTATAGACTCCTTCTGAGCAAAGATGGCCCGATCGCTTACGAAAATGCTAGTCTGCACCCATCAATTCTTCGTACATGCCGTCAAGGTCTGTCCGAGGCACATCCTATTCTCTACTGCGAGAATCCCTGGAAACTGGAGATCTCCAACGAAATGGGCCCGGAGTACAGCACGTTGCCTTGCAGTAAGCACTTGTCGTGTCGGAACCATGTTTTTGTAGATCGAATCCAGCATCGGCGGCGGTTTGACATCGAAATCACATGTTCAGACGTGCACGACGTTGATCTACTTCGAACAACCCTGCGACAGGTGTGCAAGGACCTATCCACATGCAGCTAGACAGCTCTCGTAGTCTTTCCTCGAGGTTAGGAACAGGAGAAATTACAGCTCACGGTGGATCATCCGCCTCGCCTGATCAGAGGCAAGCCTGTACTCTTCTGTGTCCTTGACCAGGTCGGGGATGGATTCAAATGACACCCCCAGGGGGAGGAGGGTGATGGGAAACCCTTCTACCACGCGGACATCCTCGCTGGTGTCTGTTACCCAATAGGTGGTGCGAGTTCATGAGGGCCAAAGAAAGTGGGCGTGGCACGGGTAGCGATGCACAGCAGCAGCAAGAGCAAGAGACAGCAACGGCAACAGCCACTTGGTTAAATTTTTGGCAGGCTGATCCCCCCTGTGATGCACTAGCCGCCTGGCCCTGGAGAAATTCGTGGAGTAAATTGCACATGCACGTGTAGCAATTCTCTACGATATTACCAACATCTTCTTCTAAGCATAGATAAGTCCTCAAAATTTCATTCGGAAGCTCTCAGCCGCCGAGGATTACAGTATTTAACAAGGACGGTATCTGTATCAGTCAGCCCAAGATGCCAGCCATGAATCCCCGTCAGCAACCCTCCTCCTCCCCCTCCACCCCCCCCCCCCCCCCCTTTCTCAAATCGGATCCCCCAGCATAGCCGGCAACCGATCAGGCCTCACGTTCTCCTTACTCAGGACACCCTTGCCAACAAGCATATCCAGCACCAGCCTCTGCGTCGCAGCGTCGCGGTCCGAGGCGGCCGCAACGGAGGCGCCGGCGCCGGCGTGCGAGAAGAGCATGGGGGGCAGCGCGTCGGCCGCCGGCTGCGTGTCGCTCGACGTCACGTCGGTCGCCCGGATGGTCGCCACCTCGGTGCTCCAGCAGTCCTGCCCGTCGTACGTGATGGCGCACTCGCGGGGGATCAGGGCCGCACCGCGGGCGGTTACGTATTGTCTGGGAAGGTAGGGGCTGGTCAGCGTTTCATGGACGGGGAAAAGGGGCGGCTTGGGGTCGAAAGGGACGTGGGGGAAGGGGGTGTGGGGGCTGTACATACGGCTTGTCGCCATCTTCGCACTTGAACTCCTGCACAAGGGTGACCTCAAAGGTGGTGTGGTTGAACTTGATCCACGTGTTGGGCATGTCCGGGGGGTTTGTGAAGTCTGCCTTGCAGTCGTACCACGTGTCGCTGGTGCCGTTGTAGGTCCAGGCCATCTCGTCGCCCGATGGCAGGCAGCGCATGGTGAAGTCGATCAGCGGCATGCTCAGGTCGACGTACGCGGCACCCAGCACGGGCGCCATCTCGGAGCTCTGCACCGAGTTGTAGCTGATGTTGCGCACGATGAAGGGCACGTCGCCCGCCAGCGCGCCCGCTGAGCAGTTGGTCAGCGGCGGCGGCGGGAACAGCGGCACGTAGTACACCCCGAAGTCGAACGGGTACGGAGAGCCGCAGGTCACGCCATCGTCGTCGCAGTATATGTCGATTGTCTTGTTCACGCAGTCGGCGTGGACGCGCCAACTGATGTGGGGGAAAGGGGGATTTCGGTTAGCCTGCTGGCCTTCTCTCATGGATAAGGGGGGGGGGGCAGGAAATGGCTTACGGCCGGCCCTTTGCGGTTCTGTTGCAGGTGAAATCCTGGTAGATGTACATGTCGGCAACCCGGTAGTCCAGATTGTACTCGAATGCCGTATCCACGGCACCCATGACGGTCCCGGCGTAGTCGCACGTGCCGTGGATATATCCCTCGCCCGGGTTGCTGTCCGTCTGGTTACCGGGGGTCTCGGTTATCGTCTCGCCGTGGCATGGCATGATCTCGCTGTCGAAGGCGCTCGTGACGGTGAAGTTGAAGGCGATGTGAGTCCAGGTTCCATTGGCCGATCCGTCCTCCTTCTTCAGCGGCGTCCGGATCAGGGTCAAATCACCGGGAATCTTCCATCTATTGCCCGTGCCACCACCTTCCGCAAGCACCTGCCATCCGGGAGGGTCAGGGCATTGCAGCAATCCGTCGACGGCCAGAAACAGGGACAGAGACAGCAGCAGCCCGAGGGGAGAGACGACGGCTGCGAACATGGTGGCTTCGTGGGTGAGGAATTGCGATTCGATCACGATCCCATAATCCCACACGACAGGACCTCCCCGGGCGCACCTGGGCGGTATAGTTCGCCATTTATGTAATCCGTCCTGACAAGCCTTTAGCCAGTGGCGTTGGGCCGGGAGTCAGGAAATCGTCCAAAGGAAGGGTTGAGAAATGCGGAGGCCAAGTCTAATCGACTCAGGCTGCAACAAGAGCAATCAATGCTAGCACATGTACTGAAGGCGATCTCCCAGGCGGGAGCAATTAGATGGGCCATTTGCCGTCCTTCGTAGATTAATCGCCGCGCAGCGGGCTTGGTTGTCGGTGCGGCACTTGTCTTGGGGGGAGGATGCCGGGGTCTAAATCTGCAATGTCTCGGGAGTCCGTCCAATGAGTCGCTGTCAGTGCAATCCCCATATATGGACTCCAAGTTAAGGCGGGGGTGAGGGAATAATAGATCCCCAAATGGATTTTATTGCACTATCGTACTGGAGGTAGATGTTTAAAGGGTCTTGTTAATGTGAATGGATCTGGATGCAGTACATTACATTACCCGGAATCTCTTGGCGAAGCCATCAGTCCTTCAGCCTAAGCTGCTTTGCAATTGCAGTTCCACGTGCCAGACAAGCTCGGCTACTCTCTAGAACCACCGCTGAAAGCGGAGGTCATGTCATAAGCTGATGGCGACCCTGAATCCCTCAACCGGAGCTCAGGCACGATACTTGGCGTGACACTTCGTAGGCCAGTCGAATTGGTTGGCCATGTCGTGGCTTACGACTACAAATGATACAAAACCACTTCAGAGGACAGAGACCCAGAGGATTAGAGTAGATGCTGGTTTTCCTTGACAAAACACTCTTTGGATAGCCACTGGTGTACTGTGGTGTTCAAATGGGGGTAAAGGCAAGAGATGCTGGGCCGCTACCAAGGGGATTGGTCTAAGCAAACCACGTCTAGTTGAAACATGTGTGGGCTGAAGGTACTAATTGGTATATAATTAGTACGTGCTCTACCTATAGCTGTAGGTACTTGAGGTTTGCAAAAAATATCCCGTTGGGGGATCGGCACGCATAATCTTGCGTCAGAATTGAAGTTAAACCCCCCGTCCCCCCTCCCCCTCCTCCTACGCACGACAAGCGGGCTACCGGTACGAGTAGCAGCCTTTGCCATGGCCCCCAGGCGCATCGCATCAGACACCCGCGACTTCCGTCTTGCTGGCGTGGCCGTCCAAGCTCGAGGAAGTAGCCTTCTCGTTCAGGGGCATCTTCATGTGGGGATCGCGGACGACCTGGATGTCTCCGAAAATCTCGCCAATCTCCTCCAGCGATTTACCTGCCAACACGTCAGTCTTCGGTTCCACGCAATTGCCACAGGAGGCAGCTTACCTCTAGTCTCCGGATACGCAAACGCAAAGACGAGTGCACAGAGCGCGTTGGTGAGGATGAAAAGAATCTGAAATGGGAGCGTCGTCAGCTTCAATGCTCGGTCAATGGCAACCACCAGGTAAACTGACATAGTATTTCCAGCCGACCGCCGCCAGCGCAATGGGCGAGCACTGGGTGATGATCAAGCTGATGGAGTAATGGATGACCTGCACCAGGGCGTTTGCCTTGGCTCGCAGCTCTGTGGTGAAGACCTCAGGACTGGAAAAATATTCGAATCAGTACGACTGATGCCCCGAGCTGGCGGGAAAACAAACTCACGGAATGATCCAGGTCATCGGACCCAACAGGGCCGAGTAGGTGGCCGAAACGGCGAAGATACAGGCAATGAGACCACGCTGAGCAGCAGCGTTCGTGGGCTGGCCGGGAAGCGCTGGGTAGACGGCGGCAATGATGGTGATGATCATGTAGCAGAGCGAAAGCAGCGACGAGGCGGTAACGAGGATCTTCTTGCGGCCGATGCGGTCGACGAAGAAGAGAGAGATAATGCAGGCTACGGGCCCGACAGTCCCGTACAGGCCGCTGACGAGCAGCTGCTGGCTCTGCTCAAACTGGAGGGTCGCGTAGATGGCGGTCTGGTAGTACTGCACAAAGGAGATGCCCGACAGCATGGCGGCGGCCCACACGAAGGACCCGACGAAGAGGCGCCTCCGGAAGGCGGCGATCCGGAAGAGGTCCGCCCACGAGAGGCGGCCCTGGGCCTCGAGCTCTTCGGCGATGTTGGCCTGGATGAGCGAAAACTCGGTGTCGCACCACTCGTCGTTGGTCCCGTTGTAGTGGTAGCCGCGGAACGCCTTCTCGGCCTCCGCATGGCGGCCCTTTAGGCACAGCCACCGTGGCGACTCGTTAATGAGGAGCACGCCAATGCCGAGGATGAGCGCCGGAAGGGCCTGGATGGCAAAGCCCAGTCTCCACTGGTGGGCGTTGTTCCATTTGCCTTCGCCTACTCCTGTCCACAGCGCAACGAAGAATCCCCAGGCGGCCACTTTGTATCATGAATCAGTAAACTGCAAAGGGGGGAAAGGGGGAAGGGATGCCGAAACTTACTCATTTGGTTACAAGCCGTAATTTTGGCACGTTCCTCGGTCTGTCATACCACAAGTCAGTCAGGGTCTTCCTCCTGGAGACAATCAACTCGGGAAATCCGCACCTTTGCGATCTCGGCGCCGAAGACGGGAGCGACACCGGTGATAGTACCGACGGCGAACCCGACCAAGAGACGGCCAATAATGACTATTAGAGAAAGAGGTCAGAATGTCTACCCCATCCCTTCCAAGTGGAGCAGCGTGGAGCAGCTTGGGATCATTACTCACGCATGGCAACATGGGCGGCTCCGGCCATCAGGGCCCCCCCAACAACACCGAAGGCGCATCCGAAGGCGATTGCCCTGCGTCTACCGAACCTGTCGCTGGTGATACCGACCGAGGCGCTGCCGAGCCACGCTGAGCCCAGAGTCAGTTTTCGAGAAAAGATATATCAAACAGAAGACACAGAGATTGAATCACCTCCAGCTTGGTAGACGGAGACGATGGCACCCCGGAGAGGAGCGTCAGGGTTGCCGAAGTAAACCAGGAATGACTTCAAGGCCAGACTGGGGGTGATGATTCCCGAGTCGCTGGAGATGCATCAATTAGCGAAGAGCTGCGGAAGAAAGCGACAAAAAAGGGGAACATATTGTTATCACTCACAAGCCATAGAGAAAGCCGCCGATTCCCAGGAATAGGGAAGTCAGGAATGGCTTGCTGATCCAGCCGTTGTCCTTCATGGCTGCCCAACAGTCCAGGGGAAGAGGTTAGGAGATGTGGAGATGTCGAAGCTGTATTTCTCCCAACACACTTGTGGAGAGGTGAGCGAGGTCTTAATTATGTCGAGGGTGGTCGAGATCAGCAGCGAGGATTGCCGGATTTGATGCTGGTGGTTGGGGATTATAATGTTTATCTGCCTATCGTGCCTCGTGGTGGAATGAAACCCCGGCAGGGATTTTTCATGCAACCACTACCTTGGTAACCACGGTAATTGGATACCCGTGGTAGCCTAGGTGAATAGGTGTAGTCTGGGGTCAGCCATCCCTCAGCTATGCCTAGGTTGTCCAAAACCGCGACTCGTCCCCACCATTAGTGTACTAATAGTACTGCGTAGCCTCTCTTCGCCAAGGCCGGCAGTTGTAATAACTAGATGCCCAGTGGTCCACCGCCTCCAATTTCTGGGGATGAGGGGGAATGGTTTATCTGAGCGTTCTTCGCTTCATCAACATCATATCGCTTCTTTTGCCTCCGCACGACCGAACCTCCCTCCCCTGAATCCCAAAGTCTCGACCCCGCTCCTGTTTCGCTGGCAATTGGCATCAAGATGATCGTCACGATTCTCGTCGGCGTGGCCGTGGCCGTGGGACTCTCGTATCTTACATTGATATTTCCCCTGGTAGGCAAAGACCCCCTATCAAACCACTGGGTGCCCTACGTCTATTAACTCGGATCGGAACAGCTGCAACAAAACTGGAAGCTCTACGCGCGCCGCTCGCAGCTCCCGCCAGGCCCCAAGGTGCTCAAGACGGGCATCACGAAGCCATGGCTGTGGTTCCACGAGCTGAACAAGGAGTACGGGGACGTGGTGTACCTCCAGCTGGGGCCGACGCCGACCATCATCCTGGGCTCGGCGCAGGCGGCCTGGGACCTGCTGGAGAAGCGCGGCGCCATTTACTCGTCGCGGCCGCGCTTCATCATGGGCGGCGAGCTTCTGTCCGGCGGGATGCGCGGCCTGATGGCGCCGTACAACTCCTTCTGGCGCCGCTGGCGGAAGTTGCTGCACGGCGGCTTCATGCAGCGCCAGAGCGAGTCCTACCGCCCCATCCAGAGCCTCGAGTCCAAGGTCCTGATGCGCGACCTGCTCAAGACGCCCAACGATTTCCGGACGCACCTTGAGCGCTACGCCGCCTCCGTCATCGTCACCGTCACGTACGGGCGAAGGGTCCAGGACGTAAGGACCGATATCGTAGTCCAGCGCAATGCCGAGTCAATGGAACGCCTCACCTCCGTCAAGTGAGCAGATACTACCCCTCTTTCCCCAAAATAGCTAGCGGTTCTCTTACCCCAATTTCTTAGCATCCCCGGCAAATTCGCTGTTGAGCGCTACCCTGCGCTCAGGTTCGTGCCCAGCATCTTCGCGCCGTGGAAGGCCCAGGTGCTCGAGCAGCGGCAGAAGGACATCGTCCTGTACACGGAGCTCATGGACGAGATCCGCGAGAAGGCCGCCAAGGGCAACGCCCCCGCCTGCTTCGCCACCCACCTCCTGAAGGAGCAGGCCAACCTCGGCATGTCCGATCTCGAGATCGCGTACACGGCGGGATCCCCCTTCGGTGCCGGCGTGGAGACGGTTAGTTACCCTCCCCCCCCGGCCCCCCCCCCCCGGGGACAACGGGAAAACGGCCGTGCTGATGTAGTATCTATCGTTCGCAGTCGGCGGGATCGCTCGCGAGCTTCTTCCTCGCGTGTGTCAAGTTCGGCCACCGGTTCATTCCCCTGGCCCAGGAGGAGCTCGACAGGGTGGTGGGCACCGACCGGCTCCCCACGTTCGACGACCTGTCCCAGCTGGAGTACGTCCGGGCCATCACGTCAGAGACTCTGCGCTGGCGACCCGTCGGCGTGCTGGGAGGCACGCCGCACGCGAGCACGGCCGACGACGTGTACAAGGGGATGTTCATCCCCAAGGGCAGCACCGTCATCGCCCCCCTTTGGGGTCGTAAGTTGCACCCTCACCTCGCTTTGCTTTGCTTTTCACCCGGGAGGCTTGAGTACTGATCTGTTAAAATCGCCCTTTCTTCAGTTCACCTGAACGACGCAGATTTCCCTGAGCCCCATGAGTTCAAGCCAGAGCGCTTCACGGAGAAGCGAGAGTACCCCGGCACGTTCGGCCACAGCGCCTTCGGCTGGGGCCGCCGCATCTGCCCGGGCATGCACCTCGGCAACGCCTCCGTGTCGATCAACATCGCGCGCATACTGTGGGCCTTCAACGTGGGGCCCGCGAAGGGTGCCGATGGGAAGGACATCGAGGTTGACATGTAAGGCGGATCCCGCCCTCCCCCCCTCCTTCCCTTGTTGAATGCCCGCAACGTGCTTACGTTTTCTTTTTTTTTCTTCTTCAGATTCGCCTTCTCGGACGGGTTCAACTCCACCCCTCTGCCATTCCCCGCCTCGATCACACCGCGCTCGGCCAAGCATGCCAAGGTCATTGAGCGGGAGTTCCGGGATGCCGAGGAGCAGTTGAAGGTGTACAATGTTACTAAGAGCAATATCTCCTAGGTAAGTGTAGGGATTGGAGATTTGAGGTGAAAATAGTTGTTAGAGTTAGGATGGACAAGGTCAAGATTGTATTCTATCAAAAGAAAAAACCAATCTGCATGTCAGTAAAACGAGCAGTGTGTACCTAGTATCAAGTCGAAAAATATTAGCAACACAATCTTGTTGAGTTCGAGAAGGTGAGTAGCTGTTGGTACATTCAAGCAATACAGGAAGAAGAAAGATACCATTAGGCCCCAAGGCTGCTCTGACAATTAGTGGAAACGTCCATCATTCACAGTGACGGGAGCTTTTGGGCTGCCCAGGTTATTCAGAAGGGGTTAATTACAATAACAGACATCTAAGTGGAATCTCTCTACCATGCCCGCTGGGCACCTCCAAGTATCCCAGGAATAGAGTATTAGACCGATAAACACGGCGCCCTCAAGACAGCCGCCCTTAGCAAAACGCCTAATCTAAACCCGAACGACAGCACGGCCCTTGATGCGGAGGCTGCGAGTGCCAGTAGCATTCCCGCCGGAACCGGAGCCGGATCCAGGGGCAGCCTCGGTCCACAGCTCGGGGCCGGGGATGTTGTACTCTCCCAACGGCGCAGCGGCGCGGACGCGCCTGTTCGCCGACTCGTCCCCGGCACCCTCGCCGTCCCCCTCGCCGCCCCCCTCGCCGTCCTCCCCGTCCTCCCCGTCCTCGTCCTCGTCGGGGTAGATGTTGAAGACGATCCCGGGGGTCTGGTCGGTGTATCCCGTCGCGAAGCTGAAGCCCTGGTCCGGCACGTTGGCGCCGCCGCCCGTGACCTCGACCTGGACGCAGCTGGGGTACAGTTGTGCGCCGCGGGCGGGGTCTTCGCTGTAGGCGACGTCGGCCTCGTGCAGGCCGATGACCTCCTGGCGGATCAGGTACTTCCCCGCCTTGAGCGAGGCGGGCAGCCGGAAGTCCCACTTGCCCTGGGCGGCGATGAGCCTGTCGACGGCCCACTGGTCGCCGTCGAGGCCGTCCTGCGAGATCTTGGTCCAGCCGGCGTCGGAGCCGTCCGACTCGGTGTACTCGGCGATGTAGGTGATGATGGGCCCCTTGTGCGACTCGGCGATGATGTCGTCGCCCCGGGCGTCGTGGTACCACTCAAAGGTGAGGCTGTCGCCGGCGGCGGCGGTGACGAATTCCGGGACTGCCTCGCCGCCCTTGACGTTGCAGGCGACGGCGGGAAGGGTGAGGTCCGTGATGGGGCTGTTGTTGGGGGGCGAGCGGATGTATTTGCCGCGCCCGTCGCCCTGGTCCTCGCCGTTGACCCAGACGCTGAACATGTGTGTGTGTGCGCTGGCAATGCCGGCCAGGGCGAGAACGGTTGCGCTGGTGAAATGCATGTTGGCGGTTTCTACCTGATGCTGGAGAAGTACAGAAGATTGAAATAAAGGGGTATCTTAAAATCTTGCTGGAATATATTGAGGATCGCGCAGCGACTGTCCTGGAGAATGGAAGCGACCTGCGAGTGAAGGGAGAAGTGACTGATGACGAGAGACAAGATTGACGGATATCGAGGTCGGACTGACAGGACTTTATACTCGAATGTGTTCCTCTCTTCCTGCCCCTGAGGTTGTGCCTCAGGGCTGCCTACGAGCTGGCCATCGTGTGGACGGTATGGTGGTAGTTCCGCTTCGTCGGTAGTCTTGATGAACTAGGCATAATTTAGATTGCGTGTTCATGAGTAGATAGAGATGTTAATTAAAATAAATGAAGAGGCTGAAGCCTCTAAAGTGTTTCCAAGACATGGTGACAAGGAGGGAATCAGTCAGCCTAGCCCGCGCCACGGTCCGTCCGCACGACCCGCACTCGAACAGATACGTCTGCATTGCTTGAGAAATATTGCATAACGGTCTTTAATTAAGAACGCGGTCATCTCGTGGACTTTACCGGGTGCTTGGCGATCAGCGCAGGAGGAAGCTGTGTGCGAAACGCCAAGGATCAATGCCGCGGGATGCGGGTCCAGGATTCGAGGCGCCGGCATGATATTGCAGATAAACCTTAGGCCACGAGCCGCATCCTCGGAAGCTGGCCGAGCGGCACGACGTCAATCTCTTCTGGCTTTTATACTACCTGTAATGCGCAAGGCTCATCAGGGTCCAACGAGCTGGAGCGACTGTCATCTCGAGGTATGTTCGAGGCATTGAATCGGGGAACTTGTTCATCCGATGAGTGAGCCTTGGGATGTGGGCTCTTAATCATGATATCTCCTCGACTATGCTTGTTGAAGATCGTCACGGAAAGATGGCGAAAGACACCGTATCCGAGGCTGCTGAATATGTGTAAAGAGGTCCGTAGAGCAGATCAACGGCGGCCCACCATTGCAGAGTTTTAGTAGCAGTGGTTTTTCCTTTGCTCACTGCGGTATCCCGTATTGGATTTATTGACTGGGCTTCAAATCAAGTCGCGATGTTGGGACCCAAGGTCACGCGATCGATGAATATTGGCCAGCCGATCATGCCAGGTAGGGCTTGCGGCACATGCCGAGACAGAGAACGACTTCAGCTTCGTAGAGAAGAGTAAGGAATGCTAGGCCATCTGATTTATCGTCAGCCGCCAGGTTTGCTTGCTACAGGTAGATTACCCTGCAACCCTCCTGTAATCTTCTAGTAGCTGAGGTTTTTGAATCGTATCCCAGTAGTCGACATGCTTCTCCACAAGCCCCTTTCCATACCTTTCCATACCTTTCCCGTCCAATACCTCTAAGTAGATTGCAGAGATGTTCATCCGGCTGCCAATATTTCGTGTCGAAGACCAGTCTCCGTCGCTCCATGTCATCCCGAAAAGAAGGTTCCAACTGAAGCTGCCAGTGAAATGAAGCGCCGGGAGCGGCAAACCAGATGCCCCACTCCGATGGTCCGTCAGTCCAGCTGTCTTCCAATTCTCCAGGGGTACAACAATGGTAGTACTCAGAGACGCCACTTTCAACGAGGGAATCTGCAAACAGGCTCGCGCAAAGGCTTCTATCAGGGGAGCAAGGAGTTCCTCGTCAGGCACCAAGCGGAATATGGAGGGAGGGTACCCGTCCATTTCTACACCATCAACTACTCAAATGCCTCCTGGATATGGCTCAGGCGAGGAGGATGATATCGTCGCAGCGCTGCAGTACTCTGACGTTGAGAACGCAAGGCTATCAGGGTCCTGGGAACGACTTTTAGCTTGAAAGTACCAAGCCCCAGACGGTGTTGTCATATGAAAGTGGATATTGAGATGGACCAAGTTTTGCCAGAAAGGCCTGACGATTGTTGGGCCAGGAAGTGGCCATAGCAATGACGTGTCTAGAGTGCCTCGTATATAAAGGCTTGTGAGGGTCTCGCACTCAGCCGTAGCCTCACGAATAGCCCTGCATAATGGATCGAACGTCGTACCTGCGGGGCGAAGATCTACTGGACGCCAGGAATGGTTCCAAAGTATATTCTGGTCCATGTATAGCCGAATCGCCCGAAGACGAGTCGTGGACAATAAGTTTTGGACAGCCTGGGTGAGACGCGCCCGGATCGTACGACGCAAAACTGGGTAACGCCTTTCTGAGTCGAGCATATACCAGTCTCCAGCAGAGAGATTCGGCAATCTGGCGGCGATCTCGATAGCCACCTCATGAGAAAGAGAACGCTTCGCTCGAATATCAGTGTGAAAACTCGTCATAGCTGGCACCAGCGGCAGATCCGTGGGGCGCAAGAGCTGGAGGTATGAATACCGAAAACGGTAGTCCCGGAGATCACGATTGCGAATCTGGTATCTGTCCCCAGGAATGACTGCATCAAGCCTCTCAGCTCTGGTGGTGTTGCCATGAAGGCGGTGACCGTTATCCATAGGTGAGTACACGTCCAGTATGTCGAGTTGAATATCGTAGTCGCTCTTGATACAGCCTTTGCCATCATCCCAAGATCTCAGGATACGAAACAGCCCATGCAAGGCAACAGTGAAAGCCTCGTCATTAGCCAGACGGTCAGGCCCGCGCTCGAATCTGCCACAGGCTTGTTTACTGTAGGTCGGCAAGACAATCGTATATTGAATGGAACGTAGGAAATTCCGACGATCTCCTTGGACGATTTTCTCGAAGGTGTCTAGGTCTATGCTCTTGAGGTAAATATGTCGGAAAGCTTGCCTCTCGATTGCTGTTTGCCACCGTCGGGAGACTGTAGCCAGGGCAGGTCGCTTGAATGACGGATTCAGATAAGGTGAAATTCTTCCAATCTCGTATCTGTCTGAAAAGCAAGCCCGATGTTGTCGTAAAGTTCCTGCGGAAGACGATTCATTTTCTTTCCAGTTGCAAACGCAGGCCAACTCCTAGAAGAGGGGTTGCCAAAATAAGGGACAGCATTTTAATGAGTTTTAATGAGGCTATAACCGTCTCCCCCCAACTGACGTAAGTTCACTCGAGGGCTCAGCGGCTGGCTCAGGCCTGGGCGCGGCATGGTGGTGATAAGGGAGGAGGGAGCAGGTCATAGGCCCACATTCTTGCCACCCAGCCAGATATTGAAGGAATACGAAATTCCCACCAATTCGCGCCCCGCACCACGCTACCCCGTGGAACAGTGCCTTATGTAACTGAACTAGAGAGTGACCTGCATGAATCATCTCATTGGGCGCATGGCCTAATGGTAAGGCGTCAGATTTCGGCTCTGAAGACTGCGTGTTCGAATCGCGCTGTGCTCGAATAATTTTTTGTCGAATTCTCTTTGACCTTCAGCAGGGAAGCGGCTGGGATTTTTTTTCTCAGCACAACTTTTGCACTTCTCCAGTCAGGCTCTTCTTCAGCCCATTTTGTTGGGAAATACTTCTCATCCCACGTAGCGTGCCAACGAGAGACAAGATTCTCATTCCAACGCAGAGTGTTGGGCAATGGGGGACAGAGAGCAGCTAGTTAGAGGCATTCCCTCGAGACGTCGAATAATTGCGATCAACTGACTACTATTACAGTATTACTTGTTTGGTATGACCCTGAACGTAAAGAGAGAGGAAGAGGGGAGCATTGGGGATTAATTAATACTGGGATGAAGACAGAAAAATGGAAAGGCAACGCCCCCGATTGGTATCCCGCACGGAAAACTCCCTCATCAAACCCGGCATCCCGAATCACTGAGCCCGCCCGGCGTCGTCATCGGCGGCAACCCCGTTCGCGCCGACGCAGAACCCGATATTGACGTAGCGCACCAGCCAGCTGACCTCGCGGCCGCGGTGGCCATCGCAGTCCTTGCAGCCCCGGCGCGCCATCTCGAGGCCCATGACCCCGTCCATGACGCTGCTGCCGCTACCGCCCTTGCGCACGCCGTTCTGTCCATTGACGCCGCCGTTCCCGTTAGCGGTGGCGGTGGTCGTCCCGTTGGCTGCGCCAGCCGTGGCCCCGAGCGCCGTCCAGCTGAGCCGCTTCCCGCCCGCCGCCGCCGACCCGCGCGGATTCGTCGCGGCCGCGTAGCTCGACAGGGCGGCGAACTCGCGCTTCTCGGCCACGTCGCGGTCGATGGCCATGATGCTGTCGAGGGCGCCTCTGCCGGCGGCCCCGCCCTTCATCATCTGCGCCGGGAACATGGCCTCGAGGTAGTCGGCCATGCGCAGGCCCGACGGCGACTGCCTCTGTTTCTGCTTCTGTTTCTTCTGGCCCTGCGCGGACGTGGATGGCCGCTGCTGCATCGGCAGGGAGGCGCCGTCGATGACGAACACGGCGCCGCAGTACCGCCCCCGCAGGTCCTGCCTGACGCCATGTAGGACGCCCAGGCGGGCGAGCGGGTCGGCGGCCAGGGCGAAGTGCTCGATGTGCGGCTGGCCGCGGGCCCGCTCGGCGTGGGCGTCGGTCTGGTGATGGTGGAGCTGCTGCTGCGGCGGCGGCGACGGCGACGTGGGCGGCGAGCTGGCGTCTTTGCTGGAGGCGGAGGATCCGGAGGATCCCCTGTTGTTGTTGCTCTCGCCCGTGGGGATGACGAACTCGCTCGCGGCCGCACCGAAGGTGTAGATCTCGAGCTTGGCCAGGCGGTCGGCCGGGACGTCGGCGTACAGGTGGGCGGTCGCCTGCGCGAGGGCGGCGGCGCCGGTGTTGTGGGCGAGGACGACGACGCGGCCTACCGAGGAGTCGAGGAGAGCGGCGCGGAGCTGCGAGTGGATCGTGCGGGTGGGGCGGGAGGGGAGGGGGATGCAGCGGTGGAGGAGCAGGGAGACGAGGTCGGCGGGCACGCCGTAGGAGGGCATGCAGATGCCTGTCATTGTCCTGCCGAAGAGCTTCGAGAGGGTCGGGATGGTGGAGTTGCAGAAATGGCGGGAGCTTTGCGACCGGTATTGTTAGCCCGAGGTGCGAACCTTGAAGGGGCAGTAGATATCCTTACCTGATTCCCATGCCCTCGATGACGATCCATCTCTCGTCATCGGTTTCTTGGCCCATCATCCATCCCGCCGTGCCAGCCGAGCATCGGTCGACGTGGTGTTTCACGTTGAGCTTCCAGCTGAGAGCGAGAACCAAGCCTGCACAGCCGCAGAACCAGGTGCAGAATAGGATACCGGGAAGGGCGAACCACAGGGGCAGCACCGCGACGAGCATGTAGAGCTCGATGGCGACGAGGGCGATGTGGATGAGGATGTCCATTCGGTCCGCCCAGGACATGGTGCCCCCGCTGGCGACGAACTCGGTCCATAGCGCCCGGGACATGCGCGGCATCATCCGCATCATGGCTGAGGCGTCGTCGCGGAGCAGGCGCAGGGCCGACTGCTGTGCGCGTAGGGCGGTCCCGCACGCGCCATCGACCAGGGGCGGAATGTACACCACGGACGGGGGGCTGGCATTGGATGGCGAGCCCGCCCGTGACGATACTCTTGGGGACGGAGACCTGGAAAGCCACGGCATGGTGGTGGAGAGTGAGCACACTTTGGGTTAGGGGTTGGGCAAGAAGAGCAAGGCCAAAAAATTAACAACCACGGATCTAAGGGCTGGATGGAGTTCGTGAAACAGGACAGAACCGTTTTTTTTTGTTTGCTCTGTTCATTCGACATGGTCGATGGCATTATATCTTCGTTGCGGGTCCTTCACATGCTGTCAGAAATCGTGCCTCATTCCAGAGCGTCACCCCTGTTACGCGATCTCGGCCCTACACAACTCTCCCTTGCCGCGTTCCCCGGGCGAGACAACAACAAGCTCGAATCGCAAAATGGGCCATTGAAGGGATGCCCCAGATGTTTGTGGCTTGATCCACACGTCTTGATTGGGCGTGGGGGTTATTCTTCTGTTCCTTCAACGCGACATACACAGCTTGTCGCATGCTGACATTCCGTCTACAACATTCCCTTTGGGTAGATATGTTTAATTGGGCCCGGCCAGAAGCCGAATGAAGAGGCGCGAAGACGTTCCAAGAAGCGATCAACCCTCTCAACTTCCTACAAAAGATGACGACGTCAAGACTTGTGGCTGAGACAATTTGGAATGCTCAGAGACAGAAAGTGGTCTGAGGTGAAGGGTATTATTCTTTGTTGTTTACTTGCCAGCCCTCTTCATGCCAAACGAACATTGGAACAAATCAAGGCCAAAGGTAATGCATGAATGATATCAAGTTTACGAGGTACAGTGCTTCTGTAAACTGTATAACCCAATTAATTGTTGCCTAAAATCGACCAATCTGATCGAAGGAAGTCACCAAGCTTTTGGCCAAAACCGAGAGACGTAGCTACATGACAGGAAGCCGTATACACTTCTCAAGCGATCAAACAAAAATGCCTCCCCACACTTCGGGTTCCTCGCAGCGACTCCTCACTGCCTACGGGGATGGGAGCTGATAAAGTATTCTCAGAGTAAGCCAAGGAGGCCAGCACCGAGTCCGCCGAGCACATCGCTCAGGATTCCGTGGACAGCGATCAGAATCCCATCGATGACGAGGTCCAGACAGTTGAGGAGGCCGCTCAGGGCAATGATCAAGGGGGTGAGGTAGAGCAAGACACAGGCTGTACTCGCGTCAGTCAAACTCATGGTAATCGGCTTATATCTTTATCTTCTTTTCACGTACCGAGGCCCAGCTTGACCAAGACAAACTTCAGCGTGCACGAGATCTCCCAGACCAGGAGCTTGACCTTGATGCCGAGGCAGCCCGAGTCGCACGCGGCGGACCGCGTCACCCCAAAGGCGCGCTTCGAGAGCACGGCGGTGGCGGACTTGAGGGCGTCGGTGATGCCCTGGAAGTCCGGGGCGAGGTCGTTGGCCGCGGCGGTCTGCGTGGCCAGGTCCGGGTTGTCGGGGACCGCGGCGGTGGTCTTGTCTGTGGGTGGGGGAGGTTAGTGACTTGTAACATGCTGCGGAACCCCTGCTCCTTGCCTGGGAAACTTACTGATGTTCGCGGTGTAGCCCTGGACCTGGGCGATGAGGCTGTCCAGTTCGTCGGCCTGGCTGTCGAGCTGGCGCTCGGCAACGATGGGAGTGGCCAAGGTGCTGGCTGCGAAAGCAAAGACGGCGAAGAGGATGGCCTTCATGTTGACGACGAGATTAAACTGTGGCTGAAGTTGTCTGGAAAGAGCTGTCTTGGGCAAGAAGAAGAGTCTTGAGATCTGTTGTGTGCTGCCAAAGTGCGACAGTTATCCAGTCGCGGTCTACACCTTTATACTTTTCCTTCTCCCGTACTGACAATGTTTCGTGGCGAACTTGTTCCCTTGGAAAGGTGTGGATGCTTTTCCTCGGAGTGTCCTCTCCATCGTAGAGTCGTCTGCCCGTGTGGGCAGAGGAGCGTTGTCCACATGGGCTATTTGCGTCTTAGATGATATTCTGCCCCCGTCGGCTGCTTGATGATGTCAACATTCTTGTCTCTTTGCCTTCTTAATCTCCAACCTTCGACAGTTTCGAGCAGTGTTCTAAAAATGAATACATTGACCTCCCATGTCAGAAGGAAATGGGCAAGTTTTGGCGCTGATCCCAGCAAACATATTTGCATCAGCCAAACAGGAGGCTTGGGGAATCTACTGCTTAACAATTTAGGCCGGAAAACAAAGGCCTGTTTTCCTCCGACGATAGTAGCCACTGGAGCAACCTTTTGACGTTGTCTGGGTGAAAGCGGAACCAATAGGGTTCTTTACCCGGCGTTTCCCCCCTCCTATTTTCTCAACCGAGAGGTAGGCAAACAAGGAGATCGCCGACGGCAGTCATTCTAGCCCCCGCTATGGTTGCAACGAGGTGCTAACGGTGCTTAGAGGGGGTGACACAACTCCCTCCTTCATCAGGGGCAATGTACCAACTCTACTCTGATGTAACTCAATGATGTCAGAAGCATGCATTACAGAGAGATGCCCATATGGCAAGGGTGTCGCAGGAGCAAGCAACTTCGAAGACATAAAAAGTAGACGTGTATAATAACTAATAATTTCCTATCAAATGCCAAAATGCCAAGAGAGCAAAGACGTGGGACGAGGTCGAATCCATCACACAGATATTATTTCTTCCCCGGATCGACCCCTGCCTCAACATTGATCAGCAATAGCTTAAGTTTATAGCTTCCTGGCCCCTGGGTTTGATCTGTGGGGGTCTGGGAGGGACATCCTGTCAGCCACAATCGGGCTATGGATCATCTCAACCTGTCATCGCGGGCAGAGCCGCCGGTGGAGTAGGGGGCTAAAGCCGAGTTTGCCTCCTCCCGCCCCAGCTAAGAAGTATTCCAGGATTGCACCACCCATGCAGCAGCCATGCCGCAAAGTAACTGCAGCTGCAGTTTATCCAGATCCGGCCCTCGGTCCCCGATATTAATTAACGGCGGAGCAATTCTGCGTTTCCGGTGACCACTGCACTTGAAGTGGGCAAGATCAACAAGTGTCGAGGCCAGGATCGCCATCCAGAAGGCATTGGAGAACGCTCTAGACAACCACTTGAACCGTTGAATGCAACAAGTTCGGCAGATGCAACGATGCAACGACGCGAGTTAGCCGTTGGAGGGATTAGCAAGTGTTTGAGCATATTGGCCTCGGACAATATCCCCCCAATAGCGCGATAGCAAAGTTGACACTGCAGTCCGGGATATTTCTATCTTCCCGTTCTTGCCGGATTCCGAAGTGGCAACTGCATTGGTGATGCTATTCCCAATGCACCTCCAAATTCGCCCACCTTAGCAGTCATCTCGAGCATAAGCCATTGGCCCGAGTGTTCTTACCAACTTAATTTATACTGAGGTGGAGGAGGTATGACGGTATCGCCGAACCGGAGGTCGCACCTAGGCGAGTCAGTCATGTAACTGAGCATGAATAGGGGCAGTAAAGTATTCGTGTCGCCCTCCACTATTGTTGGATGGATGGATGTCATCTGCGTCACTCAAGTTGCGTAATGTCCCATTTCCCTGTTTATTCTCTGCAGTCGATCAAGCCATGACTCAATCCTGCCAAGGGATTATGATCCAAGCAAGAATGTGCGAGAGAAGAAAAACGAAAACAAGAATGAACAATGGAGGTGGCATTCAGCGGCATGGCTCCCGTGTTGCGAAACCGGGTGCCTAACGCCTTTGTTCACACAAGTCTAGGATAGGGGGAGCTTAATTTGAGAGGATTCCACGTGGAAGGAAGAGAATGTCCGCATCGTGGCGAATTCTGCATTCCGCACCAGGGAACGCCAGTCGCGGATGGAAACAGTCAGGCGCCCACTGGGTTTCCTCGGATACCGCCGCCTTCGTGTCATGCGAGTTGCCTTTGCGTCGTGTTCTCGTACTCAGTCGAACTTGCAGTGTCTCCTGAATCAGAATACTGGACAAGGGTGCAAAAACTAGCTGTGTTTACTCTTGGCTTCTAAGGTTGTAACTTGCCTTTATCTTGGGGACCTTTCATCCCTGGTCCAACGCTTGACATGACAGTCTTTCTGACTCTCGAAAAACCAATGGTATCAAACCGCAGTTTCAGTCTCAAACTTATTTGGCTCGGATCTGCTGGTGCCTAGGGGTGCATTGATGGAAATGGGATCCGGAGTCAGACCTAGACAAACTTCTTTGTTTCTCGTACTTGGGCTCTGGAAGAATCCGAACAAGAAAACATCCTTTGTCCTGGACAAGGGATTGTCAGAGTCTTTATTATCACAATGGACAAAGCACTTTGAGACTCTATGATAATCCTATCGTCGCTGTATATACGCTCGTGGGCATATAAATACAATCCAGGAGGTTGACATCCCGACTCAGTTATGGTTTCTGATATTCCAAACACTCTCCCCCCTTAACCCCAATTCCCACGACGACACAACCACTTACTCACCCACAGGTCCAAATCCCACCCCTACGCACGTCCAAATGTGCAACCGAATCATATGCCACAAGCTCCACTGCGACGTCCGCGGCGTCATCACCACCTCGGAGCCAATCTACGACGCCGACGTTAACGGCCCCATCGTCAGCGCCCACCCCAGCCCCCAGCCCTGTACCTGCCCAAGCGACCCAACCATCAAGCCGCGCCTGAAATGCACCTACGGCCACCGGTGCTGCTACATGGCCGTGCGGATCCTCCCCTGCGCGGACGCGACGTGCACGACACCCACGGAACTCCACAAGTACGAGCCTCGGACGGGGACAGTCTGGGAGCCACTGCCCGAAATCGACAGCGACCCCCTCCCACCAGCCACGGGAGTCCCCGCTCAAGGCCCCCCAGCAGCAGTAATCCCGACCCGCGGCCCGGAGGGCGGCCTCCTGCGGGCAGGGGACCGGATCCAGACGCTCTCGGCGCAGATGCACGCCGTGGGGGCGGCGATTCGGAGGCGGGAGGCGCACCTGGGCGGCGTGGGGCACGGGATCTGCGTCGCCATCGAGGCGGACTGGGAGCGGACGAGGCGGTATCCCGGCGAGCCTCGCCGGGTCCGGTGTAACGCCGAGATCGAGGCCAGGATGCTCAGGTACGTGCTCGGTCTCCTGGGGTGGCTGCTTGAGAGTTCCAGGGCTGAATATAGGGCCTGCAGAGAGGAGCTCAAGGAGTTGCAACTGGCGCATGGAAGTGCCGTTGTTGCGTTGGGCACTCGAGGTTAGTTGAGCTGGGCTTGACGGTCAGGTTTTTTATCGTGTTTGTGGTTAGGTGAGTGTACCCCTTTTGAATATCTCTTTCCTTTGATCACTTCCCTACGTTTCGCCACTACTCGTTGCCGCCAGTCCAGATCAGTCTACTACGGACACAAACGTAAACTAATCCCGAAAGATTTCGGGTGATTTTCAGCACGCACAGCCCGTAATAAGGCACGCATTTCCTGAGATTGTCATGCCCAAAGCTTGATATATGCATCGCAGAGCCGGCGGGAATATAACCAAACATGACCATGGTCGCCTATTCTGGGACAGTTGCCTTTGGTCCAGCAATCCGAGGTGCGGCGGGTTTTGTTTCAGCGACCTAACAGTGAATGGCTCATCTTTCTGGCCATACTTTCACGACAACTTCAAATCCGACCCAATGAAACAGGCTACGAGAGGCGACTAGAGAGCCGGTGATGCCACGGGACAATGGCACCTCGTAAGCCGCCGACTGGGAGTCAAAGCAGACCAGAGTCCACTTGGAGGACAGGTAAGTAGAGAGAGGCACAGTCAGATGCCCGTATTCCCCTCCCTCCCTAACGAAATCGAGAGGTGACGAGGGGACAGCCACAAGGCTTCCGAGCAGGCGAGTGAAGACCTGATGAAGTGGTATATCAAGGGACGTGAACTGCACGATAAACTAGCCGATTAATAGCGTAGAGATCTTACTTCCCGGAAGAATATAAGCTCAGTCTTCCATAGCTCTCTATCGCAAGCATGAGTGCCTGGCCCTAGCACAAAAAGAGCATATAATTTCGAATCTACTGCCAGAACATGAAGGAGAGATATTGAAGACGACACAACTACTCTGCCAGCCACAAAATTTTATCTTCTAATAATCTTCGCCTTCCTGAAATAAGGCATAGCGACGGGCTACTCGACCTGCTATTCCCAGACACAATACCCCCGAGCACCCGGTCCCCCAGCTCGACCACTCCCATCCCAAACAGTCCCACCACCCACCTAAATATATACCCATAGCAACATGACCGAGTGCAAGAAATGTGGCGGCGCCACAAGTTACACCAAGACGTGCAAGAAATGCGGCGGCAAGGGGACCAACGAGTACGAGTGCAAGAACCTGTCCAAGATCTGCTGGCGGTGCTGGGGGAAGGGCAAGTACACGAGGACCTGCGGAGCGTGCAACGGCCATAAGGTGGTCTTGGTGCATTGCAAGGACTGCGGATGACTGACTGTCCCTGGCCGGAGCCCGAGAGGGTGCTCCTTCCCTAGAGGACAGACAAACTCGAGCAAACTTGTCGATGGGACGGGACTTTCCTTGGCCCACCACCCTGCAATGCTATTTATTCACTTCAAGTTTACAACCTCAATCATCTATTTGAAGAAAGACGACACAATGCCGTCAAATACTGCTCGAAGTGACCCAGGCGGTAGACACATAACAGGCCCTATCATCTCTCCCAAAATTGCCAAGTTGTGCAAGAAACTCGGCCCCGTCTGGAGTGTAAAACTCCTTCTCACTCGGCACGGCAAAGGGGCAGGCATAACAGATACATGATAATCCTGCAACTAGTGTATATCAGGTCCCATTACACTTAACCTCCCAACATGTCCTATCGGCGCATGAATACCTCACTCAGCCACGAGTTCCGTCCTCAGTCTAGCGTCTCCCCATGCCCAGTTTACGCCACAGAAGCACAAAAAGGAACCCAGAAAGCACCGAGAAGCTTTCTGCCGTTGCTGAACGTCCCCCAGTGTATCACAGCAATATGGAATAACCAGGAAAAAAGGAAGGAGGGAAGGGAATAGGCCCCTCACTCCAACCCCATCCTAACCTCATCCCCAACCCCCCAACCATCCCCTCCCCCGCCCCCCGCACCCGCCTCCCTTCCGCCCAGCCCGAGCTGCCTCGACAGCGCCGCCGCCGCCTCGGCCTCCTCCTCCTCCTGCTGCTGCTCGCTGACCGGCGGCTCGCTAGGCCGCCTGCCCCGGCGCGAACCACCACCGCCGCCGCCGCTCCCGCCGCCTCGATGGTGGTGGCGGCGCGAGGCCGAAGACCGCGACATGGACGACGTCGCGGAGCGCGACGACGTCGAGAGCAGCGACACGGCGTCGTCGGGCTCGTCGTCCGCGTCCCCGGGGGCCCTCCCCCTTCGGCCTTCCTCGGCGGTGGGGACCGCCCGCGGGGTGGGAATCGGAGCTCCTCCTCCACTGGATTTGGAAGTAGACGACGACGACGGCGTCAGGGCCAGGGTTGGGTGGCTGTCCTCCGGGGTCGGTGTCGTGTCGTCTTCGCTGGCGCGGGGTTGAGACGAGGCAGCCGGTGCACCGTGATCGGCGGCGTTGGTATTATCGCCGCCCTCACCATCGCCGCCTGTCTCGCCGCCACCGCCGCTGTCGTCTTCATCGCTCACCTCGACCAGTTCCGCGTCACGGTACCATTTCCGGCGTCTGGTCCATCTTCCCCAGCCGTCTTGGCCGCGACGACCGTTCTGCCACTATGTTTTTGCGCCAGTGTCGTCAGTATACATCCTCGTCTGCTAGAATATCTTATCTGGAAAAGAAAAACGGCCGAGTAAGCAGGACAGACATACCTTATTATCGTAGTAGACCCACCCCATGCGCCCCCCGGCGCCATCGTAGTCCCACTCTCCCTCCCCCTCGCCCTCTTCCCCAGCCCCTGCCACCGCATCGTCAGGCACGCCGTCGACGCGCCACCGGCTCCCCTCCACCCACCTCCACCCCATGCCGTTGTTCCCGCCGCCGTCCTCGACCTCGGGTAGCTCGAACTGGTCCTTCGGCGGCACGCCGTTGTTGCGCTCGTCCGTCCATGCAGCCCGCTCGTACGCGAACAGGCTATTGGTCCACCCCAGCCCCAGCCACCGCCGCTGGTTCTCGTAGATGATGAACGTGAACCTCACCCCGGCGTCGCGTCCCCCCCTAGCCCGCCTCAGCGCTTTGGTCAGCTCCGACTCGCGCGGTGGCCCGTTGGCCTTCGCCGCCGGTCCCCCCATCGCGCCGGACGCGACGGATGACGATGACGACAAGGAGGGCGTCTGCGGCTGCGGCTGCTGCGACGACGTGGCTGACGACGTCGCAGGCGTGCCGGGGACTGCGGTCACGACAGTGGCGGCAGGTGGCTTCGTGGGCCCCTCGAACTGCATGCCTGTGACGAGGGCGAGGACGGTCCGGACGGAGGCGCTGCGCCACAGGATGGTGCGGGCGACGCGGACGACGCGGGCGTGCCAGGCGAGGACGAGAGTGCCGAAGACCAGGACGACGCGGCGAGTGGTGATGACACGGAAGGGAGGGAGCGTGAGGGCGAACCAGAACGGCGTGCAGAGGAGGATCCTGACGAGCAGGGCCGTCAGTGCCGGGCGGGTGGTGGCGCTGGTGGGCGTGCGCTGGGTGCTGAGGAAGTCGGTCAGCTCGAGGAGCGGTTCGAGGAGGATGTTGCAGCGGCTGGTGAATTCCCTGAGAGTCTCGACCATCTCGTCGAGCGTCTTCTGGTGGCGAGTATTAGTTGTCTCGGCGTGGGCGGCGCTGTGGGAACGTTTATGGCCGCCTGGCTTTGCGCCACCCGTTCCCGTGCTCGACCCTCCCGTCTTGGCCGCCCTGTCGGGAATGCCGTCTACCGAGAGGTTCTTCTGCCTGGTCTGTTTCTTCCCGTTCTTGCCCGAGTTGCCCTCGCCTGTCCCCAGAGTGCTGCCGTCGCCTGAACCCAGGCCCGGCTCGGTCCGTCCGCTGCTGCTCAGCGGGCTGAATCGCCGACCATACATGCCGCCGATGAGCATCAGCACGAGAACGACGGGGCCGGCCAGGCGGATGACAACATCGCCGTACAGCACGGTCGCCCAGAACACAACTAGGAGCAGGAAACTCTCCCACGGGTCACCCGATGTCCAGCTCAGAAGACCGACCAGTTTATTCAGTAACAGTATAAAGGGATGGCTGTAAGCCAGGGCGCGGGTGATCTGCGGGGGCGTAGCGAGCAGCAAAGGCGATTTCTGGTGTACCAAGATTGTGCTCCTCCTCTTTGCAGCCGACGTCGCGCTGGGGGTTGTCGAGCTCAGGGTCGTGGGGGAGAAGGCGGCGTAGGTCGGGTTCGGGGCGCCCGAGGGGGTGTGTGAGATGCCATCCTGGTATGCGCTGTTCCCTGACGGGCTGCTCGGAAGAGGATGGAGGAATGAGGACGAGTCCAGCTGGTCGCTGCGCCGGGAGCGAGGGACGGACATGTGGGTTAGCCAGGGAGTGTCCTATTGGCGAGGAGAGAGAGCAAGAATGTTAGCAGCTGTCGCGAGATGGGTAGATCCAGTGTCATGGTATCAGGTAAGCTAGGGGTGTAGACTAGGAAGGAAGGTGACGCAGTGTTTGGAATTGGGATGGCGGAGCTGCCCATTAGGAAGGAAGCACTGACGTCGAGGCCAACCTGCTTTTGGGGACGCCCAGCATTGACCAGGCGCGCAGCAACGTGACTTTCTGCGGTCGAACACACTCGATCATTCGCTGTTACGCAAAGGGTGTAGGTGAAATCGGATGTAGCAACAGAGAAAACCGAAGATGCTATGGGATGGGAGGGATTTGGAGATTGAAGGAGGGATCAAGAAATGCAGGTTTTGTGCTCACCAGGGCAGCCATTCACAACCTAGCTCAGCTGCTCAGAGCTTCCTCCACCAACCTCTTAGGCTCGGCTCGGATGGACCTTGTCAGTAACGTCATCCGCCAGTCCTGGCCGCAAGCTCGATGTTGGACTGGATTGCAAAATCTAGGGCAAAGCACCGAAAATAGAAACAAAAAATATAATGTTATCTTGGCCTAGGTATGATGCAAAAGAAGCAAAATCCTGTCAGACAAGGGTGCGTCGAAGCGGGAGGAGGTTGCGCCAGGGTTGACAATGAATGGCCAAGCGCCGCCTTGGTGCTTGTCCCTGTACCCCACATTGTCCAAGCCCTGCGCGAAATCACATGCCAAACGGACAGCCGTGACTGCAGGTTTGCCTAGGTAGGTAGGTTATTATTATTCTTAGGTAGGTCGGTACCTACCTACTATGATGGCAAGGTAAAGTATAATTACCCTGAGAAGCCATCGAGTTTTGTACTGATTATAGCTCAATTATAAGCTTGATGTGCAAAGCTTTAAGCTTCGACGTGCCTTTGCTGTGCCTTTGCGTCTACGGACAGAGGTAATAAAACATATTACTGGCTCGAATGCCAGCCGCAACCCGATAACATGCCCCTTCCCGTACACGCCTGTAAAGTTAGGTATTAAGAAAATACGATTACGCCTTGTCTCCCCAACTGAATCGTGAGAGCTTGGCTACAATTATTTGATCGCGAGGTGTCTCCTGGCTGCCGTCCCCATCCTACAAATCTAGCACCCCCGAGCAACCGCCTTTCGAGTTGGAAAAAAACTGAAACGATCCAGCAAACAGCAACGAAGGCCATAGCTAACAGATGCTGGCCCAGGCGAATGAAACTATCAAGGTCAAGTCGCGTGGCAAGTCGTGTGTGGGGATGAATCAATCACCCAACGCCACGCCAACGGACCTTAAGACGAACTGACTTGTCTGCTCGGGATGGCCGGGGTGCTCGAGCCAAAACTGTAAAGATACCAAGTTAGCAGGTGTCGCCCCCTTCGCTCGTCTCCTTTCGAGAAGAAGAAAAAGAATAAAACTTGCCTCTTGTATTGATATTCAATCTCGCCATTCACGGTTTTGGCCCATCGACAGAACCGTCGTGTATGAATTCGGCCGTTCTCTTCGCGTCCCATCGTCCTTGTCTCTTCAAGCACGAACTTCTGCTCCTTCGGCATGCCTTCCTTCGTCGTTGTGAGGGTGACTCGACACGCGCCAAAGCCGCTCTCATCCAGCTGCTCAACCAGCATGCGGGTTATGTTCATCGGCTCGATCCTCACCGTGCGACCCCCCTCCAAATTCGCTTTTGCCATCTTCGTCAGAGCGTCAACCGTAAGCTGCAGGTGGGGCCCATCCTTCTGTCTGAGGAAGAAATTCCCTTGCCCATCCTCGTACATGGCCAGCTCAAAGCGCTCCGTCTTGGCCCCTGCATATGGATCGGGCTTTATGGCCATGGCACCAACAGACCTAACGCGAAGAGGCGCCTGGTAGCTGCCGCCATCTGCACTCAACTTAAGTGAAGCACCCTCGGCAGATTTGCTCGGCGCTCTCAGAGTCTCTCTAGAATCTCCCATCGGACTCGGCCGCCTAGCCGGATTAGCCGGAGCTGTGGATGTGGACGAGGGAGTTTGCGGCCTCGAGTGGGAAATTTGGTCCGGCTGGGTGGGAGGCGTGGGCTCACTCCGAACTGCACGCCACCGGCTCATCTGAGCCATGTCATCAGGGCGGACAATGATTGGAGTCGAAGATCCCGAAGGAGGTTTCGACATGGGACCTGGCGTAGATGACGAGCTTCTTGCCTGCATGCCGGCGCCAAACCCGGGCGATAGCTTGCTGGCCTGCGTTGTCTGGCCGTTGCTTTGCAGGATGTCCTGGCTAGACTGTCGAGCAGGCACCCCTTCACTGCGAGCGACGCTGCTTTCGCGCTGCTTGGAAGCAGACAACGGGTTGCGCGCCGCTTCTGCGGATGCGGCACGGAGAGGGGCCCCCGTTGCCTGCCCAGTAATACTCCTGGCATCCCGTGGGCCAGCCATCAAAGGAGTCTCATTCGGTAATGGATGGCTACCTGCCCGCGGGGGTGCCATAGTCTCGGCGCGCGGCAGCTTCTGCAAACCATTTTGCGTATCATCTGGCCACGACTCTCGACGAGGCTCACTAGATTTGCTAGCCGACAAATTGGTCGAGGCGGGAGCCGCCGGACTACGCCTGGTAATTTGAGGGTTTCTAGTGGGCGGAGACATACTTCCTTTGCTCTTTGGCGTTGCCTCCGCGCTCGATACGGAGTTCCCAGGGTGCGGTGGGCTCGGCCCTGAGCTGGCCGTGGTATTGTCTTGCCTCTTTGCACCTTGTGCGTCTCCGGCCCCATTAGCCGCTTCCTGAGATTTAGACAGTCCGGTCTTCTTGGTGGTAGTATCGGAAGTAGTTGCTTGATCTTGATCCCCGTTCGCCTCAGATAGCGTCGCAGTAGTTCCTTCTCCAGGGCCGATCGGCTTCGGCTCGCGCGACGAATTCACCGGAACATGTGTAGCAGGGGTGGTGGTGTTGGCTGACCGAGTGTCATGAGCAGGCTCATCTGGCTTGTCCTCGGCCGCGTTACTCTTGGCTGCCTTGTCCTTGGCTGTGGGTTTCGGTGCGGTTGTATCTTTTCCAGCATCCCGTGCCGCCGCAGCTTTGGTCGAAATCGAGGTTCGACGGCTTTCGCCGCCTTCCATGTTGACATCCTCATCAGAATCATCTTTGGCATCCGAATCGTGATACGATTCGGTATCGTCGTCCTCCTCGGGGAGAGGGATATCCGTCATCTCGACATCGGAATCGGCTTTATCGGCTTGGGCCAAGCTACCAGCCGAATCCTTAGGACCAGACGTAGAAGAACCCGAATCCTGTCCGGGACCCTTGCCAGCCTTGCCAGCCTTGCCTTTGTCAAGTTTGGCGGGCTGGGCCGATTCGGTCGTACTAGCGGGAGGATCGGACGGTTTGTCCACGTCAGTGGCAATTGGCGATACTTGTTGGGGGGATGGCTGGCCGACGGCTAATTACATTGATGTGTCAGCTGTAGTGAAAGCATTGAGAAGGAATAGCTTCGGACCAACCTGATAGCCGCATCTCGGGCAGTCCCTGCTTCTGACGTTGGCCTTTCATTGTCTCATAGCTGTCATAGCCATGAGCTCTCGCGTAATGGTCGCGTGCCACTTGGAAGTTCGGTATGAGAATGGATCCGGGATCCTCCATATCGAAGAGTGAGAGGTCTTTGGCCCGGAGCCATCCCACGGATCTGGTAATCATTGTCCAGTCAGTATTCTTTCCGTCTTGGGAGTCGACTATCAGCAGCGGTGCTCGCGAAGGAAACTCACCGGGCTCCGTCAAAGTACATGACTGGGAATTCTCGCTTCGTCAAGAGTGGCCCGCCATCCTCGTACCCCTTCGCCCAACCCTTGATCCCCTGCGTCAGACGGTCAATCAGATAGCATCTCGGTGCCCTAACCAAGAGTCCCGTGGTTGCAAGGGTTCCGAGCATGCCTGCCACTGACAAGTCACCCCATGGCAACAGCATGACGGCATACTTGGTCTTGTTCTTACTCCAGTATCCGAGGTAGAGTTCGCCGGGGACCGGGTGGGTAACGCCGGAAAATGACGTGGACGTGGCCGCAGCTGGCGGAGGTTTGGCCACAGATTTGCTGTTCTCGGAAGAGCCGCTAGGGGTCTGCTTCGCCAATATTTTGGCCGCCATCTTCCGAGCTTTAGGAGTCTCGACAGGCCCAAAGCCCATAATCGCCCGCTCCGACTTTGTCAAGTGATTCCGGTTGAACGGCTTGTAGCCTCGCTCAAATGCCTTCCGAACAGCCGCATTATTCTTCTCGGCCATCTCGGCATCGCAATCAAAGACAAGATGACCAAGCGTTGCGATAGCCAGCGAGTGTTCTTTGGAAAGATAGTTGTGCTGGATGCCATGAAGATGTTTGGCCGAGCCATGAAGCGGGTTGAGGTTGAAGTGAACCCCATGCTCATCGCACTTGAGGATGTACCAGTCGCCCTCCCCAGGCGGATACTCGATGATCACATGCTTATACTCAGCATGCCCATCCTGGTAGACTTCGTCAAAAGAAATAGACCGCTTGGCAGCCGGCTTCTTCTGCGACTGCCGTTGAGGGGCATCGTTGCCCTTCTCTGGGTTATCAACGTCAACGATTTTCGCTTTCTTCAACCTAGCTTGTGGCGAACTAGGCTGCGAATCCGCCTTTCTTTTCTGGGGTGCAGGTGCAGGCATAGGATTCGCTACATGATCCACGTCGGGGGCTGTAGCGGCCAGCTGTGATGGCGATGGACCCTCAGGCATTCCGGGATGCTGGGATGCGGCTTTGTTTGAGGCATCTCTGTCGGCCAGGTTTGCTGGTTGCTGTGCCTGTTTCTCTCGGCCCTCGGAGTTGTCACGATGGCCATTAACCCTTGCCCCCGACTTGGCGGGTTGAGATGCTGACCCAGCCCGAACAAGGTCCGGGTCCGGGCGGTCGCCATCTGATTTCTTGCTCGATGATGAGGGCGGGCGAGAGTCCGCAGCTGGAATAGGCGAGCTCTTCTTGCTTGTTGTTTGCGAAGGGACCTGCTTGGCCTAGGATCATTCGATAGTCAGGGACTGGCACTGATGATGCGCAGAATAATGCATGCAGCGGATAGATAATAAACTTACAGGACCTGCAGTGGCTGTGCTGGCCAAGGCAATGAAGGCGCTAAACATCTCCATATGCTCGAGGACCCTTCGGGAGTGAACTTGCTTTCGCTGCGCCTTCTTTGCCTCGTAGTCCTCCTGCAGTTGATTCAGGCATTTAGAGCGCTTCCTCTCGAAGTAGGGAAGGAGTGATGGATGGATGGAATGGCAGGCCTCAAGGGCCTGCTTCTCCTGGGCTATGTCGGCAATGATCGTCTTCTTGGCCTCATTCAGTGCCCGTTTTTCTCTCCGCTCCTCGGCCTCGTACTGAGAAATGATAGCAGCATGTTCCGTGTCCCATTCCGAGAAGCGCTGCGTTATTTCTACAGCTGTGGGCGGCCCTACTGGCGCCATGTTGGTCATAGGGGGAGGAGGTATACCTCCAGGGATTCCGTCGTTGTTGCGGCGTACACAATTCGGAAGGAAAAATTAGGGTTCACGCGGCGCAATTAGCGTCGCACGAGTAAAACTCAAGATGCCGTATATCTGACAGCCTGCTGCACAAGGTTAGATAACATGGCAAACAACAAACAATCTAGGGTGATGATGATTTGGGATAGAAAGTAGAAACGGACAGGTGGCAAGGTTAGACGCGATGGAAGTGGAAAGGAGTGGTTTAATAATGCTGCCGTACTCTTGGAAGGTGTAAGAATTCGGAAATACGGGATGATATTGCCGTCTTCGCGAAGGATAGCCGCTAGGCCCTGATTAAAGCACCTGTTAACAGTGGTAAGTAACGCGGGCTTATGAGCGGCTGATTATGCAACTCTGGCTGAGTAGCACGTCAGGAGTTTTAAGCGTAGCAGTACTGCAAGAGACACTGGTACAAAACCATCGACGGGCGTGCAAAGTCCCCGATGGCAGTGAGTGGTATGAATTTCAGAGTATTGTACGAGTGTGAACGATGGCGCTCGCGACAGATGGAAATTTACGTGTTGCCGCTTGGCAGTGGGAGAAATGCGATGATGTGGTGACGGATGTTTTTCGAGAGATGGATGGCAGCGAGGACGCGACTGAACAAGGTTTCATAAACTTACCAGACTGGGAAGGATTGGTGCAGAGCGCCAATAACCAACAGGGAGATGAGATGGAAGGTAATGCCCGCGCCTCTGGAATTGTTTTGAACGGCTGTAATAAAAGGAGGGACAGAGAAGAAGAGTGGCACAATCGTAATTCAAGAATGCGACGGGAGGAGTGTGGTGGGTGGTATTATGAAAGGAAATGGGAAAGGAGGGAAATGGAAGTGTTTCCGATCGGGGGGTTACAAAATACACTAGGAGTAAGAAAATCCACCCATTCGAGGGTGGGCATAAACCTTGCCTGGCACCCAAGTCGCTAGTCGGCCATCTTCTAGTGTGGGCATATGAAATTCGGTTTGGCGGGGAGTACATGTGTCGGTACCTACCGTCCATAATATCCATTGGTCTTTTCTATGTATTCCGTGTCAAATGGCACAGACAATGTGGCCTGAGGCATGAAATGGCCCGCGTAGCGATCCAAGAAAAAGGAAATGAAGATGACATAGTCCAGGTGCGCCACGGTAAAGCCATCGGCGGTGTAACAGCTAAAAACGACGATTCACTACGAATTGCACACCTAATTGACTCGTGACGCTTGCCGGCTGTCCAGGTACCTAATAGGTAATTACAGAATACACACGTAAGAGGCCCATCCCTTACGTCCCTTACCTAAGCATACCTAGGCATGGAACAGCGCGGGTATCAAGCAAGGTATGAACCCCTGACGTAAATACCACGCCGAATCCAGGACATACCTTTAAGCTCTCCTTGTAAACTTGCAAGTTCGGGAGGTTGGGTTGGGGAGGCGTGGGAGGGGGAGGTAAATTCGTTAGTTTGGGATAATTCCCGTCCTTGACCCCGCGAACCCGAGGCACTGCTGATTATTTGGTAGCACGCGGGTAGGTCCCTAGGGTCGGTCCATCGGACAGACCTCACTCTCGTTATGACTCTCCTTCAGTGGAAAAAAATAGTGGGGCTCTCGTTGTCCGTAAATGCTGGTTCGCTTGTTCTTTCTTGCCATGGATACGGAGTATGCATTACATAACTGCTCCAACTCAATCAGGAGACCTCATCAATCAGAGCGTCCCTCCTTCCCCATCAATCGAGCGTTGCCCATCGCTGGTCTAACTGCCGCCCAAGTCTTCTGCAAGACACTTATGCAACGAAGCGAGCAGCCAGTCAGCGTTTCTGCCACGAGGTAGGTATCCACGAGAGCCCAATATTAAAACAGAACATAAGCTCGCGCCCGCCTAGACACGCCCAATCAAAAGTCTCAGCTTGAGCAAAGGCCCGACACTTGGCAGCCGGCTGATCCAATCCTTGCTATCCACGACTGACTCCAACGACTTCCCTCGAGTTGATCATTGATCTTCATTCGCCCATCGATTGGATCCATCAGGGTGTCACACCATCATTTCTCACTAGTATTGTCAGACGAAATTCGATCGAGATTTTGGTTAGTTTTCAGTGGCGCTGCGTTGGAGTGATTTGTTTTGTTATTTCTTAGTAATTATCATTACCATACTGTACAATAGCCCGTGCCCCAGTCAAAAGGATCCCGAATTTGGACTCTGGAGAGTAAGTGTACCCACCCGTACATATTCAGCATCAAATATTCCAACCCGGCCGTCTTCCGCGCAGCGTTTACTTCAACGTCGCTATCGAGTTCGGTTGGATGGACCCGGGCCGGGACGGAGTCGTCCGGGAGTAGAACCGTCTTTGTCGAGGAACCCTTCGCAAGCGACGCCGGCCGGGGCTCTCGACCATCATGGACCCAAGCCGTTCGTCCAAGTGCCACGCGTCTCGATAATTCTGGCCACTAACCTCCCCGGCAGTTGTCGAACAGCTTCGTCCTCCTCCTTTAAGATCAATCCGCTTGCGTGGAGAAACCGAGTCTTGAAAACGTGCCACAGTTCTTGATCCTGCGCACTACTGCTACCTGGCCGAGGATAGTACGGGTCGTTGCGCCAGAAAGACTTGGCAGCTTGTTCGATACCGCTCTCATCCATGGAGAGCTCCCTGCAGCAATCGAAATCGAGAATCCACATAGCATGTAGACCGAAAGCAGAGGTAAACTCCCGAGATCCGATGCCAGGCCGTGAGTCCAGGGCTGATCTAGATTGATTGGGGGGGTGAGGGCGTGTGATGACGAATTCCACGTCGTTGGCATCGACTTTTGGAGCCCAGTGGAGAAAGGCGAGCGCGTCTGCCATTGCGATGGCGTATTCTTCTGCTGGAAGGCCCAGCTCCTCAATCTGATTGATATGTGGAGGGAAGTTGTATGGACCCTGTCGACTTACTCAAAGTCAAATGGTGTGTTTGAGTTTCGTATGTCTTCTTCATCTTGGTAATTCGTAACTACCTCTACCTAATTACCTACCTAGGTAGGTAGGTACATAGCTAGGTAACCAACCGCCTTGTCTCCTGCGTCGTCCACGATTTTGATATCTCGTTGATTTTTCCAGCACAACTCTTGTTTTCGGTCCGGTTGAACCTGATAACATATTGTTATGACTTACGACCTAGCGGGTGTTATATAGGTAATCTACCTCAACCCTCGATTACCAGGTATATCCCTTCGCATCAGCATACCCGTAGCCCTCCTTGACCATCTGCTCCTCAGCTTTGTCTCGACAAGGGCTGCAGTTAAGCCCTCTGTACTCCTCATCCTTCTTGCAATCCCCCATCCGGCAGCGCCCGTACAGCGCCCGGCGCCGCGCCTCGCGGCACCAGTGCATGTTAGTGTGCGACGTGATCTGCCTCTCGCAGGTCGGGCATACCACCCGGATGGTGCTCGACTCGCACATCGCCCCTTTCCCTCTTGGCCTTCGACCCCCTACTATCGTCGACCGGGTCGGCACAGTGGTGCAAGACCGGGCGGCTCGGGATTTTGGTGGTCGATTTTTGGTAAGTATCTGGCTGAATATGAGTTCAGTATCTTGGTTGAGTTAAGCCGGCGAGGATCCAGGCCTACCTCTGGCTGAATAACTGGCTTACTTGTGGCTCGTTTTAAGTCGATCCGTGTCGCTTGAATGGCCGCTGGATGCTGGATACAGGTATGGGTTTGGTAATCGCTCGCTCATGAAAGATTTACAATACAAGTTTCTCTCACGATGCAAAAGCCCTCAGATCCATGCTCTTATATTTCTGCATCCAGTTTGCAAGTTAGCGACGGGTGAATGCAGCTCAACGACCTAATTCGTCGCCTTCCACGATACCATTCGGTTAATGGGTGGACCAGCTTGGATCTGGGTCTTGGGCTACCTAGCGGCACAGCCCAATCAGGAAAGTTCTGGATGCAAGTCCATGCCGAGTCCGTTCAAGTCGAGTGATTGGAACATCACCACTTAAGCGCTCGGGGGGCAAGTGCGACCCGAAACGAATCTGGCGATCCCATAAATTACTACTGATTGTTATGTTAATTACCACAAACAGGCTCTCCAAAGCAGACGAAAGACAGGTTTTCCGGGCACGAAATACGGTGGTTGATCGAGCAGGAACCGGGCCTTTGTAGCACTGAGGACCCCCTTGATGTTATACAACGTCGGCGTCTAGCCCACGCTAGACTAGCCCCATGACTGATGACGGCTTACGTCTGCCGTACAAAAAGCTTCGATCTAGGTTACGCAACGGGTGAATCCACGACTTTGAACGGCTGGTGTGCCAGAAGGATTCACGGTGATTACTTGGTGTTGCCAAACATCCGTGATACTCTACCCCTAGCATGTGAAGACGTCAGCTGTAATTAGCCCCGAGAAGATCAGACACTCCAGAGGTGCCAACGCAGTCCTCCCGTTCCAATGACTAAGATTCGTAATCAAGACAACGCTTACAGTGATCAGCTTCTAGGTCCAGATCTCTTGTGCCCCGTCAGCGCCATTGGTTCATTCGCCCTTGAATCAAAGCCTTGAAGCCACAATAATCACGTCTCAAGGGTGATGGTCCATCGCTTTGCCATATCGGGCAAGTGCAGAAGGGTCTTAGGGTCTTACCCGATTTCCACAGTTTGTTACAGTGGCAAGTACGTTGATGGAGCTACTATTTGTAGATGTGAATGAGACTTCTGAAGACTGCAATGAGTTAGACCGGAGATCCATGACGGACAGCAAAGCTCTGGGGGCCCTTGCAGTGGTTGACAAGAATACAAAATAAACCACTAACGTCAGTAAACCAAGGTCTGACAGGCATGCATCGTATATTTGGTGGCTCATAATATCAACATCGTGGTATGACACTAGAAGACTCAAGATTGACGAGGATGCTACATAGATTATTCATGGTCCAGAGTAATGGTAGAGCCAACCAACCACGAGATCTAGAGTACCACTCAAACGTAACTTGCTATCCCTGTTGCCATCTAGGTCTGAACATTTGAGAACGTGTTAATAATTGAGTGGGAAGATGGTGCCGCTTTAAATGAAGCAGTTGTCCACTCCCCGCACAAGGACTTCCTTCTCCTATCGAATTAGGTCCAAAGTCTTTCCACAAGTGTCTGTCTCTAAGCCGTAGGCTCCGGTCGAATCTCATTTGGGTCGGGGTTTTTGTTCTCAAGAGCCAGTGCAAGACTTCAACAAGATCGCCGTAGGAGCCGAGACTTCGATATTGTTGTCGGTACTCGCCGACGAACCCCCTTGTTCTTTCCTTCCGGTCTTGGTCTTTCCTTCCCGACCAGGCCGCAGACGTCAGCGGCCCCGCTCCATTGATTCCGTAGCTCAGCAGGTTGCAAACCCGGAGCCTCTAACTAGCGCCGGCCTGCACTCGACGTGGAGCTCGGCCCCCTCCGAGTAGCGGCCCCGTTCCCCTCCGAGTTGACGAGCAGGGTGGCACCGAGGGGCAGCTGCAGCGGGAAGGGCAGCGGGTTGAATGGGCTGGCCATCATGACGATGCCGAAGGTCTGGACCATCTGTCCGCGGGCGCCGTCGCGGTTCGGGACCTGCGTGGCAGTCTCGGCTGGCGGTCGGGGAGCGGCAGTTCTGCCTCGGGAATTCGCCTTGGACCGGTTGCTCTGGTAATGGGTTTGGGTGGACATTGCGATATTTGAAGGCACTGTTTCTGCTGGAAAGGGGGAAGAAATCGATGGGAGGGGTTTATGGGGTCATTGTTCTAGTGGGACAGGTTAGCAGAGAGCTCGCGCCTTAAATGCGGCCATACTTTGTGAAAAAGTGAAAAAGAAGTAAATGTTTTGCAGAAGAGTCATCCGATATCGAGGAGGTCGATTTCAAGTCGGTTTCAGCCCCTGCCAGTTCGGCTCCCAACATACGATGTCATAGCTCCTCCCGCGTGCCAACCTCGAGAATCGCGTCGGGCGAGTATCGGAGCCGGGAGAGTGGTTCGAAAATATGCTGAAATTTGGCCATCCAGCTGTGCTGGAACTCGGATTGAAACAGGGGGCCTAGAATGGAGCGTTTAGAACGAGACCTACAGATATTAATCACCCCACGACGTTCGCCCAGAAGGCCAGATTCGGAACCACGGGGTGCCAAGAAATTCGCGGGACACCCCGCGAAATTGCAGTGTGAACCGGCATCGAGGAGCGCATGGCGGCGTGGCGGCGTGGCAACAGTCGTGGCGGTATGGCCAATAGATGAGAGCCAACAGGGGCTGGAGTCGACCAATTGTACCTGTACGATGTGTGTTGGCGTGGAGGGAGAGTGCATTGTCCACTTAGAAGTCGAGTCAAATGCCGGTGCGCGCATTTGAGTGCATATTGGCATGCCGTATCCGTGAGGTTGGAGCATCCGCTTTAGGAGACACATCCCCGACTACACACGTGAGAGAAGAGAGAGAAAGCAGACAGAGATCAAGAAGAATGAAAAAAGAAACATTAGAGGCGAGAATTACAGTCTTAGCATCAGAATTGGCGATAGCTGCTAAGGTAGAAATCATTGCCTTGCCTACCAAATTTAAGGTCAAGAGATAATGATGAGGCTCGACGAGGGTCGAAGGGTTTGTAGAATATCCACCACAGTAGACATAACCACATGAATATGGACAAGTCATCAGCATTTGTAATTGGATTCATTGACTGTGCAATGGACGAATTAGACAATGCCAGCTCGTGTTCTCACCACCAACTTTGGCCTGGTTTCGCGCCACTAAGCTAGGCCTCTACAGGACAATTACAAGTCCATCCCGCGAGGCTGCCTTGGTCGACTAATAGAAACGTAACGGCTGCGGAATCCCGCGATGCAAGGGGGGGGGGGGAAATCGTGGGGAAAGCGCGTGGCCGCTCATTTGCCACGGGGGAAGAAGAAAGCAATGGAACTTGGCGGACGATCGTGGTCATGAGGTTGGTGCTTGGGATGCTCGGCTGGACCGCGAACCCGGAACCGGAAGCTCTGTTAGTCTGTTCGGCTAACTGCAGTCAGCATAGGCTGCAGTGGATGCAGCATTTGTCTACCACTAGTGATGCAGAACCGGTGGCGATCTGGAATCAATGGTCGAGAGCAACGCACAAAGACCGCGTTTGCCGGGGCGAGCTGAACCCTTGGCTTGTCCAGATGCCGAGCCCGGACAGCAAGCTGCACGTCTATATAAGCTTGGCTCAACCCGTTCCTACACCTTCTCTTCCTTCCCCGATCGACACCGATAATACATACTATCGAAAGAACCCAAGCCTCACGCAACAAAACATCCCAACAACCAACCCACCAACCAACCAACCCACCCCAAGTCATCAATATGAAGGGCGACTGTGGCTGCTCCGGTGCCTCTAGCTGCAACTGCGGCTCTGGCTGTAAGTTCCATGATATGCCGTCGGCATTTGACACTGCTTTTATTTATCTTGACATCGATGCTAACCGTGGCACTTCCAGGCTCCTGCTCCTCGTGCGGACACTAAACCGTTCCTCTCAACAACATCGAATTTCCCTTCTCGATAGGAGTCTTTAGGGTCGTCGCCGTCGTGATCGGGGGAGTTTGGGGCATTCGGACGGCGAGGGGTCGGTTGTGGGAGCGAGAATGAGCTCATAGTCCTTCATTTCGAAATATACTCAACTTGCAGCGCGCGCACAAGCAAGACTATCCCCATGCTACCGTGCTTGAACGAGTGCCCCCTGATGTTAATATTAATGATGTTAATATTAGTGACCCCTCTCGCTGCCTCGACCCCACCATTAAGCGTTGCTGGTAATAGATGAGCAGAGATTTGCTCGAGGTAGTCGACCCAAGTAGCCCCTCGGCGGCAAGCAGGCATGCACTTTGTTCAGGGGGGCCAATTGGGGTGGCCAGCAACCTTAAACAAAGAAACTCGGGTATTTTCCCTTGGACATCTAGGTTATATACACATTCTGTAAGGGACTCTGTCCCATCGAGGCGGAGTGTCCCCTGCTTTGGAATGAGGGGCGACAACTCTCTGCGCATCCATCCACTACGTTATCCAATCGGGGGGCACATTAGGCAGCTTATTCTCAATTAGCCCACTCTAAATACTCTCTGAGGAGCGCCACCTCGTTCTTGGACGGTGGGCTTCGTTAGAGCCTCGAACTATTCCCTTACGAACAGCCCAGCCATTCCCATTCCAGTTCCTATGATGAAATCAGTTTAACATTCACCCAACACCCGGTGGCCACCCCAAACGCGAGGGCTCCGCGCAAGATGGAGCAAGGAGAGCAGGAGGTAAAAGGGGGGAAACTCACCGACACACATGCTCACGACGCCGACCTCACCACCATCCCGCTTCAAGCCGTGCATGAGCGTGCTGACCATACGCGCCCCCGTGGCGCCGAGCGGGTGGCCCAGCGCGATAGCCCCGCCGTCGGGGTTGACCTTGCCCTGCTCCCACGCCTCGACGAGGCCCAGCTCGCGCAGGCAGTAGATGGTCTGGCTCGCAAACGCCTCGTTGAGCTCCCATCTCTGGACGTCCTCCTTGGCGAGGCCGAGACCCGCCAGCAGCTTCGGGATCGCCAGCGCGGGGCCGATGCCCATCTCGTCGGGCGCGCAGCCGACCGTCGTGGCGGCGACGAACTTGCCCATGATGGAGTCGGCGAGCCCGAGCCCGACGGCCGTGCTGCGGCGCATCAGCAGCGTCGCCGCCGCGCCGTCGCTGACCTGGCTCGAGTTCCCCGCCGTGCTGGCCCCGTCGGCCGCGAACGCGGGCTTGAGCTTGGCGAGCCCCTCGAGGCTGGCGTTGGCGCGGATCCCGTCGTCCTGCGTGACCGTCACGGCGCGCTCCTCGCCCACCTTGTTCCCCTCCCTGTCGACCTCCTGGAACCGCGTGTTGACCGGCACGATCTCGTCGGCGAACCGCCCCTGCTCCCGCGCCCGCGCCGCCCGCGCGTGGCTCTCGACGGCCAGCTCGTCCTGCTCCCTCCTGCCGACGCCGTAGCGCCTCGCCACGTTCTCGCTCGTCAGGCCCATGGGCATGACGCAGTCGCGGACGTCCTTGGCCGCCGTGTCGGGGCTCCGCAGCGCCGGCCACGCGTCGACGGGTATCGCCCTGGAGCCGTAGTTGCGCGTCATGCTCTCCATGCCCGCGCCGATGCCGCAGTCGATGGCGCCCGCGCGGATCTGCGCAGACACCAGCGCCACGCTCTGCAGGCTGGACGCGCACGCCCGGTTGACCGTGTACAGGCTCGTCTGGTTCGGGAACCCGGCGTGGTTGAGCGCCATGCGCGCCGCCTTGGACCCGCCCAGCTCCGAGAGGACCACGCCCACGGCCACGTCTTCGACGGCGCCGGGTGGGAGGGACGGGTTCGCCTCGAGCGTCGCCCGCAGGACTACCGAGAGGAGCTCCTCCGGGTAGGCGTCCTTGAGCTGGCCGCGGTACGATCGGCAGATGGGGGTGCGCAGGGAGGAGACGATGACTGTGTCGGTTGGGGCCTTGGTGAGGACGGCCTTGAGGCCTCTGGGGACCGCGGAGGCCATCGTGGAAGCTGTTCGAGAGTGTGGTATGGTACGATCGATAGGGGGGGTAGTCGAGGAGCTTGGGGGAGGTGTCCCTTGTTCTTGTCGAAACTGCCGAGTCGAGCTACCGAGATATTATTCAAGCCAGGGGACTACGTGCGGGTTGGGCAAGGTCAATCGCTTGACTGACTTCAGCAATTGAGCAATGGACAACTCAAGAAAAGAGGAGAGGAAACTAAGGAGAGAACACAAACGAAGGAGAGGAAGATATTCGAGAGGTAAGAGGACGAGATCGGACTTAAACTTACCCAGCGCGGTCCACGCCGGCTAAGGAAATGGTCGAGGTGCAGTTGCCGGCCCCAAGTGGGGAATATTGGCAGGGTCCCAGGCATTCGGCTTCTGCTCGGAATGGCGGGAGATCTTAAACCCAGGCAACGAGGAGCCTGGAATCTCTCCACGGCGATTCTCCGCACCGTCAAGCAGGTCCTCATCAGAACGGGGATGCAGACCAGACACAGAAAACATGACAGCAGATATTCTTCTTCAAAATTGAGCAACCTACAGTAAGAGGAGTTTCTCACGAGCAACAGAACTGGTCCTCAATAATCAATCGATGTCGGGGTTGCTGTTGTGTGTGGAGCTACCCGAGCCCCGTATCCGAACCAACGCCAGCATCCAATGTGTGGGGCCGGAATCAGCCGATTGCACTCAAGAGGCTGCGGAGTGAGCCGGTTCGTTCTTGCTTCAATCGCAAGTGGCCTAGTAAGCCGTGCCTCTATTTCCCTAGGCTCTGCAACGGATTTGTTAGTAGCATGGCCACCAACGGTGCTCACGAGGAGGTATCCTTACGTGGATTAGGGAGGACGGGAGCCCGTGTTATGATGCGATAGATGGCAGGCGCTTGGGGGAAAGCCTTCGAAGGCGGTAGTCACAGGGGTGATGGGTATAGATAGCCTCCGAGGACTGATTATTTCAACTTATCAATGCATTTTCCAGCCGTATGTCAAGAGCTGTCATATCTCTTGCAGTTCCTGTAGCTGGGGTTTTAGCTACCTAGGTATCTAAGTCATCAACTCTCATTCATCCATCCATCCAGCTCATAGCCTTCCCGAAACAAACCAAAGAAATCATCCTTGCATCAAGTGGGCATGAGCGAGTAACTGCTCAGCACGACACACGAGCAGTCAAATCCAACGCCGTAGAAACCCTGGCCTTCGAACCACTGTGCAACACCTCAAAGCGACCAGCCCTTCAACAAACCATGGTCAAATATGACAATCCTCAAGCCATATAGTTAGACTCGAAGGACCTCACAGGTAGCCCCAAATCAATATTCCCCGAATCCACGCTGAGCCAGTTCCCAACCAACCAACCCTAGCCTGTCCGTCAAAACGGCGTGCAACCGCACCATATAGAAAACAAGAAATATCCTCATGCCTCCTGGCTGTACTGTATACCAAGCCCGACCCGGTTGGGGTCGCGCAATCCGCCGGCGACGCGCAGCTTCTTGGTCGGGCTCGTCAGCACCTCCCGCCTAGCAACGTCGTCTCTTGTTTCCCCGTGGCCGCTGAATTTCCTCTTGTCCGTGGTCGCAGCCCCGCTCTTATTCAGGCCTGCGAACAGCTTGGCCTGCAACTTGGCGCTCCTCTCAGCTGCTGCCGGCGTCGGGGTTCCGTCGCGCGATGCATCAACGGAGCTGGCGACCTCGAAGCTCTCTCGGGGGTCGCGTCGAAGCATCTCCGAGGCTGCCTGGCTTGCCTGGCTCTCGAAGACTTCCTCTTCGGCCTCTTCGGCCGCGTGACGCCGGCGCGAGCTGCGGGAGGGTTCAGACCCGCGGGAAGCAAAGGAGTGAAGGGCTTGGCGCGCCAGTTCTTCGTTGTCCTCGGCCGAGATGGTGCTTTCCCTGCTCTTTCGCCGGCGGTGGTGTCGCCCCGACGTTGGGGTTTCCGGTATGTACCGGCTGTGGCGATACGGCGGCTCGGATTGTGGCACAACATCGACCGAGGGGAGAAGCCCCGAGGTGGCAGCTCGAGAACGAGGTGTCGGAGTAGTTGGGAGCGATGACATGGACTGCACGTTGCGGGTATGCTTCGACTGGCTCCGGGGAGCGGCGGGTTTGTAGTTGGCCGTCGGCGTGGTTGGGGCGCTGTTGTTTTCTTGGGTTGCAGCCTTGAGAAGCACGTCAAACGGTTCTTGGCCGTGTTCTCGATCCCTGTGTGCCGATCTCGGCGTTTGTCGCGGAGTAGCTCTGTGTTGAACGGGCGACGACGACACAGTCTGGGTCTTCGGCGTCAGGGCCGTATGGAAGATGCCTCCAGGGCTGCAAAGCAGGTGGAAGTGTTCGCGGTTCTCGCGAATGCGATTGAGGAGCATGTCTCTCTCGTCGGTCAAATTGACAACTTCGTCTTCTTTCTGGTGGATGACCTTCTTCGCTAGCTTGAGCCGCTTATTCAATGATTCGTTCTCCTCGACGACTTGCTCGTACCAGACCCTCAGCTGCAAGTACTTTGCCTGGGCGGACTCAGATGCGGTGCTGAGTTCACGCCGAGCATATCGAGAGTGCTCAGCGTCTCGTAGCGCATCCACCTCCCGCCGGGTCATCTCGTGTTCAACGACTGCTCGCTTGGCATCTTCGTCGGCTTGGAGGCTCAGAAGGTTGAATTGCAACTTATGGTGGGCAGCTTCCATCTTCAACTTTGCATGTTCCGCAATGCATGCCTGAAGGAGGCCCCGAAGTTCATCTGGTGAAGCTGCGACCACTTGCTGAGGGGATGGGGGAGTGTATTCGGACGAGGCAAGACCGTCTCGTCTGTAATTGCTGGTACTGAGGCCGGTCTCAGGCGGAGAGAAGATGCCGGATCTCTGCGAGCTAAGGTATGCCAATGGTTGGGTGAGAGCGGCGCCGCCATTTGTCGGGACTTGGGAGGAGGGTGGCGGGGTAAGGGAAGACCGAATGACAGCACCTGCGGCGATGCGATCATCGTTCACCTCGGTCTTGAAGGACTGGGTAGGGTCGATAGGTGACGCAGGTATTTCGGTAGATGGAAGTGTCACCTGCGAAGAGGGTGGCGGAAGCGCATCGTTCTCTGGCGGGGTGGACGGGTCGTCAATCAGAGCAGGCTGGTTCTGACTGCCGACACCGGCGACCAGCTGCGCGGATTGCTCCGTATCGGAAGACATGATATTTAAATGGTAGAGGTTTCGTTAGATGCGTGGTTTCGAGCAGAATGTGTCGAGCGTCTTGGTCAATGTTGGTGGTTTAGCCCATCAGCTAGCAATGTTGACGACCTAACGGTGGACGGTCCACATGGAACGCGAGCACGTCGTGGCTGCAGTGAACAAATGATCGCGACGCCACTGATCAAGTATAACAATGCTAGGCAGAAGGAATAAAACCGACGGAGCCACAGAGAGCAGAGAGGGAGCGGCTCTAACGATACCGATGACCTTGGCGGATCGATTGCGGATATTGTTGTTGAAGCTTGGTGGAGATTGTTTCAACCGGTTGCCGTGTGGATGAACGGCTGAAATTTGGAAGGGGTTGGACAGCGGGCTGCTAGCCCGAAACGTAGCTAGCGTAGTGTTTACTGCCGGTTATCACCGCCTAAGAGATTATTAGATAAGCTCTGTGTGTTTGAGCCTCAATTGGCGACCCACATGGCAGCATCGAGACGTCCATCATCCATCCAGGTCTCCGATAATGAGGAGAAAATGTCCCAACTTCCCCCAAGGCGGTATCCTCATAGCAACTACAGTGTGATACCTATACCTATCATAAGATCAATAGCTTTGTAAGTTGCTTGAACCCTCCGAGCCAGCCGTCGAGACCCAGTTATCAACAAGACCGATGACGAAATAGCGATTCCAGAAATATCCACCGATAGATTTAATATAGATATTGGACATCATAATTGAGCTGGCTGATTTTGCCATCTGGAGGCCGATGATTGAAGACGGTGTACCGGGGGACATGTGGCCAGACCGGTACTAAGGGCGTTGCCAAAGTCCAAAGTTCATGTTGGGCGTCAAGGCGATGCTATTTGGAAATGCGAGAGACAGGTAGGTTTGACAGTTATAATTAACGCGCTGTCAGTCCAATCTCGACAGCTTGTGCAGTGGCGTCGGATGGGTTTGGTATCACCAGGTATGGCTGGCGTCCGGAGATGGCCTCATCCGAGACGGATGCCGTCACGGCGGTAATGCTACATCACGAAATACATCTATTTACTGAAACATCCCAATCTATGAGGCTTAATGGCCCAATCCAGAGGACAGTCCAGTATGAGATGCGTATAGGGGAGAGGGTATCGTTGTCCATGACAAATGGTGTCGCTGGCGTGGCAGTGTGGGCGTGTGGGTGCGTGTGCGAGTCGATGTATTGCAGTTTGCTGGCGTTTAGAGGTATGGGAGAATGTGCGTGTGTAGGCATAATGGAATCCGGCAGTATATGGATGGGCATGTAGGCGGGCGAGGGCGAGGGCGTGGGCGTTGGCGGTGGGCGTGTAGCCATGTGCACGTGAGGGCGATTTGAAATAGACATATATATGCGGGTTAGAAACTAATCGTCAAGGACCACAGCAGGCGGCAACATGGCCATGTTGTTCAGGTCAAACTGTGGAGTGGTAATGAGCGACAAACTGAAACCGACAAAAATCAACAACCGGCTCGGCGACAAAGAGATTAGGACACTCGACACCGAGTCCGAACTCTTTTGTTCGAGCCGCCTAGGCCTTTCTTTTTTTCGTTTCCTTTTAGCACCCTTGGTCTCAAATAGGGAAAGGGCTATATAAAAACAAAATCCCATCTGTGTTTTCTTGTCAATATCTATCTTTTAACATCCCGAAAAGCGGCGTGTATGGTGAAGAAAACTTGCATATATGGTAAGTGCAGTATTGCGGAGGTGGAGTCTGGAGGGAAGCCTGCGATGTTCTACTTCTTGAGCGGCAGACTTTGCTGACATTGACCTTGCGAGTCTCCTCTAGCCTGGACCGGCTACAAAATTCAGGGCCAAGGCTGAGGTTGACTGAGCACGGCTTTGTCAAGCACAACGGCGTCATCAATATATGGCCTTCTAGAGATAAATGTGGCAGCTAGCCTCGCACGGTAGTTCAGCTCTGTTACGTTACCAGAGTGTCCTGCACTCCCCAGTCTAGGTATCTAGGTAGGTAGTGTCATGTACTGTTCTTGCCAATGCGGGACTTTGCTTCCGACTGTTCAAGTACCTATTCTCTCGGCAGACGAGGAGGCAGTATCGGCGCTAAGCGAGTGACTTATCCAATCAGGTTCTGCCTGGGCGGCTTCTCTGCGGAAGGTGCAAAATGCCTTGTGCAGCTCAGCCCAAGGCGCACGAGCTACAGGGGGTGGGAGTGGGGGTTGAGTCGAACGCAAGGCTGGCGGTGAGTCGAGCGCTGATAAATGAGCGCGCATTCTATCCGGATTCGCCCTTCCCAACATACTATAGGTATGGAGCAAAGAAAAGACGCATAACGAGCCGTCCCTGCAAAAGTATTGCTTTGCAGAGGAGACAGATCCAAACCCCCAAACCAAAGATGTCGAGGAACACAACCGTCACCTTCCGAGAGGAGGTAGTGAAGATTCCTGCAGAGACCTCCCGGGAAAGCACACCAACCACGCTAGAACCTGCACGAGATGCTCACTGGCAAAGAGATGAGATCAAACTCGGGCCCCCAAAAGCAGTGGTCATCGAGGACGACGATGGCTCTGATTCTGAATACGGCACCAAGGATAACGATTTGGATGCCGTAAAATCGGAGGGCTCCTCAATTTCAAGCGAAGATGGGGGCTCTGCCTCGACGGCGCCCACAACGCCAAGCTCCCGCCACCATAGGAGCACTTATCGCCCCAGCATTCCGTTCTCTTCATTGGTATCATCGAGATGGCAGTAACAGGGCCAACGAAGGCGCCGGCATCAAAACCATTACTTTACCCCAGTCAGCGTGACAAATGCCGCAGAACGCTTGTCTGTGATGCTCTCACGCGGGTCACCGACTCCTGTCCAGTGGGGCGATCCCTCGCAACCCCGGGCCCGGCCGTGGGTCTAAAACTGAGTGCCTGACCATCAGTGCTGCAGAGAACTACGCAGACGAGACTGGGGAGAGCTTGGTCACGCTGGTTTGCACGGCTCGTGCCGAAATCTCAAAGAACGTCCAAATGCGGTGGCTGTAAGTCAACCATCCAAACCAGAGTCTTAGCACGCAGCAGCGGGTTAACGACGGATTCTTAAATAGCCACTTGCAGCAGACAGAGCGAAACCTGCGGACGCTTGAGGTCAGTACATGGGAAGAACTGTGTTCACAACCCCGTTAACTAAGGCATGTCGGACAGGATCTCGTTCTGTACTGCCCATACGCCTCAGACACGATGAAGTCGGTAGCGCTGAACCTATTGCGGAACAGCCACAATCGCTCTGAGGGGGCCTCAAATCGAGGATACGTCGTGCGGTACGATAACCGAGATTCCCGGGGAACATGGAATGAAGATTCCGTCACATTCCTCAGCGTGCCTTTCTTGCTGCGACGCCGGTCGCGGACACCAGCGCACATCGCACTGCATCTCCTTCCGTATTTCCACGGCGACCTCCCCCGTCACAACGACATCGACGCATCTGATGCGTACTCCCCCTTGGCCAGGGAGTTCCGGGACGACGAGCAATTCTACGTCACTCAGCTGTGGTGCCTCCTCTTGGAGCCAGGTAGGTTCATGGTCATGCCTACTCCACAGTTGCAGCAGTTGGAGTCTTTGACTAACACGTCTCTAAGATATCATAATTACGTGTGGAGATATATCTATGCCGGACCTCCGTGGCAAGAATCTCGTCGTTGATATAGTCGTCTGGAGAAAGTCGACAACCGTTGACCGTGAGGATTGTCGACGAGGAGTTCGGCCACTTTTATCTCGTTATCAGGCCACCTATTCCGTACAATGTGAGCTCGAATCAGGACCAAACAGCCTTACCGTGTTTAACAGAGCTGGCAGGATTTCATGAAACATGTTTTGAGCGTTACTCGGTGCCATGTGTCATTGGAAGAAGGGGCGAGCTCCTCCAACTTCACCCTGCTTAACGGCGAGCTCGATCGGTTGACACCTGAACGGTGGATCACGCTCATGGAACGCGAAGATTTGGATACCCTCCAACTGACCCTCGTCCGTGGGATGATCGACGACTCCCCTTCAGATGATTACGACAGCCCTTCCAGTCGCCGAACACGGCGGAGCAGCCGAAGGTCGCTTATTGAGCCAAAGGGTATCTTGAAGAACAAAATCATCAATGATCCCTTAAACTTCATTGACCCAAAGAAATGTCTCATTGAGACATCTTCCGACGACAGCGAGGGCGGCAATGTAGGTACCGGGACGGGAACCAGTGCTCCCAGCGGGTTTAAGGGCGGCCGCAATAGCAGCAGAAGCAGCAGCAATACGCCTAAAACGACAGAAGTTTCTTCAAATAATGTTCCAAGTTCTGCTGAATCTTGGGACAAGGAAGGCAAATGCGTTGCTTTCAAAGACGATCCAGCCCCCATAATGGATACGGTTTCTCCGTTTTTCACGTGGAATGTCATTCGGCAGTCGTCAACAAGCCGCTACGAAGAGGGTTACCCGAATTCATCCGTCAGAGTCTATCGCTTGCTGAGCCAGGTCGAAAAGTCCATCACTCGAAGGAGGCATCGAGTCCTTTACCTCGCCGGTTTCGAGTGTACCTTGCGGGAGCTTGAGCATCGACATCCCCGCCTGCTGGCACAGCCAAGCCAAGATCAGCTTGCAAATTCAGATGTTGGAAGGGGCGCCAGTAAGGCATGGAATGGCTCCGTGTATTGTGGACCGACGATGAGACGGCGGAGGCTAGTGACACACCGGCTGGGTCCCAGCTCGACATGCGAATGGACGAGGCTGTGCGCAAGCTCGTCTGCCTATCCAGAGACATAACAGGCATGTTTATCCCCAAGGAGCTCGAGGTTGTTCACCGCTGTTGGAAGAAGTACTGGGGCTCAGTGGACAAAATGATGACAGTGAGTTCCCCCTACCGTACAGCATGCCCGCTCTTAGAACGTGGACAACCACCGCTGACCAAGGCACCACCTAGACGATTGAGATGCTATCAAAGGTTCCCATGGAGGCCCCGGCCGTGATAATACGTACGAGATGAAGAGATAAGACGAAAACGAAGTCTGCTACTGCAGAGCAACGAGCCCCAAAACACACACAATTGCTCTGCAAGATTTGCCAGGACCAGGACCAGTACGACAGCCTCGAGCTGGCTCTCCAGCACCTGCACGAGAAACACGTAGAGGCCAATATCTGCACACCGACAGCTCAAGCCATCGATGACCCCTGCACCGTCTGGCTTCAAGCAAGCGAGTCCGAGCATCTTCGGCTCTCCCATGCCAACCGCGAGACTCTCAACGAATACATCGTTATGGTCCAGCACTTTGTCAGCCATCTGGAGAGGTTCCGCAAGAGCGCCCGGGAGCTGCATCTGTCCATCCGTCTGGGAAGGGGTGCCATGGTTCCGTCGAGTGACCATGGCGGCGTCCCGAGTGCCACGCTACCTTTTCTACCGAGCAGCGTGGTCCGCGCTTTCGAGGAGCTCCTAATTTCAAATCTCGTCCTGGCGGGCAGAGTGTCCCGTACCTGGGTCGGCGGCGCTCTCCGATCCGAGCAACGGACGGCGAGCTCCGCCTCCCATGGCGCGACTAATAGCCATGATGCGAGAGCGACCCGAAAATCTCGTCTCTACCCCCAAGGGTCGCAGAGCGGGTACGGTGCCAGCAGTTCATACTCGTGGGGCACGGCGACCGCCACACAGATCAGGAATCTATCGACCATAGCCAAAGCGACATCGCTCCTGAGGCATGCGAGGAAAGACCTGGTACTTCTGGGATCGACGACGAGTCGGGCGGGATGCCTCAATCTCGAGGCTATCGGGTCCGAGTTCCCCGTCGCGATGGTCCTCAGCAATCTCAGCGGCCTCGTCGACGGTAAGGAGACGGATGCCGTGGGCATCACGAGGCGGAAGCTCCGCTAGGTGGCCATGCAGTCGACGAAGAATCCCCAACGACGCCATTATCGACAACTTCACATGATACAGGATGAGCTTCAATCGCTGACCACTCTAGGTAGGGCGCAGTGGGGCGTGCTCTCCGACTATGGCCGGGTCCTATGCCCAGACTCGTTCCGAGTGACGAGCAAATCCAGGTTGAGCCTTTACGAGGCCGAAAGGGAACTCATCACGACGGAATAAGACCCTGGACCAGACCTTCTTCTGGATGGTCGCCATCCCAGTGACAGCTCTTACAATGGGGTTTGCATTTCTGTACGGATATAAGTGGGACGCCATTTCCGAGACCTTCTCGGTCTGGTGGAGCCATAGGCAGCAAACACGGAGACGAGCCCACAGCCAGGGAGGACGGAACAAGAGTCGAGATGCTCGAAATTTGGCCTCCTGGGCCGGCCTGCCGGGTTGGCCAAGGCGTAGGCAAGTGGAAGAGATATCAAGGCGTACGGGGGCCGGTGCTGTTGCCTGAGTCTCCGAGGCAGCACTATAATTACGTCGTGGGCGGAAGTTGATTTCACATCTAACCGCATATCCCTAATCTTATACGAGTCACTATGTCGAATGTCACTTTGAAAACCCCATCTTTCGAGGGGTATCACCACAACGGTTCGGAGATTCCACGGGCTATGTATGGTCGCAGCGATCAAATTATCAAATCACTAGAAGCCCCCGGAGCCGTGACCTGGGGCGGTTATGATAACGACTGTGAAGTGCAGACAGCTCTATGCTGTTGGTTCCGCCGACGAGTCATGCAGAAGATCCTCGCACACCAATCCATGCTTCCACGCCCCTTATCCTCCAAGCATTTCGTCTCTCCCACCTAGCACTTGAACACCTTCGGTCCGGGGTTCGTATACGACGTCGGGATGGGGTAGTTGATATTAATGAGGATGCCCGGGTCAGTGGCGGAGTAAGCGCCGGGGAACGCGACCTTTGGGCTCCCCTCTTCGGTGCCGCCGCCGGTGACGTTGATCTGGCCGCACGAGATGTAGAACTGCGCGCCGCCGGCGCTCTGGGCGACATGCAGGCCGATGTGCTCGACCCTTATCAGGTACTCGCCGCTGGCGATGCACTTGGGCAGGGTGACGGTGGCCTTTGACTCGCCGTTGCTCGGCCAGGTGAGCTGCGACGACCCGAATGTGGGCTGCTCCTCGTAGATCTTGAACCACACCTCGCCGCTTCCGTCCCAGTCGGCCGCCGTCTTGCCTTCGGGCACCTTGGCGAGGTACATCTGCACGGGGCCCGGGTGGTAGATGCTGGGGTTGACCGCGAACCCGACCGTCGACCCGGCCGCCACGTTGATCGTCGTCGCCCCCGCGGCGGAGAGCTGGTCGCACCGGAACCCCGCCGAGGTGACGTCGCCTACGAAGCCGTTGTTTTGCCAGTGGGTTGTCTGCCGGACGTTTACCCAGTCGCCCTGTTTTGCGCTGCCCAGTACCAGCGCTGGGAAGGTATCTGGGGATACGCTTGTCAGCCAAATGTGACCTTGCTTTTCCTTTCGTGTCAGACAGACATCACTCACAGTGGGCGTTCACGGCCGTTGCGGCCGCGACGAGGGTCGCGAGGAGATACATGGCGGCTGTCGTGTCTGGCTATCTCCAAGTTATGTTGTCAGGGGATGAAGTCGAGAGTCGGTGTTGTTTGCCAAGACCTCGAGGAGCCGCCGTGCTCTTATATATATTATAGCTCATTCCCTCGCCCATACTTGTGCTATGCAATTATTCCTGATATGTGAAGAACTTGCTCATCCGCTTCTAGAAATGAGGCATCGTGAATTGGGGTCGGCCGTACGCTTGCCCCCGGTTAAATATGCAGTGGCCATTGGGAAGAAGCCGATATATGAACCACTATGGTTGAAATGAAAATTAAGGACAAATCCGCACCTGATATTTTGGAAAGGGAGTAAGCGACTCGAAAAAAACCTGGGGTGCAGGGATGAGTACGGTTACCCCGGCATCGTCTCTTGCGTCGACGAGAGTGTCATGGAAGATTGGGCATTGTAGATGATGCGCCTCAACACCAGGCTAACAGAGGAACCATCAAAGCTTGTCAATGCTAGCCATGGGGCTTTTGCAGTGCATATCGTTACCCGATCCGTGAAGTGTTGCGCGGCCGAGAAGGGGAACATCCAACTGACTGCCGGCTGAAGCGGTGGGTAGTAGTAGTAACGCAGCTTGGGAGGAGGTCGGCCAGGCTAGTCGGATGACCAGGCCGGTGGTCTGCATTTAGTTGGTTATTCGCCATGTTAGGGCGGGCCGAGTATATTGCGTCGCGACTGTAAATGGTGTGCGAATGCGATGCCTCATTTCAGTCAATTGTGTCTGCAACGGAACCTCGGAGGGGGCAGCTGCGGAAGCGCTTGGCGCCGCGCCGGGTTTTGTGATAAGATAGAGTCCAGTGTGGGAAGCGACCTGGAAACCGGGAGGCCTAACATGGAGGCATTCATTTTGCTGTTCACTCCTAGATCACCTCGCCGCAAGATCAACCCAGGTAATCACTAATTGCTCATATCGTTCCTTACACCCATTTCGGCTTCACTTGCCACTATCCACCCATGGTGGGTTATTTTAGGCCACCATGGTTTCCCCTGCCGTTCATATCCTGATTAACGTATAGTTAGAACAATTGTAAGGAACCAGCCCAAGATTTGAGATTCCGTTACCGCCCATATAGGGCGAGGAAGAGGGCATCCTTCTGTGGAGCGCCGACAACGGAAAACCTCAGCTCCCAAAGTCTATCTTGACATAATCATCGAGATATCCAAGAAATCTAGACGATCTAGTTGCTTCGCATCGTAGGATGAACGTGAGGGGACGTATGTGAAGAAGTGACAAGAACTCACTTGCTCAACACCTCCCTTTGGGGTCGGTAATCACGACATACAAACCTGTACCAGAACTCCTATGCTTCCCTACCGAGCCAAGAGTTGCACTGGTTAGCATTTTGAAGCCGTTCACTTGGAGACACATATTTTATAAGCAGAACTGAACTGTGCCCAGTTCTTGAATACATCAAGCTTTCGTTTTCAATTGGCTTATTAGAGTCAACCCAGGTTGCAAACCTGGAGACTCGAAACGGCGACTTGGAAAAAGTGTACGACATCTTCATTCGACATCTGGATCGAGAGGTTACGTGCCGTATTTTGACCTAATTAGACTTATGGTTAGTCCGCTCAGACTTCTGCTGGCAGGTCCTTTCGTTCGTTGCTCAGTTGCTCAGGAACGGCAACTTCTCACGGCTCTTGGCGTCCGTGGGTGCCAGCTTCTCAACCAGAAGATCCTCCATGACTGAACCAGACATTGATCCCAACTCCCGGCAGGGCAAGGAATGCCGACCTCTGAAGAGTCAACTTTAGCCTCGCTCGATACCTATATGTCGCCCATGTTGGTTCAGAGAGGAACTCCATCGCCCATGCATGCACATCACGGACGAGCGGCCGACCGCCTCATTCGCATCGGCACGACCTGCCCAGGCGTGTAAGCAACAGGCCACTCCCAAAGAGGGGGAGTTTGCCCACATCTCGAACCGCGATCTCCCGTTTCAATGGGGGGACAAAAAGACGGAGACGGAACCCCGGCATCTGAGAATTAACATAGTAGACAGAGTCGGCGGCGGAGAGGACCAACAGGAATACGAAAAGGGCAAAAGAGAGACGGAGAAGGGCGAAGGAGAAAAATTGGGGCCCGAGGGCATAATATTGCCAAGTCAGTCGGTGGAGTTTTCTATTGACAAATATCAAGTCTGATACAGCCAAGAGGTGTTTCGCGCACGAGGAATCTAAGCAACACTCAGTCCCCTCGGGGGTTTTTCTCGCCCTACATGGGGCTGCTTGAATCAGATCGACATTCCCGGTGCAGCACCGATCAGCCACACGTCGGAAGTTTCGGCCCCCCACCACAACATTAGTAGTATCCGTGCAGCTCTTCCTTCCGTTTACAGCCGCACCCCCCCTCCCCTGGATCTGGATCCCTGGAGCCGGGCATTAAGTTGTGTCGTTCTGGAAGACTTTATGGAAAACCACACCACGGCAGCGCCGATCGTTTCAACGCGGGAACGCCGAAAAAGGTAAAAGAGGTTAACAAAGTCCCCTATTTCCCGACGTTTGTGTCACCAACGGCGCATCTGCGCAATGAACCCATCCCCCAACAACGCCAAGCCAAAGCTCCCACCGCCAAGCTTCCACGGATTTCGCCCCTTCCGGCATCGAATTGAAGCTTGTTCGACCCCGTACCGGCACTCGTTCTTTTCTTCTAGCCAATCCTGCTTTAAGGATTTCTAAAGATCTTTTGAGTGGGTCCCGGGTCTATATTTGGCCCCTGGAAGGAACAAGGATTTTTGGTTTCTCCATCTCTTCTACTGGGACGATTGACCTAGCCACTGACACGAGATGAGTGTCAAACAGGCCTTGTTCGGCCATGTGTTAATCACAGCTGTAATGCAAGTCGTGACCAGCTTGTTTTGCTTGATTCTATGCACTGGCGTATGGGGAGTCTATTCTCCATCTGTCTGTCCATTCTGGTGTCATGTTGTGCCGAGCCCCCTAATTATCGTACAGAGCCCAACCACGCCCAAACCCGCGACTTGCTGTGTGTATTATGTATGGTATAACCGCCAAGAGAGTGACCCGTTTTCCTTGATCGCCAGCCGAGGGAGAAGCGGCTGCAGCCCAGACCCTCCCCCCTTTCCTCTTGTGGTAGGGCTTGGTGAACGGCCGTCGCCCCCAACAGTCCTGTCTGCAGAGCAGGCAGCCTGTTTGTATGTCCGTTTTTCGAACTGACACATGATTTCCCTCCCAACCGGCTTCTCTACTCCTGCCCTCTCCGTTCCCGCCCTGCGTAAGAGGTCTGTGGGTCTCCGTTCTTTCCTCCCTCCCAACTTCTCGGCGGCCCCGGTGCCGGATGGCCAAAAACGTCAGGAGCAACATTTCTGCGGGTACGTCGAGGGTGGTTTCCGGGGGTGCCGCAAATCTGCAAAAATAAGGGGGCGGGGGCGACACTCGTTCTGATTTTCTTTTTTCGCAAATAGGAGAGAAGAATGTGGGCGATAATGACTGTAGTATTGGTTTCTGTCTGGGGGGAGGAGTGGGACGGAGGGGTTGGCGAAGGAAAGGGCAAGTAAAATTGACGACGACAAGATTGCCCATTTGGGTTTCGCGTTTGTAGGAATGAGTGAATGTGCTTCCCGGGGGGGTTGTTTGTTGGTGGACCTCCCTACTGCTTTTGTCATGTGTGCTTTTCGCCCTGCAGTTGGAGTGTGGCGCCCCCTGAGAAGGGGTTGGAAGGGTGGGAGCACTAGGCTTCGGAGTCCCTCGTGTAGATTGTTGAGATGGCGAAGAAAACCCCGAAGTGGCTCCCAATTGAAAATGCCCTGCGGCCGTTGCAATTTGGTGATTAAGCAAAGGCGCCGACAATGGACATGCCAGCAGCTGTTCAATGGTTAGGATGGAACATTTTGAGAGGGAAAGGGAGGGAAAATGCCAACAAACCTCCAGCTAGGACAAACATGAAGGCCACAGTCTTGTCTTTCCTGGTCATGACCCGGTTTGCTTCGTCGGAAAGGAAGTCTTCGGCCAGAAGATCCACAAGGGCGGCGTACAGAAGGAGACCAGAAGAACTAGCATGCTGGGTCAGCTTCTTTTCCTGCAACAATTTTGACAAGTAGGGGGGGTCAACTTACATGGCGTTGAAGACACCGACAATAATCAAACCGAAAGCGCTGTTGGGATCATACGTGCTCCTGGTGAAGAGACCGATCGCCTGGCCAATGGGGGCAGTGGTGCCGAAGGCAACGACGAGAACCCACGGGCGGATGCTTCCCTTGGCGTACGGGACGGCGGCGATACGGGAGCCAAGGCCGAGACCCTCGAACATCTGATGGAACAGGATGGCCACGAGGAGGATGATGAAGCCGTCGATGGTGATGCTCACAGTCATGCCGACGAAGACGGAGTGGAACAGGATACCACCTTCCAGAAGAGTGATATTCAGCGACAATTTCTTATAGATCAGAGGGTCAACGGGCAGGCCAGTCTCGGTGTCGATGTAGGGCGAGTCGGCAAAAGGACCTGAGTGGACAAGGGCCTGGCTTCTCTCAGGCTCGACCTGTCGCGGGGCGGGTTTTGGTGGTAGAGTGGACCGGATCATGTTCAGCATCTCCAAGCGTTGGCGGACATATTGTTCGTAGAAGACGATGAACCACGGGGGCATCTCCGATTGGGCATTCAGTTCGGAATTGTCGGAGAAGGGGTTCTCCAGCTGATTCCTCACGTTTTCCTCGTACATCTTTCGGGCGAGGTCCTTCTCATGCTTGATGTCGTCCGTCTCGAAGTTAACTCCAGTGTCGTACCTGGGAGGCCGCTCGGGGACGATCATGTCCGCCGCGTGCGCGTGCGCGTGCGGGCCAGATTCAATGCCCATGGGGCCGCCGTGAGAGTGACCTCCAGTCTTGCTGTTGAGCCACATCTCGATGACGAACAAGACAAACAGAGAGCCCATCATGATGACACCTGGCAATGGTGGGTACTGCTCGGTGAAAAAGTCAGGGAGACATGGGTTGAGGAGATTGCCAAATGCCGTGGGCAAAAGCTGGACAAGGGTGTGAGTATAAATATGAAAATCAAAAGCCATGTCTGGCTTTTCGGGCTAATGCGTGCTTACATGGACGAAGGCGGTTGCGATCAGGACACCTGTGCCAAAGTGCTTGCAGGCGAAGAAGATCTTGGGGGGAATCTTGATCCAAGGGACCTTCTTGGCTACCACAGGGAAGCCAGCTCCTGTGAATGAATAAGTATCAGTGCCATCGGAGGCGAAGATGCTAACCCCTTACCGAAGATGGAGAAGGCAAGGACCAAAACTATTCAAGGCTAGTTAGCACCAGGCCAGAACGATGATGATGAGGGTGTATATAAAAGATGACTTACATAGGCCCAGGACGTGGAGGCCGAGATCATATTCGCCGACCTCCCCGCTACTACCACACGCAGGCTTCCCGTTCATCACCATGTCTGCCACGGGGGCCTCTCCAGCCGTTGCGGTCGCCATTGTTGAAAAGAGAGTCCAGGCCGGCCTGGGGACTGGAGGCTCACACACGCTAAACTTGTAGTTCAAGACTCGAAGCAACCGAGGAAGGAGGGACAAGCGAAGCTGTCCCGCAGCTTCTTGCAAGAACAGACGAGAGGGCTTCTATCCCAAGCGTCGAAAAGAAGGGAAAAGGGAGAAGAAGAAAACAAAAATAGGAGAAAAGAAAACGAAACAAGAAAAAGGGGGTCGCCGAGGAAAAGGAACTCAAGCAACGAGACGACTAAGAAAGATCAAAGGCCAAGAAAGACCAAGGCCAAGAAACAAGAGGGTTTTCTGCTTTAATATGCATATCGAAGCCAAGTCATCGACCGGCACTCGACGGTTGGGTAGGGCAAGGCGAGCCGCGATGGTAGCTCGCCATGATCGCGCCCTGGTCAGTGCCATGTGTTGATGGTTCAAGAATAGCAATGGCTCGTTCGCCCAAGGGCTTCGAACACAGGGCTAAACAAGACGATGACAGAAAGCTGCCAGACAAGTTGTGAGACATGGCTCCACGGATGATCTGGCGATCAACACAAGGCTCGAAGACTCGACCGCGGTTGCATGATTTGGCGACAGCCTCTCCGGAACTGGCACTTGCCACTTGCCAAGATATCAACGACAGGCAGGTCTTGGCTATACCAGCTTCATCATCACTTCATCAGCTTCAGCCCAGCCCGACGGGGGGGCTGTCAAGCAGCCGCGCATGACAAACCGTTGCCTCCGATTCGACGGAGGAGTGGGGGGCGCAACGGAGCAAGGCTTGTTTCCTCCGCTTGAGAGATGATCGGAGAGTTCAAGAAGGGCGAAACGAGCCCAATACCACTCCATCCACACCCCCCGCCCCACACCCCCGGCTTCGGCATCGTCCCGAAGTATCGTCGCGGAACAGGCCTTCCTCGTCGGGCTGTTATGGCCAATCCTTGGCAGCCTGTGTTTTACGTGCAAGGGTCTGGGGGAGGGTTGTAACGAGGGCTGTCCAGACCGTTCTTGGCACCCAGGGCGCTATTCTGTCTGGAACTCTTGGCAACCGGGCCAGAGACCAACTCGTGACAGAATCCCAGGTGATTCGATGCATGTGTATGGCAGGCTCTCCCGCGGCTCTGCAACTCCCGTATCTGTGAAACAATAGCCAGCCAATCCCCGCCTGGATAAAGAATTGCAACTCGCTCAGACCCCAACCTGATCAACAGCTACATGCGCTCCAGCATGCAGAGAAGGTTCGACAGTGCAACTCGACCAACTCTTCTTGAGGCGGCTTGTCGAGAACGGGCTAGACAGGATGGGGAGCAGAGATAGCTGGTTCGTGCACGTACAGTACGTCTTGTGGACCCCTCGGCACTGGCTACCGAAGGTGACTACATCCTAGTAATGCAGATGTGCGGTAGAAGAGATGATTTAGTCACACTGTAGACGCTAAAAATGCGGACCGGGAGTTTTGACCGCCCACCGCTATGGGGAAATTTCCCGCCCGCTTGACTTGACTCTCTCCACTCCCCCCAGCCACCCTGATATGCAGATATGGGAGAAGGATGAACGCGGTCGGCCTCTTAGCAGCGGCAGCTAGGCCATCTCGTCACAGGTGTTACCTACATTGTCCCCTTGAAGCGCGCAGGGGTTGGATGTATGTTTTCAAGGCTGTATGGAGCGATTATGGGCTATTATTATTCTTATTATGGGAGGCCCCCGTTGTCGCCCACAGACAGCCGGAACCTGAATATAATGCCTCTTGTTCGCAGACTCAGATCCGTCGACAATTCTTTCCCATATTCAGGTCCCGATTATTGTCGCCCTTGAACTTTACCTCTGATCACGCATGAAACCCTGTGGATGCCATGGCCGGATCCGACTCGCCCAACCGCCCTCAGGTAGAAGGTAAGTTCCATTGCAGCCGCGCCGCCCGCGCAACCTTGCCCTTCTCCATCTCTGGGGATTGATTTGATTTTCACATCACATCCCATTGCCGGGGGTGTTTTGAGTGTTTCTATTTCGGCCAAACAACTCTGCCTCTGCCTCTCTCTCTTCCTCTCCCCTGTCTCTCTCTCTCCCTGTCTCTCTCTCCCTGTCTCGCTCTTACTGTCTCGCCCCTCATACACCCATGTTACGATCCTGCCCATCGCTCGGGTAGTCTTGACTAACATCAGTGCAAGCCAATGCTTCACAAGCCGAACCCATCATCGCATCACCCGCTGAAGATGTCTCCCACGAACCAAGTGGTGCTGATGTCAAGGCTTCTGCTGAAGCCTCCGTGACCCCCGTCCAGGAGGACAAGGACGAAATCATCCAGGTCATCGCCGCCAGCCAGACGTCCTCGTCAGTCGACATCGACAGCTCGGACCCATTGAACTTTGGCCGCCATCGACGCGACAATGTCACCCGCAAGCAGATGAAGATCGAACATCCCAAGGGGGACAAGAAAAAGCTCAAGAAGTATTACACCCGCCAGAACGAGCTCATTGACCGATTCCTCGGCGCCGACGATGAGGAACGTCTCGCCGTCGAGGAGGACATCAGGATGGGGCCCAGGATCAAGTTTGCCGTCTACGGCTCCTTCGCGGTGAACTTCTGCCTCTTCATCATCCAGATGTATGCTGCCATCTCCACCGGATCCTTGTCGGTAAGTCAAGTTACCCTCCCAAACCCAACAGGATCTCTCCACTGGTCAAACCATGAAGCTCTCCGGAACTGACAAGCATGATTTAGCTCTTTGCAACTGCAGCCGACGCGTTTGTAAGACGTTGCCCATCTAGTAAGATGCCGATGCCGTGTTAACCCTTCCTCCAAAGATGGACCTCGTATCGTCCTTCGTAATGCTCATCACCTCCACGCTTGCTGCACGACCGAGTGTGTACAAGTACCCTGTCGTAAGTATCAGCACATCCATTTTCTTGCGCGGTCGACACCGCTAACGGCGATAACAGGGCCGCAAAAGGATCGAGACGATCGGCATCATCCTCTTCTGCGCATTGATGACTACCGTTGCTGTTCAGCTGCTTGTTAGTTCCATCAGTCTCCCTTCCCCCTCGGAGCTTCATTTTGTTGACAGACGACCCAGATTGAATCGGCTCGTACCCTCGGCAACGGCAAACACGACGCAGAACCACTGAAGATCGTTCCTCTGACCTTTGTCGGCGTTGCCAGTAAGCAACCCAAGCCACCTGGGCCGTGCCAGCTTTACTGACGTTTGCGGGCAGTTTTCGCAAAGGCCACTCTGATGATCTACTGCTTCTTCTACCGCATGTATCCCTCGGTCCACGTCTTCTTCGTCGACCACCGGAACGACATCGTGGTCAACCTCTTCGGTTTGATCATGTCCATCGTCGGCGATCGCTTCGTCTGGTATCTGGATCCGATCGGCGCCATGTGTATCGCCTTGCTTATCCTGTTCTCCTGGGCGTCCAACGCCTTCGAGCAGGTCTGGCTGCTGGTTGGCAAATCCGCGCCGAGGGAGTTCATCTCCAAGCTCATCTACATGACCATGACTCACGACCCGCGGATCGCCAAGGTAGACACGGTAAGAACCCCCCCCCCCGGCAAACGTCCCCACGAAGCAACCGGAACTGACTGTGCCCAGTGCCGAGCCTATCACGCCGGCCAGAGCTACTACGTTGAAGTCGACATCGTCATGGACGAGGACCTGCCGCTCAAGACCACGCACGACGTCGGGCAGACGCTGCAGCGGAAGCTGGAGGGCCTGGCGGCTGTCGAGAGGGCCTTTGTGCACATCGACTACGAGCACGAGCACGACATCCACGAGGAGCACAAACCGCTCTACGAGAAGGACAAGAAGAAAAAGAGGACTCTCAAGGAGATCCTGCTCTTCCGGAAGCCGGCGATGGAGCAGGCCGAGGCGGCGGCGCAATAAATAAAAAAGACTTTGGGTTTCGGTGCTCGGGGTACGGTTCGGAAGGGGGCGTGTTTGCGTGTAAAAACAAGGTGATGAGCAACATGTACTGGCGTTTTTGGGATTACGAGCGAGCGCATCTACTATGTATAGACCTGGATCGGGGGGGGGGCAACGGTGTAGTGTAGTAAACAGTCCCTACCATCGGAAGCATATTCCATTCTGATTATCGTAATTGAGTCGGGCTGTATATCCTGCAGCTGTTATTGTGACTAGTGAGGTCAGACTGAGACTAAAGTGAAAGTGCTTTCTGAACGGAATATCAGCGTCAATATCAATTGGGTTCAGTCAATTGAGTGCTCAAAAAAGAGTCACTTGAGGCACAACATGGCTGCGAGTCCAGAGCCAGGGGTTATTGCTGACCAGTTGTGGGGCAGCCGGCCCCACTCTCTGATAGGACGGGGCCCGCCGAGAGTTCTCGGAGCAAAAAATATGGTCTGATGTTTAGGTATTTTGTGAACATCGAAGATTTGCAAATTTGGACCTCACGAGGGCGGCCAACCTTTTGCCTGTGCGCTCTGGCTTCCTCCAAAATGGCGTTCTTCCAGCTTGGGATACGCAGGACGGCGCTGCAGTTGTCCCGACCATCATTCGTTTGTCGCCAATGCCTCCGACAACAGAAGTTCATCGGTCCCTCCTCGTCACAGTCCAGCATCGTGAAGCTCCTCCGGCCAGCACCACGGCGATATGCGACCACCGAGTCTCGGGCATCGCCCACCGCCTCGTTGAAGGCGGCATCCCCTGCTTCATTCCCTAACAGCGGGAGTAGTGCCTCGTCAAAGTCGGCATCATCGTCGTTTCCCGAAGTCAGCTCCAAGACAGTCGGTTACTTCCTGGTGGGCAGCGCGATCAGTGTCTTGGGTATAATCGTGTTTGGCGGCCTGACGCGACTGACGGAGTCTGGGTAAGCGCGCACGACAGCCCCTATCCTCCCACTGACTCCAATTGGGAACACTGCAACTAACAAGAGCCCGCCCCTCCAGCCTGAGTATCACCGAATGGAAGCCAGTTACGGGCTCCCTCCCACCCATGTCCGCCGCCGACTGGCAGGCCGAGTTCGACAAGTACAGGGCCTCCCCCGAGTTCAAGCTCCTCAACCCACACATGACACTTGGCGAGTTCAAGAACATCTACTACATGGAATGGACGCACCGGCTTTGGGGCCGCGTCATCGGGCTCTCCTTCGTGTTGCCGACCCTCTACTTCGTCGCGCGCCGCCGCGTGACGCCGCGCATGGCGGCAAGTCTCCTCGGCATCTCCGGTCTGATCGGCTTCCAGGGCTTCATAGGGTGGTGGATGGTCAAGTCCGGGCTGAAGGACGACCTGTTCGCGCCCGGCTCGCACCCGCGCGTGAGCCAGTACCGCCTGGCGGCGCACCTCGGCACCGCCATCGCCTGCTACGCCTGGATGCTCCTGGCCGGGCTGAGCGTGCTGCGGACGCACCGCCTCCTCGCCAACCCGGCCGCCGCGTCGCAGACCCTCAAGGCGCTGCAGTCGCCCGCGCTGGCGCCGCTGAGGCGGTACGCGGCCGCGCTGACGGCGCTCATCTTTGTCACGGCCATGTCGGGCGCGCTGGTGGCAGGCCTCGACGCCGGCATGATCTACAACGAGTTCCCGAAGATGGGCGTGGGCCTCACGCCGCCGGCGTCGGAGCTCTGGGACGGCTTCTACTCGCGGCGCGAGGACCGCTCGGACCTGTGGTGGCGCAACATGCTGGAGAACCCGTCGACGGTGCAGCTGGACCACCGCATCCTCGCGACGACGACCTTCTTCTCCGTCGTGGCCCTGTTCGCCTACAGCCGCCGCGGCCGCGTCTCCGCCGCCATGGCCGCAGACGTCCGCAAGGGCGTCACGGGCCTGCTGCACATGGTCTCGGCGCAGGTCGCCCTCGGCATCGGCACCCTGCTCTACATGGTCCCCACGTCGCTCGCCGCAGCCCACCAGGCCGGCGCCCTGGGCCTGCTCACCGTCGCCCTCGTGCTGGGCACGCGGCTGCGCGTGTCGCCGAGGACCATGGCGCTGGTCCAGAAGAGGCTGGTGAAGAGCCGGTAGCTGGCTGTGGGCGGGTGTCACTTCCTCCCAAGGTGCTGTGGTTGATTAGGGTCCGATCGAGGGGTAGGGTCTGTCAAGACCACGGGATGTAGCAAATCCTGGACATTCAATTGTGCAACTCACTGTATCAACAGATGGGGATAGCTTCCCCTGTCTCTTATTTATATGTGTATAAGAAATACTCAACTCATACTCAGGGGAGGGGTCTTCTCGAGTTTCAACTGGTTTAATGATAAGCATCTCCAGTCAACTTTCGAGTTCTGAGTGTCAAACGTTCACAGCCGTCTGCTTTGGATGATGGCCTCCTCCGTAAAGTCATCGTATATGTTGAGGCTACCCCAATCCCTTCCTAGGTTGTTACCTTGGAAGCGGGTCTAATGGGGCTCATCCAATTGTGGGTACTTAAGATATCTAGGCACGCACGGCACGTAGGGAATCTTGGAAGCTGTTAGCATCGTCACTTTTGCCACCTGACTCCATGTGTTAAATAGACGCAACGGCGCAACAAAGTCCACTCCAATCCACCATTCCCACATCAGACCTCCTTCCTACCCAGCCCTTTAATAATCCACCCACCGTTGCACAAACACAACCGCAACAACAGTCAATCAGCCCACAATGCCCATCCCCACCGGCTCCTCAACCACTGCCCGTCAGACCACCTCTGGGCCAGTCGACTCGCAATCAGCAGCCGCCGCCGCAGGCGCAACAGGAGCGGGCGTCGACTCCGGGGCTGGAACGACGCGGCAGAAGACGGAGGCCGAGAGGGAGGCGGATCGGCTGTACGAGGAGCGGATGGAGGAGGAGTATGCTAAGAGGGAGGGGGGTTCCTGAGTCGATTGGGCAGAGGGGTGAGCTGGATGGCGGGGGTTGTGTCGTTTTGTGCTGGGCGGAGGTGGTGATGGTATCAGCTTTGCTGCTACTAGGCGAGTGATGAGGCTACCTCCAGCATATATCTTCATGACAATCACAGGAAGGCAGAGCAGCAGTTATTAAGGGCGGTCAATAGACGATGAACATCTAAATGCTTTTGATATATTGCATGTGGATATACGCTCGTGTATGTAAATAAGTATACACCTTGGTGTCACCACTCTCGCTCAACTATGCAGAACAAAATACCACCGTTTAACCCGCCCCTTTATCTTCCACAGGCCCACCACCTCCCCTTCTTCTCATTCTCATACCCCTCCTCCTGGACGCCATGCTTGCCCACCACAGCCAAGAAGACCTGGTCCAGCGTAGTCGGGCTAACACTGAAGTGCTCCACACCCAGCGCCTCCCTATTCTCCTCAAGCGCCACAACAAGCTGCCCGATCGCGCTCCTCTCCGAACCCGGCTCCACGCCGCCCACCTTGGCGATATCATCGTCTCCGCCGCCGTCGCCGCCGCCGCCATGGTGCACCCGCCCCTGCCCCGTCACCGCGGCGGCAGCGACCGAGAAGCGCATCTGCCCGTGGTACGTCTTGTCCTCGACCTCTGCGCCGGGGAACCGCCGGAGTACCCACTCGCGGACGCGGCGGACGTCGGCGTCCTCGGACCGCGGCGCCCCGCGGCACACGAGGTGCACGTACAGCCGATCGCCGAACCGCCTCCGCAGGCCCTCGACGGAACCCAGCGCCAGCATCCGGCGCGCCAGGATGCCCGCCCGCCCCGCCAGCGCGTCCGCCTCCTCCATGCTGTGCGTGGTCAGCAGGATGCTCCTCCCCGGCGCCGTGGCGGCCAGGGTGCGCCACATGACCCTCTTGGCGGCGGCGTCGAGGCCCGACGACGGCTCGTCCAGCAGCAGGACGGTCGGGTCGCCCATGAGCGCGATGCCCAGCGACAGCTTGCGCTTGTTGCCGCCCGACAGGGCGTGCGCCTGCCTGTCGCGGAAGGCGCCCAGGCCCACGGCCCGCAGGATGGCCGCCACGTTGTGGTCGATGTCCGGGATGCCGCGCACGCGCGCGTAGAAGCGCAGGTGCTCCGTGACCGTCATAGCGTCGATGGCGTCGAACTGCGGGCACACGCCCATGTGCGCGCGCGCCCCCGCCAGGTCGCGCGTCACGGATATGTCGTCGACGAACACGTCGCCGCCGCCCGCACCGCCGCTCGGCTTGATGTCGCCGCGGATCAGCGAGATGGTCGTCGACTTGCCCGCGCCGTTGGGGCCGAGGAGGGCAAACACCTCGCCGCGCTTGACGCCCAGGCTGACGTTATCCACGGCCGTGTTCTTGCCGAACGTCTTGGTCAGGTGCACGACGCGGAGGCCGTCTGTGGCGGACGCGACGCCGTCGCCGCTGAGCGCGCTGGTCGTGACGCGCAGTTGCTCGTTGGCGACCTCTTCGTCCGACGCGTCGGGCAGGTCGTCGGCGGCGGGCTCGCGGTTGCGCCGGAACAGGCGCTTGAAGGACGAGCCGACGTCGCCGCCGTCGAGCCAGATGATGAGGCCGAAGAGCAGGATCGACTGGAGGATCAGGTACAGGATCGGCCCGCCGTACTGGAGGATGCCGCCCGGGTTCGGGGCGAGCTCTTTGTCGACGCAGGTCGCCGAGAAAAGGTTCAGGGCGATGAACAGGGCGCGGACAACGGAGCCGATCGGGGCGAATGCCGAGATGACGAAGTGCACCAAGAGAAGGTAGTCGTCGATGTGGTTGGCTGGCGAGTACGTGATGGTGCACAAATACGCGATGAGGTAGACGAGGAACATGACGGCCTGCCCGGCCGCGGTGAAGGCGTATGCCGACAGCTGCGTCGCGCAGAACAGCGAGATGAGATAGGCGAGGAGGGTCGAGGTCAAGCCGTATAACATGAACACAAGGAAAAGGTACGCAACGTGGTACCAGACGCTGGAAAGCGCGGCGAAGAGAATGGTGACGATGGCCGACGAGACAACGACGATGGCGAAGTCGAACAGGATATACGCTAGCCAGAGAGGCGACGTCCGGACGCCGTTGGAGTATTGGAGGCCGCGCACGTTGCTCCTCCGCTCAACATTGGGATACAGAGCAAAGAAACCAGGAGCTGCGGAGAGGGCCAGACCGATGTAGACGAGGAGCTGCAGCGAATCACCCGTGCCCGGAACCCAGGGGATCTCAAAGGTGACGAATGACGAGGCAATCGATGTGTTGGTCAGGAGCATGTCCATCACCGACTGCCCGAACCACGCATTGTACATTTCAAAGCTGGCGGATTGGTACGCGACCGTGGGCGGCGAGTTTGCATCCCCGAGCCACAGTCCAGCCGGGGTGATATTCTTGCGCTCCTGCGCGATGGCATCGTTGAATTCGTCGAGGGTGTCGACTACCGTTATGTGTTTGAACAAGCTGTCGGGATCGGTCAGGGCTCCCGAGCCCCCCGCCGACAGGCTGCCGTTCTGACGAAGGGCGTTCAAGTAGACCGGGAGAAGGACGCCGAGGCTCTGCTGGTTGAATTTTGACGAAGGGCCACCGACAATAAAGAGCTCGATGCCGGAATTGAAGATATCCAGCGCCGTGTCCGACGACAGCTGCTCGGATGGCGAGCATCCCACAGGATTCTGATTTCTGACGAAGAGCGTAACGAGGCCGGCAGCGAGGATGGGAATTATGAACGCCGCGGCGTAAGGAAACCAGTTGCCCTTGAAGATGACACATCTCTTGAGGAAAAGAACGCTGGTCTGGCGGAGGTAGCCTATTCGCCTGCCGGGAAGGAGGTCTAGCCCTTCTCTGCCCGGCCCATCAATGCCCACAATCTTCTCGGAATGCGTCTGCTTCTCTTGTGACTGCGAGTCCGTCGTAAGAGGTGATTCATCAAGGCTCTGGCTGCTCTCGGCGCGAACTTCTTCTGCCAGCTGCAGGAAGACATCCTCGATGGTAGGTCCCGAGAACCTGTAGTCAGTGATGCCGGCAGCCTCGAGTGTCTTGATGACTTGAGCGGCGAGGCTGGATGAAGGGGCAACATAGCTAATAACATCGAACCCGACATTCTTGGTTACCCCATCGACGTCAGGGGTTGTGCGGAGGGCCTTCGACCGCTGGACGTGAATGCGATACCCGCCGCCGAGCCTGTCCTTGAGCTGAACGGACGGTCCTTCGGCACGTAGTGTGCCCTTAGATAGGATCGCGATATGATCAGCCAACAGATCAGCCTCATCCAAGAAGTGCGTAGTCATGATGATGGTCCGCCGGCCCCGCTCAGCGAGCAGAATGTCCCAAATCTTCCGCCGACTGAGGGGGTCCAGACCAGAGGAAACTTCATCGACGCAGCAGACGGCGCTCCCACCTGTCAGCATCATTCCTAGCTGCAGCTTCCGCTTCTGGCCTCCGGAAAGGGTCTTTGACTGGGCCTTGACCTTCCTATCGAGGTCAATAGCCGTGATGAGCTCCCGAAGTTCCTCTTTGCTTGAAGGCTTGCCCGGAGACTTCAACCTGTTGAATATCCTGACATGCTCCTCGACCGTAAGCTCGTCCCAGAGAACGTTCTTCTGGGGGGCGATGCCCAAGCCTCCCGTGCCATCGATGGTAATCTTCCCGCTCGTGGGTTTGGTGATGCCCGCAATCGAGTCGAGCGTCGTGCTCTTGCCACTGCCGTTGGCGCCGAGCAGGACGAGAATCTGGCCCCTCCCCGCGCTCAACGTGAGCCCGTTCACGGCAACGACAGGGTCCTTCGGCTTCGAGATGAAGGAGAACATGCGACGGAAGAACCCCGGCTTGTACACCTTGGTGAAGCCCTCAAGCCGGACGGCGGCCTCGGCTCCAGCGCCCTCCTGGGCATGCCCGACAATGATGTCGCGAGAATTGGAAGAGGTGCCGTGGAACCATCTCTCAAGCAATGCGCCAAGGATCGGATATACAATAATCTGCACAATGAGGAATATCCAGAGAACGATTCCCGAGAGGTTCCATGGGCTGTTTGGTGCAACCTGGACCAAGTTTGTCGCGAGTTTCTGCTGCTCCCAGCGGGCCAGCAGGGTGATAAAGAAGGTGTAATTGGACGGGGCAAACAGCAAGCTCAGAATCACCACCGCTCCGGTCCCCGGGCTGGTCAAGGTCTGGGCGATGATGGCGAGGAGGATGAAGACAATCGTCACCGCCACGCCGCTGAGCTGCGACCTCCTGAAGAAGGCAGCTCCGAAGATGGTCATGGAGGTGAGAGCCATGCCGGTGAGCACCTGATATATGAGGACAACGCCCACGTTGGTGTGCTTGAATACCCCCTGCCGAAGGATGATCGAGCCTATTACCCAGCCCGGAAGATAGATCAGAGTGAAGGAGATGTGGTAGGACAGCAGCCTCGCCGCCTGGGCCTCCCACCGGTGCTTGGTCGGCATCGTCGCTTCGAGCAGAGTCGACATGCCAATCTCCCTCTCGGATGCCACGAAACCGGCCATATGGTAACAGACACCGATAATACCAGCAATGAAACTGACGGCGAGGAAGCCCATGATCGATTTTTGGTACCGAACCCGGATCTTCTCTTCGCGCTCTTCCTTGGTGAGGTCTGTGAAGGGATACTCGGTGGTGGTATTGGTCAATCGCACCTGATCCGAGGACCCGTTGTTGGTGCTGGTGATGGCGGAATCTATGGCGTGCTGGAACGGGAGCAGGTACAATTCGGCATCGTTGGTATCCTTCTCCACGTCGACCTTACCCAGGCCCAGCGCGCTATCTGAGCGGATCGTGTAGTTCCACAGACCACCGTCGCCCTCGTCTGGAGAGGCATTGAAAACGACAGCGCCGTAGCACGGAGTGACCCCGCGCAGAGTAGACCGGCAGACGTCGTTCAATTCGGCCGGGGATTTCAGGACGGGGGCCTTCTTGCCCGCCGCTGTAACGACCGGCACGAGAGTATTGATGACGCGTTCTATTTCACCTCCCGAAAAGCCGTTATTGACGAACGCCACCGTGTCTCGGCCGACGCCACTAGAGGCATGCAGGGCGTCTTGCAGCGTGCGGACGGCATGCGTGTCGCCGATCCCGAAGACGGCGGGGGGGACGAAGAGGTACCGGGCAAAGCTGAGGAAGGCGGTCAGCACGAGTGGGAGGAGGAATGCTCGGATGACCGTCGCAGTGCCATGTCGGCCGAGGATGATGAGGAAGTTCTTGGACACCAGCGTCCCAGTCTGGCGGAAGAAGCCCATCGCGATCGCTGTTGGTTGGCGTCGCTCAGTAACGCCGGCGCATCGCGAATCGGGTCAACCGCGGGGGGATTGGATCGACGAGGCCGCGTTGAAGGGCCGAAAATTAAGAATTGAACGAATGCACGAAAGAGTGGACGTCCGGTGATGTAAACATTGAATAAACCAAACGAACAGAACAGAACAGATAAAATTATCCAAGACCAGAAGACACCCAAGACTGTGGCTGTGTGTTGAATCCTACTTGGCTCCTCTCCTACTGCAGTGGATCGATTCGGGGCCTCAGACATCCCGAACTCCGTTGTAGCCAAGCCGCCGGCCTTGCCCACTTTCCAGCTATTAGCAACTCACAGAGCGCAGGAGCAGGCCAAAACTTTGCAGAAATAACCCCCGGATCCGGATTCCAGGAGTTAGAGTTAGTGTGCAACTAGGAGAAAGGGATATATTCATGTAGTACTGCTCTTTCTTATATTGTACCACCAACCCGTCCTACCAAAGCCAAGTCGATCTCTTCCTTCCACAGCCTAGGCTATACCGCATAGTAGGCTTCTTTAAATAGGACGAACACAATCCGGCGTATCGGTAACCAATGAGATGGTGATCGCGGAAACTTGCCGCCCGATATTTCCGACCGTCCGAAGTTGTTCACCCCCCGCCATCATCAACGCGACGCTCTCTTGAGAACTCCATTTGGAATATCCTGATGAGCTGGTTGCATTTCATCCAGTACCACCACTGTAGGTTCTGTAAAGACCCCCGCTGTATAGCGTCGACGGATCCGGTTGTGTCTGTTTTAACTTTTGTCAGTCGTTGCCCATCTGGGGCGCGAGGGAACACAAGCCGCCCAAAACGTATTCGCACGTCTATTCATATTTCTACATCTATAGAAATTTGCACAGCATATCCTGCCGACCATCTACGTGGCGCCAAAACCAGTCACATCTTGCTCATCAAACGACCCATTTTCAACTACAGTCAAGTCACCTTGTTTATTTCCAGTGATTGCAGGTAGATGGATCTCCTCCTTTAGACACCCCAGCCTCAATCCTCACTCCCGAGCGAAGACCCTAGACCCAAATTTCCACACCTCGTCCACCACCAGACTCTTCCCGCCCTCAGCGGTCTGCTCTTCTGACAGGATGACGAGGTCCGCATCGGCGTCGGCGTCCAGCGTCCCCTTAGTACCCACGATGCCGAGCATCGCCGCGGGCGTCGCCGTGACCGCCTTGAGGGCCTGCGGGATCGGCGCGCCGGACCAGTTGAGGAAGTTGTTGACGCACTCGATCAGGGTGATGGAGCTGTCACGATGGTTTGTTAGCCCGAAGGTGACTTCGGTTGTCAGATTTGCACACGAGGTCTCGACTCACCTGCCAGCTATGGTATCCGAGCCCTCTAGCAGCAGCACTGCGCCCTTCTTGACGATGTAATTCAGGTCATCTCCATTGGTCCACTGGTACGACCCGTCGGGCAAGCCGACCAGGTGCATGGCGTCGGTGACGAGGATGAACCCGTCCGGGTGTGCGTTCCAGGCGATCTTTACCGTTGTCGGGTGCAGGTGGATGCCGTCGGAGATGACGCCGAAGAAGGGCCGCGGCCGGAGCAGCGACTCGGCGATGCCGAGCACGCCGAAGATGCCCGGGTTCCGGTGGTGCAGGGGCCGCATGGCGTTGAACAGGTGCGTGATCATGGTCGCGCCCCGCTCCACCGCCGCCGACGCCTCCTCGTACGTCGCCTCCGAGTGCCCGATTGAGCAGATGATCCCGCGCGACCGGATGTCCGGGATAATGTCCGTCATCCGGCCCTGCTCCGGCGCCGCCGTGATCATCCTCACGGGGCCCGGGGCGCCGGACGCGCCGCGGTTGATGTTTGACGCGCCGTACATGTCCTCGAGGTCCTTGAAACTCCATGCCTCGCGGAGGACGTCGCGGCTGTGGATGCCGTTCTTGGTAGGGTTCAGGAAGGGGCCTTCGACATGAGCACCGAGGGACTCGGCCCCGTCTTCGGCGGCCTGCAGGTGGCCAGATGGGCCGAGGAATGGGAGGACCTAGACGGGGTCAATGGGCGGCATGGCCGTGTCATGGGCCCCACACCTGCTTACCTTTTGGTACAGCTCGCTGGTTTGACTGGTGACTGTCGGGACATATGAAGTAACGCCGGTCTCGACGAGTTTCCTATTCAGCTCCCGAATCTTCTTCCCATATTGTGACATGTCATCCATGATGGTGGAGAAATTGAAGCCGAAAGCCCCGTTTAGTTGGCATTCTATCAGACCGGGCGAGACTATCCGGCCTCCCAGATTGATGGTCTGATCCGGCAAGACGAGCTCATCATAGAAGGTCGACTGGCTGCGAATGATCTTTCCCGTCTTGGAACTGATCCAGAGATCCTCGGCAACCAGAGAATCGCCGCGGACTAGGCGGCAGTTGGTAAGCTTGGTGATGCCATTGTTGGGCGGATGTGCGATTGCCGACGGCATGCTATCAGCCTGGAGGGAAAGGGGGGATATCGGATGCTTTTCTGTGTGCGTTGGCTGCAAGGACGGTGGTCCCCTGTGTTCGATTCGTGTTCTCCATATCAAAAAATAGCAAGAGAGAGGAGAAACTAGCGGAGTGACTCTCAACCACCTATATCAAGGTTTCTTGGCGATACCTTACAGCAAGGCTTATCCACTCCGGGGATCCCACTACTGGGTAGCAGGGTTGGGGGTGGCGAGACTGGTGGTAGCCACTTGGCTACAACGTACTGTGACGGTGAACCATGCGATGGAGTCTACGAAGCTGCGCAGTAGCCCCTAAAGCTACAGCCTACGCTGCACTAGTCCATTGAAACGTGAGTTCTACTAGTGCCTCTCATGTCTCAACTGGGCTCTCAGTGGCGGGCGGGGCACCAAGGTTGATAATCTTGCCCCATGATATGGTTTTCCGGGTACTGCATAGTAGATACGTGCTAGGAACGGTCCAGTCTTGAGACATGGATGGTTGTTCTCGAAGGAGTTTGCCTCTGCAAGCTCCAACGGGATGATGTAACGTTGCCGACAAACTCATGTGGCACGTGCACCTAGTCAAGCGCCGCTTTCCAAAAGTGGATTAGTCGATCTGTCCCCTCAACGGTGCCGGCATCCAATCATTTGTGCCGGCGAGTTATGCGGGCAACCACCACGGAGAGGATCACATCAACTTGAAGCACCGATCTCAGGTCGTGCCAGCCAGCTTCCACAGCTCGGGTGTTCCTCCGGTGTCTCTTGCCTCATTCTAGGTTCCGGCAGATCGGTTGACTGAGCAGAACCCGTCGTTACACCTGCCACCTCCGCCCGTCTCACCAACTATGCTGGCCATAACGTGACAGCAGCCAACCGCAAACAGGCACACCACCGTCTCCCCACGGCCTCTCGCCTTCCGCTGTCTGACCTGCAGACGGTGTTCACCATGTCCAAGTTCGACGCGAAATTAGACCCACCATGGCAGGACCTTGACTGGTACGTACATGCACTGGCCGCCTGGCTGACCCGCGCATCTGCCACAGCTGCACCATTTGTCTGACGCTGACTGGACATGTCTTCTAGGGCCATTGGCCAGATGTTGATTATGGGGTGGGATGGAACGGAAGTTACTCCCCAGATACGCAATCTCATTGAGGAGCACCATCTCGGTTCCATCCTCTTGACTGCTAAGAATCTCAAGTGTTAATCTTCCCCACATGATCTTCATTCATGGGGCTCGTGGCATGCTAACCACGACTTACATATGCAGCGGCTCAGCAGACGGCTAGGCTGGTTCAGGAACTTCAAACCATTGCCCGCCAGGCCGGCCACCCTCACCCCTTGCTGATCGCTCTCGACCAGGAGAATGGCGGGGTCAACAGTCTTTTTGACGAGGACTACATCTGCCAGTTCCCTAGTTCCATGGGCCAGGCTGCCGCCGGCAACCCGGATCTTGCATACAACATCGCCAAGGCAACCGCAACCGAAGTCTCGGCCTGCGGCGTCAATCTGATCCTCGGCCCCGTTCTAGACGTCCTTACCAATGCCCGCTATCAGCCACTCGGTGTCCGGGCCACCGGTGACGACCCCCAGGAGGTCTCCCAGTACGGCATCGCCGCCATGAACGGCTACAAGGATGGCGGCGTTGCTACTTGTGGGAAGCACTTTCCGTCTTACGGCAATCTTGACTTCTTGGGCTCTAGCCTTGATATCCCCATCATTACTCAAACGCTAGAGGAGCTGTCACTCAGTGCTCTAGTCCCGTTTCGGAATGCCATCGCGACCGGCAAGCTTGACGCCATGTTTGTCGGGGGTTGCGGCATCGCCAATCCCAGTATGAATGTGAACCATGCCTGCCTCTCTGACCAGGTCGTCGATGACTTGCTCAGGAACGAACTGGGGTTCCAGGGCGTCGCTATCTCGGAATGCCTCGAGATGGAGGCACTGAGGACTGAGATCGGCGTGAAAGCTGGCACGGTCATGGCGGTCGTGGCTGGCTGCGATCTAGTTCTTCTTTGCCGTGCGCATGATGTGCAGCTCGAGGCCATATCCGGTCTGAAGCTGGGCATAGAGAATGAGCTGGTCACGAAGGAGCGAATATATACATCGCTGAAACGCATACTGCGGATGAAGAGCACCTGCACTTCGTGGCAAAAGGCGCTAAACCCCGCAGGCGTCTCTCTGCTGTCCAAGATTCATCCGGGACACCTGGCCCTCTCGCGGAAAGCGTACGATGGCTCCATCACCATTATAAGAGATAACGAGAAGCTTCTACCGCTTGGGGCATCTATGCGTCAGGATGAAGAACTGCTGCTTCTCACTCCTCTTGTCAAGCCGCTCCCCGCCTCCTCAGCAACCAAGAGCATCATGGATTCCAAGAATTCACGGGATGCCAGCGGGAGCATGCACGACGTGTGGGCGCACCGTGGGGACAGGGGTGCCATAATGAGTGGCGAAGGGGTCTTCAGAGAGCTGGGGAAATCCCTCGCGCGTGCCAGGCATGCGAAGCTGCTGCATACCTCGTACACCGCGCATGGTGTCCGACCAGGTAAGCTACCCGCCTACGCAGTCTTTTGCTCGAGCTGCTCGAGCATCACACACGTGCCAATGCCTACTGACAAATTCCCAGTTCACGAGAATCTAATCCATCGTGCATCATGCATCATCATCGTGACAGCGGATGCAAACAGAAACCTATACCAGGCGGGCTTTACCAAGCACGTGGCTACCATGTGCTCAATGCTACGTTCCAGCGGACAGAAGAAGTCGCTGGTGGTTGTGGCCGTCAGCTCTCCGTACGACTTCGCTATGGACAAGTCTGTCGGGACGTACATTTGCACCTTTGATTTCACCGAGGCAGCCATGTCGGCACTCGTACGGGCGCTATTTGGAGAGTTCCAGCCGCATGGCACGTTGCCGGGGACGCTCAGGAAGAGTAGGAAGGTGGTCAAACCAAGACAGCACTGGCTAGTCGAGAATTATAACCGTGATCGAGACGGGCCCGGACTTGACAATCTCTTGCAGGCTCTGGCCAGAGCTAGTACCCCCAACCACCAATACTTACAGACAACCACGGCTTCTGCGTTCCAACTCTTCAACTCAAGCATAGAGGAAGCGCACTTCGTGGTTCGGAATAGCAGTACCCAGGCTGTCTACGGATTTTGCGCCACGTATTTCACCAAGGGGACTGGAATTCTCGGCGCCATCTTCGTGGATCCGACAAAGCGCAATGTCTCCATCGGCCGGTCCCTTCATCGGCGGGCCCTGCGCAACCTGACCCAGCGACAGGGAGTCAAGAAAATCCAGCTTGGGATGAGCTTCCCCGGCGTCTTCCTGGGAATCCCCGTGGACGACAGCTCGAACCTAAAGGCCTGGTTCGCTAAGAGCGGGTGGGACACGCAGTTCCCAAAGAGGCTCACTAACATGGTCATCAAGGAGCTGAACAGCTGGTTCGTGCCAGAAGGCATACTGCAAAACATACAGAGAGCCAGCATCAGCTTCGATCTTATTCGCGGCCTGGACAACGCAGAGAGCGTCTTGAACCACGTCGCCACTCACTCCACCCCCGAGGTGTTTGAGCTCTACCGGTTTGCGCTGCAGGAGACCAAGACGTGCGGCGTTGTCCGGGCGAAAGGCCTGGTCGACACCCTCCTCGGCACCGTCATCGTGTGTAGCCCCGGCAGCCACGTGTGCAGCCATCTGTCGGGCTACATCCCAGCCCTGCAGCCGGTGGGAGATGAGGTGATAGGCGGCATTCTCGCCCCAGTTGTCCCGTCGACGGCGCAGACGAACGTGGTCTTGGAGGGGCTCGCGCTTATGGGGGTGAGGCAGAACAAGGCGCACAAGTCGGGCAAGAGCGTCCTCAGTTGGGTCCCCGACGACTTATACGAAACCTTCCTCGCCATGGGATTCGAGGTCCTGCAGGCTTTTGAGCAGCTCACGAGCGTGCCCGATAACGTAAGACGGATAACCCCGCCCCCCCGCAATTGCTTGCCCACTTGAAACAGCACTAACATGGGAGTTGAGAAAATAGTTTGGCGATCTGGCTTGACATTTTTTGGGGGCGGTTTGTGTGGCGTCTGATGGGTGTACCGCGTGGGTCTTTGGGTCGTAGCTGTTATGAATGGAGGCTGGGTATGATTTAAGAAAATCACGATGCAATGATTTTGGGTCTATCAGGGTTCTTAGCATATCATAGGTATCTTATCAAAAGAGTAGCTACTACTGTACCTCTTCAATTGACCTAGCTGTTTCTGAATACTTGGCCAGGCAGGTAGGTATCTTGGTAGGTACCTTACCTAGGGCATGCTAGCATTGCTAGGTCAGGTAGTGTAGGTGCCCGGTGTTAGGCACGCACACTAGTGCAGTGCGGAGACGTGGGTGACCGAAGCTAACCCGGCGCAAAGGAGAAGGCCCAGCCAATTGGCGTGTTGCGGGTAGCCCCCGGCTGATGGGGATGGGATGTCGCATTTTGTCATTTTGTCTTAAACACTTATCCTCCACTTCAACCTTCGCCGTAATGCCCCGAATGACTGGCCTGACCCCGTGAGCTGCCATATCAAACACCCTTCGAGCCATCGACTCTTGCTTCATATCGTGATAACTCCAAATACCAATTACCCATTTCCTCCTTTGTCGCCGTCGGACCCGGTACGATGAGATGACAAGCTTTAATTCCATGCAGGCGCTGTCGTCTGGCGTCACTCCGGCAATCGATGCCCTGGGACTGAATGGGGGCGGCCAATCCCTGGGCATCGACGATTTCGATCAAGACCTCAATTTTGATGAGTCCATCCTGTAGGTTGTCGAAGCCCCTCATGGGGGGGCGCAACTGCGAAGACCAGCCAGCGCGAGTCTAGCAGGCCCCTCCCTCACCCCCGCTATTTTGCCCCGGACTAGACTGACAGCCCATGTCTCAAACCCCCCAGCGATGGCGTTAATGGTGGCGCACTGCCGCCCATGCCCTTTACCAACTCGTACGAATTCGACACCTACTCGACAACCTTCGAAGACCCCTTCTCGTACCCGGGCGTGCGTCCTTACGATGGAGTCACGGCCGACGTCGAGAACCTGCACGGCGACGAGCCGTCGCCGCACGAGCTGGACAACAAGCTCCTGGGCTTCAGCGCGCCCATAATGAAGGCGGCTCTGGTTGGCGACGGGGGCTCCGCGGGGGGTGCTGGCCAGTTCGCCGAGCTGGGCATGAGCGCCGAGCTGTACGGCATGTTCTTCGTGGCCGAGGACGTCTTCGGCAGCGACAGCAACCCGGCCAGGCCGCTCGAGCTGACCTGCTACCGCCGCAACCTATGGCAGTGCTCGGGCCAGATCACCCTGCCGCGTCATCTGTCGGCCGTCGTCGACGAGCAGGGCCGCCGCTTGCCCGTCTTCGACCTCGCCGCCTCCATCACCGCCATCGAGTCGATCGAGGGCAAGCCCACCGAGATCATCAGCATCCCGTGGAAGAGCGGCGGCGGTGCGGCCAGCTCTGCGGGTCCCGGGGCCGGGGATGAGGCGACCAAGGTGGCGAGCGCGCCGCCGACGCTGGCGCTCGACCTGGCGGGCGGGCAGGACGTGGACGGGAGCAGCGTGAGCGTGCCCGTGTCGTGGAAGCGGCTGCAGTTCAAGCACGCGACTGCCAACAACGGGAGGCGCAAGGGCCTGCAGCAGCACTACGTCGTGCAGATCAACCTGCTCGCCCGGACAAAGTCGGGCGACCAGGTCAAGATCGCCGAGATCCAGTCCGGCCCCGTCATCGTGCGCGGACGCAGCCCGCGCAACTTCGACAGCCGCAAGGACGTGCCGCTGACGGGCGGTGCCGGCGGCGGCGACAAGAGGCTCGAGCGTAGGGGCACCGATCCATCGACTTCGTCGGTTGCGTCTCTTGGCCACGGTGGTGGAGGGGGCGGCGGCAGCATCAAGGGCGAGAAGGGGGATCTTGCCCAGAACATGCAACGCTATCACTCGCTGGGGAATATACAGGTATGTTGTCTCTTTCTCCCCCACCAGAGAGTATCGTGGCGATACCTACTTACACCAAGCGAAAAGCCCCTCCCGCAGTCCAGCGACTGGCCAACTCCCCAAATCGCCTTCCACCACCAGAGCCCGCACCCGTCCAAGAAACTAGCCCTCTCGCCGAACCCGTCCCGACCGCCCGTCCCGCCCTGGTCACCCGACACGTCCCTCTCCTCCCCTTCAATGCAGGGCCCCCACCACCAGTACTTCCATTCCCAACAGCAACAACAATCACAGCAGCAGCAGCACACCACGACACAGACCCTAACCAAGGGCTCCCGGTCATCGGCCACGTCGACGCTGCTGCCCATCAACCTGTCGCTGTCCGAGGACGATCGCAGCAGCCCCAACCGCTCCGGGTCCTCCGTGTCGGACTCCATCCAGAGCCCGCACTTCTCGATGCTGGGAGCCGGGGCGGGGGCGGGGACGGGTGCTGGGGTAGGGGCAGGAGCAGGGGCAGGGGCAGGGGCAGGAACTTCTTCCTCGGCGGCTGCGGCGGCGGCGCAGGCTCAGGCGGCGGGTCAGACCGGGCAAGGGCCGGGCGGGTGCGCGGCCGAGTCGGAGGATCTTCTGTATGAGTACTTCCCGCTGAGCCTGGATGATTGGTTAGTATTGTCTCTTCTTCTTTCTCTTTTGCTCCCCCCCCGGATATCATCTACCTATCTTTGTATAGCGTGTCTCCTTTTCTCTTTTGCTAATTGTCACAACTCTCTCCAAAACAGGGTCCTTCCAGTCGACGCCATCTACCGGCCCCACGTCGTCCACCACACCATCATACCGCCCGAGGTGCGGGCCCAGCAGACGCGGAACAGGACAAAACGCTACTTTGCGGCAGAATGAAGGAGGAGCAAATTCGTGGTTTTGTTTATGATTTGTCTTATTTCCTTTTCTGGGGGGAGGTCTATGGGAAGTCGTGACGACGCTAATGACATGACTATGGCGTTTTTCTTGTCTCTCTCGTGTGGTGTCGACTTCTATTCTCCGGTGTATGATATAACATGGGAGTCTGGGTTTTTGTACGACTCAAACCCCTGTCTCACTTGTTCGGCGGTCTTTCGTCAGCGGGGAGAGGAACGGTAGGCAAAGGATATGGGCAAAGGGGTGGGGAGGGATAGGGAATAATGGTTCTCTGGTTGTCGTTGGATAGGAACCTGAGCCTCCGATATACCCCACTGGTGTTTGTTTCTTTTTTGCCCTGTCTGCTCCGTCTTCCACGGATAAAACAAGAAGAAAATAAAAATCAAGAAAAGACCAGATCGCCGCCAGCCAGACTATGCGCCGAGTGGCGGCTGTTCTGAATTGTAAATTCGGGTAGGTCGAAAAGCGCCTGTAATCTTTTGGTTTCGCCGCGTAAGCCCCAGGATGGATGAAACAAACGATGTATATGTGACCAAACAGCCAAAGATAACCAATGGAAATATATCCCGTCCCCCACTTGCATATCATAGGTATACAAGCTAACGCCCCTCCCCGCCCTTTTCTACCTAGGGAGCGAACCTTGTTTAATATATATCCAATCACCACGCCTGCCACCGGCATCAAAAAAAACGTTTGTAATGTAGATATTGATTTGCCGATGGATGCCAATAGATAACCGCCAAGACTTCTCTCTCTCTCTCTCTCTCTCTCTCTTCCTTCCCCTCCTCCTTCCCCACACGCATTTCGACAGGGGGTGTGTCCCGGCCCGCTACTCGGCCTCGAGACAAGCGAGCGCGACGGCGGCGCCGAGGAGGGAGCTCTCCTTTGCGGCGACGAGGTCGAGGGCTCCCGGGAGACCGCACTCATCCTCGTCCTCGTCGTCGCCGGAGGTCGCCATGAGGCCGTCGATGGCGCGCTGGCAGGTGGTCAGGTAGTGCGGGTAGTTCTCGATGACGGAGCCGTTGAAGGAGACGAGGGTGCGCGGCAGGGCGAGCTCGGCCTCTATTGCGGGGGCGAAGGGGTGGCCCGGCGGCAGGGAGCGGAGGTGCGCGGTCTCGGACTCGGATTTCAGCTGCCAGAGGGCGAAGAGCGAGGCTGCGACGATGGAGGCGGAGCGGCGGGAGATGAGGGAGGAGAGGGTGCGGAGGGCGGAGAGGTCGGCTGGGGTTGGATCGACGGGGGAGGGGTGGCGGGATTTGAAGGTGGAGATAGCGATCGAGAGTGATGGGCTGGTGTCTCTGTGGGATGATAGGTGAGTAAGTGGGCGACGCAAATGGTTGAAAGGGGCGGGAGGGGGAAAGTTGGCACTTACGCTTCGATTATGGATAACGTCTCGGTCTCGAGCGAGTAAGGTTTGGAGAGCGACGGCGGGAGGACCCCCCCAAAGATGCCTGTCGTGTCGATGGCCTCGACGAGCGCGTGCCTGCATATCTCGCCCAGGTAAAAGCCGCTGACGAGTTGCTCCAAAGGCTGGAAGTCGGGCAGGGGATGCGAGGCGTTGAGCAACCGATCCCACCGGGTGAGGGGGAGAATGCCCTTGCCAAACATTCCTAGCTCCGTATTGACGACCACGTGGCTTGCGCTCTCGAACCAACTGTCAGGGCGAGCACCATACTTGGCTTGCCCGATGGTCGGAATTGGGAGGTGCGCGGCGATGTTGACGCCAGTGCCAAGGATGAGACTGAAACGGGTCGACGAGTTGATGTATGCTTCCGATAGCAATGCCGCTGCCGAGTCGTTTACAATGGCAGAGAGCTCGACGTGGAGCCCCTTCTTCATGCATGCAGACTTGATGATTTCTCCCAGATCCTGGCCAACGAGCCCGTTTGCCGCCAAGAAGCCTTTCCCCATACCGTGTAACCGGCCACCCTTTAGAGATGTTTGTCTGAGGCGTGTGTTAGTTGTGAGATCCATGGTTTCCATGTCTGCTGCGTGCACAGAATCTAGTCCCGTCAGGTGTGGGGGTGTGGGGAGACAGCATACTCGATAGGGAAGCTCCACGCCAGCCCCATAGGGAGCGGGCTCTCCGGGTCATGACTGTGCTTCTTTTCGCCCTTGGAAAGAGTCTCGGATATCCTCCCAGCCACCCAGTCGAAAAAGTCCATGCCCTCGAGACTCTTGACCAGGGTGTCGATCTTGAATGAATCCATGCGGACGATTCCGCTCTCACTGCCACGCGCCCCGCGGCTCCTCAGCTCAACCAACGCGACGCGCAGGTTGGAACCGCCAACGTCCAGAACCAGATACTGCCCACACTCGTAGCCATTGGGTAGCCGGTGGTTGTAGGACGGGAGCATGCATGCCGGGTTTGACGACAGGCCCTCCCGGAACTGGACTTTGAGCTTGGACGCGAACTCTTTCAGCCTTCGGCCGTCCGACGGGGGGATGAACAGCTGCTCCGCCTCCTTGAGGAAGTCTTCTATCGTCGCGGACGGGACATTTTCAGTCTCGACCTCCTGGCCTTTCGGGGTCGCCGGGTCGATCCAGAGGGCGAGGAAGGCTTCGAAGAAGGACTTCCCTCGCAGCAGGGACTTGAGAGCGGCAACGATGACCTCGCGCAGTGTTGTCATTGCAGAAATGAGCGGCTGCATGACATTCGAAAGAGAGGCAGCTAGTCAGGTCACCAACGGGGAAGGGGGAAGGCAAAGAAGTAGTAGTAGGAGCATGCTCGAAGAGGGCGAGGCACCGGAAGGTTAAGCCATGGGTTTCCCAAGAGGGGTCGAGAAAAGGAAGCCAGCAAGAGCAACGGGGGGCGACGACGTAGGTATACAAGCCCTAGGAAAGAGGGCTGACAGGCCGGAATGGGAAAAGCCAAAGCCTCTCTACGGTATCTGGTACCAGTTGGAGGCTGGCAAGTAGGTAAGGTTAGTTAGGTTAGGTTAGGTTAGGTTAGGTTAGGTTGTGTCGGATTCCCAAGGTTCCCCTTGGAGAGAGGTAAGGCTGGACGAGGGAAAGGGGAAGGTGTCAGGTCGGCCCAGGCCGGGGGAGTAGTGGAGGCAACGAACGAAGGGAAGGAACACGAAGCAAAGTCACAATGCATCGAGAGGGGAGGGAACGGAGGGGAGGGCGTGGAGACTCTTCATTGCTACCAAAAGAAGGGCAATGTGGGAAAACATTGCGCGATAATGGCAGGGAGGCCGACGGCGACCAATTAGAATGGCCAGTGGTCCTGTGTAACAGAAGCATCGGGAGAATAGGAACGTATAAAGAAGTGATAATATTAATGGGACTATTGCAGTACGTATTGGCCGTCAATGTTCCATACAGAGTAGATCCTGATCAAGGTACGCAAGGGGGGAGACTCAAACTGCATGGAAGAAGCCGTGATTGTGGCCTCCGTTGTGGGTTCGTGGAGACATGGAAGGGAACAAGTTAAACGTAACGTTGCCTGGCGATCGGCCGCAACATTATCACTAACAATTTCCCGGCCCTAAAATGGTAGTTTCCAATGGACTGGGAACACTGGAGCACGGGCCACCGACAACTATTCAGCCCCACCAGTCTGCCGCCCACTCTTGCAGCGGTCGGTTCTTATTTTCTAAATTGTTACTGCAGTAGTTTATTCTCGCGAGCCTCCTTCGTTCAGCCTCATCACCTCGCGAACCCTTTGCAGTTCCAGGCACACGGTTCTCGATATGGCGTGTCTACCGTGCTGGCTTCCCGGGTGTCTCCCGCCAGAGCCTCCATATTCCAATGCCTGGTTTCGAACGTTCCCATGCTTGTAGGCTCGGATATGCAGCAGTTCCCTTCCACGCCTCGTAGCGTACCTGCCTAAAGGCTCTCTATCTGCACATCTGACCTTGCACATCTGACTTTGCAGATCCAATCCCCTAGCAGATCCCACGCCCCGGAGCCCGTTATGCTTTATTGCTGGACAGAGCTAAAGGTACTGTCTAGTCCCCTGCCAGGTTGTCCCAGTTTGGGACCAACCTTGAACACAACGTGGTAAGAAGGCTTGCCCACGCCACCCAACGGAAACCAGGGCCTGATACCCACACCGTGGGGCAGCCTACTGTGGGTATGTGGTTGGTGTCGGTGTGCTTGAACAGCATGAACGTTTCATTGCCCGTTGCTCATTGCCCATTGTCCATCCACCTATCATCGGCCCAACGCCCTCCACAACCCCCGGTGTTACCCGTGGTCCTCCGAACTATGCGTACTTCCACCGGCCCCGTCTAACCTTACGTCTACCCCTGTTCTTTTACGTTGCGAGTTGCCACTGAAGCCGGCATGAACCTCTTAATGACCCTCCAATGTCTCGTACCTCTTTTTCCTCTCCCGTTTCTTACTGAACAAGCCGAGAGAGAACGCATCTCGCGAGCCAGATCCTTAGCACCATCTCGTATATCCTCAAAATAGCACACATACACCCCTGCCCTCGATAATCCCGTCTATCCTGTATCCTTTCCTCTTTAGTCCTAGTCGTCAAGATGAGGCTCATCATCCGGGACGATTCCGTGGCTGCGAGCGTATTCGTTGCCAACTACATCATCGAGCGTATCAAGCATTTCGCCCCCACGCCAGCGCACCCCTTCGTGCTTGGTCTTCCCACGGGCTCAACGCCCGTGAGTTTCTACAGTGTCCTCGTGGAGAAGTACAAGGCCGGCGAGGTCTCTTTTGAAAATGTCGTCACCTTCAACATGGTAAGGAACACACATACCGCACATTGCTTCTCAATACTTGCTCACCCAGATCGGATAGGACGAATATATCGGCATCCCGCGGGACCACCCTGAGAGCTACCACTCATTCATGTGGAAGCATTTCTTCTCGCACGTGAACATCCACCCCAACAACGTCAACATCCTGGACGGGAATGCCCCGAACCTCGAGGCAGAATGCGTCGAGTACGAGGCCAAGATCAAGCGCGCAGGCGGCATCGACCTGTTCCTCGCGGGCATTGGCGACGACGGGCACATCGCCTTCAACGAGCCCGGGTCGAGTCTTGCGTCGCGCACGCGCGTCAAGACGCTCGCGTACGACACCATCCTCGCCAACTCGCGCTTCTTCGACAACGACCTGGAGAAGGTGCCTAAGATGGCCCTCACCGTCGGCGTCCAGACCATCCTGGAGGCGAGGGAGATCGTTGCCCTCATCGTCGGCCCCCGCAAGGCCCTGGCCCTGCAGCGGTGCATCGAGCAGGGTGTTAACCACATGTGGACCCTGTCCAGCCTGCAGCTCCACCCCCACCCCATGATCGTGTGTGACGAGGACGCCACCCTGGAACTACAGGTCAAGACCGTGAGGGTAAGCTCCCCCCCCCCCACCCCCGAAACCCTTTTTTTCCTGCCAAAATTCCCACCCCCTCGCTAAACACAACCATCAACAGTACTTCAAATCCCTAGAAAAGGTCGCCCGCGCCCAGGGCTTCGAGCAGATCCTCCCGTCGCGCGTGCGCACTGGCCCTGGCCCAGCGACAGTGATCCAGCCGCCGCGCCTCCCGGGCGCCGCACGGAGCGACGACGACGCGGTCAAGGTGGAAGCACCGGCGCCGACAGTCCTCTCGCCGCAGCCGACGACGTCGCGGCTGCTGCGGGCGTCGTCCCCGGCCGCAGAGTATCCCGTCCGCTCCGTGTCGCCCGACTTCGACCTCGTCCCCGACAGCATGGCGTCGCGGATCCCGGACCCGCGCCTCGCCCAGCGCCTGACGCCGACGCCCGAGACGCAGACCGTGGCGGTTAATGCCGTTGGCGCTTGAGGGGAGGGGGGCTGTTTTTCTGCTCGGCCGTCTTCGCTCTAGCCCCTTTTTTCTCCCCCCTTTTTCCCTAAACGTTGGGCTCACTTTCACTTGTTCTATGGAGTTGGGAACAGCATGACCGGCGTATTTCCCTGAGTGTTTCCCTGATGAAGACAGGCTTACAGCGGATGTTTTTGGAGCCTTGCTCAGAATGGCGTGACGAAGCAAAAGGCGGTCGAAACGGATGCAATTCGGCAGACTGTAGAGTATCGCAGAGAGGATCAAATCCCTCTTGTATGATTGGTTAGGCATTACGTGTTCATGAAACCGGCTGCACGGGATGGTCCATGTCGCCGCCGTCGAGGCTGCCCGTTTCTACCGACATTTTTTTACAAATGGACTACACAGTAAGGGCAGAAGCCATCAGCAACCGCAGCAACCATCTCCACACCCGGCGTGCCAAACGTACCGTCATCACAGAGACCGAAAGCCTAGGCCACCGCCATGCCTTGGATGGCCCATGGTGTGTGTACGCACCTCACGCAGGGTAGAGGCATAATTCAGGGTGGAGTATATCTTGTCATATGCACGGCATTATGTATGTACCACGATGCTGAACGGCTAATTGGAGCGCATCTACCACTTTGAACTGTTGGCATGCCGGCGATATTCACGCTTTGCAATCTAAAGGCCTTGGAGCCTCATGCAGAGGGTCCACAGTTTCCAGGCAGCGGCGGTCAAAACCAACAGGATGCGGGGATGTAACCAACAGGCAACTCAACGAACCAACAAGCCCGGAGATACCAAACGAGTATATTGTGGCCGTCAAACCAACAACACACTGCCACAAATGAGCGCGCAGACAATGAATGTATCGAAAGGGCGAGACAGCAGAAGCCTCGATGAGGGTACCGTCATGATACATGGGGACGCCATCAAGAACTGCGAGCCCACCAGGGTGACTGGCTGGAAGTTCGAGGCCTGTCCCGGTTGTCTTCGCGTCTGCCAAGCCAACGAGACGCATTCCCGCTGGAATGCAAAAATCTTCCTGGCGGACGAGCTAGAGTTAGTTTTATGTTGACCGAAGTATATTTGGAGGTCTCGCTGGTTGCTCCATTTTGTTGTTGTGGTCTCCTATTGCCCGGCGCAATGTTCTACTCTCCACTACCCTCGCGCCTGGCGTTGCAGTTGCTCGACGCCATCGAACTTTGTCTGCGGATTGATGAGGAAACCGTCTAACGACATCATGTTGTAGCGTCCCTGCTCATCATCGCCAATAGGCTCTGGCTCTGGCTTATTCGCAAGACGGCTAGTAAAGCCACGCGACAGCAACAGACCCAAGGCCCTTGCCAGCTTGATCGTCCGGAGCTGATCGTCAGACAAGCCACCAACTTCATGCTTTAATGTTTCCAAAAGACGTCCTGTAGAGTGTCGTAGTCTCCAAATCTCGTCCGGCCGTTGCGCAGATGAGGCTTCCCGGTTAGGGATTGGAGGGAATGCAGGTTAAGCCCGAATGGACACACTTGAGCTTCTGCCCAGTCAATGAAACCAACGAGATGACAGGTCGCTTCGTCGACCATGATGTTACAAGAGCCAAAGTCTCGATGGAGAAGAACCATGGGGAGAGACAGGATGTCGTCCATCGAGTCGGTGCAGGCCTGGACAATGGGCTGAAATCGGGACGAAAGTGCAGCATGCAAGAGTCGTAGGTCCCTGAGATAGGTTTGTCCCAACCTGCCGCGGTACTCTGGGCTGACTGGCTGAGGAGCATTCCAAGACAGAGCCAGGAAGGTGCCTGTCAATCAGCATCGCGGTCTAACAGGCGTTAACAGGGAAACGTACTGCGTAACGTCGCCGATGAGGTTCTAGCGCCAGGAAAGATTGTCGGGAGAGTTTTCCGGGAAGCCATGGGCCAGGATGAAATCTAGGTGCGTCATTCCACGCACACGGCTCATCAGGTAGACGTAGAGCGGCTCCTTCCCCCCGTCCCCTACCTTGCCCTCGAAGGATACCTCCGGTGCAAGTGATCCGTAAACCTCGGTCGCTAGGGAAGTGACTTCAGTCTTGAGTGCCAGGGACTCGAGGCGGAACTGAATGACGTATTTTAGTTCAGGACCGGAATAGACAGAGTAGCTGCACACGCCCTGGACTTAAACAGGGGCGACGTTTTCGCCGGCAAGCTCCCTTGCTCTGGCATCGCATGCGGCGCGGGTTGCCGATGTTTTCCTGAAGAATGCCTCGATCTCTGCATCGACAGAGTACTCCGAGTACGTCGTCACCATGACGACGATATTGAATGATTGCGATGGAGCCTTGGAAAGTCAGATGCGACCTTTTTTGTCAAGAGTCTGAATACGTACGTTGCGAATTTATCGATGTGCCACGCATCGCCTGAAGCATCGAAATAATATCTGCTGCCCCTGTATGCAGCTTGTCAACCCCCACCCCCGCCCAAAATACAGATCAAGAGACGAGAGGCCAGAAATGGTGCCTGGAATTAGGAAGAAAGGGGGGCACACGAAGCCCTAACCATATATACCTATACGTAGATTGAATAACACAACTATCGCTGAGATTCAACTTGGAGTGACGAAGGTCGCCGCGGTAGTCACAATAGGATACGACATGTAAGCACTCGATTTATTCTCAAACATACTTTTAATATATCAGTAAGCGCAACGATAGAACGGGGGAAAACAAAACAAGAAAAAAAAGGGGGCAGACAATGTTCGAAACGAAAGGACGGCTCATGGTCCATTAAGTACAAGGAGTATTCCAAGATTTATACATCCCCGGGGAACGAACATCTCCCAAGGCCTTGCAAGCAAGTAACCATCCCCTGGAGCTCACAACCGCCTCCCTCAATACCTCAACACAACCCCCTGACTCTTCCTACTCCCCGCCCCCGCCTCCCCCTCCTTCCCACTCCACAACCCCTCCTGGTCCGCGAACCCCGGGTCGGGAGCCCCAGACTCGATGGCCGCGATGCGCGCCAAGATCTCCTCGCGCTTCCTCTCCTTCTTGCGCACGCTGCGCATCCTCTCCTCGTCCTCCTCCTTCGCCGCCGCGACCGGCGTCGGCACAGGCGCCGACGGCGCCTTCCACATGGCGCCGTTAGCTCCGGCCGCCGCGGCGGCCTGCTCCAGCTGCTGCGACCACATGAGCTGCTCCTCCTCCGTCGGCGAGGCGGGAGGAGGATGGGGAAGCCGGGACTGCCGCGCCAGCACCTCGCTCGCCGCCTGCTGCGCAAACAGCCTCTCCTGCTCGAGGGCCTCGATCTGCGCGCGGATCATCGGGTCGTACTCCTCCTGTTGCTGTTGCTGCGCCATGTCGGAGTTGTTGTTGTTGGTCTCTTTCCCGCCGCGCGACCCCAGCGCGACGGCCTCCTCCAGCGCGGCGGCCCACTCCTCCGGCGTCGCGGCGGCCCTCCTCTTCGTGGTGCCCGGGTAGCTGGCCTCGATGGCCTCCTGCAGCGCGGCGTCCCAGTCGGCCCTGTAGGCGACCGTTGTCGGGCGGTACTGGCGGCGCAGGGGCACCGTGGCCGTCGCCGGCTCCGGCTTCACGGCGACGATCCAGTTGCGCTCGGCGGCGGCGTTGGCGGCCTGCAGCGTCTCGGCCGCCCAGAGGCTCTCGGACGCGAGCTGGCTCAGGGGCTCGTCGAGGTGGTGCTCTGCGGGGCGGGGCTTGCGCTTCATGTCCTTGGCGGCGGGCTCCTTGGTGGTGGTGCGGTGGTCGGATCGCGTGCGGTCGACGGTGAACAGCAGCGATGTGCCGCCCTCGGCGGCCGGCTCGCGAGCGGGTGCCGCGGGCCCGGCAGAGGGGTGGCTCCACAGGCCGTGGCTCAGCTGGTGGAAGCGGGCGTCGCGGCCGGTCGTCTTGGCCCACATGGCGCTGGAGCTGAGGACGTCCAGCGCCTGGCTGGCACCGGCGCCGGCGCGCGGCTTACGGATCATGTGTTCGGCGGCGGGGTCCGCGGACGTGGTGCGGTATTCGGAGCGGTGCGGGTCGACCTTGAACATGCCTTGCGAGTCGCCGGCGTGCGAGGTGGCGGATGGTTTCCACAGGCCGCGGTTCTGCTGCCTGCGCTCCTTCCTCGCCTGCTTGATCTCGCTGGCGGGCCGGGGAATCTTCGACGCCTGATCCTTGGTGGTCCACAGCGGCTCGGGGGAAGAGGACGAGTCTCTCTTGTTGTCCGACTCGGCAGTCCAGAGGCTATCGCTCTCGATGGCGGCTGGCTCCGCCTGTCGAGGCTTGGCCCGCGCGGTTTCAGCGCTTCCGCCGTAGGCTTCCCACGTCTTGCCGTCTGGCTCGGGCAGGCCCTTTCCGTGGTCGGCGCCCTCCTGCGACTCCGACGGAGCGTTCCAGAGCACGGATTGCCCAGGCTGCTCGGATGGATCCTCGGCGAGGCCGATGACGATGGAATGCTTCTTCTTCTGCTTTGAGCATTCGGCCTCGTCGTCGGAGGGCATGTCGATATCGTCGTCGACCACGGCATTGCTGGGCAGAGGCGGAGGGAACATGCTGAGCTTGGAAGGCACGCCGTCCGACTTGAGCAGGTTCGCAATCTCCCAGAGCGTGGTCTCGTCAAAATCGTCGTCGGTGTCGTCGCCCTCGTAGTCATCGGAATCCCGGCCCTCGTCGTCGTAGTCGTCGAAGAAGGACGACGAGTACTCGGCCGCCTCGAGTTGCCGGGACCGCGCGTCGTGAGTGACGCTGGTCGACAGGCCGCCCGAAGTCATGGTTCCGGGCATGGCCATGACCGCTGTTGACCTCGTGGGCTGGACCATGGCGGTGTCAGACCGCTCGCCCCATGGGAATTGGAAGATGCCCAGGGTACCCCGCTTGTCCGGCAGGGGCTCGGGGTTCTCGACAATGTCTGGGAGCAGGGTGACTCGCTTGTTCCGCCTTGGTGGCCGCTGTGTCAGTGGCCGCGGAGCCTTCTGAGACAAGTTTTGCGACAGCGGCCTGGACGTCCGTTGGGGATCTGCGCTGGGCTGCGGGGCAGCCCAGACGGGACGCCAGAGCCCCCCAGTCGCCCGCGTCTTGGTGTTGTGGGGTTTGGTCCAGAGCTGCGTGCTATGAATCTGGAGAGGCGCAATTTCCTTCCTCGGGGCAGGGCGGACGGAGATGCCGGGGAGGTCGGTCGTTCCCTCCTTTGAAGCTTTGGCATCCCGAGTCCACAACATGCTGGCCGAACGAGTCACCGCCCTGGGTTTCGGCGTCCACAGCGACTTTTGATGCCGCGTTCCCCGTGCTGCTGGTGGGGCAACAATCGCATCAATCCGGCCCCTGGCTACTCCGGTTTCATGGTCAGAATCATCGGACTCCGGAGGAGTCGGACTGCCCAGGTTGGCAATTGACGCAGGCAGGAAGTTCACGCTGTTGCGCTTTTGCCGGTCGGCGACATCCATGTACTCCATCTGGGCCTCGGCCAGCCGCTGCTGCCAGACGCTCACCCTGGAGTTGTCGGCAACTGCGGCCGGTTCCTCGGCTGCCCTAGAGGGGGTGCCGCTTCGCATCCTGGCGCGCCTTGACGCCCTTCGCTCGAGCGCAATGCTAGATCGCGCCGCGGCATCTGCAGCCATGTGGTTGCCGATGATCATGGATTCCCTGCGAGAGTTCCTGTTTGGCGAAGTGGTCCTGAGGCTGGACAGGGAGTCCCGGCCGATGTCGTGTTGCATCTCGTGCCAGTGGTCCTCCTGCATGCCCATTTCCTTTTCGAGGTTCTCGAGAAGAGCCAGTCGGCGGGCCTGGCTTTCCGTCGAGTCCCTGTTGGGCTGCTCAAGCTTCTTGAGTTGGGCTTGGATCTGCTCAATAGCTTGCTTCGGAGACTCGATGGGGGAAGGCTCGGCTGCTTGGATGGCGACCATGTTCCTGCTTGACTTGGAACTTAGGCGCAAGGGCGTCGGCGGAGGCATCTTCCTCGAGCGCGTCTTCTGCTTTCTAGCCGAGAACGTTGGACATTCGTCACCCACTCGCCTATGCCATTGGCCTTGAGAGGCACACTCTGCGGCCAGCACATTGTCGTCATTGTCGTCGTCGTCGTCCATGAGCCAGAATCCACCAGCTTCGATGCCCTCCTGGACGGAGGTGTCCAGCATGAAAGCCACTTCCTCACTGCCGCGTGACGCGTCGGACCTCGACCTCTGGATGTCTGTCGCCTTGGCAACACGCCGCGCGACTTGAATGCCCACGGCGAGTTCGGGAGACCAGTTCGCCGCCGCCTCATCGTGCGTCCTCGCATCGGTGGTCTCCGTCCACGCCGAACTCCTGACCGGAATGATCGGAGATGACGCCCGCTTGGCGGCCACCCGTTCCGACGCATTTTGAGTCTCGCGATTCTGCCCGAAGTCGTCATTGGGACTGCCTGGCAGCCATGACGTGCCCGCTTCATCTTCCATGTTTTGGTAGCTTCCGGGGCTGTACACCTTGGTGTCGCGCGGATCCCTCAGCGGGATCTCGTCGACGCTCAGCACGTCCTCGGTCCTGATAGACGTCCTTGTAGTCCTGTTCGAGCGTCGCCGATCGTCGTCAGATGTGGGAGAGTTCGATTCGAGGAAAGACGACGGAATTGGAGGAACTATCGGGGCCAAGGCTGTCTGCTTCATGTTCCCGCTCGGCGGAGAAGGGAAGAACATGGTCATTTTTTCGTCGACCGTCATGCTCTTGGTGTTGTTCGGATGGGGCCTCCCCGGCATCCCGGGCCTGGCACTCTTCGGCGGCGGTGGCAGGGGCGGGAGCTGTGTCGGGCTGCCCGCGTTCGACATGAGAATAGACTTCCTGCTTATCAGCGAGCCACCCGACTTGCTCCGACGATGTTGCGACAGGTCTTGGGGCGCGGGATCGTTCATTTTCCTGGGAATCGGCCTCGGCCTGTTTACAACCGACGCCGACCTGGTGAGGCCGTCGGCAGCCTGCATCTTCGAAGCCTCGGTGGCCCCGTCTATGATGTTCTGAACCGCAGTAGGATCGTCGTAGACGATGCTATTCACGAACATGACGGTCTGCTGAGTCTGATTTCCTGCCTCTTTAGCCAGCTTCAATCCTCGAGCTCTGGGGTTTCCCGGCAATCCGATCGTCGGACGTTTTTGCAACACTGTCTTTTCTGGCTCCGGAGCAGGGGCTTTGGGCGAGCTCAAATTCCTGGAGGGCCTAATCGTGGGCCGAACGACGGTCGCTGGCATTTGCATTGCTGGAGGGCTCTGCTTCTCTTCCGGCGCAGGCTTTGCCACAAGCTCCGATCCCCAGTCCGACACAGGCCTAGTCACGACTTCTGGCAGAGCCTGCGGCGTCTTTACTCGTGGGAGTTCAGGAACAAGAGGGGATTCAGGTCGAGATTCCTCGGGTTGTTCTTGGAACTCGGGACGCTCTTGGAATTCGGGGCGCACTTGGAACTCCTGGGAGGCTTGACGCGGAGACCGTCGGCGGATCTCCTCGACACCTGGGGACAACTGCGCCGATGTGGTCGAAGCATTCCACTCCGGCACTGGCGGGTTCAGGTTCGATGTAGTCAGGCCGGGTTGTGAGTAGACCGAGGCTACCTCCTTCCGCTTGACGCTCGCGGTTCGCTTGAGAGCTTCCTCCTGGTTCAAGTTTGGCGGCTGGGGGGCTGCCCGTTGGGCAATCATATCAGACTCCAGCTTCAATGCCAAGGCCCTCCTCTCCTTCTCCGCCCTAGCAGCCTCCTTCAAATCGATGGTTGCGATCTTCTTGAGGGGGTTATGTTCGTCGTCGGCCTGCAGGATAGGATTTCCAATTGTGAGCTTCGCGGCTGGCGTCGTCTTATCGGGGCCGCCTCTGGCAAAGCCGAACATATCCCTGGTCTTCTTCAGGCTCCCAAGACCCACCTTCCGCGCGACGCCGGATCCAGCTGTAATGGTCGTCTCGGTACGGGGTGGAGGAAATAGCTGGCCCTGGACCGGCAGTCCGCCCACTCCAAGAACCACTCCCGCCATCGGTCCAGTAATGGCAGGGAATTCACTCTTTTCCTCGTCAACTCTAGGTGCCTCCCTTGGTTGCAGGAACGTGGTCGACGATCGGACGGCGTGTTCCTTCAAGTCTTCGTAGCGAGTCGGAGGCCAATCGTTCGATTCGGACGAGGAGATATCACGGCTGATATTGATGTGTCTAGGCGAGGGTGCCTCGGGGGGCCTCGACGGCTTACCCCTTGGAGTTGCAAGGGTCTCCGTGCAAGCCGTCACAATGACTTATACGGGTGTTAGTTAGCGGCAAATAGACCGACGAGCAGTTCAAGACGTACGGATGAGAATAGAGAGACCGCCTGCCGGAACGGTAGTCCTGACGATAAGATCCATCGCGGGCATGCCCAGCATCATCGCAACACTCGTCTATAATCTTATCAGCATGGATTTCTCGGAGCCCTTCGTATTTCTGTCGACAATCGCTTACCCCTGTCCAGATTCCGAAGCCAACCATGACAAGCAATACGGACTTGCTCCTAGCAGCGCTGGAGGTGTTCTCCTGGATGTCCGCGACCATCCGCGTCATGTATGCTCTAGCGGCAAACATGGCGATGATAACAGCATCTAGAGCAATGGTGACAATGGCGATGGGGAGGGAAGAGGACGAGGCCACGCAGACGGTGTCGACCTGGGGCTTGCTAAAGCCAACAAACACCATCCCCACGACGAAACGCCCTGCCACGAGAGCCTGGGCTATCATGTCGGCAATCGATTGCTTCCTGCCCGTGTTCATGGCCCACAAAAGGTACTGCTCGACCGAGAACCTTCCCACCTGATCGAACAGGGTCGAGAAAATTATGCCGGCCTGGCACGGCATCGTACTGTCCGTCGTATCGATGACCGTCGCAATGAAAGAAACCTGGGCCCACAGGGCCGAGGATAGAAGGAATGTAATGAGGACCAGCCTCAGGCCGTCCCGGAATATCGCTGAGCCATGGCCGTTGATGTAGAGAAACAGCGCCGCCGACGCTGCGTTAACCACGATACCACTGTAAAAGAAGTCGCCTGTTAGCTAGACCGCTGCCAGTGTTTCTCCTCCTCCTGCTTCCCGCAACTCCCTTCCTGCGGGTGGGGGATCCCAAACTGACAATGAGAAGGCGGCGACGAGCGGCTGGGTGGCGCCTGGGATGGCCATCGCGCCGGCGTAGAGAGAAGGCGTAATCGGCCAGGACGGAACGGAAAGAGACCCAGTCAATGGGGGGTAACGAATTGTACAAAAGTAAGGAGAGAAGATTCAATGAAGGGAATGGGTCATGTTGACAGTCGTTGCTATCATCACGATCGTCTAAACAGCAATCATGGCGAGCCCGGCCATGCTATTGCTTGCCACTCGACAAGAAGGTAAGGGAGGTAAAAGAGAGAGAAGGGGTTCAGCAACATGGGACGCATCGAGATTCGACACGAGTCACTGCTGCCAGCCAGAGGGCGGACCTTGCAGATGGTACGCGGGTACTCACTGCCTGGGTAACGAAACGGGAGGTCCGCTAGCCCAACCCTACCTACCCTGCCCTACCGGCGGCGATTGTCTCTTGCATGCTTGCCTGTGGGGCTTCCCGCAGCTTCGTGCTCGCAAAGACGATGGCTCGAGGGCGTGGAGCCACGGTGCTCAAACAGGCACGAGCTTGGCTTGGTTCGAAATCTCTCGACTCGTTGTTCATGCGCAGTACAGGCAGGGGGGTTGATTGGTGCGAGACGCAAGGCTGACAAGGCCGCAGGTCTTGGGTGCGTCGGCCCCTGGTTGTGGGGTGTTTCGCATGAAACTCGGCTCGTTACAGCGCAGGGGAGGGGTCCCTTTTCATTCGCAATCTCTCCCCCCCGGCGACGCCACAGATTGCAACTTAATCCCCCCTTGCGAGAAAACGTGGGATTAGAGTTGCGATGTGAGACGAGAGATCAGAGCCGCATAACCCTGCGAGCTTTGCGGGCTGTCGGTCGGCGGGAAAGGTGAGTTGGCAGGTTGACAGCTTGACAGGTTCGCCTGCTTTCCCCTTTCCCACTTCCCACTTCCACCCAATCGCCTAAATCTAGATGCAAGAATGGAGATCCGAATCGGCACAATCACTCGAACCAACGCGCAAAGGTGCAGGTGATGTGATAATGGGTGATGTGATGATGTGCTGCTACCCATACGATCTTGTTCTGAATCTTTCGATGTCTGTGTCAAGTCCAGGCGCGAGGCGCATCCTCCGTACCTACACTGCTACGAAGTTCCAGTTCTAGGGAGCCATTAGCATTGTCGAGGATTCCATAGCCGGCTGCCAACCGCTGTCAATACCTAGTCGCAGCGAGCCTCACAACCAGCCACACCAACAACCCAAAGACTGGAAAAAGGAAGTCAAAAAGGACCGAAATGGGATCTCGGAGCCTCCCTCTTGCGATTTCTTCTTCTTCTTTGTTTAGCCTCGATCACACGTAACAACTACTCGCGCAGATCTTACTCTTGCCAAAATCGCACGTTCGACGAGGCCTCTCCCCGCTATTAGCCACCTCCCGCCTCAAAGACTCGACATATCCAAAACGCTAAGACCTAGATCGCCAGCTCCCGCTCCGTTGCAGCCGCGATCCGAGAGTGGGCGCTCGCTTGCTGGAGAGCCAACCGACTCGTCTTCGGTATGTGGCTCGCGTGTCTTCTTCTTTCCTAATATTTGAATCGAGAGATGTCTAGCTGCAGCGAGATCGTTATGAGGACTCTCTGGCCATTTGGAGAGAGCCGATGCCAGGAGTACCTCTTTACCTAGTTACCCCTGCTGTGCATTTGGCCGTGATATTCCGTTCCCAAATATGTTGACAATCTGAACTGGTGAATGCAATAATTCCCGTCAAGTGGAAATCAAGATGTCATCTCCATCTCCTAATACCACAAGAGATAACCATAGACAGTGATTCTGCATCCTCTACCCCGGAACCATATACATGTTTATATTGATAGATGATGACCTAGTGTATCACCTGCACCCATCGCAAAGACAGCAACTGTAGAAACCACTTCACATAGGTAGTCACCCCGTATTTTTCCCAACCCCATCGACATCCGAAAAGACATGCAAGCGGCCTCACCAATTCTCCCAGACCTCCTTCGGCAAAACCCTCCTCATGACGGCCCAATGCCCCAGCGCACTCTGCTCGTGCCACTTGACCAGCTTGGTCGTGTCGTTCCTCCGCAGGATGCCCTCGCCGCGGCCGACGAGGAAGTCCGCGTCGGCGACCTCGTGCCGCGGCACGAGGAACGCCTCGCGCGACGGGCTGTTCAGCATGTCCGCCGGCGTCGCGGCGCGGAACGAGACGGCGCCGGCCGCCGCGGGCTCGAACTTTATGCAGAAGATGACCATGTTGGTGAAGTCGCTGCCGTCGCGCTCCAGCGCCTCCTCGTCGCGCGGGTGCTCGCGGAAGACGCGGCACGACGGGAACACCTCGCGGATGGTCTGCACGATGACCATGGGCGGTGGGAGCGCAAAATCGCCGGCGTAGTTCTGTGAGATGGGCATGTCAGTTTTTTCTTCTCGGGCGGCCGACTCGGGTCAGGGTTCGACTCACAATAGCGATGACGCCGTTCGGCTTGAGGATAGTGTTCAGGTTCTGCAGGAACTCGAGGGTGAACAACTCGATGGGCTCTGCACCGCCCGTGAACACGTCGTGGATGATGTAGTCAAACCTATCGTCGGTGCCGTTCGCAAGCTCCGCCGTGTAGCTCACCGCGTCGGCGATGACGGACCTGTGGTTCTTCGGCAGCTGGAAGTACTTGAGAGCAAACTCGTGCACGACGGGGTCGATCTCCACCACAGTGGTGTCGATGCCGTGTGCGATGAGCGCAGCTGGACTAGTGCCGATACCCATGCCACTGAATCAAGTGTTAGACAAAATGATATCCCCTTGAGAAGATGCACCGGACTTACATGACAAGGGCGTTCGCCATGCTATCGGGCACAGGGTTTGGGACTTCGACCAGCCTGACGGCCTCGAGCATCGCAAAGACGCCATATATGGGCTCCGCGACCTGGTTGCCGGCGAACTGTCCCCCTTTGAACTTGACCCATTCGCCGCCCAAAAGGCTGTGGTCACATCGCAACACTCGAAAGCCCTGATCTAAGCTCTCGACAACCGAGATGTATCCCGTCACCGACTCCCTCCGGTCCAGTAGCACCCAGCCGTCGGCGTTGAGGGTGCTGTTCAGGGTAGCGGTGCCCAGTGAAGTTTGCACGTGGGTATTGAAGAACGAAGTGTGCAGCAAGGCCGGGATGGCGTAGAGCAGCAGCTTTGACGGGGCGAATAGCGAGTAGCAGGATGCCAGGACCATCTCTAACCCGAGCCGCGTAAAGAGAAAAGTCTTCCCCACAAGACTCTGAATAAGCCGCGCGGATATACCCTCGAGCGCTCTAAAGAGTCCATAGGAGCCGAGGCCAGGGGCTGCATCTGCCATCCAGCTTGGGAGGACACTGAGATCGGCCCCGTCGAGATGATTCGCCGTGCAGGCCACGGAAAAAACGATGAGGGGGAAGAGGGTGAGAGTCTCAGTTATGAGGGGGCCCCATTGGGCGGTGAAGAAGCCGCTGAGTTTGAACAGGTAGAACTGGACAGCCGGGATATAAATGGCGATGACCGGAAGTAACAAGTGAGGCTTGACAGGGAGTGTTCGGCCAAGGAACAGGTTCGACGACCAGCCCACGAAGCACGCTGCCATGACTAGCTTGGAGTGCCATATCGACGATGGTATTGACCCATAGACAGGCGACAAGGTGAGCTCAGATACATTGGAGTAGATGGCGATGAGAGCCAGCAATGTAGCCGACTTCAGGTAAACCGATGCTTGCTCCCTCGCATGTTTCGCCCAGGTCTCGTCTTTTGCTTTTTCTGCTAGGGCCTTGAGCTCCTTCTCAAAGTTCTCCGGGGTGAAGGAAGAGCTGGGATTAATATCCGGTATGTCTGAGGAGGTTTTCGGGGTCTTCGGCGACCGATTATTCTTGGACGGCTTTGGCGCCATTGGTGCCGATCTGAAGAATGCTATACTATCCAACAGGGTCAAGTCACCACCAGCTGAGGGGGAGCGGCCACAGCTGAGAAACTAAATCTTCACTGAAGATTTTATCGACTACAAAACTGGCTCTCAACAGCCAGCTGTTGGAGCTCCCGTGTGGTCCTGTTGACTTCAATTGGCCAGGTGTTTAGAGATGTAACACCCCAAGCTCAGGCCAAACACGGGCGTAAGTACCTAGGTACCTCCTCCGTATAGAGAGTAACTTCTTTATAAGGATCCACCAGAAAACCTAACTCTAATAATCTCAAAATGCATGCTTCTAGGTCTGTATAGGTAACAGTCCCTGGCGTTCATTTTGTCTAGGATACAGACCTATAGGTAATTTTCCACAACTCTGAGCTTCTTTCATTCTGTCAAGCTGTTGCAATCTGAACCACAACATCTGGAGGAGGTAGCTACTCTTCCTTTCATAACGATACCGCTATCTATAGGACTATAAATAGGCCAGTGCACCATTATAACGGGATTATTCCTGTAACATGCCTGTGACGCAGATCTGCACGGACAGTGACGCCAAGGCACCTCCATGATTTGTTGGCCATAGCATCATTGTCCCCTCTTTGCAAGCTTCAAAATACCAGCAGCTTGGGCACACCTTCCTTGCAAGCAATTTTCGCTGAATTCTTTGTAAATGATTTGATTTCCCGCCCAGATTTGTCACGATGGCCCCTTTTTCAACACAGCCAACCAGCCTGGTTGACTTCGACCAGAAAAGCCTGCTGAGTATGAGAACCTTCCATCTGTGTACGCCGAGCTGGCTTCTAACAAAGGGAATAGTTTCTGCAATCAGCATCGCCTTCAACCCGACATTTTGGAAGTAAGATGCTCCAAAAGTAGGCCGATTGTTACCCCTTCCCGTTGCTAACATTCTGTAAAGTATCGTTGCAAGACAAGGTTAGCCAATGCCCCTTCATCCCTCCACCTACCTCGGCAATAGTTTTTTTTTCCTAACCCACCGCCTCCCTCGCAGAATACCACAACAAGACCCTCACCCGCCTCTTCGGTGGCCGCTCCCAAACAGCCTGCTATGGTCTCGCCGCGACCATCTTCTCCCTCGGCCTCGTCCGCGATTTCCTCTACGAGCGAGCCCTCCGCCACCAGCCGTCCCACCCGGCCCTAGAAGGCCAGCTCCCGACTCTCGCCGGGTACGCGCTGTTGGCCGCCGGAAACATCCTGGTCATCTCTTCGACTTGGGCGCTGGGCATCACCGGTACCTTCCTGGGCGACTACTTCGGCATCCTGCAGGAGAAGATGGTGACGGGCTTCCCGTTCAACGTCACCGACGCGCCCATGTACTACGGGTCGACCATGAGCTTCCTGGGAACGTCCTTGATCTACGGCAAGCCGGCCGGCCTCCTGCTGACGTTCGAGGTCCTCGTCGTCTACCTGGTTGCGCTGCGGTTCGAGAACCCGTTCACCGGCGCCATCTATGCCAAGCGGGATCGCGAGAGGGCTGCCGCTGCTGGGAAGAAGGTAGAGGGCAAGAAGGAGCTGTGAGAAGCGTGCAGTTGGGCAGTGGGCAGGCGTCGTACGCTGCAATGGTTGGCGATGTTCGATGGGGAAGACAAACCTGAATGATCTCTTGGATCGCTTTGATACAAAAACCAGAGAGCTTACATGCTTGCCTAAGGCGATGGGGCGTATCCAATCTCAGGAGTCGGACGGTGAGGACACGGGGGGTGAATCTGGCGGCTGTCAAGCTTGTCGGTGACAGCAGCCGAGCGGTTTGGTGGAAAAGAAGGTTGCATAGACATAGAGACGACGTGTACGGACTCAACTTTGAAGGATTGTGGTTGGCCATCAACTGGCCAGATTAATGATAGACCGATAAACATACGGATAATCTATCCTGCTACAAGCCCGTCCTCGTCTGAAAACAATTAGACGTTTTGTACTGTACCGACCTAATGCGGATAGGGGCTACTCTCGTGTTCAGCCCTGTGTCACAAGCAGGGAGCTATGACGGCACCAATGTCGACTCACCGGGAGAAACCGCCGAGGATCTGAAGGTCAGGTGGGGCAGCGTTGGTCTTTCATGGGTGACAGCGGAAGGGGCCGATGGAATCTAGGAGCCGGATCTAGCAAATGCCGTTCGGAGGGAGTAATCGGGTACGATTGCAAGACATCACAATTTTTCAGAGCCATCGACTTCTCCTGTTCATTTCCCGGAAGATTGGACGATTTCGCCAAGCTGAAGAGCCGCATATCCCACCTTCAATAGCCTTCTTAGTCAGTGCCAAGAAGCCTCACCCACATTGGCACATCTCCATTAAGCGGGTCGTCAAGATGAATCGACCATCCCGAACAGACGAACCCCAGAAGGGCGATGGGTATAACCAGAGCCCCAACGATCTCTCAAATGACCTCACCACAAATGAGGATCTAAATGGCATTTCAAACTCGCGAGTCCAGAGGAGTGGCGAACCCCTCTCAATACAGTCCGGAGGCCAAAACGCACTCTTAGATGAAGTGTCCAACCTCCAGGATACCGAAGGGATACCGACGGTACGAATCAAGGATGGCGTCCCTGCTGAGTCTCTCGTTGTTGAGCAGCAGGCGCAAGGGGGGCCGCACGAGTTCGGGGCCGGTCCCCAGCTGTCGGCCGCTTCTCATGGCGGTGACGATGGCGGCAATCGTCGAGGTCGCGTGACATCGGCTCTTCACCGCACTAAAAATGCCATCATCACTTTCTCGAAGTTCATCGGGCCTGGTTTTATGGTTGCCGTCTCGTACAGTACGTGTGTTTTCCATGGCCCATCCTTCCCTTTAAACCTATCATATCCTAACCTGGGTCCAGTCGATCCCGGCAACTACGCCACCGACATCGCTGCTGGCGCCTCATACCGTTTCCGCCTGCTTTTCATCGTGTTACTGAGTAACATCTTCGCCATCTTCCTCCAAAGTCTCTCCATCAAACTCGGGACCGTCAGCGGTCTCAACCTGGCCGAGGCATGCCGCGCTTTCCTGCCTCGATGGCTGAACTATTTTCTGTACGTTATGGCCGAAGCGGCCATTATTGCTACTGACATTGCAGAGGTAACACGGGCACATTCCCCCTTAACGAGGATGTTTTTCCTTGTATGACTAACACTAGGTCAGGTCATCGGCACGGCAATTGCCATCAACCTCCTTATTCCCAAAATACCCCTTGTTGCTGGCTGCGCCTTGTCCATCCTCGATGTCATGGTTATTCTCCTATTCTACCAGCCCAGCGGGTCGATGAAGGGCCTACGAGCCTTCGAGTTTTTTGTCGTGCTCCTTGTCCTCGGCGTCGTCGTCTGCTTCTGCGTCCAGCTCTCCCTCATCCAGGAGACCCCAGTGGGGGAGATATTCCGTGGCTTCCTTCCGTCCGATGCCATCACCGAGCAACGGGGCCTCTACCAGGCCTGCGGCATCCTCGGCGCCACCGTCATGCCGCACAGCCTGTACCTCGGCTCCGGCATCGTCCAGGCGCGCCTCCGGGAATTTGACAGCAAGTCCGGCCTCCTGCCCCCGGACCTGCCGCCGCCCGCCATGGCCATGAGCTCCTCCGCGGAGTCCGCCTCGACGTCCAAGGCCACCTACATCCCCTCGCTCTCGGCCGTCCGGTTCTCGATGAAATACTCCATCGCCGAGCTAGCCATCTCCCTCTTCACGTTCGCCCTCTTCGTCAACAGCGCCATCCTCATCGTGGCCGGCGCCTCGCTCTACGGCAACCCGGACGCCCTCAGCGCCGACATCTTCGGCATCCACGACCTGCTCTCGACTTCCCTCTCGCCCGCCGCGGGCACCGTCTTCGCGCTCGCGCTTCTCCTCTCGGGCGTCAGCGCCGGCATCGTCTGCACCATCTCCGGCCAGATGGTGTCCGAGGGCCAGCTCAACCTGCGGCTCCGGCCCTGGCTCAGGCGCCTCGTCACCCGCTCCATCAGCATCACGCCCAGCATCATCATCGCCGGCGCCGTCGGCCGCGAGGGCCTCGACGCGGCCCTCAACGGGTCCCAGGTCGCCCTCAGCGTTGCCCTGCCGTTCGTCGCCGCGCCGCTGATCTGGTTCACCTGCCGCACAAAGTACATGACCGTCCAGCCCGGCATGGCGCGCTTCGCTGTCCAGGCGCCAGCGTCCCATGCTGGGGAGAGGGACGGGATGGATGGCGAAGGTGATGCCGAGGGTTTGGGCGGGAGGCGGGCGCGGATGCGGTCGCTCTGGGCCAGGATCATGTTCCGGCGCAACGGCCGCCGTGGTGGGGGGAGCGAGGCCGAGCACGGCAGCGTGAATATGGCTAACTCGTGGCCTGTCGCTGCGCTAGCCGTGCTCATCTGGATCGTCATCGCGGTGCTGAATGTGGCGAACTTGGTGTTGTTGGGGCGGGGCTCCTAGAGGGACTCTGCGGAAGGGAGAAGGGGGCGTGCCGGATAAGCGGCTACGCTGGTTTCCCCCTTGACTGGATTGAGTTGCGGCGTTAATTGCTGGGTGGTCAAGGGGTGTTGTGGTTCGTTCGCTAGGATTGGAGGAGTCGGTGTTTATCATTTGATATGGGAAGATGAGACTCATGGTTAATGAATTGCGGAATTTGAATCAAACTCTAGGCAGGTATTTATTCTCTCTTAGCCAGAACGATACTTTTCAAATTACTCAGCTACTCCTACTCCTACCCGTCCTCGTCGTCATTGCTGCCCAGATTGGCTTGATGAAACAAAAAAGCAACACGGACGGTATTAAGACGGGCAAATAAGAAAGTGAAGAGGCGGGTTTAAGTATCAAATAGTGTCCTGCTTCTCAAGGTCTAAATGCCGGTGGGAATGGTATGTCCAAGATATAAGCCGTATCAACCAGAGGATTAGAGATTAAAGATCATTCCTTCATATATCCCCAGCATACTCACACCAGCTCAAAGCTATCACTCGCGCCCGAAAACGCCGTGATCTTCCCCAGCAAACTCTTCGCGTTTCCAAAATACCGCAACCGATACGTCCCCGGCTCCGGCCTGACCTCCCCAACCCCCGTCTCCCAGCTGACAACCACCTCGCTATACCCAAGCAGCCAGTTCGTGCGCTTCCACGAGAACACAAGGTCCCAATCCGCATCATCCCGCACCCTCGTCCACGACCCCCCATCACCACCACCACCACCAAGCCGCTCCACCGCCGCGAACGTGTCCCCGAGCCTCAACTCATTCCTCGGGTTCGCGCCCACGAACGTCGCCTCCACGACGACCCCACCCGCCGCGGGGAACGGCCCCTTCCCCGGCCGCAGCGCCGTGCACCGCCCGAACGCGCTCCCGATCGGCGCCCCGTCCTGCACCACGCCCGCAATAAACGACAGGCTCTTCTGGCGGTTGTCCGGCGGCGACGGGCCCGGGTCGGGGGCGGCGCTCGCGGCGGCGGCGGTGGGCGATAGATACCGCAGGTTCTCGACCGTCAGGTTGACGTAGGCGGGCAGCTGCCAAGGGCCGTACAGCGTGCTAGCGCCCTCGTAGCGCTGGATGGCGTACTCCTCCGGTGTGGCGACGTAGTGGGCGTACGTGTTGGCCGGGCCGGCGAGAACGACGTGCGGCGTCTGCCCGAGGCCGAGCTCCTCCGAAGCGGCAGCAGCGACGGCGGCGCGCCACCGGCGCCCGGCCATGGTCGTCGCCTCGGAGGGGGACACGACGACGAGCAGCTGGCCGGCGCGCAGGGCCTGGATGTCGACGACGTTGGGGGCCCAGGCGTAGGGCGCGTCCATCTCGCCGACGTCGAGGAGCACCGGCTTGGGCGCCTGGCAGGCAACCTGGCGCGGGGAGGGCGCGCGGAGCAGGCCGCCCACGACGGACCAGAGGGGGTTGTTGGGCGCGCCTGGGTCGTTCTGCGTGAAGTCGAAGGCGCCGGGGCCGTCGGTCGTGCCGGCCGCGAAGGAGAAGCCCAGGGCGGCGGGGCACGTCTCTACCGTGGTGCCGTTGTCGAGGGGGAAGCTGAAGTAGCGCATGTCCTTGTAGATGTGGAAGGACTTGACTGTGCTTCCCGCGACTGGGGTGGAGGTCGAGTCGAGGTCATCCTGGGGTCCTAGCTTCAGCGGTTTGTACTGGGATGGAATAGGAGAGCACTTACGTAGAGCTTCTTGGCTCCCGCGTATTGCCGGCGCCCAATCTCGTAGCAGCTCGACACGCCCAGGTCGAGCTTCTGGAACTCGGGCCCCCGGCCATGGCAGGACTGCGACTTGCCGTCGGCGCAGGTGCTGTTCTCGAGGCTGCACATCTGGCCGGACCCGTCGTCGCACCAGGCGCCCAGCACGTTGGGGGTCGTGTCCCCAACGTTCGCCTGGGAGAAGCCCGCCACGAAGCCGTCCGCGGCCCGGCTGTCGCCCTTTACGGATTGCTCAAACAGCCAGGCGGCTACCCCCTTGTTGTCGCCGCTGATGTGGGTGTTGTTCTCAAGCATGGAGGTTCCGTGCACGGGGAACCAGGTCAGGACGCCGATGTTTTTGAGATCGGACTCGCGCTGGAACCGCAGGAGAGTGAGGGTCTTATCAACGCTGTCGCTGTACTGAGCTCTCTCGGAGGCCGGGTTGGCGAGGTATGCGTAGAGACTACGACTCAGGTTGGCATCGGTGATATTTGTGGTGCCTATGTCGAGATATCCCTGAACAAACTGGGAATTAGTCTCTGGTTGAGTTTCAGAACTTGATGTGCTCGTACGGTTGTGAGAGACTCGTGGGCCCTCTTGACTGACAACACGGCACCGTCGACAATGGCCTGGTAGCTCTGTTTGTCGAACCCAAAACTGGTGACCTGGGGCAAGAGGTAGTTGAACCAAGCCCCGGGCCCGCTGTGTGAGTGAGTGCCAGTCACGGCCACGTTGGACTGCCCATACACGGTGTAGGACGAGCCGAGGGCCTGCAGCCCCTCGAGGATGCCGTACCGAACCGCAGTGTCGCCGGACTGCGTATCGAGTACGAGGTACACGAAACGGTCGTCGGGGTTGTCGACATCGCCTATGATGAACGCCCTGGAGTAGAGCCGCTGCCGAAGCCCAGTTCCGACTTGAGGGATGGAAGCATAGCCGGCCAAGTTGAGTTCCACAACAGGCCCGGTGATATCAGCCTTCCCAACCCCAATCAGGTACTTGTCGCCCGCGGGTGTGGCTCGCGCCTTGGAGAGTGGCGAGCTACCGGCGCCTCCTTCGTGAAAGGCTCTTAGCGTGGGCCTTTTCGCGTTCCGGCCAGGGGTAAACTCGGAGATGGCAAGCACGGCAAGAAGGAAGAAGGACACTGCCAAACAAATGCCCGCAATAAGCCGTCTTGGGGCGGGAGCAACGCCATGTCGGTATTGGGGGTTTGGCATTGCGCCGGCCGCCACAAAATCACGGTCGCGTGGGTACGCTGCCGTCTACCCTTTATACGGCGTAAAGCTTCCTTGGTCGTCTCGTCTCTCTGGCGCTTCCCCGCAGAGTCGACAGGAGGGGGTTTGGCCATGAACCATGGCGACCGGGGGTTCTTCCCATCTTTATGGGATCCAAAGCCAGGTCGGCCCCCCCTCCACAAAGGCAAGTCCTGGGTCATGATGCTGGCCATGCTGATCATCCGGCGCCAGACCCATGCCAAGGGACTGCATCATCCTGGTTCTTGTTGGCAGGCACCTGGCCACTCGGCGCTGGAACGGGCGAATTAGTAGAATTCGGGGAATTTGGGGCTCTGAGATGCAGCCAATAAGGATATCGAGGGCCGGTCTGGACGCTGCGGGTGGTTGTTTCTTTTCTGTGCCTGCGAAATGATGTGCACCTGGGGATCTGCATTGGGTGCCGTAATGAAGTGATGTCCGTCATGGGCGGTCCAATGGGCCGCGAACAGGGGGTGAGCAGGGGGGGTTAGCTGGGGGTGGACAACTCGGGTGCGGAGAGAGCGTTCATTGGGCTCCCAACTTGTGAGGAGGTGGGATGGCTGTTTTTGGGGCGTCAGAGTCACGTTGTCATTCGTCCCAGTCGCTGCCCTGATCTAATAGTAATAAACCGGGAAGCTGGCCGTTCAGATCGTCCTGGATAACCTATTTGGTGCTTTATTTCCGGCTGGAACATCGATAATCTCGGCTCTGCTTTCGAGACCAGCCAGCTTCCCGGAGGTACGCAGAATGGAATGTTTACGACCGACAGTGCGGTCACGAGAGGAAAATTACCTTGTTTACAGAATGGAAACTGCAGAGATGGCACCAAAATTGAGGGGAGGGGCAGGGCACGCGTTGAGGGTCATGAGATCAAGGACCCGAGGTACTGTACTTGAAACCATGACAGCTACCTTACTTCTAAGTGGTATGCATTGGTGCATGAAGAAAGCCGCGATGACGGTTCAACGACAACTGTAATTCCAATGGGTCTGAACAAGAGGTTTGAGCGCCGCAAAGGGCAAACCCTTATATCGAAAACAGTATCTGGCATAGCTAAAACCAGGCATAGTCTCGTCGTCTAGAGGCAAGATGCCCGTCATCACCCTCGTCGCCGTCGTCAAAGAGGTCCGCCCCTTTCCGTTTCCTCTGGTACCGACTCTCATGGGGAGCTAGATATGCTCCGTGACCCTCACTGTATATGAACTTCTTGGCCAAGGATCCTGGGGCCACCAGATACCCAATCTTCCGGCACTGGTGGTAATCCCTGATCCACTGTGCGAGTACCTGGTCCGTAATATTCTTCCCAGCGTAACTCCTCAACGCCTCCCAGACCGGTACCCCCGTCGGCATGTCGCAGGACGAGCCTTTGATGATGAGGTCTTGTCCCATTAGCCTGTGCATCTTGCTTCAATGGAATAGGGGCGCTCGAAGAGGGCTTACCGGAAACGCAATAGATGTCGTTGTCGACGCCCACCCAAGGTTCTCGGCCAGACTGGACGTCGGATTTATTGTTTCTGGCCAAAAACTCGGCGAGGCTGAGTCTAAGGTCAACAAAGGCCAGATCAGGCCCGGCATCCTCTGCCTGGGAGCAGTCATTATGGTAGGCCAGCATATCCCGAGTGAGCGGCTTCAGCGGCCTCGCGATTTTGGCCACGATGAGATCCGGTTGCTCCGCTAGCCAAACCAAGTAGCGAGGTTGCTGTTGCCTGAGAACTGCCGTTGAATCTGTCCCGAACCACCGCAGGAGGGCCTGGTAAGCCGCTCCGTTGGTCACTGTCAAGGCTAAAGCGCGGAAATCAGCAGCTGACATGGAGTGGTGTGAGTGAGGGAATTACTCACATTGGATATTATAGACTTTGTCTTCCAGCATAATCTCGAACTCGCCGAGGTTGATCGAAGTTCTCTCGCGCTCCTCCACGATCCGGCCGATCTTCAGGTGCTCATAGGTCTTTAGACATCCCTGCCAATCTTGATGACTGTCCCTAAATTGTTGGGTCACATCTTTCCCAGCGGACCCTTGGAGAAGCTTCCTGCCTCCCGGGTGGAAATCCTCGAAGTCTTTAGAGGATATATTAGCGGAGACACATCCTAGAGGCGAATGGGAGGCGATCGTGGGTACTCACCTGTGACATCGTAAACACCATCTAGGATGATGATATACATGCGGTGATCTTTGTTGTTGTGCCAGCCCACCTCATTGGCAGTGAATGGTCGTACCCGGGCTGACCTGCGCAGGCTCGATCGAATAGTTCCGCAACAGTAGAGTTCCATCTCACGAAGCATCTCGGGAGCTCTGTCTCCCAGATTCTCCAAAAACCACTCCCTGTATGCGTTGGGCGAGCTGACCTTGGATGGGTTCTGCAGGAAATATAGATATGCTCTTTCCAAGCCCCTCCGGCAAGGGAACCCTGGACGCGGTCAGTAACAGGATCTTGTTCAAGAGTTAGATATTGAGGCGAGGGAAAGTACTTGTCACATCGAAGATCCTTCTCCCAATCACAACCCAGAGGGGCCTGCTGTTCAAGCCGTCCATCTCCCTGGCCTCTTCTTCCGTTATCGATTGCTTCATGAGCTTTCCAAGGAACCTGGCCGTCTCCTTGACGCGCCACTCGAGGTCGGGGTGGATCACTTTCCAGCCATACTGGGTCTTCTCGCACAATATGGCTTCACGATAGCGGGGATCTTCTTCCACCATGGCATCCCATATGCCTTTGAAGTGATTAGCGTAAACCAGGGATATAATTCAGGGGCAACCAAACCTGTGGCTTCATAAATGTCGAATCCAAACTGGCCATCATCACAGAGCAACCAGAGGTCGTCCTGGGCTCGATGATCGTTAACCTCTCCGACCGTGTAGTATCTCTCGGGCCGAGCGCTGTCAAGGACCTGAAATTTTGCGATATTTGCCGCCGGCATGACGCCGGGCTCCCCGGGGTCACTGTCGTATTCGTCGACAGCCTCCCCCTTGGCCGAGATGCTGTCCACCGAGCTGAGGTCGTACTTATCCATCTCCAGCTTCGGGTCGCCCGTCCATTCCACGTACTCCTTCTCGGGCCCATTGACCCCCGCAGGCACTGGCAGGTGCATTTCCTTGCCTTCGTAGAGCGGCATCGCAAAGTCGAACTCGAGCCAGTCTCCCTCGCCGAGGTTGCGCGTGCGCATCTGCCGCCCGATGCTCGCCCACGAGTGCCACACCCCCAGCGTCAGCTCTATATTGAGGGGGTACAGGCGCTCCGCCTCCTCGAGGAACTTCTTGCCGAGCGTGTGGATGTGCTTGCGGGTGCCCCGCCCGCCCGCGAAGTGCCTGGTCTCCAGCACGTACGACCTCGCGCCCTCCACGTTACAAGCAGGATTATCGAACTCCCAGGGCACCCCCGCGGTCGCCGCCGCGCCGCTCCTCCTCCACGCGCCCGGCCTCGGCGCCGTGGCCAGGTTCGCGTGGGCCTCCGTCTGCCGCATCGGCAGGGTCAGGGACATGATCATCGAGACCCCCTGCCAGAACCAGTTGCGGTTGAAGGAGCCCTGCGCCAGGGACGCGTCGCGGACCTCCCGGTACGCCCTGTGGCCGCCGACCTCGTCGCGGGCGTGGTACGCGTACCAGAAGCGCTCGAGCGCGGCGCGGAAGTGCACATCCGACCACGGCGACACTGCCCAGTAGAGGTGCTCGACCCGGTACCACGGCCGCAGGCGCCGCCAGTGCGCCCTCCGCACCAAGAAGTCCTTGGCCGCGTCGCGCAGGCCCGGCCGCATCTCCCGCACGCCGAAGTTGACCCGGAGCCGGTGCGCCGAGTGGTCCCGTATGTCGCTGCGCCTCGACCGGAACATCCGGGGGAACTGCAGCGCCTGCGCGCCGTACATCGGGACCCACAGGTCCCAGTACTCCTGCGCGAGAAGGCAGGATATCCAGTAGGTCGGGACCGGGAACACGTACCTCCGGCCTAGTTCTGCGCCCGCTTCTCGTCCCTTGCTCATGTCCCCCATTGCCGGGTTCGGCCAGTCCTGTATGGAAGCGAACATGAAGTTGCCCCTGCCGGACTTTTTGTCGACGTAGGATGGGTGCAGCGTCACCTGGCCGCCGAAGATGCTGTTCTCCCAGCTGCAGCCTAGTTCCCGTACCCATTCTGTCTCCATAAACTGTACGATTTTTTGACACGATCAACATGAGGTTTGGAAAGTTGGCAGCCTATCTGTACTAACCCATTCTGACTTTGGAAATTCGCCAAGTAAGTTGATTATCCTTTCTTTTTCTTGACAGTAGAAGATAGCGTGCTAAATTTGTCGTTAGCAAAGTGCTGCCATGATGCAGAGGTAGTGCAGATTCTCGACTTACCATAAGCTGATGGACAACCTAGGGCGAAAGTGTCAGATTCGATGTCTCATTGTCTCTCAAATCGAGGGGGAGAAAAGGCCACTCACCGTCACAGCAAACCCAAACCTTGCAAGCGTCTTCTCGGCGAGCGTGGACTCCTTAGACAACAGCACCCTCAAGAACCGGACGTGGATACCCGAGTAGACAAACCACTTGGAGTCCTCATCGTGGACCCGCCGCGTCTCTCCGACCGGGTGGTGGTTCGACAGGTCCGTCCGCGAGTTCTCCTCGTCGATGAACGAGAAGACCAGCCGCGGCGCAAACCTGTCGAGCTCCTGCAGGATCTCCGCGGCCGAGGCTTGGGCTTCCTGCGCCCTCCCGTTGATGGTCCATTCGCCCGATGGCACCTGCATAGTAAACCCAAAGAGAAGCGTATCAAGGCTATTTTGTGGTTTGGCCGCTGTTAGCTCGAACCCCTTTTTTCCTTCATGGGAAACAGACAAGGCGGCACGAAAAAAAAGGGGGGAATCAAAAAGAGAACCGAGAATACCTACAATCCCGTCTCAGCAGTAGCCTTAACCAACCGATCCGCCAGCTCCAAACACACCCTCATAACCTCCCACACAGCCGGACAATCCACGCTCCACACCACCCCGTCCCCAGCAACCCCATCCACCGGCTCCGGCACCCCCTCCGCGATCCCAGCCGCCAAATCAAACCACCTCTCCCTCCGAAACACCTTACACCACCGCCCCTCATCCACCCTCAACAGATCCCCATCCAGCACCACCGCCGCCGCATCCACCACCCCACCACCCTCCACCCTCGCAGCCGCGATCCTCATGACCGCAGGCGCATCCACGACGGGCGGGCCCGCATCCCGATCATGACCGCCGGGCACCCACCTAGCCAGGGGCGTGGCCAGCGCGCCGGCCTGCCACGCCTTGAGCCCCCCGAGGTACCTCTGCTGCGTGCGCTCGGCGGCGAACAGGTCGTCCAGCAGGTCCGGGCGCGGCGGCGGCGGGATCGGCGGCATGCTGGCGGGCGGGTTGGTCGCGTACCACGTCGGGTCGAGGTAGGGGACGTGCGGCGCCATGGAGGAGTGGCCCTGCCTCGTGAGGGACGGCCATGCGCCTGGGGGGAGGCCGAACTTTGCTGCCCAGGGGGAGGGCGGCGGCCCGGCTGTGTTGGGGGGGTTGGGGTTGGGGTTGGGCGGGTCCATGGTTTGGGTATCTGGGGGGCGTTTTGCTTTTGTTGTGTAGGTAGATGGATGTTTTCTGGCGTTTGGCGGAGAGTTGCTTGGTTGCTTCTTATGTGGCTTGCGTATGTCCTGGTTCTGTATTTGCTCTTGCTTGGTTCTGGCGGTATCACTGGCTGGGACGAGAACTAGGAAGAGAAAAATAGAAGAAGGCAGGAGGGATGAGAGATGAGAGACGCGGAAGGTAATAGAGGGAGAGGTATGGGGAAATATCTTGCTGGAGAGTCGACAAAGAAAGGGGAAGGGGAACGAGACGACAAAGAGCGTCGAGAGTTGGCCCTTCGAGAACAATGACGGCCCTCCCGGAATGAGAGGATTCCCTCGTCAATACTTCATACTTCTGCAAACGGTTCAAAGGAGCTCAATCAAACGACAAACGACAAGCGGAGATACAACTGATGGATTTGTGAACTTCAGCGTCCAGCCCGCCAACCTCAGTAATACAGGCAGCCCCTTGGGTCTATGGATAATAGCGCAGACCCAACTATCTACAACAAGCGTTACATATCTGTACAAGCGTTATGAATAATAGACAACTCCCAAGGTCTGGAATAACAAGCCGTTCCGGGTGCTATGCTGAAGCCTCGCCTCCCATGCCTTCCCCCCTCTGTTACAGTAACTGGAGCATGATAAAACGCCGAGCAACGCCGTATGTTATGGATCCCTTTTCTTCCCTCCCGTCCCTCACCACTTTTCCCAGCCTGATCTAACTCTGCAACTTTTTCCTCCGAACCAGGAGCTAGTGCGTCGACTCTGGCCTGGCGGATGGGTATCTGATGAAGAAGAAAAACAAGACTTCGTGCCGAGACCACGCCCACCGCTACACACACACTTCCCCAGTTATCTGTACGGGCGATCGACCCAATCCTTGCCCTATTTCATGCTGTTAGCCCGACTCTTTGTAAAACACGATCCTTAAATTCCAGGATGGCCGCTGGTAGGTTCTACAACATTATCGGAGAGGTTGATGAGCAGCTGGGCCAGGCAACGTTTCGTGGCGGCATCGTCGCGGAGCACCGAGGAGAAGGTGGCATCGCGGAGTGGCTCTGGAAGGCATTGTCGAAGCGCCTCGCGGGCTCGCGCATTATCACTGAGTCTAGGCAGAGTTAGCATCCTCCGTTACGGTACTTAGGAGGAGCCCATGGCAGCGACAACATACCTGAGGAAGCAGCGCACGACGTGCTTAAGCAACCGTGCAGTCTGCTGCTCGACCAGTTGGGCGACCATGTTGCTCAGAACGGTGCCAACAGCATAGAACCGCTCGTATGTAGCACAGATGTAGTTAAGGCCATTGTCATCCAGGAGGATCTTCTGGACGATGAAAATAGCGACCGTCTTGCTCAGCTCCGAACCGGTTTCCATGATGCGAAGACAGAGCGGGATGATCTCGGTAGTGAGGAGGAAATTGATGACCTCGGTCGAGTCGTTCTTAACAAGGGCCCCGATGACTCCCAGGGATGTCAGGCGGAGGTACTCGAATGGTCGGGACTTGGACGTCGTGTTCAGGAAAGGATAAAGGAAGAGAGGGATATGCGCTGGAGCAGCGGGCGGTGAGCAGACATTTCATCTGGGCGGAGGTGAGGGAGGGGATGGTCATCAACCATACCATTGAGGAACAAGGTGCGCGTCTCATTGTGTGATGCGACGCACTGAAGCAGGGCCAGCGCGTTGCAGACTCGGTTGGATGCCGCGGCGGTGAGCTGCGACGGGTTGAGGAGGGTATAGACCGAGATGATCTCCTGGAGCAGCGAGGTCATGACGCCTTCAACGCCCAACGTTAGCATGCCTGGGGAGGGAGGGGGTGATATGCCGTCGCACATACCGAAGGAGTGCCACAAGATCAAGGCCAGCTCCGGGACCTGCTCCCGCTTTTTGCTGAGCTCCAAAAGAGCGGCCTCTCTGGTGGTCTCGTTCAACAGGTCGGCGATGTAGGCCAGGGTGCGCCGGTTGTCCTCCGACACGGGGTTCTCGAGGTTACCATCCTGGGCGTGGGCGGCGTTGAGGGCATTCACGGTATTATGCGCGCCAGCAATGCGGCTATAGTGCTGCTGCTGGGCAGCGGAGGCGGCCGCGGCAGCAGCCTGCTGTTGAGCGTGGTGCTGCTGGTGGCTGGTCTGCTGGTGCATCCATGCCGACTCGGCCTGGGGATTGTACTGGTGATGGCCGTAGACGTGCGGATTGGGCATCATCGTGACTCAAGCTCCGATGCGGTGCGATGTGCGATGTGCGGTGGATTCGGTGGATGTCGGTGAGATGGACGAGGGGTCCAGACGGGGAAATGGTCAATCTGGCAAATCGACGGGCCTCAATCTTTCGCAGGGATGAGGTGCACCGCTCCCGGCTTTGGTTTCATGAGCAAAGTGCACCTGTGATGATTGGCGATGGAGAGGAAGGCTCGTTGGTAGTCGCGGGTGGCTGAAAGAAGGCGGAAAGATTGTACAATTGTCGAGAGCTACCACGCCCTGCCTTGCCTTGCCCTTTCTCGCCTGGTAGGTTCGAGGGCAGGGCACGGATCTCACACGGATCTCACCACACCTATCGCCGAAAGATGTCCGTGCGAGGGGGGTACGCGGGTACTTTGCAACCAAGTGGGGTCTGTCTGGCATCCCTTTTGAGACGCAAGGTTCTCCTTCCTTGATATTCGCCCTGCTACGGATGTAGGTACCTAATTATTTATATTGAACCTCAACGCCAATGTTACCCCCCTGTCTATTGCAGCCCGCCCTACAAGAATGTCCAGTAAATCGCGGCGGTGATAGCCAACAAAGCCGCTGCAACCAACACCGGCTCTGGGTCCCTCCCAGCCGCGGCAGTCACCGTGAGGCCACCGGTCTTGTTTGCCAGGCGTCGATCTGAACTTTCACTTGACGGCAGCTTGATGTCTGTGGGGTTTGTTGTCAATGTCGTCGAGACAACCCCCATCTCCACAGATTTCCCCCCTGCCGATCCGGAACCTACGACAGGTCCGCCGGTAATCTGTGGGCTTGTCACTGGTCGCTGTGATGCTATGGCCGTCTCCTGACCAGTAGAGTTGATGCTTGTAAGTCGACCGGCAGCCGCTCCATTTGTAGAATCTCCAGTCGGCTGGGAGATGGTTACAGCATTATTAGTTGTGACTCTGGCGCTGGGAGGAAGTGTCACAAGTGGCGGACTGGACAATGACAACCCCGGCCCTGCACCGAGTGTCGACGATATACTCGCTGAGGATATCGATGAGCTTGGTATAGCCACCGTAGATGTGGTGGTCGAATCCCCTAAACCGTCCCCGACAACGAGAAAATAGACCGCCGCCGCTAGATTGCTGAGGCTCGCATCCCTTAAGAAGGAGTTGAGGTCGAATCCTCGTCGCAAAAATGGCCCATGGAACAGGCTGATGACTCGAAATCACTCGATATTTGACTCATGAGCCTCGATTAGCCACAGACGAGGGCCGACTCTGTTGGCGGCGGTGGGACGTAGACAGTAGAAATAGATGGGCTGTGCCGCTTGACAGCAGTCTCTCGTTTCTGCCCGTTTTAATTATGTTTGGACGCTCAGCAGATGCTCACACCCTCGCTTCGCAGCTTGGGAAGGCAGAGGACTCGGAAAATGACAAGCGCCTTCATAAAGACGAAGTCGATTAAAAGCCATCAAAGCAAGCCAACCAGCTGTATTACGCGGTTGCGCCATGTGAAGCTGAAGCTGTCATTCGCCGTATCTTCATTCGCCCCTACATCCTCCCCTTCGGCTTTGTTCTCAGATACCCATTCTGACTTCCACATCCCGTTGGGGCCGTCACCTTTAGCCAGACCTGATAGTTGGCTAACACCCTCCATCATTGCCGTGAGCGAACTTTGATCCAACAGGTCCACCCCTACCATGTCAGCCGCTTCCGGCGCTGATTCTAGGCAATGCAGCTGGGTCGCTGGGAAGACGAATTCCGCTAGAACAGGCCACTCTGGCCCCGTCTGGCTGATACCACTTGGTTTCTCAGAAGATGGAGAATTAGAAACGGCGTGAAGTTAGTCAGAAAGCAACCCAGCCCAAATTGACTTGGCGAAGCTCGGCACACCTACATCACTCTCCTCGGCATTGAAATAGCCCCAAAAGTATCAAACAGTAAAAGTAGACGCAACTGCTAGAGCCCGACGGAAGCACACGCAAAGAAACAAGCACTGAAGTCTGCGAGTTGCACCTGACCGGAACGAAAGGGCTATGCCTCGCCGGCCATGCACACCACCGAACAAGGGGAGTACTACTCCATACACAATCCCGTCATCAAAACCTTTGGATGGTTTTGAAGCTCAACGACATCGTTGGGCCGGGCCGAATCTCTGCTGTGCTAGCTTCCTTATGACTTTGCTCTCACCCCTGAAGCGAGTATGGGCGGAGGATCAGACCGTATACTTGACCATTAACTGCAGGCGACAGGGTTCGGGGAGGAAATGATTCCCATCCAGATGGCCCTCGTTGCCGGTATCAGATTCATACGGTTGTCCTGGCTCTGCGACATACGTCTAGATGAGGAGGTAAGCGCAAGGAGCAACAGACAGGCATATATTCGCTTTAACAGCGAACGTGGACTGAGATGACTATGCTCACGAGCCCCATCGCAGTCTCCACGGTGAAGCGGCCGGGGGACGGGGGCGGGGGATCGGGAGGCGGGGGTCAAGGGCTGGTTACTAGCGGCATGCTCAACGGCAGCCTGGGACCCCGGCGGCCTCGGCTTCGATTTGGCTCCAGGTTAACGGCCCCTGCTGAGACTTTAATCACGGCTGGGTGTAGCTGTGGATAGCTGAAAAGGTGGGAAGTTGGCATGGGTCAGGATATAGGTGTCTCAGGGTATCCGTATTGCATACCGAGTTGCCGAAACAGAATGCAGGGGTTAAGCTGATCAATGGATGGCGACAATGTCAAGGAATTCCACTCGAACATGCATAACAGAGTCTAGCTTACTGGTTAATAAGCACCACCTCTGGCCTTCTGGCAACAGCATGTGAACATGGTTGCAGGTGAGTGGGAGTTAAAGCAAGGATGCCCTCGTAGTCTCGCCCTGACTACTCTCGGAAAATATACCTTTATTCAAGACAATGAGGGGCCCCTAGCCGCCACCACCCGAGTCAACAGAGTTTGGCATGTGAAGAGATGTGGAGAAATGTACTAAAACTGCGCTAAACCCACAATGGTAATGCCTCGGCACGTCTGACATCACCTGCACATCTTCAAGCCCACTTGCTCTGCGGCGACTTCCATCTTATTAGTGATTGAACTTCCAGCAACACGGGTGTATTAAAAAGATTCCCGAGGTCGAATTCTAAGCTCAAGCGCTCTCGCAGATTATTAATTACCAGTAGACCCAGACTTCCCTCCTCCATCTCTCAAATCTAAGTTTGTTGGTTCTTCTCACGCCTTGAATCTACTCGTTTTCTCTACATCATTCAATATGGGTGGTAGGTAGTTTCGAACCCGCGTGGCTCCCCTTGGGATGAAGACTGACAAGTTCAATCCAGCCCTGGATAGACTTACTCAAATTGGTAGCCAGCTCGGCGGCTCATTGCCAGCCACTGGTGGCAAGGCGAAGATCCTAGAGAAGCACCCCGACGATGTAAGTTGAACGCCCACTCGCTGCTGGCAACTCCCAGTCCACCGCTCTGGCTCTCCGGGTAGCCCGTGCTGACATGCCGCTTTCTTCAGATTGTCGTGACAGCATGCCTCCGCACAGCACTGACGAGGGGCGGCAAGGGCGGGTTCAAAGACACCCACGCCTCCGACCTCATGGCCGGCGCTCTGAAGGCGGTCATCGACCGCTCCAAGATCGACCCCAGCCTAGTTGAGGACATCTGCGTGGGCACCGTCCTCGCCCCCGGCGGCGGCGCGACGGAGATGCGGGCGGCCAGCTTGGTTGCCGGGTTCCCGGAGTCGACCGCTGTGCGGACCCTCAACAGGCAGTGTTCGTCGGGCCTGCAGGCCTGTGTCGACGTGGCGAACCAGATCAAGGCGGGGATGATCGAGGTCGGCATCGGCGCCGGCGTTGAGAGCATGTCGCAGCAATACGGGTATGTACATGTTCCTTCCACCAACCAAGGATCGGACAGATGAATCCGACACCGAGTGTGTTACCTGGTCAGATTGTAAACTGACACCTCTTTGCGTCCAGTCCCGCCGCCGTATCCGAGTTCTCCGAGCTCCTCGAGTCGCACCCCGAGGCCGCCAACTGCAAGGTGCCCATGGGCGTGCTGTCCGAGCAGATGGCCAAGGACCGCAACATCAGCAGACAATCACAAGACGCCTTCGCGGCGGCGTCGTACCAGAAGGCGGGGAAGGCCCAGGCGGAGGGGCTCTTCAATGAGGAGATCGCGCCGCTGAAGGTCAAGTTCGAGGACCCTAAGTCGGGCGAGACGCGCGAGATCGTCGTCGACAAGGACGACGGCGTGCGGCCCGGTGTGACGGCCGAGTCACTCGGCAAGATCAAGGCCAGCTTCGCCAAGGACGGCAGCATCCACGCCGGCAACGCCAGCCAGATCAGCGACGGTGCCGCCGCCGTGCTGCTGATGAAGCGGTCCACGGCCGAGCGCCTCGGCCAGCAGATCCTGGGCAAGTTCGTCGCCGCCAGCATCGCCGGCGTGCCGCCGCTGCTCATGGGTATCGGCCCCTGGAAGGCCATCCCCAAGGTCTTCGAGCTGACGGGCATCACCAAGGACGACGTCGACATCTTCGAGATCAACGAAGCCTTTGCCAGCCAGTGCCTGTGGTGCGCCAACGAGCTGGGCATCCCCGCCGAGAAGATCAACCCCAAGGGCGGCGCCATCGCCTTCGGCCACCCCCTCGGCTGCACCGGCGCGAGGCAGGTCTCGACGCTGCTGTATGAGTTGAGGAGGAGGGGTCAGAAGGTCGGCGTCACGTCCATGTGCATTGGCACCGGCATGGGTATGGCGGCTGTCTGGGTGGCTGAGTAAATACAAATTGTACCATATTTTTGTTTGTACGAATAGGATAGGTAGTCCAAGCGGTTCTGGCCCTTCATTTCGCCCAATATCTGTCAGTTATAAGGACGATGCACATGATAATTGCTGCCCCCTCAAACCGCGTCTGGCCTTGCCACCCGGTGCAAGTTGGTTTTCCAAATTCATCTGAAGGTTGTAGCCAGACATTGAAATTCCATCTCAAGGACCGCCATCTTATTGAAATACTCTCTTGGCATTTGAACAAGTCGTCAACACCGCCCTTGCCTCAATTACCATCTTGTCGAGGGAAGGAGGACTACTTGGATAAACACTCCTGGAAGGCGCGACTGCCAAATGAAAAAGCAGTGCATTTTAGACTTGGCCAGGTCACACCGACCAGCCTGATTTCCATTTCAAGTCATTAGGTAGGTAGAGGAAAGAATACGGAAATAGTAGGTGGAATCCATTTTGATAGGGGTGGCTATTTATGTTGTTCACTGGGCTCCCTCCCTCCGTATTGCCATGGGGACGCAGGAGCAACCACTTGACAAGGCCAGTCCAAATGATGGATGGCATCGCCATGGGACCCAACAACACCTTGGATTTCTGCTTGTCAATCTGGAGCTCAGACGAACGGAACTTGAAGGCAACGCATTGCCACACCTTTACCACACAAGGGCTTAGCTCTAGATCCCACGTACTGCGCCAGGTAAGATAAGCATAGTATCTATCCGTATGATATATGAATGCACATGCATTCCCCTGTGTGCCATTCCAGAGCACCAAAGTATGCAGTCTAGGCATCTGAAGTGCGGCAACGCTAGCACTACATAGCAGAGTATAAGTTTCTGACGAGTTCCCGTGGATTGTAGGAGTTGCGATGTTAGCGCCAGAGACTGTAGGTGCTGCCAAGTCCAGGTTCGCGTACAAGCTTGGAAGAAATCCTCGGCATTGACCATATATGAGATAGAAAGCTGTTCAAAGTCGAGACTTCTAAAGGCAAAGGCCGCACCAATTCTAGGATCCACGATGCGGGTAGTATCTACCAGCAGGATTCGGGATTGGCTAGCGCTGTAGCATGATTGTCGTTGAAATCTTCAAATACTGACAATCTCTTAAGAGTTTTGGGAAGATGTTTTTGAACCAAGAGTAGGAAGTCTGCAATACAGACGTTAGTGGTTGAATATGTAAGGCAAGAAATGCTGTAGATATAAACACATACGTTGGTCAATTGCCCTTCTCCACCAGCTTTTCCATGTTCGTAGATCATATGTTCCAATCGACAAAGCTTGTCTAAGATAAGCTGCAGTGCCTGGCGGTGAAGCAAACGACGGAGTTGTCGACGTATAATAAAGCATGTAATTGTGTGAACTCGAGGAAGTTCCTCTCGAAAGTGTAGGCTAATGATTCCGAAAGCCGTAGTATAGCTGGCTTTGGAGGAGTCACAACCTGCTGGCCATTGCTCCAGCCATGCTTTGGGTCATGCCACCGAGAGCAAAAGTCGCCAACTTCCTGTAGAGAAGTTGCAGCTTCATCATCACCCTCGTTGTCAGAGACGAAAATAAAGTTCTTGAACTAGTGTTTCGAGTCGCTGGGAGAGTGCGCGTTAAGCTCCAACGTCAAGGCATTCGCTGGCTTGCAGGTGCTGAGAATAGAGAACAGCTTCCAGATTCCGTCTCTAATGACAGAGTTATTCGATAATGTCCAGGGATCTGACTCTTCCAAGTCACAACACCGGCATGTATATTTTCGTAGCTCAATATCGAGCTGAATATAGCGAACGAGCTCCCTCTGCCAAATGACTGTGCATTGAGATTCATCAAGGCAAGATACTTGTAGCTTCAGCTGGTGGAAGTTCTCTTCTCGATAAAAAGCTGCCATTCTTTGCAGACAGATGCCAAAGAAGCCCAGCCACGATATTTCTGATGCGTAATTGCCTCTAAGATCATGAGGCGAATCTCTGCGGGCAGAAACATCCAGGATGTGATTCTTGTTTTTATCGAGTTGCGAAGTATCATTCCATGGCGTCTGGTAATGCTGCGCCTCTCTGCCATGATAGAGGGTTGGTGTTTGGCGGCGAAAGAGAAGGGAGATATCAAGATGTGATATGTTGAAAATGGGCAACGCAAAGATGAAAAACAATACTATGTGAAATTTAATCAGAAAGCATTCTAGATATAGTAGGCTTGCGGGCGACTGAGCTAGGCGTTGAGGGCTGCACTCACCTTGTATGTGTGTGTAGGTGTGCGCGCGCAAGTGGATTGGGTGATTGATGCCTTGGCGAGTGGGCTGACGCTGGCAGGCACGGCAGGGAAGAGGTCCTTGCCCCCAACAATCTGAGTTTCCGGCGCTTTTGAGGGTTCGCAAGGGACGGTTTTCTGCCACCAAAAGCAACAGTATCTTGGCTCTTCTAAGCAGACAGACGACTTTTATGCCCAAAATCCCATCCTTTTTAAACAGAATCACCAGCCTTCCTACCCGCCACCGTGACGCAACAATGCTCTGGGCCAAGCTCCCCCTCCTCCTGCACACCATAATCGAGACAGCCGCAGCCCTCTCCTTCATCTGCAAGCCCGAAGCACAGCTGCCGGCCGCCTCGGACGACGCGAGGCTCATCCTCCAGAGTTACGGCGGCCTGCTCCTGTCCTCCAACATCCTCTGCGTCCTCTTCCTCGCCCGCCCGGGCCTCGACTCCGCCACCGGCCTGGTCGCCCTCGGCGTGGCGTCGTACCACCTGTGGCCCGCGCGGAGGGCGTTCGTGAGGATCCACCGCGGGATCGGGATTGGGGCCGAGCAACGGCGGCAGACGCGGGTCCTGGGCGGCCCGTCGTTTCATTTTGTTGTGCATGTTGTGTGTTTCGTTGCTCTTATGGGGACCGGCTTGGTTGGGCTGCGGAGCGCATGACCCTGGCATTTTAAGGGCGGCAAATATGAATATATAGATAGTTAAGTATATATCCTAGGAGCCATGTATATATACACCAACACCGAGCTGGGGGAGCGTCTCGTCAACCCGCTCAGCTTCCAAACAGCCTCAGGCTCTCATCCTGGGCGCCCGCGCCACCCATCTCCTCATCCGACTCCTCGCCCTCCTTAAGCTCCATCTTCTGGCCAAACAGCGTGCCGAAGAAGCGATCAATGGCATCCTGCTCCCAGCTCCTGCGATCCTCGGCGGCCGTGAAGTTCTGCAGCTTCTCGTGGACGGTGTGGCGCAGCTTCCGGCCCTTGCTGGCCTTCCTGTCGACCTGCTTCCTCGTCTTGGCCTCCTTGAGCGCCGCCCACCGGACCGTAGGCCCGCCGCCCCCGCCGGACGCCGAGTCCATGGTCCGCTGGTCGACGAGCTCCTTGAGCAGCAGCTGGTAGAAGTCTGCGTCGTCGTAGATCGCGGCGTCCTCGGCGACCTTCTTCGCCGCCTGGGCGGGTGCGCACGAGCGGGGGGTCCGCGTGCGCTTGACTAGCCGGTCCGTGCTGAGGAGCTGATCGTCGAGGATAGAGACTAGGGACTGTGATGCTGCCGGGCCGAGCCTTCTGGTGGTTGCGGTAGCGATGGTGCTTCGCACCTTGGCTGACCACTTGTCCAAGACCTTCCGTCGATGTGCGAGGGCAAGCTCCTCCGTTTCTTCCATGCACTCCCAGATAGTCTGGTCTGCCGACTCGACATCGACGTCTCGCTTCCGCTTCTGGCCAACCTTCGCCTTGGCCGATTCTGGCAGCAAGGTCCGCCGGAAACCGTCGATGGAGCTCCATAGCTTGATGGCCGCTTCCTCAGCGGCTTCATATGGTTCCTTCCCATCGGCGAGCTCCTCCTCGTCGACCACATTGAACGAGTTCGCGGCCACGAGGGCCTTTTGCAGACGGATGCGGATGTTCAGGAGCGAGTCAAACGCACGGCGCTGCTCACGAACCGCAGCGCCTTTCTCAGCGTCCGCCTTCGCAGCCTTTGACATGGTCGTCAGGATGCTCTTCTGGCCTTCGCTCATGATCTTGCGCAGCTCGGCTCTCTCATCGTCAGAATCCCCATCACCATTGTCCTCACTGGCATCATCCTCCGATCCGTCCTCCTGATCGTCATCCTCGTCGTCGTCGTCATCCACGCTCTCGCCTTCACTGTCCTCACCCTCACCCTCATCAGAGAGACGCGCGCCATTCCGATACACCTCGGGGCCCTCATCATCAGAAGACACTGAGGCGCCATCCCCAGACGGCCGGCCATCCTCGCCCTCCCCATCCGACGACGGAAAGAAATCGGCGGCCGTCTTCCTCGTCGAGCGCTTCCCGTTCACGGCTCGCGGCTGCGAGCTCCCCCTAAACACAAAGTCCTTGAACCGCTCGGCATCGCTCTCGCCGAGAGCATTATCGCTCTCGATCTCGGCGTCCTCACCCTCGGGGTCCTGGTCGGCCTCCAGATCCGCCTCGTCCGGGTCGTCGAAGTGCTCGGACCCGGATTCGCCTTCTTCGCCGTCGTCGTCGTCGTCATCCGAAGCCTCGTCATCCTCCTCTTCGCCGTCGCTCTCCTCGAGCGCGGCGCGGCTCACCCGAGTCCCGCGGTACTGCGGCCCTAGGGCCTCCTCGTCCTTGTGGCGGAGCTTGCTCGTCCTGCCGAGATGATGTCAGCTCACAGAACTAGCGCGATGGCCTCCCGGGGGGGGGGGGGATTGCACATACCCGACCGAGATGTAATGTTCTGTTCCCGCAAACTCATCCTCGCTCTCGCCGCTCTCGCTGGCGTTTAGATGGGTGGCTTGAGAGGCATCGCCTTCGGGATCGTAATCTGGTTGTTTTCTCGTCAGCTTTGCGCTCGGGTCGGTAATGGGGCTGACACTGCATATGTACCCTTCACCGGCCGCTCCTCCAGGTCTGCGAGCCTCTTGCTACTGGGTTTTCCCGGCGCCATGGCTGATCTTTGGGAATAAAAAAGGTGTAGAGAATGCCCCACCCGAAAATTTGGAGATGCGGATATGGGGACTGGAAATTTTAGCGGTGAAATGAGGCAGAATAGGTGGCTCTGTTAGTGCCGCTGCGTCCATCCGTAGTCAAGGATAGCACTGCTATCTATATTCATATAACCGCATGCTATGCAATTACAGATTTCTATGGAACCCAGTGTCATTGAAAGAACATATCAAGCATCTACCTGTATTTCAAGTTTGCAGTCAAGCCTTATTGGTTAATTAGCCAGTTACTCCTCACGGCGGATCATCTGAAAACTCGGGTGTGAAAGGGTGGACTTTTTGACATGAGACTTAGCCCCCGATGTCTGTCCCGAGTATCACCAATCTTGCGCCATGAGAATCCCCTGGTTCGTGCTCTCAACACCCCGACGAAGCTACCGGGCAGTAATAACTAACCCCAATCTCAGGGCCTTCCCCGGACGGGGTCCATCCCGCGCATGCAGCGTGGCCTCCCGGAGAAGCGCGCCATCCGGGATGTCCGCAAGGTGATCGCCGTATCTTCGGCCAAGGGGGGTGTTGGGAAGAGCACAGTCGCCGGTCAGCCATCCTGTCTTTTGTGTTCCGACTCCATACAGATACCCGGTCTTCCATCGCATGGAACACGGGGAGTGGGTAAAGGGGGGAGACATTCGGTTTGCTGACACGCGCACAGCAAATCTATCACTCGCGTTTGCACGGTTGGGATACCGGTCCGGCATACTAGACACCGATATATTCGGTCCCTCCATACCGACGCTCTTCAGCCTGTCCGAAGAGCCGAGGCTATCGTCAAGTATGTCTGATCCCGCAGTTAGCTGCAAGTGAGGACCCCAGACGCTGACCCGCACGAACCCTTAGACAACCAGCTACTCCCCCTCTCCAACTACGGCGTCAAGACCATGTCGATGGGTTACCTCGTCGGCGAGGACGCCCCCGTGGTGTGGCGGGGACTGATGGTGATGAAGGCGCTGCAACAGCTCCTGCACGAAGTCGACTGGGGCGGTCTCGACATCCTCGTCCTGGACCTACCCCCGGGGACGGGAGACACACAACTAAGCGTGACGCAGCAGATCATCCTCGACGGTAAGCCTCCCCAACCCCCTACCTATCCATCATACCCTACCTATCTCCCACCAACCCCAGACCTGACCAACTAACAAACCCCCCCCAGGCTCCATAATCGTCACAACCCCGCACACCCTCTCCGTCAAAGACGCCGTCAAGGGCATCAACATGTTCCGCAAGGTCGACGTCCCCATCCTGGGCCTCGTGCAGAACATGTCGCTGTTCCGGTGCCCCTGCTGCGACCACCCGTCGTCCGTCTTCGGCTCCGGCGACCGCGTCCGCGCCGCCTGCGCCGACCACGGCATCGACCTGCTCGCCGACGTGCCTCTGCACCAGGTTATCGCCGATGACGCGCAGGGCGGGAGGCCCACCGTCGTCTCCGAGCCGGGGAGCGAGAGGGCAGAGGTGTTTATGGGCATTGCAAGGGCTGTGGGGGCCAAGATTGGGTTGTGAGGGGGGGGCCGCCCCGGGGAGGAGTTGAGAGGGTGGGGAGGATGGCTTGTACGGTTATGGGAGATGTTGCGGGTGGAGGAGTGTATCATTAGGCTAGCGATAGAGGCATACGCTTCGGACCCAGGGAGTGCAAAACATTGTGTATACAGAGTAATTTATGACCTTTACTACGCGAGATGGGGCTGCTGAAGATTACGGTTGTAAAACACGTAACAATTCCTGTCCGTCTATTCTATATAAAAGCGACGGCGGGATTTACAGCTTCGAAGGTAGATGTTATGGCCATCAATATTCCCAGGGAATGTGCTCCTTATTCATCGGTATCTATGCTACGAGTTGGAGGCTGTGACCTGCCTTGCAAATGCTGCAAGTCCTACATGGCCATAAGTTGCCTCGGCTAGACGTCGTAAAGAACAGTTGAGTCTGGAGATTGACAGGGGAAGAGTAAAATTTGCACTTAAACATTAAAAACATGATCGCCACGACCGGAAGAGGGCGGCGACCATCCGAGTTGAAAGTCAAGTCGCCGAAGTGGAATCACGAACGAATGTCTGCTCGAGTTCAAACTTAGCGATTTCCGCACGCCACGTAAGGGATGGATGGGTATCTCATTGATGCAAAGCCACGTCCCCAAATCCATCCGTGTCGATCGACGACCCAACAGTGACAAGCATGCCTGACAGCCCTGCCTGACCCCCTAAGGGCTGATATGCCGAGGTGAGTGGAGGGCGTGAGCCGGGTAATGGCCCAGGCTCGTTTCGGGAGCCAAAAAAAAAGACCATGTTAGCCTCCATATGAACAATGTGAGATCGAGGTTACCAAGGGTCCGAGAAACCAGAAAGCTAGACTCTTCCGTAACGCCAACCCTGATGACCACCCCAGACCAAGACCTCTACCAGATACCGAATGCCAAACCAGTTCGACCGTTCCCCAGCAGGTTGGGGCCGCAAAGTCGTGTACTATGAAAGAGAGTCCAAATCAGTCCAGATCCTCATTCGGCTGGTAGACGTGACGGCTGCGGGTAGGATCCTTGCGCATGGCCTGACCGGAGCCAGTGAAACCGACTACACCACGAGAAAATTAGTAAACCTGGACCACACGCTGCGAGATAATTGTCAAAAAAACGTACCGCGTCCATGCACACCGTCCGGAGTGCGGAACATGCTATCCTTCTTCTTGCTCTTCCCCAGCTTTCCCTTGGCGTTGAACTCCTGCCACTTGCTCTTGCCGGCCTCGAGTTCCTTGGTCGCCTTGATCTTCTTGAACTTCTTTGCCGGCTTCTCCTCGCCGGCCTGGTCGCCGGCCTTGTTGGCCTGCTGGGCCTGCGGGTAGAGGCTAGCCGCCGCGGAGAGCACGACGCCGCTGCTACCGCCGGCTGATGACGCCGGGTGGCCCGGGGTGCCGGAGGGACTGGCGCCGGCGCCCGTGGTCGTGGGAGAGTACGTGATGGGCGCCGCCGAGGAGTTGTTGCCAGGAGCCGCCGAGCCATCAGCCTTGCGCTTCTGAGCCGTGGGGCGGATGTCCTTAGCACGCAATGTCTCGACGGTGTCATAGCTCTTGAACTTGACCGTGTAGATTGGGTTTGTGGACGAACCAGTCACCGAGGTGATGCGGGCGGGATAGAATCCCCTGTCGCCCGAGAGCCACTTCGCCGTGACATTGTCGTTGACTTGGTAGACAACGGCAACCTCGGGCTCCTTCTCTTCCACCGGTGCTGCCGCTGCCGCTGCCTTCTTATAGGCGGGATGGTTCTCTCGAGACCATTTCTCTTCGGCCGGTGGCGGCGGGGTGGGGGTGGCCTTCGCAGCTGGCTTAGCTGGTTCCTGCGCGGGCTTGAGTTCGGCAAGGGAGTCGTCGAGCAACTTAATCATCTGGTCAAGTTCATCTTTGAGACTGAGGAGCTCGGCATTTCCGGGGTCATCTTTGAGGGAGGCGGAAACGATCTCAATCTGTTTGACAGAGTTAATGAAATGACATTTGACGGCAAATCGGCAGGGTCAGCATGGCCGGGGGCGTCTTACCTGCTCCTCGTACTGCTTCCGCTCTTCCTCGAGTTGGGCACTCATAGTACAGAAACAAGGGGATTTTTTTTTTTTTACTGTGACGGAGTGTTGCTGGTTTCTGTTCGGACAATAATGGATCGATGTTAGAGTGAGGTGAAGGAGAGTTCAAGACGTGCCGCCGAACGTTTGCTGTCGAGATGCGACGGGACGGGATGGAGGCGAGGAAAAGTGGATTTAATGGATTTGGCAGGGAAGAGGTGGTACATGGAATACCGTCGACCCCACCAAACAACCTCATAAACTGCCTACAACGGTTAGTCCGATAAGTCGCAAGTTATCTAGGTAGGTTCACTTCACAGCTTCAACACCAAAGCCTTGCATCTCAGTGACAACTTCATGTCATTATATCTCGACAAAGAGGCAACTAATTTATGTAAAGCCTCATATTCTAATACGCCTTGTGCGTCTATCCGGCCTGAAAGAAAACGCCATCATCATCATCATAATCCTTCTTAGCCCTCCCAGGTGTTGAGCCCTGTAATGCCCCATTGTAGAAAAAAAGAAGGTGGACAGCTTTTCCAGCATCTAATAAGTCAACGCCAGCCTGTAGAAAGAAAGATCGTAGCAGTCATACCGGACCACGCCTTGCCAATGGCCTATCCAGGGTGCTCTGCTCACAGCTCGTCGTCATCACAAATAGCTCTCTGTTGTTGTTGCCTTTAACCTTCGTAGGGGATGTCGATATCTTCCCAGTCCAGCTCAGATCCCTATTCCTGGCTGGCACTCAGATCCATGTTCTTGTCCCACAAGTTACGGAGGAGTGCCATTGTCTGGGCATCCTCTCCTCTGTCAGCCAGGCTGGCCACGCTCAGCCTCCTCGAGTCCGGCCGTCTGCCTGCAGCCTCGTCGAGATCCATGCTCGGCCGGATGCTGCTCGAGCCGGTTGCCGTATGACCTCTTCGCGGTGTGCTGGGCCTCTTAGAGATCTGGGCGCTGATGAGGCCGGCCACAGTGGGATCGCGGAGCTCCCGCTCGTTCAGGTTCTGCAGCTGTGCATGTCGAAGGCCGCCGTATTCCGAACCGCGTCTCGAATGGGGCCCAACGTTGGGAACACTAGGGCTGCCAGGTTTAGGGATGCGCCGCGCCTTGTCGACTCCCGGCAACTGTGTCAGGCGATTTATTGACCTGGCAATGGGGTTCTGATACCGACGGACGACCAGGTACTCCATCCCCGTCCTCTCCATCAGTTTGCCCAATCTCGGGTCCCGAGCCTCGAAACCTGATCCACCAACCAGCGGACCTGCTGCTGAAGCCACGCCAGCCAGCCCCATGCCCATGCCGGGGTGGTGATGAGAAGGCTCCAGGCTGGAGCTCGCTCTCTGGAGGTCCAACTTCTGCTGCGTCCGGTTCATCTCTCCACGAGACACGGTGTATCCCCCGGTGCGCCTGCTACGGGCACCGCCCGCTAGCCCACTGGGCTTCCCATCGCCGCCGTCAGTCAAGGTCGACTCGTCTTCTTCCAGTCGCACCTGTGCGCGAATCAGATCCTGTTGCTTCTGCTTCTGCACCTGTGCCAAATTCCCCGTGGACTGCGGTCGTCGCGGTCCGCCATCGGCTCTGATGTATGCCGCGCGCGAGAGGCCACCGCGGTTCGCCTCGACCAAGAATGAGTCGCCGGTCGCACCCGAGCCGGATCCTTGGCTGTTGTTTGTGACGAAGCGCGACGTTAGCTCCTCCTTGCCACTGCTACCCGGTCGCATCAGCAATGGCATTCGCGGAGTGCCAGACAGTGTCGATGTAGTGTCCCGGCTGCCGCCAGAGTCCGGGGAGTGCTGCCGAGAAGACGAAGGGTGTACCGAGACGTTTTCGGCCGACATCTTGGGGGGGACGCCGCCCAGTGAGGGATTTCGTTGGAGGAGGCGCGACGTAAGGTATTGTTGGTGGTTCGCCGCCCGTCGATCGAGGCTATGAGCTACGCTATTTGTGCCACTAGACTGACCATTCTCGGTCGCGAATTGATGGCTCGGAGCAGGCGAGGAGTGAGGACGGGAGCTGTCTCTACTCGCGGGGTGTTCCACTGACGACTGGCCGCCGCTCACAACCGAAGTGCGCCTGGAAAGCAAAGGCGAAGCAGACGTGCTGGCGTCAACCCACTCGTCCTCCTGTCCGTCTTGGCCGTCTTCCGCTTCGTCGCCGAGGTTGAAATGGACGTTTGCGGACTTCAGCTTGTGAACGGCAGGATTCGAGAGCGATCGTTTGAGGTTCGCTGACGATTTGCTCTTCTTGCCAATGTCGACCTTGGATCGGCTATACTTGAGGTTTGTGTGGGACGAGTTCTTGCTCAGATTCGTCGCAGACAGTTTCCGAGACAGGTCTACGTCTGAGGTTACGCGACGGTGCGTTGATCCGAATTGGGAGCCAATCCCACGCTCTGGTGATGGCGATGCTTGTCGGCGATTCAATTTGCTGGACGAGGTCGAGGCATGGTGCTTGTGGATAATTTTGGAAGAGGGGACTCGGGCGTGAAATCGTCCTCCGGTACCTCCACCAACGACGTGCTTCTGAACCCTTGGGCGGTACGCATTTTGCTGCTGCTGTGCCTGATCGCTCGCCTGGGAGTCGCTGCCATGCTGGCTGAGTGGGGGTCGTTTTGATTGGCCCGTTTGAGCTGCTTCGCCGTCCCCGTTTTCCATCATTTCTTGTGTCTCCCATTCAGCCTCTTGCGCCATTCTTTCCTCCTTCTCTCCTCCGTGGGGGGCTTGAGTCAGGGTCAGCTCAGGCAGTGGCTTCCTCGGCGCTGACTAGGAAGCGGATGGATCTGCGAGGATATGTATCTATGAGGAAATGGTTCGGTGTGACCCGAGTCGGTCAATGGCTGGCAGGTCTGGAAGTCGATTGGACAAGAGCGGTGGTGCCGTGTCTGCCGCAGTAGCAACTTGCTTTTTCTGCTGCCGCTGACAGGGACAGCTGCGGGATGTAGAAGAATGCAAGACTGTGATGTGTGATTAACCCACTGACAGATTGGCAGGGCAGTGAGAGACGATGGGATCACATCAAGTCAAAGAACTAGCTAGATAAGAAGGTAGAGTAATGAACCTAAACACAAGCTTCGGTGTGGAAATGGAAGCCCAGTGATTGGCCATGTTTCCAATTGGAAGTGCACGTGACATCCATTGTACTGCACTATTCACTACTGACTCACTAATACCATAACTTTAAACTGTCGTATGGAATCCATTGAGCACCAATAAACCTTTGCCCCCCAAGCGTGGGCAAATTAAACTTGTGGCTTCGCCAGCCTTCAGCCTATTACTGCCTAGCTCTCTCCTTACTACCATGACTTCCAAGATGCAAAGGAAACCACAGAGCCTTAAAATGAATCCAGAAGGTTGAATGAAAGTGTGCGGAGAGTATAATATCACTAGTGCTCAATTAAGTAGGTAAGACAATAAGACATCATTGCCTCCATGGTTGAGGAGCCTCCATTGTCTCAGTTGACGGGACACTCAGGCAGTGAAGGTGTTGATGCAGAATATGGTTACCTCTAAAACCCTTCGATATGGCTTCCCACCCCCTTCTTCTTGGCAAGCTCGATTACTTTCAGTCCAACCGTAAGATCCATCAGCCCGAGGCCCACGCTCTTATAGATTACATTCCCCTCCTGGAGCCACCGCGCAAAACGGTTATCTTTTCGTTTCTGCCTGTCAGTAGAGCTACGGCTCGAGTTACTGCGATGGAGCGAGAAGTGGCCACTTTCCCTGCGGCTGGGGGAAGGCGTCCTGCTCGAGGATGGTGCCCCTTCGGAGCTGAACACGCTGGACATTGCGGAGGCGGTGCCGCTCGGACTGAGGTCGAATTTCTCGAGCTCGGCAGAGGGGACGGACGGGAAGCTAGCCACGCTGCCGGTCTCGGCCTCTTCGTCCTCGGCCACGGCGCTCTTATGGATCATGACGAGCTCGCCGAGCCTGTGCGAGTTAGTAACGTGAAGCTAGTTGGTTCTACATGTCACCGGCCACTTACTCGACCAGCTGCGTCGGTTCCAGACGAGCCTCGATGATCTCCCCAGCTTCTTTGAGCGCGCCATCAAGGGTGTCGACCACAATAACCCCGCCCTCCATCGCGTGCTTATGGTAATGATGGTGGCCCTTCTCATGGGTCCTCGTCGCCTGCCTCAGAAGATCGATCGGCAGCTCGTGCATCTGCGGCGTGTAGCTCCCAATAGCCACCACCAATCGCCCCTTCCGGCGCCCCTCGCGGCTGGTCAGGATGGCCGCCTCGAACAGCGGCACCGTCGACGGTGTGCAGCAGAAGACGACGTCGGCGGCGCGCAGCTGCTCCTTGAGCAGGCGCGGGTACTCGCCATAGCCCGGCGTCAGGATCCCGAACTGCGCCTCCTCCCAGCCCTCCCGCCGCTTGGCCGCCCTCGGCGCCCCGTAGAACCGCGCCAGGATCGCCCGGCAGCTGTCGCCGAACCGGTGGTTGATGATGTTGACCTGCCGGATCGTCGAGCCCCGGAGGAGGAGCGCGAGGCGCACGTGCCAGTACGCCTGCTCGCCGCACCCGAAGACGGTGACGGTGCGCACGGTGTTGCGGCGGATGAGGAGGCAGGCGGACGCCAGGGCCGTGCGGAAGGCCGTCAGGGTGCTGGCGTGCAGGATGCCCGTTGGACGGCCGTCGGGGGCGAAGAGGGTGATGGCTCCGGTTGGGCGTATGATGGGCAGCTGAGGGTCGACACTCTTCTGGCCGCCTGCGGAAGATAGGGTGATGACTGGACGCGATGGTTAGTTATCACGGGTGTTTTTGTTGATCTTCTAAGTGGGGGATATATTTGTAAACATACCCTTGACTCCATGGCCAGCAGTGCTACAGGACGGCATGAACAGGGTCGTAGCCCCTGTGGTGGGCGAACGTACCGACGTGCGGTGGGGTTGATGTATCAAGTTATCATCTATGGATTGGGTGTTGGTCGAGTACTGGTGCAAAGCAAATCGGAGCTCATTGGTAAAAGACTCGAGCTCGTCCAGGGTCAGATGCTCGAGCAGGATTCGGATCTCATCGTCGGTTAGGACGGAGAGAGGCATGGCGGGCTCTGGAAGCTGATTGCCAAAGGGCAGTTGCAGTTGATCAAGCGTCCTTCGACCGTGTATCGGTTCTTTGCGGGAGGTTTCAAGCTTCTCTTCCGCAGGTATAGTACAATATCAGGACGTTAATCCTATTTCCACATGGTCCCTCGACAGAGCTTGGAAAGTCACGAAGAGATAGTTGCCGAAAAGGAGTTCTGTAGGAATATTAGGATCGTGTTGGTAGTTGAGATTAGATAGCTAGGTAGCTATGCCCTCATTCCAAGCATCATTACATTACGTATCTGTCGCAATCGGCGGGGCGTTCAGAGATTGAGGGGTTGCGATGTGCAGACTGGGCGCCGTTAGACCCGCCATGGGGACCCGCTTATAGGTGGTGTGTCGCGACGAGGCAGGCCGCGGGACGCATCGAACCATTGAATTTGCAGCTTCTATATACCGACTGCTTCGTATACTTGAGGATCAAAGATGCACCAAACTCCGTTTACCAACGCTTTCCCGAATGAAATGCCTAGGAGCGCAGGTCCGCCAATGCCAGCCGCGAATATTTACTTCCTCCGCTCATGCAACCTGTAGGTTTCTCTGGTTCCTGCCTCTTGCCTCTTGTCAATTGGGCAGGGCCAATTGATTAATTGCCCCCTTTCAATTGCCCCTTTAACGGCCCCTTGAACTGCCCTTTTAACTGCCCCTTCAATTGCTCTTCCCAACCCAAACTCCGGGCTGCTGTTACCCTCCTGGGCTCCAATCCCGCCCGCGAAGTCCATCATCGGACGGTCATGGAGGCATTGGCGCCCCGGAAGACCAGCTGAGCGTGGTTGCCGCGAACGACCTCATCGGAGGAGGTGTTGAACCTCTTGCCCTTTGTCCCGATGCTGAGGTCCGTGATGCGGCCCGTGCCGATGTCGAAGACGCAGCCGTGGACCTCGAGGCCGCGGTCGTGGATGGCCTCGAGGATGGTGAAGTTTGACATGAGCACTTCGATGCCGGCGCGCACGTTGAGCTCGACGACGAGCCTCGACCGCCCCCCCTCGTCGCGGATGGCCGCCAGCTCGTCGGCGTGCTTGCGCCGGATCGCCTTGAGCGGCGTGATCCACGTGTCGAGGACGCCGCCGATGCGCGACTCGCCCAGCGCCGCCGCCGCGCCGCCGCAAGACGTGTGCCCGCACAGGATGATGTGCTTGACCTTGAGGTGCACCACCGCGAACTCGATCACCGCAGACGTGTTGATGTCCGTTGCCGAGATGATGTTGGCGATGTTGCGGTGCACAAACACGTCGCCCGGCTGCAGGCCCAGGATCGTTGTCTCGGGGCAGCGAGAGTCGGAGCACCCTAGCCACACTTTTTGCCGGGTTGGGGAAGGTCCGGGTCAGCCAAGACCGCATCGTGGGCGGAAGAGCGCATGTGACACAGGACGGACGGAGAGTGTTGAGGGTCGGTCGGACTTACGGATCTGAGGTGTCTGGCCACTCGCCAGCTTGGAGAAGAAGCTGGGGTTCTGATGCGCCTTGTACCCGGCCCAGGCATTATTTGAGCTCAGCGCATACAGGAATGTATCCTCTGCACAATCGCCACGGGGGTTCAGCATGCACATCCAGGAAACCAATTCCGCCCGAAGTTGGATCGCATTGACTTACTGGTTTGAGACATCTTGAAGGTCTAGCGAGCTTCTCGTCACTGAGGCAGGCCAAAAAAAGAAAAGAAAAGGTCGTTGAGAGAAGCAGAGGAGAGCAGATGAGGGGAGATCCGCGGATATGTATGATGGCGCGTGGCGCGCGATTTTTTGGGTCGGCCGATTTGGGAAGCTCAACCAAACAGATCCCACGATATGGTTCCCCAACAGCTGACCACTCGGGCCTTTGCGGTGGGTGGCTGCCTGCAAGTTAAGCAAGGTATGCCAAGGGTCGGGGTCGTGTCATGCAATTTCCTGGACGAACGGACGACGAGATAAGGAGAACGTGGGGGAGGATAAGGAGACACTGAGAGAATTATACTCGGAGGAGGAGTTATGAAGATGATGGGGCTGTTCGTGAGATATCACACACTCGGGAATCAGGAGATCGACCAGCTTCGAAAAACCCCATCGAGGTTGAGCAGACGCATGGCTCAAATACCTCGCCCCTCGTCAGGGTAAAACGGGGGATTGTGTTATTCGGTCGGGACCTCAACATCCCAAGTTTGGGGTGAAACCCGGAGACTCGTGGATCAGCCCTTCTCCTTGCGGGCTTCGTGTTTTCCCAGTGGTCAGAGCCCCGGCGGCATTGGGGTTCTGCATACCTATGCGGAAGGAGGGGGTGGTAATGGAAGGGGTTTCCGTGGAGGGAAATATGGGAATGCCTCAAACCCAAAACTGCACATCCCCGGGCAGAGATCGCCAACCAGAATCCCGACATTCCCATCTGCACTGTCGTAATTGCCATGTACCCCACGCGAAAGGCCCAGGCCAGACAGGGCCAGGGTACAAACCCCCTAGGCGAACCAGTATGAATCAATGCCCGTTTTGCCCTGACCAATCTTCCCCTGTAGCCGCACACTCCTTGGCTCAATTTACAAGCCAATCTGTCATATAATACAACCCTAGACTGGGGGTGGGGCCTCCGGGTATAGTCCCGCTTCCAACGTCGATCCTTCACTAGTGTCGCATAACTTATAACCTTCTTGCGCCTATCTCGCCAAGGAGATTATCGAGTTCCGGAGACATTGACACACCGCAAAGTTGACGAGACAAGCCGCGTCCCCAGCTCCAACACGAAGGCAAAGTTGAAATGAGACAGATAAGAAGAGGCTGGGACCCCTTGCTTGCGAGGAGTCTGCCAAGTCCCAATCATGTTCGTCGAGCCGTATCGGCAATGGCTCTACAATTGGACCTTCACCGAGGACCCAGGCTTCTGAATGTACCGTACATTTAGTTTGTCAGTGTGGCTGTTGCGAGTGTGACACTACTAGGCATGCAGGAATGCCAATACAAAGACACGGCAACATCAAGTCTCCGCACTCGTCGTGGAAGCAAGCATATCGATTTGACCCTGTCTGGTTTGGTATTTTCCATACGCCGTAATTGCAGCCACGCCTTTTCCCACCATCCCCAATGCATGATGATTTTAGACCTTGAGGGCAGTCTCGGCAGCCTTCTGCTTCTTCTCCATGGCCTTCTGGGCCTTGAAGCCCATGATGCCACCGCCCCACCGTTTCCGGCTCTCCTCGGTCTTCTCCAGGTAGTTGTCCTTGATGGCCGAGACGAGCTTGGACAGCTCGTTCTTGTCCTCGGAGCGGACCTCGGTGACGGCGAGGACAGCAGCGGTCTGAGACACAAAGTCAGCAAGGGGTGCTCGCAGAAGCGCAATCACGGGTGGGCACGAGTACTGACCTTCTTGTGCACGACGGTTCCGAGCCTGGCCTTGCCCTTGATGATGGCGTACGGGACACCCATCTTGCGGCACAGGGCAGGGAGGAAGATGACGAGCTCGATAGGGTCGACATCGTTCGGGATCAGGACGAGCGAGGCCTTCTTGTTCTCAATCAGGCCGACAACGTGGTTGAGACCATACTTGACGACGTAGGGCTTCTTGCTGACATCCTCCTTCTTCTTGCCCTCCTTGACGGCAGTGGCCTCCTTAAGCAGACGCTCCTTCTTCTCGGTCTTGGTCTCAGGCCGGTACTTGTTCAGGAGCTTGAACGCCTGGGCGGCAGTGTTCTTGTCGAGAACACTCTGGAACTGGGCGATTGCGGGCGGGACCTTCAGCCGCATGCTGAGGATCTTCTTCTGGCGCTGGAGTCGGACATACTCGGGCCACTTCACCATGCGCGAGAGGTTGCGTTTCGGCTGGATGTCCTGGCCGATGCCGAAGTTTCGGGTCCGCTTCTCGATCAGAGGGTTCTTTAGACACGTTGTTAGCAGGCGAGAAAACTGCGCGGGAGTGGGCGTATACTACTGACCTTGGGCGCCTTCTTGCCAGCCTTGGACTGGGGGAAGGGGGCCGGGGCGGCCTTCTTGCCGCTCTTGGTAGGAGGCTATCATTGAGGAAAGAAGACATCAGCAAATGAACTCGTTCATTTCCGTCTTCTTTGAACTCTAGAGAGCCGGTCGGGTGGCATTTCAGCACACCAGCGACCAGGCTCAAGCCAGTCTTCACCTGTGCCTCTCGAGGCAAACAGGCGGAACGCGATGCTCGAAAGCACGCATAATTGCGGAAGCGCACGAAGACGCAACCGAATAAAATCCAGTGTTTAATCAGATACTTACGGCCATTGTGATCGAGGTGCTGACGGCTCAGATCCTTGAAGTTGGGTGGTGGTCAGGAAAGTTGTCGAAGAATCACAAGTTGGAAATTTGTGGAATCGGAAAATATGATTAGGGTTGAGAATTGGGTCGGGAAAGCTTCGGTAAAACATCCCAGCCCATGCGTGGTCTGTGCCCGCAGTTATTAGGCCCACCCCAAGGCAGTGAGCAAGAAGTGGATACAGGCTTGAAGGGTCTCTCAGGCTTTCCAACTTTTGACTCAAAAGCTAGCAACATAAGTTGATACTAGAACAGGAATCGCCATAACATCTAAGTCCCGTTTCTTGCGCATCTTCTTTATTTCTTTCGGTGACGGAAACGTCAGAGAATCATCCATCCCTCCCTCATGGCTCCAGTTCCCTGCGCAATCTGCAAGACCCAACGGGCACTCATCAAACGACCCAAGAATCATCAGAAACTCTGCAAGCAATGTTTCATCTCCATATTTGAGGATGAGGTGCACCACACCATCACCTCGTCCAAGCTCTTTTACCCAGGCGAGAAGGTCGCTATAGGGGCCTCCGGGGGCAAAGACTCTACCGTCCTTGCCTCCGTCCTCAAGACCCTCAACGAGCGCCATAAGTATGGACTCGATCTTGTGCTCCTCAGCATTGACGAGGGCATCAAAGGCTACCGGGATGACTCTCTAGAGACCGTCAAGCGGAATGCGGTCCAATATGACATGCCGCTGAAGGTTTTGGGCTACGACGAGCTCTACGGATGGACGATGGACCAGGTCGTCGAGACGATAGGCAAGAAGGGCAATTGCACCTACTGCGGTGTCTTCCGTCGACAGGCCTTGGATCGAGGAGCCAAAATCCTTGGAATACAGCATGTTGTCACAGGCCACAACGCCGATGACGTTGCCGAGACTATCATGATGAACCTCCTCAGGGGCGACTTGCCACGCCTCTCGAGGAGTACGAGCATCGTGACTGGAGACGCTAATTCCGACGTCAAGCGAAGCAAGCCTCTGAAGTATTCGTATGAGAAGGAGATTGTGCTGTACGCCCATCACAAAAAGCTTGATTACTTCTGCACCGAATGCATATACAGTCCAGAGGCTTTCCGGGGAAGCGCAAGGTCCCTGATTAAGGACCTTGAGAAGGTGCGGCCAACGGCTATTTTGGATATTGTGCGGAGCGGCGAAGATATGGCCAGACTCGTCCCTGGCTCCAAGCCCGATCCGTGTCTTTGCAGGGACGGTTCGACGCCGACTGCCCTTCCGGGCGAGGAAGATAATATTGGTGGATGTGGCTCACAGAATGGCCGCAGTTCGGGGGGCGAAATGGACGCGATGGAGAAACAACTGAGAGACAATGAAGCATCCCATGTCCTCGAGGTCGATGTTGCGAAGGAGCTGTCGCAGAGAAAGCAGAAAAGCAGCGGGGGGCCTCGAACGTTACCAATCAGGAATGGCACCGGTAACGCAAAGGTCGTGAAAAAGCAGGTTCTTGGAAACTGTGAGCGGTGCGGTTACATATCCAGCCAGGCATTATGTCAGGCATGCATGCTGTTAGACGGTCTCAACAAGAATAGGCCACAGATACAGATATGAATCTAATCGTTTTGAATTCCGCGTTACCCGCAGGAACAGCAGAACAGTACATGTCAGGTACCAGTCCATGCCTTCCGCGGCAGTCCTCGGTGTTCCCTTTAATATATACATGAGCACTCGGCGTATCGCGTCGTGGTTTATGACATTCGTTTTTCCAACTGCAGCAGCACACAGACATGTCAGTAAAGCACAATGAAGTAGATGCGAAAGTCAACATACCCTCCACGGATTATTCAGCTCGTAGCCCGACGGTGCCCTGGGCGTGTCTGTTTGGCCTCGCAGGAAGCCGGTAAGCCTCCGGTCGCGGTCCATCACTATGGGAGAATGGGATTAGTTGAAGCTCAAAAAGGCGGCTTTATGTTCCGGGAGGGAGGCCGAGGCGTGAGGGCCGGTTCGTACTTTGCTGGTCGGGAGTTAGCAAGAACGAGTTCATCGAGAAGGTAGAATGCTCACCCTATCCCACTGATCTAGCGACCGTCTTGGCCGCTTTCCGCCATTCTGCATGTTCTTGATCTTCGACAATCCGGCTCCTGTGACCCCAAACATCTTCCAGCTGTCAATATCCGCTGTGCAGAAAGGTGCAAGGTCTGAGGTAAGAGCTCACGGCAAGGATGATCCCATAGGGAATCAAGGTCTCGAAGGGAACGGGCATGGCGAGTGAATTGCCGGGTTCCTAGTCAATTGAGTTAGCAAGGATTAGGACATGTTAGACCAAGCTGATGTGTACCTGGCTATTTGTATATTGGGTGGTCTATCGCGCTGGCTGCGGCTCGAGCTGGGAGAGAAGGGCGACTCAATTGACAATTGATGATTGACGATTGGCGGTTCGGTAACCTGAGGCTCTAGATCTAGTCACGTGCGAGCGTGACGCCTGACCCTGCTCTGCTTTATTCTGTTCGTCCCCACCAAGCTATCTGCATCAAGACAAGCCCTCTGAATGTTACTATGTAGGTACCTATATAATTACGGACTGATAAATCTGAACAATAAGTACATGCCAATGTATTGATGAGTTCAATATTCGCCTTGGCTAGGGAGAAGCTCTTCAATCTGGAGGGTTTCCCGGCGAAATTGCAGCGCATATTACTTTTCAGGCCTACGAGCAGCCGCGCCATGAACATCGGTACCGATACTGGGGTTCCAAGGTCATGCTCTAGTCCTTGCTCGCACTTTGTTTTTATGCCTGAAGAGATTGGTTGCATTTCACAAGGGCAATATGTACTATAGGAATGGGTGCTGGATGTTTGGTTGAAAGGGAGATGCTCGTCAGCAGGTGGACTGTTGGCAGGATAGGGATTCTCCTGGCACATGTAGGCCGTACCGAATTCAATTGACTTCGATATTCAACGAGACTGTTTTTATCTGCCGAATGACATCCATCTCGCTTCAAACTAGTAGACGTGCCAATGCCGGTCACGCCTAGCTTCCGTTTCTGGTCATCCGGTAGGAATGTGCATATCGGCAGCATATGCTGAACCGAGGGCCCCATACTATTTATGAGATTACCTCACCTCTTTCCCGCATCCTCTCTGAGAGAGACGATACGATTGAGCACAATCTTGTCCTCCGTACTATCAGTGTCTACGGCCTGCACGAGAGTTCGTTAGAAGGCATCCCGTGGAGACAATAAGGCACCAGAAACTCACAAAGTATGCAACCCGCATGGCTTGGAACCTTACGCTTTCCGGCCCGGCGCCCTTACTTTCCCCCTTAGCCTCTGGCCAGGGGGCTCGACGGCGCACCTCCTCGAATCCAGACTCAACGAGGGCCTCTGGATAGACCGCCTCGCTGTCAGGGTTGATGTCGTTCAGGAAACCCCCCTCGACGGCAGTGGGATCTGGGGATTTGAAAAGCTGGCTGTGAACCCGAACCTCAACTTTCCGCGATCCCTCGGGGACCCATTGGATGTATGTCTTGGGTTTTTTGCCTTGTTTGTCGAAAACAACCTTGATCTCTGTTACCCTACCCGTTGCTCCATCTTTAGAGAAGGAAGTCGCCTTAATAGGGTAAGGAATTTGCAAAAGACCAACTGTCTTTCCTGGTGCGAGGCGGAAGTAGTCCTTGCTATCCACCTCGCGGAAGTCAGAGCGGTCGATATACACTGTCTTGGTGAGGCGTAGTTTATGAGAACCCATCTTGGGATCCTTTGGCGAGAATGGAATATCAAGCTGCTGTCCTTCAAGGTCATCGATGTCCTCGATAACCACGGGCACCGGGTCAAGGACGAGCATAAGACGGGGAACAGTCGTTTCGAGATAACGGCGAATAGACTGTTCGAATCGTAAGGTCTGGATCACGGTCCGCGAGGTCGTGACGCCGAGTTCGTTGATAAAGGAGAGAAGTGCACCTGGGGGCACACCTCGACGACGAATTGCGATCAATGTGTAGAGGCGTGGGTCATCCCAGTCGCGGACAAACTTCCCTTCCACCAGCTTTTTGAGCGCCCTCTTGCTCATGATTGTGCCACTGACATTCAAGCGGCCTAGAAAATCAGCTTTAGTCGCACTCGCCCCCAACTCCCAACCAGGAAGGCGGATAGGGGGTGGTTCAGGGCTCAAAAGAAAGACCCCAAGGGGCAGCAACTCACCATACTCGCGCTGCATTGGCTCGTAGACACCGAGTGTTTTGTTCAGCCATTCGTAGCTCTCTCTCGACATGATGAATTCAGTGGTACACAGACTGTGGGTAATCCCTTCGAAGCTGTCGCAAAGACAATGTGCGAAGTCGTATGTCGGATAAATCCTCCACTGATTCCCAGTGCGGAAGTGCGGCGTTTGGTCCTTCGGAATCCGATATGCCCCAACATCCCACATCTGAGGGTTGCCGCTTGTGATGTCTTGCTTCATGCGCAAAAAGGCAGTCTGTGGCTCGTACTTACCATCGCGCATGTCGCGAAACTTCTGGAGGTTCGTCTCCACATCCTGTTCGGCATGCGCGCAGCGATATCTCGGCGACGAGCCTTCTTCGCCACCACGCTGCAGTTTAATTTCGGCTTCGTTGCAGTGACAGACGTAGCCCTTGCCCAGCTGAATCAGCTTTTCAGCGAGGTCGTATAACTTCTGGAAGTTGTCGCTCGAGTATGTGATCGCATGGGGAGCAAATCCTGGAGAGAAATAAGCGCGCGCCCTCCTGGAATGGTACATAACCTCTTTCAGAACCACCTACCGAGCCACCGGATAGTCTCCTCTATTGCCACAAAGTATTTCTCGTCCTCGGCATCTGGATTGGTGTCGTCAAACCTGGTCTTATGTTAGAACTCTCTGGCTTATCGACACCGGATAAAACGCATACCTGAGAATCTGCTCCGTCGTTAGCCCCGTTGTCCCTGAAGAGCAAGGAAACTACCAACCGTTTTACCCCCATGGTACCTAGCAAATCCGAAGTTGATGGCAATCGCCTTGGCGTGTCCCAAGTGAAGATATCCATTCGGCTCAGGGGGAAATCGAGTCATGACCTCTTCGGCAGGTCTTTCTTTAAACACCTCGGCAAGGAACCCCTGCTTGAACATGGCATCCGGGTCCAGATAGGACTCATCGGCCTTGGGCTTTGGCGGAAGCTTCTCTTTAACAGCGGCAGCGGCTTCTATACCCAAGTTCTGGGCTGCGTCCTGGCTTCGCGCCTGAGCCGCGGCCTTCTTGGCTCGTTTCTGCAGTCGCTTCTTCAGCTCGTTTTTGGAGACCATCTCCCCTGTCTCCTCATCCAGTTGGAGCTTGGCGGCTCCTGCCACGATGTCGTCTGTCATAATCAAAGGGTTTGCCGGTCGGTGGTTTGTAGTTGGACTTGACAGAGCAGCCGCACTGGCAAAATGATGCAGGAGTCACAGATTTGGCTATGGATCATACCTAGGTACCTGGTAGCTCTGATTGGTTGAATCTTGCAGCTTGCTTCAGGACGTCAAAGAGCACCTAGGCACGGATTCACTAGTAAAAGCTTTGACCAATTCGGCGGGGTGAATGGGCTGAGGCAAATGAATGACTAATCCAGTGTACGACCTCCGTCGCTCTCAAGGCAATAGCTATCTGAGCCAACGAGGGGGCTTGACACAGCTTTGCCCGGATCAAAACACGATAGAAGCACATGCGATACGATCTCGACGCGTCTAAGCATCTTCGCTATTTATTTATACCCTTTGGCGAAGGTTATCCCCAGCCTTTGCAACAGCAGCGCGCTCTCAACTTCACGCGCCGGTCCCATCTCTCGCGCAGCCCATCGGTCGCGCTTTCGACATCCGGAAGTTTAAAAAAATAAACCTCCCTTAACCTTATCTGCTTGCTTTGGGGATGCCGCATTCTGTGCTACCATACCTTCCAATCCTTCGCACGCGTAGCCGCTGTTGAGGGAGGGTCTTGACACACTGGTGCCTTTGCGCCTTGGTCTTGAGGCTCTACTTGAGCTGGGAGCAGCACTGTAACAATGGCGGATGCCCAACTCGCGGAGGAGGAGTTGCAGCAGAGTGTCATGGTATCTGAAGGAGACGCCGAGTACGAGACACAGACGACAAACAACCGAATCAATACCGGTGCGCTAGACGAGGACGGGGGAGATGTCGCTAGCGACAGAGATGGGGAGACCGGAGATGATGAGGTATATGCCAGCGTTGAGGAGGATGAGAATCGCCATTCCGAGAACGATAGCCAAGACGACGAAGAAGAAGATGGAGAAGGCGACGGCGACGTCTCCGAAGACGGAGCAGAGGGAGGCGACGACGGCGAATCTGACCGCCACGCTTCCGCTATTCGATCAACCCGAGCAACAATTGAAGACCAAGACGTGATTGATGATGAGGAAGAAGAAGACGAGGGGGTTGGCGCTGTCAAGATAAGACCTGGGGAAACAGACGATGAGGAGGGAGACGAAGGAGAGGAGGGAAGTGAGGCCAGCGCAAGCTTACATTCCAGCAGTAGCAGCGATGAAGAATCCGATGATGTCGCAGAGTGGGATCTTCCAGTTGAGGGTCGAGGAGGAGATGGAGACGAGGACGAAGAGTCGGAGGCTGCAAATGCGAATATCTGCATGTTCTGCAAGCAGGACGAGGATCATGATCCCGCAGAAGAATTTGAGCCGTACCTGGCCTGTTCTCTTTGTGGCGAAAACTGTTTGTCCCCCGCCCTTTCCGGCCCCTGCCCCTGCCCCCCTCTTGTGCATTTTCTCTGACATTGACCAGCCCATCAACAATGTGCGCGGGAAGCAAACGCTTTACGTGGTCAGCAAGGTGCCTTTGTCCCAGCCACCCCCTCCCTGCTCTCTTTGCTGACCTAAATATGCAAGATGCCGGGCCATGGAAATGCCCCCATTGTGGAGGAGAGGCGCCCGAAGAGGCTTCAGACACGAACGAGGCAGACGCCGATGCCACGGTCGACGCCGATATGCCCTCTTCTTCTCGCAGATCAAGCGCACCGAAATTTGCGAGGGACTTGCTCCCGTCGCAGAAAGGTGCCAATAAACCAGATTCCCACTCGGTTTTCAATCAACTAGTCCTCGACGAAGATCCTATGGATGGTTCTCGCGTTCTTCGGAAGCGAAAGACGTCATCGGCGGAGGCGGAGGAGATCATCATGTCCCTTCGGAAACGTCGCAGCAGACACACGGCGGATGAGCATATCGCCGGCGAGGGAGCTAGCGGCAGTGACGGGGGCGCTCGGCCCCATTCGGCGCGCTCATTACGGTTGAAGGTCCCGCAGCAGCCTCCTGCCACGATTTTGAAGAAGACGCGGACGAGTCTTGTCATCAAAATACGGGCGAACACGCCAAAGCTGCGGGAAATCCTTTCCAATAAGTCGAGGGGGGACAGAAAGCGGGCAAGCAGGGGTGGTGCAAGAGGTTCGAGGCCAGGCACTGCCCGCAGTGCAGGGACAGCTGCTGCAGCCTCGCTGCCTGCCCTCCCTCCCTTCGCCGCCCCGAGTTTCTCTCAGCCATTCTATTCCTTCTATGACAAGGAGACAGATGAGCTCAAGGGCAAACCATACGGCGGCATCCTGAACGATGCCGAGGCAGACACGTCAAAGACCCTGCCGACCACTGATGACCGTCGGCGATTCGACGAGGCCAAACAGAAGGCCGAGGAAGAATGGAGACAACGGCTCCTAGCAATGCAGGCTGAGATTCAGGTGCCTGCGAAGAAATCTAAGAAAACTTCGGGCCCTGCAAGCCAGATTGAGTGTATCGAGTTCGGCGGCTGGGAGATCGACACCTGGTACGCAGCGCCCTATCCCGAAGAGTACAGCAGGAACCGGGTGCTATACATTTGCGAGTTCTGCCTTAAGTACATGAACTCGGACTACGTGGCGTGGCGGCACAAGCTCAAATGCCCGGCCAAACACCCACCCGGAGACGAGATATATCGGCACGAATCTGTTTCCGTGTTCGAGGTCGACGGGCGTCGTAACCCAGTCTACTGCCAGAACCTGTGTCTTCTTGCGAAACTCTTCCTGGGTTCCAAGACGCTCTATTATGATGTAGAGCCTTTTCTCTTCTACGTCCTTTGCGAGTACGACGACTTGGGTTATCACTTTGTCGGCTACTTCTCCAAAGAGAAGCGCGCGAGTAGCCAGAACAACGTCTCTTGCATTCTAACTCTACCAATCCACCAGCGCAAAGGCTACGGCAACCTTCTGATTGACTTCTCATATCTCCTCACGAGGGTCGAGGAGAAGACGGGCTCGCCCGAGAAGCCACTTTCCGACATGGGCCTTGTGTCCTATCGCAATTATTGGCGCTTGGTCATGTGTCGATACCTCCTGGGCCACGTTCCAGAAGACAAGTCACAGAAACGGGGTCTCAGCATTAAGCAGATATCCGACGACACCGGTTTCACGGCAGACGACGTTGTATCGGCTCTTGAGGGGCTGCGGTGCTTGGTCCGGGATCCGCAAACAAGGCTCTACGCTTTCCGCGTCGATCTCGACTATTGTCGCGCGTACGTGGCGAAATGGGAGTCGAAGAAATATGTTCAGCTCAAGCCGAGCGCCTTGACATGGACCCCGTACGTAATGGGCCGGAGCAACGCGGCCAACTTTGAGCTTGGGCCGGCGCTCAATGCGATTGCGCCTCGCGAAGAAGAAGGCGGCCCCAAGCCCGTAGCAGCCGATGTCGAGGTCATTACCAACGGCGACAGTCGTGTTGCCCAACCTACCACAAACGGTGTCGACCGTGACCATGACGAGAAGCCGGAGATCACCCCTCCTGTCCTCGAGTCTACGGAGCCAGACGAGACCGGACCCGGTACCGATGGCCATCCTTCAGAAGACAGTAAGCCCAACGGCGTGGCTGTCAATGGAGTGGGATCGGCAGTCGGATCCAGGCTTGGCAGCACGGCAACTGGCGCGGACCCCGAACAAGACTGGACGGCACCGTACACAGGCATACCGCCAACTCGGTTCGAAGTATTCCCTCCGGTCTCCGGTACTCGTCGTCTTGACCGGTCTCGCTCAACGGTTGGCCGGCCACCTGGTTTGCGCACAGCTGGTCCAAGAGCAAGGCGCTCAGTTGGAGGTCGGAGGTCGACTTCATCGGTGCCCAAGAGCGCCGTCAAGCGGTCGGGCGGGACTGGCCGTGGTCCCGGCCGTTGGCCCAAGGGGACGAAGAAGAGCGACTACGGAAATGCCGCCAGTGGTCCCGGCTTACCGCCCGCCTGGATCGAGGAGCGCCGCCGAGCTGCGCTTGCCGCTACGCAGAACCCGGACCCCAAGAAGGAGGACGGAGAGGACGCAATGGATACCGTCGAGGTCCAGACGCCTGAGGCCAAGGAGACGAAGTGCGGGCCAGAGAGGAAGAGAGGCGCGTCTAATGATGGGAGTGGCAGCAGGGAGAGGTCCTCGCGACGGTCGAGCAGGGAGAAAGCCAGACACGTTGACGGGGACGTGGAAATGGAAGATGCCGACGACGTCGACAAGTGAGGACGAGTCAAGTGTAGGAACATGGTGTTTACGGGATGGATTGGGAAAGCGTCGGCGCTACTTTTCTATTTCGTTTTTTACCTTTTGCGTGATAATACGGGGGACACATCGAGGCTTAACTTAGATGGCATTCGGGCTTTGGGAACTCGGAGTTTCATCGAGCTGCGAACCTGCGCAGAGCTTCCTTGTACGGATACTTGTCTCTCTGAAGTGCGCGTTCGCTCTACAGCCGAATTGCTATGTACAGTACTTTATTAATAAGCCTTTCTCAATCGGCGAGGAAGCCATCATCACTATGACCCTACCTAACTACCTATGCCCATGTAGCACTGATTCTATCTAGTAAGACAAGTTTGGGAGTCCTGGGCTACGTCACTGGCTACTAAGAACTCCAGAGTTAGTTTATCTGATTAAATATACTACCCGAAAAGGTTTAGCGCTGACTGGGCCGTTTTTAAAGATTCGTCATGGCTTTCGTGGCTTTCGCCAACAGGTCACGGGCAGTGCCACCATGTTGCGGAAAATAAGTTGGTTGTTGGTTGACGGTGAATTAGTGAGCCATCACAAGAGACCCGACGATGATTGAACTGGTTTAGCAAGCCCTACGTTGGCCCTCCTCTGCGCGCACTACACTCATCGACCCATTTCGTTATTGCTCGGCCGTACCCGCCGAAGGTCGGCTGAATCTAATTCCAAGGCCTCCCAAACTAAGCCTGTGGTGGTAGCTCAGAGAAGACAGGAGTCAGCGTTTCTAGCGACCGAGCTCCACCTCTCTCTCCCTCTTTGCATACTCTCACCTCCAAGGTTCTTTCCACTTGGTCCAGTCCATGCGGCAGTCTTTTGCCTGACGGCCGTCTGCAATTATCTCCCTGGTTCAGCGCGTATCGCCCCGTATCGCCCTCCCCCATTCTCAATCCCACTGTCCCAGATCATCGCCTTTTCCAAGGCCCGCGGCTGCTGCACCGCGCCCGACGCTATAGACTCGCTACAACGAGCGCGCCCTTCCCGAAGTCGCATCGCCCTACCCGTCCGCCTTTTGCTTTCACACAGCCGACAAGATGTCCAAGGTCATCAGAAGCGTCAAGAATGTCACCAAGGGCTACTCGAGCGTGCAGATCAAAGTGCGCGAAGGTGGGTTTTGTCCGAATTGCCGCATCGGGCCATCCCCGTTTGGTGACGGCATCATATTCTGACGCGAGATCGCAGCGACGAGCAATGACCCATGGGGGCCGACCGGCACTCAGATGAGCGAGATCGCCCAGCTGACATTTAACTCGTATGTTTCGCTACCCGTCTCCCGGTGCCGCTTGATTTGATGACCGGGCACTCGAGCTCTAACCATGTTATCTTCCGCAGGTCGACCGAGTTCTACGAGATCATGGACATGGTCGACAAGCGTCTCAACGACAAAGGCAAGAACTGGCGACATGTCCTGAAGGCACTCAAGGTGCTGGACTATTGTTTGCACGAGGGCTCCGAGCTTGTGGTTACCTGGGCAAAACAGAACCTGTTTATCATCAAGACGCTGCGCGAGTTTCAGTACATTGACGAGGATGGGAGGGACGTTGGGCAGAATGGTAGGTTTGAGCGGCGAGCTCATGGTAGATCTGCCTACTGACATGTCCTTAGTCCGGGTCGCCTCGAAGGAGTTGACGTCGCTCATCTTGGACGAGGACAGGTTGCGAGCCGAGCGCAGCGATAGAAAGACGTGGAAGTCTCGTGTTACCGGCCTCGAAGAGTTCGCCCCTCAGCACAACGAACCGGTCCAGCCGCGACGTCACCGACCCCGCCCACAAGGCCACGACGAGGAAGATGCCGAATACAAACTTGCCATCGAGGCGAGCAAGTACCAAGAGGAGGAGGATCGTAGGAAGCGCGAGAGCCGAACTACGGTCGTGGACGACGACGATGACCTTGCCAAGGCCATTAAGCTGAGCAAGGAGGAGGAGGAGCGCCGGCGGCGCGAGCTGGAAGACAGCAACGCCAACTCCCTGTTCGACGACGACGGACCTTCCCAGCTCTCCCAACCGCCTCAGCCCACCGGATACAACCAAGGGTATCAGCAAGGCAGCGCCGTCGATTTCTTCGCGAACCCGATCGACCACAGTCAGATGCAGATGCAGCAGCCCACCGGTTACATGGCCAACGCCTATCCTGGATTCCAGACTCAGCCGACAGGTTATCCCAATGGGTACACCAACGGCTTTGGCGCCCAGCCGACCGGATTTGATATGTACGGACAGCAAAACATGCAACAACAGAACATGCAACCGGCCTTCCAACCGCAGCCCACAGGGTTCAACCCATATGCCCAGCAGCAAATCCAGTCTCCCGTTCAGCAAGAGCCAGCTCCCCAGCCTGGCAGCCACAACCCCTGGGCGACACAACAGCAGCAACAGCAATCGGGCCTCAAGCCAATGCCGACGGGGTCCAACAACCCATTCGCCCAGCAGAGCTTCAATAGGCCACAGGCTTTCAAAGTACCCTCGATGCCGAGCCTCGGCAGCTTACCTGAGCAGAAGACCCTTTCTACCTTTAATCAGTCCTCGAACTCGTTCAGCACACCGCAACCGACTGTTCAAGCCCAGCCGCAGAGAGAGTTGAACGAGCATGAAGCGAAGTTGAATTCGCTGCTGGCCGCTGGTGACGGGATGGACACGTTCGGTAACACGGGCAATCTGCGTATACCGTCGCAGCACACGGCCCCGGGAACCTTTGTCAACAGCGCTGGCGCTGGCCTGAACAAGATGACGGCAGACGCGACAGGAAACAACCCATTCATGAGGCAGCAGTTCACCGGCATGCCAACCGTGTCGTATGGGGGCCACCAAATGCCCGCCGCCACTGGTCCGGCAGGCATGAATACCTTCGGGGGTCAGGGGGGAGGTCAGGGGACGAACAATCCTTTTGCTCAACGCCCACAGCAGCAACAGGGCAACCATGGAGATTTGATTCAGTTTTAAGAGTTGGAGCAGCAGACCGTTTTCGGGGGGGGAAGAGGATTCCGTGATTGTTGGGGAGGAAGTTGGGAACTCAGCTGGCACCTCGTTTTTTTTTTGAGGGCGTGCAAGTTGACCTTGACTTGCACAAGGCGTCATGATCCAGGAGCTTTGTCTACCTACGCCCCTTCCTGTCAAATTATCATTGACAATCCATTCTATAGCATGGGGCAGGATGCCATATTTTTGCGTTTGAAATGGCAACCTGAAAAGTGCGTGGGAGATCAGGGGGGTACGAGTCGAAGTGGCTCCGTCCCAGCCCCTAGACTTCTCCAGCATCCAGTAGCTGAATTCACTTACAATGTATCTATTTAAAGATGACTCGAACCTTTAACAATAAGCAGCGTGGATTTTCTTTGCCTGTCATCTCGTGACTGTGACTAGCTACCTTAAGTTCCTAGTCACAAGGCAGGTATTTTACTGTGGTATTCTTTGATGACACTGGGGGAAGCCAGGCTTGTAATCCGTAGTGAATGAAGAGAGCAAGTCCCCGTCACTATTGGATGGGGGACTGTGGAATTATTAAGCTGCTCGTTCTGTCGAATGAAACGCGAGAATTGGCGCTAGGCACGTTCCCCACGTGATCGCGTCCACAGTATCTGGGATGGCAGGGAGGCATAAAGGGCGACTTTGATTGGCTGGGAGCTCTCCCAGCGTCAAGGCCTGAGGCAATACCTACCACGGGTTAGGCGACAAATATTGAACCTTACCACTCTCGTCACCACCAAACTTTCTCCCTCAAAGAACCCGTTCGGAGCCAACCACTCTGGTTCTACGACACCAGTTTGCTGTCTTCTACCACTCATTCTATCTTCTTCGCAAGCATTACAGTCCTCTCGTCCTCCTAGAACGACGAGGGCGACTGTATTTTTTTTCCCTCGCGCACCATATGTTTTTGAACTCGATTTAATCCACGGACCTCACTTTCCACTTCGGCGCCGTACCGAGTGAAGCCTTGCTCGGCGGGCAAGCACACTGCGCTGAGAGAATTTTCTCATTTCCCATCAGATCCGCCTTGGCCACGGTCGCCATCGCGGATTTTTCGACGCGTTCGGCGCGTAACTCACCGCCTTCCGTCGCGACAAACCTCTCACTAGCTCGACGTCAAGAGCACAACATAACCTTGCTCTCCTGACCTCGACCCCGCGCCGCCCTGCGCTGACACGATGTCGTTTGGCGGAAGCTTCGGTGGCTTCGGCCAGAACAAGCCAGCCCAGCCAGCTGGATTCGGTGGATTCGGCACGAATACGAATACCGCTACAGGTTCCGGTACGTTCCTCATGAGTCCTTCCCCAAGATTGAAGCTTGCGTTGAGACAACTAACAAATGTTTAAGGTTTCGGCGCGACCAATACCAATGCTTTTGGAGCCAACACCAATACTGGCGGCACCGGAGGAATGTTTGGAGGCTCAACCGGTGGCTTCGGTGCCAGCACGGGCGGATTCGGCCAGAACACCGGCGGCGCATTTGGCGCGAAACCTGCCTTCGGCGCAGCCACAACCTCGAGCGGTGGAGGTATGTTTGGCTCGACCACAGCAACAGCAGGAAACACGGGCTTTGGTGGCGGGTTCGGCTCGGCCAACACTGCTGCCTCAACGCCATTCGGAGGATCAGCTGGAGGTGGATCATCACTTTTCGGAGCCGGAAACAAACCCGCAGGGTTCGGCACGACGACGACACCTGCCACGGGTGGCTCAATGTTTGGCGGCGCCGGCGGAGCTTTTGGATCTACAAGCGCAGGCGGCTTTGGTGCGGCAAACAACCCCGGCATTGGAGCCAACATTGGCGATCCTCCTGGCACCGCCCAGGTCCCGTTCACGGCAACGATGGAGAAGGAAGTGAACAACCCATCCCAGAGCAACTCGTACCAGAACATTCTCTTCATGGAGCCCTACAAGAAATGGTCGGCGGAGGAGCTGAGACTGGCTGATTACACCCAGGGTCGCCGCCATGGCAACGCCAGTGGTGCAGGTGCGTTCGGTGTGAGCTCTGGCTTTGGAGGCGGATTCGGCGCCAATACACAGCAGAACACTGGTGGGTTTGGAACCGCCGCCGCGGCCCCAGCCACCGGCACAGGCATTTTCGGCGGGGGCCAGCCCGCGAGCACTGGATTTGGGGCCGCCTCGTCCAACACTGGCGGCTTTGGCGGTAGCGGCGGTCTGTTTGGTGCGAACAAGCCGGCTGCAACGGGCGGCCTCTTTGGGAATCCGCAGCAGCCAGCCCAGACTCAGACTGGCGGCGCCTTCGGGGGCGGGTTCGGCAGTACGGCCAACACGCAATCCGCATTCGGGGCCAACACCGGTGCTGCCCAGGGTATGTTCGGGACCAACACAGCCCAGAACAAGCCTAGCGGATTCAGCTTCGGCAACGCAAATGCCACCCCTTCGACCGGATTTGGCGCCACGAATACGCAGGGTGCCTTCGGCGCCAACACAGCCAATGCCAACACGGGGACGGGCATGTTTGGCAACGCGAACCAGCCCAGTACGGGAGGCGGAGTGTTCGGGAATACTGGGCAGCAGAACACGACAGGCGGGTTCGGCGCTGGCACCGGCTTTAGCGCACAGAACCAGACCACGGGAAGTTCATTGTTCGGTAATCAGAATGCTCAGAACAAACCCGGCGGTCTATTCGGCAACACCGGTACTACAACCGCAGGCGGCGGCGCGTTTGGCTCTACTGCAAACACTCAAACCCCCTTCGGGCAGGCGACCAATACCCAGGCACAGGGCGGCAGTCTATTCGGGAACAAGCCGGCAGCCACTGGCGGGGGCATATTTGGCACGAGTACCACCGGTCAAGCAGGAAATACCGGAGGCGGCGGGATTTTTGGCTCCTTGGGTTCCAACACACAGACCCAGCAGCCAGCTCAGTCTTCCGTATTCGGAGGTCTTGGCCAGACCCAAGCCCAGAAGCCGTCTTTGTTCGCCCCGGCAAACCAGGGGGCAGGCGGTAGTATTTTCGGGGGCCAGAGTAACCAGCCATCCACTGGCATGTTCGGCAACACTGGCCAACAACAGCAGCAGCAGTCGAATCCGGCTGGCTCAATGTTCGGCATGTCGCAAAACAACCAAGCGCCGCAGTCCCTGTCGACGAGCATCAACGATATCTCCGCCTATGGCGCCGCCTCCTTGTTCTGCAACCTCAGCAATGAGCCTCAGAATCCCGGCCCACTGGCCACCCCGCTGTCGAGCAACAAGTCCAAGGCCAAGAGCCGTTCGATCTTGCCCATGTACAAGCTGAGCCCGGCCAACGCTTCCCGCTTCACCACCCCGCAGAAGCGTGGCTTTGGCTTCTCGTACAGCACCTACGGGACTCCCACTAGCCCGGCCAGTGCCGCTAGTACACCTGGAGGACTGGGCCAGAGCCTGCTCGCTGGTAGCATCGGCCGTGGTTTGGGCAAGAGCATTTCCACAAGCAATCTGCGTCGCAGCTTCAATGTCGAAGACTCCATCCTTACTCCGGGAGCCTTCTCTGCTAGCTCCAGCGTCCGACTGCACGGAGGCACGGGCAGTCACAAGAAGCTCATTATCAACCGGGAGATGCGCACCGACCTGTTTTCCTCGCCAACCAAGGACAAGCAGGTTCAGGACACCCTAAACGGACCTCGTAAACTCAACAAGCGCGTGAGCTTCGACACCAGCATTGTCCCCGCCATCGAGAACGGCGGTCAGGATAAACCGAGCCCGTCACCCGACAACCCTCTGGCAGATGGTCAGGACCTGGGCTACTTGCGACCATCAGCGAGCCGGTCCACCAACGGCGTCAATGGCACCAAGCAGGGCGGCCCTGCTGCTCCGGACGCGCCTGAGATGGAGCAGGTCAAGGGCAATGAGCTTGCCATCGTCCACGAAGAGGACTCTGTTCCGGCAGCGGTCCGCCAACACCAACCCGAGACTGGTTCGGATAAGGAGCCCGGATCGTACTGGATGCAGCCTACCAGGGAGGAAATTCTCGACATGAACCGAATGCAGCGCCAGAAAGTTGCTGGCTTCACTGTCGGCCGTGAGAACGTCGGTTCTGTTAAATTCAAGGTCCCCGTCGATCTCAGCAACATCGACATCGACCAAATTTGCAACAGCATTGTCATCCTGCAGCCACGATCGGCCACCGTCTACCCTATTGCGGCCAAGAAGCCTCCCGTGGGTAAAGGACTGAATGTCCCCGCCCAAATCTCCCTGGAGCAATCTTGGCCGCGCGCCAAGGACAGGAGAACGCCCGTCCAGGATCAGAACAGCAGCCGGTTCAACAAGCACATTGAGCGCCTGAAGCGAATCCCCGATACCACCTTTGAGAGCTACAACAAGGATACGGGCGTGTGGACGTTCTCGGTTGAGCACTTCACCACCTACGGGCTCGAGTATGACGAGGATGAGACAGAGGTGGATGCTACCGCGGAGACGTCGTCCTTGAAGTTACCCGACACCACCCATACGGGTACGAATGTCGACGAGGCTGTCCCATCGCCAGAGCCTGAGCGTGATGACACGTTTGATTTCAAGCGGAACCGGCGCGCTCTTCCCGGAGCATTTGACGGTACGGCCTTGTCAGATGATGAAGATATGGCCGAGTCTGACCAGCTGCAGCGCGCCCAGTCTGAAGAAATTGAGATGCACGACGACGTGCACTCCTTCCTAGATCTCGCGACCGCGGCGGAGGACTTTCTGGGACCGAGTCAGCACCATGACATTGACCATGAGGCGGCGATGCCGATGTCGGGGGCGGTGGAGGTCTGGAGGGAAGATGCAGAGACGGCTGGAGAAGGTCAACTTGGTGATGCGGAGTCGATGGAGGATCAGGGCGACTATCAACTGTCTCGGTCAGTTGGCAACGACCAAGTCCCCGCCGGCATTATGAGGGCTAGGATGCGGGCAATCAAAAAGTCGACAGCACCAACTCGCATCCAAGTCGCAGGTGGCAACGACTGGACCCAGGTACTGCAGGAAAGTGTGAAGACGCCGAGAAGGATGAATCGAAGTGAGCTGCGGGCCCTCAACGAGTCGGGTGCAGCGTGGGAAGTAGAGGATCGTGGCACTCCGGCGCCAAAGCCAAGCCACGTGCCTGAGGGGCCAGGCTTTGCGACAAGCCTCGACATGATGAGGTCTCTCTTTGAGAAGGGCCCGACTCAGCCTGCGCAGGCCACGCCCGCAAAAGGTTTCGTAAAGGTCGGTGTCCCACTTGTCTCCTAATTCTTTTCTCAGGGGCCGTTTTTGCCTTCTACCTGGCGACCTTCCCCCCTGTGTTCCTGTCATCAACTGTACAATACAAGACCAGATCCAAAAAAAAAAAAGGAGAGACAAAAAATTGACTAAATTTCTTTTCCCATCTAGTGGCCTTACCAGCGACGGAATAAAATTGTACGTGATGAGGAGGAAGTGCCTGGTCAGACATCCCGCGGCACACCACATGTAAGCTGGGGACCTCGAGGAACCATTATCACGGCATCCAGCGACGAGGCTGCACCGGCAGGCCAAGTCTCTATTCACTCTGCCAGCCCGGAACCGGGCCAGAAGTCTCCCAGCCTGCAAATCAGCATGAACTTGACCAGCATCGACCTGGTGAACGGCATTCCCGCTGCTGCTCTGAAGGCTCCAGTCAGTGTCAAGTCTCTTTCGAGCGGCGGTGACGTCGTGTGGGAGCTTGCCAGCGTCTTGTTTGACGACGATGGAGCCGACCTCTCGGCCTTTTGGCAGCGCTTGGTCGACGAATCCACCACCCGCTCCATCGCCCAAGCTCCCACCCTCGAAGAAAAGGCCGTCGCTTGTATCGCGGGCCATCGCGTGGTCGATGCCTGCAAACACCTTCTGGAAGGCAAGAATTTCCGTCTTGCCACACTGGTATCCACCATTGGCTCCGATGACCAGGCGAAGAAGGATATCCGCGCGCAGATCCAGGACTGGCAGAAGTCCAACGTGCTCTCCGAGTTCGCCGAGCCCATCAGGGCAATCTACGAGTTGATTTCGGGTAATACCTGCGTCTGCGCCGGCGTCAAGAATGCGCCCATCGAAAACCGCGTGTCGTCGTTTGTCATTTCGGAGCGTTTCGGCCTCGATTGGATGCAGTCATTTGGGCTCCGTCTGTGGTATGGGGCTACGAGGAGCGCCGCGGAGGCTGTGCGTTCGTTCCAGCACGATATCGAGCAAGACCGAGAGGCGGAGCCGGATAGTCCATTGTGGAGCCTCCTGAAGCTATATGCCGTTCGTGAGGTTGACTACTCGGACTATCGCCTCGACTGGCAGCTTGGCCGTGCCCTCTACGCGACCGGAAAACTCTCCTTCGGACAGATGGCCGCCGAGAAGCTGGATACGGCCACGCTCGCGTTCGCTGCGCAGCTCACGACCGAAGGAAGCTGGGTTTCTGCAGTCTTTGTGCTGCTTCACCTCTCGAACCCCGCCGGGCGAACCAAGGCCATTCGAGACCTCATAGGCCGGCAGGCCCATCTCATTTCCCCACAGAAGACGGAGCAGGACGGCATATTCGCAACTCTGACCCAAAAGTTCAAGATCCCTGCCAAGTGGATCTGGGAGGCCAAGGCGCTGCATGCGCGATCCCTGGACAAAGACCCCGTGGCCGAGTTCTCCTACCTCATTCTAGCGGAGGACTTCCTCGAGGCGAACCGGACCTTCCTGAAGCGGGTGGCGCCCACGGCGATCATCCAGAGGAAGTATGCCCAGCTCTTCGAGTACGCCCAGCTCCTCTACCACATCAGGGACAAGCTGCCCAACTGGTCCAGCGGCGCCGCCGTATACCTCCTGTTCCCGGCCACGCGCAACTGGAACGGGTCGCAGCTGCCCGACTGGATCGACGAGCTGGTGCACGGCCTGGGGTCCCTCAAGGCGGCCACGGCCGATGACGACGTCCTCGAGGCGGCGGCCATCGCGGACATGGCCGAGGACCTGGTCAGGCTCGGGGTGAACGTCCACCGCAGGGGCGGCGATCCGAAGCTGTACAAGCTGGCAGCGGCCCTACCCCTGACCGAGGATAGGAGGCAGAAGTATCTGAAGGATCTAGTCTTTGAGGGGATGGCTCAGATTGGGGTTCACTAGCGGGGGGTTGGTGAGAAGGAAAGGGGGGAACGACGTTTTGCGGCTGCTGTTTCCAGCGTCGCGTGTACCCACCCTACTTAATAGGCTGGATGGTATGGTTCATAGGATGGATGGAGGATAAAAGTTAGCAATACTCTTCTGAGACCCGTTAATAACTGGGAATTGAGCAAATTGAGTAGATTGAGTAGATAGATGACCTAATGCAGCAGTTCTGCCAACCAAGTTCCTTGCCCGACATGACCCTGTCGAAGTGCCAAATCCTGGGAATTATGGCTTGGATCCAATCATAGACGGGTACTAGAGAATATATATGAGAATATATATAAACTACGTAGATCCCTCCCTACTCCAGGGCGTCCAACCTACTTCGAAACGCCAAATTACGCCACCACCCTGACCCCCCGTGCCCCCTCCCTAACCCTCACCAACACCCTAACGGGCTCCCGCGGCTCGAGGATATGCACAGGAAGCACCCCGTCATCCTTGGGCGGGATCTCGATCGTCTCCCCGCCAACCGACCCGATATCAAACGTCATGACCACAACGGCCACAAACGCAAGTATCTCGCTCGTCGCAAAGTGCCGTCCGGGACAGAGCGTCTTCCCGCCACCGAAGGCGCGGAACGCGGCCGGATGGTGCTGACCCTGGCCGTGACCCTGACCCTGACCCTGGCCCTGTCGCCCGCCGAGGAAGCGACCCGGGTCGAACTCGCCGGCGGCGGCGGGGCCACCCCAGATGCGCGCGTCGGCGTGCATGACGCCGCCGGCGACCTGGACGACGGCGCCGGCGCGCAGGCGGTGGTGGGTGGCGAGGACGGCGTCGTCGGGCCCGACCACCAGGCGCGTCGAGTAGTTGTCCGAGTTGAGGCGGAGGCACTCGCGCACGACGGCGAGGAGGGTCGGCGAGGAGGCGCGCAGGGCGGAGAGGCTTAGCGTGGGCGGCGGGGGCGCGTCCTCGTCGTTCTGCTTCTCCTGCTGTTGCTGCTTCGGCTTCTCCCCCCCTGCTGCTGCTGCTGCTCCGGCGGTAGCAGCCGCGACCTCGGCCCGGACGACGGCGAGCAGGTCCGGGCGGGCGAAGAGGTGCAGGACGGCCCAGAAGGCGGTGGTGGCCGTGTTGACGATGGCGGCGAACAGGAACGACAGCTCGGACCGCGCGGTGGCGTCGATGGTCCAGCCGTGGCGCTCGGCGACGGCGACGCGGTCGCGGACGATGCGCGCGGCCGCGCCTGCCCCGGCCCCCGCCCCCGCCCCGGCGGCGACGACGAGGTGTTCCCCGGCGCGCAGGTACGCCGCCAGGGCCGAGGCGAGCCTCTCGCGGCCGCGGTGGGCGCGGCGCGCCGTCAGCGAGGGCGCGACGCCCGCCAGGAGGCCGCCGAGGCCGTGGTCGAAGTCCCAGAAGGACGACTCGAGGCTCGGGTCCAGCGCCAGCGGGTTGCGGTCGCCGTACAGGAAGCGCGCGCTCCCCTGCGCGACGAAGTGGCGGGTCCAGGCGAGCAGGTCGTCGACGACGGCGGCGGCGCCGACGGTGCCGGCGTAGGTGTCGAGCTGCCGGGCCAGCTCGGTCGCGGCGGAGAGGGTCAGGTCGTCGAGGTCGGGGCCCGGTCCGAGGTAGGCGTATACCATGTCGTGCATGTCGGCGAGGAAGCCGCGCGGGTCGCCCGGCTCCGGGTCCAGGTTCTGGCGCACGATGGCCACGGTGGCGGCGTCGAGGCCTAGGACCCGCTGCGTCAGGCCCGGGACTAGGGGCGTGAAGGAGAGGGCCTTGGAGGCGCGCTGCACGGCGGCCGCGAGGGAGGGGTCCGTCACGATGTAGATCCGCGACCCCGGGACGGGGAGCGTGAAGATTGGCTTGTCGGGGTTGGAGAGCCTGGATGATCGCGGTGTAAGTGTGGGGGAGAGGGAGGAGTTGTGTGATGTGGAAAAGGGAAACGAACCCGATCTGTTTTATATATCTACCGCCTTTCAAGGCCATCCCCAGGAGGTGTCCCACGAAGGGAATCCCCGAGGCGATTATGGGTGGTTCATCGGGATGCGTCTTGACCGTCTGCAGCTTATACAAGACGAGATACAGCGTTAAGACTACGGCGGCGGCCGTCGCCAGGCCAGTCTCGAGGTGAAGAGAAAGCATCTCCAGACCGCCTGTCTACGAAAATGGGTTCTTAAGACTGAACATCTCGCGAGAGCGAAAAACATCGAATCGAAGACACGAGACTAGACGAAATCAATTGACTACCGGCCAGCGCGGGCTATTATCCAATCGTGGCGTACCCTTTGACCTCGCAGGTGAGGAGGTTAGATTATGGTCGGGTTGCATCAGCGAATCATGATGCGCTCAAAGCTCCTTCCTGAAGTATCATTTCTCAATGCGCCCCCCTGGCCCCATCCCAAAGCAATGGAATAATACAATTTATCCGATGACTGGGTTTTAACCTCCCCTGATCAGGCCATATTGCCAACCTAAGTGACCGCATCTATGTACGCATGCAACATAAAACCGTCATCCAGGCCCCGACGCAAAAATCAATTTTTACTTGTGGAATGACTTGACTTTCTCAATCTCGTCATAGCTGCCCATGAAGATTCCTGACCTGTCATGGATGTGTTCCGGCACAACTTCCAGCATGCGCTGCATCTTGCTGTCTACTGCTTGACCGCCAGCTGAGGAGAGCGAGTTAGTTTTGGATGGTTCCTGTTCCTCTCTTTTTCCTATTTCTCGGGAGTATTCTGGACAGGTACTAACCATTCTCAAACACCATGGCCATCGGCGCACATTCGTATAGAATGCGCAGCTTGCCCTTGGGGCTCTTCTTGTCGGCGGGATAGGCGAAGATGCCGCCATAGAGGAGGGTGCGGTACGCATCGGCGACCATGCTGCCAATGTACCGGGCGCTGTACGGCTTCCCGTCATCCGACGGGGCCTTGAGCGAGTTGAAGTACTCCTTGACGTGGTCCTCCCAGTACAGCGAGTTGCCCTCGTTGACCGAGTAGATGGCCCTCTTCTTCGGCAGCCTCATGTCCGGGTGCGTCAGGATGAACTCGCCGAGCCCGTTGTCCAGCGTGAACCCGTTGACGCTGCCGCCCTTCATGGTGATGACCAGCTGGGCCGAGGCGCCGTACATGGTGAACCCAGCCGCAACGAGTTCCGTGCCAGGCTTGAGGATATCTTCCTTGGTGCCCTTGGACCCCTCCGCCAGCTTGTGGACGGCGAAGATGGTGCCAACCGACACGCCGGCGTCCAGGTTCGAGGAGCCGTCGATGGGGTCGCAGGCCACGGCGTACCGCGCATACTTGCTGTCCCTGAAGTAGATGACGTCCTCTTCCTCTTCCGAGACGAGTAGCGCACACTTGTCACTTGACCGCATGGCCTCGATGAATAGGCTGTTGGAGATCACATCGAGTTTCTTCTGTTCATCGCCCGTCGTGTTGGAGGAGCCGGCGAGGCCTGTCAGGTTTATCAAGGTCGCGCGGCGGATGTAGTAGGCGATTGACTTGAAGGAAAATTGCAGCGCGTGGCAAAGAAGTCTGTGGGGGTCTCCATTAGCAAAAGGACGGCAGCTCGTCCGGTTCCAGCCCTTACGTGAAATCTCCGGTGGCCTCCTGGTGTTTAACTTGTTCTTCCGTGAGGAAGCGAGTCAAGGTGACGATGTGAGTGTTCACCTTCTCGCCCTCCGGTTGGTTGCCGTTCATGCCAGACATGGTGTCGATTGGGGGGAGGCGGGGTAAAAGCAACCTGTAGGATAGCTCTGGGTAAGTCAGAATGAGGTTGTTTTCCTTAAAACCGGAGTGTTGACAGGTTTCTCGAGTCTTCAAGAGCAGATGGGTAGAAGGTCTCGTGTCTCCACTTACAGCGGCCAAGAGGAGACTACTATGCGTATCTAAGGTGGGCAGCTAATAATTGGCGGGGTTATCGAATTCCTTTGTGTATCCGCACTACAGAGGAAGAAGTGTAACTACGGTAAAAGAAGACGGAGAAAAGTACGAACGGCAATGAGAAGAGGATAAGCAGTCAGGACAATATCCGACTTCTCTCGAGAGATTGTGTTGTGTGCACAGCCAATTGGAGCCCAAACACATGCCTCTTTAAGAGAGCTGCGACCCCATGACGAAATGCCCGGGTGGATGGCTGCCCCTCATGCATCTTCGGCAGAGCACGGATATCCATGGAAAGCTGGCAGCCCGGCTCGGTGATTTCCGGCCGAGGGGAATTGGGGACTGGGGAATTGATGGTAAAGAAGATTTCCCGGGACGAACGCCTCCACCTTACTGGGTCGAGTATCCGGTACTTGGCCATCTCGCTCTAGAACAGCCCAATCTGTGACTTTGAAATTTCCCATTACCGTCAATGGTCTTGAGCCAAGTGGTTGAGCTCCTCGACGGCTTCGATACTTCTTCAATCTGCGACGCTACGCCAGGGGACGCGGAATGCCGCGTGACCCAACAGACTTTGAACGCCAGGCTGTAAAAGACGAGGGCTGAGCGGCGTGGTCACGCGGGCAGGCACAAGCAGCAGCGGCGGTGTATCAGAAATTTGGGCCTAGGCCCAGTGTTATACTTATCCCTTCGCTGGACACTGCTTGTTGATATTTGGTCAGAGTTGCATTCCCAGGGGCAAAGCTAATGCCGAGTGTGGCCGCGAGCGATGAACACCACCTCTCCTACAGAGGGTAGGGATATTCATCAGAAGTGGCAGAATAATGGTGAACAAGTCTTTCGGTTAATGCAGAATGAAGGGCTATTTTCTGCTCGACGATGACGAAGAAGCTCGCTGTTCTCGCCAGTGCTGACGAGAACTATGGGCTTGGTCTTGGTCATGGCCAAGCAGAAAGCAGCCTTTTGTAGCGCAGAAGAGGATTGTGAGGAATACAGTGGAGTTTCGGGTAGGGCAGGCTGAGATATCTCAGATTCGGTCGTTCGCCCCTTTCCACCGAAACAGCTCTCGGTTTCGCTGATTTGGCCCGAGATCATGACGATGGTTTTCTACTTCCTTTTGGAGGCAGTTACTGGGCCCGAGCGCCACAGTATACTCAGCATACACTGTGCTGTTGATACTGTCAGTTTTGAGGACCTCCTCACGTGGCTTCAACCCTAACCCGCGCCGACCAGAGATAGCCCCGTTTCCATCTGACAGCGGGCAGAGACCTCGGCATGTGCTTGACATGCCGAGCGGACAACTCGCCGCACCCCTACAGTCGGAGCGCTCATGCTTAACCAATTCCGCTCACCTCTACCGACGATACCAGACGCTCAATCCCATCAACAACTCCTCGTCTCCAATTGATCTCCAGTTCAGCACACCTCCTGAAGAGCACTTTTTTCTTTCGACACGAACCCCCCCACTCCCGAAACCCCCTTACCCCGCCAAGATGGTCGCCGACGCAGTCATCTACCACCCGTCGGTGTCGCACTACCTCAAGTTCGTCGCGACGACGGTAGGCCGCGACAAGCTCCTGCGCACGCTGCAGTACTTTGCGCGCTTCTACGCGTGGTACCTTCTGCGGACCAACGGCAGCGCCGCCGAGATGGCACCGTGGGAGGCGATGAAGAAGCAGTTCGGCCTGGTGCGCAAGGTGCTGCGGGTCGGCAAGAACGTCGAGCACTTCCGCGCCGCCGCCGCCGCCGCCGACGCCAAGACCGCCGACCCGGTCCTGCGCTACGCCGCCGTCGGCCGCCAGCTCTGCTACGCCGGCTACCTGTCGTTCGACGCTGCCACCGTCCTCGACGCTACCGGCATCCGGAGCTTGCCCGCCGCCAAGCGCCTGCAGAGGGAGAGCTACCGGTTCTGGACTGCGGGGTTGGTCTTTAGCGTCCTCGCGCAGACGTATACCCTGTACCGCCTGAGGGAGCGGGAGGCGAGGGTGGATAAGAAGGAGGGCGAGGGCGTGGTTGAGAGCAAGCGGATTGCCATGTGAGTGTTACCCCCTTTCCTTTTTTTTTTTCCTTACTCCCGTGAATTGGCGCTGACAGTTTGCTCCCAAACGCAGTGAGCGAGCGGCAAGCCGGCTTCAGCTGACCTCGGACCTCTGCGATCTGACCGTGCCACTCACCGCGCTGAGCTGGGTTGGCCTTGATGATGGTGTTGTTGGCCTTGCTGGCACAGTGAGCAGTTTGATTGGTGTCTATTCGCAGTGGAAGAAGACTGCCTAAGCGGCATGCGTGTATTATATGATTGAAAGTCTACGACGAGATATACCCTGTTGGATGTCTGTCCTCTTTATATTCGAGGGAAGTCCTGCAAGGTCGATCTGGAAATCCAAATCCACGGTCTCGGAGTCGTGCAGGTTGGTTATTGCTTGGGTCTAGATATATATATTGTAACATGTTTCCATAGCATTCAGGCATTATCATCATCAGAATCCTCATCACGATCCTCCTGCTCATTCCACCTCGCCCTTCGCCGACTGTTCCCGCCATCGACGCGGCAAGCGCATGCCCATCTGAAGCTCCCACAATTTTCGGTCGAACCGGCCATCCTTCAACGCCTCAGCATCCCCCGCGTAAACGAAAGTCCTCCCAGAGACCCAAGCATGTTCCCTGCCGTCCGTGAAATAGATCAAGCACGCGCAAGCTCGTACGCGCTCGTCTAGTAGTACGCTAGCTTGGACTCCTGCTCCGGAGATTGCACATACCCCACAACCTCCTGGACTGTGTCGCCGTCTATGGGAGCCTTGTACTAGCCCTAGGAAGACAACGAGTAGCCGATTACCTTGGCTTCTCGTCTCTGCGTCTGGGCAATGGAGGGAGAGGAGGAGGCGTGAGAGGCTTGCTTGCGCGTTTTGCAGAGTGTGACATGGTTATGGGTGCAGGAATATGAGTGGTCAAGACTTGGTGAGCTCTAATGCACCCGTACTGTGCAAGGTTGCAGCCACACAACCACGGTCTGGACTTGTGATAGTCTGCTGATCCGTCCCAGCGGAACGGACGACGTACCAAGTCTAGAGCTTCTGTACAGCTTCGAGGCGTCCTGACTGAACTATTAGCCCCTTACTCGCTTTGCCATTGCTACTGTTGCCGTTGCAGCTGACATGCACTTGGCAGGGAGTAGTAACCGGCTCGCGTCATCAAATCGTTTACCAGCTCAAAGTGCAATACTACTGAGTAGCTATAGCTCTGGCCAGTAGTCCCAGCACATGATTTGGGCATTGGTTCTCGAAAATATTACCACAGAGATGGGTTGGTAAGAGAGGAAGAGGAAGGTGGTGTGGGGGGTACCAGACGTGCAGGCTTCCCCACACGAAATTCCCATGTGACGAGAACCGCGCTTCGCAGTATTTATGATGCGAAGGAGCTATCCAACTCACAGATAGGTGATGGAAGTTAGGAGGTAAGACACACCACCGGTGGTTAGTGGCTGGAGGCGGGCACGAGTGAGGCTCCGTGTAAGTGCGAGACAAGCAACGCCAATGCGGGATGATGCACTCGCTCTGCAACTAGGGGAGCTCGGCGATGCCGACGGTCAATCCCGTGGCTTGTAGAAAGACCAATGGCCTTGGGCCTCCCGCCGCGGGCGCTGGCAGGATCAAGAATAAGGCCGAGCGGGGAAAATTAGCTGTCGACGTCACTTTTGATGGTGGGGCCCCAACTCCTAATCCAGGGTTGCCCATCGATAGTCTTCCAATCTTCCAACTCTGGGGCCCCTTCCCCACGCTATCCCTGACCATGCTTACGAGGTGGGATTGGCAAAATATTCTGCACTGCAGCAAGGTTGCAGCAGACCGGCGAGATCATGGGATAGACGATTCCAAAGCTTACCGAAAGAGGCAAGTCATGGGAGCTGCCCTGGAAAAAAAACCTTAAGGTCCAGACTCCGGGACCCATTGATATCTCATCCCTGGTCCCCCTCCGTAGCTAAAGAATTTGAGCTCAGCTTAAGCTTGTGATTGCTTCACTGTGCGCTGTCTTCCCCTAGTTGGTCCCTCTACCTCGAGGACCATATCACTTGAACTCTAGTCCCCACATCTGATCAACTATCCGTTCTCATTGCTATCCACCATGGCTTGGCTCTTCAAGAAGAAGGATGCCGAGGGGGAAGCTCAAGAAGCCGAAGCTCAGGAAATAGGCCCCCAAAGCTCCGATGGAGCTCCTCCCTTGGACCAGGCGCAGTCCTTCAGGTCTGCGGTCATGCCCGTAATGGCATGCGGCGCCGGTCTTTTCTCCGATGGCTACATCAATAACGTACTCACCCCTCTTTCCGCCCCTCTGACGCGTTTTGCGCGGGACGTCGTCCGATCTTGAGCACGGAGCTGACCGGCGCGTGCTGGGTGCTTATTGCAGGTTATCGGCTCTGTCTCGACCATTCTCGCCATCCAGTACGGCGACACGTACGCAAACTCGAACGCCAAGAAGTATGTCGGCGACATTGCCTTCGCCGGCACGGTCGTCGGGCAACTTGCCTTCGGCTGGCTATCTGACCACTGGTCGCGGAACAACTCCCTGCTCGTGTCGACCGTCATCCTGGTCATCTTCACCGCCTTGGCTGCGGGCTCATACTACCACGGAGATAGCGTGGGCATGTTCAACATTCTGACCGCCTGGCGGTTCTTTGTAAGTTGCTCTCTCTCACGAGTAGTTGCTTGGCCGGATATTGGGTTAACCAGGGCTCGTCGCAGGTCGGTATCGGCATAGGAGGTAAGGGAGTGACCTCTGGTCGTGAGAAGGGGGTCAATCACTAACATGAATTTCCAGGCGAGTACCCGGCGGGCAGCGTTGGATGCGCCGAATCCACTGGCGAGCTCAAGGCGGGAACGAGGAACAGGTGGTTCATCTTGTTCACCAACACCATGATTGACTGGGTGAGTCTCATTTCGATCCGCTCTGCCGCGTGGGGACTAACATGTTAGAGGGGTTCGTCATCGGTGCCTTCGTGCCCTACGTCGTCGCGGCGGCCTGCCATAACGAACATCTCAGCACCATCTGGCGGACAAGTCTGGGAATCGGCGTCGTCTTCCCCATGGTCCTTTTCATCCTCCGGCTCAGGCTCAAGGAACCCGAGGAGTTCAAGCGCAACTCGATGCGCTACGCCAAGACGCCGTACATGTTGGTTCTGCGGTTCTACGGTTATCGTCTCTTCATCGTCAGCTTGATCTGGTTCATCTACGACGTAAGTTCCCTTGCCTCACGAGAGAGAGAAAGATGGGCAGCTAATGGACAAGACTCACAGTTTTCTGCTTACTCCTTCGGCATCTACTCGTCCACGATCCTCGCCAACATCTTCGACAAGGACGCGCCCCTCACGACTGTCTTCGGGTGGAACACGGTAATCAACATGTTCTACATCCCCGGCACCATGCTCGGCGCCCCCGTATCCGACTGGCTGGGCCCGCGCTACGCCCTCGCCCTGGGCGTCTCCCTGCAGGGGATCGTCGGCTTCATCATGGCGGGCGACTACGCGAACCTCTCGCGGCAGGGCAACGTGGGCGCCTTTGCCGTCGTGTACGGCATCTTCCTGTCGCTGGGCGAGTTCGGCCCCGGCGACAACATCGGCCTGATCGCGGCCAAGACGTGCGCGACGGGCGTGCGCGGCCGCTACTACGGCATCGCCGCCGCCGTCGGCAAGGTCGGCGCCTTCGTCGGCACCTGGGTCTTCCCCTACATCGCCGCCGCCGCCGGCGACAACGACACCGCCTCCGCGCAGTATCCCTTCTACGTCAGCTCCAGCCTGTGCATCCTCAGCGCCGTCCTCACCCTCTTCTGCCTGCCTCACATCGGACAGGATACCATCACCCTCGAGGATATACGCTTCAGGGCCTACCTCGAGAGCAAGGGCTACGACACCCGCCAGCTCGGCCTCAGGAAGGGCGAGGTCCTCGATGTCGTCGAGTCCGGCAGCCCCGTTGATGGGGAGGAGGCGAAGGCCTAGCAGGCTGTTGGCTGGGGCATTGGGGTCTGGTCGAGTTCGGTTTGATTGGACAAATGTTTTGGCTTACTCAGCACGCCTACCCTGTTAATGGAGGTGCAACTGGAGAGATGGAGAGAGGGTATCACAGGCTGCCAGGAGACGGTTCGTATATGTTGTTTGTTTCGAGTCCGCTAGAAAATACACCATAATACAACCTCATCTCTATGGGAAATGTAGAACAAGACGAGAAAGGGGCAGGAACAGAATTGCCTCTCCAAACTCCTCATATGAGCTTTCGGCTAGGTAGCTGAGAAGTATCATCGGCCCAATCAAACCGGCTCGTAAGTAACGATACACAATGCTCTCTCTAGGTAGTCACGCCCGAACGCCTCCCGCGCCCCCTCCCAAGATGCGGTCACCCGAAGCCCGTCGCCTAGTCTAGTTCGACACCAGCCAACGCCTCGCTTATGAACGCATCATCATCACCAGCCCCATCCCCATCTCCCGCTCTCGGCCAACCCGCCGGCTCCCGGACTCCGTCTCCTTCTCCTGCTGCTATTGCAGTTTCTGTTGCTCCCGCCGCCTCGGCGTCGTCGTCGCCGTCCCCGTCCCCGCTACGGCTGCTGACCTCGCTCTCCGTCTCGGGCGGCGTCTGCAGGCCCGAGACGTCGCGGGCGGCACGCGCCGCCTGGCCCACGTTCCGCCGCCTGAGCATGCACATCTCGACGGTGATGCCCGGGCCGAAGGCGCAGGCGACGACGTGTTCCCTGGGGCGGGGGCGACCGCCGGCTTCTCCCCGGGCGGGCGGCGCCAGCGCATCCATGTCCTTGGAGCGGAGCCTGTCCAGGACGGCGAAGATGGTGGCGGACGAGCTATTGCCGTGGTTCATGTAGGTATCGTAGCTGGCGCGCATGTGCTCGGACGAGATGCCCATTGCGCGCTCCGCGCCGGTGAGGATCGTCGCCCCGCCCGGGTGCATGGCCCAGTCGAAGTCGGCCGGGTCGCTGCGGGGGCCCGCGGGCGGGCCGAGGGGCGGCGGCGGCAGGGAGCGCAGGAGCGCGTCGTAGGCGGGGCGGATGGACGCCTGCGCGAGGTGCGGGACGCGCGGCGACAGGACCACCTTCCAGCCCGCCGGGTCGACGTCGAAGCCGAGGTCGGCCGACGTGTCGGGCAGCACGGCGTGCTCCCAGCCGAGGAGGTCGTAGACGGGCTGCGGCGACGGGAGGGAGGCGCGGGGCCCTGGCCCGTCGCTGCCAATCCCGTTGGTCAGCACGACGGCGCCGGCGCAGTCGCTGAAGAGGGCGACGCCGATGCGGGTCTCCTGCAGGGCGTCCACGCTGTCCAGCTCGCTGCGCACCATGGTGGTGCTGACCTCGAGGGCGAGCACGAGGGCGCGGGCGGGCAGGCCGCGCATGGCGTGGCCGAGGCACAGGCCGGCGGCGGTGCGCAGGGCCGCCAGCCCGCCGCTGCAGCCGACGCCGTGCAGGAGCACCTTCTCGAGCGAGCGGCCGTGGCCGATGCCCAGCGCCCGCGCGACCTCGTGGTCGTACCCCGGGTTGGCCGAGTCGGTGCACGTTGTCGACACCATGTGCGTGAGCTGCGACGGCTCGAGGCCCGCCTCCGCCAGCGCCTTGCGCGCCGCGCGCACGGCCAGCGGGATCCCGTCCGAGACGAAGACTTGGTGCAGCTCGGCGATTGACGGCGCTGTCGGTTTATTGACCACGGGGTGATCGTGGGTGCCGATCGAGGAGCGCGTGTCGATGCCCGTGTATCGGTTGATTGAGAGGACCTTCTTCATGCTGGGGAGAGACGCGGTTTCGTTAGCACATCGATCGCGCCTAGGAGCCGGCGAGGAGCGCTTACGACGGCGAGTCCGGGTAGTATTTCTTGCTCAGCTTTTCCACCGAGTCTGGTTTGAGAGAGTGTGGGGGATACTCGGTTCCAAGCCCGACGATGGAGAGGCCCAGCTCCCCGAACCTGTTCGGCGCGTCCATGACGGCCAATTGGGCAGCCCCGAGCACTTATAAGGCGAGCGAGGGGTTTCCGGAGGTGCGATAGCTCCAATCCTTCCGGACGACTTCAATTGAGAGCTTTCAATGTGGCTGCATAGCATATCCAGCTTCCCAAGGGAAGGTCGAGGGCACGAAACAGTTGCACGAGCTTGCGGCAGCAAATCAGTGTGGCAGAGGAAGAAGTTGATATTGAAAACTGTTAGCGACGGAGGAAGCAGATCATAAGCACTGCTTATGGTATCACCGACGTGGTTGGGAAAGCGAGAGTTTGACGGAAGATGAGATGGGCGGTGGAAGGGGATTTCGACTACGAAGGAGGCCCTTGTTCCTGCCGAGGCACCTTACCCAGATCTGCAAATTCCAAACACCCCTGATATAGCGTGGACGTGCAGGGGGCAGATGCATCTCTGAATAATGCCTATCTTCCGAATGGTTGGGCAGGGAGACTGGGAGTGGTCTTTTGATGGGCCGTAGACTTATCCGGTCTAAAAATATCACTAGGAGCGAGCAATCAGCGAATCCAATGCCGATGAAATAGGTATACTGACGAGATACTGACGAGAGATTCTCGGGGCAACTTGCCAAGTACCTACCTACGGAGTAAGTAAGGAGCAATCAAGCCACAGTGCTCAACAGTGGCTGGTGCGTAGCTCAACGGTCTGGTCTCAACCTCTTCATATTTCATCGCTACTAAGTAGGTACCGAGGTGACATCACTCTTAGCACGCACGTGTAAACATAAACAGACCTGTCAGACAATTCCTTAATGAACCCCAGCACTACATATCCGTACAGTCTGTCTCTCCATTCCACTACGCCCTATAAACCACATTGTTTCTATCTACTCAAGCTGCTAAACATTCGCGGCCTGTGGCCCCTCAATTACACATATTACACGTAGTGGCAAGCATCCGGCAAGATCCGCCGCCGGCTTGGGCCCGGCCCGCATGCCAAGGACCGCTCCGGCCGATATCCAGGCCAGGGTCTTCCAGCGCCGCACCTGTCTGCTTGTTCTTTTGGACAGCAAAGTGTCTCATACTGTACTACAATATATTTTCTTTCGAGAGTGCTCAATCGTATAATTCACCTTGCTACGATTTTCTAGGCCTCATTAACAGGTCAGATAAAAAGCTTTTGAGTGCTGGAAGAGCCTTGTTCGGAGCATTTCTCTTCCTTGTATCTACAACACTGGCCAACAGCTTTTCCCACGGGGAGTCAATGTGCATCTCAGAGAGACAACAACGGTGATTTATTTGACCGATTCGAAACGCAGGTACAGGCGTTCCTTGGACGGCCTGGCAGTATATCCATCCCCCTGGTCAGCAACACCATCATCATCCACGATATGGGTCGTAAAGTTGGAGTAAATAGCCGCGACTATGAGTTTCATTTCTAACATTCCGAGTGATGTCAGCAGAACAGGCGAGCAAGGGAGAGTGAGAGGAAGAAGGAGACTCACCCTGCACCGCAAAGTTGGATCCGATACACATCCTCCCACCCGAGCCAAACGCCCAGAAGTGCCTATTGCGCTCCTTCCTCTCCTCCTCGCTGACCCCCGCCGCCAACCACCTCGTGTGGTCCCACCTCTCGGGGTCCGGGAAGACGCGCTCGTTCCGGTGGAGGGTGTGCGCCAGGGCCGCGACCCTGACGCCGCCCGGGACGTGGTAAGCACCCAGCTGACTCGAGGGGAACGGGCTCTGCCGCGGCTGCGGGCCGGGAATCGGAGCGTGGAGGCGCAGGGTCTCCATCATGACTGCGTGGAGGATCGGGAGCCCGTCCAGCTGCTTCGGGTCGGGGAGCGATGCTGTTCCGTCGTCTCTGAGCTGCATGCTCGGCTCGAGGCCCAGGAGCTCGGCTTTGAGCTCTCGCTGGAGGGATTCCGACTGGGAGAGCCTCCAGGTCAGGTATGTCAGGGTCACGCCTGCTGTCTCCTGGCCCGCGAGGACGTGGTCGAAGAGCTCCGAGGCCACTGATAGCTCGTGGTGCTTTATGGCTGTCTCGTAGATGATGGACGCCTCCCCCTTGATGGCTTCTTCCTTTTCCAGACCAGAGAGCAGCGCGCTCATGACCACGGGCTCGTTCGCCAGGTTCTTAGCCTTGGGCTCTGTGGTCGAAAGGCGCTCAAATGTTGCCGCACAAAGACGAATACACCATTTGCCAAGTTCCTGGTTTGCCGAGTCGACCCACTTGGGACAGAACGGAATACCTAGTTTGCGACATACGGAGGTGGTAAGGGGGAGTTCTTGGTCATAGATCCCGTAGTCATTCCGGGATTTGTAAAGATCAAGCCAATGCTCCCGATATGGCTCGTTATCCAAGAAGTTGGTACTATTCTGGATGCCGAAGATATAAGCAGAGATGAAGTCCATGGTGGCGGCGAGGAACGTGGAATGAACGTCCAAGCCATGAGAGGCGCTGGCCTCGTTGCCGGACGCCTTGAGAATGGGGATCAGCCTGTCAAACAATATGATATGGGCCTGTTCAGAGGACGCTCCAGAGGCCTGTATGTAGGACTTGGAGTAGACATTTGATATCATCCGCTTCCTCAGCGAATGTTCCCGCGAGGAACGAGTTGAAAACATGCAGGGGACTCTTCAGATGACGGGAGTTAGGGCATGTTTGAGACGACGCATGACTCGCGATGACTGCTCACCCATAGTTATCAAAAACGGAATACCAAGAAGGCTTCTCGAAGCCCCCTTGGTAGACTGTGCGGAGACTGTCTGTGTCATCGATGCTCAGCTCATTAGGGGCCACACGGATGACTGGTCCGAGCCTTCGGTGGGCCGCCTGAAGAGTCCTGTTTTCCTTGTGGTTGAAACGGATGGACAGCACCCAGAGGCGTGAGAAAGGCACCGACCAATGGGCATTGGGTATCTTTGCCAACGGCGAAAGAAGTGCCGGGTGGAGGGCGAGCTTGTATACGAGGAACAGGATGGCTGTGACGAATAGAACGGGACTGATTAATAAAGCCATTGTGGAAGGAAACAGTGGGCTTGGGGTTGGCTGTTCTTCGGTGGTGTGTATGGGGAGGTATGGCTAGGAACACAAGAACTTCTGTTTGAAATACCCGCACTCTAGCTTATGGTACGTGTGTAACAGAGAGGGGAACCTGAGGTCTGGAGGTGGCAGGACGATCATTGTGAGTGAGGAGGTGCCAAGCAGCCGTAAAGCAGCCCTAGCTTAATCATCTTGAACCCTCTGTTGCAACGTGCACCTCGGGCCGCCAGCCCCATCGTCGATCGTGAAGAGTCAAAGACTTTGTGTTTTCGGATACCGACTTATGTGGATTGCCATATGATGTGAATCATCCGAAAGCTCAGACACTGAGTAATTGAGGTCATCCACTAGGAGATCAGCGCTGTCGTCCCTGACTCACACTAGGGCTGAGGCGGAGATGGCAGGAACGTGCGGCTTAACCCGTTAACTACCTACCTATGTACAGTAGCTAAGGTATTTAACAGCCTTAAATCCGCCCTTGCGGATCGATATACATTAATTTCATGTTTCAAAATATTTACCACTTACCTCTGAATATCTTCAACCTGGTTTGTGAACAACGAGCGCACCACCAATGCCTGGACTGGCAGACCTCCCCGATGATGTCTTGCTTCTCATCTTGACCAGCCTCGAGAGCGCTCGAGAGCTCCGGGCCCTCACCTTATCATGCCGGAGACTCCACAGCCTCGTCGCGCATGAAGGATGGCGGACCTTTGTCAGGTCCAGATTCCCGTCCTTCTCCATTCCTTCCACCACCGGCGACGAGTGGAGGCGGCTGGCGGAATCGCTAACCTGGCAGAGCCGGTGCTGGGACCGCCGCTCCCTCCGGTTCAACGCCCTGCTTCCGCACCGGCCCGTGCGCCGCCACCGGATGACCGCGGCCGCCTTCCAGCCCGTCGTGGATGCCCATCTCTGCCCCGAGAGCCGCCAGGAGCTGGTCGTCTGGGGCGCCGGGGAGAACATTGTGGCGCGCTACCGCCAGCGAAACGTCACTGGCGGTGCGACCAGGACTTCGTGGCACCGCTCTGATGGCGAGCGGTTTGGCTATGTTCCCGGTTACGACGACGTCAAGGCTCTTGTCATCGTCGACCAATCCCACCAGGGCAGGCGTGGCATCCTTGCCGGGCGAGACAATGGTGATCTCTGCCTGTTGTCCGCCCAGCCAGACCAGTTCGGCGAGCGTCTCGCCAGGTTCAGCCTGAGCCATGCCGAGGAGCCGATTTCGGGGATCCGGCCTGGCGGAGATGCCGGCCAGAACACGATTATGTCCCTGGACGTTCTGGACGGTCTGGTGGCTGCTTCCACGAAGAACGATGTGATCCTGTATCGACTACCGCAGGACGATGACTCCTTTAGTATCGTCCCTCTGGAGATATACAATTTTGGGGCGCGGGCATTCGAGCACAGGAACATGACCCTGGGTTGTGCAAAGTGGATGGGAGACCATGAGCTAATGGCTGTAGCGCTGCGAGGCAGCAAGGAGCCCTTGCGATACCTGACTCTGACACCACACGGTTGGTCGTCCTATGTGGCAGCCAAGAATGCAGACATCGAGCAGCAGTTTGGCATAGGCTACGGCAATATTTGCCCGAACTCTCTCGTACCAGTGAAGCCATATGCGAATACCAAGGGAGGGACGAACCTGTTGCTGAGTGCCTGGAGGGATGGTACTTGCAGGTAGGCATGAACGGGAAGAAGACGGCATATTCAAGCAGGAGTGAAACTGATGATTTGTTGTGACAATAGACTACAGGACATTCGGACACCATCCCCCTTCGATATGGTCTACCAAGACAACATCCATCCGTGGGCCGAGATGGAAGCCCTCATGACTTACGGGACAGAGCGATTCGTGGGAGGCGACATGCACGGGGCGACGGTCAAGGTTTTCGACTTCAGATGGAGCAAAGGGTATTACCACACCTCTGGGTTGCCCTGCGGCAACATCCGCCCGTTCCCACCTCCGCCACAGCCGTTCGCGCCGGCGCCAGAGGACAAGGCGAAGCTCCGGGTGTGCTGCGACCACGTCAGCGGCTTCCGGTGTCGCTGGCACGAGCTATCCCGGGACATTTACTACCGGCCGAACGCGACCTTCTTCCTCTCGCAGAGCTTGCCGCCGGACCACCAGCACGCCCGGGTCTGGTCGCTCGCCAAGGCGTCGGACACGTCCCCGGCCTTCTACGTCGGCGTGTCGGGCGGGATTGTCGAGGCCAACCTCGAGCCCAGCGACGACGGCGGGGGCGGCAGCGGAACCGGCGGCGGCAGCGACCCCAACTTCGGCTTCCGCGACTGGAGGATCAGCTCGGCCCACAGCGGCGGCTACGAGCCGACGTACCTCAGGGTAACCATGATGGAGACGGGCGACGGCCTCGCGTCCCCCCTGAACCTCAGGACCATCCGGCTGCCCCCCATCTACAGCAGGTCGCGGGTGTCCCGGCCGTCTAGGCTTCAGGACGTCGACGGCACGTTGCGGAGACAGCACCGCCTGGATAGCAGGTTCCAGAACGAGGAGGACTTTCGGGGTCTCGAGCCGAGAGCTGGTTGAGATAGCGCCCCCCTCCTGTAAAGTCTGCACAGACACGAGGCGGCGATAGAAGGCTGTATAGTTAGCCAGTTAATTATTCCATGGCAATACACTGGCGAACCCTTTACCGGAATTTGGGAAGGGGCGGGGAAGGGGGGGTTAAATATACGACGGTAATGGGCGAAAATAGTACAGATCCGTATAGATACAGGTAAAAATACCAGAGGGACTACAGTTTTTGGTTGCATGTGAAAAAGGCGGTGCACGTAAATCTGATATCCGCGAGAGGCCATGCACCCGGCATCTTTATTTTCTGATAGTTGCTTGCGCCGAGAGGAACGCACTGCTGCGCAAGCTGGCCACGCAATGGGGTGCGTCAAAGGAGCCCCGCCGGAATTGAATTGCGGCGGGCAAGCAGGGCGGAGCTTGTGGTAGGTACTTGTGGTACTGCACTTATTACCTATTTAAGCGGGCAGCAGGGGCAAGGCTGGGAAATCAGAGGTTCAAGTGACCTGGAGCCGCCACCTCAATGACGATGGTAGGCTGCAACTTCAACCTTGCAACCTGACAACCATTTCAGTCCACGCTCCCATTTCCCCCAATCTCATCCGCTTGTCCCCAAACTTTAAGACAATCATCTTCGAGGCTTGAAACGACATCCTAAACCCGCCACTGCAGCTTGACCATCGCTGTCCACCAAAGCTAAGCTCGTCATCATGTTTCGAGCAGCTGCTTCGGGGCCTTATGACGAGGCGGTCGGTACGTTCTCCCTCGTTACCGGGCGGGCTCTACGGGATGCCATCCGCAGCTAACACGCATTTCTTCTCATCGCAGCCAAATCGACCGACGAGAACCTCACATCGGAGGACTGGGGTGCCATCATGGAGGTTTGCGACCGTGTCTCTGGCGACCAAAACGGCCCGAGGGAAGTCACCCAGAGCATGATCAAGCGCCTGGCGCACCGCAATGCCAACGTGCAGCTGTACACTCTCGAGGTAGGCAACCCAAATTCCTGTCTCGTGCTCCCAAAAGGAAATGCTAAGCAAACCCCTCTCATCTCCAGCTCGCCAACGCCCTCTCCCAAAACTGCGGCAAGCCCATGCATCAAGAGCTGTCTAGCCGTGCATTTACCGATGCGCTCCTCAAGCTCGGCAACGACCGCAACTCGCACACCCAAGTCAAAGCCAAGATTCTCGAGCGCATGAGTGACTGGTCCGACATGTTCAAGTCCGATCCCGACCTGGGCATCATGTACGATGCTTACTACCGCCTGAAGCAGACCAACCCCACACTACAACCTCCGAGCGCACCGCAGAAGAACAGCCTTACCGACGTCGACCGGCGGAAGGAGGAGGAGGAGCTCCAGATGGCCCTGAAGCTGTCGTTGCAGGATGAAGAGCGCAAAAAGAAAGCCGCCGAGCCGGGGCCCTCCTCGGGTGCCAACGCAGGTGGCTCAGGCTCCGGCGCGGGACAAGCAGCTGCGCCGCTGCAACCAGTGCCGTCAGGCACGACCGCTGCGACTGTTTCTCGTGTCCGCGCCCTTTTCGACTTTGTACCGTCCGAGCCTGGCGAGCTGGAGTTTAAGAAGGGCGACGTAATTGCCGTGCTCGAGAGTGTTTACAAGGACTGGTGGCGTGGCTCACTGAAGGGCAGGACCGGCATCTTCCCTCTCAATTATGTCGAGAAGCTCACCGACCCTACACCCGACGAGCTGCAACGGGAGGCGCAGATGGAGGCCGAAGTCTTTGCCGAGATCAAGAATGTTGAGAAGCTGTTAACTCTGCTGAGCGCGAGTAATACTACCCCGAGGGAAGAGGATAACGAGGAGATTTCGGTATGAGCAGACCAGGCCACTTCCTTTGGGCGCACGGTGGCGATGCTGACGACATGCAGAAACTCTACCACCAGACGCTTGCAATCCGGCCCAAGCTCATCAAACTGATCGAGAAATATTCTCAGAAGAAGGGTATGGGTTGTCCTGATCTTCACAGCTCCGAGAACCGACTAGACATGGACTAACTTGGTTTGCAGATGACTTCACGCAGCTTAACGAGAAGTTCATTAAGGCTCGGAGAGACTATGAGGCTCTCCTCGAGTCATCTATGTCTCACCCCCCCGGACCGAGCTATCACCACCCATATGGGATGGCACCGCAGATGCCTCAAACCTACCCTCCGCCAGGGGGTCCGAGCTATCCTTCGCAGTCGCCGCCGCAAGCGCAACAAGAGGCACAGAGATTCTACACGCCAGCTCCTGGACAAGGTATGCACTGAGGCGTCAGCAGCGATTTGTTAGGCCATCTTGGCTGATGTATATAGAACAACCGCAATATCCACCTTCTTCGCCATCACCCAATTTGGGCCGGCCCAGTCCCACCCCTGCCCCCTTTTACGTGGCTGGCACCGAAGTTCCTCCGCAGGGCATCCCACCGCCGGCACCGAATCAACAACAGCAGTATCACCAACGCGAACAAGCACAGCGCCACCCGTCCGGCGGGAATCAGCCACCCCCTATCCAGACTTCCATGTCGCCACCGCCGGCTGCCCAGTACACTCCATACCAGGGGCCGGCAGCAGGCCAACGCCCACAAAGCACTTATGGTCCACAGGAACTCTCGACTTCGGTCTATGACTCCCCCATTGCCCCGCACAACCCGAATTCCGCAGCAACATACTCCTCATCCGTTTACTCACCGGACGATCCTTACGGCCCCGGCTCAACGATCGGCGGCAGGCCACCTGCCTCTCACGGGCCATCCGCCCCCGCCCCCGCCCCCGCCCCCTCTGCGTCGTCCCCCGACCCGAGACAGCAAAACTACCAGGCATACGCGGCCTACCACTCGCCCACACAGCCGCGGCCATACGGCGGTCACGGCTACGACGGCGCGGGCGACGCGCCACACACCCATCACCCGCCCGCGCCGACGGGCCAGGCGCCGCCCCCGCCCATTCCGCAGGCGGGCCGCCCCGAGAGCGCGCTCACGCCGCCGCCCCTGCACCCGGGCGGGCAGGCGTACGACGCGCGGCAGACCCACCTGCCCAGCCGGATGGGCGTCGGCTCACCGACGGGAGGCGGCGCCGTCCCCAACGCGGGTCAGCAGCAGTACAGGGCCTATGTGCCCCCCGTGCCCGTGGCCGGGGGACCGTCGGGTGGTGGTGGTGGCGAGGCGCCGAGCGCGCCGGGGGATTATTATCGCACTGCGGCTTACTGAGGGGCAGGTTGACGGTCTCCTGGGCTCGGTCGGCAAGGTTGGGGGAAGAGGTGGGAAGGGGGGGCCATGGCCAGGGGCATGGGCATGTTCTGTTCTTGGCAGAGGAGAGTGTTCTAGCCTTGGATGAGCGGTTGGGTTCCATTACAATCCCCGAGGACGTTCTTTTCTTGTCGAAATCATAGGTACCCAGGTAATCCGGTTCTGTGTGGCCCGCGTCCATTAACCACCTAGTTGTATGTAGATAGACGCTTCAATGTCTCTTTCCCACCTTGTACTTACGCCGCTGTTACCGGCTACTCGGGTAGTTTCATTTGCAATCAAGTCTCTCAGAGCGTTTGGCCTGCTGGTTCCCGATTTCATCTGCTGTGGATCTACCGCCCACAGGACACAGTGGATCAAACTGTGAGTCCATTGCAAGTCCCGGCTCCACACCCGTGTATTGCCCCGCGATGCACAGTGTGGCTAATCAGTTCTTACACTTTCTGGGATGCCCGCCAAAAGTGCAGCGGACAGCTGGGACAACAAACAAAGCTAAATCCTGCCCCTGCCCAAGGAAGGTGGTGACCTGTGATAAAATACTGAACCTAAACCTGGAGTGCTTTTCTTGCAGAATGGAAGCCCATCAGATATCATGGACGCACTCCTGGCAAGACTTGGTGTGCAGGCTGTCAATTATGCCATAAGATCTGGCATCGCCATCACCTCGACTTATGCTGTTCAGCAGTGCTCTAGACTGCTTAAGACGGTCGATGACAAGGGTCTCCACACAGAACTCAAGACCCTGCAGAAACTCTTGAATAGTAAGATCAAGGTATGCATATCTGATTCTGCTATACTTCTTATAGCGTGTAATCTAACCATCTACAGATCATATCTCCTGCAATTGACTTGATCGAATTCAAGTAGGGATCGCATCCTCATATTCTCATATTCCTCAGTATCCATTTATCTAACACTCAGGATGTAGGTCCGGCCGTGGTAATGTCTTCCTCGAGTCAGCCGTCCCCTTAGCCAAGTCACTACATCGAGATATTGTGGCTCTCGGCAAGCGGCTGGAGAATGCAGCAGCCGAAGAGGAAGACTCTCGCTTGGGTGGCGGCAAAGCCCGCAGTCCTGAGCTGCATCTCTCCGGGCTGATGCTCATCATCAGTGATATCAAGAGCTTGTTAGCCCGGATCGACCGAGACATACCCCTGATACAGCTCGCCATCACTGCCTCAGGCGAAAGCCTCTCCACGTCTCTGCCTCCAGGCGTGTCTCCATCTCGGCTTCTACAGGCGAGTACATTTCTCATCGTCGGGGACACCCAGTTTGCCAATGATACCGCGAGATCGGTGCAGATCGGCCCATCCTTCACGCTCTCTCTATACATGCTTTTCGTTGGCCATAGTGCACCGGCTGGGGCGGGCCGGGTCAATCAACAAGGCCCGCCAGCCACCCCTGAGCACCCCGGTCTGGGAGCACAGGGGCGAGAGGAGCCATATGGTCTCGGAGAGGGCGAGAGAAAGCCGACGTGGCAAGAAGTGATGCACAAGGCTCGAGTACGGCTCTGCCGGACACCGCTGCATTGGAGTTTCGACCCGGAGCTTGGATATTGTCCAGGTTTGCCGTCAGGCGTCGGTTCCGATGTGGCACGGCCTTCCGAGCACAGTAACTCTGCTCTAGGAAGGCCGGATGAGTTTTCCTACCATATAGAGATAATCGAGGACCTCGACGACGGGCGTCTGCACGAAGAAGACGGCATAAAGCCCTCTCCATTTGATGATATCCCGATGGTTGGCATACGGGAATCAATACCGGTCTATCAGATATCCAAGATCTTCTACACGGACACTGGGAGGATTCTTAATATTGGGAATTCACTTGACGGAGATAACAATCCGGTCTTACTCTTGAAGAGAGACATCAACGCGCCATCCCCGACCCGGCTTAGGGAAGAATGGGATAAGGACTCTGTGGACCTGCAAACAGGCGAGAGCCCAGAGCCCAGCATACTTGGCTCCGACGATCAGGCCGAGATTGACCGGCAACTGCGAGAGGAGACTGGGTTGCCCAACAGGGGAAATGATGACGAGGCCCAACGCACCCGATCGAGATGGCGTCTTCCACAACACGTGGATCCAGAGTGGCTAGCGTTGGAGATATACACTGAAGACGACGATGAGAAGGACGACAACGACGACGATGATGACGAGGTATCGGACATTGACGGCGACGTTGACGAGCCAAATAAACAGCTTGCAATGATGCGACCTGGTCTCGGGAGAGATCGGTCCTCAGTGGACTCCAACCTTCTCGCGCAGATTCGCAACATCAGCATCCGATCATCGCCAGGAACTCCGTCGCGACCGTCTTCCAGAGACGTGGACAAGGTCCCGGCCGACAGTCCAGAGTCCTTCGTCGCAAGGTCGCCTTTTGGGGCCATCACTTCGTCGCTGTCTCTCATGGAGATGCTGATACGGCTCGCCAGTCTGCAGGAATTCCAGCAGACCACTCACTTGGCCATCCCGGACCACATCCTGACGTTCTTCCTGGAGGAGACATCGACTACTGGCTTACGGGGAGAGGAGCGGTGGAGATCTCGGAACGAGGCGAAGCGAAGAGTTGGATTTGACCCGTACACTGATACCCCTACTAAATAGACGAGCGACAATATGAGTGAATGACTCAACTTGCGGCAAAGAAAAGAGAGTGACTGTAACTGCCATGTCCATGTCCATTTCCCCCAGGCCAATTAGGTACTGCAAACGAAACAGGGGTTAGGGTTAGGGTGTTTTATGAAGGCTGTTGGTGGTTGCCTAGGAGCCAATCCATTATGTCATTCGTGTAAACAACCAGCGATAGACACAGCTCGTTTGCAGGCAGTCGCCACCCACCGCAAACAGCGTCCAATTTGCAGAGTATCTGGAACAAGCCCAAGATTTCTCTTGAGATCGGGTCCCCAGAGGCACGCTGCTACCCATGAGGTGATATGAGCCCACGCCTGCTCTGTTGACTCTGTATCTGACCCCACTTGTGCTGCAGAAAGCCCGGCGCCAGCTTCGTATTTGAACCCAAGAACAACCTTGCCTCGACGGAAACGCCAGTCTTTCCCAAGTCACCCAATAAACAAGGCACGAAATCAAAGAGGGAACTCCGTCAGAGTTTCTATGACTTGCTTCGATCGACCACTCTTACCTTACCGCCGACCAAACCCACAGTTCTAGGCGGGATGCCACTCTCACGGACTCCGTCCTTCGGGGACGATGATTTGAAGATCATTGGGTCGCAGTCTGCCAGCCAATCGCTCCAACCGATCGAGAATCTCAACTCGGAGATCGTCGACCTGTCTGACAGCCCCGCCACGAAGCCGGCTGCAACGGCGGTTCCCACGTTTGGCCGCCCGACCCAGCTGCACTCGCCGTTCCAGCGCAAGGAGGCGAACGTGTTCATCAAGCCGAAAAACCGCCCAGAGCACCACCGAGATCTGTACCGGACCAAAGGGCCCCTCGCCCCGAAGTACCAGGATAAGAAGGCAGCTCCGATTCCAATGTTCAGCTCCATGGGCGAGACTGCTCAGCCCCCGGTACAATATGCCCAACCTGCCAGCTCGCACTACGACCACGTAATCTACACGGACCCAAACAAGGCGTCTGCTGATCTCAAGGCCCTCCTGGAAGGGGGCATGGACGAAGATGAGGACGACGAGGAGAAGGAGAAGGTCGACGACGGCACAATGGCTGGCATCAAGGTCAAATTGCTCCCCCACCAGATCGAGGGCGTCGAATGGATGCGCGGCCGCGAGCTTGGGCCCATCAAGAGGGGGAAGCTCCCGAAAGGCGGTATCCTCGCCGACGACATGGGACTGGGGAAGACTCTCCAGAGCATTTCCCTGATCCTCAGCAACCCCATGCCCAACGGACCGGACCGTCCCGGCTGGAAGAAGCACTTCGAACACATCAAGCGAGCCACCCTCGTTGTCGCGCCGCTGGCTCTCATAAGACAGTGGGAAGCAGAGATCAAGGAGCGGGTCGAGAAGACCCACGCGCTCAAGGTCTATGTGCACCATGGTCCTCAGAGGACCAAGTCCGCCAAGGAACTCGCCCGGTACGACGTGGTCATTACGACATACCAGATCCTGGTGTCGGAGCATGGCCATAGTAGCCCAGATCCGGATAGCCATCAGGCAGGCTGTTTCGGGGTCCATTGGTACCGCGTCATCCTGGACGAGGCGCACAGCATCAAGAACCGCAACGCGAAGGCGACCAAGGCTGCGTGCGCGCTGCGTGCCGAGTACCGCTGGTGTTTGACGGGGACGCCGATGCAGAACAACCTGGACGAGCTGCAATCGCTCGTCCATTTCCTCCGGATCCAGCCATACGACGATCTGGCCGAGTGGAGAGCGAACATTGACGGGCCAATGAAGAACGGGAGGGGTCACATCGCCATACGACGCCTGCACACTCTGCTCCGGTGCTTCATGAAACGCCGCACCAAGGACATCTTGAAGGAGGAGGGCGCGCTGGTCGCGGGCGGGAAGAAGGCGCTTGATGCTGCGGCTGCAAAGGCCAAGAAGGAGGGCAAGGCGCTGGAGGAGCCAAAGGCAGCCTTCAAGGTCACGGAGCGCAAGGTCGTCACCGTGTCTGCCGAGTTCTCGCCCGCCGAGAGGGAGTTCTACAACAGGCTCGCCGAGAGGGCCGACAAGAGCCTTGAGAAGATGATGAAGGGGAAGGTCAACTACGCCAACGCCCTGGTCCTGCTCCTCCGCCTCCGGCAGGCCTGCAACCATCCCCGGCTGGCCGAGACCAAGCTGGAGAAGGACAAGGATGCCTTGACCACGGACACGGCGAGCCAGCAGCCGAAGAGCGCCGATGCCGATCTGGATGCCCTGGCAGACGCCTTTGGCGGCATGGGAATCCAGACAAAGCAGTGCGACATGTGCCTCAACGACCTGTCGCGGCAGGAGGTCGACGATGGCTCCTTGCGATGCTCGGCCTGCATAGAAAGCCTGGAGAAGCTCAACAACGACACCCCCGAGAGGAAGAGGCACAAGAAGAAGGGCAGACGGGTCAGCGTCGTCAAGGAAGTGGTCAAGGTCAAGGCCCAGAAGCGGAAGCCCCGCGGGCGCAAGATCATCGACGACAGCGACGACGAGGAAGGCGACGGCAGCTGGATTGTCCCCGAGGACCAGCAGGGCTCGCTGCGGCTTGGCAAGGCCGGGGGAGAGGATGACGAGAATGCCGAAGGCGTCGGGGAGGATATTGGCTCCGAGGACTCGGACCATCCGTCCGAAACCGAGGGGGGTAGCCAACTCGACAGTTTCGTCGCGAAGGACGACGCCGATTCCGACGAGGACACGTTTCTGTCGGTGTCTAAGATCAACTCCCAGGCCGTGCCCTCTCAGGAATCAGCCGACGCGGAATCAGGATCGGACGCCCAAGGTTCGGATGCCGACGACTCGGGCGTCTCCGCGTCCGAGCTCGCCTCGGAGTCGGATTCCGACTCGGACGCGCCGCCGTCCAAGCCGGGCCGGCGTCGCGGGCCCAAGGGCGGGATGAAGGACGCGGGCCACGTGATGACGTCGGCCAAGATCCGCGAGCTCATCTCGGTGGTGGGCAGGGAGGTGGCCGAGCACAAGTTCATCGTCTTCTCGCAGTTCACGTCCATGCTCGACCTGGTCGAGCCCTTCTTCCGGGCGCAGCCGGGCTTCAAGTCGGTGCGGTACGACGGCGGGATGCGCAACGACGCGCGCGAGGCGGCGCTGCGGTCGCTGCGGACGGACCCGCACACGCGCATCCTGCTCTGCAGCCTCAAGTGCGGGTCGCTGGGCCTCAACCTGACGGCGGCGACGCGCGTCGTCATCCTCGAGCCCTTCTGGAACCCCTTCGTCGAGGAGCAGGCCATCGACCGCGTGCACCGCCTCACGCAGACGGTCGACGTGGTCGTCTACAAGATGACGGTCGCGGGCACCGTCGAGGAGCGCATTCTCGACCTGCAGAACAAGAAGAGGCTCCTCGCCGAGGCGACCATCGAGGGCGGCATGCGGAGGAAGGGCAAGGACGCGCTCAAGCTCGGCCTCAACGAGATTCTCGACTTGTTCAAGCACGACGCCGCGCCCGGCCCTGGCCTGGGCCCCGGCAGCGGCGGAGACGGGCTCGTGGACAGCGGTGTTGTGGGGCAGGATGTCGGTGCCATGATGAGGGATCTGTCTATCAGGAAGAGGACCACGGAGCGGAGCCAGGAGAGCGAGATCTACGGCCGGCGGTGGTGAAGCACGGCTCCACAGAGAGAGAGAGAGAGAGAGACAGAATCAACGGGGGCTTATACTTGAGAGGTCGAGAGAGGCGTTGAGGTAGGGAAATTATCACATACAGGATGACCCGGGGTTTCAGGAACAAGGAAATCTGCTTCTATGGGCATGGGGACATGGGACTGGCTTTCTGAATCAAGTCGCTTGGTGTTCATATTTGCTAATGCTTGTTACGCTATTGACCGTAATGGGATTCAAGTTCTAGACATGGTCCTCGGGGTCATGGTTTTAAAGATGTGTCTCCCGCTTGCTGGTCTCGCTGTTTCCCGGTTCCTTGATTTCCGATGCTGCCATGTGGATGTTCCCCGTTTAATACCCGTTCTGCCATTCCGCTCCCATATTTATTCGAGGGGCCCAAAGGCACCGTCATCGCGTATCCCCCTGACGGCCCTGCATTTCCGCCTGGAGGGTTTGGCGTTTGCCCATGAGATACATTTTCTCCTGAAGGGCCCGCGGATGTTCTCGTGTCACTGTTATCCAACTGCCCCTCGGGAGCCCCCGATCCCGGGGTGCTGGATCCCTGAGTCCCAGTGAGTCCGGGTGGTCTGCTTGGTCCGGGTGGACCGCTGATTCTGGGTGGTTTGCTTAGTCCGGGTGGTCTGCTGAGTCCGGGTGGACCGCTGAATCTAGGTGGACCGCTGAATCTAGGTTCACCGCCGAATCTAGGTGGACCGCTGAATTCAGGTTGACCGCTGAATCTAGGTGGACCGCTGAATCCGGGTGGTCTGCTGAGTCCGGGTGGTCCGCGGCTTGTGAAGGCATTCGCCGCGGGATTCAAGCCGGAGACCACCTGGCTGTAGCTCAGGCCCGCGTGGCTGTAGCTCGGGCCCGCGTGGTTGGGGGGAACGTAGATGGTCGGCTGGTTGGGGGGAACTTGGATGGTCGGCTGGTTGGGGGGAGCCTGGACGGTCGGCTGGTTGGGGGGAGCCTGGATACTTGGCTGGTTGGGGGGGACCTGGATGGTCGGCCGGTTGGGGGGAGCCTGGATGCTCGGCTGGTTGGGGAGGGAGATGCCTAGAAGCTGCCGTATCTCTGCCAACAACTGCTGGTACCACGCAAGGTCGGCGAGACCGTGGTTGCCAGGGTCGTTGAGTGCAAGCGACGTGATACGCGTGAACAACTCCCCGTACTGTTGCTCAAGTGTCTTCAGCCGCCAGTAATCGTCCATGAGGTCTTGGGCGGCATAGGTTTGCCAAATGGCGTCGTATATGGAGCTAAAAAGCGGCATGGAGTGGATGTCCTGCCCAATTTGCCTTGCCTGACAGTTGCAGACGGGCGTGAGGATGGGCACATTGCTTTCTTGCATCCACCAGTTCCCGTGGCACAATCCCCCCATGGCTGTGGCCGCTCCGTGGATCATGGAGCAGTGGGCTAAGACCATCACAGGGTACTCCAGGCTACCGTAGGGATCCTTGGGGTTGAATTCAGGCCCAGTTGGATTGTGTATCTGCGCCGTGACCGAGGTGATTTCGCCGTCGAAGTGGTCGATGAGGACGAAACCTCGGCGTCCTAGAAATGCCGTCAAATTGGTTTCCTTTCGGATGCCACGTGCGTAACCCCTATCCCGCTGCTTGCTGAAGTCTTGGACCAAGGGTATCTCCCCTTCCTGTTCCACCGCTCTGTAGACAAGTTCCAGTTCGTTACGCCAGAGGTTCTACGTTTGGGCGCGCAAGAACTGAGTCCAAGCCATGGCCGCGTCGAAATGGGTAGGGTTGTTGCCCAGGGGCGGCTTGAATGGTGGTACCTGCGACATGGTTGACTAACGATGGCAATGTGAAGTGTCCTGCTTTGTAGAGATAGTTGCAACGATGAGCCTAGTTCCAAACACCTGATCCAGGGACAGAAGAGAATGTTTGTCCCTCCGACCACGGTTGTGATGACAGAGTCACATTGGAGGTGGCTGCCACTTATATAGGTACCCACCTAGTCTCTTCCTTCCTCCTTCCGTTTTCAGGGACCTCTATGCTTCGCCATTGCCAGACACGTAGGGGGACGTAAGTAGGTAGGAGCTTCCATGGTAAGCAGAAGGTGCACCTTCCCCAATACTTTTAGCAATAGGTACCATAGAATGTACGTACGTACCTACCTAGAGGTAGATTCTACCCAGGCTGTGATTGCCAGACAAAGCAAGGGTGCAGAATAGTGGACATGAACCTCTGTGGTGAAGTAAATCAGATTTCTTGTCGCTGTTACAATAATTTCTGCGCTACCGAGACACCAACCAAGTATTCAGAGCAAGGAGAAAGCCCAGAAAGAGAGCCCAACTTAATTAAGTACAAGGAAACGACCGCCGAGCCAACCCCTCTTCCATCCATGTGTCATAACCTCATCATAACCACGCTTCAAGGTCGGCAACAAAGATTCAGCCGCACCTAAGCCTTCGGCGGAGGATCAAACGTGGGAACAGCAGCAGTGGGGGACTGGCTAGACTCAGTGGCCGGAGCGTTTGACGGGGCCGAGCCAGGCACATTGCCTGTCTGTCCGGAAGCCGACTGGCTCGTCTTCTCGGGCCCAAAGACGCGGTCGAGACCCGCAGCCTTATAGGCACTGCCACCGTGCTCCTGCTTCTTCAGGTCGGCCAACCGCCTGGCCTCGCTGTGGATGTCCGAGACCTGGCGTGAGCCGTCGGTGTAGAACTTGGCTATGCGCTTGCCGGTGGGGGTATTGCTGGCCTTCTCAAAGTACGAGCCCAGGCCGGTCCATAGGTTATTCGCACGCTCGGAGATGCCGTAGCTCTTGTCGGCTGTCTTTGCCCGGTCCGTGGCCTGGTACTTCTCGTCGAGGCTTTGGAGCGTCTGAAGGAAACGCGTAGACACGCCGTGCTTCTCATCAAGAGTGATGGCCGATTTCAACCCGGCATCTGCCACGACGTAACCGTGGGCGAGATACTCGGCCAGGATGCGTGCGCGAGGCTTCTCCTCTTGCGTAATCTCGTCCGAATCCCGCTCGGCCTGCCCCTTGGGGTGGCTGCCATCGTCAGCGGTGGCACCGGCAGGGCCCGTAACCGTGATCTCGTTCTCGCCAAGCTTTGTATGGTTCAGGAGGAGTGCCGTCTTGGAAGCTGTCTCCTTTTCGAATGTAACTGTGGCATTCTTGGTGTCGCCCTCAGTTGTGATGTTGATGTTGGCAATCTTGCCGCTACAGTCGGGAAAGACGCATGGTCAGCAAATGAGCACGCTTTCTCATAGGGAAGGCCATGATAACGACCGGGATGCATACCAGAAGCTGAAGAAATCTTTGATTTCCTTATCTTCCGTTTTTGGAGCAATGTTCGAGACAGTGACGGTATTTCCCGAAGAAGTCATGGTGGCTGATGGTGATGCGGGGTATTTGTTGGGAGTCGGAGTGGTAAGAGCGATGAATGATGGAAGTTGCAAGTATGTTCTTGTGGGTTTTGTGGTGTGTAGGAGTTGAAGTTCTTAGCACTTGGTGGTTACGGTACTTATGTGTCTTGGGTGTAGTGGGCAATGGTAAGTACTCCTTGTCAGGCCATAATAATGGAAGGAGGAGGAAGACGAGGGGCGAGGCATTTCGTCATCCTTCCAGTTAAGTGACATCCCGCCGTCCCAGACCGTTTCCTAGCAGGGGGCTGGCCGCGTCATCACGTCATCAATTCTACCCTTGCTGGTTAGGTGCAACACTGAGCATGTGAAAATTGACCTCGAGGCACCACTTCATTTCTGGAACTGTGTCTCTTACTTCGTTTATAGTTTATAGTTTATACTGGTGGTAGTCGGACCTGAGGCCTGATTGATAGCTCCCTACTAACACAAAATTGACCATTACGATCCCGACGACTTCTTCGGGTACTTCGCCTCCAACGCGGCATCCAATGGACCAGGGGGATTGGACGTCAGGTTCTGCCTCGGTCAGCACGCCTTCTGAAATAGCTTAGGAAATCACTGGGTGAAGAAGCTCACCTCTAGAGACTGCTTGTTTGCCTGATTCTTCTTGCTCGAGTCGTCTGTTCCTTGTCCTGAACCGGGGGTTTCCTTCATTTGGCGACCCGAAGACCTCTCAGGAGGGGGTGACTGGTGGCCCTCTTCGGACATGTTGATTAACTGGCGAGGTAGGTAGGTAGCTAGGGGTTGGATAAATATGATTTTTTGGGGGATCCAAGTGCAAAGCAAAGTTCGTATTCCTGGCATAAACCTTTGTCAACCGATGATTCTCTCTGGACTACCTAGGCAGGCAGGGTCACTTACAATTATAACGAGTTCTTTTTCAGTAACAGTAGTGGTAATGGTGATGGTAGGGAACAGATCGTATGAGGGGAAGTTTGTTCTTAAATTAAAGCCCAAGTTTGCCTGGCATCATTTCCAACCGTTGACATCAGAGTCTCTTGGTTTCCACCCATCCAACCCATCCACTCCGTCATACAGTCTTTCAGTTATAGTTGATTACATCATAGCTACCTACGTGCTAGAACTTAGGTGCCCCTGGGGTCTGCCCCACCTCGGCAGGTCCCTGCCCCGCACCAAATGAGGGCCAAGTTCAGCCTTGCATGTTAGGCTGAAATTAGTGCAGTTTTATTGGAGAAGCACGCGCGATGGATGCCTCTGCTGGAGGTTGCATAACAGGTCATATTGTGTTTATTTTGGCTTAATGAGGAAGTGTTTTTCAACAATTCCCTTCTTCATCGTCCATTCTTTCTCAACTGGTAGCGTTTGAAGGCCAGGCCAGGGCTCAGACGTATTTCCCCAACCTCGCCTCTCACCTCATTGTCACATTGCCCTCCTTGACTCGACTTCACGATGCCTGACCTCAACTCTGTGCCGCCGTCTCCCCATATCCTGCCACCGGCTTCGCGGAGAGCATCATCACAGCAAATGCCTCCACCGCCTGTACCCAGCTCACCATCCCTCAACGTTCTGCCCTCAAACCAGAACGCCGTAGGCCATGGAGGATACCCTTCATCCCTGCCGGCCCCTCAGATCTCCCCTGGCATCCATCTCGGACACCCGCAGCCTGCCAACTTTGGTACGACACCTGGCCCTGGCCCAATCCGGCACCCACGTCCGTTGACCGCGGCCGACCTCCACCTCCAGCTGGAGAAGGAGCAGGAAGCAGTTGTAAGTCACCTTCGTGACATTGTCTATTCGGCCAGAACTGATCCTTAAATCCTTGCTCCCAGGTCAACCGCTTAAGCCGTGAACTCTCCCTCCTACGCGCAGCCCAAAACTCCTCCGTCGTATCCGACACCTCGTCCACATCTGCCACTGCATCAGGGCCCGAATCCGTCCACGTTTCGGACCAACACCTGAACGCGAGTTCTGGATTCTCTCATCCACTAACCAGTGGCCGTCGGCATCATCGTACGTCATCCAGTACCAGCGCGCGGAGCTTGACCGCAAATGCCGGATCTATTTCCACAAGTTCCCTTGCTGGCATCTCCTCTCCGGCTCCTATCAGGCCAGGCAACCCAGCCGGCGGTATCAGCCTTAGCCGGCAGAATAGCGCTGCGTCGCGACGAAGCCGGGCGGGCTCGCCGGGCCCGCACGCCGGTTCCACATCGTCCTTGCAACAGCACCACGCATTCACACACCCCCATGCGAGCGACCCGAATGTCCCTTCGTACTTTGGCCACCGCACCAGCGGCCATGCGCCGCCGTCTATGCCTCTGGCGACGCCGGGGTCCGCCGGCGCCATCAGCGCCTCGGAGCTGTCGCCCGGCATCCTCCCCGCCACGCTGCGGTACGAGGAGACGGCCTTCTACCGCGCGGAGCTCGAGAGCGTCAAGCGCGAGAACGACGCCCTGAAGCGCCGCGTGCGCGAACTCGAGCGCGTGGTCCGCGACCGCCGCGCCAGCGACGCCAGCCGCCAGAGCCAAGGCCCTGACCGGGCGCGCAGCGAGAGCGTCAGCACGGTGGCGAGCGTGAGCGTGGCGGCGAGCGCGACGGGCGCGGTGGCCGGATCGGGCATCGCGGCGCAGAGGGAGGGCAGGGAGAGGCCGAGGGTGGCGAGCATCCTCGGCGTCCCTGGGGAAGAGGTGCGAGTCGGAGAGAGCGCGGCGAGCGCGGGGCTGGGGACTCGGGAGAGGGAGTGACGCAGATAATCCCAGAAAACTTCCTACCTATCTGGGACCGACTTGAACTTTTGAAGCCATGTCCCACCCCTGGTTGTGTTCAGGGGGGATTTGCTTGCACGACGGAAGGGAAACGACGCTCATTACCTCGAAGCATTTGGCGTTCCGGATTTCTCTGCCTCAGGGGACATTACCCCGATGGCCATAATACCACTTATAGGATTGTTTGCTTTGCTGGAGTCTTGGGAGCCTGGCCTGCTTTTATAGTACCTGTTGCTCTGATACTATAGCCATGACGGCTTTACACCAGATAAGAAGGAAAACAAGTGAAGGTCTTAGGTTACAAGTTGAGCAGATGCTTGTGATGAACTCAGTCTTAGTTCACACGAAAAGTTTTCGTGCCTGTGGACTACGTATAGGGGGCCAACTCGATGTTGCTTGCTTGCCTTCTCGCCACTCCCGACGCACCCTCCTGGGATCTTCCTCTTCCCTCATTCTACCAACCGGGGATGATAGGAAATCAGCATCGTCGTGAGGCATAACTGGGCAGAGAAACAGCCTACGTTTTGTCGAACTGAATCCCTGATGCATCGCTGTGGACATTTTGTAACACAGTGCAATTAGGCACTGTCGCACTGTTACACACTGTACCCACCTCTGATTAGGCACGAACCATTTACAGACAACTCCAGTACATTCTTCAACCCCTGCCTGATATCTTTGAAGAACTACTTACTCCCACCCACCTGTCTACCAAAGATAGCAGTAGAGGTGCTTCAAGCTGTCCGCTAAACAACACAACCTGTCTATCTACTTGCCCCCAGTCGAAGCTTGCGAGCCCACATATTCACCGGAGTCGAGATAACCTGCGCGGTCGTCTCCGCCCCCGAAATCTCTCCCTCGTCCGCCTTAGAACCTTCCCCCTCCCCACAGACCAAGAAGGCCTAGGCCTCGCCGCCATGGGGTCCATCGTGCTACCTCACCTACACAGCGGATGGCATGTCGACCAAGCCATTCTATCGGAAGAAGAGCGGCTGGTGGTGATACGGTTCGGGCGCGACGGCAACCCGGACTGCCTGCGGCAGGACGACGTGCTGGCGCGCATCGCGAACCAGGTCAAGTCGTTCGCGGTGATCTACCTGTGCGACAACCAGGAGGTGCCCGACTTCAACACCATGTACGAGCTCTTCGACAACATGACCATCATGTTCTTCTTCCGCAACAAGCACATGATGTGCGACTTTGGCACCGGAAACAACAACAAGCTCAACTGGGTCCTCGAGGATAAGCAGGAGCTCATCGATATCATCGAGACGATATATCGCGGCGCAAAGAAGGGCCGTGGTCTCGTCGTCAGCCCGAAGGATTATTCGACCCGGCACCGGTATTAGGATTGGTTGGATGGCCGTGGGGGCGTCGCGAGGGGTTCCCAAGTGCGGTTTGCAGTTCGGTTTTGCACCGTATGGGTGGTGCTGGTTAAGGGCAAATACATGGAGTTTAAGAATCATTGGCGGTGTCTCAGTCTTGACCAAGGCGGTGCCTTTCCTTCCCCCCTTTGGCATGACATGTTAGGATTATAGGCTGACGAATATCGAAGAAAAAGCATTCTCTTGAGCTTACCGCCTGGCCCCTTTCGTGCTTCCAGTCTCGTCAGGTTCGCTGCCGGCATGCGAAATTTTGCTCACAAAATTACAGAGTAAGTGCAACGCCACCTCTATTCCGTCGCCAATACGAAACGTATCTCTTGGAGCTCGTGACTGGTCGTGATGTATTTGATGTCGGCCTTTTCATTCCTGGCTCGGCTCACCGGCCCAGCCGGCCTGCATTAGTAGGAAAGCCCAAGTACGGTGACGATTTTGCCTCTAAATCCTTGAGGCCATCCACAAGGTGAATGAGGTAAAGGATAATGAACGTACATCTAGCCGTCTCCTCTACATTGCTCTTGTGCTTGGTTTTATTTGTAAACAAATTCAGTTGTAAAGTCGCCATCTAGGAATTTTCATTGATGCAGCCTACCTACAGTCAACTGCATATTCCTGACAGCATGCCCACTCAAGGGGGCTGACTGACTGAGGGATGACGCCATGCTGTCACGGGTATTACACGGCCTCCCCTGAGCACCAAGGGAGTGTCTGTTATATGCAAAGACATTTTCTGTCCTGTTATTACGATGTCTATGTTGCTACCTAAATGCATTTTATTTCTAACGGTAAGAGCCGGTCGCCTCGGCCCTCCTCTAACACCCACCCAGTCAAGCCGCAGCTCAAACGGCGTCCAGCCCTCCACTAACTCGACATAGCCCCGCTTCACTACCTCTTGTTGAAATTCAAGAAACGGCTCTGTGACACATGAAGTTAGTTATCAAAATCTTGGATATCTCGGAAAGCAATAGGGACGTCACTCACAGCCGTAAACAAGATGATCAAGTTGCTACCCAGGAAGGCCAAGAAGATGCCGAGATCCCTCCAGCGGTGGTCGAACGAGAAGCCGAGCGCCTCGTAGAACTGGTCGCCGACCTTGTACGCGCAGTACTCGCACGCGCTGGTGGCGTTGCTGACCAGGTATCCGGCGCCGCCGTGCTCGAAGAAGGGCTTCATGTACTCGCCGCACGAGACCCCCGCGGGCGCGTCGAAGCGGTTCAGCTCGTCGGCCGCGCAGATGACGGGTAGCTCGTGCAAGGCGGTCACGACCATGCCGCCGATGAGCCGCGTGAACGGGTCCAGCTGGAAGAGCCAGGACCTCCAGAATTTGGGCATCTGGGTGCTGGGGATGGTGACGCCGCAGAAGAGCGCGAAGGTGATCATGATGAAGGGGTCGAACTGCGAGCTGATGAAGGCCGACGGAGTCAGCGCCGACAGGCACTGGCCTAGCGTGACGCTGAACAGCTCCGTGATCAGCACCATGAAGAACTGGTACCCGGCGCGGGAGCTCTCCGTCTGGAAGCCCGGCATGTAGTATATCGGTAGGAAGAAGCAGACCGCGCAGAGGATGCTGTAGGGAATCTCGGCAATGACCATGGACGCGGCAAAGGTGAAGGGGCTGTACATCTTGGAAAGCGACTCGCGGAAGAAGATGGCCCGCTTGATGTGGTACATGATCTCGACCTGGTTGATGACGAGCGCCGGCAGTACGGTGACCTGGAAGGTGACGAACACCTTATACTGGAGCGAGGAGCGGGAGAGGTCAAGGTGGAGGAAGGCCAGGCCGGTGAGAAGTGCGATTACCAGATGGTTGAAGAGGCGCGTGAAGAGATAGTTGGGTGAGCGCCAGTAGGCGAGGTTGGTGCGGCGGACGACCACCCTGAGCTGATGCATCAGAGGTGATGCATACTCCTTCTCCAGCTGCAGATCCACCTGCTCGCCGGCAGCTCTCCGCGTCTCCTTCATCTGGGAAATCGTATCCTTGACGTTAGCAAGCTCGGGGCTGTCCTCCCAAATGTCGGCCCAATCCCGGTTGCCGATACGAGGAGCGCTGCCAGCACCGATGGCCTCGAGCATGAACTCGGCAACGTTGTCGGTGTCCTGGGCAACAGCGCCGTGTCGATTCAGGTAGTCCCGCAGCACGCTGGCGTCCTTGCCGATGGGGCCGAAGTAGACACACCGGCCGCCGGACTTCAACAGGAGTAGCCGGTCGAAGTTCTCGAACAGGGCGGCATTCGGCTGATGGATGGTACAGAGAATAGCCTGGCCAGCGGCGGCAAGCTTCTTAAGAAAGCGAACGATATTGAAAGCACTCTGGCTGTCCAAGCCCGAAGTAGGCTCATCCAGGAAGAGGAGGAGCTGTGGCCGGGCGGCCAACTCCACGCCAATGGTGACCCGTTTGCGTTGCTCGACAGTGAGGCCAGCCTCCGGTGACCCGATGATGGCATCCGCAAAGCTCTCCATCTCAAGGAGGCCCATGATCTCCTCAACGTACGCATACTTTTCCTCCTGCGGGGTCTCGAAAGGCTGCCGCAGGTCGGCCGAGAACCGAAGCGCCTCGCGGACAGTCTGCGTTGGATCGTGCAAGTCCATCTGCTCCGCATACGACGTGCTGCGCTGGAACTCCTTACCGGGCTTGATAGCGTCGACAAGGATATCGCCCCTGATAACGCCAATGTTTTTCCTTGCGGCGAGGACGTCCAAAAGTGTCGTCTTGCCGGCGCCACTCGCTCCCATCAAGGCCGTCAGCTCGCCCGGGCGGACGTAGCCGAATACATTGTTGAGGAGCCGGCGGGTGCCACCTGGCACAGGCACGTCGTATTCGAGAGCCTCCCATGTGAGGATGCTCTTGGACTCGAGCTTGAGTTCGGTGCTTTCCACTTCCTTCTTGCCCTTCTGCCGGTTATCTCGTTGGCTCGCCAATGCGTCGTTAAGCCGTTTCCGATCAGCGTTAGGCTTCTGGAAGATCTTGACTGTGTTCCCTGCCATGCCGAAGTCCACAAGCTCTCCAAGGACGACGTTCATGATCAGGAAAAACACGATAATACACAGGATAATACCCCAGTTTCTCCAGAGGTCGCCGGGGCTAAACGAGAAGCGGTTGATGATGTAAGATGAGCCGGGGACGTTCAGAGTGCCGGGCGATGACCCCGCAAGGGTGCAGACTTGGTGATTTATATCATCATAGCCTGGGCCGGAAGGAATCAACGAGTCCGCCGTGCACGTCATGTCAATGCGACTGAATTCGTTCTCCATTAGGCCGCTGAAAGCAAGACCCAGGACGTTGATCCAGTATATCCACCTGAGCCAGACCTGTTCAGACTGGTACTGAATCAGGTAGCCGGACGTCGTGACGTAGAAGGTGATGACGATGACGGCGAATTTGGAGGCGTAATCGTAATCAGGACTGATACAGCCAATGATGCGGAAGAACAAAGTCATTGCGATGTTGCCGGAGAGAACGAGCAGATAGAAGGTGAAGAACGCGCCGGCGTCTCTCACCAGTCCGCTCATGAAGTAGACAATGATAGAGAACAGCATGATTTGAGACGCTGCAAATGCTTGGTCGACGAAAATCTGCGCAATCCAGAGCGCCGATGGTCGGTGAAAGGCGTAGGCCCTGTGCTTGTTCACGACGGAGCGGCCGGTCATGGTGTTTCCAAGCTCGGAGAAAGCCTGGAATGCGTTGAAAAGGAGCGAGATGAACATCAGACCTCCCTTGCTGAAGGCGCTGGCAGATGTCTTGCCAAGATTGAGGTAGAGGGTTCCCAGGACAATGGCGATGACGATGCTCCTCAACCAGGAGAGGAAGAGACCGAGCCGGTCTTGCATCTTCAGGGCGAATTGGCGCTTCATCAGAGCCCAGACCTGTTGGTGGAAGCCGGCAGAGTAGACAGATCTCTTAGGTGCGCCCCGGCGCTTCTGCTCCCGCACTGCGAGCCTGAAGTCTTCGTACGTTCCCGTCTCTTCCGTGAGCTTCGCCTTGTACTGGGCCATCTCCTGGTCCAGCGCCTTGGCAAACTGAGACTCGTTGAATGCGCGTTCCAGGGTCTCGGGACTGTGAGGTGCATTGGCTTCTGACCACCCGGGAGCGTATTCTCTCTCGAATTCGTCGGTACATCCTGTCACATAGTCTGGGGTCACCTGCCTTGGCTTTGGGAGGAAGCCTAGGCCTTCGAAGTAGCCTCTTGCCTCGGAGGTGGGTCCGAAGTAGACCTGCTTGCCAGCGTCGATGACTAGGACCTTGTCAAACTGCTTGTAAATATTCTCCGAGGCTTGGTATAGCGACACGAATGTGGTGGTCTTGTATAGGTTGGTCTGAATGCGCAAAGACTTCACAAAGTCGAGGGCCGTGGAGGCGTCGAGACCTCGCGTACTGTTATCCCAGGACAGAATGCAGGCGTTGGTGATGAGCATCTCCGCAATCGACACCCGCTTCCGTTCGCCGCCCGAGACACCGCGAACGAAGTGCCCTCCGACGACCGTGTGGCGGGTGTGTTCGATGTTGAACATCTTGAGCATCATGTCGATGACCTCTTCCTTGAAGCGCTTCTTAGACATGCCCCCGGGAAGATTGCCACGCATCTTGACATCCAGCGCAAAGCCAAGAGTCTGCTCCACGGAGAGGGTGGCGAGATGGAGATCGTCCTCTTGATTGTAAACAGCCTCGCCTCGATACTTGGTGAACTCCTTCGCCGTGAACGGGCCGTAGAGCACCTCCCCAGACACACCGGTGTATCCGTACCGTTGGTTGGCAATAGTCTTCAGGAAAGTGGTGCACCCGGATCCGGGTCTCCCGAGGACCAAGACCATCTCTCCCGGCTTGCACACGCCCTTGAAGTTGTCGAGCAATGTTGCTTCGATTCCCTTCTTACCCAGACCGAGGAGCCTTATCAGCGGAGAGATATAATCGAAGGAGTTGATGAGCACATCCGGAAACGTCTTGACGTAGTTTGTCGTGCCGCCCCGGCCCTTCACGGTCAGGCTATCCCAGTACACGCCGATGTGCTTCGGCCGGATCCCCGCTTCCCTTTCAGCGTCCAAGCCACCACGCAGAGCCGACTCAAGGTCGAACTGCTCGCCCTCCGAATCCGAGGAAGGCGACGCGGTGATAGCATTGGCGCTTTTCTCGACATCGGCCCCCTTTTTCCGGCTGCTGGCACGACTAGCACGACTCGCTCTCGACAGCTCTCGCTGCAGATGCGCAAACTCGGCTTCGGCCTGCTCGACCGACACCCCGGTCGGGACGCGGGTCAAGCCATTGGGGTTGTTTCGCCGGGCTTCCTCTCGTAGCTCCTCGAGGTCCTGGGTTCGCGAGGAGACGGACGAGGTCAGGCTATGCGACGTACCGGTCGCCGCAGCGGTGGCTTCATGCTCGGCATGTTCCGGTGCCACGGCGTTCTCTAACGCCTCTCCATTTCCCGTGGCACCCATCATGCACGGTCGTCCACGGCGTCCAATTAAGGGTTATTGTATTGGGAGATCGTCAAGATTGCCGCGTAAGAAATTCTAGGATCGCCGCAAGAGACGGTGAATGCCGCTGCTTGAGTGTGGCTGCGGCCTCAACAGGCACCGGCGCAGCAATAAGGAGAAAATGAAGTTCTAGGAGTTGGGTTGTAGCAAAGCGAAGGAAAGGCGATATGAACTGTGAATAAGGAGATGTAAATGAGAGACTATCAAGGTACTTGAGGAAGGAATGGGGGTGGGAGGAACTGTGACGGAGAGAAGAGAATTGCATATAAGTTCCTGAAGGCAAACCAACAAATTAGTACATCGAAAAATATTTAGACCCACCTCTTTGGGCACTTTGTTTGCAGCTCCGCCCGGACTCGGCACAGATTACCAATCTTTTTGATCTTTTGGGGCTCTCAACGCACCTTAAACTCTCCATCCCTACCACGCGCAAAGCCTAAATCCACATGGGGCGCGGGCCACAACCGCCACGAGCGTTGATGAACTGGGCGAATCAAACTTCAGGATCCGTCCCGAATTAGTCACATTTTGGCTTCCGTGCATGGGCCCAAGCGGAGAAGAGCGGGCCTCCAATCTTTACCTCCGCTGCCGGAAAATCGGCAGTCTCAACTTTCTCAGATCCGGGTCACAAACAGTTCAATGCGTGTTCAATTTCAATCCGTATTCAATCTAAGGTCTAAGCACACTGTTTGCTCTCACCATTTGAAACCTTCCGGAAGAGGAGTGGGGTGCGACAACCTATCCCGTCAAAAGCAAGCAAGTATTGTGTAAGTCGGCGCCCCTCCTTCGGTAATGCACATTGGCCGGTATGAGTAATACCTACTACGGCCCTGTCTCCCACCCACATCCCGAGCTCGATGTGATGATCCTGGCACCTGGCTAGTTACTGACGTACGGCGTTTGTTGAACCACAGTAGGGCAGTTATTCCGATCTCCAATATACGTATTATGGAGTAATAAGTAAGAGCGTTAATGCTGGTAGTTCCTCTAGGGCTTCCTAGTAGGTGTCTCTGGAGAATAAGAACCTGAGGGGTCTCTTTACAGTCATGACTCAAAGCGGTCGTCGTTTCCCAACTGTCCTGACTCGAACCTGGATGGCAGCACGGAATATTCGTCCCGTCCCGCCTGTTTGTTCCTAAGTACACAAGTACGGGGGTACCTACCTTCTCCTCCGCCGCCTCCAAGGCGCGTTGGATCTGATAAGTATGAAGGAAGAGATCCATAGTGAGCGACAATGAGTCGAATTTTCAACAGCTAATTGGTTCTCGCGCGCCAAGCTTCCATATTCTGGAATGGGTATCGATAGCCCCGGAGTTAATCGGACTTCTGGCCCGCGGAAGAAGAAAGCCTCAACCTCGTCGCCTGATCTGGCAGGCCTCGCCCGAGGTATACCCGGAGGTGGGAGACGCCCACTTTTATACAGGCCATTTATAGCAAGCATTGGCTTATTCAACAGATCCATGTTAAGTGTGCGCGAGACCAGAGGTCCCAAGTGAAATTATGTCTTAGACCCTGATGCTGACCACCTCCATAACGCGGCAACGCCGTATCCCGTTCCCTTTCTCATCGCAAGAACCCCGCAGGGAAGAAACGCCGACCATGCAAGGGAAGAGAAGATGTGGGAGTCCTCCTGTTCGCCCGTGTGGATCTAACCGTTCCGGCCCGTCCTTTTTTCTCAATTTCTTGTTCTTTTTTTGGCTGCTGAACTACTGAAAGGATGGCCCCTAGCTAAAGTTCCGACTCTGCGCCGTTGGCCTCCAGCGCCATCGGGCTTCCGTTCTGGTTCCGTCTCTGGTTTTGACGAAGCCTTGCGCTGCCCGGTGGACGACGTCGCACGACCGTCCTCCCGTTCAGATTCATGGCCTCGTCTTCGTCGTCCGAGTCTCCGTGCTCCTGCGCAAACTGCCGGGCCTCGTCAAGCTCGGTTACGTCCTCTGGTTTGTCGCGGAGCCACTGCATGCGAGGGCCCGAGCGGGCGACCTCGGATACCCGGAATCCATAAATCCGAGGTTCATAGATCTTATCACGGCCCAGCCCAGGCGCGACGTTCCGCGCGTAGACTCCATTTACCATAAGGTTATCATCTATAGCCATGCTACTGCTGGTAGCTGACCGGCTCGCATGGAGGTTGGATAGTGCCTCGGCGCCCGTCTTGGAGAGGTCGTATTCAGGGAAGGTAAGCAGGAAAAGGGCGCCAAACGTGCGCCCGAAGAAGGCGCCATCGACGGTCTGGAAACGGCTGTTGGGCGGGACGTATACGTCGAGGCAGGATGGGCAGAAGAGCTTGACGGTATCCTCTCCTGGTATATCAGATAGACCGACCGGTAGGGTTCTCGCCTGATTGCAGTTTGTGCGGGGACACACGCCGAAGTGGCCCAGCTCGTACTTCTCCGACATCTGCTGTATGCCGACTCGTGAGCAGATGAACCGTTGGTGGATCAGGCCATAGAGCATCTCGGCGGACGACTCGATGACGGACAGGTCACTGGCGACGCGGCTGTGCTGTCTTCGTTCGCCGTATTGCCGGCCCCCTACTCCCCCACGAGCATCCCCCGAGTCATCCTGCTCATCTTCATCCTCCTCATCTTCGTCATCGTCATCATCCTCCGGCTCGACGTCGAGAATCATCTAATATCCACACAGTCAGATGGGGATGGCCGCATAGAAAGCAAGGGGGGTTTGGGCAGAAATACTCACCTCTAGTGCCTCCTTATACATGGGCACCTGAGACTGCAGACCGGTGAGGTTGAAGTCATCTTCGATAAACTCTTCTGATACCTCGGCGAAGTATTCGTGGCCGAGGAGAGAGCAGAAGGACGCGATCCACGACTCCGGGCTGCCAGATGATGTCGACATCTCGGACGCTCTGCAAGCGTGGAGGCGCTGCAGGAAAAGGCTGCGAGTGCCGCAGCTGAGCTGGTGTCGATGCAGGATGTTTCTGATCCCGACCGACGCGTTGGGCAACCACGAGCGTCACTCTATGACGAGGACATGATAATTTCGCGAAGGTGGTAGGATCATGAAAAGTAATGCTGGGCCGACTTCAGAGGAGCCTATCACGCGAGGGTAGTGGATAGTGCTGAATACCTATGTTCGGTGCCCGGGATTTAGGTATTTTGCTGGCTCATGGGCTCAATTGAAGGTTGCGAATCTCTACACTAGCGCCTTGGTTGGTCCGTGCCCTGCTTCAGCCCCGCGCCCAACGGAGGGATTGATGTTCCCTCCGGAGCAGATCCTCGCCCCACCTTGGCAGGTTCAATTTGCCAACCGCCGGGCCCGTGCAATGGATTCCATCGCGGAAAATCACGTGTACCCCTGATCTTAACAATTTCAAAACCCGACAGAGGCTACCCGTCTTTCCGGGACCCTCATCTTGAAACTGAACACTCGGAGGCAATATTCTTACACTCGCTCCCTTTTTACATTACTTTCCTAGCTTATGGAACGACCCTCGGACTATTCTGATGCCACTAATATCCAGAGCATGTTTACTGTCCACACAACGACCAGCCCTGTGGCGGGCGACAGGGTTCAAGAACCTTAGCACCATTACAGCAATTCCCAAGGCCGCCGATACGGTGGGCTGCGAAGAGTTTCGGCGGGAGGCGTTCAGCATCGACCGACCCCTCGTTATGAGAGGCAGCGCTCAACATGACAGGCCTGACCACAGTACGGCGTCTGTGTTTTCCATCCTTCCCAAGTGGTTCCGCTTGAATCAGGAAACCCACCATTATGACGCTACACCGTACCTCCAGAACTTCTCTGCCACACTGTTTCCTTATGAGCTTGTCCAAGGGCCAAAGGCGACAAGTGCGAGCGAAAATACCCATGAAGGAATATACAATTTCTCCATTTGGTTGTCAAGCACCGATAAGCCAATCCACAAGCATTTAACACAGCTGCTTCAACATCATCTGGATACACTCAGTCCCAATGGTCAGGAAGTTCAGCTTCTTCGCTTCTATGCGCCGCTGGCTTTGCTACTAGCGGCACTTGAATATAACGTCTCGCACAGCCAGGACAAGGTCACACAACTATACATTGCTCAGGCACCCCTCAGTGACCTACCCGCAGAGCTGGCGAGCGATATGCGCTCTCCCGAGATCGTGCAGTCCGCCGGAAAAGGTGACATTTACAATTCCAGTATCTGGCTCGGGCTCGAGCCAACCTACACGCCTTGGCACCGGGACCCGAATCCGAATCTGTTCTGCCAGCTCTGCAGCTCGAAGGTCACCAGGCTCCTTCCTCCGTCTGCCGGGGAACGCATCTTCCGGGACGTCCAAATGCGGCTTGGGAGGTCAGGCAGCTCGCAGATTCGCGGAGAGGAGATGATGCAGGGCCCCGAAAGACTGCTGCTACACGACGCGATATGGGGTGAGGAGGCCACAGCGGATATCCAGGAGGCTCGGTTGGATGCTGGGGATGCTCTCTACATTCCCAAAGGCTGGTGGCACAGTGTTAAGAGCGGATTCCGAGACGGCAGGCTCAATGGCTCAGTCAACTGGTGGTTCCGTTGATATCGATCCGGACGGGCAAGCTTGAACAATCCAACTCAGCAAAGTACATACCCAGCGGCAACAAGGTCGAACTTCGATATTTGCAGATCGATCCGCATTCCACCATGATCCCAACACTTATCTAATGGAGTCACTATCCCAGCAAGGGCTCTCGCAGATCGGATGAGGTTCTGCTCTGCTGCTTTGTTCTCCTTTGCTTCCTTCGACTCCTGCAAGTAGCCCGTCAATGCTTGGAGTGCTTCATTTCATTGGCTCGACTGCCTCACTATGCCAGGGGCAACACAACCTTTCCCGAGCCATATTTGGGCAGCTGCATCTCAATCTGGTGTTGTTTGGCGAAATGCAGAAATATCGGGCTCCAGCGTCGCGGACGCTGCCTCTTTGACGACAATGGTAGAGGGATGGGACGGGAGGGACAGGAGGGGCAGAGGAGCTGGAGAGACTGCTTTGCAGTTTCGGGGGGCCCGATGGTGGCTACGTGGGCATCCTGCTCCCGCTTCAGGCTCTGGTCCTGGTTCCTGCTAGCCATGCTGCTCAACGCCTTCTGCCTAGTGCTTGAACTGAAGTTGGGGACATATCAGTCCCGTTCTTCAACTGTACACATCATTACAGCCCCACATGTTTCTGGATGAGGGGATGCATGATGCCTATCCAGATGAGGAGAACTGCAATTATGGGGAGAATAACAGCCCATTCTGTAGGGAACTAGCGGGCCTGGCAGGATGAATATGTCTGTAATGGAAGAGCACCGCCCAAGGGTTGTATAAGGCCTGCTTGCATATAGACCTTTCTTCTGTTCATTGATATCCCATCCTTTCCTGTTGATCCCTTAAGCGCCACACCGGCCGGCGGCGGCAAGAGTCATAAAATTGCTGCTTGGGTTGTTTTTGACTGGTTCGCATTTGCTTAAAAAGTAAGCTGGGTTGCAGGTTTCAGGCCACCCATTGAATGTCACAGCCATTCAGCCAACCAACTGCACAAATCAGGTTTCCCCATAAGCCTCATCAGCTTCTGGAGAGCCTCGCCCTCTTCCCACCCATTGATGTTATTCCCCCGTCGGCAATCACCTTCATGACTCACTTGGTGTAGCCATTCAGCCGTCTTGTGGTGCTATTGAATATTGAATATTCTCTTCAAATTATCTGTTCTTGTAGCCATTACCATAGTGCCAAGCTTTCGAACTCCTTTGATCGAGCAGGCGGAGTTGTTTCTGCAATCGCAATCCAGGCCTAAAATGCATTTTCGCCTCCTTACCCGTGAGGACATCTCGGAAACGGCCTGGAAATGGCGGTGCAAGGTCTCGCGTCTCTTTAAGCGGTCCGACAAGACCCTTGCCGACTTCTCCTCGGGATCGTCGTTCCTCAACGATCCGAAGAGGGGCGCCGCCGCCGACGGGGACAAGGTTGAGGACGGCAAGGACGCCAACTTTGGCGCCACGCCGGCGGTCAAGACGCTCTACGAACGCCGGAACAGCTCTGACAGCTGGATCGACTGGGTCGACTATCCGCCGAAGCAGCTCAGCAGGAGCGCCGCCAAGTCCCAGGACCGGGTCGCCATCAAAGTATACAAGGTGCGCGACCTGGAGAAGCCCGCGCTGGGCGGCCGGTTTAGCCTCAAGTACTTCCGCATCGACATACAGAATCCCCAGCTCGTCGCCGCGCTGGAGGACATCCTCAAGAAGGAGGACCTGCACCTGGACGTCAACGAGATTGCCTCGTTCCGGGAGCCCTTCCGGCCGCTATATTTCTGCTACGACGACATCGTGGCAAAGTATAAGCGTCTTGTCGAGGGCGATTCCCTCAAGACGCACATGCTCCTCCTCATCAAGGTGATCGACGATCTATTCTCTGACATCCGCACCAAGAAGAAAAACCTGCTTGCGAGCGGGCTGGTGTCTTACAAGCTTGCCTGGACCTACTTCCCCAGGGACTGCGAGGTCATAAGCTGGGGCAATAATGGGGAGTTCCTAGTCAGGGTTGTCGAGACGTTGGTCAGGTGGACTTCTCCCGGATCCAGCTCCCTGATCATCCGCTGCAAGGTGCTCCGCTTCAACGGCGAGGCCTTCATTTGGGACGATGCCGAGCTAGATATACCCGAGTTTGAGGGAAACAAGCCCATCAAGGACCTCTCCCACTATCCTCTCTGTTTCGTCGAGGATGTCGAGGAGACAAAGAAGAGACTGACGGCTCGTGGCGAGAGAGTCTTGGGCTACCAGGGGCTGACTTACTGTACATACTCTGGGATTGGTATCTACAGAGAGGAGAAGAAAATGGAGAAACACAATGTGAGCACTCTCCCCTTCGCCTTTGGAAACAGTTGGACTAATATACGGGGCTTGGTAGGTGGATGGCCGGATCTTGATTGACGTCGTCGGTTTCAACAAGCACCACCTCGCCCAGGGGCCACGAGACGGCAAGGACCCGGATTCGAGGAAAAACACCGTTCGCGGAACCGGCCGTCCCGGTGGAGGTTTGTGGTTCCTGACGCATCGCCTGATCATGGCCGGTCGCTGACATCGTCCAAGACCCAAGAGCCGACGTGAAGGCGAAGGGGAAGGCCATGGTCGCAAAGCGGCTCAGCGTAGAAGAGCAGCAGAAAAACAAGGAGGCCATGCTTGCCAAGGAGCAAGATCTGATGTTTATAGTACCCCTGATCGAGGGATACGCCCTGAAGAACAAGTTATGGCGTGAGTTTCCCGACTCTTGTGCGAGGATTGGGACTGATGAAGCTGACGAGGCTACAGTGTCGTTTTATGTCGAAGACATCCGGCCAATGGTCTGGAATGACAGGGCATTCGACCATCTAGTCTATGACGAACAGCAGAAGGACCTCGTCCTGTCTTTTGTCGAGAACCACAACAATGCAAATATGAAGATGGGAGATGTTATTGTTGGCAAAGGCGAAGGCTTAATCATCCTATTGAGCGGGCCGCCAGGTACTGGGAAGACTTTGACTGCTGAAGCCGGTAAGAATCCCCGTTGCTAGCCCACGTCCCTTCCTCCCCCAAGGCCACTTACTTACCTCAGCCCCTCCCCAAGTGGCCGACCGCACCCACCGGCCGCTCTTCTACCTCCAAGCCGAAGATCTCGGCATCAGCGCCTTCACGCTGGGCGCCAACGTGAAGCGCGTCTTTGAGATGGCGACCGAGTGGGACGCCGTGATCCTGCTCGACGAGGCGGACGTCTTCATGGCGGAGCGCAGCCCGCACGACATTGCGCGCAACGAGCTCGTCTCCATTTTCCTGCGCGAGCTCGAGTACTTCCGCGGCATCATCTTCCTGACCACGAACCTGTACTCGACCATCGACTCGGCCTTCCGGAGCAGGGTCAGCCTGCACCTGCTCTTCAAGCCACTGACTCTGGAGGCGAGGGAGAAGGTGTGGCGGAAGTTCCTCGACAGGCTGCCGCGGGAGGCGAAGGTGCAGGAAGTAAAGGAGGTTGAAGAGGCCGAGGTGCATGAAGTAGAAGAGGTCAACGAGAGCGAAGATGCCGAGCCGGGCGAGCTCGGCGACGGCGGTGCGTCCGAGGCGGCTCCTGACACTCCTGACCCAGCAGCCAACGGGGTCGTGCACGACGACGACGACAACGACAACGGGGGCGCGAATACGGAAGACGAAGCAGTAGGCGAGCCGAAGCACCACGAGCTCGCGGACGAGGACATCATGGAACTCGCGGCGTGGCACCTCAACGGACGCGAGATCAAGAACGCCGTCAAGATGGTCAAGTCGTGGTGCGACTACAAGGGCTACGGCCTGACGCTCGCGAGGCTGGAGAACGGGATCCGGGTTACGAGCCCGCATGCTTCCAAGCACACGCACGAGAATGACACGAGCATATATGACGAATGAATGAATTATGACTAACTATTTTGGGTTATGGTTATGGTTATGGTTATCAGGGGACTGTATGGACGGCGTCGGCGGGGACATGCACACACACATACACACACACACACAGTCAGTCATATATCAGGGCTGGTCTGGACTCTGGAATAGGCATTCTTTTGGAGTATTCAGCGTAAAATGGAATCTCCTGCCCGTTCCGAAGATGAAGAAGCATGGGGTCAGGGGTCCATTGCAGTATCCATGGGAAGCTCCTCTGGGCGATCAGTGCAATAAATCCCCACGAACTCAGCATTCAATTGATACAGTAATCAATCCAACCCTCATAGATACGGGGGCCAAATTCTCAAGTCACCATCGTACTTATTAGAATCCTTCTATCACAGCTCGCCACAGGGATTTATTGCAAGCGAATTTATCCACGGATTGGGCCTGGCGTGGATGTTAGTCGCGCATTGGAGCGCGGGAGGCGGGAGGCTGGCCCGGGTAAAATAACGCAGCATGTGTCCTGAACCAGGAAAAAAAAGAGAACTTCATTTCTGGCCTTTCCGGCGAGCTTCATCATTTAATTCCCTGCTTTCCAATCCCGCATGTCTGGCTGAGTGAAATCCCACATCGCATCGCATCTTCCGGGGGCCAATCTAAATATAATATCATCACTGCACAGCCCAGGCAATACAATAAGCAAAACCCCTCCTTCCTTCTCGGCGCAGAACTCGCTACGTGTTCACACTCTCTCCTCCCCTCTCCCGCGCACAGCGTCATATATAGCCCACCATGACCGACCTCCTCCCGTATTACGAGCTCAGCATGATGCAGCGCATGCTGCTCATCTGGCTCTTCATCCTGTGCGGCTTCGTGCTCGCGTTCCACGTGTCGCAGCAAGTCGCGGAGCGCCCGCGCCCGTGGACCCAGCTGAGCAAGCAGACCAAGTGAGTTTTCTTTCTTCTTCCCTCCCAGCCCCGGGGCCCCTCCCGGAGGTTACGTATGCGGGGGGTTGTCTGGGTGTGCACATGGCACTGACTCCCCTCAAGACCGTACTGGTACACGTTCTACGTCTTCGAGGCGTTCCTGCTGTCGCAGATAACGCACCGCGTCCTTAGGCTGAGCATGGACGGCCTCCTCGGCGGCTACGAGGAGCAGCTGCTCGACGCCATCTGGATCGGCCTGCTGGGCCTGGAGGTCCTGATGGTCACCGGTGTCGCCCTGCGCGGCCTCTTCCGGGCCTTTGCGCCGGGGCCCAAGCAAAAGACCCAGTAGGCTGAGTCCGGGCCGCTGGTGCTTTCGGTTTCTGAGGCTTTGTTGTCGTGGTATCCTGTTGTGGATGGTGGGATGGCCGGGGAGGGGACTCGCTGGGTTGGATTGGGGGGAAGAAGGAGGGTGTTGGAGGCGCAGTCGGTTCCAGCATCTCGTAACGCCAATCATCTAACCTACCTATTCACTAGCGGTCGCCGTAAGAAGGCCCAACCTGCCCGTGTTGACCAACTAGTTTATTTGCCACACAATGCAACGGTGAATGTTCATTTCTCAGGCCTCGGCTGGCCTTACCTTGCTGCTCATTGCCTACAGTACCCCGACAACCGCGACTACGTATCTACTGTGAGTTCGAGGGCCATGCAGGCGTGATACCCCCCAATAAAATCTTCGAACCATCGAGCTCAGGATCGATGCGCAGCCCAAGGGTGAAGCCAACTCCTGTTAATAGGGCAGGCTTTCAGGTGTCAGTTTCCATCACTCGAGTAATACCTGAAACCTTGAAATCACACCCAGGTCGAGGAATGGCAGTAACCGCCCCCGATCCCCAACCGCGAAAGGCCAATACTAAACTCCTCGCAAAAATGGCCGGAGAGTAGTCGGCGACCTTCGGGGCACCGACGTGCTGCCCAGCTCGGGTATCACCAGCACGTCCCAACGTTGCTACGGCATGGGATCCGGCGTGGGGCCTGATGCGGACTCGCCGACCCGCTCCGGAGAGGCGGGCCGGGATGGTCCGTGCCCCGGATTCGAGGGGAAGGAGGAAAGGAAAGTGACAAGAAAGAAGGTGGGGAGAAAGGCGGGGCAGAGCACGACACACCAATGAGGTGTCATGTCGATCCCTCCTTGCCATACGTCGGCACTTTGTTGGTCGGGACTGTGATCTGAATCTTAGCATTGTGATTGCGGCACTGTCGTACCAAACTGTTGGGAATGTTGGCTACACAGTAATGCAGAGTCAAGGCGTGGAAGCGGCCCAGGTTTCAACATCCATAATGGCGCAAGCCATGTGTGGCATGATTTGTGGACACAGTCCGTCTGCCCCGTCCAAAAGTGAATGGGTTCCCTCACCGCCCACCGCACCGGCCCCTGATGCTCCGCAGGGTGATGAGGATGGTGGATGGATTGACCCAGCAAAGAGGTCGCACCACTTCCCACTCATGCAGGTAAAAAGCGGCGCTTTCCGACAGGGTGGGAACTTGGCTCTACGACGTACTACGCATGGCCATAATGTTAGCGATTGCGGGACCCCAAACTAGGTTCGTGACCAATCGTCACTCCAACTCAGACATCCACGCAGGTTCTTGTTTGTATGACCGCAGTTTGGGACGGGATGAAGAAGCGGGGATGACATGACGGACGGCTGGATCCCTGAGCCAGAGCCAGGTATATGAACGCAACCTATGCAAGGACAGCAGGCGCAACTTGAATAGCAGAATTCAGTACGACGATGCGGTTCGAGGTGGAGGGTAGCAGAGGAGGGAGGGGTAAGCTCTCATGTGCTCTGCAAACAAAAGCATATGCGGAATAGGCCCGCCATGGCGCGCCTACCTAGTCAGTCCACTTGCGTGCCGATCCTATTCTCCTCGAGGTGGACAATGCGAATTGCGAAATAATTGTTGTGTATGGGAACAATAATTCTCGCGGGACCTCCTCTCCTTCCGATCTCGGTTGTGTAGCGCAGACGTACCTACCTACCTAGGGGACGTTTGCATCTTTGGGTCCTATTATCTCCGCTGATGCTGTGGCACAGAGAGCCCAGGTACAGTAGGTACACTACCACCTGGTAGGTACGTGGTGGTGCGGGCCTTTTAGCGCAAATCCCTCCCGTGTCCCACGCCCCTGTTGATGTCCCCACAGCATTCTCCACTCTTCTCGGTTTGCCTGCTTCTGGCAGCCATAATCGAGATTAATTAGCCCCGAATGTCACACCCACCCTTGTCGAAGTCGGTGGGCGAAGGGAGAAAACGATGGGCAATTGGGCAGATTCAAGTATAATCAGGAAGGGAGAGCAGAAGAGGCAACATGCAACATGTATGGATAGAAGGCGCAAGTAGGACGAGTGCCATGATGGGGAAGAGCAAGAGCACGACCAACGAAAGCTAAAATCCCCGAATCCCAAAATGCCGGATCCGGTGCCGGTGGCGTCAGCTCGCCCATCCCCCTGGGTCCTGGGTCGCGGATTTTTGAGTCGAGGACGTGATCCGGTTGTCTGGATACGCCTACGGATCCGCACACAGAACACCATCTGGCCGACCCCTGGACTGCGCCTGCACTACGAACCAACACAGCAACAGCAAATGCAGAAGATGTGTTTGCTTTTCTTCTCTAGCCACGCCAATTGGCCTGGCTTCCCGATCCCTTGTCACCGGCAATGTCGGTAGCGTAATCTGTGATGAAAAACTGCATGGGAGCCATAACCCTGGCCGAACGAAGGCATACCGTGACCCGTAACCCGCGGCCCCCATCCGCCGGTGATGCCGCCCAATGAAGAATTTCCCGGTCTGTGAGCGGATGGCAGAATACTACTACACGTGTACGTGTGGCTCCCAAATTCGTGCTACGTATGCAGTTGCACCATTCATGAGATGGCCCCGTGCTGAAAACAGGGGGGGGGCGTGCAGCGATATCCAGGGCTAATCCCTTCTGCACAACACCGAAGCCCCAGGCTCTACGCATGTACACCCCCAACCAAACTCCCGGGTCCAGACGTACAATCCATGTATTTTGCCCCGTTCTTCGGCCCCATTTCGAGTCCCATCGCTCGCTAGAGGTACATGCAATACAACCCTCCAAAAAGTACTGTCTCTGTTATAGCCTCTGAGGACGGGAGTCTCCACCATTTCCATTTGTCTGCCTATAGTTCTGCAGCACCAAGTCCAGGTTTCCCAACCCGGAGCTAAAGAAGCGGCCATGGCTAGAGAGGACTGGACAATGGACATAGCTTGCCTTTTTGGGGGGGGGTAGAGAACATAATACCATTCCCTCCCCTCCAATTAATTTTTTCCCCTCCCCGTTTCCTGGTCCCAACCCTCCTTACCAAACCACCGGTATCCAAGGCTGATTCCAGCGGCAAATAAAGAAGAGAGGAAGCACAAGGAAGAAAGCACGCGGCCACTATCGAAGACCCAGAGGAATGGTTAGCACCTAGGTAACCTCCGCACAATTGCCGAGACGACGGCGCCAGCCCCAGGGTTCAAGCAACTACCCCATTTGACCGACTTACAAAGCACCCGACCCTATTAAATTGATCTAGTCGTCGCCAATTGCCCACCAGCCTCGAGAATCCGCCTAGTCGAAAGGCAAATCGAGCATTTGAGGCCTGCAAGGCAGCATCTTGAGATGCGGCTGTGACCTTGTTTGCTGTCACTGGACCCTGGACAGTAATGATATAGCTGGTTGATTCTGCTTCCGACTTATATATATTTATACACGGCTCCCGAAATAAGAGCCTCGCGATATTGTCCTCGCTCGGCCACCCCCTTAACCCACGAAACTCACCGCCCCAGCCCTGAGAATGGATCCGACGGAACCACCGGGCGAACCGACATCGCCCTCGGTCTCCTCAAGGGGGACCAGCATCGCTGTAGGCAGCACCCCGGAGGAGGAGCTGTACGCCGCGGCGGGCCACCCAAAACACGCGCGGCTGAGCGTCGTCGCCGGCGAGGCCGGGTCGCCATGTTCGTCGGCCTCCACCGCCAGCTCGACGGCCGCGACGGGGCTCCCCGGCAGCTTCATCAGCAGCGCGACTCTCGACACGAGCGAGGGCAGCGGCAGCGGCAGCGGTATCAGCGCCGGAAACCCGTTCGCCTTCGACGGGGACATGAGCAACTACCCGCCCAGCATGACCAGCAGCATCCGCGCGCACGTCTACGAGGGCGGCCTGCGCTACCACGCCTTCCGCGATGGCAGGTACGCCTTCCCCAACGACGACGTCGAGCAGAACAGGGACGACATGAAGCACACCATGACCCTGATGCTGTGCCGCGGCCGCCACTTCTACTCGCCCGTTGAGGAGAAGCTGCAGAACGGGGGGGCATGCTTGGATTTAGGTGGGCAATCTCCTTTCTTTCTGACAGCCACTAAAAGAACCGACGACATCTTCGCTTCGTTTCCATGTATTTTTATGTTTTTGGTTTCTAGCTGTCTATCGCGTCCCCTCTGCCCCTCCGCCGTTATTTTCTTCTCGCTCGGTCTTTTCATCACACCCGACAAGTCTCGATTTCCTTTGGCTGTAGTTGGAGACCGTTGTGCAAGCTCGACGGCACGAGTTTTTTGCTATACCCTTCCCCGCCACGATATCACATGCAGACATCTACTAAGTAGCATGACGTCTGCATTAGATTCGCGTGGCGCCGTTACGCCACGTCCCTGGGCTAACTTGAGATGCTGAACAATAGGGACGGGAACCGGCATTTGGGTTATCGAAGGTACGTGGCTTGCGAGTTTCCGCTCTATTGGGATTTCCCGTCTTGTTTGGGATTTCAATGCCGCAGTGGCTGGTTGTCCTCCCGATCAGTTTATGGCGATCATCTTCATTCGCCGAGTCCTCCTGCTGTACCACCAGAGAACGCAGGATGCCCCTCTTGCCTGCTAAGCCGGAATGCTGCTTGCGGAGAACGGGAAAGCAGCATAGAGGACTCGGTGCGAGGGGCGGCAACCTGTTACATGTTGGACTCGCCACTTGTTAACAGCTCAAAGCTAATTTCGTGCACTGCAGTTGGTGACGTATATCCGACGGCGAGCGTCACAGGACTCGACCTCTCGCCCATCCAGCCCAATTACGTACCAGAGAACGTCCATTTCTTTGTGGACGATTTTGAGGAGGAATGGGTCGACGATGAGGACAAGTTTGACTTCATCCACGTCCGACATACCATCCATTCGATACGTGATCGCCCCACCCTGTTACGACGGATATTCAAGTACGCATATTGCTTCCCCTTCCTCTCCGAAATCCACAAATGAGCTGACCAAGGCCTCTCTACCAACCACATAGCCATCTCAAACCAGGCGGCTACGTCGAGTTCCAAGAGCTACACTACTTCCCGCAATGCGACGACGGCAGCGTGACGCCCGAGATCCCCTACGCCTTCCGCGACTTCATGAACTTCCTCGACGAGGGGCTCCGGGCCCTCGGCAGCGAGCTGAACGCAATATTGGTCCTCCCCGACGAGATGAGGGCCGCGGGCTTCGAGTCGGTCAAGACCGTCTCCCACAAGTGCCCCATTGGCGTCTGGCCGCGCGACAAGCGCATGCGCCTGTGCGGCCTGTTCCTGCGCACCGCCATCATGGACGGGCTCAGGGGGCTCAGCAAGCGGCCGTTTGGCACGGGCCTGGGCTGGACCCAGCTGCAGATCGAGATCTTCCTGGTCGAGGTGCGGAAGGCCGTCATGGATGGTAGCTTCCACACTTACTTCCCCTTCCATGCTGTTTATGGGAGGAAGCCACCCGGTTGAGCTTTGTCGGATGGAAAAGGGAGATAGAAACAAAAACGGATACCCGGCGTGCAACAATACCCAGACAGCGAGCCCCTGAGCCTCCTTCGGAAGTCACTGAGGGAGAGAGGGTTGAGTTCCGGGGGGGGGTGCTTGGCGGCTCACGAGAGCGGAATGACCCTGTGGGTTGCACTCGTTTAATTGCAACGTCGGGGTTCGGGGCCTAGTGGAACCCATTGAGCGGAGGAGAGTAGGTCGAGGGATCGCCACCATCTACCTGGACAGGGGGGTACTTTACTTGGATATATGAGCTGCAAGAAGGAAGCACGCACACGCGGGAGGAATCGATTGGACACATAGACAGCGCCGGAGGAGTATTGGAGTGTTCAAGGCAGGCTTTTTTCTGCATCATCATGGCAGGAGGTTGCATCGTTTCGCGGGCATCTTAGCGATCGGAGCGCATAAAGCGGCGGCGGCGACGGTGGCGGCGTCCTCTTGGTTGTCTTCCCTCCCGGGTTCCCAAATCACATACCGGTAACAGCGACGGCGACGGTACTCAGGCAAACGGATAGACGGATAAGAGACGGCGGCGAATGCGCAAGGTGGCTAGCTGCTCAAGCGGCATATGTTATCATGTCTATTACGAACTTCAAAGTTTTAGTAATAATGTGTGTGTGTCGGGCTGTCAGTTTGAAGACGGCTGCGTTGGATATCACCATAATGACATCTCATGCGCCCGCATTGCTCTAGCTAGGATGAACAAATTCTGTGCCATTCCTGACGACCATTAATTAGCCTAGACTCTTAAAAGGGGCTACGGTATGTGACCCCTTTTCTGACCATTGGGGTTGCCAACCATCCCAGCCAATCTATCCCACCAGCAGTAAACATCACCCGCGAGGACTAAAATCGACTATGTGATGTGGCACACCCCCTCCCAGACAATGCCCCAGAGCACGACCCCTTTTACAACGGCGAAGCCAGAGTCACGACGAAGACCAGAGCAGACACCAGGTACAGGGGCAAATACTCTTAGCAGCTGGCGAGCCCATCAGAGGACAGGCATCACAGGTTGGACGGACATTCCGGGATGACAGGACCTGGCTGCGAAGAATCGGATCCCTCTTTCAGGGACGTTCGGCTCCTCTGGATGGGCATAAGACGCAGTTTTGGGTGGTGTTACGAGGACTACCTTGGCAAACACACCCCATATGTTTCATTTCTTCTCCGCATATCTTCCTCTCATGGTCTACTTTTCTTGCAGTGAAGGGGGCCTTCCTCTCAAAGAACAGGAGGATCGGACATCGTCCAACGGAGAGGCTCCCGGACTAGAAGAAAGATATCGAAGGGCGAGGAATACATTATCCCAATGTCAATTATAAAATGGTACGCACCACCGGGGTCAAGTGTCTAGCCCCCCTCGGTGAGCGATACGACAGCAAGAGAATTATATCTCATCACTTCAGCAAATGCCCATCGCCCGCCGCCCCCTCGGGCCTCTGCCAATGGACCTTCAAACCACCCCAGCTATGTTCACTATACCCCTCCTGGACCTTTGCGCACCTCCTGAGCCCCCACTCCGTCACCCCGACCATGAGGCAGCTCTCAAACATAAAGGCGCAACCCCCGTCCGCGGCCCCGACCTTTGCCGGCCGCAGCTCCGCATTCCTAGCCCCCTCGTAGCTCTCGGCGTCCGGCCCATGCCCGCTCATGACATTGTGCAAGCTCGCCCCGCCGGGGACGAACCCCCCCTTCCCGCCCTTCTTGGCGTCGTAGGCGCCCCGCACGAGGCCCATGAACTCGCTCATCGTGTTGCGGTGGTACCACGGCGGCCGGAACGTGTCCTCGGCGACGAGCCAGCGCGGCGGGAACACGACGAAATCCGCCACCGCCGTGCCGGGCCGCAGCGACGACGGCGCTGTCAGCACCGTGAAGATGGACGGGTCCGGGTGGTCGTACGAGATGCTGCCCACCGTGTTGAACCGGCCTAGGTCGTACTTGTACGGGTAGTGGTTGCCGTGCCACGCCACCACGTCGAAGGGCGTGTGCGGCTGCGTGGTGGTGAAGAGCTGGTTGGCGAACTTGGCCGTGACCGTGTAAGACGACGACGACGACGACGACGACGCTGTCGCCACGTGGTCCTCGCTAAACGCCGCCACGGGAGCCTGGAAGTCCCGCGCATTGGCCAGCCCGTTGGAGCCGATGGGTCCCAGCTCGGGCAGCGCAAAGTGGCCCTGGTAGAGCTCGAGGGCGTAGCCGCGGGCGGGGCCGGCGGGCAGGTGGACCTGGTACCTGACGCCGCGGGGGATGACGCAGATCTCCATCGGGCGCACCAGGAGCCAGCCGAGCTCGGTGCGTATGTCGAGCACGCCGTCCTGCGCGACGACGAGGAGCTCCCCGTCCGCCGAGTAGAAGGCCGAGTGGTCGTTCATCGACTTCCCGGCGGCGTAGATGTACATCCCGATGCCCTGCTTCAGGGTTGGGTCACCCGCCCCCGCGACGAGACGCAGTCCGGACACGAAGTCGGTCTCCGGGTCATGGTCGAATGGGTCCCACCTCAACTGGTTGGGGATGTAATGCAGCTTCGACTGATCAACCAAGTCATCTCCCACAGCCTTGTCCTTGCCAGCGGGAGTGAATGGCGGGTGAGAACATGAGGGGAGGATCCGGTAGAGCCAGGTCTGCTTGTTCTCGTGACGGGGAGCAGTGAACGCGGTCCCCGAGAGCTTCTCCGCGTAGAGGCCGTGCGGCGGCTTCTGTGGGGAATTCTGGCCAATTGGTAAGGCTCCCGGAACGGCCTCTGATCTAGACAAGGCTATCTTAGCAACGGCCGCGCGTAAAGTGAAGTGCGGGAACTCAAACTTACTCGAGGTGGGAGCCGAAGCCGTTCTGGTAGCGATATTTCTCCTTGAAGTCAAAGGTAGTCACTGGCATTATCACGTCACAGTCGGCGGGGGATGGTGCTCATCGAGGGGTGATCTCTGCTAAAGTAGCAAGAACAAGAGCACTCATCAACTACATAGGTAGGTAGGTATTGGGGTGAGACGAGCAACCATCTTAAACCGTCTCAAGCAAGGTTGACGTTGCCCTTTGAGCCGGGCAGCGTCATTCTTTCCGCTGTCGAAGGTGGCCCGAAGGCCGATAGTAGCCGGAGCTGCGCCGTTTGCAGCCGTCACCATTGATTGGTGCAAATCATGCGCACCAATGGTACCTGCCTTGACCACTGCCTCTACACGTAATATTGCAGAACGGAAATCCGATATCGCTGTCCATTCTCGCCAAGGTAGCTAGATAGGTACCTACCTAGAAAGGTACCTAGGTAGGGGCTCCCTGGATGCCTGCCTTGGCTGATACTATTCCTTCCTTTGTGGTGGTTTCCACGTTGCACGACGTTTCCCCAGGCATGACTGACCGAGACTCCTGACTTGGATGAATGCAGCAAAGAATGATGCAACTCCAACAGACATTGGACCTTGGCCTTCGTTCGGATTACCTACAGGAGCTGGTTGTACTCTTAGAGCTCGGGTCACTACACATACTGACAAATGGCTATAGCATATCACGGTGCAATGCGACCAAGATGCGGCTGACAATCCGGTCAATTGACTAACAATATGGTATCGGAGTCCTCCTTTCCGCATCGTTCCTTTACTTCCGCCTTCGCCCCAACTAAAATAAATGGCCAAGAGACTCGTTCGTTCTTGTGCCTAGAGAAAGCTATCGGACCCGTCCGATACCCCGTCTATAGCAATATCCCGCTCTACCGAATCGACAACGGAGACCGAATGAACAAAACGAACTATTGAGACTAGACGGGTGTTGCTTTGCCGGGATGATGTGCCTTATTCGTCGCCGCCCTTCTTCTTCTTCTTCGAAGAGGGGGCGGGTGCGCCGGCATCCTTCTGCAGGTGGACCATCAGTCGAGTCCACGACTCCTCCTTATCCCATTCGAAACCTGCAAGGTATGGCTGGTCCAATTCGTCATCCGCCTATCAGAGCGAGCTGTGTTAGCAAGTGTGGCATCTAGACGGCTTGGGTGATGGACATGCCCGCTTCTTGTATGGCTTGTGGATTGCATCCAGTGCATCCTTGATGGTGACGCCTTTGAGGTTCCGTGCCGTTACCTCGAGCCCGAGGGGGAAGCGGAGGTCAATCTTCTTGACCGGGGGTGTCGTGAGGAACTTCTTCAGGATTTCCCTTTCATCAATCGAGGTAGGCGACGTGTTTATCTTCCTATATAACCCGGCCAATCAGTAACTACATAGGCTGGTGGTGGATGGTCTGAGGGGCCTTACCAGCCCGTCTTCTGGGTCTCTTTGGCAATCTTGAGCTCGATGCCCTGGGCCTCTGTGTATCAGAAGGGATTAGTTTCGTCCCGGAACATCCGGCGAGCTTGGGGTGCTCGAGCTACTTACCGAGATCATTGACATTCATCACTCCAGCCGCAGTGGAGCTCTGCCTCCGGTGGGCAGCCTTAACATCCTTCGTGTCCTTTGGGGACGAAGAGAGGCCTTGGACGGCAGAGTCAACTTTGGTGAGCGGTTCTGACATGTTTTGATGGGTGGTCTGAGCCAAGTGTGGTGGTCAGGATATGGTAGGACGTCTAGAGAATCACACTTGTGTAAGTACGATAGCTCTAATTGGTACTTCGATGACAGTTGGAGATGGATGGAAGGTTATACCTCGTAGTGAGCTTGGGGGTATGTTTGTTCTGATGCGAAGGCAGTTTGCTGGTTGGAAGGACAAGAGGAGGGGAAGGAGGGAGAGGGAGATGGAGGGAAGGGAGGGGAAAAGGAGGGGGCCGAATCGGACACGGTTGGTCCATCGCTCCTGCTGCTTGCACTGTTTCGTCAGACCGGGCGGGGTAATCAGTTGCTGGTGATCGATCGCGTGACTTGACCTCACCTTCAGCCAAGGTACCTCGAGGTACGTAAGGTGTGACGGTTGTTGGCCCGTGCCCACCAATCCCCACCAGGTATTGGTAGCGTAATGCCAGACGTCGACGAAATCCGGGGTAAATCTGGGGTACCTCTCGCTAGTGAGAGTACACTACGATTTCAGACCCGCACACCCGACTGTTTCAAGCCATCCGGATAAGGAAATTCGATCTTGGGATACCTGCATTGCAGGGAGACTCTGGACATATCAGCCATTCTCACCCCTCAGGCGACAGCCTCGTTCGAGCTTCGCAGTGCGAGCTTCGCAGTTGGGCAACAATTTGGCGTATTTCCTCACATTGTAACTTGCCTTCCACGGAAGGCCACTGTATTGCGCCGATTCCCGGTCAAACAACGACCAGCCACAACATAAGAAGGTGGTGTAAAACACTTTTCAGGGCACTGCAACACAATCCATATCCTTGCCAGTTTGAGAGATTCTTTTGCGCGATGCTGATTATCTTTTGAACTCGGAGCGACCTATACGTGTCAACACGTATCCGGAGCTGGGTCTTAAACCGTAGGCATTGGTTGAGGATCAGTCTGATACGGCTGGGAAGAACGCTTTACGCTCTGATGAGCTATCTGGCTCGCAATCTTCATCAGACGTTGCTCGCAATTCGATTGGGCTTGGGAATGTAGAGCATTGTACTCAGCATTGAGTGTTGAGCTCAGTAGCCTTACTTTGGTCTGAGAAGCATAAAAAGCAGACATGGGTCTCTTCCAAAGTAGTATGAGGTGTTGATTCTTAGGCTTGGATGCCTGGGATGGTCTCTAGATAGGTTAGAGAGGCGTCATCTTACCTTCACTTTTCCCTATCGCCTGTCGGTCCTTTGTATATCAATTCAACCAGTCCCAGCAGCAACAAAAAGGCCTGATTGGTGTAGTGATAGCACAGAGAAAGTAGTCACAGGGACGTGTGAAGCATAAGGTCGGTCAAGCTATCCCTCAGGTCCTCTTTCCGAATCCGAGATCGGGCAATCTTTTCTTTTTGCCCCTTTTCCTCTTCTCTCCCCCCCCCCAAGATTTTCCCCTTCCACCATTCTCCCTATATATCTCTATCATTATTTCTATCTGTCTGCCCTTGCGGAGACTGATGAAGCTAATTTTTTTTTAGTTGGGAAGTTGGAAAAGGATGGGACAAGCGAAGAAAGATGGGATTATAATAATGTTTATTTGGATCCACACGCCTCCCCCAGCCGCTGGATCTCGATATCAATCTGCATCCTTTCGCCCCTAGGCTACTTGGATTTTAATCTGTCTTTTAATCCTAACCTCTGACTGTGGCTCGAGACCCTGTCCGCTGTCGCTCAAGCCCGAGTCACGTTTGTATAGAAAGTCTGTCATGATGCTGGCAAAAATCTGTACGGGTCAAGGTCAAGCCTATCTGCCACAGGTCATTTGCAGCCTAGCAGTAACTCAATCATTTGAGTATAGATAACGACTCAGAGCAGAAGCCTTAGGCTGCTCTACAGATGTCCTGACTGCTTCTCGACGAGGGCAGAGCAATCACTGCCTCCGTCAATGTCCGATATGGTAGCGCATTCGCGTTGTTGTCGGATTCCAAGGGCAGACGCCGTCGAGTTTGGTAGCCGCCGACTCGACACGGTAGACTCGAGAAGTTGCGAGAGGCAATAGACCCGTCCAAAAAGAAGGGGAAACTGAATTGACCTATGTGATGATATACTTGGCGCTTCCTTGCTAAAAACATGAACCATGACGGGTGACCTAACATTGCGCAAAACGCAGCCCACAAAGTCGACTGCCACCTTTTTGAGGTAACAAGTACGGTGCCTTAGGAGTAGTATGTCGGAAGAAACGGGTAGCAGCTCCCGAAAGGTGCACTACCCAAGGCTTTTGGGAGTGACCGAGCACTCGTCCATCTGAACTTCTGAAACTATCTGCGTGAATCTTATTTTAGCCTGGCTATTAATGTCTGGCCCGAAAGCTGCATCCAGAAGAATTTGACCTCCAGCTTTTAGCTGAATCCCGGAACTCCGGTGCAGCAGCACCGGAAGCCCGCTTGGTAACCGAGGCCGTGGATCACCGGGCTGCCGGCGATAGCGCATCCAGGCTCGGGGCCTTGGGGCCAAGGTGTCCAGAACCTGAAGAGGGCTGACAGGATGCGGTCTGGCGGCGAGGTTACAGAGTGACCCCAAACCTCCCCGAATCGGTGAATTTCGGGTGGTCGGCAGGTGTGATAATTGTGGGTCTACTCGGAGCCCGGTAACCGTGCTTGGCTGCCGGTTTAACGGATACGGATATATTCGGGTGATGTCATGCCCCACTCTCGCTCAGGCAAGGAAGAAATCGGAAGCGTGGAGGGCCTCCGCTTGGCGCCGCCCGTGGTGCATATGCCGCCATTGATCCCGATACGGGACATGCAGGCCGTTGTCGACTTGGCAATCAAGCACTCGCACAGCAAACCACAAACGTCCCCTGAAGCCACTTTGCCAGCTCGGAAGTGATGAACAAATTCTGCGGTTCCTGTTTGTTCTCGTGACATACATCCAATTTTTCAGCTTAGCACGGTGTATGCCCGAGGCCAGTCACATGCGCTGAAGCCAGGGGCTTTCACGTCAGGTGATGGAGGCGGCAGTTACGTAGCTTGGCAGCCCGGTCCAGGCCCCTTGCCTCTCACCGACGGACCCTGGAAGTATTCATCCTTGGAGCCCAGTGCCAACAGATACATGCAAACATTCACCCGAGCCTTGAGGCATTGATCCTATTAGTTCCATGTTAGTTTTCGAGACTCTGGACAAATATGGAAGGCGTTTGAGCTCGGAGAATGTCGGAAGGACCTGGCAGCAGTTGCTGATTTGCTGGAGCCTGGGGGCATGCGTTTGACCTATGACGGCATTCAAGTGTCACACAATGTGGGGCTGGTGGTGGGGCAGTCTGGATTCGGAAGTCAAAATCTCTTCTCGTTAAGCTGATGTGTTTCTGTATGGGAAGTATGCTATTTCTGTGCAACTGTATCTACGATTTTGTGTATGGATATCGACCGCGGACATAGAATATCTCGATGTGGAGGTCTGGGGATCTTATGATAGTGCAATTGGATGGAGGGACGTTGAGGTCTTGAGGCTGTCCTGCCACGACGCGGGGTGGTCTAGCTACCGGTAATTAAAAGCCCAACACTGGGGCCCCTCTTTCCCCGGTCTCTGGATCTGATGCCGGATGGATTCGCACCTCCCTCGCCAGGTAGCGGGTCGGTACCTAGGTACCTGACTGGGGAGGTTGAACGCCTTCCGTTTGTGACACCGGCAGCGGCAGCTCAGCCTCTTGGGATTCTGGGATTCTGGGCTTGACTGTTGCAGCAAACCAGCAAGCCGACTGCTTCCCCAAGCTCGGGATATAATCCCTTTGTCCGACGAACAACGACTACCCGCCGACGTCAACGCCATATACCCGGCAACAGCATCACGGAAACATCCCGAGGGCAGTCACCAAACTCGCCACAAATAGTCTCGTATGAAACATCAGACAGACCAACGATGGGCCCAGGCCCAGGTGTATCGCCATCTTCAGGAGTAAAAGACCCGCATGTGACAGGGGTTCTACCATGCGCTGCTCCGAAAAGTATTCGTGCTTCGGCTACCCAATCAGTTGGAGTATGGCCTCCTAGCCAGTCGAATGCTCTGACATCACCATTCCGGCTCCACTCTGTGCTTTCTTTATATACATCCACCCTGGGCCTCGGGCACTACTTGGTCGGAACTACCACTATCACAGAATAGTGTATCGAGTCTCCAACTTTTTGGTTGCAAAGTGGATCAGCCCTGAGCTCACTTGGCGAATAGCTACGGATTATCAGTCAGCCCAATCTTGGCCGAAATCCCCACGATACTTATAAGAACCATGAAGGACCCCGTCGCGAGAACCGCCTCTCCCTATTCCGATCCAACAGTGAAAGGTCCTCGATCCCAGATACTCTCTTCAGGAACCGCTCAAGATCCCCGCAAAAGTCGGTTTGGCCCCTATCCTTGCCCTGTCGCCGGGCTTCATCCACGCTTCAGTGCTGGTGACTGACATATCTCCTTTGCAGTGCTCGTCGGTACTGTCAACAAGACCGGTCTTCACCCGAGCGGTGTCGAGTACGTGCAATAGAACCCCATCCTCGGACGAAGTGATGTAGATTACTGACACGCGATCCCCTCCAACAGACCACAGTTCGAGGTCGAACACACCGAACTGGAGGAGGAGCTGCACGAGAAGGCACACATCGACTACACTACCGTCGCAATTGTGAGTTCCCCTGCCTTGCAACCAAATAACACTGCATTATCATGTATGGCTTGCAGTGACGGACAGGACTAACTGCTTCACAGATCCCTAACCCCTCCGTTGCCGCTCTCTACGAAGATGCATTGGTGAGATTGTCTTTGCTCCAACACAGCTGAGGCAGCACAGGGTGCTGACCACCATACACCAGGTCTACGAAACAGGAACAGCAATCACCTCGAGCGGTGCTCTGACGGCGTACTCTGGCAAGAAGACGGGTCGGTCACCATTGGACAAGCGAATTGTCAAGGAAGAGTCGTCTGAAAAGGACATCTGGTATGTAAACCCCTGCGATTTTCATCCGGTGCCATCACAATCACCCTTTCCCGCCAAGTTCTCTGTTTCTGACATGGTTAATAGGTGGGGACCAGTCAATAAGCCTATGACTCCCGAGGTAAGCCATTTTCACTCGGAATGCTCACTCTCTTTTCTATCCCCTGCCGCGGGCGAGAGCCTATAATAGCCGAGACACACACACGCACACACACACACACGCAGCGACCCAATTGCCCAATTGCCGCCAGTCCTTTCCCGAATATCACGCTTGGGCGACCATCACCCGCCTTGGCTATTCCCTTGCCTGCTGCTATTTCTTCATTTCCCTGTTAGCTGTTGGTCCCTCGTCGCAAAGTCTCAGTCTCTATCTCTGCATTGCGCTCGTCATGCAGAGTCGCGTGCTCCTTCGGGACCCTGGTCGCTGGCGTCATAGCTGCAACCCCTCCATCCCGAATTCCCCCCCCGCTGTGCCGATAACCGAGCTTAAGCCGCCAGCCCACTTCGTTTCCCCACACCCCACTTTGGTAACATGACTAACACGTGAACTGCTATAGGTCTGGAAAATCAACCGCGAGCGAGCCGTTGACTACCTGAACACGAGAAATCGCATCTACGTCGTTGATGGCTATGCGGGATGGGACGAGAAATACCGGATCCGAGTGCGGGTAGTCTGTGCTCGCGCGTACCATGCTCTCTTCATGCGCAACATGCTGATCCGCCCGACTCGTGAGGAGCTGGAGCGTTTCCACCCCGACTACACGATCTACAATGCTGGTTCCTTCCCGGCCAACAGATATACCGAGGGCATGACCTCCGGCACCTCAGTAGCTATTAACTTTGCTGAGAAGGAGATGGTCATTCTCGGCACTGAGTATGCTGGCGAGATGAAGAAGGGCATCTTCACCGTGATGTTCTACGAGGGTCCGATCAAGCACAACATCCTCACTCTGCACTCTTCGGCAAATGAAGGCAAGGACGGAGATGTTACACTGTTCTTTGGCCTATCCGGAACTGGGAAGACCACCCTCTCGGCGGACCCTAACCGGGCCTTGATCGGCGACGACGAACACTGTTGGTCCGACCGTGGCGTCTTCAATATTGAGGGCGGTGTAAGTGATATACCATCTAACATCTCGTGCGGAACATGCGCTAATTGAGTATTTCCCTAGTGCTATGCGAAGTGCATTGGTCTGTCAGCCGAAAAGGAGCCAGATATCTTCGGCGCTATCCGGTTCGGATCTGTTCTGGAGAATGTTGTCTTCGACCCGGAGACCCGCAATGTCGACTACGATGACGCCACATTAACAGAAAACACCCGTTGCGCCTATCCCATCGAGTACATCAGCAACGCCAAGATCCCATGCTTGTCAACCAACCACCCTTCTAACATTATCCTCCTGACCTGCGACGCTAGGGGTGTCCTGCCACCTATCTCCAAGCTCAACAGCGCCCAGACCATGTTCCACTTCATCAGCGGTTACACATCAAAGATGGCCGGGACAGAAGATGGCGTTGACGAGCCTCAGGCGACCTTCTCTTCTTGTTTCGCTCAGCCATTCCTGGCTCTCCACCCCATGCGCTACGCGAAGATGCTCGCCGACAAGATCGAAACCCACAATGCGAATGCCTGGCTGCTCAACACCGGCTGGGTCGGTGCCGGTTTCTCGCATGGCGGCAAGCGCTGCCCGCTCAAGTACACCCGTGCCATCCTCGACGCCATCCACAGCGGTGAGCTCGCCAAGGTCGAGTACGAGAACTACGACGTCTTCAATCTCCAGGTCCCCAAGACCTGCACCGGCGTTCCCGCTGAGCTGCTCAACCCCAAGAAGGCCTGGACAGCTGGGGACGAGAGCTTCAACAAGGAGGTCACCAAGCTCGGCGGACTGTTCATCGAGAACTTCAAGAAGTACGCGAGCGAGGCCACCGAAGATGTGGTCAAGGCCGGGCCGGTGGTTTAAGAGGAGAAACAGAAGGACACATCTGCGACCGAGAACATGGTACCTGGAGTGTTGGTTTGCTGGCGAGGACGATTGCGTCCTGACCTTCCCGTCGTCAGTTTGGATCTGAGCTTCGAATGATTTTCTTGTTCCTTTTCCTTTTTGGGTTTGAGGGATCCATATGCCACTTCGTGTACATGCGAATGCGGTTCCCTTGGTGTGTGGTAAGCAAAAATTGTGTTTCCTTTTACGGCTTCAGTTAGAGCTGTACAACAAATGGACATGGGTGCTCGAAGCATTCTGTCGGGAATTGGCATAATTAGGGCATTGGCATGGGCTTGCCGAGCTAGAGGAGGAACGGGTAACGTGGTCATGATTTGGGTCACTCGAAACCAGCAGAAGAGCAATTTGCAGATAAGAATAATAGGGCCCGTTTGGCGCCATTCAAGCAACGTCCTCCTTCCCGTGCCTGTCATTGATATCTAGCCACCCTGAGGTACCATATGTGTCAAGCATGGTATGAGAGGCAGGAACCCTGTCCTTGTCGTAAGCCGGCCTCCCGAGACGATACTGTACTACACATCATCTCTGCTTGACATAGATCGGCAAGCCACCCTCCATCGGCAACGTCAAGCTACTCTTGCTGACCCTCTCCTCGCCCGGACCACCGTCGCCGGCTGGCGTGAACTCGAACAGCCACGCCACGGCTGCGACAACCTGCACGGCGACCAGCTCCGCCATCTTCTTGCCCAGGCACAGCCTCGGCCCGCCATTGAAGACGGGGAACTCTGCGACGGGGCGGTTGACGACGGCCTGTCGTCGTCGCCGCGGCCCCCCGTCGCCGGAGCTGTCCTGAGAAGCGGCAGCTGGCGCCGGGGCAAGCCAGCGCTCCGGGCGGAACGAGTCCGCGTCCGGGCCCCAGGTCGTGCGGGAGCGGTTCATGGCCCAAGGACACCAGACGACGACGGAGCCGGCGGGCAGGCGGGTGCCGTCCGGGAGGGTGGCGGGGCGGGCGCACTGCTTTATCTCGAAGGGGACGGGGGGGTAGAGGCGGAGGGACTCGTTGAAGACGGCGTGGGTGTAGGGCATTGCGGATGGGGTGAAGAGGGTGGTGTCGAGGTCGCGGCGGCGGGGGGAGGGGGAGGTTGGGGAGTGCTCGGCGCGGTGGGCGGCGCCGGCGAGGACGTCTTGGACCTCGCTGCGGATCTTGTCGGCTACGGAGGGGTGCTGGGTAAGGAGGTGGAAGGTCCAGGTTAGCGCCTGCGCCGTGGTGTCGCGCCCGGCGGAGAGGTAGTTCAGCGCGGCGTCGGCAACGATCTGCTCGTCGCCGATGGCCTCGAGAAGGGACTGCACCAGACTGCCGGAGACGCGGTCGAGGTCGGCTGCGGCGGTATGCGGTTGGGCGGTGTTGTCAGCCTTCTTCTCTTCCTCCTCGGCTGTCTGGCGATCGGCTACTGCGCGGGAGACGATGCGCTTGCCAAAGCTCTTGACTAGCCTGACCGACTTCCTGAATTTGGAGCCGAGGAAGATCTCGGTGATGAACCAGAGCGGGTTCTGGAAGCGCTCGGCTGTTGCTCCGGATGCGTAGTCGAAGGAGCTTGTGAAGTCGTCGTCAGCGTGCATCTCCATCTGCGGACGATTGTTAGCCGCGTCTTATGGGACGTGAGACATTCGCTTCCTGACATTGTACGCCATCTTCCCCATTAGTTGAGTGGTGATCTCGTGAAATACATGTTGTAGATCAACGATACTTCCGTCTGCTTCTTTTTCTTCGAGATGCTCGATGCTCTGCGAAAGGTATTGGGGCAGTGCAACATCGGTCAATACTCGAAGGGTGGCCGTATTTAGGAAGGCTAGGCCGGCTTTCCGCTGGGCCTTCCATAGTTCACCGTCCACGTTTATGATACCGTGTCCTAGGCTGAATAAGTCGACGGACAGAAAAGAATCGCAGGAACTTTATGGGAAGAGCGAGGTTCCCAAGGCAAGCCCTCCACTCGAAGAGACAACAGCTCCTTTAAGATGAGCTGCCCACCTTACTCAAGGGATACCGTCATCCTTACCGAAGAGGTCCCATGACCGCTGCTTTACAAAACGCCCTTTACCGAAGAGTCCCTCGTTCTTGAAGACAAAGTCCAGGTTGCGCGGGTCATTAATGATTACGCCCGGTGGAAGGGTCGGCACGGATATCTCTAGTGTCTCATATCCCGTTTGGCGTTCGCACTTGACAAACCATGAGAACAGTTTCTGGCGGGCTTGCAAGAACACGAGGCCATTGCCCGCCAGAGGGAGCGTATCGGGGGCCTTTCTGCATTGCGAATCAGTTTGTAAGCTCGAGTGTCGTCCATGTCACCCAAGACGAATACCTCAGTCGCTTGCCGTGTCTTTGGATCTTCTCTCCACTCCCCAGAAGTACCCGGACAAGTATCAGAATAACGGCGGCCCCGAGGAGGACCGTCGGCGCATCCTTGGACAATGCCATACCCCTAGCAATGGCCGAGATTGGCCAGTTGGATGGCAGATGGAGCGAAGCAGAAACCCTTCCATTCGTATGAAGGTATAAAGTGACGTCGGCTTTTGAGGAACAGGACTTTCACGTGCGTTTTACCAGGATACCACCCGCTGTCAGGGGGTTGTGGCAGGGGTTACCGCAGTACCTAGCCTACACGAGCACGGGCAGCTTTGAAACACGGTTTTGAGTGGGGCCTGCGGTAACATTAGCGTTGCCGTTGCCGCGTCATTGACGTGCAACCAGCTCATCGACAGGGGAGTCGTGAACGTCACTCGGAGAAAATATCGATGCCATTGCTCATCGTGGCCTGACAGAATCCCCAATTGAGGTGGAGTATATATCAGCCAGTGCCCGTGAATGCCAATTGGGCCTACAGACAGCTGCGATTGACCCTCAGACCTTCACAAGGAGCTTCAATACTTCAGCAGGGATATCGCCGTGGTCCCGCCATCCCACTCTCTCCAGCCGCCTAGTCCATCTTGCCCACCCCCTCACTACTGGCCACCGCCAGCAAACGAAAAACAATGGCGCCGCTCGTTCCTCGTATGCATCTGTTCGAGATTGACGACCAACAATGGCAAGCAAACCTCCCCCAGCCTTGACATCTCCGTGACCTTCGCGCTCATCCAGCCAGTCCAAGCTAACATGGACTGAACCCCCCGCCAGGTTCCCGTCCTTTCTCCGAGCCAAGGTCCAGGCTGCCCTCACCCATGCCTGGACGACCAAGGTGCGCTCCCCCATAGCCCGAATCATGCCCGCCCCATCTAACCAGCTCTTCCTTCAGATCCCCGTCATCCAATGGACATCTCCCGCCCGCCTCGTGGCGCGACTCCTCGCCACACAGCTCGGCGACTCGGTCCATGACTACGTCTTCATCGACTTCTGCGCCGGCGGTGGCGGCCCCACGCCATCGATCGAGCGGCACCTGAACAAGCGGATCCTCGCCCCGGCGGCGGGCCCCGTGTCGGCCCCGGGCAGCTACGCCGCGGTGGCGGCGAAGGACACGCCGGCCGAGGGTAGCTCGGCGCGCGGGCCCGTCCGCTTCGTGCTGACCGACCTGCATCCGCACGAGGAGAACTGGCGCGCGGCCGCGGCGCGCAGCCCCAACGTCAGCTACGAGGCGCGGTCCGTGGACGCGGCGAACGTGCCCGCCGACCTTCTTGACGGGTACAAGAAGGATGGGAAGAAGGTGTTTAGGCTGTTCAACCTGGCGTTCCACCACTTTGACGATCCGCTCGCGAAGGCCATTTTGAGGAACACCGTCGAGACCAGTGATGGGTTTGGGTGAGTACGGCCTTGCTGGGGTTGGTCTCATCCTTATCCGCCCGCTAACACACATGCCAGCATCTTCGAGCTCCAGGAGCGCAGTTTCTCGTCCTTCATAACCTGCTGCCTCCTCGGCGTGGGCATCCTGCTGACGGCACCGTACTACGCCTGGATCTGGCGGTCCCCGGCGACCCTCTTCTTCACCTACCTGGTCCCCGTCCTCCCGTTCGTCCTCGTCTTTGACGGCTGGATCTCCAGCCTGCGGACTCGGACGCCGGACGAGGTGGAGGCGCTGCTGAGGACTTGCGGTGCCGAGGGCGGCCCCGAGGAGCTGAGCCGCTGGGAGATCAAAAGTGGGAGAGAGAGGCACCTGTGGCCGACCGGGTACTTGAATTGGGTTGTTTGCGTGAGGAGGTAGAGCTGGATCGCGAAGCTTGGGGAGGTTCGGGACAGGTTTTGAGACATGTAGAACAGACAGCCCACTCCAACAAATTACACCCATCTTCTCGGTCACGGCGGCTATTGGAGCTAAACCAATGCACTGCTCGTGTAACGGAGTGGTATGTTCCCAGAGCTGGCCACACAGATCCCTTTGTCTCTCGAATTTCGTGTTACCTTGCAACGTGAACTAACAAGCACAGATAGACTTGACAGCTTACGGCAGGATGCGTTTCTAGGCTCCGGTTTTGTCTTTCACCTTTGCGCGGCTCGATCTATCACCGAACACCCTTGAACGTAGGTGCTACTCTGGTCAACGCCTCATTATCTGACGAGACCCCTTGACGGTGGCTTCGTGACATCTCCACCACCACCGCCGGTCTAGAGAAAGAGACACTCGGAAAGCAAACGAGCGCAAGACTTGGCTTTCTCGTGCTTGTAGCAGGGCGGAGAGTGCCCGAGCTTTCCAATCTTGATTCTCCTATCCTCCTCTTGTCTCTTAACCATGGAGCCACCTGCTGTGGCCCTGGCCAGCCCAATCTTCATCCGTGGAATCGGCCCGCTGCCAACCTTGATGAAGAACGCGAACAAACCATGGAGTACGTTAATCGCATCGCCGGGGACGCCATTCAGCGCGGTCAACACCCTCTCGCGTTGTTCCTACGCCGCTACATCTCCCTTCTCGCCAACTTAGCCCCCCAGAAAGCAATGGCAGCCAACACAATTCCCTTCGCCCCTGTCTAAACCCCGTCAAGCACAGGCGATGTCCGTGGACCAGGAAGGCGGCGACTTGGACTTCAACAATTGGGTGAACCGCTGCATGTCTGTGCGTTATACCAATGCCTAGCAAACCTGACGGCTGCCCTCGACCTCGTGGGCCAACTCAACGTAGCCGAGTACAACGGTGCTGCCGGGGCCTTGAGCCTACTGCCGACAGCCGGCGCTCTTCCCGGCTTTCTCACGCGCCAGATGTGAATCGCGTGTAAGCTGGTTCCGCTCGCTGGTGTGCTTAGCATGTTCCTCAGCCTCGGCGGGTCTATCACCCCATCCAACGTCGGTGATTACAATACAGATCACACCAACATATTTCAGGGAAGGGACCGATCATACCCCTTTGTGTGGCTTGCTCTTGAGACTCGTTGGAGCCAACAAGTACCACCCCGGTTCATCATAACAAAGCCATCCGATCCATCTGATCGAGGCCTGTTTTGGTATGGGTATAAAGGGCTAGAATACGACAGGATTTTGGGCCGCATTCCGTTCATTGCTCCCAGCACAGCTCGGTTCGTCTTTTCTTTCCACTTCCCCCTTCCCCCTTCCCCCTTCCCCCACTACATTTCACAGAGCCTCTGTTGGCTAGTACAATGCCAAAATAAAACCATGGAGCACATCGTGTTCGACAAGAACCTCACGAGGCCCGATCACCTCGTCCTCCAGAGCCTATCAGCCGATCTGAAGGACCGGTCGTCAAGAAAAGACACACTGTCCAATGGCTCTCCCTCTCCAAACGCACGTTTGAACGGTCAAATGCTGCACGGCAAGACACCCCCTCTCAGGTCAAGCATACCCATAGGCTAAACTGGTTCTAGACGTAGCCCAAACCCGCGACGGGGCCACCATCGCAGCGCTGACGGCCTGGAACGACCCCTCAGATTCACGCTTCGAACCAACCGTGTTCAGTGGGATTGACCAGATTCGGCTCCCACGAGTGCTCGATGAATGGGTCCTACGCCCGTGCATCCAAATCGCCCGCTCGATCGTCCGTGTCGAGACCGACGTCGTGATGCTTACGCATCTGTTGCTGTATTTCATGACGTCCATTCCTAGCGCCATCTACCTCTTCTGGAGCTTCTCGTGGATTCATGGAGTGTTGCATTTCGTCATGCAGTTCAGCTATATGGGAACCTACACCCTGATGATGCACCAGCACATACACATGCGAGGCATCCTAAACAAATGCTTCTTCTTGTTCGACAGCATCTTCCCGTACATCACGGATCCGCTCATGGGCCATACGTGGAATACCTATTACTATCACCAGAAACTGGGGCCCAACACGCCTTTGTCGACGACGAAGAACCCGATTCCGATTATCGGTCCAGCATTACCTTGATAGACGTTGCGGCAAGTATTAACATATAAATATACTCCTTTGCTCATGGCTAAATCTCTACAGAGTAATCGCCACTGCTTCAATGATGGCTGCCACACCTCGCACCACCTCAACCCGCTCCGGCACTGGCGTGAACACCCCGTGTCGTTCATGAAGACGAAGGAGCTGTATGCTTCACAGCACGCACTAGTGTTTCATAACATCGACTACATTATGATCACTGTCCGGCTTCTGATGAAGGACTACCAAACCTTGGCTAAATGCATGGTGCCCATCGGTAGTCAGGTCTCAATGACTCTGGAAGAGCGGGCTGCCCTTCTTCGGAGACATACGCGAAGGTTCACGGAGGAGGAAATCTGCAAGAAGTTCATGGGGGCATGATGCTGAGGCTCAGGAGCCCGGGGTAGGGAAGGAAGGAAGGAAAGAGAAAGTCAATAGTGGAAGCTAGCTTATGCTTCTTAACCCTTTGATAGACCAGAAATGGCATTCCTAACTGCTAAATACAGTCGCAAGACTACCAAATGACCCGAGCAGTCCAATGCTGCTCAAGCATAGGTTGCCATCTTCCTCATCGCCAGTGTCGGGGTCCTCCGGGACGGCAAAGGAGCACGTTTGAACCCACACACCAACCCGGTCACCGGATCTCTCTTGACACCGCCACCAACAACTACACCATTCCTCCCCCTCTTAAGACCAGCCAGGCTCCTCGCCACCAACTCATAGTCCCCAAAAAAACGGTGCGCCCTCACATCCACCCCGTCCCCGTCCCCACCACCACCCACCAGCCCATGCCCAAGCGTGACCCCCCAGACCCCATCAACCATAACAGCATGGGCGCCGACGTCCGCATCCCGCTCCAGCAGCACCGAGTACACCGTCCCCGTGTACCTGACGGCCCTACGTCCCGCCACGCGCGCCGGGAACGCCCACCCGCCGTGGCCGAGCGAGACCGGGTGCCAGGGCGTGATCAGCAGCCCGCCGACGAGGCACAGGGTCGCGCCGCGGACGCGCGTCCTCAGGACAGCCGCGACGCGCCGGGGGCCGAGGGGGGTCTGCACGCTCATCCCGGGTCGCAGGCGGCCGATCCTGATGGTCGAACGCCGCGGGGCGGTGGCTCCTGCGCTGTCGCCCGCCGCCGGCGCCGGCGGACCTTTGGTAGGGATTCCTCCGCTGCCCCCGACGCCGGGGGTATCGTCGGTGGTGGTGGTGGTGGTGGTAGTGGCGGCGAGCAGCACCCTCGAGCTGCCGGCAAAGCACGGGTTGCTAGACCGGTTATACCAGCTCATGTCGATGACCTTTGCGCCGCCGCGCGGCCCCCGCGGCACGTTGCTCGGCCTCGGGGCGGGCAGCCCGTCGAAGGCAGCGTCGAGGCGGTCGCGGCAGCGGACGAACAGGGGGCTGTCGGCGCCGTAGGCGAGCGGGCCGGCGTCCTTGAACGAGTTGCACACCTGCCGTGCGTGCGCGCCCGCCAGGCTGGGCAGGTAGTGCGCGCCCCAGCGCGGCAGGAACTCCGGCTTGCACGCCAGCCGCACCTGGCCGCGCGGCGCGTCGCCGCAGAGGTCCGACACCAGGGAGCGGTTGCGCGGGTCCGAGGCCGCGGGCGGGTGCGCGGCGGGGAGGTCGGCTGTCAGGCGCGCGAGGTCGTCGTGTTCCTTTGGTCCGAGGGAGTTGGCCGGGACGTGCTCGCCGTCGTCGCGGAGGGGGGAGAGGGAGGAGATGAAGGAGACGATGGCGGAGCGGGACTTGTGGTAGGCTATCGAGGCGGGCGTCATGGTGGTGGTGAAGTCGGCGATGCTGCGGCGCGTGGAGGCCTCGAGGGCGGAGCGCGTGGGGGTGAAGGGGCTGTACTCCAGCACCGCTTTGACGATGGGCGGCTCGGGCTGCGGCTCGCCTTCTAGAGCGAGCTTGATGGCGCCCCTGAGCTCGGGGGCATCTCCGTAGCGCAGGTAGATGTCGCGGGATTGGCCGTACTGGAGGTTCCCCAGAGAGATGGTCAGCTGCCTCCGGGACCCTTCGTCTTCGCCGAGCTGGACTGGCTTTTGCGTCACGACCGACTCGCCCGTGGTCTCATGCAGTTCCATGTAGCTCGGGTATGTCAGCCTCAGAGTGGCATGGTTGGCAAAGGTCGACTGAAGATTTGCCACGGCATGAACAAATACAGTGCCCTTGTGGTTTCGAGAGATGTTAACTAATGACTCGCTCTTCCCTCGATACTTAGGTTCTCGAGACTTACAATCATGCCAGCATCAGGGATGAATGAGTAATCACCGTTGCCGAATTCAGCGATCGATTTCAAAAGACCAGAGCGAAGATTGTATCCAAACCCGAAAGTGTGAATCGTGGCCGGCAGCTGTTCCATGTTCCTAAGCTTGGGGATATAACCTTGCGGAGGACACCTATTCCATACCGAGTTAGGAGATGCAAGTCAGTTTGCGTCGAGGGATACGTACATGAAATTGGGCCTGCCGTCGGTCAAGACCATCATCGCAGGCACTCTACGGCTAGGCTCGCTGCCCTTGAAGAGTTTGATCCCTTCAAGAATGCCATGCCACAGGTTAGTCACAGTTTCAGGCTCCATGCGCTCGATGTTATCCTTGGCCTCTTCTTTGTTGTTTTTATCCATGGGGATCAGCTCTTGTAGGACCTGCGAGACAAATTCAGTCAGATCCGGTCCTCTGGATGAATTAATTAGGATACGGGCAAAAGTCATACGCGCGCCTCGGAGTGGAATGTCACTATTCCAAGTCTATCTCCGTCCCCTAGAGTCTCCAAGATAGTGCGGGCGGCGTGTTTGACCAGGTCCAGGACTGAGAGACCATTATCTTCCTTAGTCTCGCCAGGATTAGTTGGAACTGGCGCGCTCTCACCCATGCTCCCGGAGACATCGATGACGAGGACGATATCACAGGGAACGTGGTCCATCTTGGGGTCGCTAGGCTGCTTTGGCGGCTGTACCGTGACGATCAAGCCATCAGCAGATTCAAGGGGATGGATTTCTAGGCTCAGAGTATCCGAACTGTCGTCTTTCGGTCGCGTTGGCAACGTCAACTCCTGGCCATTACCCCCCTGAGGATTCGTGCCCGACAGCGAAACTCGAACCATTTTGGGTGTCAATGGATTTAATGAAGGGGAGATGCCTGGTTCTTGCAAGATTGTACACCCAAAATGACTTATAAATGCCTAGAATAGAAGGGAGGATGCCAAGTTTTGGAGTTCAGATGGATGGAGTTAGGTTACACAAGGGAAGGGTAGGTAGATATATTCCGTATTAGGGACTCAGTCAGGTATCAAAACCGACTAACGAATCGTGGGCCTAGTGCAGGCTGCATTCGGAAGTCATTCCGTGGACCCGATCGACCAAATTCCGCATAGTCTCTCCTCAAGGCAGCATTTGCAGCATTGACCTCCTAGGATTCGAAAACTTATGCGTATGTTTATGAGGATGTTTTGTGATTCGATAGGCAGCGGCAACAGGTCCTTGTTTAAATAGCGCGCCAATCATCGAGGTTTAGCGTCCATGGGGAACCCTGTTCGGCTGAGCTAAGGCTGAGGCAGAGCAGAACACTGCCCCCGGCCTAACGACAAACCTGGGAAGGTCGACTTTTAGCGTGGCCGATGCCCAAGTATTACTTATCCGAACCACGGGCCCAGCATGGTCAACATTCTTTTCACCAGTAACTATTAACGAGATATCGAAAGTGCGACTATTTGGTTACTAAAAAAAAACAGGCATTGGACCAAAATCCTTGATATACTTACTTCCCAGGCGAGGGCAGGTTTTTAGTTAAGGAATCATTCCCTGGTCAAAACTGGAAATGAGGAATAGCAGGTTCGTGCGAATACGTGGTAGGAACCGCTAATTACAGTTGTTCTATGGTTGCAATATTTTGGTCAGGCTTCAGAGTTGAGGACACTAGAGAACGTTTTGGTAGTGTTGGATTGATAATTCTTATGCTGAAGGCCTAACTAGATACTTCTCTGGCTTACACGAATATAATGCTGGTTGAGCACAATTCAAATACTAGGCTTTTTCATGTACATATTCCTCGCATTTCTGTTGCTCTTTTGGCAGATCTTGACTTCTCGGGCCGCCCAGAGTCATAGAAGATGGTCAACAGTCATGTCTAGCTACAGGGTGATAGCCATGGCAGCGTCGAAACTATGCGCATTCTTCTTCTTCCCTTCATCCCTCTGTACGGTGCTGCCCGTAAGTATATATCCCCGCTGATTGGCCACCACTCTGGTATTGTTCCGCAGGAAATCAGTCGAATAATGCGTATGGCCGAAGACCCAGGTATTAACGCCATCCCACTTACCTTGATCCAACAGATCAGTTGCAAAGAACGACGTCCATGGGTTGCGGACATGTTCTGGCCGAGAAGTACTCTCCACGCAAGGTGCGTGATGTGTTACAACCAGAAGCTGTCTTTTGGAGCTGACGTCCAGCGATGCCACCTGTGCAACTTGATTGCGAAGCCAGGCAATCTCCTCGGCATGGACTTCGTTATGTCTCTGTACAGTCCACCTCTTTATTTTCTTGTAGTCACTGACCTTGACCTCAACAGCACCGTAAGCAGACTCCGGGATTGCAGACCAGAGCGTGCTGCCGCGGATCGTCAGATCGGAACTAGGGTCATCCCAACGGGCTCTACTCAGGAGGACAAGTGTGCTTGCAAGTGAGGGTTCCTCTGACAGACGGCGCGCTTCGTTCAATCCAGATTCGTAATCCAGGCCGTAGAACTCGTGGTTCCCCAACACTAAGAAGACCTTTTCATACCGAAAGACGTGTGTCTCGAGGAATTTGAGATATCCATCGTAGTCGACGAGTCGCCCAATATCTCCAGCCAAGAGCAAAAACGGCGCAGACGCCGGAAATGTATATGTTGAGTACTGCCAGCCAACTTCTAGATGCAGATCAGAGAGGATTTGGACCTTGGGGCTAAGAGGCAGCCGCCGCCATATTTTGTTCAAGAATGCTTCCATCTTTTGCAGTTGATGAAGGAGGAAGACTTTTGAGAAATTATTTTTATGGAGCAGTAGAAATGGCCCGTGCACTGCTCCCATGTCAAACGGCTTTGCGGGTGTCCGCGAGGTTTGGAATATTTCCCCATGCTTTCCGAGTCCTTCTAGTTTCATTACGAGGTTTTGAATGAGAAGTAGTTGGTGCGACCATGACTTTGTTGGGATTTACTTGCTTCTGTTACTATGTATACTTGACTCCAGCCATATACGGCCAGCACTTGGAACCAACTGCGAAGCAGGCCCACCATTTGCATCCCTGGCCATCCTCGACAGAAACTCGTGCGAACCCCCACATGATGTATCATTCCTTCGACAGGGCTATGTCGCGGAAGGAGCATCTGGTGGACAATGTCTCCTTCCACAGTTCCACTGGATAGATCCCCTGAATACTAGTTACCTTGGCATTGGCTTGGCAGTCAACCGGGTTCTCATGGCCTCAAGATGAAGGTCTTTTTATATTGGTAAACGCCGGATATCGAGGCATGTTTCTTGGTTGCTGGAAAGTCTGCTTCAAGGTTGGCAAAAAGTCTTTAAAGGATCTCGCCAGCGCTATGCGTTCCACCTCCATCATCATCACCGCTGTCGCTTGGTTGGCTTGGAGCTCCGAACTTGCGGCCAGTGATCCCGTTAACGATCAGTGGGCCGTATTTCCTCTACAGAGCGGTGCTTTCGAGATCCATGAGCTCCACGAGGTCTTCCTCACGGTCCAATATGGGTCGGGAGAACCAGACACTATCCGCCACCGTGACGAGGAGGAGAAGCTTCTCGGGCGTATGAGCAGAAATCATGGGACATGGGACTCTCACCATCCGCGCCACCGCCTTCTCCAAGCCCTACACGGCTTTAGTCGGTACGAGGAGAGAAACATGGCGGAGCTGAACCGGTGGAGAGGCCTGTACAGGCACGTCTCAAAGAAGCAAAAGGAGGTGCGTCGTGTCCCCCCATCAGCCCTTGAGGACCGTGGGCCACGTTTGGCCCCAATAAAGCTCCACTGACATAAAGTCTCCTCACCGGCAGGTCCTGGAACGAGAGGTGCAATACAGTGGGAGGTTTTCTACGGTCGAGAGGCTGCTCAAGAGCAACCAAGGGTTGTGCCAGGCTATTGTGGACAACGCTCTTCAATTCTACCGCATCAGCAACCAGGAGCTCGAGAAATTCATCCGCGACACGGAGAAGAGTGGCTCAGTTGCCGAGAAGGTGAGCGTGGGCCAGTCCCTGAAGCACTTCGTTAGAGACTGGGCAGAGTCCGGCATCAAGGAGCGTGACCCCGGCTTCACATGCGTGCTCAACACTCTCGATGACCTCTTTCCGACTCAAGAGAACACCAACGCTATTCCCAAAGTCATGATCCCTGGGGCAGGGCTTGGGAGGCTTGGCCACGAGGCAGCAAAACTTGGTATGCACTGATGGAGGCAGCCTTGGGGTGTTTGAGCGATGTAGTATGTTTGCTAACTTGCTCACTTTTCGTCCCTGTACAGGTTTTGAAGTCACAATAAACGAGTGGTCAATGTACATGAACATTGCCTATCGCTTCCTGGAGAGTCACCGCGAACGGCACTCCCAAACGTTCTATCCCTTTGTCGATTCCTGGTCGCATCATGCGTCGACCAACGACATGATCCGACCCGTCTCATTCCCTGACGTCCCCATCAATGCGAGCTCGGTGGTACTCGTCGAGGGAGATTTTACGACTGCGTTTAAGGACGGCACAGGGACATACGACGTCGTCATTACGTACTTCTTCATCGACACGGCCCGCAACCTCGTGAGTTACTTCGACACGATCCACCTGTTGTTGAGACCCGGAGGGTATTGGCTCAACTTTGGACCTTTGCTCTACGGCACTGCGCCGTTTGTACAACTATCGCTCGACGAAATCGTTTCCGTGGTGGAGTCATTTGGGTTTCAGTTCTTGGAGACAAAGGACACTTGTGGCGACATAACCCTGCCCGGGAAGCAAGTAAGGGGGAAGGAGGCGATTTACGGATTCAATGACCGGGCTCTTACTAAGAACGCTTATAACTCGCAGTTTTGGGTTGCGCAGAAGCAGCACAGCTGAGAGGTATAAGTAGTGTGTTGAAATGCGTTGACTCTCAGTCCCATAGGTTCAGCCTTGTGCAGTTAGGAATGCGTTTGCATCTTAATCCATCGAAGCTAGCAGTCCCACGAAACGCTTATACAAGGATGGGAATTCCACAAACTGGGGTGTGATGGAAGGAGATGAGACTTCAGTAGTAGATCAAGGTATTCTCACCTTCCTTTAACTTATCTCTTCATAATTGGTAACGCAATTCGCCAATCAGTCACAGATCGGCCCGCGAGAGCGTACTTTGTCTACTGTTGAGCCTTCACTCAGGCCCCGACGATATTTCGTCGGGAATTTCAGAATAGGGTGACCTTTGAGCGCCGAAAATCATCTTCGGGACCTTAAACTAGCGACGAATCCACGCTCCGACGTGGAGTTTGCGACACGTCGATGCGTCTCCCCCGGATTCCATGCCGTCATCTTCTCAGGACCAGGACTTCGCGGCGGGAGATCTCACCCGCCAGTGACTGCTCGAAAAGGGGCACAAGCACCTCGACGCATATCCGCATATGCGCTCCGCGGATTGGACATCCAGGTCAGTGCCATCCTCTCGCAAGAGTATCGCGCTCCCATCAATGTCCCTGTACTGCTTAGACTTGCTCCAGTTGTCGCTCGACGTATCCATATCGACCATGAACGCCTGGGAATGCGGGTTGTGCCAGCCGCTGCTGCCCAGCGCGTCGTCCGGTAAGTCCGCGTTTCGCTCCAGCTCGGAGCGGCTAAGCCTACATACCCTCAGCTCGTCGCCCAGAGCCACGGACAGGTCGGATATACCACTGGTGTTTGGGAAATTACGAGAGACCGCCACAGCAGTGAAGGTGTCGCGGCCGTGCAGTGCCTCCTCGAGTCGACAGCTGACTTTGACTGCACCAACGGAACCGGCGCCCGGCGTCTCGTAGATTGTGTTATCAAAATACGTGCTGAAGTAGTCTAGAGCGTGGCGGAAATCGGCAAGAGTCGTGTCTCCGTAGCTGGAAGCGGGGGGGTAGGGTCGGCCGCTCAAGAGCACATAGTCGCCAACCATCTTACGCGGGACCGTCATTCCGTGGCAGGCTGTCACGGCCCGGTGGACGGACTTGATGACGATTTCGTCATAGTCCCGATAGTATATGGACAGGTAGTAGTCCAAGTGTAATCCTCTTCGCGTGTTCTCTTCGATGGGAATCGCAAACAGGACTCCATGGTCTGGGCCGAGAAACGAGTCGAAGCAAGGGTGGTGATAGTCGAGCGTTCCCGGAGCAAAGTAAGCCCAGACAAGCTTTGGTTTCTCCGTATCTCGTGGGAACCAGATGCCACCTCTGTGATTGTCCGAGGGGCGACTTTGCATGAATCTGAGGTATTGGGAGCAGAGAAGCTTATGTAACTTACTCAGACATGCCTAATGAGTTGTAACTGGACTGGAAATGCGTCTTGTAGTTACAAGTTACATGTAAGAAAGTAAACTATTTAAATAGGCTATTATATGGTCTGCTGACAAGGGGATCTCCCACTAAAACTAGAGACAGACCTAAAACTAACCTCAACTATGACCATGCGTAGGTAACCTATCTCTAGTCTTCTCCTGGACTCATCATGCCCACTCTGCCCTGGCACAATTGAGTTGCTACCCTTGACTACGACAGCCGTTAGACTTTCCGCGTTGAAGCTATATAGCCTCTCCCCGTTGTCTCGGCCAATTCGGATGGTAACGACTCGAGCTCTGTCCTCGCCTTTGCTTCATCGAATTGCAAGGTATGAAACAGTCAACCCGTTTCGTTCCACGACCCCAAGTCGGGGACCAATCCACGCACACCACGGCAATGCTTGATATGTTCCAAGAAACCAGCCTCGGATCTGCCACGACGTTGCGATCCCATGAGCACCCTAAGTGGCTCGCGGTTGGGAGGCACCAGGCCCGAGACAATATTCGACACCAAGCCACCAAACCGGTAACGTTCGCATGTCCATTCACAACCCCGACACCACAATCCATTTTCAACACGCCTGTCTGGCAGAAGAGAAGGAAAATGGATAGACTCCATGCCGCAATAGGCGTCATCCACGGCGTTTGCTTTGCTAGGTAGCAATGAAGGATCCTGGCCAAGTGGTTCCAATGGTGCGTCCTGAAGGTATTTGAACGTGTAGAACTCCTTCTCGGACATCACCTTAGTGCGCCTTGCGGAAAGAGCCCTAGTGATGCTTTCTGCTGATCCATGAATCGTGATTGCAAGCCGTTTCGCCGATCTTACACTGACAAGCCTTAGTCGTTTTTGGCGTGAGATATCGTGTCCAACAGAATATACACCAGGAACGCTCCGAATGGCGGATAGTCGAGAAAGTTGGCGTTGGGAGAGAGAAAAACATCTCCCAGCCAGGGCAGATACGGCCGTGTCACGGAACTTCATCCCTTGCCACTTTGTCACAAGGGGGTATTGTTTTTGCTACTGAGCACTTGATTAGAAATGATGACCCTGTGAGGGCAACGTTATGGCGAATAATAAGAGATGGGACAACTGACATGCGCGACGCGGGTTGGTTGGTAAGGTTGGGGCCTCTCCGTGGTTCAAGCTAATAGCAATGCTTTTTGGAAGACGACGTGTCAGCGAGTCGTGTTCTGTCTCGCGTAAATAACGCGCCACCTTCTCTGCGCCGCACGCATCCGGCCCGACCTGCTCACAAAAAAGGAAACCGTCAATATGGAGATTCGTGTTGTATAATAACTTGGGATGATCTGTTTTCCTACCCTATTCTCTCGACCCTATCAGCAGGCTGGAAAGTGTGTTAGACTCATAGAGATACATAGAGCTGAACAGTAATTAGCTCACAACAGCAACATTCTATGAGACCTTTTCTATGACATCCGCGATCCTACACAAGGCGAAGCAACCGTCCATCTAGACCCCTCCCTCAGCTCTTGATTCCCCTTGGGATAGATAGAGCATTGAACCCCCCAACGCAAACACATACAAATCCCGCCACCTCCCTAATCAAGCCCGCCTCCTGTCCATCACTCAGAGAGGCTCGTTCACCCACTCACTGGTGACCTCCACCCCGCTGCGTATGAACAGCTGCGTGATCGGGCACCGGCGCTCAACCTCGGCAGCAAAGTGCTTGAATTTAGGATCGTCGTTGCCGCCCTTGGCGTCGGTCTGAACCCGCACCTTCAGGGCCACGCTCTCCCAGTTCGGGTTGCCCTGCTCGCCCTTGACCAGCACCGCCGTCGGGAGCACCCCCTGGACCGTGACGTGCCACTCCCCGAGCTCGAGGCCGTGGTCCTTTGCGACGACGAATCCGGTGACCTGGTTGCACGAGCTCAGGCTGGCCAGGGAGTAGGCGACCGGCGACGGGGCCGAGTCTGTCCCGCCCAGGACGGTGTAGGTGTCGGTGGAGATGGTGTAGGTCTTGTCCTGCACCGAGATCTTTTGCGTCGTGCCTGTCCCTTGGCCCTGGATTTGAAGGGGGATGGACTGGAGCCGAGCTGGGGAGCTGGAGAATTGGCGGAGACCAAAGCTCACGCTCGGTCTGGGGGAATAGAGGCGCTGGATGTTGATGCAGCCTCTCGCCAGCGGACCAAGTCGAGTTGAAAACATGTTTAGATCAATGTTTAACTCTCAGAGCTAAGGTATCTTGGTTACTTCTGATGACGTGGCCGACGACAAACACGAGGGAAAAGGGGGAAGTAGATGTTGGTCGGATAGCTTAGATGGTCACCAATCCAGAGCAAACCTCGAACTTATAATCGTTGCTGGTGGCTGGGAACCGACCAATTTTTATATTTTGTTGTCAAACCCCGAGACTTTGTCTAGTCTGCTTTTGCTTCTCCCTATCTGGTTGCATTGCGCCATTACCCCGGCAAATGGTGAAAAGAGCCTAAGTTTGGGGGCCACTAGTGTAAATACGGCGGCGTAGATTCCCGTGCTAATGACTTACCATTTCCTATTAGAGGCATGGCCGCCAAGCCAGCAAGCCCCCGTATACACAGTACGTCTCCTTCGACAAGCCTTCTCGTACACAAGAGCAGCCAGTTGTCGGCCAAAATCGTAACGAGAAACGGAAATAAAGTCCTTCACTGCGAACTCAAATCTTCTCAGACTTGAAAAATAGCGTTGCGGTACACTAACAGGAAAAATATTCGACTTCGAGACATTACTGCGTTTGACAAAGTCGACGTTGCAGTCTCTGTGCTCTCGATGGGTAGATGACAGCCACGATGCTCCAATGAAAGGTGCCAGGACTGTCAAAATACAGTGAACGAAGGGTAAACTTACAGAGCGTCGATAAGGGGGCTTTTGGCGGTGATTAGACCAGATGTCGCAAAGAGAGCTGGGCAGTTTGAGGCCATTTTATCTAGTGAGTTCTCGCTGCAGATGTTGAGATGGATTGGGGCATTGGCGGGGTAATCTCCATGTGGGGCGGTGAGCTCTCTCCTCTTCACCGCCTTTGAAGCGACGAAAACCCCCTGCATGGTCTTGCAAATCGCCTGTCACGGTGTGGTACGTCGAGCTGTGCTACCACTTTCGTTTTGTGGGTTTTGGTCTCAACGCATCTCAGGCCCCCCGTCCATCTCTCTCTCCCTTTGGCTTTGGCACCGAGTCAATGTTGCTTTTCAAATAGACACATTCGTTTCGGCCTCGAGCCAGAATCTCTCTTCCGGCGCACCATTAGACGACTTAGAATACCCCCTGACCTAGCATTATCCTACGATAGAAACGAACGAGCATTCGATTGTCTGAATTCCGTCTTTTCGACCAGTGTCGACCTCGTCCGCCCTCGACCTCGAGACTCAATTCGCCCGGCTTAAGATCATGGGCAAGACCAATACCAATGTTGGGAACCTGGAGCACAAACCTGAGACGTCCCCGGCGATGAAGGCGCCGCCGAGCTGGACAACCCAGCCGCCCAATTCTAGCATGAATATCATTAGGAAGGTGAATAGGAAGGCGAAGAGGAAAGGCAACGGTCCGCTGAAGGGCTTGGCTTGCTGGCTGCTCGACCATCAGACTGGTATGTCACGGAAACCAGCCGACATTGGTCCGAAGTTGGCTTCGCTTCTCCCCACCCACGCCGCGTCTCCTGCACCGGGACTCGAGTCATTGCTGACAATTCTGTACACCGAACAGGCTTCTCCTTCAGTCTCATCGCCCTCCTTTTCCTTACGCACGTTTCCATATCCGAGGCACGGCCATACACGTCCAAGTTCTTCACGCTATCGTACTACAACTCCAACACCGGGAAATACGCTGCCGGCCACGACGACTTCTACTTCATGGCCTTTTGCATCGTTCTCTTCACTGGCCTCCGTGCAGGCTTTATGGAATATGCTATAGCTCCACTGGCTAGACGGTTGGGTTTATCTAAGAGGAAAGAAGTTACCAGATTCTCCGAACAAGGATGGATGCTGATGTACTACAATGTGTTCTGGCCCCTGGGAATGGTATGTCACATTCGATCCCCCTGTGCGTTCTGAATTGCGAGTTGCATCTGGGACTGACCTTCCCCAGTACATTTACTACAACTCGCCATATTTTCTCAACATGGAGGAACTATGGACCGACTGGCCCCAGAGAGAGCTTGGTGGACTTATGAAGGGATATATACTGGGGCAATGGTCTTTCTGGCTACAACAGGTACTCATCCTCAATATTGAGGCTCGCCGGAAGGATCACTGGCAAATGCTGAGCCACCACTTGGTCACCATTGCCCTCATCTGTGCGTCATACGCCTACCACCAGACTCGGGTCGGTAACCTGATCTTGGTGCTGATGGACATTGTCGATTTGGTTTTCCCCGTAAGTCCTGCGAACCTCGCGCAGCTTGTCATGCAGCTAATGGCCGGAACAGCTTGCCAAGTGCCTCAAATACCTCGGCTTCACTACCATTTGCGACGTTCTATTCGGCGTATTCATCGTCCTGTGGCTTATCTCGCGCCACGTGTTCTACCTCATGACCTGTTGGAGCGTTTATTCCGACCTGCCTCGGCTGGTAACGCCAGCCTGCTACAAGGGCAGCGCCGACAATCTCCAGGGTCCATTGCCTGTCCCGTCCGATTGGTCTCATCTGCTCGAGCCCTTCCGCGACCCCGCGGGGACTGTCTGCTGGAACGACAATATCATGTTCGGCTTCCTATCGTACCTTCTCATCCTACAGGTCATGATGGTCATTTGGTCCACCTTCATCGTCCAGGTCGCCGTGCGCGTGCTTCAGGGCAACAGCGCCGAGGATATCAGAAGCGATGACGAAGGTGGGGAAGGCGAGGAGGAAGAAGAGTCCGAGTATGAGGAGGTCCAGCCCCTCGAGAAGGAGGTCGGCGTTGAGGCCATTGACCTGAAGGGGTGGGAGCGCCGCCATGCTGTCAAGAGGGCCGCGAGCTCAAGTGGCGTCAGTTTGCCCGGGCCCAGCGATCGTCGAAAGGAGTTGCTGAACAGGATCGGGTGCGAGAAGCAAATTGACTGAGGAACACTTTGCGCGATGGCGATGGCGATGGCCTTCTAGGCTGCCTCGAAAACCCGTGGCTTGATCGGTTGGCGGTGGATCTGACGGCTCGAATCGCTTCGAACACACGAAGAAAAGTTTGGCTTGGCATGTTTCCGTCTCTTTTATGTCGTCGATATACGGACAGTGGATGACAGCACTGCAAATCACACACTGCAGAAATTCCTCTGGATTGGTCGGCTCGGCGAGGCAGGACCTGGTATATAGAATTGGAGTCGGAATCGGAATCCAGATATCATACCCTGGAATTGGGCCCTGGACCCTGGAAACCCCTTTTGGCGCTTAGACGGTAGCTTAGACGCCGGACCCTGCCGGGTACCTTGCCTAGTGTATTTATCCAAAAGCGTAACCATCCTTCGTGCAGGGGACCCCTGTAAGGACTTCGGAAATCTGCAATTTGACTTGGAGAAGAGCATCGAAAAAGCAATAAAAGAAAGATGGAGTTGAAACACTAGAAGAGATGGAAGATACCATTGAATAAATACTTCAGCCCTGAAGAACTAGAAGGCACATCCTTGTAACCGTGGTTCCCCACTAACGAGCTTTCCAGGCTTAGGGCTGTTGAAAAACTTTGGAAGTACTGGCGAACTAGAGAGATTACCCCGGACTCCGCGGCCTCCGGGACGGCCCTAACTGCCCTACTAAAGCTTCCCGATTCGCTGACAATACTTGCAATGGCATCCTCTACCATTCCCCCTTTGGAGGTGATCAAGCACCTATCGATGATTGTGTCAATCCATGATCACCTCACTCCTTTAGCATCTGTGGCACACCCCGAGTCCCGCCGAGATCCCGCACAACGCACTACCCTGACTAGGATCTCGACCACCTCAGCCTGTCGTAGTGACTTCAACCTGTGATAATGGGTGCATCCGAACCCTCCTCACTCCTCAATACCTTGGCCCACCAATTACGCTCGGCGACGGAGAATGGCACCCCGCGTCGACGTACAAAGCGCAGCAAGCTAGGCCAGGAGAACTGCGCCGGAGACACAGGCCTTGGCCCGGGAACTAACCTTGTGGGCATCCCCCTGGCTGACCCCTCGTCAACGACGCCATCGTCCAGCAGTCATGCGCGCCGGTCGGGCGAGCAGAAGAGGCTCTCCAAGCGCAGAAAGTCCCGTTCCCTTCTGCGTCGCTGCAGACACTTCGCCACTAAGCACACGTGGACGATCCCTCTCCTTCTCTTGCTCGCCTTCCTCTCCCTTTACGCCGTCAATCCGAGCGAGTCCAACATCGTCTCCCATTTCATCTTCCTCTCCTACAAGCAGCAACCTCCTGGCGCTATCGCCAACCGCAGCATGCCGGTGCATTATGGCAAGGGCACCTGGGATATCGCCTTCGTGGCCTTCTATACCATTGTCTTGTCCTTTACGCGGGAGTTCATCATGCAAGAACTCTTGCGCCCCTTGGCTCGTTTCTGCGGCATCAGGTCGCGCGGCAAGCAGTTACGCTTCATGGAGCAGATGTACACAGCCATCTACTTTGCCGTCATGGGACCGGCGGGCGTATATGTGATGCACCGAACGCCAGTGTGGTACTTCAACACGCGAGGCATGTACGAGTCCTTCCCACACAAGACCCACGAGGCTGTTTTCAAGTTTTATTACTTGTTCCAGGCGGCGTATTGGGCGCAGCAGGCTGTCGTCATGTTGCTGGGCATGGAGAAGCGGCGCAAGGACTTCAAGGAGCTTGTAGCACACCATATCGTTACCTTGGCTCTCGTTGCCCTGAGCTACCACTTTCACTTCACGTATATGGGCATCGCCATTTATATAACCCATGATATCAGTGATTTCTTTCTTGCCGTAAGTCGGATTTTGACACCACCCCCCTTTGCGTTCCGGGGAGACTACCCAGGAAGGTATCTAACGCGTAGCTACTTCATAGGCCTCCAAGTCACTCCATTACATCGACAGTCCCCTGTCAGGGCCGTACTTCGGCATCTCCATCGGCGCGTGGATCTACTTGCGTCACTACCTGAACCTGCGAATCATCTTCTCGCTCCTCACCGAGTTCAGGACCGTTGGCCCCTACGAGCTCAACTGGGAGACGCAGCAGTACAAATGCCTGCTCTCCAATTTCGTCACCTTCGGGTTACTGGCTGCGCTCCAGGCCCTCAACATCTTCTGGCTGTTCTGCCTCTTGCGCAGTGCGTACCGCATCGTCGTGTATCGCGTGGCCAAAGACGACAGGTCCGAGGATGAGGACGAGGGCGAGGGCGAGGAGCTTGAGAAGGTGGTACGCACTCAGGAGGAGACGAAGAAGGTTAAGGCACTGCCATTGTTGAACGGCAATGGGTTTGTCGATTGCAGTGCAAACGTGATCAAGGCCAGTGGCAATGGGACGCCCGCTCCACCCACGAGGAGGAAAGTCGCTCTGTAGAGGCTCTTTCCCCTGAGATTCTTCGTCGTTCAGGGCTGGAAATTAACGGCACTTCCTCTCGGTCAGCTTTGGTTCCAAGAAGTCAAAGTCACCATGGAGAGGCAGAGGCTCGTTGAAAGTGAGGTTGTGTTGTGGGGGAGAGAGAGAGAGGTTGGGGGGGAGGGGGGGTGGGGGTTGCATCGATATCAGACGCCACTCACTCGGGTGGTCATGGCGAAACTTTGCTTCTCGATACGATATTTGCGAAGCAGGTAATGATACTTAATGTAATTAATGATGATGAGCATGGAAGCCATCCAGTCCGAAAGGATGATGGGATGATCAGGCACGGCCAGCAGCATGTATTTGCTCCAAGCAATATTTATAGGATGTCAGAGGCCCTAGACAAGGGGAAACCAGAAACTTGTTTTCGGCTGCGGGGGAAAGGTGTTTGTTAGACCAAGCTCTGTTGTGAGGAATTTAAATAGTCCAGGACACCGTGTAAGATGAGGATGTCCCAGAGTAAGGATTCTAGTAATAGGCAGGTCGATCGCAACTACCTAGATAGTTAGATAATTCCTAATTGTATAAAAGATATAGGAATTTGAAAAGGGCAAAACAAACACTGTATATGAGGCAACTTGATGATGTGAAAGGAGTGCATGTAGTTTGAGCTATTCACATAGATACTGCGGCAGACCTATCCAGCCGTAGACCGTTTCTCAGGGCACAGCACAAAAGCGAAGTGCGAGGCGGTAATTATGGGTAACATCTTAAATTGGGTATCTAAGGTAGACCGCAGAGGCATCCTGCAACTCCAGAGACTCGATAAAAGAAGGAGAAACGGGGAGAAGGAAAAAAAGGCGCCCTCTATCGCCTCCGTAATGCACCATCCGGGACCCTCGCAACGCCCCAACATGCATTTCGACCCGGGCGTGATATAGACGCACTCCCAAAACTACCATTCAGCTACCCGAGGTTCAGCCCCTCGAATGACTGATTCCCCTCCAACCGCTGCCGGAGCGATCGTTTCCACCAAGCGTGGTGAAATGATGCCACTCGTCAAGAGACGACGGCTAGGTCCCCGCCAGTTCTCGTGCCGGGTTCCACGGCGATAGCCGGTGCGCGATTCGTTCATCTCCGGGTGGGGCGGCGGCCGGTCGGGCCCGTGGGGCCGAGAAGGAAGAAACACCGCGTGCCGAAAAAAAAAGAGGAATCCGAGGCGCCCCGGTTCCGGCAGTGCAATTCCATAATCATGGTTGTTTGACTTTGTCGGCGGCGGTCACTGGGTCGGAAGGGGGAGCGCTGCGCCTAGACGCAATCCTGGCATTGTGGGTGCTGACAGGCGCTGCAGGTGGTGCTGATGACGAGGATGGTACCGCATTTGCAGCAGCGAGGGGTGTGGGACGGCATCTTGTTTCTCTTTTCTTGGCTTTCTGTTATGTTTTGGGTGTGGCCGTTCTATGGGGCGAGTCGTATGAGTGGTTGCTTGTCTTGTCCAACTGGTGTGTGCCTTGCTTAAGTTGAGAAGTATTTTATGGAATGGGATTGAATTCGGTGGAAGGTGTGGGCAGCCTTCTACCTTGAAGAGCAGTTGCGGGGAGACGTATTTATTAGGTATGAACGAGGTGAATTTAAGCTTCCGGTGAAGTGACTGGAAGCGTTTGAACCCCTTCGGAAAAGAACGGGAGAGAACGGATGAAAAAGGAAAGAGCTGGGGTACGTCAGTGGGATGCCTTCAGTTTCGGTGGCAACAAATTACGCCTGACCGCCTGGAAGGCGGTGTTTGTTGAAAGAGGGTTTGAGTCATGTGGGAGTGATGTGCCCAGGCAGCCACAACAGTGACTTGGGAGACTGGGAAGCCTGGAAAACCAACCGCCGCCTCAACCGCGACCAAGGAAACCGGGACGCTAGCATACGAGATGTGGTGTTGAGGGATCCAGCTCCATTGGCCTATCATGCGAGGGAATATTTCCAATCGCGAGAAGCGATGAGGCACATGAATTTGGTAATTCATAAGTCAACGTATCTGCATTCGTGGGGGTTAGCGGTACATTGCGTTTGGATTGTTTGACCCACCTCTGTCGATCACTGCCCTATGCCTATTAAGGCCTGAGGCATTGGCGGGGATGCGGGGCAGTCTTTCCCAGCCACCACCGAGAAAAGGGGTAAAAGGGGTTTGGCCCGTGCACACGTGTCTCGCACCCCTTTTCAATATTTCCCCCTGAAGCCAAGCCTACCACGACTTCATGACATCCAATAAATACCCTATTGGGACTCCGTACGGGAGACACTTGAACAGTTATCGAGCTTTTATCATCCCTATATCCCTGCAGCCCTGCAATTCTCAACCCGGTGATGTTGTCAAACGTTAGTATTCGGCCCCTTCGAGTCACTTTACCCGCTTTGATCCGTATGACGCTCGATTGGCAACTGGAGATCATATTGACCGCGAATTCTCAGTCCTCAGGGGCTGGTAGCCCCTTTTTATGAATATTTGACGGCCCAATGCCCTCTTTCTCTGGTGAATTTACCACAAATCTAGGCATGCCATAACGTGCTATGCCAGAAGCCCCATTTGTGGCAGCATAACAAAGTTACCATGGAATAAACCTGTAAGCAAACAGAGGCTTATTCCCGACTTATCCGACAATCAGGCATCCGAGAGCGGGGGGGAGTACTCTTTCATGTCCCTTCGCTTAACCTCACGCTCCGCACCAGGCCACTCCAGCCTCATCTGCTGCTTTTCCTCAAAGCCAAGGCCCCGCCCCACGACGTACTGTCCCTGACCAACCACCATCGGTATCGTCTCGCGCTGCCGATGCAAGACAAACGGCAACTGTGCGGCAGGGTCCTTCGTTTCCTGCTCCGCCATTTGTATGTAGTGGCGCTTGAAGGGCCGGTTGGCCTGGCTCAGAAACAGTCTCCGGGTCTGGGGGCCTTTTTCACCAGCGGCGGTGTTGTTCAGCACCGATGCACTGTAGTCCCCCGAGATTGACTCGGGGAGACGCGTGACCATCTCGGCCTCGATCAGTCCGTCCTTGCGCAGTGTGGCTAGCACGACACCTCCGTTGCCAGAATCTTTTAGTTGTGATATGGAATGGTCACCCGACTCGTCGACGTAGCTGCTGAGTTCCCCCAAGTTGTGTAGAGCCGGTCGGCTTGCTAGGTACGGGAGGTCAACTTGCCATTTGGGATGGGATATCGATCCTCCGGGTTGGTGCGTCTTGTTGGGGCAAACCGCGTTCTTGTAGTGGCGCGTGCCAGACCTCGGCTCTTCAGCGTTGACAGGCATGCCGCAGAAGTACTCGCCGTCGTGGTCAAAGGCGAGCCTTTCGGGGCAGAATTTAGAGAACCTTAGGGATTTGTGCCCTGGACAAGCAACAGCTATCAGCATCATACATATTAATTACTCATTTAACACAGCCAGTAGAGCAAAAGGGATTTTAATAATCCTACCTGTTTCCCCAAAGCTCCAGAGCGCTGCACCAGGGCCTTCCCCAAGCGTGTCTTCCACATGCTCCATCACTTGTGATCGGTTTTGGGCGTCTCGATGGACGATGATGCGTTGATATTTAATGGCGACTATCGGGTATCGCGGGTGTAAAAGGGCGCACCAGTTGGCATCTCTATCATTGTGGTGTAGGAACATTGGCTTGAAGGCCAACGACGCTACGTGACGATAAGAAGGCCGCGTGAAGGAACGCGTCGCCGCGTCTTGGTAGATAGTGACGAGTCGCAGTTGACAGCCCAGATCTCTTCGCAAGTCGACGATGCCGTTGGACTTGTGCACTGTCATCAGATACTCTCCTGTGCCTGACAGCTGGATATCATAGTTGAGCTGAAAATCTTCAATGCCGAAGCTGAATGGGCCATGACGCCAGGCATTGCCGGTAATGTCGATGAACTGCGTGGATTCATCTATGTTATGATCCGTGATGAACTCTGGCTGGTCGCTCTCGGGGGCGGGTATATGGACGACGCATCCGGGAACAGCGGTGCGTTGCAAATCGGCCGTGATGGTGGCAGGAAATTGGAAGCCATCCCTGAGAGCTTCCAGCGGACTCAACTCCCCCGGGCGGGTCTGGTTCGTCTGAAAGAACGGCTTGAGACAGCTCCCTGGTATTCTCAGATCAACTTCTCGAAGCTTGATGTTGGGGTCGATTGACCACAGTTCAAAAAAGACAGTTATCCGTCCATCTCGTAGCGAGGCGTAGAGTCGAATAAGCCCCAGCCGACATCCGTCATGCGAAAGCTGAGTTTTGAGACATATAGATTGATGGTCCCCGTCGGGCCTAGCCTCAAACCGCGCCGCAATGTTCGCACCAGAGATTCGTTGCCAGAATGGAGATTGATTGAAGACGGATACACTGGGCTCCCATATCTCGTTCGGCTCTTCCATGAGAATGTGTGCCCATGAGTTTTTCATGTCGCTCAGATCACGGCAAAGTTGAAGCAGAGCTGTCCAGGCGGTTTCCAAGCCGGATTTCAGTTGACGATCATGCTGCGATGGAGCCTGGGGGTGCTTCTGAAAGAAAGCGTCATGAAGCCCATGCCGGATTTGAGGTGGTCGCTTGAACATCCACGATGCTTCGATCCACACCATCACTGATCGCTTGCTCGACAAGAATTTGGAGGCTAGCCCGACCAGTAGTGTGAAATCTTGACCGATTGGAGACGATGTCAAGTCTTCCAAGCACTGCAGAACGTGGAAACTCCAAAACTCGCTGGCGTAGTCGAGGAGTGGATATCGTCTCCCTTGGACTTCGGGATCGGGAATGATGCGAGGAGAACCAGCAAGCGGGTTAGCCTCTACACTGTAGTGGAGATAGGATAGGCAACGACAGGCAAAGGACCGGTGGCTGCCCTGCATATCGACGGTGATCTCCAGGGAGGCATCGTTCCCAGACGATAGGTCCGTCGAATTAGTCAGATATTCAATGACCGACAGGTGGACAAAGCGGACACACTGGTTTTGATCCAGTTCCAGGAGTGCTCCAGACAGAAGCCCCAGTTTCTGCGAAAAGTTGGGGATCAAGTCGTCGGAATCAACACTTCTGTCCATGGGAATCGCAATGGAGTACTGCAGCTCGGTGATGTGGAGTGGTCTGAACGAACATACCACCAACCTGAAGGCCTGTATGATGTTGGTCCTGGCATTTCCAAATGCGCTCTTCTTGAGAGAATCTAGAATTGCCTTGTAAAGCGAGTCTAGCCCTTCGAGCCGGGTCAGATTCTCGAGGGCTTCGCGGCGTTCACGGATTGACAGATGTGGTGACTGTAGGTAGTCCATGAAGAGTGTAGCCCAGAGGAACATGCCGTTTGCTCGGTCAGCCACGAGTGTAACGGCGTCTTCCAAGTGAAGAGATGGTGGTAGGAGTCCGTCGTCGAAGTGACTCGCCATTCTCAGCCGAATAAATGCTGCAATGTCCTGCAAATTCAGGGTGCTATCCAAGGTCAACACCGCGGTATTCGGCAGCAAGCTAGCTGGCAGTATCACCGTCGGCCTGCTGAAGAGGGCCACGAGAGCATCGCCGGGCAGATTGCAGATGGCTGTTAGGCGGTCCAAGAAGTGCCTCTGATCAAGACATTCGTCCACTCCATCAAACACGAGAAATAAACGGTCGAGGCGCTGCACAATTAGGTGCAAGATTGAGAATATCTCGTTGTCTGATGCCGTAGGTTGGCCAGCGCGAGGGTTTTCGCGGAGCAGGAGAAATATATCGAAGATGTCTGGATCGGAGGGAGACATGGAGTGCAGGAGCTGCATTAAAATAGCTCGCCATGCGGCACTGCTCGAAACGCTGTCTGGCCTCTGCTTGTCAAAATAGAAGAATGCCAGAGCAGTACGGTGACCTTGCCAGCCGATACTGGAACTGCTGGTTTGCTTCCATATGTGTTCAATGAGGGTTGTGCAAAGGGTTGTTTTCCCATAGCCCGGCTTTCCTGTGGAGCGGGTCAGGAGTTAGTGATCCTTGCAGAAGAATACAAGAAGTTACACACCTTGCACAGATAGCACACGAAATGATGACTGCTCCAGCTCCGGCTCTTCGGGAATCCATCGAGTTACTAGATCGTGACGGACAAACCACCCTGTGCTCTCGCTCGCTCGCTGATCCTGGGCACTTTCGAACAGGCTCAGCCAAGGTGGCGGGTTGATCCATGCTTGGAGGTGTAGTTTGGTCTGTGCTATACGAATATTCGTCAGGAGATCGATCATGTTTAATGCCTATACGAGATGAGCCGCGCTTACCCGGATCTCTCCGTGCCTGTTTTGTGCTCTCGTCTTCAAATCCGCCTTCCTCAATGAATTTGTTGAGCATCAACTCTATCCTTCCCGTGGCGTCCATCTGTTCTACGCTTGTGATGACGGCCATCTCCAACTGTATGAGTTGCTGATGTTGGTCCCATCGCTTGAGGAGCGTATCGTATTTCACATTGAAGGGGCTGAAGACTGTCGTTGGCAAAGAACGGATGAAGGATCCTCGAAGCGAGAGGAATTCTGTATCGAGGTGAGATGGAAGAAATCTAGCATTTAATGGAGAGGGAAGTGCTTACTAGACCGTTTGCGCGAAAATACTTGACACATATCAAAGCAGAACTGAACTAGGTCTGCATAGATATAAGCCATGGCTCTAAGCAGTCGGGTCGGGGATCGGACTGGTCGTCTGCCTTGTGCTGCATTGAGGCTTTCGAGAAACTCTTCGTATGCTGGTAGTTTCATCCCCATGTCTTGGAACAGCTGGCAAACACGCTCAAGAAAGAGAACATGATTGGAGCCCAACTAGGTAGACGAGACTTAACAATTTGGGATGGTCTGTGAGGCTCAGAAGCTGGATTGACAACCTACTACGAATACGAGACGCAGAGAACCCCATGCGAGAGCCGCAAACTCTGGGTGCGAGGAGACGAAGAGACTGATGACTTCGAAGAACGGAGACAGTTTTGTAGAGAGGGCTAAGATCTTTTGACAACATCGAGTCAAGACACTGGTCTGGATTGGGTGCTTGCCGACCTGGTCTTGGATCGACATCAACATTGTCTTTGCATCTGGGTATTCTTTGAACAGCCGGAGCTGCTTGTCCGACAGTGATGCCCGGAATTGCTCGGAGGCCGCTTTGAAGATTGAGACCGGATCGGCCAGTTTGCTTCGAGGTGGAACGACATCAGCCTCCGGTAGACACCATGGTCATAATGATGTCGTAGGCTTTGGAACATACCTAGAATCGAAATTCATTCTGGCGCTTGGGGACGCGCGAAGCTGGTCAGATGCGGACCAGATTGATCGTCACCTGGAAGCTATTCGCCCCCTAATTAATTGATCGCCAAATCCAATAGATATGCCAACACCGAAAATCGTTCGGATACATCCAACCCAGCCTCAACAAACTCTGTCAAGAGCCATGATTAGACCCTGGTGGTTGCGAATTTCGCTGGTTGTTGAACTTTGCCTCAGCGTTGGTATGATGTTGAGTTGAGGGCTGAGGGCTGAAGGTGAGAAGGAGCTGTCGGTGAGCAAGACTTTGTATTTATTTTGGATGACAGGCCTCTTCTGAGGCCTCTTGCTGCGCCCCCGTGGCCTGCTATTGGCGGCCAATATTTAATAGGTGAGCCTGCTCGTGGGAGGAGGGGATCACGTGGGTTCCGCATCAGCTGAGTTGGTCTTGCCCCTTTCTCAGCCGTACGGAGTATCAAGAGGCTGGGGTTGAATAAGAAGACCCCTGGCGATTTTCTTGGTACAAATCCTGTGATGGTTTCTCAACACAAGCATAATCTAGCAACCCCTGTAACTAACACGCGAATTTGCCACTAATCCGAGGTCCATTCTCTGAGGAGCCCAATGCTAGTAACTGCTCCATAGAGCATATTAGTAAAACACTTGCGGAGAGTTGGAATCGCCCAGTGTCTCTCATGACACATTTGACAACCATTGGAACAGGAGACCTACGAAAACGCCACGACTATGCTTATGCTAGCCTCATGGATAGGCCAGCAAAAGCTTAGCCCACTTGACGACACAGAGATACTGATGATGATCATATGCTCCGGATAGAACGGTAGGCTCTAGACTCTTCAAGAGGGAACTCTTCAAGAGGGAGTTCTGACTAGTGAATAATTCGCCTGCAAGGCCTATTTGTCTGTGAGCCTGGATTTGTTTTCAGGATTGGCATTTGTTCGTTTGAAGAGTACGCCTATCTGCAGGACGAAGAGAGCAACTGGTACTGACTCAGTTCTGTTGTCTCAATGAGTGCAGCGCGGTGGAACTATACCAGCAGGGGTGATTCTACCGACTGCATCCTCAGGAAGCATACGGGACAGAGGAACAGAGGAACTTGCTGTGATATGCACTAGATGCGAGGCTGGATCACATCACTGCACCTCTCTATTTGCCAGCATGAAAGGCAGACTTGGCTAACACTCAACACGGCTGCTCACATTAAAAGGGGTCGTATCAAGCAGATTCCAGTCATCTGTCTTCGCCCATGGAGCGGGATAAAAGGGGAAACATGAGGACTTGGCCGAGCAAGTATCAAATAGGCAGAAGCTGGATCAGCGCCTACCATCCTTGTCATTTGGCTCAGACACTGGGGGGGCTCTGGGAACTAGCCAGAGCTGAGTGGCCAACTTACGAGTTTAGTGCATCAGAAGCGCGTTGAGGTAGCACCCTAGGTGACAGACCTGCTCCAGCGGCGGAATGTTGCATCCAGTGGCTTGTAGCCGCTTACATCCAGTGCCTGTCCCAGGAGCTGACCCCATAGTTTCGCGTCGTCCGTCTCACATTCAAGCCAAAAGGCTCCAGCGTACACGGGCTTTGTGGCCACCCAGAATTGTGGGTAATAGGCTGCAGATTCCTAGTATATAATTCCAGTGACAAGGTTGCCATCCTCTGATATCATGATGTTTGTCGGTCCAAGGTCCGCATGATAAAAATGAAAGGACGGGTCAATGGCTGGGGGAGGTTCAGTCGACATGTTTGCCATGTGGGCTCGGATGGCCTCTAGTGAGAATGGACCAAGGATTCTCGGCAACCACGTGGGATGGGATGGATGAGCGCTCTCCATCAGCCATGCTTCATAAACACCACATCCAGTGACCGATTCAAACCGAGATGAAGTGTTGGCAGCCAGTATAACACAGAACCGAGCGATATCATGGGCAATTCGCGTGCGTTGGGGTGAGGAGAGCTGCGGCCACACTTGTTCCAACGTTTGTCCTCTGACTCTCTTTGTTATGAGGAAGGTTCTGTTGAAGTCGTGATCAATCCACGAGTAGACAACCTCTGGGATGGGAACTTCTGAGGCCTTTTCCCCCACGAATCGAATAGTATTGGCTTCTAGCTCTCGCCCTTCGCACCAGGCATGTACCTTGCAGAACGCATTCTCTCCGAGGCACCAAACAGTTGCTGAAGTCCCTCCGACGTGAATCCTGTCAATTTCAGCGTTACCTCCTGACAAATCGTTTGCAGTCCTCTTTCAAAGATAGAAGTTGTTGCTGCCATCTTGCCAGTCAATTATTGCGTTCTCTGGTTTGGGCTCTGGATTCTTGATCCTTTCGCAGATCATCGAGGAGCCCAGGATCCATTGATGAGGACTGATTCGAGTGATAGAAACCTCTATGGGAGGCAACATTTCACTGTCGCAGAGTAAGCTCATATCTGCAAGGCGGTGGACGAGGACGGACAAACCAGAGCATTGTTGCGGATTGCAACCAACTTGTGTACTAAGCATCTAGAATTTATGTCAAGATGGGCAGCTGGTTTTGGCTCGAAGTCCGCTGTGAAAAGCGGCAAAAGGAAGAAGTGATTGTCCGACGACGATGGATGCCCGGTTCCATAAAGCCTATGATACAATGCTAGCCATCCACGAGCCAGGTCATTCAGGACTTCGCGAAGGATCTTCTTCATCGAGGAATAGAGTTCTGGATCTGGAAAGTGACTGAGTGCTGTGAAGCGGATATGGTACCTCCTGCCGCAGCCACCATCAGCGGGCACGCATGGCACAGGGCGGCGGCGGCTGGGGTGGGAGATGGGGACGTTGAGAAGAAGGCAACAACGTCTTCATTTCCTACCCCCTAACGTTGGCATCGTGACAATATGTTTTGGCAAAACCTTTGACCCGAGCCATGACATCTATGAGTCCACTGGAACCCTTTCCATTGGTTCGGGAACAGAGGGGCGAAAATAAATATTGTCTGTCGGGGGGATAGACCGCCAAACTGAAGCAATGACTACCTGGAAGCATGTAGATACAGCAGCAATATATCTGGATAGTCCACCAAGGCTCCACCAGCAGCAACAGTTACCTAGATGCCTCCGCTACCAAGGCGTGTACAAGCTGCACTATTTATCTTCACAGATATTGAGCCATCCCTCCACAGACATCAACGCTCTCGTAGTTGGTTCCAAACCCCTTAGTCTCCGGAATAATGCGGTAATAAAAGTCCGCGGTGTGTTCTGTCTCCGCGAAGCCAATAAGCTCGTCAATCTTGTTACTGTCCGTCCCGCTCTAGCGGCAATCCTCCGCTCTAGTGGTCAGCGCGATCCAGGTGCTTCTCGGCCCGTTCCGGCCCATCTAGTCGAACAGTTCTAAACTCTACACTTTTGCCTTCCTCCTTTGGATATATCAGTCTTTCGGGCTTGCCGATGGCGGCTGCCTGGATATGTAGCGTAACGATCTGCTGACGACATCAAGGCGACATCAAGGTAACATGTCGTAGATGCTCAATGGAAGTCAGTCCGCTCGGGATCGAGGGAGAATATTGAGGGCCGAAGAAGCTAGAGCTACTGAGCTGATGAACAAATCTATCATGATTCAAATGTGACAAAATCCTCAACTGAGACCTATCCGTCCTCGCCGTCTCCAATCAGCGTAAAAAAAAAGCGCCATTAAAAAGAAGAAGACCGACTGTCGACCCTAGATAAGCCTGCCAAGAGCAGTCCTTGTCAGAGCATCCAGACCCCCGACAGAGACACCAGTAGGCGAAAGTGAAAATCAGGATGAAGAGAGGCCTAGATATATTCAAATTAGGGCAGGTGCACTCATGCGTTTATAGTATTCATAGAGATTGGTGTTCCCTACGTTTTCTTGGGATTGGCGACGTATTCAACGAAGAAGCCTCCAGTTGTGGGACTTGTGTTGCGAGGTGTTTGAGCACTGGTCTTAGACGACTGCTGTTTCATGGGCTCAGTGGACGAGGTAACCATTCTTTCCACCGATGGATAAATAGTGTGGCGGGAGATTATGGGAGCTTGAGATTATTGCAGAGATGGGATGTTTGTTAAGAGGTAGCTTAGGCTGGGGATGAACTGCGAACTGTGGACTGTTGTTGGGCTTAAATAAAATTAACCTAGACACACTGCGTCAGGCATATGATTAACTCCATCCTTCCAGAGATAATTGGTCTAGATACGAGCGTCTGTCTGTCGCATAGCTAGGTACCTTGCATGGAACTGGATATGGGCATTTAAACTCCATCCTTCGAGAGCTAAATGGTCTAGATACGAGCGTCGGTCTGTCGCACAGCTACCTTGCATGGAACTGGATATGGGCATTGTGGGAGCTTCGTCACATCACTTGCTCACTTATTAATTACTCTTGACCGCCTTATAATTCAGCAAACAATGCCGAACACCACAAAGTACACTCGACGCCCTCTCCTGAATAAGGCTTGCCAAAGTAGCTATGTCACTTCCATTCTTCCTCAAAATCCCTCTTTAATCAACAAAGATTAGGTTCCTAGAGTCATGGAGCACATTGCTGTAGATAGACTGTAGAATGATACTTACCCCTGCTCTTAAAGCAGGCAAATAGCCGTGTCTTGAAGTCCGTGGTGCTCTTCGGCAATGTCTAGAGGCCCTGACAGTGAACTGGTACGAGTCTATAACCTGTCCCAGGGTCTTTCACAGCTGACAAGGCAACAATAAAGTCTTGCAAGGGCTGGATATTGGGTATCGAGATACCTATGTGAAATGGCCGGTCTGGAATAATCTGCTCGTATCGATGTCAAGCGCCACAAACAGCACATGCGTCATTGAAGAATTTGGAAGTTTGACGCCGAATTGGGTTATACGAGACTTGACGAAGACTCGGCACTATTGCAGTAACCTAGCAGCTGACGAAGAACCAACATTTCATCTCTTGAGGAGCTCGATGTGTATTGGTGTAATGCACTCTGAGGCTGCTCTGATGGCGTCAATGCATGATAGGTTAGGTAGGTAGGCACATGAAGATGTGCCTGTTTGCACATAAGCTCTTGCTTGTCGAGTGGTTTAAGGCGGTGGGGTGGGGCCCAGTCATTCAAGTTTGGATGATGTCAGCTGTGGCTTGACGATTTGCTCGCTGTGGCTTGCAAGTCTTTCCGAGTCTCCTGACCTGACTCCTGAGAGACTGCTGCTGGGTGGGGTCGGCCGTAAGGCATCAAGGCACCAGCGCAGAATTACTTTCAAGCCACAGTCAGCAAATGGTCAAGCCACAGCCACCGAATGGTCAAGCCCCACCACAAATGTAGGGTTTTCAAGCCCTGCCAAAACTTTGAAGCCGGACCTCGAAATTTCAAACTCCGGATTGCAGATTGAGAAGATCACCAACTTCGACGACAAGTTCTTGATCGCACAACCGGCACAATGGTTAGTATCTTCTGATCCCCCTCGTGTCTGACTTGTTCGCTTGAAGGATTGGAGTTGCTGACCAAGTCTTTTTTTCTCACTCCAGGCGATCAAGCACAACCAGCAGCTTCCCAACAACCGTGAGCCCTATCCCATCGACGAGCCAGCCATGGACAATTGGAGGAGAACGGGGTAACTGATCGAGATTCCCAGATTTCCGAAAGGATTGGCAACGCCGGGTTCGGACACACTTCGACCAGGTGAGTCTCGTCCACGGTGGAAGGCAGCAATTTGGCTGAGGGCCCGATGAGAACGATTCTGACTGTTATCGTGATGGAAATAGCCCGGAAAGAAGGTCAGCCGCCGAGATGCGCGACGTGTGAAGGCTGCTGCCGTCGCTCCCCGGCCCATCGACAAGCTGAGGCCCATCGTCCGGTGCCCGACCATCAAGTACAACCGACGAGTCCGCCTTGGCCGCGGCTTCACTCTGGCTGAGCTGAAGGTATGAAGGATTTACTATCCGTCGCCCTCCTGCCCCAACCGCGACGATGAAACCCCCCACCGCGTTATTATTGTGACAATCATTTGTGGAAGGAGGAGTGCCCTAACAGGATTTTTGCAAAAACAGGCTGCCAACATCTCCCGCCACTATGCCCCCACCATCGGCATCGCCGTCGACCACCGCCGCCAGAACCTTTCAGAGGAGTCCATTGTCGGCAACGTCGAGCGCCTGAAGGAGTACATGAGCCGCCTCATCGTCTTCCCCCGCAAGTCGAACAACCTCAAGAAGGGTGACTCGCCCAAGGAGGACCACAAGGCCGAGACCCTCACCAGGCTCCCTACCACCGTCCCGGTTGCCAGCGGCTTCTCCGAGATCAAGAAGAGCGATGTGCCCAAGCCGGTCGAGGGTGGTGCCTACGTCGCGCTTCGCCAGGCGAGAGCGAATGCTCGCTACGCGGGTGCGCGGGAGAAGCGGGCCCGGGACGCGGCCGATGCCGAGGCAGCCAAGAAATAGACGGCGCGGGAACGGCGACGTACTGGGGAAGGGGGAGGAATTTCTTGACGGGTCGTCTGGCAGGTCTGCTTTCCTTGTCTACTGGACGGTGGATGCTGGTTTCCTATGGCCGCGTAGGTAGTTCGGGGATATCATCGTTTACCAAGGTCATGGTTCAGAGAAGTTTACTTTGCATCAAAGGGATTTGCTAGATCGTTCGGAAAATGAATGGGAATGGAAAGGCAAACTCCCCTTGTCTGGCCATTGTGATACTGCATGTGACTTGGCCCAGTTCACGAGAATCGCTGGATGAGTGTGGATTTGTTTCTACTCTATACAGATAAAACGTGAGCGAGGAGGTTCCATCTAAATGCTTCCCATATACGCCCATCTTGAAGACCCTTCTTCGTCTTGTTAGGTTCCCGAGCCGGTAGCATTCCCTGCCCTGCCCTGCCTCTCATTCAGGACCTGTTCCCCTCCCCTCGACAATATCTCCTCCAAGAGGTTCCTCTTAACCGGCGGCAGGCAGTCCGCGCAGTGCCTCAGGATCTCCGCCACCAGCACCAGGCAGTTCTCCCTGTCAACCCTCGCCATGCCAGCCGCCGCGGCCGGATCGACCTGCTGTGGCTCCAATCCCAACCCATCAATGAGATCCGTCTCGCCCGACGCCCCCTTCGCCCCTCCCCTCTCCCGGCGATGTTGCTGCTGCTGCTGCTGCTGCTGCTGCTCCTCACTACCAATTTCCATATCCACCTCCGTTCCCTCGCCCCCGGCAAGCAGCTCGTGCCCATCGAGCATGTCGCGGCCCGTGGCGGCCTCGACGAGGGCGCGGCACACCTCCATGGCCTCGAGCGCCTGCGCCGCGACGCGCGCCCCGTCCGCGGCCCGGCCCATCAGCGCGAGCACGAACCAGCCCTCGGACCGCAGCGCCGGGAACCGCGCCTGCGTCACCAGCTGCACCAGCGACGCCGCCACGTCGTCGACGTGCGCGGCGTAGAAGCCCTCCCGCCGCCGGTCCGCTGCTCCTGCGGTTGTGGTGGTGGTGGTGGTGGTGATAGGGTGAGAGGACGGGGGTGGTTGATAGGCTGACGATGATGCTTCTCCACCGCCGTCATCACTGTCGCCGTCGCCGCCGGCGGAACCGACCGCCCAGCCCGCCGGCAGGACCTGCGACACGGGCGTGGAGTGCAGGGCGCGGCACACGGCGGCGACGGCGCGGGCGGCCTCGAGCTTGGTGGGCTCTGCGTCGGCGCGGGCGCGCAGGGCCATGAGCAGGTGCAGGTTGCTGCGGTCGCGGGCGGGCGAGGCCGGGTCGGCGCTGAGGGGCGCGCAGGCGAGGCGCACGTTGGCCGGGCAGCCCGTCAGCAGGAGCCGCGTCAGCGACACGGCGGCGAACTGCGTCTGCGGCTGGGCGTCGGTCGCGGACCAGAGGTGCGGGAGGACGGACTGCGGCGGGCTGAGGAGGGTGCCCAGGAGGGGCTTGTTCGCCGGCGGGATGGCCAGGTTCTTGAGGAAGGACAGGACGGCGTGGAGGAGCTGGGACGGCGGCGTAGAGGTGGGCGGGCTCGTGGTTGAGAGGGAGGGGCCGGCCTTGGTGAGGATTGTCAATAGTGGGGGGAAGACATCCTTGACAATGGCGATGCTCGCATCGTCAGACCTGGCAACGTTCCCGAGGCACAGACAGGCTGCCGTTTGTAGGTGGGTGTACGAGGGAGGGCCGCTGAGCCAGTTTATCAGCCGCTGTATCACCGGACTGCCGACTGGATGGCGCAAGGGGAAGGATGGTAGAGCGGAGATGTCTGCGAGGGCTTTGACAAATCCGGTCCAGATCTGCTTCAACTGCCCAACGTCCTCGGGGTCCGTGTTTGCGATGTCGAAACGGGAGTACGAATCGGAGAATGCCTCTATCAGGAGCTCAAAGCAGCCGGATTCCAGGAAATTGGTCTGGAACTGTTCATGTGAAAGGTATGCTAAAGCCACGGAGGTGGTCTCGCAAAACTCGTCCAGATCTGGTGGGTATGTTCTGCTAGTAGCGAAGTTGAGGAACAGGGCTGGGGTTGCCGGGTTGGCCAGGTCGACCTCGTGCTCTGTTGCTGTTAGAGAAGGGTGGGATTGGAAAGGGGAAAGACAAAGTCATACCTTGAGAGATGAGTAGCAGCAGGATCTTGCATAGAATGTTCAGGAAAGGTCGGCAGTGCAGCAGTCGTTGACTGCGGACGATGTCGACAAGGGCAGCACTTAGGCCAGCATTAGAAGCTTGGAGCTGAGCCGGTTCTTCGGTTTGTTAGATCCGATGCGTCTCAAGTAATGGGGTTTTCATCTTTACCATAGTCAACGCAGATATTATATAGGACGGGTATCACAAAAGCTAGAAGCGAATCGTTGCTGAGCAGACTGATGATGGAACCGAGATGATTTGAGTCGATGACCCTCGCACGGTTTTCGTCTGCGTGCATGCTTTCAGCTCCTTCATCCGCAGTCACTGGAAGTAAGAACCATACCTGTATCCGCACATGAGTTTCCCACGAGTCGCAATGTGTGCATCCTCAGGGACTGCCGCAGCCCATCGAGCGGCAGAATCTTGAGGAATAACTCGAGGAGCCCCGAGTCTCCGATGGGGACTCTCCATGAAGCTATAAAACGAATCGTTAGAGCCAATCCAAGGGATCTGAGGCCCATGAAGAGCTAATCCCTCATGAAAGGGGGGCGCCAGCTAAGTTGAGGAATCTCAAGACAGCCAACTGAGAAGTCAAGGTAAAAGGGCCAATCCATCCATGCCAGTGTCCAAGACGTGTGACTAGGGAATGGACATCGTGGTGAGAACAACGTAAACGAAGCTTCACTCACCATCCCGGCTTCCATCGCCGAGCTTCTCTGCAATAAGATCGATAGACTCAGACCCCGACAACCAGGCATGCTGCGCAGCCAGGAAGACGTTTCTCAGCTTGCGGGTCCTCGAGACCTTCTCCTCGTCTGAGATTGTCTCGTCTTCATCCTGGCCAGTGTTTTGTGCATGGGTGCCACTCTCAAAGAGCGCCTCGATATCTTCGGGCGTCATACCTACTACAACCGTCCCATCAAAGAAGAATGTTGACACTATACGCTTGTCGTAGGATGTAAGGACTAGGCTGTTTTATATCTGATCAGAGAGATTGGTGTTTTGGCCAGCTGTCCTTCCCATGTTCTCCTGTCGGACTCTTGAAATCCCAGTCTTCGCAGCAAGGCTTCGTAAGTCTACGCGTCAACCTGGAGATGTTCCTTGTCACTGGTGTCAGACGGAGTCAAACTACGACGTAACCGCCGAAATGGCCCGTGCACCTTCAAAGAGATCGAAGGATAGGTACCTAATCAAGCAAAAGATGGCTCCGAGCGCCCCCAAAAACACGGTTAAATGGCGAATGTCAGTTGGTGGTGTTGGCTGGGAGTTTTATTTTCCCCGATAAAGGCCAAAATACACAAAATACACATCTACAGAGGCACTTAGGATCCATCTCATAGATAGCTTGTCCTGCCAGGATTCACAAGATTCACAACAAGTGCGTGTTGACCGTCGGGAGGCCTTCTAATCGTCTCAAACTCGTATTGATATACACGTGGTACAATGTGTAAAGTATAGTACAGACAGATATCTATCCGCTGGAAGCAGCTACAGCTCCCAACAAACTTAACAACCCTACAGCTCACGAACCTGCCAACCCCTAGCCTTAGGCAGGCTAGGGCTTGCCGGTGGCCCATCTCTTCTCGACGCTCTTCCCGTAGCCACCAGTGCCAGTGACGGGCAAGTTGCGCTTCTCTAATTCGCGCACCATGACCTTCCAGCGGCCCACCATCTTCTCCTTGTCGATGGGCGTAACCCTCCGTGGATAGACCTTGACATTGCGCAACTCCGCCATGGCACCCTTGGCCTCAATCAGCTGAGCAAGCTTCTTTGGCTTGGGTGGCTTGATGAGGGCTCCGATGAGCGACGAAACCGTCCGGATATGGATCAGCTTACTGTCCGGAATGACATGTCCTGTGAGTTGCTGGATGCGTTTCGTTACCTGGGAGGAGAGTGAGCTTTCCGCAGAAACCTGAAGGGGGGAGGAAAGGGGCAACATACGGCAAACTTCAAGCGCAGATCTTGGAGTGAAATCTGCTTCCAGCTTCGATCCCACGATTTCAAGAATTCGCGAGCCTCCTCAGGAGCAAGGGACCAGTCGGCGCCACCCACGTCCTGCTCTTCAGCTCTGGCGGTAAGGCCCTCGACCACGCCCATAAAATCCCCTGTCAGCTCAGCCGATCCATCAACAGAGACTTCCACTCCAACACCGAGAGCAGCGACCAGTTGGTCATGTCCGCCAGCCTGCCAGGACGCACTCAACGCCTCATCCCCTGCTCCTTTCCTCACAGCCAATGCCTCGACGACCGCCCTCCTCGTCAGCACCTCGAGAGCTGCCGGGTCGACAACCTTGTCGCTGCGTCCGAACCCGACGTAGTTCTTCGACGCCGGCCAGTTCCGCTCGTCTTCCCACCAATTACTCACTCCGCCGACCCACTCCAAGCCTTCCAAGGTTTCGGCAGGTGTATAGCCCGGCTCCGTAATTTCCTCGGGCAAGGGGACCTTCCTGATTTCGCTTGGAATGTTGAGGTCTGTGTGAATCTCGATTCGCTCGGGATCGGCCTCGAACGCCTCGAGATCGGTGTCTTCATGGTGCTTATGACGCACGACTGGGGCCGTCGAGAATGCACGGGTCGCCAACGGTATCCTGGACGACAGGCTCGTGCTGTGAGAGACTGGCGGTTGTCGGCCAGCGCACGACAGGTCACGCCTCTGGGAACATGTCGCGGCAGCGGGGACAGACACGGGGAACCGGGAAGAGGAGGAGCAGGTGGATATAATGGAAGACGGCTGTCGTAACCGAGTTAGGCGTCGCATTTCGTTCAATTGAGCACTGTCGCTGTGCCCAACCGGGTGTTGCAAAGTCGATCCAGGAGTCCTGGTGTTGAAGCTAGCGCGTTCTGATCCAAAATTTTGGAATCCGGTCAAGCTCGGGCAAGTCGGCGGCATCAGCCACAGATCCCGGCCAATCAGCCTATCAGGATGTCTGCAGAGCTAGCAGGCGCCACACGTGGCAGACACTACCAAAAAATACTGCGTATCTCCTGATGGGCTCATCAATTGAGCTCCATACAAGTCTAGATTACCACCTACAACCCGTTGGCCTAATTCTCTCTTTTGCCAATTTCCTCCCAAGGCAGGAGAAAGCCGGACGAGGACCTGCCCGCGATGGCAATAAGTACCACTCCGCGGAGCGTCTCGGACGCCACCCGCTTCACCTCGACAACCCCCCATGCTTCGTCCAAATCTTCCGCAGCAAACTCGTCGGTGCCGTCAGACTCCAGGTTCTCACGCCCAACGGCTGGACCTGGACGGATACCCGGCACGCCAGGCTCATCGGGTGCACCGGGCAGCGGAGGCCCGGGTGGACCGTCGGTCCCGCCGTTTGGAGAGACACCAGAGCAGCGGGTAGCCCGGTTAAGAGCCGCACATCTTGCCGCGAAGAAGGCTCAGGTGTCACGGTTCGACCAGGTCATCGCGAGGGGAAGAACCTTGTTCGACTCGGCGCACAAGATGACGGTGCTCGGATTGCTCGGGCTGACCGGTACGTAGAGCACACAAGCCTATTTGCTGCTCCTCTCCCATTTCTCTACGAACCCCCATGCTTCCCCCGCCCCCCGCCCCCCCGTTTTCCCACCGCAGAGCCTAACACACATCCCCCGCAGCCATCGCCGGCCTGATGACCGTCTACACCGCCACCGACATGATCATGTACAACCGCAAGCGCAAGGCCGAGTTCCTCGAGGCCCAGAAGCAGATGGCCACCGACAGTCTCGAGGCCGCGCGCATCGCCTACATGCTCGGCAAGGCCACCGAGGACCAGATCGCCATGGTCGACGAGGCGAACGCCCTCGAGGCCGGCGCCCAACCCGGCGCCCTCAGGGCACCCAGGATCCTGGGGGCTCCGACGCCCGCCCACCCACCACCAGCAGCAGCGACGGCGGCGGTGGCGGTCGAGCGGGCATCCCCCCCTGCCAGGGAGGAGAGTGCTCAAGAGGGCCAGGAGGAGAAGAAGCAGGGCGGCGGCGGCGGGCTCCGGGCCTGGCTGTTCTCGAACCTGCGCAAGGAGGAGGAGGGCGAGGAGGTGGGCAGCTCGCAGCGCCGCCTGGGCTGGGAGAGCCTGAGCGAGGAGGACGTCGGCGCCGGCGTGCGGGACAGCGACCTTGCGCGCGCCGTGGAGGACAAGCAGGCGTACCTGCGCGAGCAGGCGCGCGGCGCGTTCGAGAGGGAGAGAGAGAACCAGCGCAGAGGCGGGCCGCTGGATCGGGTCGGCGTCGTCGAGGGGCAGACGACCGAGGTCCCAAGGGCGGATCCGCCCAAGAAGAAGGGCTGGTTGTGGTAGGGAGTGTGGCTGCCTGCCTGCCTTGCTAAGGGCGGGGCGGGGAATAGGTGGTTCAGGCAAGAAAAAAAGTAAAAAAGAATTACAACCAACTTGAGTCTATCGACGACTCAGCCGTCCAGCTGGCGCGGGGGAAGGGGTGGTCCTGTGACGGTGCCTAGAAGGGACCACAATACAATGTACCATAGTGTAATCGGATCTGCATCAAAAGGCGTGACGGAAGGTGCATGGATATAGACCTACTACTTAACCTGACCATTGAAATGAAACAAGCCTGCTCTTGCATTAGAAGACATGCCCAAGTGGGCAAAAGGTTTTGTGATTGCTCTGACGTTTACGTAGATAGGTCAACAAATGGGAACCCCCTAGACGACTGCCATTTCGGCCTGATTAAAATTACATGCGCTCTCCCCGTTAACAACCCTGGTATAAAACTCGACATTAGGAGATAATGATGTGGTTGAAGTGCCCCGGGACCTTCATACGGCATTTGTCGCAGTCCGCCCTGTATCCTATACTGAACGACTTCTTCATGCCAGCCTGCAGCGTCCACGAGTTGACGGTATGACGTGACCGAGTGTGGCCTTTCCTCGGAGACGAGGTAGCCGATGGGTCGACTTCCATAGCAGAACCGTTCGGACTCCCCGACGGATCTTCCGAGACAACGTTTGGCGTCGCGACCCGTGGGGGCACGTTAGCTGCCAGTGGTGATCCCATTTCCATGGCGGAAATCGCGCGTGGGGGTAGGGATGAGAGGAGTGGGTGCTGATGGCCGTGGCAGTTGATGTGGCCCATAGACGAGTCCAGGATCATGCCCGGAGGACTCCCGAGGTGTTCGCTGCCGTCTTCACCCCCGTTTTCACTAATAGGCGAGGGCAAGCGGCGGTTCTGCACCAGGGTCCAGTCGGCCATGACCGCTGCCGTGGCTGTCGGCCCGTCAAGTGACCGCGGAATAGATTCGTGGCCAAGCATGCCGACCCCGTGATATGCTTCCCTCCGAGAGATTCTGTTCGACTGTGACTGCTGCATCGGACCCGCCGCCAGCATCATGTTACCCGCCGCTCCTCCCCAGTTGTTGCCTCTGACCTGTGCTGCAAAACTGCAGTGGATCGGTGTTGGCATGCGACCGTTGATGCTTGGCGAGATGGGATCGGGCTGTGACGGTCCTGGTCGCAAGTGGTCCCCATCCGGGTTGTATATCGGTGCGAGCCCCGGCGCCGGCTCGGGTTCCCACGTATCCGTCATATCCATATCTCCACTGGCAGGTCCTGGTTCCATAGCAAACGACGAAGCTGACCATGTCTCATTGTGAACATGTGGCTGATCAGAGTGGGCATCTTGTCGATACGAGGCCTGGTTTGTGTCTTCTGAGTCTGAGTCCGACGGAGTAATCGTATGTGGTCGGACCAGTGTAGGGTTGTTGTTTGGTTGGGGGGGTGGGAAGTTCGGAGGGATGGATCGTCTTTTCGACGTGGGAGACATGCGCAGTGGGAGTGATTGGAGTCGTTTCTGCGATCAACATTAGCACTGCATGTCCCTATATCGAGTAATGACCAAGCAGAGCAACATGGCAAGGCAGTAGGCAGTAAGCATACACTTCGGTGCTCTGTGAAGCCCATGGTGCCTCCGATTGCGATGTCCTCATGCTCATCCTCCCGGCCCCTCTTCCGGTTGCTCTCGGGCCACTGTGATTCGCTCAACATTGCAGGGACTAGGTATGACATCAAATCTGATGTCTTCAGAAGCTTAAGTTGAGAGATCTAGCTTTCCGCAATATAATGAGTTCTGGTAGTTCAGCCGCCGCTCAAAGATGTAAGATCGGATGTATGTAGATCAGGTTCAGATCGGGCAGAGCCAAGGATAGACTCTAGCTTGATTGTCGGAATAGAAAGGGCGTATCTAAACCTCCCAGAGGTTGGGACGGTTGATGAGTCCGGAGGCTGGAGGCTGGAGGTTAGAGGCTGGAATGAACATGCAGCTGTTCCGCGTCGGGTGCCGCGGTGCGGAGAAGTGGAGGCTGATAGAGCCAACTCGAAGCTTGTAGTGATTCGCCGACGCAGGATGCACGCAGGATGCAAGAACAAAGAACAAAGACAGATATGGGTATTTAATAGAAGAAAGAGGGTTGCCAATGGATGCGCCAAAGAACTGGCAGCTTTGGGAAGGTACACGAGATCAACAGGTGCAGTATCAAGGGAAGTAACAGTAGCCGCCAGCAGAGCCAATGAGGTAAGGGATGATTCACAACGAAGAAAAGGGGAAAAGGGGAAAAGGTGCCAGAAATGACCGAATGTAGAGGCTGACCGAAGGAAAGACGGAGGGCAAGCTAAGCATTACAATAGGAGATTGTGGCCGTAATGAAGAAGAAAGTGATGGTGAAGTTTGTTGAAGCCGAAGGCTGCTATGAGTCGGTTGTGAATCAGTGCACGCACTCATTAGAGAGCTGTTGGTCACACAGATGGTGGTCCGTTTCAGGATTGCTTCAAAGCCGGCCAGCGACGGCTAGCCAAATGCCCCTGAATAGCTGAATGCCCCCGCCTGGATATCTAATTGCCTCTTGCCCGAATACCTAATTGCCCCTGCCCGAATAACCTCTTTCCCAAACCACCATCCAACCTTTATGTAGGTAGGTAACTAGGTAACTTTCCTCATTGCGCATAACAAAAACCTTGTCGTCGCTTTCCTATAAAGTCTCGATTCCCACCTCGCAAACAATTTCATAACCATGACCATACTTGCGTCCACAACAATCGATTGTCCAAAAGCTGGTTTTACACCCTTACAATTCCCCCCCCCATTTCACCACCAAACCCAAACCACCCCATTACCCACAATGACTAGCCTTCTGAAGGAGCTTAACCTTAACCCTGGTGTCATCTACGGCGATGATGTCCTGAAACTCTTCCAGTACGCCAAAGCTTCCAGTACGCCAAAGCCCATGGCTTTGCTCTTCCGGCCATCAACGTGACCTCTTCTTCTACCGCTGCTGCTGCCCTTGAGGCTGCAAGGAATGCGAAGTCGCCTATCATCATCCAGACTTCTCAGGGCGGAGCCGCCTACTTTGCTGGCAAGGGAATCAAGGACAGCGCTGAGAAGCGGGAGGCATCTGTCGCCGTGCTATTGCTGCTGCGCACTATGTTCGCTCAATCGCTCCACACTACAGCATTCCCGTTGTGCTACACACCGACCATTGCGCAAAGAAGCTGCTTCCATGGCTCGACGGAATGCTCGATGAAGATGAGCGATTCTTCAAGGAGCACGGTACCCCGCTATTCAGCAGCCACATGATTGATCTCTCGGAGGAATCTGTGGAGGAGAATATCGAGACTACGGCGAAATACCTCAAGCGCGCCGCTCCTATGAAGCAATGGTTGGAGATGGAGATTGGCATCACTGGAGGAGAGGAAGACTGAGTTAACAACGAGGACGTTGACAACAACTCCCTCTACACTCAGCCTGAGGATATCTGGGCCATCTACGAGAGGCTCAGTGAGGAGAGCCCCTACTTCAGCATCGCCGCCGGATTCGGAAATGTCCATGGCGTCTACAAGCCGGGCAACGTCAAGCTTCACCCCGAGCTTCTCGGGAAGCACCAGGCCTTTGTCCGCGAGAAGCTCGGATCCAAGGATGATAAACCTGTGTTCTTTGTCTTCCATGGTGGCTCTGGCTCTTCGGTTGACGAGTTCCGTACTGCCATCTCCTTTGGCGTTATCAAGGTCAACCTTGACACGGATCTCCAATGGGCACATACTGTTGGAATCCGAGACTACATCACTGCGAACATCGACTACCTCAAGACCCAAGTTGGAAACCCCGAGAGCGCCGACAAGCCCAACAAGAAGAAGTACGACCCTCGCATCTGGGTCAGGAAAGGAGAGGAGACCATGAGGGACCGCGTGGCCGTCGCCTTGAAGGATTTCAATGCGGCTGGTTCCCTGTAACTTGGAGTATGTTCGGTAGCACGTCTTGGGCCGACCAATAGACAGATGCAGATGCAGAGTTTAATCCACTTCGACCCTTCTGCCTGAACTTGTGGTCAAAACCACAGGCCAATGTATCTTCTTGTGAAACGCGCAGGCCCAAAACGCGGAACCGAACAAGCCCTTTGAACTCTGAGCCGCGGAAGGGAGGAAGTGGAAAGAGAGACTCACTGGCCGGTATCTAGGTACCTACCTAGTTAGGTATCCAGTTATCCGGCAACCGGGTCCTACCTACTTTGTATCCCTCGAAAGATCGGCCAAGTAAGATCGCCCCAGGAGCAAACGATGCTTGAGCGGAGAACCACATCAGTCTTCAGTAGGCACCCGACATCAGCAAGCATACTCCTACACTCCATGTTACCATGTACACAGAAATATGGATTGTATCCTCCTCGGGGCAGGGTGAGAGTTACGCCAGGCTACCTTGATGAACATGGGATGCTCATGATTCGGCGTTGCAATAGGAAGCATTGGGTTTGTCAGTAAGAGGGCCGATGACCCGCCCGCCCCGCTACGTTTCAAGTGCCAAACCACTGCGCTAGGCGGGATTGGGTGCTTCGGAGGCGGTGAAATCGGCAAAACTGCCAAAAATTCTTTTTTGTGCACATCGCCCCTCCCCCACCTTAGTCACCAGTTACAGGTACCTATGTAGGGACCTATTTTGAGCAACTTTGGACCCCATATTTCGGGCGCATACAGTTGTTCCTACATCCCTCTCCTAGGTACAGCCAACGAGAGATAGTTTCATTATATACCTATTCTAATCCTGCATAGGTTATTTTCCTACCTATCACCCGCTTGCCCTAATAAGAGAAAATCAGCTGTTTCTGTGAGACCCCGCCTTCGTGCCCGATCCCTCCCGCCAGCCCCGCCAACCGCCCGTTGACTCACTCACCTTGGATGCCATCATCAGCAATCATCATAGCAGCAATTATTGTTCCTCTCCTATAAGAAACGAGCCAATTCTGCTGCAACTCCCGCTGGCGACTATTCGATTACCAATCTTCCAGGCCTTGGCTCTTCCACCCTCGTCTTTACCCCTCAGCTGGCCCAAATTCCTGCCTTGCCGTCGAACCCTTGTTTCAACTCCAGGCCACCGCTCTCTCCTGCCATTGAAGTTTTCGAGGGCACAATCAAGGCACATCTCCGCCCATAGGCCATCCCGGCGCTCTCCTACTACCGTGAAAGCCGCCAGATATCTTGTCAGAATGCCTGGCCTCGACATGGAGCCCCTCCAGGCCGACGATATGAGAGGTAAAATACTGCTCGTCCCTATCAAACTTGACTACGAAATTCCATCCTTCTATGCCCGAAAAGGAGTCCTCCTCCAAGCAACCTTTCCTCGACCCCCTCCAAACAATCACCGAATAATGCTAACGGACTTGTGCTTGTGGCAATAGTCCTGGGACAGGACCCTCTGATCCCGCCAGCACTCCTGATCTCCGAAATCCCCATGACTGATTCTTCCCTCCAGACCGTAGTGAGGGGGAGGAGGGAAGCCGTCGCGATCATCATGGGCAGAGATGATCGTCTCCTTGTCATCATCGGGCCTTGCTCCATTCATGACCCAGCCACCGCTGTTGAGTACGCGGCGCAGCTCAGGCAGCTTGCTGAAAAGCACTCTGAAGATCTCTGCATCATCATGCGCGCCTACCTGGAGAAGCCACGGACGACAGTCGGTTGGAAGGGGCTGATCAATGACCCAGACATTGACTCTACTTTCAAGATCAACAAAGGCTTGCGGGTATCCAGACAGCTGTTCTCCGACTTGACGTCTACTGGGATGCCAATTGCGAGCGAAATGCTCGATACCATCTCGCCACAGTTCCTCGCAGACTTCATCTCCGTCGGTGCCATCGGCGCGCGAACAACCGAGAGCCAGCTTCATCGGGAGCTGGCTTCTGGCCTCAGCTTCCCCGTCGGCTTCAAGAACGGTACCGACGGGAGTCTCGGTGTTGCAATTGATGCCATAGGAGCCGCTGCCGCCAAGCATCACTTCATGGGTGTCACAAAGCAGGGCCTCGCCGCTATCACCCGCACCGCAGGAAACGAACACGGCTTCGTTATCCTGAGAGGCGGTACCAAGGGTACCAACTACGACAAGGCCAACGTCCAGGCTGCGAAGGAGACTCTGATCAAGAAGGGTCAGAAGATGGCAATCATGGTCGACTGCTCTCATGGTAAGCAACACCGTTCTCCGATACTACTGTGGTATGCGTGCTAAATGAACTTTATAGGCAACTCGAACAAGGATCACAGGAACCAACCCAAGGTTGCCAAGGTCGTTGCCGACCAGCTCCGAGAAGGCGAGAAGGCTATTATCGGAGTTATGGTCGAGTCAAACATCAATGAGGGAAATCAAAAGGTGCCTGCCGAGGGGCCCTCGGGGTTGAAGAAGGGCGTCAGTATAACTGATGCCTGCATTCACTGGGAATCTACCGTCTCCGTCTTGGATGAGCTCGCAGCCGCTATCCGTGAGCGGAGGAAGGTCAACATTGGTTCATCAGCCGGGAACAGTCCCAAGACTACTCTCCTAGAGGAAGAGTAACCTAATTTTTTGTGTCAAATACGGAGTTCATTTCATGGCTGGCCACAAAAAGAAAAAAGGGGAAATTGGGAAGAGGCCCTGGGGGGGCGGGTAGGGTCACCCGCGACGAAGTCATGGGAGCAGAACCCTCCTTATGACATCGCCCTAGCCACCCAGTACATTATGCAAAATCCGAGCTCTGGCACGGCGAAGCCCGGACGAAGCCGGGAAGGCGATGTTAAGGTTCAGAGGAGAAACTGGTCTCTGGAACAACCTAGGATCTTAGCCTAGGGGACCTTTTTTGAAGGTTCCACATCTTCAGCGTATCGCATACGCGGAATGCACGACATCTCCATATAGATTTCTCAGGAAAATAGCTCATCTGTCGGTTCGCTTGTTCCGGAGACGTCGTAGTGATAACGGTCGAACAGCATCTCCAAGCTGGACATCACTGCGGAGATATGAGTTGGCTCGCACAGTTGGCCACAGAGTGTTATTTGTACACTACATGATTACCGTATTGGAATGGAATCAAAGTCCAGTCAAACAACGCCGGTCCCCTCTTACAGCATATCTCAAGTAAATATCTCAGCCCGGTCAGCGCCCGTCACCGTCATACGCAATCCCGATAGGGCTATACGCGCCCCTCGCCGCGTCCTCTCTCGGGTTCAATCCACTCCCGCCCGCAGGACTACCCCTCCTCCTCAAGAAGCTAGCCCAGCCGAAACCAGCAACAGGCCGGGACCCGCCCCCCGCGGAGCCCCTCCCACCCGCCGACCCCGACACCGGCCCCGACCCCGCCCTCGGGAGCGCGGCGGCGGCGACGTCGCGCATCTCGAGAAGGCGGCGGGCGGCGGCCCAGCCGAGGAGGCCGACGGTGCCGAGGATGAAGCCCCAGACGATGACCTGGTCCTTGAGGCTGTCGCGGCGGAAGCACATGGTCGTCACGTCCTTCTCCTCGGCGCCCTTGCAGATGGGGAGGTTGTAGCGCAGGCAGAAGGCGCGGTTGCACTGCGCGCACGACGACGAGGGGGCGCCACGCGGGGCGATGGACGCAGCGAGGTCGTCGAGGCGGGGGCGGAGATGCGGGTCGGTGGTGGCTGTGGTGGATTTGTCCGCATCTGTTGAAGGCTGCTTTGGGGGCGGGGAGTCGTGCTGTGGGCCGAGGGGGATGATGGTGCTGTTGGTGAAGCAGGTGCATTTGCAGAAGGTTGGCGCCGCTGAAGGGGGAGCTTGGTTAGGGGGGTCTTGTGAGAAAGGGTGGGTGGAAGAAGGGCTTGACTTACCTGCTGATACCAGAAGGGAGGTTAATGCGGTCAATAAGAAGAGTATAACATGTATTCGAGCCATCTTGGCAGCGGGTTTTCCCGTTGTAGGGACGTTGATGAGGTTGAGGTGAGGCCTACAGTGAAATGAGGCGGCTCATGGCGGTTGTCGCAATCCATTGATCCTTGGTTCTGCCAGGCGGTCAAGTCCATTCTGACGCACAGACCAACATCGTTCCTTATCGCCCATAGGTCGTTCCCCTTTCTTCTCCTCTCAAGTAAACATTAGTTGAACCAGTCGTTTACATGGGAATCTCTGAGATGGCGCAATTTCAGGCCCAATGATTCCGTTGCTTGAGGTCTGCAAAGTACGAGACACGAAATGACGATTTCTATTGAATGACAATAACTACTGCTTTTTCAGGCTTTCAACGTACTCCTTGACCAAGTCCTCAGGCTTCTGATCTACTACCAAGCCGAGCTTCAGCGGCGTGCTCAAATCAATGTCTGGCGCCCAGCTCCTCAGTATCCTCTCGTATGCCGGGTTCGCCTCCTCCTTCAGGAACTTCAACTTATCCTCCCCGCCATATTTGGCCAGTCCGTCCATAAGCTCTTGCGTGCTCGCCGAGATGCCGGGGATATTGATGTGGCGGATATGCCTGGGCAGCTTGTTGGTGTCCATGTGAAGGACCCTGGTGAGGTTCTCGGCCAGGCTACTCGGGGAGCACATGAAGGATCTAAAACTGCGGTCCTCCAGCGGGATGACGCATTCCTGCCCGTTCATGGGCTCGCGGATCATGCCAGACAGGAACGAGCTAGCGGCGAGCGTCGGCTTCCCGGGCCGCACGACGACGCTGGGAAAGCGGAGGATGAAGGCGTTCAGGAAGCCCCTGCGGTTCAGCTCGTTGAGGTAGGTCTCGGTCATCAACTTGTGGGCCCCATAGGTGCTCTCCGGCGTTGGTATCACGCTATCCGTCACTCTCGCCGGAAGCGGCTGGCCATACACCGCCTGTGACGACGCGTAGATGACCCGTACGCCGGGATTCGAGAGCCGGAGATGTTCGCACAGGGTCCGGACGCTCTCAACGTTCACCTTAAGAGATAAGTCGTAGTTGGCCTCGGAGCCGGCAGACATGATGCCGTGGAAGATGAAGATGGCGTGGAGAGGCTGGGCGGCAGAGACAAGTGTCTGGATGAAGGCCGGGTCGCTGATGTCGCCTTGCAGGCATTGAGCGTGGTCTCGATGTTTGGCATCCTTGGGAACGACAGGCTCGACGATGTCAGTAAGAGTGAGATGGTATTGAGGTTGGCCGAGGAGGCGCGAGGCGAGGAGTGATCCAACGAAGCCTCCGGCTCCAGTTATAATGATGTTCATGCGCTCCGCTGCCATTTTCAAGAAAGGGTGGGATCTCTATCCGTAACCAGGGAGCAGATTTCAGTGTCTTACACGAGCCCGCGCGAATTCTAGCATGTTATAGCCATCTTTGAACTCCAGAATACCCACCTGGGTCGTACATTGGGGCGATACGGTCGACCCTCTCGGCAGCTGGAGATGTGCGGGGTACTTCCCCTCCCCCCCCCAACAGCCTCCTGCCTGTGCCAGGCGTGGGGGCATATGCAGGGTCCAACAGAGTGGTGATGCAATAAGAAAATAATTATAAGGGAATACAGCAGGAAGGAGAAGCGAAGGCTCAAATCCAATGCTCGCAGGAAACCCCAGAGAATGAAGAACTCGACAGCATACATTGACGCGAACAAGGTGATTAGACTGGGCTAACAACCTACCAATGTAAACGAATGTTGTGCCTAGGCAACCTGCCAGGTCAGCAGCAGCATCAGTGGAATCGGAGAAATGTGCCAGATCGGTCTGATACATGATCTCGGCAGGCGATTGCCGACCGTCTCTGCCTCTGCCTGGTTCTGGTCTTGTTTCCTGTGCAATTCATTGGGTGCAGTTGGGATTGAACATTCCTCCAGCATGGGCCGTCTCAGATCTGGGGTTTCCTCAATTGGGTTACGAAACACCCCTGGTGTTTGCTGCCAACGAGCAGATGCGTTACCACGTGGTTTGACTTGGAGCCAAGAGGCAGCGCTTCCTTCATTATTCTCACAGACAGAGCCATTTCATCTGTCCTGTTTGCTGTAGGACTGAGGGACAAGAGGTCCCATCCTGAAGAGAGGGCACGGCGAAATCAGAATTCCCAAGTTCCACAGCAGCACGCTAAAACCGGGAGTGCACAGGCGCACAGGCCTGAGGCTGGCAGGAGCGGCAGCTAAAGTTAGCACATGAAATATCCCGTCCGGACTCCGCGCGGATGCGGTTTGATCCCTGTTCCTGGGCTTGGATTATGATGTGCAAGGCATTGTATTGGTGCGCCCAGCATTTTCCCCTTTTTGTTTGTTTCTTCAACAAGAAATTGGCGCCACAACGAGGATATCACAAGTGACATATCTACCTCTTGAATGTGGAACCTCGTCTTCCATCTCTTCCTTGTCCACTACTTCGGGAATCCAAGCTAATACCCAAACCTGCCACCCGTTGTTTACCGCTCAGGGGCGTAGCTTCCACTATCTTGCCGCGTCGCGTTAAATGTAGCATAAGCTAGCCAGCCAACACGAGCGGGAAGCGGGAACCTGTGCGCAATCTCGACCGTGCTTTGCTAAATTGCATCTCAGATCGACTCGAGTTCGACTCCAAGATGGACGAGACACGCCAGTCCAACAGCCTGTCTGGCATTCCTCGACTCTCGAAGCTTCCCAATTCAAAGCTCCCGGTGCCCAGAACCCCCTCTGTCCTCAACTCTCCGTCTAGAGAAAGCCTGATAAGTGGTCTTCGAAACCCAAAGCTTCGTTCAACACCCTCCCGCAGCCAACTGGCTGGTACTGTCGAAGCCCCAGCCACTGCAGCTCCAGCAGCACCCTCACGAACTCTCTCCCGACGTTCTTCGAGCCAGTTTGTTGGGAATGCAACTAAAGTCACCCCTAAAGTCACACCTCAAGTCACGTCCAAATCTCGGGATGTTGCATTACAAAGGCCTGGGAGGAATGGCAGCCCCTTGTCCCAACCTGTGGCTGGAAAATCTGCCTTTGCGCGTTCCCTAGGCACCAGGAAGCCCTCCTTGCCGCGCCTTACTAGCCCCCCTTTCTCTACTGAGAATTCGCCAATTGAACCGTCTGAGGCCTCGGGACTGCCAGTTGGGCCGGTAGCGGTCCCCGAGGAGGAAGAGCTTGGGAGAAGCTTCAGCAGGACGCAGCCATACAAGCCGAGGCCCTCGCTGTCAGAGAGGACCGTTGAGACTCTGGCTCAACTGCCATCATCGCCAGCCGTCAAGGGCAGGGCTTCGGCTTTCTATGACCCCGAGTCTGCAAGAAAGACGCCGCGTTCGCGGCCGGGGTCCAGCCATCAATCTGATGGGTCAAACAGAACGCCGTCTCGGCCGAGCAGCCGGCCTGGTTCTAGCTCTGGCCCAGATGATTGTGCCATAAACTTCCGCGCCTCGACGAATACTTACAGGAATCCGCTCTCTACCATCGACGGCACGCCAACCAGAGGCCGCGGGGGCATGAGATCCTTCAAGACTCCCTCGCAAGACAATCCCAGGGGTTCAATTCGCGGATCTGCGACCAAGATGCAGCCACCTGCCACTACAGGATTCGCACGGTCGAGGACGCCCAGTCCTGGGAAGCGCGCCCAGGATGTGCCAGCTTCCCGGTTTGCATCGAAAACTATCGCCACCCGTTCTGTCCGGCCAAGGCCTTCCCTCAATGGCCTCTTTAAGAAGCCGTCGATGCCTACGCTCGACAGAAATGGCGCTGTGGGAACTCCGAGGAAGGTGTCTTCGGCTTCACAAAGGTCTTCGGCCACCTCCTGCGAAGGGACGAATCCATCGAATGCGTCAACCACGTCCACCAACACAGCGATTACCACGGATTCGCTCGATCCATCTCCAGTGTCGTCGAGCAGGAAATCGTCTGCTGCGTTGCGAGAGCAGATCGCGAAGGCCAAGGCCGCGAAGAGGGAAACCTCGCGTCGCGTTTCTGAATCGCAGCCCCTCGAGGCCCAATCCCCGCCTTTGATTCCAACCGACACCACCTTCGACTTTGGCTTGTCCCGTTACCCTTTTGGCCAGCAAAAGGATGACAAGTCGGATTTAAAGGTACTGCAGGGAAGGATCGGGTCGGCAAGAACAAGCGGGAGACTGAACATTGCGGCCATGGGTCTGCGAGAAATACCAAAAGAAGTCATGGATATGTACAATTTCGAGTCCATCGGAAGGCAGGACGGGTCATGGGCGGAAAGCGTCGACCTGACCAGATTTGTTGCCGCTGATAATGAACTCGAGATGATTGACGATTCCATCTTCCCCGACCTTGACCGGGAAGAGTTGGCGGATACCCAGGATAACGAGGATGATGCCCAGGGGAATATCTTCGGTGGCTTGGAGACCCTGGACCTGCATGGCAATGTGCTGATCGCACTGCCAATGGGGATGAGACGTCTCTCGTTGCTGACGTCTCTGAACTTGGTAAGACCACGCTCAGCAGCAACATGAAGTTGGTCGCGTACTGACGGTTGCACAGTCCCAGAACAGGCTTGCCAACAACTGCCTGGAGGTGATTTCCCAGATAACTTCGTTGAAGGATCTGAAGCTCGGCGGGAATCTCTTATACGGCCCACTGGACCCGTGCTTCTCAGGCTTGGGGAATCTCGAGATCTTGGACCTTCATGGTAACAACATCGCATCACTACCTTCGAATTTTGGCAACCTCTCTCGCCTTCGGATCCTGAACATTAGCGAGAACTGTTTTGAGGCCCTGCCATTTGAGATTCTGGCAACTCTCCCACTCACCGAGCTGCTTGCCCGGAAGAACCAACTCAGCGGCACCCTAGTTGCGGACACTGTTGAAGCGTTCCCAAGCCTCCAATCGTTGGATGTCTCAGCAAACCAGTTGACCCAGCTAATGTCTAGCACCCTCGGGAAGGCACCAGCGATGCCGTCTCTGCACCAGCTCTGTGTTTCCATGAACAGGCTGCAAAGCCTTCCCGACATCAGCACTTGGACTAATCTCATCACCCTCTCAGCCGACGAGAACAGTATAAATGCCATCCCCGATGGCTTCGCGTCGCTAGACAAGCTGAGATCGGTTGACTTTTCGAGCAACGACATCCGTGTGATTCCACCAGAGGTCGGCCGAATGGAGAATCTGGCAATGCTCCGACTGAGCGGCAATCCCCTGCGAGATAAGAAATTCTGCTCGATCGGCACCGACGACATGAAGGCGATCTTGGCCACGAGGTTGGAGCCAGTCCATATCCATAACCCTCTCGAGACGGATGGGACCGCTATTGGACTGGCCGTAGACCAGAGGGACACCGCTGCTACTGCTCCTTCTGCCATAGCAGAACAAAATGAGGACAATGATGACAGCCGCTCAGACTTGGACGATTTCGCAACACCGCCAACGTCAGCTCCGCAGTCGCCCGCGCGTTCACGTTCCCACACTCTAACCAACCAGACCTGGCCTGTCAAGACTGGCGGCATCTTAGACCGATCCCACACTCAGTCAACTGCGCTCCACCCAGTCATATGTTCAAAGGTGGCAGCCGGCAGCAGCGTGCGTGAGGTTCAACTCCACCACAACCTCTTCACTGCTCTACCAGATTCGCTGTCTTTCTTTGCCGAGACCTTGACGTCGCTGTCCCTTTCACATAACAAGCTTGTTGGCGAGACATATCTGGGAGGCGAGAGTGGGAACGAAGACCTCGACCTACCAGCACTGAAGGAGCTGAACTTGGCCTCGAACCATATCACCAGCCTCAGCCCACTTGCCCTCCACCTTCGGGCTCCTCGGCTTCAGAAGTTGGACGTCTCGTTCAACCGCATTGCCGCCTTGCCTCCGAACCCCCTCCGCAATTCCTTCCCCCAGCTCGCGGTCCTCCTCATCTCCAACAACCACCTCATCGACCTTGATCCGGAGACGATCAAGGGGCTCAGCATCGTCGACGCAGCGAATAATGACATTTCGCACCTCAACCCGCGCCTTGGTCTGCTAAGCGGCACCGGCGGGCTCGAACGGCTCGACGTCAGCGGCAACCGTTTCCGCGTGCCTAGATGGAATGTCTTGGAGCGTGGAACCGAGGCGACGCTCCGCTGGCTGAGAGGCAGAGTCCCCGTGGCCGAAATGGCCGCATGGAAGGCCGATGGCGGCGATGACGACGGTGAAGAAGCAGACTCGGGCATGGCTGACTTGGATTGACCATCGCCTGGCATTGTTACACATCCCCGCTGAGTTGTGGCATACCGGTCGTGCTACTGCCTCATGGGCCCGTGCCCCCCCCCTTTTTTTTACTTGCCCAAGATCGAGTTTCACGCTTCCACATCGCCTCCTTCGAGGCTTTGTTTCCTGCTTATTTTGGCTTCTTTACATCGATCAGATACCAATTCGTGATTCGACTGGCGTGGAGTACAGAGGGCCAAATAATGTACCTTGCTTTTCCCATTTCTTTTCACTTATTTTTGAGCGACCTAATACTCTGGAAAGAGAGGTCTGCCGTTTGTTTGTTTGTTGCAGTTACTAACTCTGTGTAATCCCATGTATGATATACTAGAAGGTCCCCAGGCCGGAAGCTCCACGGTGTAATAATAGTCAATATGCCAAACTGTCCTCAAGCAGCCGCCTGCGGTCACGAGGCAAGAGCGTTGCACAACTACCTGTGACGATGTTCCCTGCAGGTCGTCGTTCTCCGTTGGGAAGCTCGGTACCCTGCTCCTCTATGGGGAATCTTCGAGATCTAGGTTACGGAGTCATGCAAGCTTGGGTGGTATTTACAGAGGCCTCGTAGACTAACCAACTGACCTTATAATATTCAGGGGGCGGAGGTTTTGGAACGTCCAGTCCCGGCCAACATCCCTCGTGGGTACGAAGAGCTAGAGCTGCAAGGTCGGGAAGGGAAGTTCAACCCAGGGGTCCGGATCCAAGGGTATAGCCACCCCTTGTAGGAAATAAGCTTCCTCCCAAGAGGGGGAACGAGCACGCAGACAACACGTGAGGAAGTTTAGGGTGGGTTTGAACCCTGTCATATTTTAGCAGTTCATGGTGCAGCTCGCCCCAACAGCATGCTCAATGGTATGGATACTGGCAAACCTTAGGTGACGTCCAGGCCGGCGAGTGTAAACACGGTGTGCCGGGCGGCCTCTCGGAAGTTGGGCAGCGCTCCCAGCCATAGCCTATCCGCTTGGCAAGAAGCCCCCAGGTCAAAAGCTTCAGAAGTTACGCGGCCTTCAGCATAGCCGCCTCCTCTGACAGACAGGCTCAGGCTCGAAATAGAATCACGGTGAGAGAACGCTAACACGGAGAAATATGTTGGCCACCAAGGTATGCACTTCGTGAGTCAGGGGAGAGTTTACGAATAAATCTTGATATTTTATCGATCACATACACCGCAATTTTTCGTGTTTAAGAGGAGTATTTTTTAAAAACTCTGGGGAAAATACTCGAACGCGACTCACTCCCGCCACCATAATGCCCCGATGAGGCGACCGAAGCCTCTCCAGGGGCGGCTATCGAAATACCCACTTTAGCGCTGGGGACAGCCCCCCTTGGCTGAACATTTATCCATCCCTCCTACCGAAAACGCGAGCCGGGTTTAGAATGGCCTTATGTCGGTGGCGGCCGGGCACTGCCGAGATGGAGCCGGACCCCATCCGAGACGCCACCGGCGCCGCGGCGAGACTCGATTTGGAAAGCCGCCGGGCCGGCGAGGTCCTCGTGTCGAGACAGACCACAGGCCTTGCCGTCGCGCTAGGAGCCTCGCCGGTGGTCGACGCGTGTGCTAGGGCGTAGCTGTTGATGTCAACTGTCAAGTCAGGAAGGGTCCGGGCCCTTGGCTGCTGAGATTTGCACGGCGACAGACTACGTCTGTAAGGTACCAATACGTGCATTGTAGTAGTAGACTAGCACGACTAGATCGCCATGCTCCACATATTCCATGCTGAAGACTATTCCTTGGACTTCGAGGTCGAGAATGTGGGTTCATGGCTTTACCTCGGAAGGACTACGGCTTCTAGAACTATTCGAAAACCGGGGCCGGTCCCGAAATATAAACCATCCCAAATCCAGTAATGCCGGCCGGGTCTGATCCCCTTGCCGAGCCTAGGCCAGCCAGCAATTACATCATCCATCGAGCTACCGGGTAAGTACAGGAGGTACCTTGTATGGTGCTCACCTGGTAAGGTGTATAGGCTCACCTCAAAACCGGGAATACACACACGATTCATTGACCATGGAAGAAGGCCCAACAAACAATAAACCCCAGAATTCTGGTTGGCAGAGTGGAAAAGCAGGTATTTTAGTTAATACTTTGGACCGCAGAATGAAAACGCGAAAACGGGCCAATCAAGGGCCATCTTTCCTGATGACAACAGCGAACAACGATCTCCCCAACGATATTTCACCTACACCCCAGCCCTGCACATGTCAAGAATGTCGATAATCATCCATGTATCGGCTACAGGTCGGACAAAGGGGGGATACCGACCAAAGTAGCTGCAACATCGCATCCCCGACTCCTTGGTTTTCCCAAGGTCAAGACTGGGATGGGGCACCATTTCCACGACGTCATTCATGGCCCCGTCTCCATAGGGCTATCGTTGGGTTTGACAACACCCACCCCCAGGCTTCCACCGTATCCTAGATTCCCGGAAACGGTTAGGTCTTTCTTTCTAATGTATCCTGGCCCAATTAGTTACTTATTTATGAAGTGGCGAGCGGCGAATCAAGTCAGAGAGACCCCAAACAGAGGCATTTGGCGAGCACAAGGGGAGGAATAACCGTTCCACAGATATCGTATCGGGTGCATGGTCTAGGGGTATGATTTTCCCTTCGCATGGGAAAGGTCTCCGGTTCGAATCCGGATGTATCCATTCTTTTTCTTTTCTTTTTTCTTTTTGTGTTCTTACTTGCTGGAAGAGTGATTGGTATAAGGTGTAGGGTGGTTTATTCTTTACTGGGTATAATATATTGGGACGGTTTGATCTGCTCTGCGAGCGGGAATGAAGCTGGGACAAAAGAAAGAACACAAACTAACGCCATGACAAACTCACCACCCATTGCCCTAGATCCCGCCCCACGTGAAAATGCTTGCGCGTTGTTTTTTTATGGTCACAGACTCACAGTAGCGCCCCGCGCCACACGTAAAGCGAGCGAGGGCGCGCAAGGCCAGCATGTCGTTGAGCGTCTTGCTAACAAGCTCTTCGGGCCAACTCAGTCAGCTGCCGAGCATCTTGCAGGCCGCAAAAGTCGGTGAGTGGCATTTGGGCTGCCATGATTCGTAAGCTGGCCTGCAGGCAAGGGCAGGCCAGCGAGGGGCACACACGGGACGGGCAAGCAGGGCCAGCTGTGAGGTGTGGGTGGTAAGGCTTTGAAGGTTTGTCGGCCAGGCGGCCAGGTCATGAAGTTCAACCCCGCCATCGCGGGGCTGTTGTCATCTCTCAGCGTCCGAGGTCCAACCAAGGCGCATGAACCAAAACGGTCTGAGGCACTGGATTCGGCGCTTGGAAATGCTTTTGGTTATTTTACTTGTTTGCAGCTTTATTTCAATTTCAATTACATTTTTTCTGTCACTTCCTGCATTTTAGTTTATTTTTTATCTTGTCCTTATTATTTTCGTTTGTTTTCTTGCCCCCCACTTCAAAACGCTGAAGACTCTCACAACCCCACCTCACAACCTACATAGGTACTTCGCAACCCCACTTCGCGACCCCACTTCACCACCCCACTCGTCAACTCAACACACGTTACTGCACAGGAGATCAGATGCACATCTGCAACCATTCCTCTGTGGCTGGCTTCCAATGGGCACTTGAAACCTGGAAAAAGACCCAAGTCCGCATCTGAGTCACTCCCCAGGACTCATCTCCCAGACAGGTCAGTCATGGCGGTTGGGCTTCCATGACAAACCCCCTCTACCTAGTCCCCCGCCCATTAACACGGCTGGCGCATCTGCCGTCCGAAAGGTTCCCGCTGCGCAAGGTGGTGACAAACCGACTCGCTTCAATATTCATGCGCTCGATGCGTTCAAGTACCACTGCGCCTGGGACGTCATCCGAAAGGTCCCGGCCCTCTGACATGACATGTATCCTTGTTGACGCCTTTGCCGCGACGCACAGCACATTATCGGGGCCGCTTACGGAGCTGCTTCGTTGACACTCTGATTACGGCTCTTCTTCAACCTCCCTTTATCTTCGCTCTTTCTTCGCACCCTGGGAACATTACAATAGAATGGTGATTCCTGCCTTGTAGTCTTGTGGGCCACGGAAGGGCTAGATCGATGCCTTCGGTGCCATCAAGAGACCCTGAAGATTGCCGCCCCTGCTATGTGGGCTGGACCCTTTTCGGCTCTTGCTCGCGGCCACTCACAAGTTGAGGAAAATCGAGCCCAGAAAGAATAGCGATCGCCCGGCTGAGGAAGTCGGGCATTCGATCACGCTCTGCAGCGGCACAGGTGGCTTAGCACCTTCTCTAGGGCCCGAGCCAACTTCAATGCCGATTTCGACAAGTCGGCGCTTTCGGGCAAAGTCGGTGACTCTCGAAGCCCAAATGGGCGATGTTCTGCCGATATGTCGCGCATGACTGTACCTACAACTAGTGTGCTTAGGTAGACGGCACGCGTAGAGCATTGGAGATATCTACTAGCCTCGTGCGCATCACGTCAGTCGGTTAGTCACGATGCAGATTAATCGGTTGAGGTTGGGACGACATGAAAGCCCCTCGGATAACCTTCCTGCCTTTAAAATCGCAAGCCCTACGCAGTGTAGCTCAACCCGCGCGCCCCCCCCCCCCACAACCATCTTTGGGAAACCCGACCTCGTGGAGCCGGTCCAGTCGCCTAACCCTGGGGAGCGGTGGTGAAACCCCCAAAACCCCTCGCACTCCCCCACCAAAAGAAAGTTCTTCCCACGAAGCTGTCACCGCCCGGCTCTGTACTTACTATCTCGGCCTTGTCGGGCCAGTCAACCGAGTTCGGTTTGCAGGCTCCGGGGGGTTTAAGCCACGCCGTCAGACCGGGCCTTCCTGTCTGGGAAAAGCCAAAGAGAGGAAGGTGACCAGAAAGTGGTTTGCGGACGTGGCCCTAAAATATCTAGTGTTATAACCAACGCTAGGAAAACAAGCCCGCGGGGCATCCTCCGCCATCCTTCCGGCAAAAGGCGGCCAAAAAGAAAGCCTACGGAACCAAAATTCAATAGATGCAAAATAAGAAGTGGGCGGTTCCAGGGATTCGGCCAGAAGTCCCTGGGATGCCGGAAATTTCTAAAAAGGCAATAAATATTAAATAGCAAAAAAAGGGCAGGAAAAAGGTACGGCGATCCGTTAATATGGGTAGCATAGGCGGGCGAGTGCCTCAATCTATTTCCAAAGTCCCGATGCACCTTAAGCTCTCGGATTCTCAACATGTGCCCCAAATTCTTGCTTCCCTGGGTATGGTAATTTAACCTACTTAGGTACGCAATAAGCTCGGTCGGCAACAGGGTGGCGGGGTGGGAGGTATCAATTCCGATGTTCAGATGGGTTCACGACGGCGACGACGACGACGACGACAACGGAAGATGGCCGTTTACCTGACAATGGATGGATGGATGTCCACTTATTCCTGGCCTCTCTGGCTTGGCCGAGTTTAGTAGCTTCCACAAAAAAATCACACCCTTCACGTGTCTCTTACGTCGTACAGGGACATACAGCCTTAGCAACGTTTTGGAGAAGGACAGGGCAATTCGGCCCATTCAGCCCTAGGGTTGATATCGAGATGGGTTGGGTTTTTTTACGGCCTTACCAATCATCGGAGTGTGATGTCAAACAGGAGGGAGGCAAGCGGTCATGACGCTCCGAGGTAAAGCGGAGATGGATTTTAGTCCCCATGTTAGGAGTCACAAGGACAGAAAAACAAGCAGGAAGATTTTGGTGATTTCAAGGGCTTTTTCATTCATGTTTTTCCGCAGCTATTTTGGTCCTTTTCTAATTTTTTTTTTTTGGTACCTCGTAAGAGTCATAGGGGGGTAGGTAAGTTCGTGGTTTCGTAATCCCTCGGCGGCGTCTGTCAGGCTCGCGCCTACAGTATCGCATATGCACCTTGTCTGTATCTTCGCCCCTTTCCAGCTCCACACTGCCAAAACATGTATGTCCCTGGGCCTCGGTCGACGTCACCCTCCGCCCTTTTATGTCGGCGGGAGCGCGGCAGTTGCCCACCCGCCTCCCTGCATAGAATACACCCCACTGCCCTTCGTTTGACTTGCCCCTGTGTGACGGGAAACGCTTCCGCCCTCGGGCAAAACTGGTTGAAAACATGGATGTAAAGAGGCATCGGTGCTGAAGAACACCGTGCCAGTCATGATGAAAAGCAAAACATGGTATCTTGGTGATGAGAGAAAACGCCGCTATGTGCAAGTGAAATCAAAACGCAATGCCATGTGGACAGAGGAAACCATTGTGACCATCGGTCGACCATGGCCGGTCATTCCCGGCCGTGGACCACAAGGCTGTCCGGCCTGTAGCCCCTGAATTAGGGTCGAAGCCGATGATGGCAATGTCGCCGACCACATGCGTGGAAATATGGAATAAAAAACGCCGGCCAGCAATGCACGTTTTGGGCTGATCGCGCTCGATAATGCTCGGTGTTGAGTATACACGGCAGTAAATCTGCCTGACGGCACTCGGAGTAGGCCGCCGCCCACTGGGTATCTCGGGGGGGGGGGGTTTGGTGTAATGATGATTGGGTATATGCACAATTGACGCCGTGGGATTATTCGTCGTTCCAATGGGTGATCTCAGGGCACTATTACCAGCCCTGCGAGTGGTAGCCGGTGAAGGCCTCCTTGTTCAGGTACTCGTCCCAGCTGCCCGCGTTGACGTCGTCCTCTTCCTTCTTGATGCACGGGGCGTCAGGGTATTGCTTCAGATTAGCCACGTCGTGGGAGGTGTGCCGGCGCTTGAGGACTGCGTTGACGGTCGAGGTCTTCTGGGATCGTTCCCATAGGAGATGGCGGCGAAGCGACTCGGTCAGTTCGGTGGCAAGCATGTTGCGCCGGGTAGTCCGCGGGGAAAGGGCGGCCTGGTAGTGGATGCCGTGGTTGGCTGTCACGATAGGCTGAGCAGCTGATCTAGGAATCTCGTTGATAGCTCTCATTGGAGGCGGGCGGGAAGCTCTCTTCATCTCCAGAGGAGATTCGTCCGAATCACTTGGCGAGGCGACCAGGGTATGTGCGTGGCGTGAGGGCCGGGTACGTGAAATAGCCGAGGTCGATTGAGACGCCACGTTCCCAAGCTTCTGCGAGCGGTCGTTCTGGGCCAGCATCAGGGTGATGAGAGATCGGCGCGATGGCAAGTTGGCCTTCGAGTTGTCTCGCTGGAATGTAACCTTCTCGTCCATACTCGACTTCCCACTATCCTCAATCGAGTCCTCCCAATCCGAAGAGTCATCGTCATCGTCAATCGCGCTCTCATCCACATAGTCCGTCTCGGATTGCTCGTCGTCAATGGCCGAGGTTGCGAATGTTCTGGTCATGACCTGGTTGCTGAACGATGCCGTCTTCTGCGCGGTGGGTGGCGAGTTTGGGTCTGACGAGTGGAGGGCACTCTTCAGAGAGCTCTCCTCTCCTGACGACAATCCAACACGGAAGACCTTCGCCGGGGGGGCGGGTTGCTTTCGCGTCTCCAGGCTATGCCCTGGCTCGCTGTACGAATCCTCGCCCGAGGAGCCGCCCAGAGCGAACATAGCTTGCTGCTTCTTAGGCTGAACAAGCTTGGGTGCCGGGCGGTCTTGCGGTTCGGGGATGGCGCTTGGCGAGGTAGACTTGGCAGGCTGCGAGGTGATACAGGTGAGGGGAATTTGAGAGGGTGAGAATCCACGGACAACGGTGGTGTGTGTCTGGGAAGAGGCCATGTCGGATAAAGGGGCCTGCTGCAATGACTCCACGGAGGGCGTGTTGGAGCTCTTGCAAGGCGACTCAGTGGTGGTCGAGCCCGACCGCTCGAGTTGTGAGGGTGAAGAAGGGATCTTCTCCAGAGCCGCAAGAGTGATAGACGGGGAAAGTTCGGGCAGAGGAGCGCTGAGCGGCTGCTTGGCCTGGACAATAGAGACGACCATCTTCTCCAGGTCATCCGAGGTAATGTGACGTTCCTTGCCACGGCTTCGGCTGCTAGCGCACGAGTCCTGTCTTCTTATCCTGGGTCGCAGGATCTCCATGGGTGCTGATTCCGAGGTGAACTCCACTGCCTCCTCGTCTGCCACAGAGTCGACGCTGCCGGAAAGCTGGGGAATTTCGTCCACTGTTGAAGATCCGCGATGCTGTGTGATCTCCTTAGGTAGGGTAGTCGTGGTGGCCTCGGTCTGGTCACCCCCCTCGCAGCAAAAGGTTTCTCTTGTCCACAGGCGCCAGCTGAGATTTTCTAAACGGCGACCTTGGTGGACTGAGTCTGCACACCTCGCAAAGACTGTTTATGTTTGGTTAGAAAATGGTTGACAAGCCGGTGCCAAAAGAGACTTACCTGTCCACATGCTGAACAGATTGTCTGCATTGCTCGTGTCGACCTGGTGGATGACGTTTGCATCGACCTGCAAGACTGGTGTTCTTAAACTGGCAGGCATGGTGCTGCTATGTTTGCTCAGGATGAGCAGATGTGAGATGAGAGGTCGTGGTGATCGGGAAAAGGATTCGCGACACAAATCGCGAATATCGACGCCGTTCGCTTCCAGTGTGGGAAACGAAAAGATTGGCCTTGCGCTCGACTGTTTCGTGTCGTTTGATTTTGTGGGTTGGCGGGGCGTGGACGAGTTTTTGTGGCTGCTGGTGACGATGATCAAGGGTGTGGGCGCTGGGCTTCACAGCGATACTCAGATGTGGGGGAGTTGGCGAGGGAGCTGAATGGATTAATACCGATCAGTTCAGATGCCTCGTAAAAATGGGCGTTCGTCAAGGAGCAGCGGGTTCGTGCTGGCAATCCGAGGGACGGCGAGTTGTTGTTGTGGTTTGTAGGAAGGGAGGAAGGGAGGATGTGTGTGGTGGTGGGGAGGTGGATTACATGTATGTAATTCAGGACGGGGGGACGGGAGCGTGGGATGGGCTTGAAAGCGCGGTGAGGTAAAATCAATTCCTCACAACATTGCGGCACCCTGGTCCGGTACAAAGTACAAGTGACGGTGGGGCGGTACGTACCTGATGAAGTACCTCTGTACCTTTCCTTCTGGACCGGGGCTGCCTGTGATGGAGGGTGGCGGAAGGGTCTCTGATGAGGGCAGGCGTGTCAGGGATACCAGGGGTTGGAAGAAGTACCGCCTGTTGTCCCGAAGTACGTACCGACTTGCCGGCGAGGCGGCGCAAAGAAAGCCTGGACCGATTTCGCTCTCCACAACCACGTTGGTAGATGCGAAGAATGTGAATCCGGCAACGAATCGCGCGCAAATACAGGTAATGGACGTTCGGGACACAGCTCGGCTGAGGAGCAATAAATCCCTTGAGAAATACGGCCCCGGTTATGCAACTGGTGTCGATTGGCGGTCCCTTTTGAGCTCACTCGTTGGAGCTGCTCGCCCAAGAGGTTATGTGCTGCCTTTATAGGACTAGTCTAATCCGTATTCACTAGTACTCTTTGGGAAATGGGCTGGGCCGTGGGGCTCGCTCATATTCTCGGGAGCATTTCAGTCACATGATGGGGTCGACCGTCTCAAAGCCTGAAAACGGCGAAGTGGCATTGCCTGAAAAGTTTAAGCACTACCTGAAAGGGAATGATGCGCTATTGTTGGCCACTTTGCCGTCCTTGGCCATCATCCGAACGGGTCAAGTGACCCCGTGCAGTTACCGAGACGTTAATTCCCTACAAAGTAAATATTGCAAACGGTACCTTTCTGACTCGGGTAGTGCCCCCCGGCGCCGAGGAATTTACACGTACAGCGAGCGTCAGCTGGTCCCAGACGCTGGACAGGTGGGAGGCAAGCCCTTCCCTTCTCCCCGTGCAAATTTGTTGCCCCCGTGGCTACCTGAAGCGGCCTTGTTTCATGGCGGATCACCCATCCGCTCGCAACTCGAAATCAATTATCCTGCGATCACGAGCGTACCGCTGGTGCTTCATCGCCTCCGTCAGATGCAGCGAATTGATGGCGATTATTGATTACGAGCCATGATCATCACCTCTCATTTCTCCCCCGTCCCGTGGCTTGCTCGCTGCGCAGCCTCCGTCACAAATGCCATGTCGTCAATTGGTAGATTATGCTGTGGGCAAGGCCAGGTGGTCGATAGGTACCGACGGCCTGAAGTTCCCCTTTATCGGCACTGCCTGTGGATTGTGACTGTGGGCCACAGCTCCTCCAGTGCTGTGCCCCACGTGACAGTGCCAACCAAAGAGAGAGAGAAAGCTCTTCACCTTTGGCCTGTGGCGATTTGTTTCTCCCAGTCACATGCGATATGTTTGTTGGATGGAGCATCCGGACGAGCTGAGCAAACATCAAATTCACCACTTGCATCGAGAGGAATGACTGTGATTGGGATTGGGGCGGAATTGCCGCGGCATCGCCAGCTCGAAACGTTGGAGGCTTAACCTTGCTTTTTTGCAAACAGGTATTATCGTTTATTTGTTCTTTTCGCTTCTTCCCCCTACTCCCTCATCCGAAGGAAGAGCGTTGTAATTGCTAGCCAATCTTCGTTGGCCCGAGGATCACCACAAATGACGAGTCAAACCACGACTCAGTGCTGTTCATCTTCCCCGGAGCGAGCTAAGGGAGATGCTCCCTAGCTTCCCACCGCGGAATTGCGGGATTGGCCGGATCTCTGGGTCCACCAACAGAGGCCGCCATCACCATTTCCCTCTGGTACGTATGCGTAGTAAATCGCTGAATTCAGCAAAGGATAGCGGGTCTGGTATTAGATACTGTACATCCGCATGTGTACACTACAGTCCCCTACTGTATCATCGTAAGATGGTCAGATAGCAGGAACCCATGCAAGGCGAACAGCGTAGTGTAGTGCTAACCACTGCACCGGGACCCCGGAAGGAAATTGGCCTTCCTGACGTTCGGTTCCGGGAACATGGGTCCAAAGCAGACTACTGCGTGGAACTCCCAAGCATCTGGTAGGATCGTCGAAGGGTGGAAAGCTTGAGGGGCTAACAGGTTGTCGGAGTAAATGTCGGGTACAAGATATGTATGTCGGGAGTTGGCTGAAGACGCATCACCTCATGTCGGTATTTCATTCCGAGATGTTGCTGCATTCCGGCCTTCTCTCCGCTGTGAGAATCTTGCAAAGACTGCTCGTAATCAACACAGGCAGACACAACGGATTTCTCACGGGCGCTCACCTGCCGAGCGACGTAGCCGGCGGACAGGACTCCGGAAATGATTGATGGGCAACCTCGGGCAGGGTTGTTTTGCTTTTCCGCTGGTCAAGTTGACAGGTCGCAAAGGCATCATACCGCGGAATGGGGTTTGCTATGGGCAAGGGTTGTTGTGAGTGATATCCTCTCCAGGCGCAACCAGGTCCACAAGTGTCTCGCGCACTTGGGGCTTCATGGCCTTTTGATTGGTGCGCTCGCTCCTACGGCTTTTCCGCGACCATAGCCTTGGAGACGCTATAATAGAGCTTAATACCAGGGTGCCAGGGACCCCACTAGATGGGTGCCTCCTCCGCGGCATTTCCCCGTGGAGGTCGAGGTTGGAAGGAACGCAACAAAAGCGAACACTGAACAGAGGAAGGATTGTCGCTCCCCAACCCAAGAGGTTGCGTTGCGCAAGTGGAATCGAGCTTTGCTGCTCTTTGGTCTCAGTAGGTAGCCGGTCAGGTGACACCCGATGCACACCCCATGGGCACTCCCCCTATCTCCTCCCCCCACGCACACCATAATCCCGTGTCCCACGAGAATATCATGTGCATGCATGCATGGACGCACGCACACGTCTCCTGGGTACGAAGCTTAACCACGAGCTCTACCAGTCGCAGATACCAGTCGTAGATACCATCTTAGTTACCCTCTTGATGCCTCAACCCCCAATAAAACAAGTCATATCCTCCACGGGCGTGGGGTGCCGACCGACTAGCCAGATGACGACCGTCCAGGGGGCGATTACGAAGAGCAGTCAGTCCCTTGGCTGTGGTGAGCATGGGATGGAGGTTAGGGCGAGCATAGTTCGCGGGCCGGTCCTCCTCAGTAGCATCGTGGTTGGATTTCAGAGTTCGGGGCGCAACAAGCGGGTTGCCAAATGCCTATCAATTCCCAGGCAGGCATGGGAAGAGAAAAGCAATATGTCAATGCCACATTGCCAGTGTCCCGGAAAACCCCCCCTGCGCTCTGATGCTGATCTGGGTTCCCAAGGATCTCACAATTTGCACGGGCGACCTCACACCCTTGTTCTGTCATTTATGAGACTGGCCGGAAGCTTCCCCGCGGCCTGCTCTCCCTCGCTTGAGGTGTGGGGGGTCTCCTGGTTTGGGGAAGTTTGGTCACGCTGCTGGAAGTGGAAAATTAGGAATGGCAAAGGTGGGGGTGCCAGTTGGTGACACACGGGGAACAAGAGACAAAAAGCAAAAGATACTTTTGGACCGGTAATTAATACTCCATCTGTTTGCATGATGCTTGGTAGCTCACAGCCCGGAATTGCTGCAGGTACCCGAACTCTTCACAACTGCGCATACCTACCTAGGTAGGTACCTATTCATATACTTGCGTAGATCCAATGCACTCCTCCAGGTAACGATTATCACCCACGGCTGCAGGACTGCAAGTGCTCGTGTTGGAAATGCAGGTGCAAGCAGGTCACAAATATCAAGCATATCATTCCCACCATGCGAAAATGAGTGCCCATATGTGGTTGGATTTGTTGATTCTGTTGGGTTCACGCATGTACTCAGTTATCTGAATTCCGATTCTCGTAAGGGTGTCGTCATCTCACACAGAACTGGAATGGGCAAACACTTGCCAGGGGGATTAAGGTTGTTGGCTTGAGACATGCCATGGCCCATCAGACCCGTCACACATCCATCCCTACGTACGCAATGTTTCCCCGGAACCCGCCTCGCCCTCATAAAAAGCAATGTTTGTTTGCAAGTGATCTGGTGTAAACCGTAAATGTGGCTGAGATAAGAAGGACGCGTGACAACAGCCACAAAGCCTCAAGATCCTGTTGGAAAGAACGCTCGTGGAAATGGAAGAAGCACACATTTGGTCCCTTGTAGTCTTCGGAAGATGTCTCCCACACTGCGTTTTTCTGAAACATCACATCACAGAGCCTCTTCCTACCTATCAAATAAAGGGGGATGTGGTGGAGGAGCACAATCCAACAACTGACTAACAAACAGTAGAATAATATTCACAAAATGAAGATCAGTGGAGGATGGCAGGCCCCAGTACGGAGCACGGAAGTAATCTAATCAATGACAACAACGACCGCTCAGATCCGGGGACGAGAGACAATGAGATGTCGAAATCGAGGGGCATTGACCGTTTCCGTCAAGAATCCAGGCCATTGGAGGCTGGGGTTCAGTATCTATCCCGTTCGCATCCAATTTTGGTGGCGGCTTGAATCTCCTCTCCCCGAGTTCTTGGAAGCCGTCTCTTTGAAGATTGGGCACCTTTGAACGACGACCCGGGGAATCGGGAAGTCCCAAGATACGATACGCGACGTAGCTCGTTCAGAAACCAGGTCGAGTCCGTTTGATTGGCGACGTGACCGGGGTTCTGTGAATCACCAGCACGAGAAACTTTGAGGGCTGGAGGCCAGCCGGGTACCGCCAAGGGCATTGGGCCTTTCTCAGGGGGCTACTTCAAGCTTGAATCGTTCCAAGCAGCTCCTTGCCCTTGTAATTTTCCCCAGGGCCTGGGCTACAGGGGGGATCCCACGGTGACGCCGAAGCCCAAAGCGAGACCAGAAAAGGCAGGCGTGGACCGTTCCTTCGATCCGTCCAGCTTGAATCCCCACCGACAACGATCCCAGGAATGGCAGGTTGTCAATTACCACAATGCACTAAAACACGCCCCATGGTCCCGGGGAACCTCACCGCGATGCCCTAGGGGACACTGCCCTAGCCAAAGTTTAGTCTTGGCGGGCTGTCCCTGCGGATTGTCAAACGGACCTTTACCACTGGAGATTATGGACTAGCTTCGCCTTCGGGCCTTCTTCAAATGCTCAGGCTGTGAACCCTGGAACCTGTCAAACAGGAAACCTGCACCCAGGCTCACACGTGGTAGTAAGAACTGGGGTAGATCTGGGTAGTCCCAACTCCCCAACCTCCCCTCTCCTTTTTTTTTTCAGTCAGCAGAAGGCCCGCTTCGTTTGCGCAACCTAAGATAACGTTCTACGATGTGGTCCGTACGGAGTCCCAGGACGACACGCGCCTGAATTGCCGACTGAGCTTCCGAAGTTGGCGCATTGGCGTAAGCTGAGAATGAAGTCACGTTGTATGTACCACAGTACATTGGTCAGTCAGTTCTCAGTAAGAACTGAAAGCAGCGCGGCGATCGGTTCGGTAACGCTTGGCACTCGGTCGATGTTTTCGCCTCGGCGGCAGATGACCGGACCCGCCATTGTTGCTACCCGACGGGGCCCGAAGTTTCACCTGGTTCCTCACCTAGGTCGAAGATGAGGCCACCTTCTTCGCCATAGCCGAGAGATAGCCCGATTCCCCGCGGTACAATGGGCTTCCCATTCCCCGCATACCCACACGTGCCGACGACTCGGCGGTCGCTAGTGCGATTTCTAGTGGTAGTGTTCCTTAAAACTTCAGGGCCACCCCTTCCAAATGTGTCAGGGAGACCCTGGCCTGGTGTAACCTGCGCCTTGTCCTTCGGGCTCGTTCGGGTTCGAGGCCAGAGGGTCGTTGCCGGGAGTTACCTTCCATCTCCGTTACCGACCGGAGCCGGGGAGGACTTTGCCAAGCAAAAAAAGAAGAATAGGAGATGGTTGGGCGACCTCTTCTTTCTTTATCATTGCTGGGTTACTGGACTTCTACGAAAGTAGTGTACATCAGTACTTCCAGTACGGAGAAAAACAAACCAAAATACAATACACACCCGTTGAAGCGGATAAACTCGCTGGCTTGGGTTACTTTCTGGGGAAGGGTCTTTTGGAGTTCTCGAGGCATGGGTAACCCTGAGAAATGATGACCATTCACTGATTCATATCGACGCTACCGTTCCTGAATTTGAACTTTATTACGGATCCGTCCGCTCGACCCCGGATTTTCCACTAATGGGCAGACAGAGCCTTCCCAGACGGGACGGTCTAATATGTTCACCCTGTCCCAAGTTTCGGACCATGATATGGAAGGTAACGCAGGCTCGCAATAGTATACTATGACAACTTAAATCATTTGTAATTGATCGATTATTCCTCGAGTTAAATTGTTGTCATCAATGTTGCGTCGTCATCTGCCCGAGTCGCTTCAACATGACTCTCCCAAAATCTTTGGCATATCCAATGCCGGCGAAATAAACAGTCCGTAGGCTGGCTGGGGTGGCTGAGTGGTCAAGTGCCAGCCTGTAACCAGCGAGCTTGCATTCAACCCCTACCCAATGTGCCGTCGAGATAGCCGTTTCCCTTTCCGCATCCAGGGAGAATAGCCGCTGCGTATGTGATCATGAGATGCGTTCTCAGCCCTGTTATGGCCTGTTATGGCCCCTGCGCCCCCAAAATATCCTCCACAAACACAGCCAAGAGCGTGTCACAGCGCTTACAGCGAGGGGGACTCTGCCTTTCCCAAGGCAACGCATAGCATCTCATCTCATCCAAGGAAAAAAGGCGCCTGTACTATTCGCTACGCGACGTCTTCCTATTCATGGAACACATTGTGACGCTGACATCCTCAAGGAGCCCATCCCGCCGCCCGATGCGCTGTCTTCCCCTGTGACGAGGTCGTCAGCAGGCTCCCTCCCAGGTCCCTCCTCGGGTCTCTGATGGTGTGATGATGGAGGCAACGGGAACGGTGAAGGACCCTTTCACAGAGTGACGCGTGTTGGTCCCTGGGATCACCAGCTTCGGGCGACGGGATCGCTAGCCTGTCCGGGGACTCTATTCACCTTCCTTCTACGTCTTCAACCGTATTGACCTCGAGAGAGGGGCGGGCATCACGGGCAACCGCTCACACTCGGCTCGGCTCGGGAGGCAGCAATGAGCATATTCCTCCTCTTGAACTGCCGCTCCCTCTTTCCCCAGAAGTCATGTGCAGCCAAATACCTACCTAGATCCCCGACAGTCCCTGATTGCCAACCAATACGCCTGGCAGCGCGAGCATGAGATTTGGTCGGCATGAGCGCTTGCATGACCGACGCTCAAGTGACCCCTTCGACCCTGTCGTCTGTGCAGCTCGTCATCTGTGGGACGCGCTACCCCACGGCCAGCTCGCAATTCCTCATCCTGGACGTCCCCCCACTCGGGGCCTCATGCGATCGGCCATTTCACTGACTGTGGCAAACTGGTCACAGCAAAGCATTGGTTTTGGCCCAGAATTCAGGCTGCGGTCACCCGGGGCCCCTGGTGTGGGAGGTTTCTGGCCTGGCTTTTCTTGTTCACCAGCGCCCACGGATTACAGCCCGCTGTGACAAGAGCCTGAGGCCCAGTGGCGAGGGCGGGGCGTGACGCGGGCAGACGGTCTTGCCCCGTGATCACTTGCATCTACCAGATCAAGAGGGTAAATGTGGAAACGCTGCTGCCTTGAGACTCTTTGGAACCCTGACCATTTACCACTATCGAGAACCAGCCCCTCGGCCTTTCGAGAAGGACGGTAAATGTGGCAGAAGAACAAGTGGAAATTGTCGGGTCTCTCTCCCCCGCCCTCTTGCAATCTACAGGCTGCCTAGATTATCCCACGTGGTCGAGTTTGGTATCCACAGAGCAAGTTGCCGTTAGCATCTAACGTAATACATTTTCCCGCCCCCGTCTCCCGTGCTCTGCTGGACGGGCCGATTTCCGGGATCCTCCGGTTCAGAGCGAATGTCATCCGTCAGCAACGGCCTCGTAGGCGAGGCAAGGCGAACTCGGAGCGAGCTACAACATCGAGTTTAGCGATTGAGCAGGCGCTAACCACTTCGCCCTACCACAACAGCCACATACAGCGGGGCGAGGCCTGGCTCGCGTGAAGCTGCATCGATTGTCTCGTTTGTACAGCGGGAGGATAGAGACCTGTCCAGTGGGTACCTGCTGTACTTAGTATGTAAGAAAGCTTTCTGGAATGTTTCTATGAGGTATTGCCAGCCGTCCGTGGCATTTCTGCAATTCTGATATTTATCAAATTAGTAGCATTATTATCTTTCCCTTTTCCTTTTCATTTTCATTTTTGGAGTGGCATCGCAGTCGTCTGCCCAACTATCATCGTGAAGACTCCTAGGCAACTAAAGTCTGAGTAGCGGGGCAATTCTGTAGTATGACGTGTATGACAAACGCCGGCTTGCCAATTGCTTCGTCAACGCAACCTTGAAAATGCAAGGCAATCCTGCGCCTAATATCTGCATGACATGCTCCTCAACAGAGCCCAATAGGGCTGCCAGGGCCATGCCTTCAGTGATCACCCTGTATCTGCTTCGGTACGATGTTCGCTGCCCTTACGGGACAGGATAAATTTAACTCGAGCCTATTCATCATTTCCCGTTGGTTGCCGCCACGAGAGATTCACCTCGTATCTCGCACAGCCCCCGCGCTGCACACAGGTGTGGCTAACTATTTGAGAAGTTTCGCCAATTGACTCGAGAAAGCTTAGAAATATCGCATCCGAGTCTCCTGCGATTATATTCTAATTTTGGACCTCACATTGGCTCGGTTCAGCTTTCGAAAGCATCAGAGAGGTCATGGGAGCGAGTCTGTGTTCTCCCAGACCCGGTGCTCATTTGCCTTTCTTGGAGGGGACACGAGCACATGGCCCCCGAAAGACACACCGGGACGAAGGCTGAGAGGACCAAAGACACTGCCCTTATTACCGACCGCATAGCTTGTCTCAGAGCTTAATGAAGAGCCCACCCAGCTTGTCCAGTAGTCAGATCGGCCGCTGCTGGATATTCCTTTCTCCCCGCTCTCTTGGACTGCTCTGGTGGGACGATTTCGGGAGGCCAAAATGCGACGAGCACACAAGGAGCGGAACTTTGGGGCTACACGGGTTCGTCGACCGCTGGGCCCCGTGCTGTCTTGGTTGGCCCTCGAGCCGGTCCTCGGGGTCACAGAGGGAATGGTTTGTTGCACAAATGCCGATTCGGCGAGAATACATTGGGCTGTGTCCTCAATTCCTCAATCCCTCCTGTGCCTGCCTGAGAACTCCGGACCTGAGGCCTCGACCTGCTTCACTGGGGATGGCGTGCGAGTCTCCTCCGCCCCCCGGCGTTATCGGGGCCCCCCCACAGGAAGAGAATAGCACGGGGAAAGGGGGCGGGTTAGGGGACACGGTACTAGGCTCCTGAGGCGATCTTACTGGGGCCGTTGCTTGCGGCTTCCGGTTTGCGGCTGCACATCTACAGCTGTTGTTTGAAAGCGAGGCTCGACTGGCTCTCCCAGAGCTAATCAACCGCTGCACGTCTGCTTTAGAAATGAGAGGTCCACCACTCCAGGACGGTGTACATCCACAAAAGTCTCTCTTTTGGTGGGTATCTCGCGATGAATGCGGTTGGTTCCATGATACCAAAGGGAGAGTAAGCTGGTTCCCAATATTATGGTCTCACTGGCTCCTGGTCGCGACCAAGATACGGACCAAATATATTGATCAGCTTTAATGCCACGGTCCGTCCCTCGCTTGCGGCCAGCCCTGAGTATTCGCTGCAGACGGATATGCGGGTTTGGTTAGACTACCCGTAAGCAGTGGTGTGGCACGACGTCGTGGGATGGCGCGAAGGCAATCCCCGAGTAGGGAGGGACTGGGGTTGGGGGGGAAGTTGAGGGTGAGACTCGGTGAACAACCAACCGCCACACCATTGCAGACCGAACCCGTGCTTGGTACTCCCCGACATGAGGGCAGGAGGTCTAGCATACCTCGCTGTACCAACCAACCGGTTTTGCCGCTGAGTTCATCTCGGCGGGGAGCCAATATGCCATCTTTCGGTGGCCTTGGGGTCGGTCCTGAGGCCCGACGTGGGCCTGCATGGGAGACGGCAGTTGATGAGTGAGGTCATCTACTTCCCCTGATTTACGTCTTCTGGATGGCATCCCATTGAAACTGCCTCTGCCAACGGCCAAGATGTAGACTATCAGCAGAAGCACGTTTGGACGTTTCATGGACGGAAAGGACCAGAAGGGAGGTCTGACCGGGGATGGACATGCACCCCAGGAAATCCGAATATCGCGAGAATTAAAACAATATTAATTAAAAAAAAGAGCTTCTTTTTCTGACTTATTTTCTGGGCCCATTCTTCGGGTTTCCCATTCATCCCTCGCCAGGCAATATCCTCTGGGATCATGGGTTGGCATCTAGAACGGAAGACCAATCCTTGAAACGGCTGCTCCCACGGTCAGGATCGTCCATGTTTCCCTTTTTTTGCAGCTAGCAATCTCTTCTGTTCCTCGTCTCGAAACGACTGACGAGGTTCAGTGGGACGGGTAATGAGGATGAGCCCACAAGTACCGAGAGACCGGTTTGACGGGCCCGTCTCTGCAGGCTCTTCTCTTCAACGGTCCTGCTAAATAGCCCGGCTAAATCGGTTGTTTTCAACCCAGAGACCCACAGAGGAGGCTGTCAATCCAGCCTCGTCAGCGCTGACGAGCTCACAAGACCCCCTGGGGGCTCTCGATTTTAACCGGCGGCGACGCAGGGAGCAACCAACTAATAACTGCCACTACCGAAAAGGCCCTTTTTTTGGTGCATTTCAAAACGCCACTCCTCTGTCCACTCACCTCGTCCCGTGGTCCTCTTCCCGTCCTCCTTGGGGGGGGGCCGGGCGAGGGACCCCGAGCTGACGGCATTGCCTTGTTGCGGTCTGTGCTCGCTCCAACCCCCCCTTCGAGGTGTCGACTGTTTGGTTCGGCTCCTTCCCGTTGCGGGGGGTGGTCAGACCCAGGGCGGCCGGAGGGCAGGAGGTGCGCCACCCACCCCATCCCACCCCCGATCTAGTCCCCGGACCCTGTATCGGAAGGTAGACCCGTACCGTGGATCGCTGTCCGCTAGGGGACTCTATTGGGAAGCCTCTGCTACGCTGTGCCGTGCATGATGTCCCAACTCGGGCATGGGCGACAACGGCGTTGGTTTTGGGGGCTGAGGTTCGCCGCGAGACGCTGTCTTTCGGTTCGTGTCTTGCCTGCCGTCTATTGCTTGCTTATGGTACGCGTCGCTCGTTCAATTTCGCCTCCCATGGTATCATTCCGGCACTCGGAGCTGAAAACGACATCCCCCCACGTGATGACCCAGACGGTAGATGGGGGTGTGTATGAGTGTTTGGAAGGTAGAAATGTTGAAACAATCCACCCCCTCCACCACCACGATTGACTTGCCTTAGTGGCTCCCGAAGCGCTTCGAGCCGCACCCCTTCTGGCCACTGACAGCGGCTTGTTGCAGGACCTTGTGATGGGTTGGCCAACGCAACTCGCCACCCTCAAGGGGCCCAACAACGGTCAACGGTCTCGTCTGCACACCTTCTTTTTCGTCTTGGGCCAGGCAACCGGTAAATTGGGCAACACATCACGCGAAGCCTTCTGAAACAGAGAAGCAGCAGCGCAGACAATACCGCCCTATGGCGAGACAACCAACACGTCCATCCCCACTCCACCTCTCGGAATATCGGATAGATCAAGGGACGCAGTCTAGATCATCGGATTACACTAGTCTTACCCCAGATTTCGGGGACCCCTCGACCCCAGCGCTTGGCGGTGGCCTGGTGTTCTCCTAATATCTCTACTTTCATTCGACACTTGCAGAGCACATGAACATGTTCGACAGCACGACTGCTCGGCCATGACCTTTCCCGCCCACACGCCCCATAGGCGACCCTACGAGGTGTCCTTATTGTCGGGCAGATAGATATAAACCAAGAGTTCCCCAGGCTGGTGGTCCATTGCGTGCCATCCAATATAGAGTCGACGAGTGCCGTCTGAAACAGGCGGCCCGCCAGCCGATCGTTCGTAGATCACGTAAACCGGCGAGTCGTAGAACAGCAGCAACCATCTCTCCTCCCGGCTTAGGGCTGGAGAACAATCCAAGCCCCGTTTTGCCGATCCATGTGACGGTGGTGGGAGCAACTGCAACCCACACCTGTTCCGAATATACATGAAGAAAGAAAGAAAGAAAGAAAATTATGGGTCGCGCGAGCAGTAAAACTGCGCGCTCACTGTATTTTGGACGGGTCGTGTTCGTTGTACGTGTCCCCGGCCGCAATGCCGGGCCACCACCAAGGTAGGTTTTTTTTTTGGCTCGTGATCATCGTCGCCCGACATCAATACCGGCCTCTGAGCATGCCACGTCGATGCCTGTTTAGCCCGTGACCGTTGTACGCGGCGCTATAATTTTATTTTCTTCCGATTTCCCTGCACTTCTTTTTATGTATATATCTTTTATTCATTTAATTATGGACAGAATACGTCGGGCGATAAATGGCGGGAAAATACTCGGTGCTCTTCAGATCATCTGAAGCTGGGAATGGATTCCATTGTACCAAGTAGAACGGACAGAGACAGCCCCGGTACAATAGGTCCCGAGTGCAGGAAGTGGAAAGGAAGGTGCAGAAACCTTGACGATACTTGGTCATATCGATGGATGCCCCTTTTCGTGCCACGGCTCACCAAGACATCTTCCACAGTTACCCCCTTTCCCATAATGTTCCAGACCCCCGTGGTGATCACCGCCGCTGCCACCGCAAGGTCCATGCTGCGCGGAGACGTGGTACAAACCGGTATCCTGGCAATGATTCCCCTTACCCTTTGACATCTTGGCCCCTTACCATCTCGTTCTCGTTCCCGACCCAAGTCGTCATCAATCGGTGGCGCCTGGTCAATAACGCGCAGACACCAGCAGCCTATTAGCCCAGTATGCTCGCCGAACTTGGATGATGATAAGTGACAAGGTTGGGGCCGCTCCTCTCGGAGACCGGTTGCGTGTACGTCTTCTGTATCGTGGGTGATGGTGTAGCCGCCTTGAGTAACCAGAGAGAAAAAGGGATGAAGAACAACACAGGCAATTGCTTAAATGCCACTAGGAATTCATTAAATGTGAATGCTACCCCTGGAAAGCTGATGAGCAACGACAATATTTGGCTGCCACAGTTGACTTTCCGCCTCCTGTTGGACCCCCTTTTTGCGGTTCCTAATTTTGGCCGACTCCTCTCGTCGGACACTCTCCTCCAGATGGCCTTCGCCAACCAGTCAGCGTCCGCATGTTTGTCCTTCCAGTTGTCGGTATGGTGGCTATTGATCTTTAAGATTCCGCGGAACATCACATGCTTGCATAGAAGTTTGACCTCTTCGTGGCCAGGATCCTCAGCAGGCTCATTGGCCCTCAAGTCTGTTGTATGTACCAGCCCATGATCATCTACCCACATTTCTGGCCCTGGTATAAGATGTGGAACCTTGCTCAACCATGACGTGGAGCTGCTCTTGACAGAGAAAAGGACAAAATCGAGGTAGAGGGGCTGGGGACTGGGGCAACATGAAACGATATACGGTCGAAAGACAGGGGTACTGCGACCGTTATGACCTGGGAATGGGAGACTGATTTCACGATCCATGGGCGATATGTCGCTTGCTGCCAATTGACGAAAGCTCATCCGCCTAGGGAGAGCCGATATCAAAACCGAAGGCCGAAGAAATCAGGCCAGCTGCTAGAACTACCAACAGCAGCCGTCGGCAACGTATTCTCGCAATAGCCACTGTATCAATCAGGAGCCCACGCCCATCACATGGGCCGACACAGTCTTGTTCGGAAGCAATTGGAGGTAGCTGTCCGGTCTCTCGGTGTAGCCTCGGTAAACGCGAAGGGTTCCGTGACGGTGCGCGCATCCTTGGACGTCACACGTCACCAGCCTGGCGGATGGTTGCCGGTTGTGGGGCTTGTTGCTATTGAAACCTGGAAGCAGAAGGGAGAGGGCGGAGCCGCAAGGTACTGGGATCGATCATTGATGATACGTGTGATGCAAACACGGCGAGAAGTTGACAATGAGCCTCGGCTACGCTCAAAGCGGTGTTGAAGGCCCGTTTCGCTGCAACGTCGTTGAGAATTTTTTTGGGGAAATTGGCCGACGGTTGCGGGGAACCCATGACGCACAGGATCACTTTCCGACCCGACGCGCCCCGAGGAAACCGTTAGCCTATCCACCTAGCCCAGGATGTGTGTAAAGCTTCATCGGCAAATGTTCCGATTTTCAACACCGTGTCTTCAGGTACGATACAACCAAATTGGTACCAGATACCTCACTCTAGTCGCTGAGCGCACTTCGATATCACCTCGTCAATTCAATCATATCTCAAGTGGTTGTCTTGCTGCGGACCATCAGTTGGGTTGAGCCTCCCTCGGATTTGATAGGTGTTTGCGACAGTTGACCTGTTCGCTCGAAGAGCCTCATGCAGCACTCCATGCATGCACTCCTAAATGGGACGGGAAAAGCAAGGTTTGCCAATTGGTACCTATTTAGATTGAGCTGGAGTCACAGGGGAAGAATCATGGGGCCTGCCTCATCTGTTGGGAACATTAAAAACGTGGCCGAGGAGAAAACGAGAATAAATTATTATTATTAAAACAAAAACCGAAAAAGAATAGCGCAATAAAAAATCCCCAGGATTTCTTGCTGGCGACAATAGGCAGGGACAAGCCTGCCACGTTTTGCCCCCCGACGGTGAGCGTGACCCGAGCGCGTCCATGTCAACCAATAGGAAACCAGCTCAAGGTCAAATCATGGTCAAATCATTATCCGGTAACAGGGCCGGTGTCAATTTTCGGGTCTCGCAACCGCCCGAGCCTTGGGGAATCAATGCCGGGCTTCCTAGTTCCAAGCTCTGTGCTTGAGCACCCAGGGTTGGGGTTGGGGCTGGCCTTTTGGGAATCGGCCCACTAGACGGCTTGGCAAGCGTGCAGGCTTCAGCGCATGCGCATGCTGACATCTTGACCAGCCACCAGGGCTGTGAAGCGAGGTGAGAAACCGTTTATTGCAGCATCGCCAAGGGGGCGTTCCAGCTGCATTACCACCTGTCAGCGCCCGAAATAGTGTCTTCCGTCCGTCCTTCTGGAAGACATACCCGTTTGCCTCCGTTTGTTTGACTTGAGAGTCGTCGCCGCCTGGATATGCCCTAGCTGCCTCAATAGACAGCTACAAGCGCATTATATACCATAGTACCGTTCGTATTAACATTATGGAATACTGCCCTCGCTGCCGTGGTTCCAGGCACGAGGCCAGAGAAACAAAAATGCCAGGATCTGAGCACGGCTGGGAGAGAGCAACTCGAAACAAGTCTTGGCTTCAGATTTCTGGAACGGGCCACAGGCATCCCCCACGGCAGGTACCTCAATAAGAAAATCAAAGAGAGTAAATTATCTGAATATACTGGGATATTTCCGAGTTTACCATTTTACGAATTTGTTGAGAGCCCGTCTACCGTAACTCTTCGCTCCGGAACTCGAGTGAGGAAGCCTTGGAAAGGTTCATGCCTTGCAAATCACAACTTCATGCGGGACATCAGACGACAAGACTGCGGGAAGTCTGTACACCATTTCTCCATAAGCGACGCTGGGAAAATCGGTTCGTCCTACATACCACTCAGTTCATTTCCAGGATCGCTTCATTTCGGCAGCTGGGCTCTGACGTCGTCGACATTTGCAATGGGCACTGGCTGGGAGACCGCATGTATCGTCGATGGTAAAATTTGGGCGGACCATGGAAAAAATCGCAGACCAGTCTGAGCGCTTGAGCTGCCGTTGTGGGCCGGTCAGCGATGAGCAATCATGGATGTGCACGGTTGGGTGTCCCTTTTGAGCGTCTGAAGAAGATCCTTTCGGCCGCGCAGCATCCGTACATGTCTGATTGATCGTCTGCCTTCCAGAAAGATGGACGAGCCGTCCCGGCGCGACAGCGAAAGGCAATAATAATAAAATAGTCAGAGGATCAATGCTACCAGGACGTGCCAGCATGCCACGGTTCAATCTCGCTGAGAGAGCCTGAGCCGTTCCCCAGATCCTCATGGGACGCGACGGCCAGGACCGCAGCTCCCGCACCGTCATAGCGTCGCGTCGAGGCGTCGTTGGGAGAACCAACACGCAAAATGTAATACGTTACTCATCAATTGGAACACCCTCTGGACGCTTCGGTCTGTGTGCTCGCTTCTGCTGCCGTGCTGTAACACTCGTCACCCTTACATCAGCCATAGGTCTGGTGATGCGCCGATCGGTACTGCTTCCTTTTTCCAGAGTTTCCCAAAGCTGGGCGCGGAAATTTGAGCCCCAGCAGGTTCAAGGCAAAATCAGGGAGAAAGCCGGCCGCGGGGTCAGCTGAGATCAGCTCTCAAGCCCTGTGGGGAAGGCTAGCTTCTACACCCCTGGAGTTCGACCCGTAGGATTCAAGTATATGTATGATATCATGATATTCCGTGAACTATCATTGCCAGGTCTTTTTCCTTGGGCAGGTTCAGGCTCAAAGCTTCTTTACGTATTATCGAAGGAACCCAATCTCTCAGATGAAGAAAAGACGGCAGAGCAAACTGTATTGAGGCAGCCTTACACGTGTGCTTGCCCAACATCGTCGCATCCCGAGAGCCGACCCCAGTGTGCGCCACCATTACGAGGTATCCCTCATAGGTACGTACTCTTCGGTAGCCCCGCCGGATCGGGGGCCCATGCTTCCCCGGATGAGTGGCTTACCTCCAAGTTGGGCCGGGGGGTTACACCCAAAGCCCAATCAGGAACGCAGCCAGGAGGCCCAAAATTGTGGGTGGCGTCTGGAACTCAGAGGTTTAGGAAATGCACCATCGGTGAGTGAAAAGGCGGCAGGCAATGAGACGTTGCTGCCCATGTCAAAGCTCTTCTGGAAAGGGGAGAGAATTAACAAAAAAAGTATTTGTGGAAGAGAACAAAATATTAATGAAAAACCTTGCCAGCAGCAAGTACCCCTTATCCGCAGAGTAAAATACAATACGTTAAAAATAACTTGACTTACCTACCTATTGGCGTGACACTTCTGGGAAGCACAAGTCAAGTCACATTTCTTGAAAACAATAATAGAAAGATATAAGGAAAGGCAGGAATAGATAAAAAGAATTGGTGATTGGATGGGGAAAAGGGGGTTATCCCACCAATCATGACGCCCACTAATTAGATGCACTCGCGTTTTAGAAACACCCAACTGGCGAGACCAAGTGTGACGAGACAAACGTCACTGGTGGTCACACAGCAAGCCAACACGCAACACACAAATAGGGTTCACCTGTTAGTCGCTTGGGGTGGGAGCGCATTTCGTGGGGGCAGAGAATAAGGAGGGGGTTTCGTCCGCACAACGCAGCGAGCCTAGGCAGGTACCCAGCATCTCCATCGCGCGCTTTTGGTCACACCTGGGCACTGTTTTGGCCTTTTGACGAGACGCCCGTCAGCAGCGCCTGACCATTGCGCCTGTGAACCTCTCCTGCAGCTCCCTATTCCAAATAGGTAGATCCAATGTGCATCACAGACAGGAATCACCCTGCCTCATTATACGTCCGTAGCAAAGGCAAGGGTAATTCCACACCTGAATGAAGTGCGCGCTTAGTCGTCCTTGCAAAGCGCCCAACAGAGTCGCAGGAAGTACTGGATACATGACGGTTTTGAGTGTCCGATGACTGCCCCAAGTATCCCCTCCATCACCATCGATCGATCGCTGTGCCGTCAGTGGGCAGCCGTCAGTCGCAGACGGCCATCAACACTCCCAGCCCCTATACGTTGGCGCCAGCAGGCCCCTTGAGATTAGGACGGGCAGAATCGCAGTCCTCACCCGCACATCTAGATCCCCGTCGTAGCCCCTTTTTTCCGTATTTTGATAATTTCACACCACCTAAATACAGGCCTCTACACGGGGCGACGGGTTTTCAACAGGGGGCATAGAGCGCACTCACCCCTTCGCGGCCTCAGAGCCGCCAACCCGCTTGTGCTTCCGGCTATCCCCCTTCCTCATCAGGCGCCTATTCCGCGTCCCCTTGCCGCCCTCCCAGTACCCGCCCCCGCGCCGGCCGACGACGCCCCTCCCGCAGAAGGCGCAGCTCTCGGGGCGGTAGGTCTGCTCGCGGCCGCACCAGCCGCAGACCATGCGGGCGGCCCACTCGTGCGCGTGGTCCTCGGCCCCGTCGTGGCACCGGTCGCACGCGTGCACCCGCCCGCAGCACGAGAACCGGAACCACCGGTGGCTGCGCCGGTAGTGCTCGCACGCCCCGTGGCCCGGGAGCGCCTCGCCTGCCCTGTGCTGCCGGCCGGCGTCGCGCCCCGGACCGGCGCCCCGGACCGGCAGTCGGAGGCTTGAGGTACCCGGCGCGTAGGCTAGGAACTTCACCTCTGGGAGCTTGAAGGTGAAGCGGCTGTGGCATTCCCGGCACACGTTGGTCGTCATCTCGCCCCGGACTGAGACCAGGCCGCCCGAGGGCGTCGAGCAAGTTGCGCAGGTGGGGATGAAGGTGCTGTGGGTAGCGGAGGGTTTCCGGGTTAGCTTTCATGTTGAGTTGATGAGATGGGGTAAGGTGTGGAAGAACTCGGAAGGGGGCTAGAATATCATACCTAGGCAAAAGTTCCGTCACCGTACACCCTGCTGCGTCAATAAAGCCCGCGCGTATCGAGTTCTGGTGGACGAGCTCCGGTCTGAACTTGACAACAAAGCCACTGGTGCACTTCCTGCAGCTGCCTGTCTTCTCGACGTTGTCCTTGAGGCCGCTGATCTCGTTGATTGTCTTGCACCGTTCGCACCTCACGCCAAGACTGAGGATCGAGACTTGCAGCAACTCGATTCCGCGCAGCTCTATCGAGGGGAAAGTCAGCGCCGTCCCGCGCTCGGCCGTCTGTCCCGTTGCTGGAGGCTGCGCAGAACTGGGCTCGCCGAGCGTGGCGCCCCCGTCCTCTTCGTCCTCTTCATCGTACGAATAGTCCTCATCTTCGGACCCTGACGAGCCATCTGACTCCTCGCCCGCGCACCACTCCGGGGGGCGTGGTATCACCTGGATGTGGCTCCTGTCGTCTCCCCCGAGCGCCGAACTATGTTCGGCTTCCTTTGCCTTGATGTATACATCTTCCACGGCGGACTCCGCTTCTCCAGATTCCTTCTCTGCTGCTGAGGCCTGAGCCTGCCTTGCTAGAGTGTGTATGTTCTGCGCAAGAAAATTGAGGTGGCTCATCAGGGTCATCTGCTTCTGTTCGACCGCTTTTGCCGTAAACAACTCCTCCACCCCCTCGGCATCCTTGGACTCGACGTCATTCAGGAGGACACGGGGAGGTTGCAGGGGGTAGAGAACGGGGATGATCAGTTGGACAGACTTGGTCGGCTTAAGCCCTGGAGGCAGCTCGGTCCGCCGTCTCGGTTCTAGAGGTAAGGTGTAGACGATGCCGTCGTTGGACTTGCTGTACAGGGGCAAGCGACCCATCCGAGACTCCAGCTGCCTCGTCTCCTGAGCGCGCCTCGCCTTGGCCTCGGCAATCTGCTCCCTCGTGAAGGTCTCCTCTGGGACATAGCGCCTAGGCGGAACATAAGGCTTGGCTGAAGGCGTTTCGGGGACGCTCGATGGTGAAGCAGTGTTCAGATGTCTCGTGTCTTTGAAGATGGTCAACTTCACCGTCTCGGACTTTTGTTCGGAGAGAAGCTCTTCGAGCTTCCTGTCCAACGCGTTCGTCAAGGTCAGGAGAGTGGCGCCACGTCTCTCCTCAACCAGCCTGTCCCATCCCTTCTCGATGTTGATGCTGAAGCCACGCGGGATGTCCTTATTCTTGATCCTCAGCTGTGGTGGTTGCTTGGGGTATCCGGCAGGGACAAGGAGGTCGCACTCCAAATGGTCGAGCTCAAAGGGGAAGTCCGGGTCTGAAGGGCGCAGCTTGAATAGGAGAGATGTGCCCCCGTTTTCGTTGGTCGTCTCCTTTGGGGAATACCGGCGCCTCAGCTGCTCGATATGATACCCTCTGGCGTTCTGAACTTGGCTCTGAGGCACCGGCTTCGGAACCACTCGGTTAGGCGATACCTCCGAGAATGCCTGCTTAGGCCGCCGGAGACGAGTTTCGCCGCGGCTCCCGGTTGGAATCATGGTAGAAACCTTAAAAGATAGTACAGAGATGGTAGATTTACGCTTCAACTCAAAAATAGGCGTTGATGGCCAAAGTCTACGGAGTTGCACTTCTGTAAGGATATATCATATCATTGGCCCTAAAGGAGATCCGCGGCCAATGTAAACGGCGAGAAAGGGCGTATTTCCGTATTTCGTGAAGCGATGGAGATGAGTGTTGAGTCACCTCGTCAGTCACTTCGTGAGTCAGAGGTTCAATGCCACCCGCACGGACCACTGCCCCCCCAATTCAAGATGATGATCAATGAGGGGGTTCGATAGCCTCACCTAGGTAAGGTGTAGGGTCGCTCCCCACTACCGAGGTGAGCGGGACGCCCCTCAGGTTTGCTGCTCGGGACGGATTCTAAGCAGCATATGGAATGACAATTGATAGGATGCTAGACGACACTACTGCGTTCTCGTTCTTGGCTATAGCCATGACCTACCTTTACTATCAATTTCAACTGAGACATGTACCGGACTCTCAGAGCCTTCGACCGAACCTTTGCAACCTTCGCGCTCGCCGATAGAGATATCATAAGCCGATGGGGGGAGGGTGGCGAAGGCCTTCACCGAGTAATATAACCACCATGAATCTAGACAGGCCGAGTATCTAATATGCGTGTCCCCCAACCCAGATCTACACAGGCCAGAGTAAAAAATCCCACGTGGGAGTCCCAGGGCAGCCGTCGTTTATCCATATTGAGTCCCAGATCCTGTCTCCCAGCCATGAGATTCTGGCTGAAGTACGGGCCGATCCTGGAAAAGGGGCACACCAGCACGGCACCAGGTAAACGGCCCGGTCCTGCATCATGTGGCACCTCTGCGGGATATTGCAGGCTGCACGCAATATAAGCAGCAAGAAGGGCGCCAGGCCCCAAAAGGCGGTAAAGATTATTTTAATTGAGTACAGATCCGAGGCTGCTCTGGGTTCGGCCCTACCAGGCGGGAAACTCAACAGGCCACGCATTTTGCCTAAAGCCCCGACGGCTACCAGGGCAGACAGAGAGACGTTCTGAAGTATGTACATACTCGTATGTACCGCGACCTCAACGATGGGGATGAGTCAACCGCTGTTTAATGCCTGCTTGTACTAGATCAATTGACGATGTCGTGACCCGTATTGAGGAGCTAATCGACACCGCTTCTGGCGTTGCTCCGGCGAGACCAAAAGGAGAAACATGGCCGGCCCGGTCATCTTGCCGATAACTTGTTTTCAACCCCGGGTTAGCGGGGCGCCCGCAGGTCACTACCTGCGGCACTTGTCACAGACCGTGGTGAGGGCCTGCCTGAGATGTTGTCACCCAGGTAGCTCGGACCCCAGCGACATTCTCGGATACCGAACTGGCTCTGCGGTGATGGGGGTTCCAGAGGCTAGCAGAATAATGAAACCATGGAGTCCACGGTTGAACTTGGCACTCGAACCGTCCTGCATGAGAGCTAATCAAACGCTCACGGAGACCAGCCTTCGGGACCATGGCGGCTGACGTAGTTGGTAGTCCGAGTAGCTTCTCATTCCATGGCGTCCGTCTGGTCGAAAGCGTCCGTCTGGTCGAAACCTGATCAATGGCATCGTGGCGTGCGCAGCACCCGGGCCAATGAAACAGACCGGGCTATATCAATATCACCAAAGGAGCAAGATTGTCGAGATACATCCGTCAAAGTCCGGGATACATCCAAACCGATTTCACTTGAAGAGAGCCTCACACTCGTGAAGGTGGCAGCAGGGCTAGCGATTGTTTTCTGGCCGGCAAAGTGGGGGGAGACAGCCATCTGAGCTCTGACGGCGCAAAGGCAGTGCGACGATTAAAAAAGCAGGTTCATATGATGGGCTTTCCCTTGGCAGAGCCAAAGCCAGACTGCCGGGATAGGGAAGCCCCCAAGCAGACTGACCGGATCAGTCGCCTCAGAAGGGCAGATCTGATAGGAGAATAATGCAGGCAGAATGGCAAGCAGGAGGCATCGTGAGCGGCGCCTCAGCGGCACACGACAGACGCCACGCATCGGTGGGCTGGATGCCGCCTGTGAGGATCGAGTATCTGCCCACCACCGCCAACCCTGCCACGGTGGACCCCACGGTAGGGAAACAACGCCAATGAAGTCGGCGAGGGGGCAAGCGTGTGTAAGGGGCGCGGGAGGGGTGGCGGGAGGGCTCGATGGGTCGTTCCCCTTCGAAACCGGATATTTCTCTTGTGACTGACTGACTGACTGGTCTCGCTGACTGGCTGACTCCCTCCCATCACCCGAGGGAGTCGATGATGACGATTGAAGTACAAACCGATGCCCGATCGATTGGAGGTCACCGTGCAGTTCCCCTTCGGTCCCGGCCTGGCCTGGCCTTGCAGAGTGGCCCATTGCCTACTCACCTGCCAGAGAGTTGATGAGTTGGCAATCGTTGCCCTGGCCACTACGGAGGCAGATGACCTGCACCCTCATGCACGTCCCACCACTGCAGGGCAATTCTTCAGCGGTGAAGCCGCCGTGTAAAGGTGGGGGGGTATGGCTTATATTGGTGGGGTAAATGTGTGTGGCCAGGATATGTAATAAATCTCATTTTCCGATTTCCCATCGTTTTTACTTCCGTTTTCCTCTATTGTTAAATTTAATTATCATTCTTCAATGATAGTGCCATTTTCCCATTCTTCAGTTCTTTCATTCCTTTCCTGCCTTGTTTCCTTGTTTCCTTTGCCTCATTCATCCCGAGCAGAGAACTTGGCGATGGCTGCTGGTATGGGAGAAAATCCTTAAATACAGACTACCAACTAGGTATGGGGAACTAATAAGCGAGCAAGGGGTTATAAACAGAAACACAAACAAAAGAAGATGGGAATTGACAAGGAGGGGGACCAGGATAAAAAAGAAAATTGCAATAAAAACTTGTTATAAAAAACAAATAAAAACGAGAATTATCCCAAATATCCCGAATGTCGCATTGCGTCCTGACTGGATTTGCGCAACTGTCAAAGATCGCCTGCAGCAAGACTTGTACCCAATACTGAGTGGACGTTATCCAAACGCTGGCTTCGTACCTGCAAGGACAAATGACTCAGCCTTCTTTCTCTCAAGTCAGATATCAGCATGAGGCAAGCTGCGTGCTGTACCCTGGATCCTGCTGCACTGCCGGCGGCTTGACGCAGCACAAAGCTCAGCTACCATACTGGCTGACTCGGGGCTGGAGCGGATGCGAAGTGCGGAATAACTTGTTGCGCAGGTAGAGTCACATGGACTGTCACTTGCTCATTACTCCTTATTTTCACAGCCCCGCGGCTTATGTCCTTTTTCCTCTGTCTGCCTGGGCTGGAGGTAGGCCTGACGAAGGGAAGCCCAGTCTCGCTATGCCCTATCTTCGTATTGTTCGTCGGAGTCCCGGAGCCGGGTATCACAGATCACAGTGGCGCCTCCAGCATCGAGCCCCCGATAGCGCGTAACACCAGATGGGAACCACTGTGAGAGAACCTACCAGATGTGCTGCTCAGATGGCGCTTGTGTTCCAGCCTCGTCTACAACCGCCGCCATTTCAGGGTTGAAGATATGCACCGGCGTACGGCTTGTGCCTCGGTAATGGCTCAGGACCAATAGATTACCTTGGACTGCCCGTTGCGACTGCTATTACGTCTTGGGGAAAGGGACTGACTGTCCGACTGCGTGGTCAATTGGCTGCCGAATGCTCTCACGTTCACACTGCACATCTCGGGGGACTGAGGTACGGATGACTGACAGAAAGCGTATCATTCTCAACCTAGAGCATCATGTGCCTGCACCGTGGCAATTGCCGTCGACCAGGACCGTGGGAATTACTTTCGCAGGTTAACTGGGACTCGCTCCGGGGCCACGGGTGTGTCCAATCCCTAATAAGGGACATCCTTGACTCGTGTTTGTTTTGACGACTTGCTGCTGATTGTCGTTTGTGGATATTCCCTATCCCCTATCCGCAGCGCCACTCATTGAGCGAAGGGCACCAAATAACCGCCAACAAGGCATCAAATCCCACCAATTCCAGCTTCCAGCAGTAATGGTATTGGATTCTTGATCCAACGGGATAAGTGAAAGGTAGTGGCTGTGGGTTTCATTTCGTGTCACTTGTATGGCTTTATCGGTTCCACAAGATATCAATACGAACATTTGACAGACTTTGGCCTCGGCGGGTATGGCCATACTTGTGAGCTTAAATTCCGGTTCGACAAGGGGCTACCTCCTTTGAGGACCACTGGCCTCCCCTTTATAAGTCGATAGCTTCAACTCAGGGGGCGCAGATGGAATGGGATTGGCAGTTGCTGTCAGCTGGCAGAATGCTTAGGTGTTATCGTGGCAGAGTGAATGTGGGAGCGCGGGGCAGTCACAAGCGGCTCCGGTCTTGGTCAGACGTCAACAGATCAACGCATCGTGAGGCTGCGATATGGTGATTGCTTCATTCCTGTTTTCTCAACCAACCGTATGTCAAGCAAGTCAACGTTCACTGCGTGGTATGATATGTCAACTTAGAGCTATATCTACTTGAGAGTCACACACTTCTAACGGTGACGAACTAGCTACCCCACCATCTACCAACAACCTACACGCCATCGAACCTTATCAGCGGCCAAGTACCCAGCCCTATCTCCTTTTGATGCTCTCATGATCAGCCCTGCAGCTAGGGGAAAACCTGAGTGCCCATTTGGTATCCATAATTGCCATCTATCTTTCCCTCATCCAAGATCAGGCCTCAGCGCTGGAGCCTGGAGTCCGAAACAGGTACTCGCTATACGGCGTTATCAGTAACTCCCCATTTGCCTAGGCCTAGTCAGGTTGAGAAGGCACCATGTTCTCTCAGGTAAGGGTGTCATATTACCCCCAACAATCCCCTCGCTACGACATGTCCTATTACTCCTTGAACGGTGATGTCTCTAGACCGGATTTCCTGTCTAGCATTTGTACTTGGGGCTGGCACTTTACTACGTCTCTCATGGAATAAATCATCATTCGCTAGCTGTGCTGACGCACCGAACAGAAGAAGCCGTATTCGGCGGTCACTGTGACCATTGAGCAGCTGACCAGCGAAGCTTACGAGGAAGATGACCTTAGTGGGATCCCGGACCTCGTGGAAGTGATCAAGCTTCAAGCTTCGGGGCCGGCAGAAGCCGCCAGGGCAATACGGAAGAAGCTGAAGTACGGAAGTACACATCGGCAGCTCCGTGCCTTGACTTTGCTTGATGGACTTATCCAGAATGCCGGGCCTCGCTTCCAGCGAACCTTTGTGGACGAGCCATTGCTGGAACGCCTGAGAGTGTGTGGGACATCGGATCTCTCAGACCCAGATGTTAGGAAAAAGTGCTCCGAGCTCTATCGCAGCTGGGCGGCCGAGTACCAGAACACGCCTGGCCTCGAGCGCATCGCCAAGCTCTACAAGGTACAGTTGATTCCCCCTCCATCCACCGTCACCCTGCGGCTCATCGGTATAAGGAACTCCCACGGCGTAAGCAAGTCGTCACTCAGGAGAGGTCCAAGGTTCTGAAAGAGACCGAAAATCCATTTGGGGACGATGAGGACGAGCCGCAGTCCCCTCAAGCAAGCTCCTCGCAGCCGGGCTCCCACGGCCGGAACACTTCCCTGTCAGGGCCACAGGTCACCGGCCAGGTACAGTCATTCAGTTATATCGGCAAAGACAAGAAGAAAAAGGACAAGAAGTCCAAGAAACGCAAGCCGTTCGATCTTGAAGCCGAGAAGGACAAGATGAAAGTCACCATTGCGGAGTCGTCCATTGCCTCCACCGATCTAATGAATGCCCTCCAAAGCATCAATCGAGAAGAGGAACGCATCTCGGAGAACCAGGTCGTGGTCCAGCGATTCGAGACCTGTAAACACCTGAGAAGGAAGGTGCTTCGTTACGTGAGTTGGATACCCTCCCAGCCGCCCCAGCGACCACTCAGCTCATAACGTGCAGATCCACCACGTTGAATCCGAGCAATGGCTCGGCGGCCTCCTCCACGCAAACGACGAACTCGTGCTTGCTCTCATGACTTTCGAACAGCTGGACCGCTCTATTGACGCAGACAGCGACTCCGACGATGACGTCGCCGAGCAAGCGCACCTCTACCGAAGTAAGACACAACCCCTATCCACCATCAGACCCCTATCCACCAACCCACCCTTCACTGACACCCCCTTCCCCCTCCCTCCTAGTGGCGACCGAGCGAGCCAAGGGCAAAGAACCCACCTCCCCCACCAGCGCCTCGCCGCACAGCCCGCCGCCCCCCCCGGACATGGCCGGCCTGAGCATCACCGGCAGCCCGCCGCCCAAGCCCCCGCGGCCGTCGGCGCCGCCGCGGCCCTCCCCGCTCTCCAAGCCCTTGGCGCCGGCTCCCGTGCGGCGACCCGCCGCCGCCGCCGCGGATGATGACGACGAGAGCGATGGCTACGCCGACGAGGACGAGGACGATCCGTTTGCGGACCGCAATGCCGTTGTCACGCCTAAGCTGGAGCGGGATGAGCCGGGGTGGTGAGGTTGCGGTTCCTTGGGTCTGTTTTGGGGGATGTTTCCTAGTGTGGGATTGTGTGCTGGAGGAGAGGAGGGAGGTCATACCTTTCGGTAAATACCTAGGTAGCTCTGCTTTGGAAGGGACCCCATGGCTCTGTTGAACTTTCGACGGCTGTGGTTACCCAGATTTGAATTTCACAATATAGCTGCACTTCACTGTCCTGGAAGAACACTGTAGTCTACTATGAAGCCGTCTACGAAGGCAGGCAACGCATTTCTTTTTATTTACCCCGTCTTGTCTGAGAATCTCCAGGGAGAAACAAACACCGATTGCCCCATTTCTACACCCCCACCCAGCCAAACGAGCCGCACCGCCCGCCATCTACAAGATGCTGTAGTGGAAGTACTTCTGGGCGTTGGCCTGCTTGTTGACGGACCACTGCGTCGCCCGAGTGGAAATATCCTGGACCTTGCGGGACCGAGCCTCGGCCCGGCGCACCTCCCTCTTCTTCTGCGCCGACACGCCGGCCATGCCCAGACCGCCGTTCGCGCGGCTGACCAGCGCGCGGCCGCGGCCCGGACGATCGCGCCTGGCAACCTGGCCGCCCTCGCCGCCCTCTCCGTCCTCGGAGTCTATGTCCATGTCCTCCTCTGCCTCGGCGGCCTCGATGGCCTGGCGCTCGGCCCGCTCCTCCGCACTCGGGTAGCTGTGCAGGTTCTGGCGGTAGTATTTGTTGAGAGACCGGTGGCCGACCGACTTGCCCGACGGGAGGTGCATCTCGTACTCATCGTAGAAGGCGGCGTGGGTGTGCTTGTGCGCGTGCGAGTGCCAACCGTCCCGCTGGTGGTGGTTGCGCGGGTCGTCGCGAGAGTGGTGCGGGTGCTTGCCGAGACGCTCGTACTGGTGGTAGTGCTGCTCCGCCGGAACCGCGTGCAGGTCCTCCGTGTCGAGGGAAGAAGCCGAGCTGTCCGTCTCCCAGCCGTCGTCCTCGCCCTTGACCTCGTCTCCGTCTCCGTCTCCGCCCGCGACCTTGGCCTGGCGCTTGGCGCCAAGTTTCGCACCGCCGTGCTGTCGGTTATCTCCGTCCGCGGATTCGTCATCCGAGTCTCCGCTGTCTGAATAGGTACCGCGGAAGTCGTAGAACTCGCCGATATCGAGCTGCTCGTCTTCCGTGGTGTACGGAATCTTACAGTGACCCGTATCTCGCATATGAGTTTGCGCTGCATCCGAGTTCGCCTTCACCTTGCCGCAGGACAGGCACTCGTGCATTTCGAATACACGCTGTTGCAGAGTTCTTAACAAGCCCTCGAGGTCGACCAAGTATTCCTTTTCGGGGATGAACATGCCATGAATGCGCTCCATGTGGTGGGCATTCAGGGGCACGGTTGGTGAATCGTAGTTACAAAACAAGCAAGACTTGAGCGAGAGCACCGGACCGCCGGCCTTCGAAGGGGTCGGCGTGCTCGATGCCGAAGTTGCCAAATTTGACGGCTGTTCACTGGACGATTGGGAAACAGGGTGCTCGGTCTTCTGCTGGCTGGCAGCAGACAGGTGCGGATTCGACGGCCGTTTGATGGGAGACGTGCGATCATTCAAGCCCGCCTTCTTGAGGCTCTCGATCACTTCGGTGAACTCCTCTTCGGCATCCGAGCCAACATCTGGCTTCGCGTCGACAGGATCTCCGAGAGAGAATGTGGAGCTCATGACGGAGCTCGCGTCATCTGCCGCTCCGCTGGCTTGTGATGGCAAGGCGGTCGCCCTTGCCCTATGTTTTGCGCTTCCAATATGATTCCGGTACGAGTTTTCGCTGAAATACGTCTTCTGGCATACGTCGCATACCCTTTCGAACCCAGCTTTATCTGCCTCAGCAGTGGAGACCGCTCGGGCTTGCAGGACTTTCTCGGTGAAAACCTCTGAGGAAATCGGGGGTAGAGAGGCGACTCGGCGTTTGAGGTTGTATCGGCTGAGAAGAAAGACTGTAAGTTTCTTGCCTCTGTTGGAAAGGATCACGTCTGGATAGCACACTTACTGCCAGTCATTCTTCATGTGACCCTTCTGAAGATCACTGTTTCGGAAGGCCACTTGACATGTGTTGCATGTGTACGGATGGGAAGCGGTGGTATCAATCGTGGCAAAGCCGCCAGCCGCGGCTCTGTCCCCAGTAATGGTCGCCATGACGAGGAGAGAGTCCTGTTTGAGCCCGTGTGTGGGTAAGGATAGTGGGGTGGAGAGAGAAGAAATTCGATATCGGGAGGGATGTCGGAAATAGTTGATGGCCTGTCAGACCTAGAAGATGCTCGGGTTCGTCGCTTCCCCTCTGAGAGCAATACGGATGCGCCGGATATAGATTCGGAGTGATCGTTGCTTTTGGGAGGACAAGAGGGGAGAATCGGCGGCCAAAGTTATAAATATGGATTTCTTCTTAATCTTTGGTGGGGCTTTTGCAAGCACCAAGTACGTCAACAGCCCCAAACTACCGCCTGGCTACCCAGTAACCCTGGTACAGAAAATACCGCCAAGAGCCAATTACAAGCTCTAAAAAGCCCAAGGTTTGGTGCCTAGCGGTAAATAGTGTGGAATGCACGGAAAATGTATGCTAGGTGACGTCTGGTGAGTGGCGAATCAAGTGCATTGGTAAGAAGTAAAAACATATGAGTCACGTGCATGCTGAGATGACTACTGCATAGTATCCAAAGTGGGACAATCCCTGTCATCCTAGTATCGATACGGACTAGACCCCGGTCAATCGAGTTTCGCCTCATTGGTCTCTTGGCGGCTGCTTCTAGAAGGGATTCAAGCCTGTGCTACGCGCGCCATCGTCGTTGCTGGGCTTACGGAGCACGAGTTATCATCCTTTGCCAGCACAGAGGCGACGCATCTATACCCAATATCCTCGGTTCGTTATCCAATGTCATGACTCGAGATACTACACGGCCGACCGAAGGCGGGCCTGGTCACGGCCTCAACGAGACAGATCTTGTCGCCGGATTGTGGGAGGAGGCGCCGTTCGCCAGGCTACCGTTAGATGCTCCGAACGAGTTGAAGGAGTTGCTCGAGGATATTGATAATCCAAAGAGGGTCTATGCTGTCCATCGCGCAAGTCGACGCCATAATTACCAGCTCCTCGTTCAGAAGTGCGTCTATCGGCTCTCCCCGTCGTCTTTCACCACTGACATACGGCCACTAGATATATCGTCCAGTTGCGAGATGGATGCGGCACTGACTCCTGCACTACTCCGACCTGCTTCACTTGCAGGAAGCGCATCGTCGGCCGGGCGCCCATTCGTCGATACAATACTACGAGTGCTCGAACCTTGGCCGTCTACCTCGCGAGCCAGGATAACGCCGAGAATGGTCTCTGCCCCGGGTTGAAACCGCCCAAGTCTGCACCGGCGACTCTGAATTCGCTTATCTTCGCCCCGAGACACAAACTTCCCTCGAGGGACGAGCGCATTACGAATTCGCAGAAGGCCGAGAATGGCGCCCCCCGCGGAAGGCTACAAATAGAAAGGGACAATGATGGGTGTACCAAGCCGCAGGCTCCGGCTCACAACAGGAGGGGAAGCAGGACCAATAGCGTGGGAAAGTCTAAGGTGGAACTACCATTACGAAACCCAGAATGTAGAGGAGGCTCGCTCAAGGACGAATTGACGATAACCGAGGAACGGGTCAGCAAAGACTACCGTTCGTTTGCGGCGAACATGTTTGGGACAGTGGCATTCAAGATGCTCGAATGGCTAACGCCAAGTGGGATTGAAGAAATGACACGGAAGTCTAATGGTCTCCGACCGGAGACCACTCCAAACCGGCCGGGAAATGCAGTCGTAACTCGGGAGCAAAAGGTCGATCTGCCGGACCTATCCCCGCGTTCAAAACCTGCAGAGGATCTACCAACCGTCAATGGCATACCGCATACGCCCGTTCCGGGAAGAGGTGGCAGTGCCGCTGAGAACACTCAGGTTGCCAACGATGGAACCCGCGATCCTACGCGGGACGGGGAAGAGCCATCCCAGCGGGGGCCGCCGCCGGCCGCGCGACCGAGTAACTCGCGACATAACTCGAATGCGAAAGTACGGACACCGTCAGGCCCGAAGCCTAAGCGGAAGCTCTCAATCGATACGTTTCTTCAGGACGGAATGCCCGACGACTCGCTGTCCAACCTGCTAAGGTCGCCTCGTCTCGGCTCTCAAAATGACAAGACTCCTACAAACCTCAAACCAGCGAGTGGCGCGCTGACTCGGCCTATCTCTCAACTCACGACAGCGGGCTTCTTCGACGGTGTGTCCTTGGAGAAAATGCCACCACCGAAGCCCGTTGAAATAAAAACCAGGGCTGGTCGCGGTCAGGTGGATGGGCCAAAGAAAAGCGAGTCAAGCAGCCCCAAGGAATCTGTTCATGCTTCAGGGACTGCGTCTGACGGTTCCTGGTCCGATCACTCCCTCGGGGCTGCCGATGCGGATCCAGGGTCCGACTTTGTCTGCCTACTTCCACAGGCATTGTCTCGCTTGACTCCCGATATGGTGGATTTTGTCTGTGATGTCCTCCAAGAAGACGGCAGTAGCGAGAGACATATGCTGGAGCCCTCAACCGTGACACGATTCCACTGCAAAGCCCCTAACCAAGGCAAGCCACTTAGGAGGCGGAGATCGCACTCACGGCGGAAAGCTTCGTCAAACCTGAAGCTGGAGTGGAAGCTTTTCGTCGACCAGACTGTTTTCTACATTCTAAGCGACCCGCAGCTGGCAGTCCGGTCCTTTACAAAGGATGGATCATTATACGACTCCCAAACGCTCTGGTACTGCATGCTGAGGATGACTCGGGTCGTGCCCAGCTTGGTCTTCCACAGTCTCTGGACAGCCTCTGCCAGCCTCTTCGCCCCTCCCAAAGCGCTCCAATCTCCCCGGTCTCCAACAGCCAGATTATTCCCAAAGCATGGAGAGTCGCTTTCTAACTTTGAGGCGGGCTGCCTGATGTCGATATGCCTACATGCCTTGGTTGCTGCGGCTCCCTTAATATCAGACCAAAGGCAGCTGTACGATATGTCCCGCATCCGATCCCATGGCCTAAGCCTGGCGGGCAGTGGCGCCATAGCACGACAACCCGCGTCGCTCTGTTTGCAATATGACGACGCCTTCTCCAACGACCTTGCCTTGCGACTAGCGAGAAGGTTGTTCGCTGCCGTCACGACCCGCCGATACTTTGATGACTTGACCGACTTAAACTCGGGCGACGGACACGAACGGGAGCCAGACGTCCTCACGGCCCTCTTCTCGCAGCTAGATTTCCTCAACATGGACGCCGTGTATATCCTCAGCTTTTCAGTTCCCGACCGTGCCCTACACGAGACAAGGGTGCCAACTTTGCTGCTGGACTGGGCAAGGGCGGTTATGCTGAGTGACTGGGACGGCAAGCCTGAAGTTCCCGGCGATGGCCCATTTGGTGGTGCACTTGCACTAATAGAATCCATGTGTAAGGGTCCTTCCATCTCCTCAACCCTCGAGGTATAATTTTGCTAACCGTGGCATAGACAAGAGGCGGCAGGCGCTGCTCCTAGGGGATGCTCAGTTCCGTTCGGAATACTTCGCCGACAGGCTGGATCCTGTCGAAATGCCGGTCAATTGGCTATCGCATACATCAACGAGGCAGAAGTTGCACCTTCTGGACTTCCCCTACATCTTCAACCCATCCACACTAGTGTCGTATTTCCGCTCAATCAACTTTTCGAGGATGAGCAGGGCTTTCGAGGAATCCAGCTCTCTTCAGAGCCGGATGGGCGCCATTATGTTTCCCAAGAGCCTGATCGTCGACCCCCACCACAAGGAGGTTCTTCAAGACCTTCTGAGCACAGCGTCCTCGAAATATCTGAATATCGATATTTCCCGTGAACGTGTCCTGGAAGACGCACTTGATCAACTTTGGCGCCGGCAGGAGCGCGAACTCCTACGACCGCTCAAGGTTCACCTTGGCGAGGATTCTGGAGAAGAGGGCTTTGATTCCGGCGGCGTTCAACAAGAGTTTTTCAGACTTGCGATAGCCGAGGCCCTGAACCCAGACTCCGGAGCCTTCACCATTGATGAGAGGACTCGCATGGCTTGGTTTCAGCCCGGTTCCCTGACCGCCGACTGGAAATTCGAACTCATTGGCCTTCTCGTTTCCTTGGCTGTGTACAACGGGCTCACCCTTCCGATCACATTCCCCAAAGCCCTATACCGGAAACTGCTTAATGAGCCGGTCACCGAGCTCCATCACATTGCGGACGGGTGGCCCGAGCTAGCTAATGGCTTGACCACACTCCTGGAATGGGATGAGAAGGATGGACTCGTCGAAGACGTGTTCGCACGAACCTACGAATTCTCTGTTTCCGTCTTCGACCAGCCCATTTCACGGGAGATGAAGCCCCTTTCAAGCGGAACGTCGTCGAGTTCGGCGTCCGAGACTTGGCCCCAGTTCCCCAAGACGGTCAATGAAGCATCGTCCACAACAGCACCTCACACGGGCAATCCCGACGATGCGCCACTCGTCACGCATGCCAACCGTAATGCATACGTTTCCGACTACATACGTTACCTGACCGACGTCTCCGTGCGGCCCCAATACGAGGCATTTGCTCGCGGCTTCCGCGCGTGCCTGCACCCAAAGAGCCTGAAGCTGCTGAACTCGAACCTCCTGCAGTCCGTGGTGGAGGGCGTCCAGGAGATCGAAATCGCCGAGCTGCGGCGCCACACCCGCTACGTCGGCTGGGACGCCAGCCACCGCACCGTCAAGGATTTCTGGAGCATCGTCAAGCGGTACGACGAGTCGATGCGGCGCAAGCTGCTTGAGTTCGTCACGGCCAGCGACCGCGTGCCCGTCGGCGGCATGAAGAGCCTGCAGTTCGTCGTGCAGAAGAACGGCGCCGAGGAGGGCGAGGACGGCCACCTGCCTACGGCGTACACCTGCTACGGCACGCTGCTGCTGCCAGAGTACCGCGACAAGGAGGTGCTCAGGGAGAGGCTGGCGATGGCGCTGGAGAACGCGCAGGGGTTCGGGTTTGCCTAATACGTTGCTGCTGCGATTGATTGCCCCATGGCGGTGCCTGTGGATGATAATACTGTGTAATCAACTGGTCAGCGGATTTGAGGGCGTTGGGATGAAACGACCAGGATCCAAGGGTATGTCGTTCGTTGCCGGGGGTTCTTCGTTTTATATTCTACTATTTCTATTGTGGATATATACTCGGGTATCGGCAAGGCGTGTCTGGCAAAAAAAGGCGTCTGCAATAGAATCCTAGCAGGCCATGAATGTCTTATATAATCACCGTTCAGGCGTGACATAGAGTTCTGTGTCAGCGTCGAGGGCGGAGGAGCATCACATCGCAAAACATAGCCGCAGTTATGATGGGACCTTGACCGGCTCTCGGATCCCCTTCTGCGTTGTACATGTCTATGGTAGTAAATCCATTAAGCCATACACAGGGTGCTTTTTTTATCATGACGCCCCCCTAAATACCTCGCAACGTAAGGTCTAGAAGTCATTCTCATCCGTGCCCGCCACGATCACGTTGTTCACCTTCAGCACCATGCGGCAGAGCTGCGTGGCAAGCATGAGCTGCTGCTTCTTTCCAATCAGTGGGTCGATCACGAACGCCTCCTTCATGTCGTTGCTTCCACTGCCCATGCAGTCAACGCCCTTGCGGCCGCGGCCGTTTGGCGACTTGACCTGCTGGCTCTTGATCTCGGCCAGCGTTGCGATCGGGTTCAGACCACTGTTCTCGGCGAGTGCCATGGGGATGCCGTCGAGGGCCTCGGAGAAGGCGCGCATGGCGTACTGCTCGAGGCCGGGGGTCTTGACGGCGGCATCCTCGACCGCCAGGCTGCAGGCGATCTCGGCAGCGCCGCCGCCGTAGACGACACGGTTGTCCCGGACCAGGTTCCGCACGACGCAGAGCGCATCGTGGAGGGAGCGCTTGGCCTCGTCGATGATCTATTTTTGTATGCATCAGCAATTCATGTTTTCAAACGGAAAAAGAAAAAAAAAAAGCCAGGAAAGTGGGCGGCTTACCATCTTATTGCTACCCCGGATGAAGACGGTCACCGCCCGCGTGTTTGCACACTCCTCAATGACAAGCATCTTCTCCCTTGTAGTACCAAAGGTCATCTCTCGGACGATGCCCGCCTTGCCCAGCTTCGCCGCGCTAAGGTCCTCAAATCGCGGAACTATCCTGCCATTTGTAGCGATGGCAATCAGCTCAATCTCCGGGCCACCAACCCACCTCACGGCGGGGAGTTCGTTCTGCAGGAGAAGGTGGTTCGCCTCGTCGTCGAAACCCCATTGACAGATCGCCAGGTTTGCGCCGGTGGCCTTTATTTGCTGAATCATCTCGATGAACTTCTCCCGCTCGTAGTTCTGCAGCTTCTTGAACTCCTCGACGCCTGTAATCTCGAGCCTATGCTTGGTCTTTGGCTTCGGCGGCTCGAACGCGCAGGTCAAGATGGCGATCTTTGCGTCGCGAACCTCGGACGGCATTTGAGGGTGTGAGAAGTCCTTGTCGACTATTACACCCTTGACCAAAAGGGTATCCTCCAACGCGCCGCCGACCTTCCCGTCGACCTTGATTAGTTCGAAGTCGACATCTTTTCGCTCCAAGTCGGCGACGGAGAGCACTGCGTCGACGGCTATGTTCGCAAACAGATCGTAGGCTTTGGAAACGATCTTGCTCCCTAAACTTGTCCGCGCAACCTTGACCAAATTCGCAGTGTCTTCCCTGTCGAACTCGACCACATCTGAGATCCTGTCCAGCTCGGCCACCGCAATGTCGCAAGCCTGATCGTACCCATCTGCAATTCGGATGGGGTGGATACCCTTGTCGATGAGCTCTGCTGCTTGCTCCAGCAGGGCACCGGCAAGAACGACGACGCCAGTGGTGCCGTCGCCAATCTCGTCGTCCTGCGACTTGGACAGCTCGACCAACAACTTCGCTACGTGGTTCGTAATCTCCATCTGTTGCAGGATCGTTGCGCCATCGTTGGTCACTGTGATGTCGCCGTCGGGTGAAATGAGGATCTTGTCAAGGCCCCGCGGGCCGAGCGAGGTCTTTACGATATTTGCGACCGTACGTGCAGCAAGGATGTGTGACTTGACAGCCTCGTTACCGAACTGCCGCTTCTTCTTGCCTTGACTGTAGCGGGAATGTCAGCCACAGACCACCATCGGGGGCCGAAGGAAACGAACTCTCTGACAATGATGAAGGGTCTTCCCTGCTCATCCCTCATCATCGAAGCTGTAACGGAGTGGAGTCAGTATTGAAATCGTCGAAGGAACATGTAAATAGGCCTATACCGTTCGACAAATCTAGATCTGATAGGCAGCAAGTTAGCATTGTTTCGACTGATTAGGATAGGATTCCAGCATACTCATCGCCATTTTGGGCAGGATTTCCGGGAATTGGAGAGAACAAGAGGATTGTACGGGATTTCTATCCACGTAAGAGGCTAGATATAGAATATCCTCTGACCATGGAAGCCAAGATTGTTATTGTGAGGCGCGAGCTGTTGATGGAGCTCGGTTCTGTCCCAAAAAAATCCCCCATGTCTATCCGCTGTTGGTGACGGGCGCCGGCGAAATCTAAGTCCGCTATCCAACCCGACCTGACTGGGGCGTTCCTGACCCGCAGTGATTCTCCCTCACCGCCTACCTCCATAGAGAGTTGGGCAGGGGCGGCAAAATCGCATGGTGGGGTCCTTCGCCAACCCCGCCATCGATGGGAAACTAAGATGGAACCGCACAGAACGAAACCCAGAACTTATTCCTGATGCGTTCGCAGACAACTTTCTTCTTACCGCATCTCATACATTAACGGAGCTAATCGTCGGGTTTGACACCTTGCTGAATCCCCAGTGCCATATTCAAGTTCTCACCATGTCCCGACACCAGGCGTTTCGTAACGTCCACAACACTCTCGAGGAGCACTACTTCGATGGCGGCGAAGAGAGCGAGGAAGAAGAGCTCAGCGCCGAGGACCAGGCCCTTATGCAACAGGGTATTGCAGATGTCAAGGCAGCACTGGGCATAGAGGTTTCCAAAGTCAGCACCGAGCAGATACAAGAGGCGCTTTGGCACTACTACTATGACGTCGACAAATCTGTCACCTACCTCCTCACGAAGTTCATCGCTCCCCCACCAAAGGCAGCCAAGACTACACAGAAGGAAAAAAGTTCTGGTGAGCATGCTCTTTCCTATGTTCGTCGGGAAGCACTGGGCACCTTTGAAAATTCCGGAGCGGACTCGGGCTGCAACCATGACATGTGTCTGGGGGTGTGGATGCCTCCGTGGTTAGTACCACAGCTACAACCGAAATTCTCTCGATTCTCTCGACCAGCACAATCCCAACGCAACTCGTTGACATCGAGTCAAGGTCACGAGTTTCTATACCCACCTACACCTCGTTCTCCTGCCAGCCTCAGTGATCGAACTTTTATCTCTGCCTTATTTCACGGCGTGCAATGGGGAAACATACCAGAACATCGGAAAGCTGTTTTTATCGAGCCTAAACGACCTCGCGGCGGGCTGCTTGGCGGTTCAGGTGCCCCTCCTAAGCTGTCCAAGCTCCAACAACTTGCTGCAGCTAGGAAAAAGAAGCAGGAGGAAAAGAAGTCGGAGGAGAAGACTGAGAAAGCCCGGCAGAAGTTGGGGGAGCTCTCCGTCGGGGACAGCACGTCCAAAAAAGAGAGTGCGCTCCCGAGTGGTGCCTTTGGGAAACGTCAAAAGCTCTCCGAGTTTAGTGCTGCAGGCCGCATGCCCCTAGCCGCCTTCCCATCCGAAGATGTTGGAAGCACTTCGAATCACCAAGAGGCCCTCAGAGATGGTGACTTCTCAACGAATCATCAAAAAGGAATGGAAGAAGAGGTTGAGGAGGCACCTGAACCAGCCAAGCCATCAGCCTTTGCCCAGACACTTCTTGGGCCCGCTTCAGATGCAGCGAGGCGTGGCTCAATGCAGTTGTTTCCTTTACCATATACGGCATCTTCCCAGTCTTTGGCCGACGCTTTCTCAGAACCTAGTCCAGACGACGTGGTTCTGGCGGCTCAGGCAAAAGGTTCGGCGTTACGAAAGGGCAAGCACTAACGTGGGTGCTAATAGTGGAAGCAGCGGGCAAGAAGACCGTGGCGATCCCGACTAAGAAGAAGGCTGGGATCGACTCCGTTGCAAATGACGTGAAGGCATTGAAGATTGACGACGCTCCCTTGCCAAAGAGCAAGAATCTCAATGTCCTTTCCGAGTTCGAGAAGAGCAACAGCAAAAAGAGGGCAAGCTTCGTCGTCGTCGGTAAGTACTACCAGGCGATACTCATCGTATTGGGGCTAGACAGCTGACCAAGCTTATGTGTTTAGGCCATGTTGACGCTGGGAAGAGCACAATGATGGGCAGGCTGCTACTCGATCTCAATGTTGTGGATCCCCGCACAGTTGAGAGATTCCGCAAGGAAGCAGAGAAGATAGGGAAGTCGTCATTTGCCCTTGCCTGGGTCCTCGATCAACGGGCCGACGAGAGGGCTCGCGGCGTCACCGTGGATATAGCAACAAACAGTTTCGAGACTGACCAAACCGTCTTCACTGTTTTGGATGCCCCAGGCCACAGAGATTTCATCCCGAACATGATTGCGGGCGCAAGCCAGGCCGACTTTGCTGTTCTCGTCATCGATGCAAGCACTGGGGCGTTCGAATCTGGTTTGAAGGGACAGACCAAGGAGCACTCCCTACTCATCCGCAGCATGGGGGTTTCGCGAATCATAGTGGCGGTGAATAAGCTGGACACTGTCAGTTGGTCGAAGGAGAGATTTGACGAAATTGCGCATCAAGTCTCGGGCTTCCTCGCCGTAACCGGATTCCAGCCAAAGAACATCTCCTTTGTCCCTGTCTCGGGATTAAATGGCGATAACTTGGTTAGGAGGGTATCGGATCCAGCGGCGTCATGGTACGATGGCCCGACTATAGTCGAAGAACTTGAAAACTCGGAGCCAACGACGCGAGCGTTGTCGAAACCGCTGCGCATGGCCATCTCGGAGGTCTTCCGCACCATGCAGAGCCCGGTGACGGTAGCCGGCAGAATAGACGCCGGTTCTCTACAGACAGGGGACGCGCTCCTTGTGCAACCGAGTGGAGAAAAGGCATACGTCAAGTCGATACTGCTCGACCAGGAGCCCGTCGGCTGGGCTGTCGCTGGCCAGAACGTCGTGATCCACCTCAGCAACATCGATGTCATCCACGTGCGGGTTGGCGACATCATCTGCGACCCGACAAAGCCGATCCAATGCCTCGACACGTTCACACTCAAAGTGCTGGCTTTCGACTTTCTGATGCCCATGCCGGTCGACGTTCACCGAGGGAGGCTCCATGCTGCTGGCACCATCGCCGAGATTCCGGCATTACTGGACAAAGTCAGCGGAGTCGTAACGAAGAAGAAACCAAGAATTGTGAAGCCGGCCAGCGTGGCGAGGGTCGTGGTCAAGCTGGCCTCAAAAGTGCCACTGGAGCCTGGGCAGCGGATAGTGCTTCGAAGCGGCGGTGAGACTGTGGCGGCAGGGTTGTTGGAATAAAGCCCTGGGGCGCCCTTTTTGAGGCTCAAATTTCGGGCAATAGCGAGTACCGCATACGTACAGTAGTACGAAATGTATATACACACAGCATCAGACCACATATGCTTGGAGCTATATTTGTCTACTGCATATGGAACAATAGCATGCGAGCTGTGCCACGCAATGGATTTTACAGCGGGAATAAGTAATACTTACAGGCCAAGACGTTTATGGCCACTCGGTACTCAGGTCCCGAGAGTAGACTTGCCAAGCAACTCTGGCAAGGTAGCAGAAACGGTCTTGCAAATAATCAGTTCCCAGAGAAGTGCAATGGGATTACCAATCTTGGGGCCCCCTGATCTTGCTTGAGGACAGAGAACCAATAGGGGGAACAGCAAAGTCAGTAATGTACACAGGTCTGCCTTGAATGCGATGAGTGAGCATGAAAAGGCCACTCTGTCAATTGGCAATTACTGGCCTCTGTTCCCTGGCGGTTGAGCATGTCTCTGTTGGAAACAGATAGAAGGGGACACGTTCCTTCACATTGGGGTCCAAGTATGCATAAGTGCCACCAAGCTTTGGAACAAGTGTCCTCGAATCGCGGGAGTTAACAAGGGTTGTGGCCACATCCCAAGGCTGAAGGCTAACTAACCTACAAGCAGGGGTGTCTCCACAGAGGGGTATCGCACGGAGCTAGTGTAGGGGGGAGACCCCTGTCACGTGTGGCGGCTTTGGTTGATTGAAATCTGTCCTTTCCATCATTAATGGACACCTCTACCAAAATTTTGGAGTAGCTCCATTTAAGAGAAGCAAACTTCCAAACAATTCTTCTTCCATTCCCCCACAACCATTCAACAAACCCATCTTTCCCTTACCTAGTGCTGATCAGATCAAGGACCTCAGGGCTGATCAGCTTCTCCTCTACATCTCCCATTGTCTCTCCTTTACAATATTGGGTTCTCTAGAGAAGGGCAGCTACAAGTCTTCACCATGGCTCGCTCGTCCCGGAGCAACATGGCCATTGGCCTTGGTTTGCTGGCGTTTTTCTGCGCCCTCTTCTCCCCAGCATTTGTCCAGACAGTAAGAGCGGATGACGTCCAAGAGTATGGCACTGTCATCGGTATTGTAAGTCCTACGCGTTCCCCTGCTGCCCATGTGAACTGCAACTGACACAACCGACAGGATCTCGGAACCACATACAGCTGCGTCGGTGTGATGCAGAAGGGCAAGGTTGAGATTCTCGTCAATGACCAAGGTAAGCATCAAAGCCCTCGCTGTCCCTAACGGTCCTAGGTTTTCTTTGCGCTTCTTGCTAACCCAGCACCCAGGAAACCGGATTACCCCATCATATGTGGCCTTTACCGACGAAGAGCGGCTGGTTGGTGACGCAGCAAAGAACCAGGCTGCGTCAAACCCCTACAACACAATCTATGGCATCAAGTAAGCCCGAACCCTTCTGAGACTTGGGGAGACCATCACCTAACATGCTCTCTCCTAGGCGGTTGATTGGCCGGAAATTCGCCGAGAAGGATGTCCAGAGCGACGTCAAGCACTTCCCCTTCAAGGTCGTCTCCAGGGATGATAAGCCCGTCGTCAAGGTCGTCGTGTCTGGTGGAGAGGAGAAGACCTTCTCTCCCGAGGAAGTCTCGGCCATGGTGTTGGGCAAGATGAAGGAGGTCGCTGAGAGCTACCTGGGCAAGAAGTATGTCTCACCAAAATCTTTGCGAATACGGCCTAAATACTAACATGATTCCCCCAGGGTTACCCACGCCGTTGTCACCGTTCCCGCCTACTTCAACGATAACCAGAGGCAAGCTACCAAGGACGCTGGTGTCATCGCCGGCCTCAATGTCCTCCGTATCGTCAACGAACCTACCGCTGCCGCTATCGCCTATGGCCTGGACAAGACCGATGGCGAACGCCAGATCATTGTCTACGATCTTGGTGGTGGCACTTTCGATGTCTCGCTCTTGTCCATTGACGAGGGTGTGTTCGAGGTTTTGGCTACCGCAGGTGATACCCATCTGGGTGGTGAGGATTTCGACCAGCGAGTCATCAACCACTTCGCCAAGACGTACAACAAGAAGAACAACGTCGACGTTACCAAGGACGCCAAGGCCATGGGCAAGTTGAAGCGTGAGGCCGAGAAGGCCAAGCGTACCCTGTCCTCTCAGATGTCTACCCGCATCGAGATTGAGTCCTTCTTCGATGGCAACGACTTCTCCGAGACTCTCACCCGGGCCAAGTTCGAGGAGCTCAACATGGACCTCTTCAAGAGGACCCTGAAGCCCGTTGAGCAGGTGCTCAAGGACGCCAAGGTCAGGAAGGAGGAAGTCGACGACATCGTCCTCGTCGGTGGCTCCACCCGCATTCCCAAGGTTCAGTCCCTCGTTGAGGAGTACTTTGGTGGAAAGAAGGCCTCCAAGGGCATCAACCCCGATGAGGCTGTCGCTTTTGGCGCCGCTGTCCAGGCTGGCGTTCTCTCTGGCGAGAAGGGTACTGAGGAACTCGTCCTCATGGATGTGAACCCCCTCACTCTTGGTATTGAGACCACCGGAGGTGTTATGACCAAGCTCATCTCCCGCAACACCCCCATCCCGACCCGCAAGAGCCAGATCTTCTCCACCGCAGTCGATAACCAGCCAACCGTTCTGATCCAGGTCTTCGAGGGAGAGCGCTCGATGACCAAGGACAACAACCTTCTCGGCAAATTCGAGCTTACCGGCATTCCTCCTGCACCCCGTGGCCAGCCCCAGATCGAGGTCTCGTTCGAGCTCGACGCCAACGGTATTCTCAAGGTTTCGGCTCATGACAAGGGCACTGGCAAGCAGGAGTCCATCACCATTACCAACGACAAGGGCCGCCTCACTCAGGAGGAGATCGACCGCATGGTCGCCGAGGCCGAGAAGTACGCCGAGGAGGACAAGGCCAACGCCGAGCGCATCACCGCTCGCAACGGTCTTGAGAACTACGCTTTCAGCCTGAAGAACCAGGTCAACGACGAGGACGGTCTCGGTGGCAAGATCGACGACGATGACAAGGAGGCTGTGAGTTTGGCCTATCGAAACACAATCCTGAGTGCCCCATGCTAATGAATTCAAATCTAGATCCTCGACGCTGTTAAGGAGACCACCGAATGGCTTGACGAGAACGGCGCCACTGCCTCCACCGAGGACTTCGAGGAGCAGAAGGAGAAGCTCTCGGCTGTGGCATATCCGATTACCAGCAAGCTGTACCAGGATGCTGGCGGTGCTGGTGATGGTGGTGACGATGAGCCCGATGCCCACGATGAGCTCTAATACCATAGATTCCCCTTTTTCCTTTTTTTTCTTGGCATTCACAGAGAAGTTAAAAAGAAGTATCATCTTCTCGGTTTTCGTCTCCTTCCTGATCTTGAAATTCCCGGTGTTCTAGGGTGGCGAGTGATAGGGATGGAGTCAGCATCATCATGCGAATACATGTCGCACATACTGTAGAGTAGAAACCTGTCAGCTATAACAGTGTTTGTTCACGCTTGACTCTTGATGTTCAGAGGAGCAGGGCTGGCTGTGAAGTCAATTACCCCTCCGAGAGATGAACATTTGCCCTTTGACTTCTTCGTCACGCCTGATGTAGCCACCTTGTGACGTTTCTCTTAAAGTCGCTCCCTATATGGATCCTAACATGCGACCTTGCCATCACCACGTCTTCTCCCCCCCACTCCCCCTCGTTATCATCATACTCCATCAAGCCCGGGTTACCTTAAGGGCTAGCGCTTGATAGATATCAGCAAGACTGCTGGGAACGAGCGCCATTGAATGCCAATTCTATATCTTGAAGATAAACATACACTTGGAGGCTAGCTTAGATAGTCAACTTCTGCTAGGATTCTCCGTCTCCTTGCTCATCATCCCGTCCGGCAAGCGGTTCTCCTCTTAATCCGAACACCAATGCCCACGAGATATATCCGTCTCCCTTTCGGTTGCAGATCGCCACTCCACTCCACCGCCAGCGTCCGGGGCTTATCAAGGAAGTCATTACCACCGCCCCTGCCAATCCCGTACGGCGCCAGGAAAATGGCCGCAGTCCGGGGGGGGGGGGGGGGTCCGGTAGACGCACGGGGGACAGATTACATCGATTCCTCGTTCTGTGACTCACACGTCCTCGCCTATTCAACTCGGGAGATCGGCTAACAGAATGCTCGCGACTGTCACAACAGTAGTCAAGCTCGTCAGCTAGGAGCGAGGTCGCCATGCGGAGAGTTACTCACCTCATTTGACAGAAGTGCCTGGCGCCGCTGGACGGTGGTCAATGCAGACTACCTGGCAACCGCGGCATGGCACTGCACTATACCTTGCCAAGGTTATGGCAAGGGCGTTTGTGCATTTGGTTTCGGCGCACTGGACGAGCATCGGGGTGTTTGTTCCGGGACCCTTCTCAGAGAGGACATAAACTAGATGCTGCCGATTCGAGAGGGGATAACCGGGCCAGGGGCTTAACAGTATGGTCAGTCGAATCATCAGACCCCAACCGCTGTACATTCAGGCGGCCAGTCTTGAAAACTCTATCGGCCACTCGATGTATCTCTTGTACGACCCCGGCAGCGCCACGAGGACCTTCTCGAACCAGACGACGTTCATCCGCCTGCGGTAGAGGAAGGAATCCAACTTGGACCCGAACGCATTGCAGGCGAGCGCGAACTCGAGCAGGAAGAAGTGGACCATCAGCAGCTGCGCCGCGTGGTTCGCCGGGTCGACAAACGTGAGGAACTCGGCCTGCTCGACGGCGCCGGCCCAGCCGTACAGCATGCTGATCTCGCCGAATGCTATACAGAGGGGCGGGGGATGCGTGTTAGCAGCTGGGCCAGCCACCAACTGTGTCTCGTGGCGGAAGTAGGACGACTACGACGGGGGTGGTCACTCACCATCTAGAGAAGAGATCCTCGCGGTATTCAGGACCTTCTCGATCCGCGCCAGGAAATTAACCTCCAGGGTGCTATGGCAGAGCGGCGCCAGGGCCCGTAGCGAGCCGGAGAACCCGTCCAGGAAGCCGTCGTCCAGCGGGTGGGTGGCGCCGGGGTGGTTCAGCCCGCGGACGGCCGTGAGGTGTCCCTCGCCCGAGAAGCCCGCGAAGAGGGAGTCGCCGAAGCAGGGCATGCCAGACATGGCGACTATGTGGCAGCCCCTGGTCATGCTGAGGAAGTCGAGCATGCCGTCGGCCATGTACGACGACTGGAACGTCAGGGCCATCATGGCGGCGTACCGCGCGTCGCCCTCGGTCCTGGACGGGCACGGCCGGCTCAGCGACCGGTTCAGCAGCTTGATGGCAGTCACACGGTGGTCGAGCGCCTCCGACGAGTAGTCCGCCCCGCCGCAGAGCGTCAGGTGGGACGCCGCGAGCCCCAGCATGGCGTGGACTAGGAAATCGAACTTTGGGGAGGAGGATGGGTCAGCACCCACCGTCGCTATCATCACTTCAGCCATCGAGACCCCAAACTTACACCGTGCGAGAACTGAGCGACGTCTTTCCAGATGTGGTCTCCGCGGATGGGCAGGGGCGGGTACGCCTTGATCAGGAAATGGTGGAAGAAGCGGAGATCGACGAGCGAGAAAACGGACAGGGCGGGCTGTTGCGGCGACGGCGATGGCGGCGACAGTATGGTTACCGTCTTGGGTGCCGCAGGATACTCGCAGACTAAGCCGTTCCGCCTACACTGGCCGCACGCGGGCAGCGTCTCCTGGCACTTGACCTTACGTCTCTTACAGTTGAAGCAGCCGTTCCGGGACTTCTTGTGGCCTTTTCTCGGGATTGGCCTCCGACGAACCCCAACTTCTGTGGGTTGCTCGTGGGCGATGGAATCTTTTTCAGATGCTGCCTCATGGTGTGACGACGGGTGTGACGACGGGTGTGAAGATGATGCCTCGGACGACGAGACCGAGGATGAGGATGGGGACGAGGACTTGGGCGGGCTCACGAGCACAATGTCAAGAGTCTCCATACTCGAAAAGGGCAGCTGATCCTAAATAGACTATAACATTTTGGATATCCAAGTTTGCTAAGCTCCTGTGTAGGTTTGAAAGGGAGGATCCACGGCCTCACAGACACATCCCCGGGACTTTTTGATGTTCAAGGGTCCCTGGCCACTCCGGGTCAATATTGTCTCCGAGCATCCCCACCCCCGCCCGCCGTAGCCCCGACAGCAGCAACTCTCTTTCTCAAATCAACTACCAAAACGGCCGGCTCAGTACACAAAGTGGAAAATAATAGGACAATACAATGCAATCATTACGTTACCAAACATTCCAGCCAGCCGGCAGGTCACTTTCCACCGAGAGTGACATCACCAACCGAGACAGAAGCGCAACCAGCTTTACCTCGCCCATCGCCTACTTAGCTAGATCCAAACGTCTCCTTAATTCCTTTCCCGCACTTTTCCTTGATGGCCCTACGGTTGACCTTCTGCGTAGCAGTCACGAGGCCCTAGGAAACCGGCGTCAGCATCAGTCGAAACTGAAAGGGTCACGTCAAGTTTGCAAACGGCTTATGGTACAGCGGAAGCAGGACCCAGACCAAACGGAAGCACTCACATTTGCAGGAGTCCACTCATCGTCGACGATCAAAACACCGGCGACCAGCTCCATGCCGCTGAGGCCGGCCTGCTTCCCGGCGGAGAGCAGGTCCTTGAGCACGGCGCCGCGCACCTTCTCGTCGCTGTGCATGCGATGCTCGCCCACGCCCAGCTCGGCCGCCTTACTAGCCAGCTCCTTCTCGTTGGGGCAGATGACGGCGATGGGCCGCGCGTGATCGCTGTCGGCGTAGACCATCATGTTGTTCACGTACCGCGAGCCGCGATAGACGGCCTCGAGCTTCTCGAGCGCCACGTACTCGCCCCCCTGCATCTTGACGAGGTTCTTGGCCCGGTCGATGACCCTGAGGTGGCCGTTGTCGTCGAACTCGCCGATGTCGCCCGTCTTGAACCACCCGCCCTTCGTCATCGCCTTGGACGTCTCCTCCGGGTTGTCGTAGTAGGAGGCGCACACGGCGGGTCCACGGATGAGGATCTCGCCCTGCGGCGGGTCCGTGGAGGTGCTGTAGTTGAGCTCGGGCAGTGACACGAGCTTGACCTCGACGCCCGCGGCGATGGGCCCGATGCTCGACGACATGGTCCACTGCAACGGGGAGCCAAGCGCGCCGTTGCCGCACGTCTCTGTGAGGCCGTACCCGTTCATCATGGGGGCCACGACCATAGACATGAAGCGGGCTGTCTGTTCGGAAATCCCGCTTGCCCCATTGACAATAAAACGGAGCCTCCCCCCCGTCATGGCGCGCACCTTGCCGAATACGATCCCGTCTAGGAGCGTCTGGCCGGGGAGGTTATGGGCCACGAGGAAGGACTTGAGGTTGAAGGCCCCCCAGAACAAGGCCTTGGTCAGGGCACCCGATTTATCCACCGTGCTTGCCACACCCTTCTTGACCGTCTCCCAGATGGCCGGCACCCCAACCATGACGGTCGGCTTGAAGGCGCGCATGTCGCCGGCGCAGTTGCGCATGCTCGAGTCGGAGAGGGTGCGGGGAGAGCCGTAGCCGAGCGTCCCGCCCACGAAGACGACGACGTTCTCGAGGACGAGCTCGAAGATGTGGGCCAGCGGCAGGTACGCCAGCACGTTTTCCGCGTGGCTGACCGTTTCCTCCACGACGGCGTGGAGTCCGGCGACCGCGGCGACGAAACCGCCGTGCGTGACGGGGACCCCCTTCGGCGGGCCCGTTGACCCGGACGTGTACATGATGCAGAAGGTGTCTTCGGGCTTGGGAGGGACGGGGTCGACAGGGTTGGCCTCGCCGAGGGCGCGGAGTTCTTCAAAGGACAGTACGGTAAGCTCGGGGTTGGAGGACTTGAAGGACTCTATTTGACCGTCGGGGATGGGCTGGTGGGTGGCGTCATTGTAGATGAGATACTTGACCGAATTTGCCGTCTTGAGCGGCTTAGCTACGGTCTTGAGGAGATGCGGGTCCACATAGATGGCATTGGCCTTGGTCTGCACGAGCGAGTGCTCGACGCCGCTCTCGCCGAGGGTGTCGTAGGCTGTGACGATGGTCAAGGATTGAGACGAGGAGGCATGTGCGATGGTAAGCCAGTTTGCGCTGTGCCCAGGACGGATTAGCAATTGCAATTTGCAATTGGGCGTGAGGCCGGGATTGATGGCCTGATGGATGGGATACTAACCTAGTAGTTGCGAATAGATGCACCTTCTCACCCGGGGAGAGCCCCAGCTTCCTCAAGCCAGCACCAACCTGCAGAGCCAGGGTCGCATACTCCCGGTATGTGATATAGGAATAGTTCGATAGTTCAAAGTATGTCCATTCCTTCTCGACCTCGATGACTTCGCCATCGACGACCTTCGGCACCTTCTTCATCTCCTTGTGGGTGCGGACAAGCTTCCGGCTGCCGATTGCGGGCTCATCCGCATACTTCTCGGCGCTCCTGTTCAGGAGGTCGAAGGTCGTGGCTACCTCGGGGGCTGGGCGCTCAAGCAGGCCGTCCTTTGCCTTTGGGTGCCTTCGGGGAATAGTCTCGCCCTCCACGGGCTTATAGCCAGGGGCCTCGACAGTGAATGGGGGTTTCTGCACCATGTGCAGCGGCATAATCCCTTGTCGGAACGCCATGATGGGTTTAATGTGTCGGTGGTGGTCGTGGTCGTCGAAAGCCGTTTGGGAGGAGCAGTCTAGAGAGAGGTGGATGGAGACAACCTTGGGAGCTCTCAGGGATGACGTAGGTAGCTAATATATTCAGTTAGGTGGTCCCTGTTGCCGGTTTCCGCACACCTCTACGGATACGTCGGGTGAAAAGCGGAAAGTCTTAGAAAACAGCAAGGGATGAGATGCAGGTCTTATTCATAGGAGACAGCCGGTGGAAGGAAGTTGTCATATAAAAAGAGTGCTTGAGATTTCCAGAAACCTGTTTAAACGGACCTACTCTTTAAAGTACACGGTAACACAGCTATGTGTAGTACTAAAGGTGTGCACCTATCGCTAGTGATACGACGATGCGGGGCATGGGCCGAGGCTTCTGCTGCATTGTACAATACGGAAGGTAGATGGGGCTGCGCACAGCACATGTCTACTACAAGTGGTTTCTTCGGCATCGGATATCTAGCAATATATCCGTACCTAGGTAACTTCAGAAATCGAAAGCAAGTTCCATGTTAATCATTCAGTGGCACCACGAAGCCCGAGACACTTGCACAGGAGACATAGGTTGTTAACACCCGACAGATCTAGGTAGTATAGACTAAGAAAGTGGCTACGGGAGCTAAATATACACCAACAATACGTAGATACTGTACCTTGTAAGGGTCCATCCCCGTCAGAAAGTATTCTTGGCTCGATAATTGTATGGACCATGTTTTCAAATCAATTGCAAGGCCGAAGTATGTACCTAAACCAGGGTCAATGTGTGTACCAATCAATGCCTTGCTAATATAACGGAAGCTAGCTGTGCAGAAACCCCCCAGCCCGTGATGTCATCCTCCTATGCACGCCCCAAAACTCCCAACGTCTCCGTTGCTATGCGAAACTGACGCCCTTCCTCCCGCACGAGATGCAAATGCCATGATAACCATGCTAGCTAAACAATACCAAAAAAAAAAAAAAACAAACATACACACACACACACACACACACACACCAATCGTAAGACAGGCACAATCCCCCCCCCCCCGATGAAACGTTGGATGAAGGAACCAAGCTTCGAAAACCGGCAATGCGAAAACGTGATGGTGCCGCTTGCGCTCGCTCATGTGCCCCTGCGTTTGTAAAATACCATATAAGCCTGCTGAGTGCCGTCCTTGTACATCTTCTGCAGCTCGTCCCCCGGTTTGCCCGTTCCGGCCTTGACCTGGGTGACCAGGGTGTCGTTGAACTTGACCCAGTCTGTCGGGTCTTTGCTGGACCCGTCCTTCACATAGGCTATGTAATGGCCAGCGGTGAGGCTTGCCCCTACGTGGCAGATGACAGCGTAGCAGTCATACACGAATGGCCCTGAGAAATGCCGGTCCGTTTTGGCCACGGTTTCAGCCTCCTTGTCGTCCTGGATGGCCCGGTCCTTTCCGTCGATACAGTAGGGTCCTAGGTCGAGATCTTGTATCGGAAACGAGACCTCGTGGGCGAGTTTGGTCATGACCCCCGTGCGCGGGTTACTCTGGAATCTCTGAAAGGTAACTGCAAGTCGATCCGGCACACGAGCAAAGTCGAGTTTGGTTTGCCGGCAGCCCTTCTTTTTGCACTTCTGGCACACATAGTCTGGGGGCGCCGAGAGAGCTGTGTAAGTTGCAAGCATTGACTCCAAGCTTCGATCCTGCTTGGTGATGGCGAGCGGTGTCATGTCCGATATCTGGAAACTCATGGAGCTGTCGCCACACGCTGGACATGAGTTGGCCAGTACCAAAAGCCCCCGCCAGTACTTGTCCACTATCGAGTCGTGTAGTTCCGAGTATGCCTTCCAGTACTCGATCGAATTTTGCAGCAGAGACCTCGTATCGTTGTCTCTGTAGTTAGTCAGTCTTTCCGTCTTGTCCCTGAGCCGGTTGGTCTCGTCATGAAGCTGGTCGATGATGAATGAGAAGTATTCTTGAGCATCCTGCTGGTAGTCACCGCCGAAGACTTCCTCCGCTTCCTTGGCGGTGCCGTCGATATTTTTACCGTGGATGTGGCGAAGATATTCCTGTAGAAAGTTTAGTAAAAGATGCCAGAAACCGTGTTCAGAAGGGAAGTCCTACCATGAGAGTTCTTGCCTCCATTGCTCGAAATTTACCCTTGGCCATCCAGTCGAAAAGGTTCGCGAGCATCTTCGTCAGGAGCTGGGGAGGCTGGATCTTCTCGCCCGCCTTGATGGGGACCTTATATTTGTCTTGCCAGTCTCCGGTACGGAGATCGTCGGCAAACCCAGACGTGCCGAATAGGGATTGGAGTGAGCTATTGCCGTAGCACCAGTTCCGCGGGTTTACAAGGCCCACGAATTGTCTGACCTCGCCGTCGCCGTCCGCCTTGGATGTTGTCTTCAAAACCCTCATGAGCTCGCCCCTGTTGTCCGTCTCAGCGAGACCACTGTAGCTCGGGCGGGGGACTGTGGGAGCCGGTCGCTGAGGCGGTGCGGGCCAGGATGGAAAGAGATCCTCCTGCCGAGACGAGCCGTAGCCGAACGCACCAGCCTCCGTCCTCACGGCCGCCGTGACGGGCGCCACCATGGATTCCTGTATTGTCGAAACAGGAGGGAAGCGTCGCAGGAAATCACCCGTCGTCCTCACGGGGGAAAAAGACTCGACATTGTTGAGCGTCTCTTCCCATCGCCTCGCCTCGTCCGCATCCTGGATAGGCCTGGCGACGAACTTTTGCCTGGGCTTCAGCCGCTGAATCGGCGCTCTGCCTACGGAGGAGGTGCTTGCCCAAGGCCTGGCCCTCATGGTGGTCGACGACGTCTGCAGGGACACCTCTCCCATAAGATTCGTCCAGGCGTCTAAACCGCCCTCCAGCAGCTTAGGTCGCCTCGTGACGGAGTCCCTGGCGAAGTCATAGTGACTGAGGGCGTTGTACAGCCCGGAAATTGCTCGCTGGGAGGGTGTATCGGTTCTCCAGCTGATCTGGGTGGAATCCTGATCATAGAAGACCACGAGGTCGAAGTCGTGTCGCCTCTCAAAGTGGAGTTGCTCGGCCGAAGGGGCCAGTATCATGCTGTCGGCAATCTCGTTTGCAGATATGTTCTCTCGGACAAGAACCTCAGACTCGACGCAAATCGTTGCCTGCGACATGATGTGACCATCATCGAACTCTGAACGACTGCGAATGTCGATCAGGAGAATCGATATGTCTTTGGAGCCCGACCGCATGAGCTCGACGAGTCCTTGAGCAGATAAGGTATCACCCTCTGGAAAGGTGAGCTTGGTACGTTTGGCTGGCAGCCCTGTTGGTTCTGGCGAATGAGATGCGAAGTAGTCGTCAGGGGGGGGTGACTTCATGGCGCTCGAACCGTTCGGGACTGCGGCCGTTGAGTTCGTTCGACTAAAGATGCCACGTGGGGTGCTGGAGGGGAGCTCGGCTGCCTCGCTCGAGACTGTCCCTCTGGCGGGACTGTAAATGGCATCTGGCATCTTGGGCAGGTCGGGCAGCACATTCTCCCCAACGAAACTGGTCCTGGGCGAGGGGGATGCATCTTCTCGCCCACCCACTGGTCGGGCCATAATTGGCTGGGTGCGGATACGGGGGTCCTGGGCAGGAGATCCTGTGGCTGCGCGGAGTTGGGAAAAGCGCTCTGCAAGGTCTTGCACTGCTTTTCTAGTTGGGAGATTTCCCCCGTCAGGCCTGACCGTGTTACCATGCAGTGCCTGGGGTTTTGGGTGGACAGCCGGTTTGGCCTTTGAGGTTGTCAGTGCTGAAAGCTTCCCTGTGGCATTGTCGGCACTCACTCTGTCCCTTCCCTGCCTCCCATCCGTGGCGTTGCCTGTACCATTCTCCCCATGCTCCGTCGAGGGGTTGGCTTTAGCTCGGCTTGCGACAGCCGGGTTAATCGTCCCTGGGCGATGGACACTTGGCTGAACTCCGGTTCTCACATTATCAGCCTTGATATCTGCCTTGATCTTCTCATAGATATTGTGAGAAGCATTGACTTGGCGCATCAGGCGCAGGTATCTCTCTGACAGTGTCTTGTTGCCCGATTGTAGCGACACCCAGTCCTTGTTCTTTTTGATGACATCGACCACGATTATGGTTGCCTGGATGTAGTCCCTTAGGGCAAGATCCGGCCTCCCAAAGCTCCTCGAAGTTTCGGCCTGCCGCAGGAACTCCTCTCCCGTAGTAAGGACTTTGTCGATTGGGGCATGGGCATAGCTATCCAGGTCAATGTTGGCCGAAGTGATATCGTCGATATGAGGCAGAGGACGCTTGGGTCTCCGATCTCCACCACCACTCCCGCCCGCACCGAATGTGAAGCTGGGAGGAGGGCCCTTGGCTGCAGGACTGTCCCCGCCATTGCCTAGGACAGTCGTGGAACTCGGTATCGTGGCCGGACTCATGGCTGGTAGGCGTTGCGATAGGTGTGGTGTCTGAGGTGTGATATCCTAGGCTTGAGACGAGCATCAAGGAAGTTCAGGCTCTGATCATGCTGTAATATCGGTATTGTGAATATCTGAAGGCCAAAGAGGGGTGGCCGCCGAGTCGCATTTAAAGAAGGAAGTCGAAGGACGATGGATCTGCTCGGTGGAAAGGGCATGAGTGGCAAGTGGTATCAATCTTGGAAACGAGGTCTGCTGGTTGGCGGCATTCTTTGTCGTCGCTCTTTGTTGAATCCTTCGAGGAACTTCGGATTCGTGCTAGGTCGGACGAGAGGTATTTGGCTTGATCGCAACCGGTATCGTCAGTGAAAGGAACACTGCGAGGCTGGCTGCACCGAACCAGGCTTGCCTGTGATACCTTTGCGGTACTTGGTTGTTCAGCTGTGGGACTGCCAGACACCCCGTACCGCCAAGTTTCGGCATTCCCGTTGTGTCTGGTCACTGGTGGACCCCGGGAATAAATTGACAGCTGGCAATCCTAGCATCTCAGCTGGCAAGGCTAGCCTTGACAGCTTAAGCCGGACTCCCCTCAATAGGTACGGTACGTACGTGCCTAGGCAGAGAGCATTAGCTCATCACGCCTCCATCATCGACACACGCAACCTCTACCTAGTTTGACACGCAAGCCTACCAAGCCGACCAACTTCGTTTTCGACAAACAAGCTGGCCACTCCCCTCAATGATTGCCTCTAGACACGATTTGATCCCACCCACTTTGCCCCGCCGTGTCATTAAATAGCTGGAGTTGCTCACTCCTGCCCTTAGCGGCTTCGTCCCCCCTGCCTCCATATCCAGCGACCTTCGCGGTCCATATCCTCTGCCAGGAACTCATCCAAGATGATGACCTGGTGGTCCTCGGGGGCCAACAGTGCCCTGGATGAGCAGATTGAGAAAGCCACGAGTAGCAGCCTGTACCATCCCCCTCCCCTCCCGAACCCGCCCTCATCCTGCGTCGCCTCTAACACAGCTGCTACAGCGAGGACATTGCCCTCAATCTCGAGATCTCCGATGTCATCCGGTCGAAGACAGTCCAGCCGAAGGAAGCCATGCGCTCTCTCAAGAAGCGCATGGACAATAAGAACCCCAACACCCAGTTGAGCGCATTGAATGTAGGAACCCGCTGAAGTCATCGCCAGGCGCGGCCTCAGAACTGACTGGGGTATTAGCTCACAGATACGTGCGTCAAGAACGGCGGCTCGCATTTCCTGGCCGAAATCGCCTCGAGGGAGTTCATGGACAACCTGGTGTCATTGTTGAAGGCAGTTGGGCCGGCCTCGGTTAACTCGGAGGTGCGCGCAAAGATCCTCGAGTTGGTACAGTCCTGGGCGGCCGCTACGGAAGGCCGCTACGAACTGGCCTACATTGGCGAGGTCTACAAGACGTTACAGCGGGAGGGTTTTCAGTTCCCTCCGCGGGTCAGCGTCGCGAGCAGCATGATTGACAGTAGTGCCGTAAGTGTAGCCTGGATCCTTCTGTGGGGTTAGCTGACGTCTGACTTGCCAGCCGCCGGAATGGGTCGACTCCGATGTATGCATGAGGTGCCGGACTGCCTTCACTTTCACAAATCGGAAGCACCACTGTCGCAATTGCGGTAACTGCTTTGATCAGCAGTGTTCCACCAAGTCGGTGCCCCTGCCTCATCTTGGGATTCTGCAGCCTGTCAGGGTGGATGATGGCTGCTATGCGAAGCTTATGGACAAGTCCTCAAGGGGTCCAGGTGTTGGTGGGAGACGAGGGAGCGAGCCATCTCCCAGCTACCCGTCGTTTCCCTCCAAGTCGCGGAGCTCGGCTGCGATGCAGCCCCGCAGCGCCAGGGTAGATGACGGCTTTGATGAGGACTTGAAGAAAGCCCTAGCTATGAGTCTGGAAGAAGTCAAGAGCCATTCCCACGGCTATGTGCCGCCGAGAGCAAACGGACCGACTTCCAGCCAACCCAGCGCCAACGACTCGACGGCCACACCTTCCAAGTCTGCAGAGGAGGAAGACGATGATCTTAAGGCAGCCATTGCAGCGTCGCTTGCAGACATGGAGGAGCAAAAACAAAAGCACGCGGCTGCACTCAAGGAGCAGACATTGGGCGCTGCAAATCCCTCGTCTTCGGCCCCCTTCACGTTGCCAAAGAACGATTACGAGCTCACTCCCGTGGAAGCAGAGAACATCAACCTCTTTTCGACCTTGGTCGATCGGCTACAGACACAGCCACCAGGTACGATCCTGAGGGAGCCTCAGATCCAGGAGTTGTATGACAGTATTGGCGCCCTGCGGCCGAAGTTGGCCCGGACGTATGGCGAGGCGATGAGCAAACATGGTACGTTTGGCGGAGGCCGCTCCGTCTGCTTGCAATCCTGATGTAACTGTGTCTAACTACCCGCAAATAGATACGCTGTTGGATCTGCACGCTAAGCTGTCAACGGTCGTCCGCTACTATGACCGCATGCTGGAAGAGCGGCTATCCAAGGCATATGGTCAACACAACTTGGGCGGATATAACCTTCCGCCCCCTCGACAACCATCGGGCCCATATCCGTCAATATCAGCCAACCCGCCAAACAACCTTGGCCCCGCCGAGAACTTTTACACGGGGGAGCAACAACAGCAACAGCAACACGACTACAACAAGGTTCCCAGCGCTCAGCCATATGGGCAAGCACCCCAGCCGACTCCTCAACTTGTATATGCAAGCTACGACAAGCGAGCATCAGTGGCTGGTCCTCCAAACGGCCAGTATCTACCACAACAGGCCCAGCGAACTGGAAGCTGGGGCCCAAATGCCCCTCCTCCACAACAGCCCCAGTACGCGCAACAGTCGAGCTACCCCCCTGCTGAAGCAGCACATTCGCAGCCCAACCATAACCAGCAGCCTCTGCAGCAGGCCTCGTTAACTGCGCCGGCAGCGCCAGACTCGGTCGGCAACACCCCGACCCCGACAACTGATCCCAATGCTTCTTTCTACTTCAACAACCAACCTCCCACGCAGACTCAACAGCAACAGCCCACGGCCGGACCCGACCAAATGGCTTCTCCTTACCCTAGTCTTCAGCAACCCTCACACAGCTATCAGCCGTCGCTACCACAGACGCCTGCTTCCGTGGCAGCCCAACCATGTCAACCAACCCAAGCTCATCAAAGTCAACATCAGAGTCAGCCATCACAGTCCTCGCAGCCGTACTGGCAGCACCCTGCCGCCCAGCAGACGCCGCTTCCCCCAGTGTGGCAGGCGCAGCCCAACGCCACCTATAGTCCATACCCACAGGAGACATTCCCCTCGGCGCCCCAGCATGCTCCAAAGCAGCCGGTGGTGGAGGAGAGTTTGATTGAGCTCTAAAGGGGTTATTGGGGACAGGCGGAGGAACAAAAGCCTCTCAGGAAGCTGTGGGAGAATGCTATGCTTCTGTGTACATAGCGGACATGGTAGGATTCTGCTGCAACTTTTTACGCGAATCCTGTAAGATCGGTGTCTACGACAGATTATACCCTACAAAATGACAATCAGGCATTTGTAACAAAACAATGTGGTGAACGACTTAGATGGGATGTTAAGAAATTTACCTTCCCCCCTGTTTTGCTCCTCCCCCCAAATCTCAACTTCATTAATTAGAAGACATTTTGGTCAGATCGAGGTGAGATTCTATTAATGTCACCTGTGTGTCACATCCTAGCACTTCAATTCACTACCGACTACTACCACAGACAGCATATATGAGATTGGAGTTCCGAATCCGTCGAAATTTTTGTTGACAAAGAACATCATCAGGGACTATATATACGGATTTCTCAGATCACATTCACACGCAACACTACCGACAAAGAACACAGCACGGAGAGGGGAGGGAGTAGTGAATGGCTCTCACATTAATGCCTAGGTAGTGAATGGCTCTTACATTAATGCCTAGTGAATGGCTCACACATTAATGCCTATGTGAGGACGTCGAGGTTACTTGATACTCTTTTTTCCCGCCAACTCTCGAACTCGGCGAACGGACAAGCTTGAAGGACTCGGGCAACCTCGACCAGACTCAAACAACGCCGCACAATTTACTTTACCCATTATAGCATCCATGGCAGAAACAACAGCTGCAGCTGCTACAGGGACGATCAAGCGGGAGAATGACGGTACGTCGTTGCCAATACTCCAATACCTCTACCTGCCCTATAATCATCATTCTAATCTCGACATACAGACCTCCCAGAGCAGGGCAGTGGCCCAAAGAAAGCAAGGTCGACGCCGGCAGTGCATCGGCCCAACGTTGGATCCACAAGCTTTGAGTTCGGCTATCATCTGAGGCCATATCCCTGGGAGCTGAATTCCTTGCCTCCGCCCGGCAAGCTCTGGGAGAGCAGGGCCAAGGAGGGGGGGCTAGTCTGGTATGAGCCTGCATACAAGAAATCAATTTTGAGTAATTCGATGCCTATGGAGGAGGACGTCCCGTTCTACTATCTGCGTACCAACGAGAACGTCTGGCACATACCCGTCCAGTTACTCTCGCAGGGCGGTCAGGGCGTGATCGTCCTCTACCGTGAGCTTTGGGGGCTGCCAAACTCACGCATATTGCCGAGCACCGAGCCCGTCACCCGTTACGTCGGAAAGCTCAATTACAGAAGCGGTGAGTTCTTCAAGGAGCTCTCTGCTGCCTTCGACGACGGCGAATACATGGGCGGTGACGACGACGAAATCCCGGTCGACTTCTCCGAGACCTTCAGGGACGAGGTCATGGCCAACGAGCTGATGAGGATGACGGGCACGTCCCACACGGTACGCACGATCGGCTTTCCAAAACACAGCGACTCGTACTTCCTCATGGAGCACATCGAGGACGGCACTCTAGCCGACTATCGGGGCCCGTGGACCCTGGTGGACGTGTGGCACCTCTTCGAGTGCCTAGTCAAGGCGGCCGCTGTCATGGCGTGGGGGTCCGAGTACCCGGACTTCAGGATCAAGGGTTGGCAGCAGATCATCCACCTGGATCTCGTGCCGGAAAACGGTAGGACGCCGAGACATCTCACCGGCTGCTTTGGCGACAACCCTGCTGACGGAGTCATAGTCTTTGTCGGCAGATCAGGGGACCCTTATCATTCATGTGGTTCCCATCGGTGCTTCAAGGTTAGGCCCTATTGCTGTTCTTCTTAGTGACCCTCCCTGAAACGGAGTGACTGACCGCGCTCCAGGTTGGAGACTATGGCTATAACATTTTATGGCCGGTAGGGGATGTCGTGACGAACCCCTTCGAAGACCCAACGGCTCCGGGCATGGTCAACCACCACCGGAAGGAAATGGTCGACATCGAGTCCAAGGATCGGAGATACACCGGCCGAGGCAGGGCCCGCCCACCTGTAAGCCTCTCTCTATTTGTTCCCACCCCCACCGTGGAGGAGCAGCCCCTTTCTAACTCAGGCGTAACCAAAACTGCAGGAGCAGACACACGCCATCCAGAAGCTGAACGCCAAGGGCGACCACAAGATCGCACACAACTACAGCTGGTGGACCAACGTATGGCAGATCGGCAAGATCATCCAGGGCCTCGACCTCAGTCCCATCGAGGGCACGACCAAGGCCGCCACGGGGCCCGGCCTCTCGGAAAAACTAGACGGGGACCCCACGGCCGGCACGCCGGGCCACAAGACCCCGCTCGAGCTCTCGGCGCTCACGCACATGGCGCGGACGGCGTACTGGCGCGCGGCCTCCCGCCCCACCGGCGCCGGCGCCGGCGCCACCGAAGCTAGCGAGAGCCTATCCCTGGCGCGCCTGCGCCGCCTCGTCGACGCATGCACCATGCCGGCGCCGCAGTCGCGCGTCGACATCTCCAACATCCTCATCGAGGTCACGAGGGGGCTGGGCGAGGCGGGGGCCTACTCCGACCCCCGGTGGAGGGAGCCGCCGGTGGTCCAGTGGGAGGCCGACGCACAGGACCGGTTCATCGGGCTCGCGCAGGGCCGCGTCGAGGAGGACCGGGCCAAGTCCAAGCTCTTGCCCCCCGTCGTCGCCGCCGACGCTGTGAAGGCCCGCGCAGAGGAGCTCCGGGACGCGCTGCAGGGCCTGCTGGTCGATGGCGAGGACGAGCCGAAGCTGCAGGGGCAGGGGCAGCGGCCGCTACATGTAGCTGCTGCTGCAGCAGCTGGGGCTTCGCGCGGGTTGTAGGGGGCCGAGAATGCGAAGGACTCTGAGAGGATGTTTCGGGCTTCCTTCCATTGGGTCTCTTGCTTGATTTTGTGGTCTCATTGCGTGGTAGTCGTAGTTACAGACTCCTTTCATTCTATAGGTTGAATACTACTACCGTTACAGGCAACCCCAGGGATCTAGACAGGCAGAGCATTGGGTAAATCGTGGCTGTGACTACTGAATTTCAGGAACATTGGGCGCAGCTGCCTGCCCCCATCTTCAGAGCAGCCGGGTTACCCGATTCATGGTCTGGACCAGAATACTTTCATCCGGCCTTCTACTTGATCTGTAAAACGATCACAGTGCCTCTGACGAAAGCGGGCCCGTATCCTCATCCCAACCCTGAAGCGGCCATCGTTCTTTGAGCGCGTCTATCTATTGTGACCTAGAGCCTGTTCCGCCCCGATTTCGTCAGCTTTAGTCTGGAATGTAGAGCTGGGATGTCAAAGAGTTGGTCGGTTGCGGCACCCGTTTGCAATCCAGTCATGCTTGCTTGTCGCTATCCTGTCCAACCTGGCAGTTCTTAGGACAGTCAAGTGGAAACCGTGTATCTTCACTTTGGGATAGCGAGGGAGATATGGATCCCAACTTTCAGGGGTTGGAATGCAGCCTGCTGATAACTTCCAACACATCCCTGCCTGATCATGACATGCTACTTCTGACTGACCTGGCTTAAGCACATGTGCAGGTGCCTTATCACTTTCACATGAACATGATTCGGCCAGACCCTCGTAACCAAAGACCAGGCCTACGAAGATATCAGTAGTCATAGTGTCAACTTTGGCATGGGAGAAGAACTCGTCGTAATATTTACAAGACAAGCTAAGCGTTGGGCTCGGCCCACACACCGGGTAAGATCTATGGGAAGCTTCTGCGGCAACGTCGGCCAGCTCATCCCTGAGGAAGGCGCTCTCACACCATCGGCTTGGACATGGGTGCGATGACGCCGGGCTTGAGGATAACCCTCGGCTTCGTCGCATCCTGGAACGTTTCCTTGGTCATCCACTCTGGCCCCACGGGCAGTCGCAACGAACGCTCGTATTGGAGGCGTGATTCAAAGGGGTGAGGCAGTTGAGAGGCGAGGTACTTGTCGTTCTAGATAGAGCCGGGGAGGTTAGCCAGCTGGTCCCAAATCTCAAAGTCAAGGGGGAGTGGTTATTTACCTTCCGCACTCGCTTCTCGTTCACGATAACACGCTCCAGCTTGAAGTCCTTTCGATCCTTCTTTTTCACGCCCTCGACCTTCGTGATAAACCTCCCCGTGTGCCGTTTCTTATCCCTGCTGCTGACGCCCTCGCCGACCCAGCTGCCCCAGCCGGGAAGCGTGTTGTCGACCTCCTTGTCCTCGTCCTCCTCAACCAGCGCAGCCTTTTCCCGTACAAATTCGCCCACCACGTCCTCACCTGCAAAGGCCCGCTTGATGAGTTCCTGGTCCTTGATGGCCATTGGGAGATGCACTTCCTCCTCGTCCTCGGAGAAGTTCCCGGCAGCCTGGCCGTCGGCCTCCTGCTTAGGCTTCGTCCGCTTCGTGGCTAGGACCGCGGCATTTGAGAGGTCAAGCTCCTCGACCTTGGCGTCGGGGGCCCTCTTGTCCTTACGTGGCTTTTTGCCTGCCCGGGACCAGGCGCCCGCGGCACCAGAGACAGAGTTATGATACTCAGTGTCTGCCTCTGGTGGTCCGCTCACCGCGCCTTGTAGCTGGGATCGGCTCCACTTGGACGGCAGGATATTGGTTGCGGAGCTCTTTTCTTCCTTGCCCTTTACCCCGCCAGTCTTGGAGGACTTCGGGGCATTTGCGTTTGCCATGCCATACTGCCGGCGGCCGATATCAACTTCCTCCTCGTCCTCCTCGTCCTCCTCTTCGGCATCAGATGCCAATTCCCGACGAATCTGGTTGACCAACTCGTCATTCGCCTTCTTCATCGCCTCCTCGCCTCGCTGCATGAACTTCATCTTCATGAGACCGGATCTAGGGGTCGGATCCTCTTCGGCGGCACGCTCCAAATCCTTGAGAAGGCGCTCCCTCCCGCCATCTTCGTCTCCCGACTCGCCCGAACCGTCGTCATCCTCGTCATCCTCGTCGTCCGAACCCTTCGTCTTGCCCTCGACACGACGACGTAGCTCTGCATCCATCTGCGCCATCTCTGTAAGGCCGGAACGGAAGTCATCGTCCCACACGGCACGGCGAGCTTTCGAGCCCATCTTTGCCCATTTGCTCTCCTTGTGCTTCGAGCCCATCCGTTCCATTGCGCGCCGTCGGTCCTGGAATTCGCGCTCCTCTTCCGAATCAATCTCGCCAGCCTCGATCATGGCCTCCTTAGCCGCCAACTCGTCACGCATATTTTCTTTGCGGTGAACCCGGCGATAGGCCTTGCTCTTGATCTTCTTGATACGCTTTGCTCTCGCCAGCTCACGGGATTGAAGCTCTCGACCCCGCCGGCGCTGGTTCCACAGCTCCTTGAGTTCCTCGCGGGATATGGACGGTTGTTGGCCATCCTCACCGCTACCATCTTTGTTCTCCTTGGGCTTGGAGGGACCCAGGCCGCTCTCCTCCATGATGGCCATGATAGTTTGCTCCAGCTCCGTACCAGAAGATTTCTTGTCTAGAGGTAGCAATTCTCCGTTGTCCAGGCCGGCATCGTGCTTGTTTTGAGCAAGCGGGAAGAAGAGGTGCTCAGCTCGCCGGTTATGCTTGACTGTGTCTGTCCAGCGGTTCAGTGTCTCCGAGGTCTTTTCGTAAGCCGCGCTTCGCTGTAGCTTTTCCTGCTGTCGCCTGGGTAGTGGTATGTCAAGTTTCTTAGATGTGCCTCGCGTAGTCGTTTTTTCCTCCTTGTTCATCAGTTTGAGCGATTTCTTAATGTGAGGATCCTTGACTCCGAACAGTCCCAGGTCCTTCAGGTCAATCTTGGCTCTCTGTTGCGATGTTGATTGGTCTGCCTCGTCTCCGTCCTCGTCCTCACCGGCGAAGCCAGATATCAGTGCTTTCAATGCTTCTCGTTGCGCGGAATCCTCCTCCTCGTCGTCGTCATCTGATTCTGGCCCCGTGCTAGACTCATCCTCCTCTTCCGAGCCGGAGCCCGATCCACCCTCTGACTCCTCATCATCGTCCGACACCTGGTCAAGTGCCTGTGCAAGATCGATGGCGTCCGAGCCAAGAGATTCGCCATCCTCGCCGTCCGAACCGTCGCCGGTCTTGCCGCGCACATCCTTCGAGCTGCTACCCCGAAAGGCGTAGCCAGCGAATCTCTCGTCGTCGCTCTCACCAAAGGCGTCGTCGCTATCAATCTCGGAGTCGTCGTCATCATCATCCACACCTATATGCCATGCGTCTCCATCGCTATCTCCCTCCGAGAGGCCGTCAAAACTCTCGTCATCCTTTCGAGGCCGTTTCTTCTGCGGACCTCCAGACAGATCATCGCCTCCGTCGTCGTCATCGTCGTCATCGCCTTCCTCGTCGTCCAGGCGGTGCCTCTTTTGGTTGCGCTCGGTCGGCTCAGGTTCAAGACCTCGCGTTCGGACGCCCTTGGTAGTAGTATCAGGTACCTGCTCTTGGGCAAGGGCAAAGGCATCGAGGGCTTTGCCCCTGGATTTCGACTTGGATTTCTTGGAGCTTCGAGGTCCCGAGCTGGCAAGCAGCGGCCTCCCGTGGGATTGGCGACCAGGCATGACGAGAAGGGGCGGCGAATTGACAATGTTCGTCGTTCCTGCGCTGTGCCAAACGGGGAGACCCTAAGTGGCCTGCCAAAAGCTCAAATTCACATTTTTTCCTGCCGTAGTGGGGCGCAATGGGCGGTGAGCTTCAGAGCTCTGCGGGGGCGGACGGGAACCTACCACAGTATCGGGACCTGACTGGATGGAGCGGGTAGACGTTTCTCCTGTATCCGACTCTCCAAGAAATTTAGTTTCGATGCTCAACCATGAGATGACGATAGGTAGTAACTAAGCCCGGAATCGAATCGACCGCCTCTTCTCCGAGACGAAACAGGTCACCCCTCATCCTCCCATACCGACATGCCATCATAAACCCCGGTTCTCAACTGAATCGCAACAATGAGACCAACACAATCCCTCGCGAGCACGTACCGCAAGCTGCGGCTTACGACGAAGGACATGAACAAGGGTTTCTACAAGGGCAACCGGACGGGTACAATGGGCCGGCACACAAAGTACGGAGGCTACGTGATCGACTGGAAGAAAGTGCGGACGTATGTGGCTCCATCGTTGGAAAACTTCAAGGTTGGTCACCACACCACGCGGGGGGCGGGATGACGCCCAAGCTGGCTGGACCATGTCTTGCTAACGCCAAGAGCAGCTTACTCCCTTCGTGACGAAGAAGATGACAAAGACTCACGGCATATACAACGGTGACGCGGTCGGCCCGAGGAACCCAGAGGAATACCTGTCAAGGTGGAAGACCGAGAATGGCCTTGATTAAAGGGGGGGTAGGGAGTTGGGCGCGGGCTGCGTGGTACGATAGCATTGGGGCGCAAACCGCTCAGCGGTCGCATTCAAATGCAGGGACGATATGCCGTCTCAACAAGCAGAAAACTTGGGGGTATATTGGTTGGTTGTGAAACGACTGTGTGTATATCTACATCTTGTACATCATCTGTAAAAGCCGGGCAAACTATATATTCATACGCTCCTCGATTTCAACCACGAATACTAACCATGAATGAGGAATATACCACCAGCCCTCAATCTCTGTTTGCCTTGGGGAGCTCCTCGGCCGCCGTCGTGAAGGTCTCCAGGCCCGGTCTCTCCCCCACAGGAGCTCCACCCTCCTCCTGTGGAGTCCCAACAGGCGGTAGCTGGGGCTGATTGGGACTGCTGGCCAACCTGTCGGTCCCCGTAGCAGGGCTCTTCGGCCTCGGGCTAGGCTGCCTCGAAGGACTAGTTGTCGAATTGAGCGTTATCATGCTTGCTGTGTCTGCCTCCTTGCCCAGACTGAAAGGCATGGCGATACCCCCGATTTTGGGCCGTTTTCCTGTCACCCCTGTAGCGGAACTCGGATCCAGGAGGCCTTTGCCCGGTGATGACTCCCCAATAGCGTCCTGGTTGAGAGCCTGACGGGTCAGCACAGGAGGATTGTCCACGGCCTCGCCAGACTCAGTTGATGGCTTTAGCTTTCCATCGTCATTCACGGGCTTGGCTTCTTCTTTCCCCTCGGCCGGCGTAGCGACCCTGGTCTCAGCTTCCTTGCCAGCCTGCCGCTCTCTCTCTACCGTCTTCTCGTCGTGTTTAGATCCCCAAAGTGACCATAACGCCAGGCCTAGGCTACGAGTCCTCTTCTTCTCCCCCAAATCCGCTCCAGCCTTTCTCCTGCCGGCAAGTGCGCTTGGGGGCGGTAGTTCTCCGTCGCCAAACCCCTCGAAGCCGCGTACCATGTCTTCCAGCCGCTTCTGGTGGACCCGGACTTTGTGCCGGTAGAACCGGGTTTCCCAGTGCTGCTTCTGTTCCATCCACTTCTTCACTGGGCCAACCTTGATGACGCCGACAAGGTCACGGTCCAAGGAGCAGCCGGGCAGGTCGCAAGCCGGGCCAAGGGGGAATACGTCACCATGTCTGGTCACCCTGTGCCTAATCATATGGTTTATGAATGGCGGGAGAGGATCTCCGGCCTTTCCAACAGACCCCTCGGGCCTGAGATCATTCGGCACAGGCTGTTCGTCGGCATCCGACGAATCAGAGCCAGATCCGGATATGACAGAAATATCATCATCGAACGGTATGTCGACTTCGGTTCTCTGGGCCCTTGCGAGCAGAAAAGCGCCGAACTGGGCAATACTACGGTAGATATATTTCGCTGGCTGTGTGAAGCTCAATGTTGCTGTTTTTCGAACGCGTTTTGTTAGCGACTGGTTAATTTTCTTCCAATACTTCCAATGCTTTGGCATGGTAATAGAAATTCGGGCTTGCTTACTAGCAACGTGGCAGAGGTCGTCCCAGACCTCGAGCTTAACGTCTGTCGGCTTATAGCGTTTGATTTGGGCTCGAGCGATGTCATCCAGCTGCGCTTCGGGCGGGACATATTTCTTTGGGTCGGCAAACTTATGGGCGAGATAGATCTGTTCGTCGCGGAGCATCTCACCACCTCCAACAACAACCAAGACAGGCGGCAGGCCTCCCAGAGTTGGCTGCATCACAGGGCTGACGAGAGGGTGCGCCAGAAGCTCATTGGTAGTGTACATCTAATCAAAGTCAGTTCGTCTCGCGGCTGTGGGGTTTTCTCTCCACGCTTACCTGGATTTGCTCTTTTACCTCGACCGGCTTGCCGTCAATAACAAGCGACAGGCGATGTGTCTTTTGAGCAATGTCCTCAACTGTAGGAGTGCCATCGCTGGCCTTGCCGTTTTTCGACCTCGCAGATCCGGGGACGCCACTGCTGGTATCCGAGCTATTCACACTGGCCTGGTCCTTTGTCTTCTGTTCGATGACCAGCTTCTTCAGCTGCTCGAGTTCCTCCTCATCCGGCGGTGGCCATGCCTCGGATGGTTTGTGGTGGAAGCCACCCGGCGGAAGATAGTCCAATGGGCACTCTCCGGCAACGCTGGGGAACGAGTGGGTGAGGTCTGCCCATGGGCTGATGAGGATGGCGCCAGCTGGCAATGGTATCCCTTGATCCCGCATGGTGACCAGCATCGACACTACCATGCCACCACCAGCAGAATCGCCTGCCAGGATGATATTTTGGGGCTCCTGGTAGGTCAGTAGGTGTAAATAGGCTGCCAGGCAGTCCTGTAGGCCGCATGGGAAGGGGAACTGGGGGGCCAGTCGGTATCTCGGCGCGAATACCCTCGCCTTGAGCTTCCGCGCATGTCGTTGCATCTGATAGCGGTGCTCGTCGACGCTTCCAAAGAAATACCCGCCGCCATGGACGTAGAACATGACCCGATTTCCCGGATCGGCCTTCTTCTTCCGCTCGTTGTACTCGGCCCTCATCTCAATCCATTCTGCCTTGAGGGCTGATTTGCGCCATTGCCACCACTGTTTCCCCCCAACCTTGCGAATACCCTCGGGGCCCAGCTGCTCCCGGAGCAAGTTGGCAGCCTCCGCTAATTTCACCTCGGGGACCGTAGCCTCCTCAACTTTGACCCAATGGGGGTGGGGAACCCATTGAGAGGTGAAGGCCTGGACCTCCTCTACCGTTCTCGTAGAGGCGAAGGCCAGGAAAGTCCGGACCAGGTGAAGGCCCTCATCATAGGATAGAAGCGCTGTCGGCCGTTGCCGTAACGGCTTATGGTTCAAATACTGTACGCCGAACTTTAGCAACCGAATCTGTAGCCTGCCGTAGAGGTATCCAGAACGCCGGAGTCCTCTATCATTTCCAATTGGCCACGCCGGAACCAAGACTTACGTGTTTGAAGAAAGTGGAGACAACGGTTGGCAACACAGCCAGGCTGACAGAAGTTGTATGCATCGCGTGTGACTGGTAGGGCTGGTGAATAGGTATGCCGAGGTTTTACTGCATAGAATGCCGACCCGGTACAGTTAACTATACATAATTACATTGGACCTGGGCCTGGGTGATTTTATTCGTTTCACGAGCCAGTGATGTCATAAAGGGAGGCCGAGCGGCTTAGGCCGCCTTCCCCGTCCTTGCTTGGGACAGTTGAGAGCCCCGCATTAGTTGCTATTCGAGTTAAGGTTGCCAAGGCGGGCATCAGAGGAGGTCTACCTATTCTATATAAACACATGGCAGAGTCGGTTACCCTTCTGCCCCGGAAAAATGCATGCTCTCTTAAAGACTCGGAGCTTCTCCCCAATCTTGCTGTTTCCACCACATAGTGCAAATGTTTTCCAGTTTGAATCCTGGGAAATTTGAGTGCCGTGCAAGATGCCCTCCTAGTCTGTATACATCGGCTCTCCACCAACCACGTGCATCGCCATGCCCATGTCAGCGTGGACGGCTCTCCCATGACCGAGCCCAGAATTGGGTTGGACTTGCTGTTGGTTTCCAGTTGTCTTCCACTGCATCGCAACGTTCATGGGTGACGTGGACCGGCTCAATTCCATCCCCCCGTGGCCAACGTGGGTGGCACTTGTAGAATTGGCTCTCCTACCCGTAGAATTAGCAATGACAGCGAATCGCGGCCGTTCTGCGCCCCTGGTCCGCGGCACATCCAGCTGAACTGCATGCTGTTCGGGCATCGAAGCAACTTGTTGACGGGCTTGTTCTTGGTGCCGAGACTGGTGCGGCTCGGGGGCTGCATTCATTGCCGGGAATCCCAGGCCATCATCGTCTTCCATTTCTGCATCAGCATCTTGGTCGCTAATCTCATCGTCATGGTCAGCGCTGGTGGTGACAACAGAAGGGGGGGCGCTAAGAATGTTGGTGTTTGGGGCGGTTGTCGACGGGTGGCGACTAGCGGCGTGGGCATAGCCCTTCGGTCGTGTGCCAAAGTGGTGTTGCCCCGGCCGAGGTGGATCCTGAACGGCTTGTACGGCATGGTGTTGTCGCGGCTGTGGGACCTGATTCTGAGCTTGGGTTGAGCTACCAGGTGCAACGGCGGCGGCCTCGTTGCCATCATTCGTCCCCATTGAGGAAGATCCGGCTTGAGAGGGAGGCGCGGAGGCAGCCTGTTCGAGAGGCCGCTGGGCATCCAGACCACTTGTCGACCTTGTCGAGACGATGACGTTCTTCCAACGCTCGATAGCGCTTGACACTATCGTTCCCAAGTCCAAATGGCGATCGTCAATGTTCAGACCAACAGTGCGGCGGCCGTGAACTACTGCTTCCTCTTGCATAAACGCCACCATGCCCGGTCCCACGGGTACCGTAGTGGGCGGTGATATCTTAAACTCGCGTGGCTGTTGCAGGCGGTTGAGGTGCTCGACGTGGGATTTGAGGTTCGCATTTTCCTGAATATTGAGTTAATTTTTCAATACAGACTCTTTTTCTGGCAGCTGATGATGTTCTTAAACTGTTTGTCAGTCTTACCTGTCTAAGGTTGTGCTGCGTCTCCTTTAGTTTGTCCATCTCGTGCTGTTTCTTCCCGACACTCCTAGCCAGTTCCAAGACCCAGAGCTCGTTACGGCGCTCGGCGGGAAGTCCTTCCCAGATGGTAAACGTAGTTTGAAGGTGGTTGTCCACCTGTCTTTCTAGAGTCTCGGCCACCTTGAGACCCCTGTGTGCAGCCTCCTGCGCCTCGCACTTGAAAACTGTCGAGGATGGAGGGTATTGAAGGTCTTCATTGACCGCTGTCGTAACAGTCTCGCAGGTAATCCTCCATTTTCGGAACTCTTCGGCGAAATATGTGCGTAGGGCCTCGTATTGTTGGTGGTCTGGGGGGGATATGGACCAAGAAGTCGTCGTGGGATGTTGGGTGGACGAGAACAGGGTAGGCGGAGGTTGAAGGCATTGGAGGGTCAGTGCTGGAAAGTCCAACGCTAAAGGTTCGAATTCGAAGGGCATGGAGTGCATATCGATGTGCTGCCTGTTCCACCGGTTGTCAGTGACGCCACAAGGGCTGCGTGGGCGGTTGAGACATACTTTGCCGCTCTCCATGACCCGATCATTTCTCGCAGCGCCAATTCGGCAGCCCTCGCGGTGTCTGAAGCATCCTGCACCTTCTGCTTCATGTCGAACTGGGACTTCTGGATTTGTCGGCTCATGGCTCTCTGCGCCGGCTGCGGCGGCATGGCCGCGAGCCAAGATCCCCCTGGTGCCACCTCGCTGCCGCGCCTGCTTGGTTCACCATTCTTGGGGATATCATTGATCACCCCTGTGGCTTCCCATGGGGTGATGAAAGGGAATCTCGGTGCAGCTGCGTCCTCTCCATGGTTCGAGCCTTTCTGGGCAGCCGGTGTTCTGGCAGAGGAGGATGCGGCATCGTCGGAGGCGGGGCTCCTCCTAGACACGGAGGTTGCGGGAGTGCCGGTCGGCGTCGAGGTGGCTCTCCTGGCTAGCGATGCTCGCGGCTGCCTCCGTGTGATGCCGCCCCGGAGCTTTTTAATCGCTTCCACGTCATGTACGCCATCGGGCGGCTTGGGGTTTTTCTCCTTTATGTATAGGTCGAGATGTCTGCCGAGGGAGGAGGAGGTGAAGGCTTGGCCACAGTAAGGGCAATGCTTGTCTTTAGCGGCTCTCGGTGTGCTCGTGTCGACTGAATTGTCTGGCGTGTTGGCCATGATGGCTTTCTTGGGGGTCGGGTTGTCCGTTGCGTAGTCAAGACCCAAGACAGGGATAATCCGCGATGGTGGGAGCGCGAGGGTCGGAGATCGACCTCTGGGTTAGAGTGAAGTTGAGCTTTAGCAATTGCTCCCAAGGAGCACGGCGTTCGCACACCATAAGGCGCACGCGAGAGATCGGCCAATTAGGAGCTGTTAGGAGCTGCGAATGGTTCTTCAAATATCTAGGAGTCGTCACAATAACATTGTTTTCGTGAAGTTGTCGTCTCTCTGGGTTGGATTTTCGTTGATGCCCCTTTCCCCAACTCCCGGCAGGGGTCTGCCGAAAGCTTGCCTATCGATAAATGCTGGGATTTGTTAGCGCTGTTCTCAGGTACCTAGGTACCTATCTACCCGAGCGGGCAGGCACCAGGTCGGCAGGGGCCACTACCAGGGAGGTCCACCTACCTACGGATCCGTACGTAGGTACCTACCTGCCTACATAAGGTAACTTATTAGTTTGTACCTACCTAGTATTTGTGCTGCGTGCTCTCCCGCCTTTTCCAGAGAAAATGGAAGAGGTCGAAAATTGGCGGTGACAGACCGACTATCTTGAGAAGTGCATTGGATTGGACTTTACGAAATCTAAATGGTAAAGCAGTCAAGCTAGTGTAGGCTGGGTGATGGTTGTGCTGGCTGTGGTTGTGGAGGGGTGTGGTGGTGGTGATGAGAAGATCGTCGAGGGACTGAAAGTCCCGGAGGGACCGGGGTCTGACAGTGGCAGACCGACTGTCTGACCGTGCTTGGTTGAGGCAGGTAAAGGAAAGGTGAATTGAGCGATAACCACTTTCCAAGTGCAAGGTGAGGTTGAGAGGCTAGGCATGGTTTTGAAAATAAAGTGAGAGGTCAACCAAAGGTGATAAGAAATGTATCTTGGAGGACTACCAATGTCATGATATGACCCTGCTGCCTGCGTTGCAATATTTGACAAAGTAACGTTAGCCTCTATCTTCCATCGTCTCCCATACATCTGTTGTATTCGTCTATTGCTCCTGGGCACCGCTACAGCGCCAGCTCGCGGATCTGGCTGGGTAACTCCTCGCGGAACTCGTATAGGTACTTTTTGTGAAGCTCAAGCGACCCCCAACTTTCCGTAACTAGGTAGGTACCTACCTACGGATGTGCGAGGTATTCGATCTGTTACTCTGGCGGCTTCGAACAGTCACTTAAGTCTGGCTTACCCCGGTCATGGACAACGCTTCCAGTGCCAACGCAACTCATCGGGGCTCTAGTGTCGCATCTTGTCCTGTAGCCAGCAGGGGAAATGCGCGACCTGACTGATCACATCAACCGGGCCGCTCGGAAGCACCACCAGAATTTCCGGCTAAAATTGCTGCGGATTACCTCCCTGCAGGAGCCATGGGCCAACTCCCATTGCCGTGAGACTTACCAAACTTCTCCACTAGGTCACGTGCTCACGCGAACCCGTTCGTGAGCATCTGCAACGCTTGCGCTTGGCTAGAATCTTGGCTGGAAACGTGACGACAGCGGATGCCCCTGATTACGCTTTGTTTGTAAACGACCGCCATTGCAACTGTAGCACCTACTTTCCAATATGGCTGGAAGAAAGAGACGTGGTGCCCCGCTTGATGACCCAGTTTCTAGCATCTATCGCGAGATGCTTGCTGAAGCTGGTGCGAACTCGGCAAGAGATGGGCAGTCACCCTTAAAGAGAAAACGGCCTGGGGAGAGAAGCACTCAAACCCCGGCGGCAGAAGGCTCTAGGCAGCAGGAAAACGGCCCCCGCCGAGAAGAGGATGCTGAAGAAGAAGAAGAAGAAGATGATGATGATGAAGACGATGGAGTCGAGTTTGAGGATGTCTCGCTCCCTACGCCGACCCTGCAGACTATCACGAGAAACTCGGATGACGAGGAAGAAGATGAGGATGGTGATGATGAGGATGTTCCATTTGAAGATGTGGACTTCGATTTCGAGGCGTTACAATCCATTCCAGCTCCTCTTGGTGATCAGCCCAAGGACCTGAATCTCAATCTCACGGCCCAGAAAGAAGCCATGACTCCCCGCCGCTCCGCAGACAGGCGAAAACCGGTTACGAAGGAGGAGAAGTCGCGCCGAGTCGAGGTGCATAAGGTGCACCTCCTGTGCCTCTTATCTCACGTTTCCCTTCGGAATCGGTGGTGTAATAGCCCCGAAGTCCAGGACGCCCTGCGACCTTTGCTGTCGGGAAAAATGATCAAGTACCTGAATCCTGGGTCTCAGCTCTCGCAATTTGGCCGGACAGAATCCTTAAAGAATGGCTTGCAGCAAGTCGGTGACATGTTTCGAATCAAATTCGCCATCACTGAGCGTGGCATACGGAGAGCGTTGTGGGCAGAAGACAGCCACCAGTTGCAAGATGTACATGACTCAGACTACCTCGTTATGGCCCTCCCTGCTAATGATACAACAGTACCACCTCCCTGATGATATCGAATCGACTTTTGCAAAGGATGACTTCCTGGAGGCCGCAAAGTCTCTCAAGGGCTCGCGGGATGTCGGTGCCCAACTGTTTTGCGCTCTACTTCGAAGCACTGGCGTGCAGACACGGCTTGTCTGTTCATTGCAGCCTCTAGCCTGCGTTCCCGGAGCCCCAACTATGCCGAAACTGAAAAATCCCAGGACGCCGTCTAAGAGGCCAAAAGCCGATGAGTATAGGGCAGCAATGGCGATTTACGAGACAAAACAGGCCGAGTCCTCAAACTCTACGGACACGCCTTCGCCTCGGAGACGACTCGGTCACCCCCATGCGGCTGCATACCATGTCCCAACGATACCCTCGCCATCCACCGTAATAGCCCGGGCTCCAGCCAACCCAGCCCGGAAAGTCATACGAGGCGAGTCCCCCTTTCCAGTCTACTGGGTCGAAATTCTCGACATCGCCCATCAAAAGTGGCAACCAGTAGACCCATTTATGACACGCACCCAATGGAAACCCAAGGCTCTTGAGCCGCCGGCTTCAGACCGTGACAATTGCATGACTTATGTAGTTGTATTCGAGACGGACGGCAGCGCAAAAGACGTGACGCGGCGGTATGCAAAAGCGTATAACTCGAAAACTCGCAAGATGCGCATCGAAGGCGTCGGTACCATCGGCAGTACGGCCGCAGACAGCACAAGCCGCACGAGTGGCGAGCGCTGGTGGCGGCGTGCGATGCGCAGATATGCCAAACCGTGGCCGACAGATCTGGACCAGATTGAGAATAACGAGCTCGCTGCGGACGAGGCGAAGGAGCCCATGCCGCGTAACGTCGCCGACTTCAAAGACCATCCGGTATATGCCCTGGAGCGCCACTTTCGCCGGCACGAGGTTCTCGTTCCCGGGGCTCAGCCTGCCGGGACTGTGGGCGCCGGTAACAAGGGGGCGCTAGAGCGTATTTACCGGAGACGGGATGTCCGCGTTGCAAGATCCAGAGATAAGTGGTATCGTCTCGGGAGGGAGGTCAAGTTTGGCGAAGAACCCGTCAAGTTCCTACCCAGGCGGGTGACTAGGAAGTCGACGTTCGACGATGACGAAGATAACGATAGCGATGACCCTGACAAGGTCGGATTATTCGGAGACGATGCTGCAGGAACGCCGATATACATGTTTGAACAAACGGACTTGTATAAGCCAGCGCCCGTTGTACGTGGACGAGTACCCAAGAACAAGTTCGGTAACTTGGATGTCTACGTGCCGAGCATGGTGCCAGAAGGCGGCGTCCACGTTGTGCATGAGAGGGCTGCACAGGCAGCCTTCATACTTGGCGTGGATTATGCACCAGCCTTGACCGGGTTCCAATTCAAGGGACGCCGTGGCACCGCCGTCCTGAACGGAGTGGTCATACCATCGGAATGCGAGGAGGCAGTCCGAGCAGCCATTACCGGGCTTGATGATCTGGACGCGGAGATTGAACAAGAAAGGAGGACGCTGAAAGCGTTGCGCATGTGGAGCAGGTTCCTCAAGTCTCTTCGAATCAGAGAGAGGATATGGGCTGGCGCTGATCCAGATGAAGAGGATCGAGCGGAAGGCACCGATCTCGACAAAGGCAAAGGCCGGGCAGCTGATGAGAACATGGATATCGATGACGCACAAAGCGATGTCACTGAGGAATATTTTATGGAGGAAGATGAGGAAGGGGGCGGTTTCTTGATCGACTGATCCCTCATCTTGGGCACGCCGTGGTCAGACATCGACGAAAAATGACCGATCATCTGTCAATATCTCAGGGAGTTTTGAGCATACGAACTTTGTCGATCTGGCTTCTGTGAACAAAGAGATGAGACTTGTCCCACGGCCTCCGCCAACCGAATTTCAGATACGAATGATATATGACCATTACCATGGGATAATCTAACGCAAAAGGCACCGGTTGCCTGATATATGACAATTTGTTACCAACTACTGCAATCAGCATCAACACAGGAAGTCAGGTGCGTCGGCGTACATGTGTATATATTCTGCAGTGACCCAGCTCACAACGGAATGCTTCCCATATCCCTCCCGTCGGCGTCTGCTTCAGCATGTCTCCTCTCCTCATAACTGCCAGAGCCACGCCAACATACCCAGGCGCAAGCTTGTCCCAAGTTGCGACAGCAATCACAACGAGACTCGACACTGCTTCAGTACCGGGAATCAACGAGCTCAGCCCAGGCGCTAAGACCGGTATTATAATCGCAACTATATTAGGCGGCACAATCTTAGGGATTATCGGCCTTGCCTGTCTCCGGCGAACACTTATCGGCCTTGCCTGTCTCCGGCGAACACAAGCTGCCTGCCAACGTGGCCAGTCGTCCGTCGGCCAATTATTTGGCCCGCCACTGGTCGATGAGACCATCGCCTTCCAACCTGGGCCCATGCCGGAGTATCCCGAGGTGCTGAGGACGGGGACCAGTTCCTCCGGGGCTCGACAAGCTCGGGCATGCGAAACGCCGGGAGGCCACAGCTCTGGGTCGGGCAGCAGCTAGCCCGCCTGTCGGACTTGATGAATGTTGGTCAGGGTCTGGAAACACCGACTGGTGACGATGAAGATCCACCGCTTGGAGTGGGAGGAGAAGATATTTGCTCAGGCGACGGTCAACGTGGACATGGAGCAATGGATGAGGCGTGAAGGAAAACGGACTGGGGGAAGTGCATTCCGGGGCTGTTGAGGCAGATGGCAGACGGTGGAACAAACTCATGCCAACTATTGTAAATTCATAAAATAAAATACAGGTCACCGGCCAGGGCTTCGTTAATGTTATGATACAACTTCAACCTAGAGGTAGGTAAGCACCTAGGCCTGTTCTCCGCTCGGACCATACCTCTCTACACCTACATCCATGGATGAAGCACAACACTAGCCAACCTTCTTTGACCATTTATCAACTTCTCTCCAGCACGCGGAGATGCGTCGCTCGATCTTTCGTACAATTTCAAGGCGACTACTGGCTTCGGGACCATGTTCGTCCCTTGCAAGTACATTGCCCAACTGCATACCTCAAATCCCAACCATGTCAACCCGTCGCCCTCTTTATGAGCACATCGACGATGTCGAAAGACTCGACTACTATCGGCCAGGGGGATATCATCCCATTCAGATTGGCGACAGGTTTCAAGACCGATACCAGATTGTGCACAAGCTTGGTTACGGCAGTTACTCGACCATTTGGCTAGCTCGGGATGAGCAAATGGCCAAGTACGTCGCTATTAAAGTAGGCACAGCTGACTACGGCTCCAAGGAAGTCGAACTCCTAAGTCGAATTTCCCCCTCTGGAGTCGAAAATAGAGAATTTGGCCGCAATCTGATTCCCCTAGTGCTGGGTCGTTTCAACATCGACGGGCCAAATGGGACAGACCCATGCTTCGTCACTGCGCCGGCAAGATGTAGTCTTGCTGATGCGGCACAGGCGGCGGACTATAGTCCCTTCCAGCTCCACGTCGCCAGGTCACTTTCTGCTCAGCTCGCCATGGCGGTGGTGTATATCCATGAGTTAGGATACGTCCACGGGGGTCAGTACCTTGTCTCGTTTCTCCCTACACTGCAGTAAACGCGAGCTCTAATGCTCGCTAGATCTTCATATGGGAAACATACTTCTCCAGTTGCCAAAGCTTGACTGCCTTTCAACCAAGCAACTTTACGACGAATTTGATCCCCCGGACCCCGAACCTGTTGTTAGGGTCGATAAACAGCCGCTCACGTCACCAAGTATCCCCACCCACGTCTACTCTCCAGTCTGGCTTGGGAAACCCGGTGACGAGGTCTCGCTTCCCGAATCCAGGATCCTCCTCGCCGATTTCGGGACGGCCTTCTGCCCTGCAGAGGAACCGAGGTTTGAGTCCTACACACCTCTTCAAAGTCGACTACCTGAAGTAAGATTCGAGCCGACAGAATCCTTGTCGTATACATCTGATATCTGGAGTCTTGGGTGTGTGATATGGGCGATTCTCGGAGTGAGCCGTTTCTTGACAGCTGGTTATTCGGCCCGGACGACGCCACCGCGGATCAGGTTGATGCCCTAGGACCGATGCCGGATGAATGGTGGGAGGCGTGGGAAGGGAGGTCGAAGCATTTTATCGGAAACGGGAAGCCGAAGGAGGGGAGGGAGGTATGGACTTTTGATCAACGATTTGAAGATACGATCCAGGCGCCAAGACGGAGGAAGGAAACAGAGGGGATGGATAAAGAAGAGAGGGATGCTCTTTTCGAGATGGTAAGGGGTATGCTTGTTTTCAGACCTGGTGATCGTCTGAGTGCAAGCCAAGTGTTGCGGACGGAGTGGATGAGGAAGTGGGCAATTCCCGAGGCCGAGAAGACTTGGGGGCAGAAATTGCTCTGCAACAACCGCTCGTCCAGAAACTCGTAGGCACGTACCTGCAAGTTGACGATCACGCACCGCCCACTTGAAAGGGGTAGTGGTTTGTCAATCACCTTCCAGGTCAACCCCAAGCTCGCTCAGTAAAGCGTGTCGTTCGCGTGCCCTCCGCACCTTCATAGTGCACGACAATCAGCAGCATCATGTACGTCCCTTTCTCACGCTACAACCAGCTCCTTTTTAACCAACCCAGCAACCTCACCGTCCTCATGGCTCTCAACGGTGAACCCGGCTGGGTCTGCCTCATGTGCTGCAACTACCTAACGTATGTCAGAAAGGAAATCACGGGAGGGAAGAAGGATCAGGATTGATCAAGGGTTGTCTTTCTTCTCAATACCACGGATTATGTCCGGGCTGATAGTAAACGGTAAATCTGGCGAGTTCAAACCGAGGTTTAGAGGCGTGGCCTGGTCTTTTTTGCGTAGCGTTCGTAGGGATCCCTCTCGGTTGGCTCCAGTATACCCTGCCGTAGTAGTACTCCGGTGAATGCACATTGCCACCGTAGTAGAGCGGGACTTGGTCATCAATAGGAATTTCAACATTTCATACGAATTTGTTCTAAATATCATACCTGATTATACTGGCGAGCTTGACGGAATCGGCACCCAAGGGCAAATGGTTCCGACTTCGCAACAACTCGAGAATGCATTCAAAATAGATCAAAATGGGCAACAAGGACAAATCCACCCTGCCCAAGAACTGGCCCGACTCGATCCGATACCTCAGCTCGCCCATCTACTCGCCCCAACTTACAGCAGCCCAGTTCGCCGCCATCCGCACCCGCCCCGCCGATGCGCCGGAGGACACGCAGGCCTCGCTAGACGTGCTCAAGCCCGGGCCCAGCGCAAGCGTCCGCATCACCCCCATCTCCGACCCGCAGCACCCGGCGTGCGGCCAGAGCGGGCTCTTCGCGGCGCGGGACCTGAGGCCCGGCGAGCTGGTGGTCGCCTACGTGGGCGAGGTCCACCCCGGCGCCGGCGACGGCAACCCGCATGCCCAGTCCGACTACGACCTGTGGCTCGACCATGCGGCCGGCGTGGCCGTGGACGCGGCCCGGGCGGGCAACGAGGCCCGCTTCGTCAACGACTACCGCGGCGTGCCGGGGCGGCAGCAACAGCAGCAGCGGCCCAACGCGGAGTTCCGCGAGGCGTGGGACGGCCGGCGCGGGGAGAAGGTCATGGCTGTGTTTGTGCTGCCGGCTGGAAAGAAGGCCGTGGGCAGGGCCAGGACGGTGGGGATCGTCAAGGGGCAGGAGATCCTGGTGAGCTACGGGAAGGGGTTCTGGCAGGAGAGGATGGCGGAGGGGGAGCTTGGGGGGGATGGTCCCGAGTCCTAGGGGCCTGGAATGGCGGCGTAGTACGATTTGGTACCTTGACCCAATGACGAACAAATGCAGCACTCATTGTCTCCCACGTTATCGAGAATCGTAGGCATCGTGCAGTTGTATCGAAGAAGCCTCCTGCCAATTACCATGTATTACCCGGCAGGCTATAGCAAGATATGAGCGACTGGCAATGCCTGCCAAAAGATGCCTGCCAGCTGGATGCTCCTAAAAATGCCAAACTCATTATACCTGGGGCGCACATACCCGGCACTTGGCGCCCCCACATGACGACAGCGGGGTCCTTCCCAACTTTCCAGCGGTTACACTTACATCCGAGCAACATCCTCATCTCACTACACGACGCTGCCCGAAATACTGGCGTCCACTATACTCTCCATCAGCAATCGTCGCCATGGATCCTCCACCAACCACACAACCCTCAGCTAGCCGAACCACCCAGCCGACAAGCTCCGTCAAGCTTGAGGAGCTCGACCCCTCTGTTCCGCACTACTTCATCCCACCCGCGAAACGCATCAACGAAGGGGGCGACGTGACCCACTTTCTAACCTCCAAGGCGTACCGGGACATCGGCGTCTTCGTCCTCCAGCTCAATCGCGCATTATGCCCCCGCAAGACGCAACCCCCGGCAGCCAGCGGCGAGCCCGCCCCGGCCCAACCGCCCCCGCGCCTAACGGCTCGCTCCGCCGGCGGGCACGCACGAACCTTCACGCTAAACGCACAGCGGCAGGACGCCCCTTCGGTGCAGAGGCTGCGGGAGCTACTCGATCGGGTGGAGGCCGTGGTCGAGGAGGCGCCGCCGGATTCGGGCCCGCGGAGGTTCGGAAATATCAGCTTTCGGAGGTGGCATGCTCTGCTCGAGGAGCGCTCAGAGAGCCTGCTGAAGGAATTCGTGGCGCCTGAGGTGCTGGGATTTGGCCGCGGCGGCGAGGAGGAGGGAGGGGATGGCCCGATTGTGGAACTGAAGGCGTACTTCTTAGGCGCGTTTGGCAGCTCGCAAAGAATGGACTACGGGACAGGGCACGAGGTGAGCTTCTTGGCCTTCTTAGGCTGTCTGTGGAAGCTCGGGGCCTTTAAAGACGGCGGTGAAGATGGCGAGATTGAGCGGAGCATCGTGCTGGGAGTCATTGAACGGTATGCGGTCTGCGTCCCCTCCTCTTACGCCGTTAACTGACCCTCGTTTCTTAGGTATCTCAAGGTCGTCCGCCGTGTGATCCTCACATACACCCTCGAACCAGCTGGGTCTCATGGTGTCTGGGGCCTCGACGACCATTCGTTCATTCCTTACATCTTTGGCTCCGCACAGCTCACGCGACCTATCTCGGAAGGCGAGCCCATGCCCACCGAGGGCTCCGTCGCTGGCGCTCCCAAGCCCTCAGATGTCGTCAAGTCCACGGCAGTCGACCTAAACCGCGGAGTCAACATGTACTTCGGCGCCATTGGTTTCATCAATGACGTCAAGAAAGGCCCGTTCTGGGAGCACAGCCCGATCCTGTTCGATATCTCGGGCATCAAAGATGGCTGGGGCAAGATCAACAAGGGCATGATCAAGATGTTCAACGCGGAGGTCCTCTCCAAATTTCCCGTGGTCCAGCATTTCCCCTTCGGATCCATGTTTTCCTGGGAGACTGACCCGGATGCGGCCGTGCCGATACAGACGGTGCACATGTCGAACCAGCCAAGCTCTGCCGCCGCGGGGGGTGCGAGGGCGATGCAACCGCCGCAGCCAGGAGGGGCCGGAACAGCGGCCCCGTGGGCGCAGGCTGCCGGGATGCCTGGCGGAGGCTTGGGAGGGCCAGGTATCCCCTACTCCAGGGCCCCCTGGGCCGCGGCCGGGAGCAGCGCACCAGCCTCGTCCTCGCGCGGACCCCCCGATACGGGACCGTCGCCACCGACGTCGTTCCCGAAGGGTCAGCCCGGGACGACGAGTGCCCAGCATACGGTGACCAAGGCGCCGTGGGCAAAGTAGTGAAGGAGTCCAGGTTAGAAAAAAAGGCCAAAGGGTGTTTCTCGGCGTCTTTGTATGTTTTCATAGGTGTGGAGGCTCAAGTTATAGTATGAATGATACCCGATAGACGTAATCAAAATCAGACAAGTCTCTCCCACTGAAAATACCCGTCACGTTGACAAAGCTGGAGGATGAGAGGGCGTACCTGAAGGGGGTATCCTATCCGGCAGTAAATCCAGCGAGCCCAGCCCCGTACGGCTTGTCAAGCATTCATCTTAGTTTAAAAGCAGCTATGTCAAATAGACCCTTGAAGTCTTAAGACAAGCCTCACCAACCCCACGACTGTTTCAAACGGCAAAGTACTTTGGTATTAGGGTATCGATCAGGTATCAAGAAAAGGAGAACTAAACGCATCGCGAAGCAAAGCAAAGTCGTTCCTCATACAACCTCGTGAGAAGCCACAATAGGAACAGCATCATCCATCCATGCGTCGCAAGGAACAGACATTGATGCCCATCCGCCCTCAGTAGCCCTCCGTCCCACGAAAATAAATTGGGAAAAATAAAACCAGCGCCTCCGTAGCAGCTATCATTACTCGTCGCCCGTTTTATCCTCTGGTTGTATAGATAGCCGATGCATCTACCTCCTCGGGGTCTAACGCGTGGGGAAATCATATGCTCCTGCCGGTGCTCCGGGTATCCAGACGTGCAATATCCTGAGGTTCACGGGCGCCAATGTCCGACCAGCGCCGGAACTAGCACATTAATCTACCGATTTAAGCGGTCGCGGCGGCAGCTGCCTCCTCCTTCTTCTCCTCGGCAGCCTCGGCCTTGGCAGGTTCCGTGGCAGCTGGGGTAGCCTCGGTCGCGGCCGGAGCGGTCTCGGTTGCGGTTGCGGTGGCAGCGGCCTCGGCAGCAGCTGGGGCTGTCTCAACCTTGGCCGTCTCCTCAACGGCGGCGGGGGCCGCAGCCGGGGCCACCGCCTCAGCTGGAGCCACTTCGGTTGCCTTCGGCGCCTCGGTGGTGGTAGCATCTGTTGCGGCAACCACGTTAGAATTGGGGAGACGAGATAGGAGTTGGGGGTTTTGACGTACCAGCAGCGGTGGCGGTAGCAGGAGCGGCAGCTGGGGCTTCAGCAGCCGGAGCCGTGACAGCGTCTGCGGCAGCAGCAGCAGGCTCAGCTGTGGCACACTGGTTAGCAATATTCCCCGATTCGCACAGTTTTCTCGTGATTCATATATAGTGGGCGGAGAGCGCAGATGGGGGATAGGAGAGGGTCCTCACTAGCTGGAGCGGCAGCGGCAGCTGTCTCGGTCTTGGTGGGCTCGGCAGCAGCAGTCGCGGTGGCAGCCGGGGCGTCCGCGGGCTTAGACTCAGCGGCAGCCTTCTTCGGCTTCTTGAACAAGCCCTTGAGCTTGGACTTCAAGTTGTTGAGCGCATCAGGAGCTGCGGTGGAGATGGCGGGTTAGCACAAGGCACCGAAGAGAGCAGATGGTAGCAAGCTGGGACGACGAGGGGGTTGTTGACTCACGAACACCCGGCATCTTGACGGTTGAGAGTAGAGATGAACTATCACGAAGTAGAGGTGGATTTCAACTGCACGTCGGAGCGTCTGGATTAGCAAATATTGGTCGTTGTGTTGAGAAGAGGGAGGACGGAGGAAATAGCGAGGAGCCTGGTCGCATGGGAAACAAAGGAGAAACAGACACGGCACAGGTGCTCTAAGATAATCGCACCCCTCCCTAGATACCTAAGATAACACCCATGGGCGTGATTACGTACCTTTGTTTTTTTCTGAGGAGGGCAAACGCTGACAAGAGGTAAGTGAACCAGAGAGCTCCTGGGTAGGATATCAAGCAAACAGTTAAGCAGGAGCTGAAGTTGTGCTGCCAATTTTATATGCAATTTATTTCGGGATGCGATGCGAGATCTCCTCAGATCGTAACCCCAGGTTGCACTACGAGTAGAGCTCCTGGGACCCCCTGAGCTCGTCGCCCTAGTGCATTGCGAAATAGGTACGCTAGCAGGCCTGTACATCCGTAGGGAGCTTAGCTTGCGTAGATATGGCACGTGCGTCTGCCCAAGCGCCAACTGGGCTTCGACATCGCGCAACAGTCGACAAGGATTAGTTGCGGAAAGGGAAACAAACATGTCCAGAAATGGTTTCAACGGAGGGAGTTCCCTCTACACTACGACGAATTATGGCATATGATCTACGACGGCCACCTTGCTCATCAACTGCCTAGACGATAGCTCGCATTCCTCATGTGGCTTTCTCCGCTTCGACGCTCAGGTGCTACTGCGAACCTCGCCGTCCTCCGCATACTCGAAAGAGAAAGCCGGTTCCCTCCCTTCGCAGCGGAATGACTCTATACTCTATGCTTCTGCACTATGTAGTCTGTAATGTGTATCTAGACCATACTCTCCTGCGGTATGTGTGGGTCTAAGTAATGTACGTACCCGATCATTCTCTTTACTAAGGGATGAACCCCTAGAAACAAACGGATTCATATACGGATGTGTATATTTGTTCTGCATTTACGGCTTGTTCTCTGGGCTGTAGCTGGCAAGGTCGCCCGCTGTCTTCTACCATACCCTGCTACAAGGGGGGGGGGGGCTGTCTGCCTCTTGCAGGGGGTCTAGGTTGTTTGCGTCTGTGATACATACACAGAAGACATGTAGATTCACTTGAACCCTGATCCCCAGATTGGGGTGGCATCAACTTCTGCATCGTAGAGTCAAGGCTGGCAAATGGTAGAGCTGTAAACACCGCTCTACTTGAGGTGTCATCTCTCCTACAACCATAATCCTAGGACCTAAAAATCAGTGTGGTTCTGTCGAACGCCGGCGGACAGAGCAATCCCTCTTGGTAGGCGTTATGAATCCCCCCGGTAACAAACGAACAGCATGATAAGGGAGGTGCTGCTAATGCCTGCATATCCATATATAAGATCGCAGTCCCAGCTGTATCCACGGCTTCGTGTTCCAGCTGTTTAAGAAGACGCGAATATGGCATCTTTTCTGCAGGAATTAAATGCATCTAGGAAGTGGGCATGTCCAACCCAGCAGTCAAACCTGCAATCTCTCAGGATTACGGCACCCAGGCCCATCTCTCACAGCTTTCCCTTAGCCCTCTTGCCCTCCACCTCCGCCTCCCTCATCGCCTGCACACTCCTCAGCAGAGCATACAAGCTCTGCAGCCTCGGTAGTTCCACCCCCTTCGCCCTCGCAATCCTAACCGGGTTCCCGAGTATGACCTCGATCTCCAGCGGCCTCCGCGCCTCCCAGTCGAGCAGCATGCTCGGCCGCCCGCCGACATTCCTCTCGGTGCTCCGCAGTATCCTCTCGGGGCCCGCCATCTCCTCGGGGAACGGCCGTCCCAGCACCGCCGGCGCCGCCGCCCGTATCTCCTCCATCACCCCGGCCAAGTGCCTCCTCAGCTCCGGGTCGCCCGCCATGTCCGCGTTGCCGCGGCCCCCGGACAGCACCGCTGACGGGTTAAACGCCGCGTTGATGCACAACTTGTGCCACCGCACCGTCTGCAGCCCCACCTCGTCCGACACCTCCGCGTCTCGTATGCTCCCGAGCCGGCTCCACCAGTCCGCCAGCGCCGCCGTGCACGCCACGCCCCGCTGCGCTAGGAGGAGGAGCTGGGCGGCGGCGGCATCGGCATCGGCCGATGAGTCCCCTGCCGGGACGCCGCCCGCCGAGGTCACGGCCCCGGTTGTATCGGCCCCGCTCTTGGTGGCCGAGGGGGATTGCCGGACCGAGGCCGCGGACGGCGATGATGAGGCGGAGTTGGTGTATGGCCCCAGGTGGATCCTCGTCCAGCGGTTCTGGCGGATCGCCCCGGGGGCCACCTGCTCGGCGCTGATGACGGTGACGGCGCTGACGATGGGCGTCTGCGGGAACCGCCTCCGGTAGGGGTCCTCGACGCCGACGCCGTTCTGGATCAGCACGATGCACGACCGCGGCCCCACCAGGGGCGCGATCAGTTCCGAGTCGTCGGTGCGGTCCGGGAGCGCCTTGGTGGTCACGATGATGTAGTGCCAATCGCGCGCGCCGGCCGCCGCGACCGCGACCGTGGGGAAGGCGGCCGCGGGCGCGAAGGTGTAGTCCCCGAAGGAGTGCGTCTGCATCTGCACCCCATTGGCGGCGATGGCTTTGTAGTTGGACCGCGCAATTAGCGAAGTGTGGATGTTATGGGTGGGCTGTCATGGCGTGTTAGACGAGAAGGTCAGGTCAATACCACCCAGCAGGGGCCCCCATGTTGGCCAATATTGTCCCAGAAATCTGGCGACAATTATTTGTATGCTAGGGAGCACACAAGGGCGTTAACCGGAGATGGTGGGCCGGGGGATCCCGGAGAGGCAGTAAGGGGGTCGCCGCTTTAGGCACGTACATGATGCAGCCTGGAGGCATAGAAACACCCAACAGCTCCTGCGCCAACGAAGACAATGTTAACGGGCCTACGGAAGCTGTTAGCTCTCGGCATGCATCATCGACAGACAGGCTGGATCAGGCATCAAGCGTCCCATCGGCATGGAAGAAGGGAGGTGAGCTGACTTGGACAGGTCTGCCCCAAGAGGCTGTGAAGCATCAACCATTTCGGCAGTCGGCACCTAGCCCGAGGATACGACTATCGGAATAGGAAGAGGCGGTGAATTCCGACGTGTTGATGGCGTGAGTTGGTGTCGTGTAAGGGAAACTAGGGCGAATCAATGTTATCCCACCTGCGTTTAGCTATCATAGAAGCTGTGATACTCGGTGCTTCGTTAGGAATACGAATTATTCAAGAGGCGCTTCCAGACCCACCGAGCTTGGAGACTCGGCACTACCCGGATCCCCGCACAGAAACCTCCCCGGCAACTGGCGGAACTAACGTATCCCACTCGGGCAATCTGTGATGACAATCCCCGGGACGGATCTTTCCTTTGGTCCAGGAACAGACGAGCAATAACAGCAACGCAGTGCTTGACACCACATGTTTAGGCTGGTGCTCACAGATTTGCTCGCTTACTGATGCTACCTGCTTTACATGGTATAGCGGCTCCCTATGATAACCTAGGGCTTGATTCCATTTTCCTGACGCCGAGGAGTGCCGATTTCCAGGTTTTCGAATTGCCAACAACATGATGACATCTCTCCGAGTTCTAGTACCCGCAGTCGAGGTGCAGCTTTGTAGGGAATGCGGGGAACACGCAACTCCCACACTTCCCCTATACCTTAGGTTACCCTAAATACGTAAGTCGGTAAGACCATGATGGATAGGTTGTCAAGGACCTTCGGCTGTCCAATTATATGTTGAATTGATTGATGATACCATCCTAAACTTGACTAATAGTCCCTCCTTATGCCATTGGGAGCTCGACGGGCCAGAAATCACCCGAAAACTGGCAAACAGGGTAGGTAACCCTCCACTCCTGTTTCCCTTCGCGATGCCGAGGATCAAATTCGAAGGCCATGTTCCATTGGCCCGGAACAGACATGCCAAGGTACCTATGGAGGTGCCTATGTTCCCACCTGTACAGGTAAACTAAGTCGAGCGCGGGTGTGCATGTCTTTTCCGTCCCATGAAGCTTTTAGGATCCCCGGGTCCATGGTAACCTACCTGTAAAGTCTTACCCGTTCGATAAGTGTATGTAACCGAGGCTGATTCCCGATTCTTCCCAGAGTATCAAGACGACCTCTCAAATCGGGTGCCCAGCAAATGGTAATTATCAATCTCTGCCAGGAGCGAAAACATCCACATCAACGGGAGTATGACGGTGAATGCCGATATGCACGTCGAAGACGTGATAACTGGCAGGTTTTGGGGCAAAAAGGGAAGACAATGTAGAGCCAAGAAAGCTAAGCTGATACTCATCCAGTACCGTCGACAACCTGATCCTCTCTGGAAGACACCGCCAGAGGCGCGCCAGCGGCTGGCTTCCATGCGGAATTGCCGGGCACTTGCTTTTGTCAACGCGAATATTGTGTTTGGATCCAGGGTTCAGGCAATTCGCAATTGGGCCGAGAAGATAGGAAAGTCGGGAAAGTGAAGAAAGTTGAGAAAGCTGAGGGAGAAAATTAAAAAGGACAAGAAAATTTAAGAGGAAAGAGCAGCGAGGAGTCGGTGAGAGAATGTAGGTCTCCGCTAAGATCACGTGATCTGCCAATCAACTTTCCCACCTGGCAGCAGACAGCTGCCTCTCGATCGAGTGTCGATAACCACACATCGGTATCGACCCGCAAGTGCTCATCTCACGGCTGAATTTGCGGCGAGGTCTGAGAACCCTTGAGGATCCAGGCCGCATACAATCATCTGGATGGCGGAAGGTACTAGAGGACAACTAGAGTTCGGTGGCAAGATATGAGGGCCTGACAGGTTTCGTGCAGGAATTGGTGATGGTCGGCGTGGGGGTTTCAAAGCCACCTTGACAAGGTGGGAGACATGTGACCTACCTCGCTTTTGCTCCCTTGCACTCCGCCAATCATGAAGATGGGGAAGACCCCGGTTCCATCCCGATGTAGACGACAAGCTCTCATCGTACAACCTCATGCGAGGGCAGGTCGCCGTTCGCGCGGGGTGAGAGGCAGCGTCATTGGTCCGCCCCACACCACCGCTTCCTCCTCGAGCCGAAGAGGCAGAGTTGGGGAGGAAAAGCGTTGGAAATCTAAGCACGGTGTGCTTTAACCCTCAGTGAGTGGCTGATTGACCAGAAGAACAAGATGCTACCCCCAATCTCTGCGAGGATAGGGGCGAGACACTGAGGAATTCGAGCCAATTGAGAGGCCGACGTCATATTTCCTGACAGCCTGCCGTTGACGAGAGGGATACCCAGTCTGGCCAATAGAGTGGGGTTCAGACGAATGATAGCTTCTAGAAGGATTGCAGAAGCAGCCCTGTCGAAGGTAATTGATCATGCTCTGATTTTCGGCCCAATTTTCGGCTGCAGGGCAAATAAGATCACGCCTTGCCCTTCAGCCGCCGAACAAGGTGTCTTGATTCCTGATATGGATGAGGCTGCATGTCTTCAACTGAGAAACACGCCTCGGGACAGGTGGGATCAGCGACGCCGCCGCTCATCAACTCGCAACCTTAGAACCCCCAGATCCCACAAGTTGCCAGTCGCCCTAGATAATGACGACGGCGCGGTGAAGGCCTGAAGCAACAAACCAAACAAGAGGAGCATGTGTCGGCTCTCTGTATCGTGGTGGTGCTGGATTGGGCTTCGGTGAAGGTATAGTCGGAAGGGCAAGGGTCGTGTTTCTCACTGTCTGCATACCTAGGTACATTGCTGCGACTTGCGCCGGCGTCAAGTCGTTAGCGCGGTGGCGCTTTCACGTCCACATCCTGGCTGCCTGGGTGTGAACGAGGACCCTCTGGAGAATTCCCATAATCGCCCGGGAGTTACAGCCACCAATTCTGTCGTGTGATGACAGGAGTTGGTGACTAGCTTGACTAGAACCTTGAGACGTGTGCAATCTGGGGCTTAGGACGGGTCGGGATATTGCCTGTCGTGGGGCTGTGAGATGCGACTTAGCGTCCAGGGCTTGCAACAGGAAGGGGAGCTTGGAGTGACCCCCAAGGTCAGGCTCAATCCGTCGTCCAGGTGGCTTGGCACTTTGTGCTAGTGAGGTCTGGTCATTAGGTGATTTGCATGCGTTGCCCCCAATGGCCAGCAGGAGGGACTGTCAAATAACGGCCTGATGGTGTCTTCAGTACCCCGTGCCGTCGGTAATCCCAATTATACCAGGGAGTGTGCAGATCATGTTGGGGGTGGGTGGTTGCCCAGGTTGGCGCCTGCAAGCGCGATAAGTGATTTTACGGCATAATAGATATCAACTTGGGGTCAAGTTGTGGCCAACATGTGGAGTGGATGGAGAGCTCCGAATTTGGAATCGGTATACAATAACCACGCACAGCGAGACCGAGGGGATGTAGCCATGAGGCGGACAGGTGTGATGGTTGGGTGGTTGGTTGGAGAAGATGGTACATCTCTCTGCTGCACAAGACCGTATTTGGGCGGGCTTGGAACTAATGGAAATAAAGGTCAAACGAGGCAAATATCTAAAAGAGGCCGTCGGCTTGGGGTGAAAGAGGGGTCGCTGATGTTTGTGTGCAATTGGAGGTTGCAGAACAGTGAAAATTTTCAGCGCTCCATATTCCTGGGGGGCTGGCAGCTTTTTGGTGGTGGCTTTGAGTGGGTCATTGTATGTACATCCAATAGGGACTGACTGGATCCAACAGCTGCCAAAGCAGCATGGCGAGTGGCACATGTACAGTACAACCTACCTACCTCGCTGGTCGAACTAATGTTACAGAGCCTCGGGCGGAAGATGAGAAGAGATGGAGACAATCCTCTTCGATTGCTAGGAGCATCCTTTCGTCAGTTGGTTTCGGGCATGTCACATTGACTTCTAATCATGGCTACCACCGTAGGCACAGGGTTTCCAATACTGCAACGTGGGTTAGTGTTGGAGACTTTTATTTCCGATCCGCAGGGTCGCATACGGGCCAGGGGAGGTGTCATTTCCCAACGGGGGGGCTAACAGATCACAACAGGCACTCCCCCATCAAGCTCGCTATCTGGCGATGACGTGCCGCATTTTGTCAGCGACCAAGGCCACTCCTTCGTCACATACCTACTAAGTAGTACATGCTGTGGACCTCCTGGCCCCTGGCCGAGGTGGAGATCAGCCACTTGGGCATATTCGGGCCTCTAACCCCGTGAGTTCTACTCTGTGATGGTTTGAAGCCGGCGGCATCGGACTCGTCAACCCAAATTCATGGGAATCTCATCTCAATCTCGGCCCCTCAATCTCACGCCAAGCGCTCAACCGCCAAGAGAGCCAAGCTGAGCACGCCAACTATCTAGCAACTTCGAGTGGTTCAACCACTTGGTGCAATGAGCAATGAGTGGGATGTTCACGGGGGGAGACACTAAGGGAAAAGCTCAGGATCATGCCAAGTTGAGTTGGGAAAATTTAAGTCGCGGATCTGCGTCATTCAACCAGCCAGTCTACGAGACGATCAGTCACCCAGTGACAAGACAAAAATGCAACGTCCTCGAACTGGACAGACGTTGCACAGAGATCAAACTCAATGGCACTTGAGTGGACAGATCGGAGTCAGCGAAGAGGGGGTTGGTGTAAGTGGCTCTCAAGAGAGAGTATGGTTGGTTGCTTGTTTTGAAACCTCTCTCTTGATAGTTTTTTTTTTTTTTTTGGGGGGGGGGAGGTTGTTTTTTTTTTTTTTTTTTTTTTTTTTTTTTTTTTTTTTGTTTGTTTTTTTTTTTTTTTTTTTTTTTTTTTGTTTTTTTTTTTTTTTTTTTTTTTACGCCAC